CGAAGTGACCAACTACACCAGCCGACAATACTAAAATACCTTATAGGGAAGAGCCGGAGGAGGAGGGGCTAGCGAGATCAGTAATAGTACTAAGGATATTATCGCGTACTCGCTATAGCTAGATAGTCGTAGCCGGACCGGTAACAGTAGTAGGGACGGCGGACGGAGCAGCCTCGTTAGTAGTAAGGGGTAGAGTAGAGAGCTAACTAGCTCGCTTAAGTACACGCTTAGTAGTAAGATAGTCAGTCTACGGTAATAGCGCGGGTAGTGGCGATTTCGTTAGTATCGTTATCGATGAGAGCCTCCTATACTTCACGAGTAGCGTTATAAGCGACGACGGATAAGCTACTAACGATTAGTACTAGAGCGGGAAAAAGGGGGGTTAGTAAGTATTAGAAACCTATATTAGCTTATACTTATTGTTACTAACGTAATAATCGATATAGCTATTACTAAGTTAGCCTCGCTTTCGGCGATAGCCCCGGGGGCGCGAAACGTAGGTATAGTAGCTTATACTACGGAGGGAATTAGCGAGAGTAGCGCTCCGAGCTACGGATCGAGACTATAATAGTAGTTAGTAAAGTACGTAATACGAGGACGACTCTATAAACTATAAGCGTAGGAGAAGCGGTAACCGTAGTAGTAGTAGCTATAGTAGTGCGAGTAGCGACAATAGCGGAACTACCGCGGGAGCTACTATAGGAACTACTATATAAGTTATTACGATTAGGGCGTATCGGAGTATACTATCTATAAATTAGCCGCTCTATAATAGCATAATAAGAACATAGGGTAATATATAGGAAGGGGGGGGTTAAGATAACCATACTATAACGTCGGTAAGGGCCGGTATTTCAGTAGTACTAAAAGGTATTTACCGCACGATTAGTAACTATTCCGTCGATATAGTGGCGGTAGTAGATAAAGGTTCCTAAAAATTTACGATTAAGTAATTAATAGAATAAAATAAATAGCGGTAAGAGAGCTAGAGGTAGAGGTAAGGAGCGCTCGTAAATAGGGAGGCGTAAGAAAATAAAATAAATAAAACCGATAGCGGTCGGCGCTATAGTAACTAAAGCTACTCGAGAACGCGCTATATTACTAAGTACAGGGAGAGGCGTAATATTGTAACGGGGTAAGGCCGGACATCAGGGAAATAGGTTACGGGGCTAGGAGAAAGTTTATTTTCTCTTCTTTAAGAGGCACAGAGGCAGAGTAGGACACGAGTCCTCCATCTTCACGCATCATCATCCTCATCTTCATATCATCATCTCCTTCTCTATATCTTCACCTTCGCTTTTCAGTCAGTTATTTAGTTATTTCAGTTATTCAGCTTATCTTTACGTTCGAGATCCTATTATCACGATACGAGTATCAGAGGCATATCCGACCAACTCGCGCACCAGACGTATAAGTGCTTCGCTCTTATAACCAGTACCACGATCTTCGTCTGATCAGACCAACAGATAGATCTATTAGTACTGGAGCCGTCTGTTCAGTGTGTTAGGTGGTAGGTATATCCTACTGACCGCCTGACCCCGTTTCAATATCACGGGGCTAGCCTATTTTAGGCTAATATAGCGCTCGGGCTATATTCAACCTAGTAGGCCGAACTACGGGTACCGTACTATAAATAGCGGCACCCTCTTCGTAGACCTGGATAGACTTTCCTTCTCTTCTCTATCGTAGCAATTCTAATACATTCTTTACTAACACTAAGAACCTACCTTGTTAGTAAACCATAACAGAAGCTTTCTTACTCCGATTAGAACAAAAAGTACCTCAACAGGTACTAAAAACTAGAGCCTCAGCAGGCAGAGGGAGAAAAGGGCCTTAACAGGTCCTTAAGCGTATCACCTTAGTAGGTAAACGATAATGTACCTCACGGTCCAATTGAACACTTCTTAAGACCTCGTACAATAAGATATAAGTTAATTCAACTATAACGTAAAAAAATAATTAAAACTACTCGGGACTATCTTCAGATATCTCTTTACCATTCTGACAAGTACGCATATTATGACCGGGCTCTCCGCACGCCCTACAGCGTTGCTGAAGTATCTCTGGCCTCATCGTACGACTACGACTCCAGCGCGATTTATTATCTAACTCTCCGTTAACTAGCTTCTGAGACTGTAAATCTTCTCCAGCTTGTATACGAAGTGATCCTCTATACTGTAAACGTTTCGTTTCTCGTATAACGCCGCCGGCTAAGTGTCTCATCTGCCTTTCGAAGCGCGGCGTTCTCACCCTCTAAAAGAGCAAGCCGGTGCATAACCTGCGTCGTACCCTTCGCAAAGTGGTCAAGTGCAGTAAGTGTAGCTGTCGGAGAGCTATTTTGATGTCGTATAACTCGCTTTTCCACGTATTCAGTCTGGGATTGTGCCTCAATTGTGTTATTTGGGGTCTTCAACTCCCAGATAATAGGAAGGCCAGACCCGCAGGTGTTGGAGTATGTAACTTCACATCTAACTGCGAAATCACATATTCCGGATCGTACGGTACGAGTCCTGCCCCTCGGAAACCTCCCTGTATGTTTGATATCGTAAAAGTTGTCTGGAACGCTTTTAAGAACGCGGAGAGGAAGTCCTCCTTCGAGATATGGGTAATATGTGCCCGCATAAGATCCTCAATTTCTTTACCGTACGCTCTTTTCGGTGCACGAAAACAGCCGATATCGAGAGGTTGGAGCTAAGCTTATGCGACGAATGAGCAGGCATACAAAGTATGATAATAGAGTTCTCTTTACAGTAGAGCTCGAAAGCGGTCGAGTGGTGGCTCTCGTGGCCGTCGAGAATTAAGAGGCGATAAACACCTTTCGTACGAAGCTTTGTATGTTGATCGAAATGTCGAATCCAGTCCTCGCCTCTTTCATTTGTAGTCCAGCCATTTTTCGTAGCCGTGATAACCAATACTTTGATAGTAGGCTATTTTCGTACCACGAAGATAGGTGAGTTTTACCAGCAAAGATGATATACGGAGGGATAGTATAGCCGTCCGATCTGACGCCCTGGATAACTGTAACCCATTCCCTATTCCCTTGCTGTACTGCTCTAAGTCTTCCACGTCAATCAGAGGTCGTTACAACTATCTCGGATGGGATTTGACCCATAAGAAACCCAGTGTCGTCAAAATTATAGATATCCTCCTCTTGAATTCCATACTTATTAATTGTATTCCGCACGAGATAAAACCACGCGCGGTACGCGTCGGGATCTTCGCAGAGGACTCTCTGGTAGTCGATTCTTCAATTAAAACGCGTTCGGAGGTCTGGTTGTCATCGTACGAAGCTCGAAGCCCAGTTAATACCGACGCGTCCTGCGTCGCATTGGTGGAGTAGTCGATTCGCCATATCTTCAACACCACTTATTCGAGGAGGAAATGATCGTGAATCTAGGTCGACTATGTAGCGTACGATGGCGTCTTCTTCGGAATAGGTAAGCTTTTGCGTTGGTGATCGTATATCCTGTCGTGAAGTACCGCCGCGATATCGGTGACGTAAGGTTGTATGAGGGATATTATAGATCCGTGCTACGGATAGGACGCTTGGTTTGGGGTTATTTTGAAGCGCTTTGAAGGGCTAATTGAATATCGCTTTCTTCCCAATTACGTGCCATTGTAGAAGGTGGAAAATAAGGGATAAAGCCTAGGTTGTACGGAAATGCGCGAAAGTGTTCAATTGGACCGTGGGGTACGTTAGGAATAATAGCTTTAACAGGTATAAGCAGATCTATAGGGGTAAGAAAAGTACCTTAACAGGTACGTGAAATAGGATAAGACCTTAGCAGGTTATTAAAATAATAAATACCTCTATAGGCAAGAGAAATAAATCAAATTACTATAGAATAGGCCGCTTGATTCTCTCTTTCTTTTCAAGAGAGTAACTATATACACAAATACTTAAATATCATTAAGAACACGCTTATATAATTCGTCCGAAACCCGAAAAACAACACCCAAAAACCCTAGCCCTAAATCACAATATAACTATTAAGGGCTTCTGTATCGTGTATGAATCATAGACTCGAGTTCCTGGAAATTAGTAACAAAACGCATCTAGCTACATTGTATACGGATGAAACCTATCCCAGGGGGTACAGTAGATCTATTCTCGATTCGTACACGGAACCGGATGAGCAACATCATGGACCTGGAGATCATTTTTGAACAAATGTACAGTCTTTCGTTAACGAGGTACGTAAGGTTGAAATGGAATTCCTTTCCATATGCTGCCCTTGGAGGGTAGATGGGAGGTATTTATTGGAATATTTGCGCAAATTTATTACATTGGATTTGCGTTGATCTCTGCAGATCGTCTTCTTCCCAAGAGTGTATTGCGGCCATAAGGACCTTCATAAGGGCCTTACATAGGTAGAAATGAACGATGCCTTCCCCATAAGCAAAATCATGTTGTACATTGGATGATGGTGATCTTGACCTCACAAACTGGCAATTCGGTGTAATGGCCTTGAATGTCTAACAATATATCTAATATCCAAAGCGCCTGATATGTCAACGTCGAGTCTTCTCTTCAAAGTTTGAAAGTTATAAAGTGCGAAGCCCGCTCCATTCTCTTGATAATCACATTCATAGGTCACCTTTAACGACCAATTGTTCTTCAAGTGGTTTAATTTTGCATGGACTGCAGCAGGATGGTAGTGATGGCCGTGCAAGTGTAGCTTAAACCAATATTGACTCAGAACACTACCTCTTACCTCTTCTTGAGGCATATGACCGGCCCACCTTGCCAAACCACAACCAACTTGGATTACTAGCGACCCGTCTTTCACCAGCCGCTATTCAACAAATTTAGCCCAGAGGGATAAACGGGAGGAAGTTTGAGGCCACAATTCCCCAATTCAGTTGCATTTGTGGCATTTGTGACATTAGTGGAGTACGTGTTAACGCGCGTTTGGGGTAAGGCTAAGCTAAAGTCGATTTAGCATAAATGCCCTCCCCCGACGGGTAATAGGCAAAAAAGTGCCTCATATAAATTTTGGAGTTGTCTCACATTAGAAAGGGTGACTTGCTTGACGGAGCACGCTGCCTATCGTCATTGAACCACTAACTTTCCTAAATGCCGAACGGCGGCAGATCACTGTACCCCAGACTTTGTGGCAGTTCGGTGATGTAGGAATGTGACCCCAGAGTCGCACAGCCCCGTGGATATAAATAACCCGACATGAAGCCTCGAGAGAAAGAAGATTGTCCTGGCCTACAACAGCCCGAACTGAAACCATACGTCGGGCTTCATCTTCCGTCCAGGCTGGATGAGTGCGTGGGAAACTACATATATATACGGCAAATGGGACAGGCTAGTTGCCGAATGTTCCATGACTACCACAACTTCTCGACAGAATCCTAGCGAAAATATTTGCCACCATGAGAGTCGCATCAGTTCTTCCTGTTCTCACAGGCTTCGCCGCCTCGAACCCGCTCGAGCCACTCGAAGAGCGCCAGAGCGCCTGTCCCAACATCCACGTCTTCGGGGCCCGCGAGACAACGGTGCCACAGGGCTATGGCACCTCGCAGGGTCTCGTCAACATGGTGACTCAGGCTTACCCAGGCAGCACTGCTGAGGCTATCGTGTACCCGGCCTGCGGTGGACAGTCAAGCTGTGGCGGCGTCAGTTACGAAAACTCAGCAACGCAGGGCACCGCTGCCGTTGTCGGCGCCGTCACCAGCCTTAATCAGCGATGTCCCAACACCAAGATTGTCTTGATCGGTTATTCCCAGGGCGGCCAGATCATGGACAACGCCTTGTGCGGTGGAGCCGGGGCGACGCTCACCGGCGCCGCCCTCGCTAGTGTGAAGGTGGCTATTTTCATGGGCGATCCTCATAACGTCAATGGACTGCCATATAACGTCGGCACATGCCAAGCCGGAGGCGTATGTTATAATATTCTAGTGCTCCTCCCAAATCGAAGGCCAAAGCTAACGTTACGATAGTTCGCCGCCCGTCCCAGCGGCTTCCAGTGCTCCCCCGCAAGCCCGTCTATCATCCAATCGTACTGCGACTCGACGGACCCATACTGCTGCAATGGCAATGACGCAAATTCTCACCAGCAATATGTCAACAAGTATGGTCAACAGGCTTTGACCTTTATTAAGGGCAAGCTCGCATAAATGGGTATGAAGGAAAGTTCGAAACAGTACCTAGTGAGACATCCAGCTAACCCGGACAGAACGGAGATCTGACCACGGAAAGGCCCAGTATATATCACTCTGGTGTGGGATTTGAAAGTAGTTCGTCATATTCGAAAATGAAATAGTTGAAATTTGGCAGTGTTCCAATTGCCATGACCACCTGCAGCTGCTAAACATTCAACCACTGGATGAAAGAACTGATGTCGAATATCACGTGTATCCAATCGAGTAGTCAGCAGTGCGTAAGATTGTATTATGAATGAGGTCTGTTCTTGTCTGTGTTCTATTCTCGCGAACTCCCGTTGCTCTGCCCTTTATAGATTCTTTCGGAAATGTCGGAGGTGCATTGTTAAGGTGTCTGACCCCTAAATGGACCGTAACTTCGGAGTTACTTTCGGGAAGAGGGTTTCATTTCGCCGTCTGAACTTCAAGTGACACTAGTCTTCTCTAGTGCCATATTATTTCTGAACCTAGGAACCAGGTGTCCTATCTGACAACTGACGCATGAATAAAATTTAGTCCACTTCTTCCCAGAGTGGAGGAAACTTAGTCTTAGTAATAGATAATAGGCTATAGCTATTTAATATATTAATACTACGGGTTAGTACTATAACGAAAACTCTAATAGTCTAGCTGCGTAAACCACTAAAGTATTCTATAAGGGTTTGTACTAGTAAGTAAGTCCTGCTATTAGGTTCTTAAGTAATAAAGTATAGACATATACAGTATTATACTTAGATAACTAAAGTATTTAAATAGGTACCGAGGAATATGTCACAAGGGAGGACTAAGCCTAGGCCTAAGCTAATAGACCAAAAGGTCTAGAATGACAGTGGATCACTGACACTTAGTCTCACTAACTGCTATACACAGCACTTTGTGGCTCTGTAATCGCCAGCGCTGTAACAGAATAGAGTCGTTAAGGCAATATAACTCACTAATGGTTTAGATTAATAATTAGATTAATTACTGAAATAGAGACTATCTATCTATAAAATACCTAGAAACTTCGTTCCTTATATATCTATCTCTTCTTTACTAATCTTATTAGATTAACTCTAGTGTAGTGAGCCTCTAGTGATCCCGTAGTTAGTCTTAATCTAGCTCACTGATCCTTAGGTAAATCTCACTTATAGCTTACTAATCCTTAGTAAGCTATCACGTGACTTCCGGGGTTCTCCGTCTAGGAATATGGTTCCTCCTTGATGCGAGTGCATATAGGGTGTGAATTATTATATTAGGAAAGGATGACCAGGTTATCTATTCTGGCCTAGTAGAGCTCTTTTATAGCTCTTATCTTAACGTGATCTATAAGTTGTTTTCGAATATAAGTCACTTTCGTACTTTTTTAAAATATTTTAACGTTTTAACTTAGCTTAACGTGATCCACAAGTCATTTTCGCACACAAGTCACTTTCGCACTTTTCTTGGCACCTTCAAGTAATTCAGTAATATCCTATGCATAACCCGCATTTTATCCTTTAAATTACTCAAAATCTTCTTCATTATCAGTTTCTACTTCTATTGAACAAGTCCTTGCATTATGTCCAGTCCCTCCGCAAATACCACAGCGCCTTATACCGGTCTGCCGGCGCTTTACAGGACGACTGCTTTCCCCTTCTTCCTCCTCCATAACCTTGATATCACCCCTCAAGGCCCGTAAAACTTGTGCATCACCTATACTAAGTGCTCCTCCATATTGGATTTGCTTATTTTTCGTCCTACGACGCTTACTTAGTATATGGTTCGTCTCACAAAGCTCTTCGTTCTCCCGACGTAATAATGCATTCTCATGCATCATTGCATGCGTAGCCTTTGTAGTCGAGTTAATTGAGTTCAAAATATGCGTCGGCGAGCTGTCTTGATGCCTCTGGACGCTACTTTTAATCAAAGTTGACTGCGATTCGGCTTCGAGGGTGTTGGTAGGCGTCTTAGAAACCCAGACGGAGGGAGGCAATTGGGGGTCGGGTGTCGGTGTTCGTACTACTTTTGCGATATCCAACGTAGATATGACCCTATCCGGGTTAAAAGGAACAAGTCCAGCTGCTTCGAATCCTGATCTGATGTTTTTTTCGTGAAAAGTACCAATGAAAGCTTCTAAAAACCCAGCTAAGAAATCCTGCTTCTCAATATGGGTTTGATGCCTTCGCATTAAACCCTCCACGAACGCACCGTACAGCCGTTTCAACACACTAAAAGGTACCAAATCCAAAGGCTGGAGCTTGTGGGATGGATGGGAAGGCATACACAATGTAATTACGCCGTGCGCCGCGAGGTAAGTCTCAAAATCCATCGAGTGGTGGCTCTCGTGACCATCCAATATTAAGAGACTTTTCGCACCCTTACGACGGCTAATAATATGTTGAACAAAGTGTTTTGCCCATTCCACACCAATATTATTAGTAGTCCAACCGTTATGGGAAAGGTCGACCTTCCAGTTGGCCGGTAGGTCGTTACCGCGATACCACGAAGCAAGATGAACCTTGCCCGCGAAGATGATGTACGGCGGTACCGGCCAACCTTGCGAATTAATAGCCTGGATCACCGTAACCCATTCCCGACCTCCTTGTGTAGCCTGTCTAGGCCGTCCGTGTCTTTCTGCACTCGTTACAACCATACCGGTTGTGATTATGCCCATTAGGAAGCCCGTCTCGTCAAAGTTGTAGATATCCTCCGGTAGGATACCGTATTTAGCGATTGTGTCCCTAACAAGCTCAAACCACGCGTAATACGCGATAAGATCTTCGCTAAACACCCTCTGGTAATCAATTCGACGGTTTAAACGCGTTCGGAGGTCTTGTCGGCGGTTAACGAAGTTCGTGGTCCAGTTCTTGCCGACGGGGGGCGCGTCGCATACGCGTCGTAGGATATTCGCCATTTCTTCAACGTATCGAAGCCGAGGAGGAAATGCTCGCGCATCTAGCTCAATTATACGTCGGGCAATCGTATCCTCTTCGGTTTGAGTTAGATTTCGTTTTAACATATTAGCTTCGTGTCGCGTTTGGTCGCCGTCGAATCGATGTCTTTTGTGAAGGTCAACCCTCGCAGACTCACTACAACCAGGTGACTTACAGCTGGAACACCTGCCGTGGCAGTGTCAGATGGGAAGCCAATCATAACCCTTGTAGGAGCCCCGCCAGGCGTGGATGACTTAGTCGCGCTCCCTCAAACCTAAGTTGTCATCTTCTTTCCTTCGCTCCTTAGAGTAGAATCTTCGTCGATAGCACCTAATCGAGGTCTCTACCAATGCGATGCAACCCAGGTCGTGACATCTTTAGTGTACGGTCGCAAACGTTGTAGATACGGCCAAGCTTACGCCATGAAATTTCAGGGTTGCGCTTTTTAGCTTGGATAGCTAGCTGAAGATCGGCTTCTTTGGATTTACGAGGCATGTTGTGGGAGGGAAGAAAAGTGCAAGCTAAGTTAAAAGGTTGAAATATTTGAAAAAGTGCGAAAGTGACTTGTGGATCACGTTATAGTAATCTAGGTTATTAACTTGTAAAATTAGACAGTACTACCATATATTATCTTCGCGGGTAAGTTTTATCTTATTTCGTAATATCGCGGTAATAACCTATTAGCTAACTAGAAGGTCGACTTCTTCTATAACGTACCCCACAAGCAAGCTGGCCACTTTTCCTTGGCACCGTACGAACAACCTTTTAATTAACATCTTCACACATACCAATATGGGATCGAATTGGAAAGAAAGCGACATGATTCTAGCGTGTCAGGCGCTTCAATCGAAACCCGAATTAAGCATCCGACGCGCTGCCCAACTCTACAATGTCCCTCGTACAACTCTAGCTAACCGAAAACGCGGACTACTATCTCGACGCGATACTCGACAATCTAGTCATAAGCTTACGGAATCAGAAGAGTTAGCGGTCGTACAATACATACTTGACCTAGATTCGCGATTATTTCCTCCCCGGCTCCATGGTGTTGAAGCTATGGCTAACCGACTGCTCCGTGACCGTGGCGCTGGACGCGTCGGCGTCAACTGGGCCTCGAACTTCGTACGACGACAACCAGACCTTCGGACGCGTTTTAATCGAAGAATCGACTACCAACGAGCCTATTGCGAAGATCCTGACGCGTATCGCGCGTGGTTTACACTCGTACGAAATACAATTGCGAAATATGGTATCCAAGAGGCGGATATCTATAACTTTGACGAGACAGGGTTCGCGATGGGCTTAATCATCCGAGATGGTAGTTACAAGTGCCGAACGACGCGGAAGGCCTCGTACAGTCCAACAAGGCAATCGAGAATGGGCTACAGTAATCCAGGGTATTAATTCGTCCGGCTGGGCTATCCCGCCGTATATTATTGTCGCGGGTCAAAACCACCTCTTATCCTGGTACGAGAATAGCCCATTCCCGTCCGATTGGGTAATCGCTGTAACCAAAAACGGTTGGACAAAAAATGAGCGAGGCGTAGACTGGATTCAGCACTTTGATCGCTATACGAAGGATCGTACGAAGGGTGTTTATCGTCTTCTTATCCTCGACGGGCATGAGAGCCACCACTCGACTGACTTCGAGCTATATTGCAAAGAGCATACTATTAGTACACTTAGTATGCCTGCTCATTCGTCACATAAGCTCCAGCCTCTCGATGTAGGCTGTTTTAGGGCTTTGAAAAGGTCTTACGGCAAAGAAATTGAAGACCTAATACGGGCGTATATAACCCATATCTCGAAGGAGGATTTCTTTTTGGCATTCTATAGGGCGTATCGTACGACTATAACTAAGTCGAATATCCAGGCAGGTTTCAGGGGGACAGGACTTATTCCGTACGACCCGGAATATGTGATTTCACAGCTGGATATTAAGCTACATACGCCTACACCTCCTGGGAGCTCGTCTGGCGCCCCCTTAATCTGGGAATCAAAGACTCCAAATAACCCAACCGAGGCGCAATCCCAGTCTGAATACGTTAAAAACAGAATCGTACAGCATCGGAATAGCTCCCCGACGACAATACTTGCGGCTATTGACCAATTTTCACGTGGTGCGACGGCTGTTATACATCGGTTAGTTTTACTTGAGGATGAGGTTACTACACTTCGGAAGGTCAATCAAGAGCTAAGCCGTCGTCGAAGGACTAAAAATCGACAGCTACAAGATAGAGGATCTCTTAGTTTACGAGACGCTCAGGACTTACAGTCTCAACGGGATATTGAACAGCAGCTACAGGATGATATACGTGTAAGTCGTCGTCGTACGAGACCGGCCGAACCACGCCGACGGCGCTGTAGGATCTGCGGAGAGCCCGGACATAATGCCCGTACTTGTGAGAATGATAAAGATACGTACGAGGAAGAGGATTCCGGTTAGTTTGAATTATTATTTTTTTAATTTAGTTAAGTTATTGAAGTTATTCATACGGTGCCAAGAAAAAGTGGCCAACTTGCTTGTGGGGTACGTTATAGGAAGAAGTTTTACTTAAGTAGGATTTTGAAGATAAAGCTTATAAAGGAGGGAATAATATTACGAACCGATAGGCTTAATTAATATAAAAGGCCCGTTAGTAGGCCTAAGGTAGATACGTAAGAGACCTAGTAAGGAATAGACCTACTAAGCTAGACGAAAGAAGAATAGACCGACAGGAGGTTACGTAACGGATTACTAGATCACGTATTATGCTAGTAAGCTATACTACAGGATTACTATTGAAGAGGGTAATCTACAAGGGAATAATAAAGGAGAGACGGGTATGTAAGGGACCGGATTCCTAGGTATTTTATAGATAGATAGTCTCTACTTTAGTAATTGATCTAAGTATTAATCTAACCTATTAGTAACGTAAACTACCTTAACGACTCTACTCCTAGTTACCCTACTTAAATACTTTAGTTACCTAAGCACTATACTCTATACGTTAAACACCTATTATATTACTAAAGGATCCCGTAGCAGGATACGCTTACTAGCATAACCCCTTATAAGACTCTTTAGTAGTTTACGCAGCTAGACTATTAGAGGTTTCCTTACATTCGGCGTAAACCGAGTAAAGGCGTTTACCCTATCCTAGAATAGAACTAGTAAGATATAATTAGTAGCTTTCTTACGATAGGGGCTATACCGCTATAGTTATGCCCCTAAGATACTAGAATACGTAATCCTCTTTTATAGACTATTAAAAGGACCGAGGACACGGCTACAGGCTACTATTGTAATACGGCCGCTATCCTCGTGCAGAGACCTTGTAAGAGTAATAGGAGAACTGGTAGTTAGTAGGACTATTATAAGGTGGGTGCTAGGGTTAGATAGCTTTAGGACCTAAGTAGTATCGATCTTTTTAGGGGGACTTTATTAGTAGGTTAAGAACTAATATAGTATAGTAGCGAATATATCGTAGTTACTAATAGAACGTACCGATTAAGTAGTATATATATTTAGTCTAGCTGTCAGGGCACGGTTGTATATACGGGAGTACTCTTAGAGGTACCGGGAGCTTCTGTCGTACGGCGTATATAATAATAAAAATATAATGTAGAGTAGGTTTGATTACTATAATGTCACTATTTATTAGTATTTTACACTAGGTATATAGCTACATTATTGTCACAGCGCTGGCGATTACAAAGCCACATAGTGCTGTATATAGCAGTTAGTGGGACCAAATGTCAGTAACCCTGACATTTCTAGATCTTTTGGTCTATTGGCCTAGGGGCTCGGTCCTCCTCTTGTGACAATTATGTCGTATAAATAACCCCGTTTCATTAGTATCAGGGTAGTCAGCTTAGTATATTTGAAGAAAACCTTTCACTTGAATACAACTTACCTGATAATCATAATATACAACTTCTAGGATTTATATAGGTAGGTAGCTTAGATAAGGTATAGAAAGGAAGAGGTGTGGGTGTATAGTTTCTTTCGGGTCAGTACATTCTTTAGCGCTAGAGTATGATGCAGGGGAGGTATGGAGCGGTTTCCTAGAGGCCAATTTGATTTGTAAAACGGTGACAGCTGAAAACTATCGTACGCCTCTTTCAGGCTAAAATGCTTCTACGACGCACGAGCTCGTATCAAGTCTTGGCAAATTCCAGAGGCCAGGAAAGGAAGGTAACATCGAATCCAACGTTATCTGTTTGGACTTCTTTAATTAGCTCGCTACTTACCCTCAGGCTCATTACCCTGGCGTGAAGAGAATGTTCAAGCCGCGACACAACTTCCATCAGCAAATATGTGGATGTCACTTGCTTTACTTGTGGGCTCTGCCATTTCCGCCACAGCATGCGAAATTCCTGGGGGCACCCTGTCCAACACCATCACCGAGGGCTTTTCACTTCAAGTACAGAATGCATCGTTCCCGGATATCCACAACCACTTTTTGAACATATGGGATTGGGGCGGCGGGGATCAACATCTGTTTCTCAGCCCTGCTGGCAACGCAACGAGCGAGCTGACGCTCATTGACGGGGTTATCACTCTGCCCTGGGACCCGCCACGTCGAGCGTGCATTAACGGAGAGGTACGCCCAAATAAGTCATGTTCAGCGACCTCGGTTAATGATAGAAGCAGTACGAGGTCAAGGACAACACGACCAAAGTGTTCATGACTGAACGCGGCGACCCTCGTGCCGTCTTTGATGTCATCTATGGCTGCAACCCCGACACCGACGCCTTGCAGACTGAACTGCGTTTCAAATCTCGGGATACGTCGGAGTACGGGGGCAACATTGGCACCAGACCGTTCAACGGCATGTACGACTTCCGATGGACGCCTGCGGGAACAACGGGTAAGTCCTTCACTTGGCATCTCCATGATCGTAGAGCCTTGACGGCCGTTACTTACATTGACTTTTCCAGCGTATGACCCGGACCGTCCTTTCACAAGGGTCACTCTAGTGGTCATTTCTTCCGTGTAGGACGCTTCAGATTGCCGTCGCCAGCACTAACGTGCTGCGTTTTGTATTCACGAAGTTTGCAACAAACCGGCTTGCTACTGTATCACCGCTGTTCTTGTGTACTGGGTTGTTGTGCCATTGACATGGCTCACTTAAAGATAACATTTGTGATATAGCACAAAGCTCCCCAAAACAGCTATGTTGAGCTTGAAGACTTTCAGGTGACTGACGTATGGTCTCTGGCTGCACTTCAATATAGCCGCATAACCTTGGCGATGGAAAATGTAGAAAAAAAAACATGTCGATCGAATACTATCAGATAAATCGTCCACGGCTGTAGCTACCGGGTGAACAGCAGTGAACAAGCCTTCTAACTATGAAGTTTTCTCCACTGCCCGAACAACATCGATTTTTGTACTGTTTTTGGCGTAGAAATCTGCACATAGTGAGGTACCGAGTCAGGCAGCGCTTGACAGCACCCACAAAGTCTCGACGACAGTGTTCCCAAATTGTTCCTAGCGTACATCACGAAAGTTCAACTGAGAGATGACTATATGCAATTTAAGAATATTTGAAATAGCCAAATAGATCACGATTACCGCATGTTATCAAGCAAATACCATATAATAGCAGTGGACTCATCTATTAGCCCTGTTTCGATACGAACCTTACACTGCGACGCACACAAAAGAGCGCATGATACTTGGAAAGCTAAAGCTATCGACGAGAAACGGCTGTAAATCTTATCTCGGTTCAAACTCAGCAAACAACGGAATGTATTGTAGAGACGTCGGCGTTGTAGGCAGGCTACAAAATAGCCGGTCCTCATGACTAGGTCAATACCAAACTAATACAAGATCGAAGTTGCGACTCTGCTAGACCTGGTTGAGCCATCGATTGCAGACTGTTGGTCACTAAGGTATCGCTGCATAGTGCCAAGGGCGAATTAGTTTTGGCCCAACTCCCCGAAATCCAAGCATTGGATGGAAAGATGGCCTAGAATCGAAAATCTATGATGTATTCTGATTTTTTATTTCCATTTCACTCACAATAAACAGGGAGTCTGCGGCTTCTCCCCGACGAAAAAGCTCCCCAACGGATGATTCGGAAACATGAACCTAACCCTCCGTGTACATTTATAAGTATCATAGAAACCGGACTGATATGCAAGCTCGATGATTAACTTTTCGCGGCAGTAAATAGCAGCCAAAAAAATATGTTTTCACTATCCATCTTGGCCGTCGGATTTTATGCGTTAGGTCTAGGTGCAACTTTTCATATAATTAAACAACCTTTCCTGTGCCGAATATAGTAATCTATCGTTTTAAGTTGTATCTGAATGGATGGTCAAAAGAAAATAATATGTATGAAAATGAACACGACAATGTTGGCCACAACCTCACCCCGTGGCCTGGCTCGGTTCATAGAGGAATCCCTAGCCGACCTATATCTCACAGCCCGGTGTCACTGATCCCAGCGTCTTCGGATGATCACGACAGCCTTTTCGGAGAATCCTCATCCGACAGCTCTAATACCAATGCCTTCGCAACGATGGGTTCTGCCGGCAAATACCATCAAGACAGCAAAGAGGTGGATGTGAAGGTTTGTTTGCAGCCGACCTTGACATACTCGATGCAGCTGACGGTCAACAGAGCGAGGTAGCTTCGAATGTCGAGGTAAGTGATGTCGGGATTCTCTTTATTCTGGGCACCAGCTTACTCGAACAGCTTTTCTACGACTTGTGGTTCGTTGCAAACCTGAATGTTTTTGCCGCCGTAATAACCCCGCTCTTCGTTCTCGAGACTGTAATCGAGACTGTAATCGAGACTCGGGAACTCACAAGTACTACAGGACCACGAGATATATGCCGCGCCAAGCCTGTGGAATTTTGTGGGCTATATGTTGCTGTTGTGGACAACGTGGCTCATGACCACGTTCCACTACGTGCGCTTCTACAAGGACGGTATCGCTGAAAGATGCCTCATGGGGACCCATCTCGGTGTAATGGTGGGCTTCACCATCATCGGGACCCAATTCAATGCGGACAAGCAGATCCAGTCTGTCTATCAGGCTATGCCCCTTTTTCTTATGGCCTCGCGTCTGGCGTTGGCAGTGCAGTATGGGATGGTGTTGTACGACAGACATGGTGACATGACGCGGCGAGTACCACTTATAAGCACCATTGCGTTTCACTTTGTAGCTGCTATGATATACCTAGGCATCTCCTTTGGGTTCCAAGAAGGGCAGAACAATAGAGACTTCGTAGTTTGGTATGCTTTTGGCGTGGTGGAGATGGTCATTGAGCTGGCGGCGTCGCGGGTGTGGAACTTTTTGACCTTTGTCGGCACCCACCTACCCGAGAGATTCAATCTGTTGACACTCATCATTCTAGGCGAGGGCGTCATAATCATCGCCAAGAACGTTACCCTTGTCGTCCAGAACTTCTCGGTCAAGGACGAGAGATTTGCTAACTGGAGTGAGTTTGCCTCCTGAGCAAAGAGCAGGTGGATGTAACTTCGACTAATATGTATCCCTACCAGGCCCTGCGCTCATTGGCATCGTAATATCAGGTACTGCGCTGATCTACATTATCTACCAGCTCTATACGGGTTGGATGTGCGAAGGGGAGATGTCAAGACACCGCCAGATCGTATGGGCGGCATTGCACCTTCCTCTGCACATAACTCTGCTACTCCTGCTCAAGGGTGCAACTCAGTTCATCATTTGGCAACGACTCAACGAGTCTGTCACACTGGCCATTGACCAGATTGGCAGTATAGAGATCCCCGCACATGCGACCAGCGACAGCATTGCCTGGTCCTTGGCGAATACAACTCTCGCCTACTTGAGGATATATCCACCAGCGGATGAGTTATTCACATGGCAAAACGTCATCGACAACGTGAGAAATATTAGCAGCATCCCGGACAGTTTCTGGCGGGCAGGAATGACAGAGCCAGGCGAAGAACTTTTCGAGCGCTTCACCTTGTCTTGGCATGAGCTGCTCTACACTGTTATCAACAGTATTTCCAGCAGCTTCGAGATTCTCATGCCATCCCATCTAGACCCATCATCAGACATGCATCTCGTCCAGGCACGGACAGCAGCTGCCATCCATGCTCGCTTTCGTCTTGTGGTAAGTTTTTTCGTTTTACCTTCCAATCAATTGGTTTAGTGACTAACACACCATTGCCGTAGCTCGTGTACTCATTTGTATGTGCGGGTATTACCCTGCTTGCCATGACCACCCTGTACATAATAGCCAAGGACGATGGATGGACCAAGTTCGACGTGTTGCGAACCATGTTTGCTGTCGATGTGGCAATCGGTTTGGGTCTGGTCTGCCTCGTAGCCAAGGACGATGACACAGCTGAATCATTTCTGGGCAGTCCCTGGATGCTTCCCACCATGACTATCTGCTATTTCGCCGTTTTGGTTGTTTCTTATATCCCAGATCCGACGTCCCTTACACGCCGGCGCGAAGGATCCTGAAATTGTCAATTCGGACCACGGTTACGGTGCGTCTCATGTTCATCTATTGTTTGTCATTTACATCTTATTCCATACTTATTTATAGCCCCATCGAATAAGATCTTCTGCTGTCACTTTAGACTACGGGTATGGTGCGTCTCATGTTACTCTGTTGTTGTATACATCCTAATCCACGTAGTTTTATAACGTCGCGTAAGAGCTTCTGACGTTAAATATCAGAAAACATCGCGTATTATGATGGGTGCCGCTTAACGAAGTCGAAGTGTTTATACAAGCAACCAGGAGGTTCTGAGCGGGTTTATCAACCCCATCGCCTCCATTTCGTCTCTGCATTTCCCGTGTCAGGCGCAACCGGTCCCGGTAAAACCTCTCGCAGCAGATCATTGATGTCCTTGCCGCTGTTCCTCACATCCTCCCACTGTCTAGGGTATCCCAGACTGCATTCCTCGAAACGGACACCGTCCTTCCAGTCTGTTCGTGGCACATGCAAATGCCCGGAGACCACGACTTTTGCATTGAACTTGGTATGCCAATTCTCAGTCTGCTTAGTCCCGCACCAGAGGATAAAGCGCGGTACCCGTGGAATATGTACGAGATCTTGCCGCAGCGGCCAGTGGTTTGCGATGATGAGTGGTATCCCCTCCTGTGCCGCCTCGTGGAGTTTTTGCTCCGTCCTTGCCACCAGAGCGTCACACCATGCCTCTCGCGAAGGGTGAGGATCGGGATGAATAAGGTATTCATCCGTGGCGACCGTATCTTCCTCCTCAGCCCACTTGATGGCATCCTCTCGCTTGACATGGGCCGGCCGGAAGCTGTAGTCGTACAGGGTGAAGATAGGTACAACGATGGCGGGCCCACCTGCGCCCTCCCACCGGAAGAAATCGTCCTCAGGTGTCCTCACACCGTGTTTGCGCGCGACCTCTACGCACTCGGCGTACTTTTCCTCGCCCTTGAGTGTCGTCTGGGTCGGCATCGTGTATAGTTCGTGGTTGCCTGGACACCAGAACACTTCCTTGAAATTTTGCTTGGCGGCCTCAAATGCGAGCTCGAGGTGAGCCGCCGTCTCACCCACGTCCCCACAGAGGATGAGCCCATCATCGGGATGCGGCCTTAACTGTCTCAGCGCTTTTCGGTTCAGCTCATAGCTAAGATGTAGGTCTCCAATCGCAAAGAGCTTCATAATGAGAGCAAGGTTGCGGAATCAATCACTTGTTTATCAGACTCGTGCAAAGCAGGAAGGTGCAAGGCGATTGTGCTTACCTCACGTCAGAGGGTGGCTGGTGTGGCTGGCGTGGCTAAGTGCGGCTTAACAATATCGGGTTTCCCCGTCCAAGTCCAAGTCCAAAAGCTTCAATTGTACAACTGTACAACTGTATGGTCATAGAGTTCGGCCGAAACGGTTGTCATCTTCATGGAAAGGAAATATGCTAAAAGTAACGAGTCAATCATTCTGTGCACCAGTCCTACCTTCTCATCTATCTCACTGTCATGTCTTAAAATGAGGACAGAATTCAGAGTGGACTAAATCCTTATTGAGACGGACCAGCACCGACAAGCACATGGATCGAAAAGGATATTTATGCGGCATACTACGAACATTGAGTCTTCAGCTGACAGGCGGATGATTTCTTACGACAGCATATTAATGCGTTCAACAGATACCGACAAAGCCACAAGTATATTATGATTTCATCCGGAGGCTGGCTGCAACTATGCTGTAGATATGTTATTCAGCAACAAAATACTCGCCAGAAGTCAACATGGATATGCCTCCTTTCCAAATACCACCCGAACCCCTGGAGTATGATTACATGGCGAGGGCGGACAGTCGGACTCGAAATAGCAGAATTTCAGGCTCGACCACTGTGACAACAACAGACTCACATGCGGGTTTCAACTTCGGGTTATCTATTCGTTCCTTGAAGCTACGCGCATACTTCAAGGGTACTTCTAGACGTGGAAACTGGTTTTAGTTTCCCTCCTCAAGCCTTTCGGTCAGTCATGTTCTGGATGCCCGTCTTCGTCTCTGTGTGCTCCTTGCTCATGTGCCGCTGTTTGATGAAAGAGCTTGCCACAACCCCAACAGCCGCGATGCAGGTGTACATGATAAACATATTCCTGATGCTCCATGAAAAAGCGTCTTCGACCGCCTGTCGCTGTGTAGTGTCGTCGATAGACTTGGTGATCTCCACATTTGCTGCTGCTTGATAGCCAGACAAGGCCTCGAGTGCAGATTTGCTGAGACCACTGGCAGCGAGAGATGATGCGCGAGAAGCCATACTATTCTGGAACACTACACCACCGAGAACGGTAGATAAGGATGTTGCCAGGTTGCGGATGAAACTCAAGGTCGATGTAGCCGTTGCCGTGCTGGTCTGACTGACTGTGTTTTGAATAGCGATCGTGGGGGTTTGCAATAGGAGTGACATTCCGATACCGAAGATAATTTGGAACCCGATGATGGTTGCAAGGGTCGTATCAGTTCCGAACATAATGTACAGACCTGACCCCAACGTCAAGAAGGCTGTCCCGGCCCAGATGAGTTCCCTATAGCGGCCTGTCTGATGGATCAAAATGCCACCCGTAATATCCCCAATCGCACAAGTTATGATCATTGGTAGTATGAGAAGACCGCTTTTGAGAGGCAAGGCTTGCTTCACGCTTTGAAAGTACAAAGGTAGGTAGTACTCAGCGCCGAAGGAAGTCATGCTGTGTGTAAAGGCAACAACGACAATTGCGTTATTGGACCACTCCTTGAAGATGCTGAGTGGCATTAGGGGATACCTGGCTAGGCGTTTTTCGCTATAGAGGAAGAAACCAACCATGACGATTCCAAAAACGATCAAGCAAATGACTTTCGAACTGTTCCAGGGAAATGTCACGCCGCCGAAGTCCAGTCCGAGGAGGACTAGAATGGTGACGGCCAGGATACAGACGGTGCCATACCAGTCGATAGCCATGAGACCATCGCTTAGCTTGGTACGTGGGTTGTGCAGGTCCAGGAAACGTAGAACCACCAGGAATGTGATGGCGCAGACGGGAAGGTTGATCCAAAAGCACCACCGCCAACTTGCATACTGCGACAAGGCTCCTCCAATCACCGGCCCAGTGGTTCCAGCGAGCACCCAAACTAGCCCCATGGCGCTTATATATAGCGCTCGACTTCGCATGCTGAAGAGATCCGAGATTGTAATGGTCACTAATTGCATCAGGCCACCGCCAGCTGAGCCCTGCAGCGCGCGCCCAGCAATTAACATGGCCATATTCATACTAGCCGCAGCAATGACGCTAGCAACGGCAAATACAACGATTGCTACTAGAACAGCAGGTTTACGACCCCAAATATCGCTGCACCGGGCCCATATTGGACCTGCTGCGGCGTTGGCCAACAAGTACGCGCCACCGATCCACGTGTAGCCTACAGCCGAGTGCATGTCAGCGGCGATGGAGGGCACGGATGTTGCAACAATGGTCTGGTTCAGTGCTCCTATGAATAGTGCGAGCTAGATGGTGTCGTTAGCTAAGTCATGCTCATGGAGGGCCAAGATGGGACATTATACAGAGAGAGCGATGAAGATGGTGTAGATACGCAGCTTCGAGCGGACGGTTGAGTCTTGAGATACATTGAGTGGCTCAATGGTGTCTTTGTTGACAGAACCTCGGTTTTCCTCGGCCGAGGGCCCAACATTTGCCGAAGTAGGCGGCAGGGTCATGATATTTTCGGTTCTCAGCTCCGACATCTCTGATTGAAGTTGGCTTTTCTTGTGATATTTGTGGCTATGGATTGTTCTTGTAGGTGAGAAGGAAGATTGTGGGGGTAGTCGGCTTCAGTGCCCTGAGAAATACAAGGTTATGATTTAGTCTCTTTATAACAACCAATCACCGAGTAACCTGTAGACCATGTTGTATTATATTGCGCCCTTCAAAGTCATGTCAAATTGAGGCGACAGCGAGCAGCCGTTTGGAGCAGCTAGTGCTCGAGACCACACGCTTTTCCGCTTGTCGCATTTAGCATGGTTCTGCAGATTGCTCTACCTTCATAACTTCGTAGAATATATATGGTACTTCTTTCGCGCGCCAATTTTGCGCGTCGAATTCGTGGGTTAACGAGCATGGGTCGTCTGAATTGCATGCTGCATCGACACGTCGGGCGACGCCCTTGGATGTCCAAATGACGTGCAGCCCCGCCGCCCTTCACGATATCACCAGTGTGAATATGCCTGCCGCGGACGGGTTCAAGCCACTTGATACCTTTTCGCACCCTAAGCTACAAGGCACTACAACTAGCACCTCGCCGTTTCTCTATGAATATAAGCGATTCTACTCATTGAATAGAGTCAAAATGAAGCCTAGCGTATTGCCAGGATACGGCTAGGCCGCGAGGCAATGGTACAGAGTGAAGGGGAGTAACGGGCGTCCCCACTGGTTATCACGTGGTAGTCACTGGCGGTCACTATTGGTCTCAGAGGAAGATAACTAGAGCCCGTATATCGGAGTAGCAGAGCACTAGTTCCTCCGGTTTCTTAGTATACCAAGACTTCTTGTCGAATATCACGTGTGTCCAATCGAGTAGTCAGAAGTGCGTAAGATTGTATATGAGGTGTATCGTTCTCTGTGTTCTCTGTTCTCGCGAACTCCCGTTGCTCTGTCTTTTATAGATTCTTTAGAACATGTCGGAGGTACATTGTTCAGGTGTCTGACCCCTAAGTGGACAGTAACTTTGGTGTTACTTTTGGGAAAAGGAGTTCCTTTCGCCTTCTGAACTTTAAGTGACAATAGTCTTCTCTAGTGCCATATTATTTCTGAACCTAGGAACCGATGCCCTATCTGACAGTTAGAGCCACTGGATTGAATATGGCCCGAGCGCCACATTAGCCCAAAGTGGGCTAGCCCCGTGACAAATAGAGCTATATAAGCTCGTCTCTTACGGCTTTTTCCTCTGGTTACTTTATCTAATAGAGGTGTTATAGATCCTATTTGATTAACAGGTAAAGCTGTAATATTAAAATTCTGACGCACAGCAGACAAGGTGGTGAAAACCTTTAAAGCTGCCCAGGGATACTCACCAGAAAGCCCCCAATGTGTGAATGTGTAGGGTGAAAGGAAGTTTTCGCAAACCTCGTCAGATTCTAGTATTATGGATTGCACTTCTCAAATAGTAGATTCTTACACATGTCATATACATCAGGGTGCGCTAGAGTAAGGGGGTCCTATTACTTTCGCCATGATCCGCCATTCTTTCTGATTTGATGGCAAGAGCTAGTGCTATTGTTTACGTTGGCCCAGCATTGGCAAATCCCATCCATTACTGCTTCTTGGTGCAAATGATCCAGGTCAGGTATCCTGTAGGCCACAAGAACTGCTCCCGTCCGCTCTTAATCTCCCAACCATCCGTGTTAGTACCGCAAGTACGCAGTATAATCTCAACCTCCTCTGCGGTCCGTGTTCGCAAGCAGGAAATGATGCCATCGAATACTAACACAAATGGAATGATGGGCATCAAGTAGGTGAAGAATAGCCGGCTGGGAGACCACCAGTAGAAGATGGGCGCAAACAACAAAATGAATACACCAAACAGACAGCACGATATGAAGCTCGAGATCGATCGGTCCTGCAGCTCGAAGATGCTGTCATACAACGTCGTTAGCAGTAGCACTTTTCACTCGGGATGCAATTGGGAAGGCAATTGGGAAGAACTCACCCGAATCCATCGCTTGTCTCAACGGTGTTCTTCAGAATAGCTCTTGCCAGCCCATCGTCAAAGTGGTGGAACGCCAGGTTGAATAGGCGAAACACCTTCTGCCCCTTATCCTTATATCGTCCCACCAGCTCCGGCGGGGCATTCGCCGCGTCGACGGACTCGGCCTCGTAGGTGATGTATGCGCTCTTCTTCGCGGCGCGCTCCCAGCTCTCGACATGCGGGTGCAGGTCCGTGAGCACAAAGTCGACGGCCGAGGAGCCATTGGCGATTACCGCCGCGTACGACTTGGCACCATTGCTTTCGTTCGAGGCGGCACCGTTCTGGGTAGTCGACGATTTCAGATATCGATTTAGAGCTCGCTCGATAAATGGTGTTGGGCCTCCTGCGCCGGCGCAGAAGTCGATGTAGGTGTAATTGGACACGGCCGGGCCTAGATTACGCTGCAACAGGTTGGCGACCAGCGTAGCGGGGCTGCAGGATTGTAGCGGTGGTAGACAGAAGGTCCACGCGTGCATGAGGCCATCTTGGACACGGGCTCGGAGGAAGGGTGGGAACCTGCGATAGTAAGAAGTGTCTTCTGTCAGCTCGCCATTAACTCCTCGGATTTTGTCCAGTTCGGACAAGCTGTGCGTCCAAGGGCGGTTGAAAGTAAAATGCAGGTCCAGCAGTAGCTGAGCTTACCAAGGCTGATCATCAATCTCAAAGAGATGCAGACGGGGGATCCAGGGAGCCATTGCGTTGGATACTTGGCTTATATAGTTTGTGGATGTCAATGCCTGAGTCTTTTCGAGTTGATCAATGCTCCTAGTGCCAGACTAAATGCATTTTCCTGAGGCTACTCGCGAACGACCTGCCCAACTAACTCACAGTCGTGTCGTCACAAGTTATTAAAGGAGATTTATAAAGCCACCGGCTGCCCTGCCTTTTGTTTGTTGAGCTCGGCTAGCGCATCCTGAGACGCCGCAAACTCCCTGAAAAGCTCCGTTTTAAGGTTGTTACTAGCTGAAACGGGAAAATGAGGAGGGGATTGACAGGGACCAAGGGACTACCCGTTAGCGCGGGCCAGACAGGATCAATTGTAAGATTTGAACATAAAACTCGGGATGACAGCAGAACGGTCTACATAAATCACAGTCAACAAGCGTGGAAGACTCATAAGCGTGGAAGACTCATATCAGGCTGAAGGATGATCGTATGTCACGCTACCGATTTTTCCAATTTTTCATAGATTTCCTATGGTTTGGCTTGTCTTTCGACAAATTCTTACGATTCTTCTAGCGAACCGCGGGTTCACTCCAGGCCAATAGAAATCCCGTTGGACTGGCATTTTGACGAAGTGAAGGAGAACCCGTGGGTGGAATTTGATGCTGAGCTCATCAATCTTCGCCTCACCACCTTATCTTTCGCGCTCTCATCATGGGTCTCTTTGAAGGTTCCAGCCTCATCTGGCTGGGTCTCATCGGAGCTTTAATCACCTACCGACTCTTCAACGTACCAAGACTCAAGCGGGACGGAGTTCCACTCAAGACGCCCCCAAATACACTGCCGCTCGTGGGAAACGGCATCCTCTTTCTTCAAGCCAGACAGAAGCTCTTTTCTTGGTTCGCCAAGTGTGAGCGCCAGTTCGGCTACGAGACCTTCCAGATATCCGTTCCGACGTTGCCACCGGGCGTTGTCATCAATGACCCCCAAAATCTCGAGTACGTCTTCAAGAATGAAGGAACCTTCGTCAAGGGGGATTTCTTTACGAGGAACTCTTGGGATCTGTTTGGCAATGGTATCATCACGGTAGATGGAGAGCTTTGGAAGGTTCAGAGGAAAGCTGGGCTGAGTTTCCTGAGTGTGGCCAACTTGCGCGTGTTGACTGATGTAGCACTGCCCAAGTATCTGGGCCAGAGTGTGGAGCACTTGAAGAGGAAGTCGGCCTGCGGCGTTGTAGTCGACCTGCAGACTGTATTTCACGAAATCACAAGCCAGTTGATGGGCAAGATGGCGTATAATATGGAGATGCATGCCGATGACGAATTCACCATGGCCTTCGACCATACCTCGGGGGTTACGGCCGAGAGATTTCAAAATCCGTTTTGGTTCGTGACAGAGATATTCACTGGGGGTCCATTTCGGAGGTCGCTGAGTATCGTCAGGTCATTTGGGCAGAAGATAGTGCAAAGCGCCTCAGAAGATAGTCACCACACGAAGACATCTCACGAAAGCAAGTTGGACGAGGTATCCGGAACCTTAATCCAATCATTGATGAGCTCTCTTGGCGACGAGAAGATGGTGGCCGAGGCTGCATTGAACTATCTGTCCGCTGGGAGAGACACGGTAGCCCAAGCGCTAACCTGGACCATGATGCTCCTCATGCACAACCGATTTGCCACATGCAAGGTCCGAAGAGAAGTGCAAGAGCTTGTGGAAATCATTCATGTATCGGCTGACCATAACGGAGAAGAGGATGGCCCATTCAACACAGCAGCATTCACCCCAGCGTCTCTCCCCTACACCATGGCCGTATTCTACGAGTCACTGAGACTGTACCCGCCGATCCCGTTCGAGATCAAGCAATGCGCAAAGGCGACCACCTTTCCCGACGGTACTTTTCTGCCAGCCGACTCTATTGTTGTGTGGTGTCCATGGGCTATGAATCGGTCGAGGGTAACATGGGGTGACGATGCCGACATATTTCGGCCAGAGCGGTGGCTTTTGGACGGAAAATTCGTCACCAAAAGCGCATCTGAGTTTCCGGTTTTCAATGGAGGCGCAAGGAGCTGTCTGGGCAAGCGGATGGCCGAGTTGATGGCTGTCCAAGTTCTTGCGACAATGGTGCTCGGGTTCGACTTTATGCCGGCCTATGGAACGCAGCGGGTTAGTAAGAGTAGTCTGACACTGCCGATGGAAGGGGGTCTGCCGTGTTATGTCAGGGCTCGAAATGATGTTGGAGATTGAGGGTGTAGACATGAATATATAATGAACGTATTGATGATCTTTCATACAATTCATATCCTAGGCGTTACGTCCTCGGCTGATGGTATTGCTCTTGTAGCTAGCCCTCATTACATGGCGGATTTCTAGCTAAGCCAACGTGCTAGACGTATGACTGGTGACACTTCGCCTTCTATATGGCCACATTGTGCTTCAGGGGTTTGCACAGAGCCACTCATGAGTTTCCGGCAATTTGGTTCTTGAACAACACCGCCTAATGTCTCCGAGACCCGAGGAACTATTAACCGGTCAAATTTGGGTTCTATGAATGGCCAGGTTGAGTTTACGTGAGAATGTTATGATGCAATTATTTATTATTGTTAGAGGTTGGCATCGTTTCCAGAGCGGTCATCATGACTACCTGCTCATGCTTTCTCGATAAACAGAACCCGGCTATCATAATCTCCTTGAAAAGCGAATTGTATTCCCATTCTCATCAAAGTTGATCCGGAGTACGTCCCATTTGCGCCCCTATTTCCAACGTGATAGCTCGCCCCTGGGTCGAGCCCCTGGAGCCTGACCCGGGGGTACGGGCTATTAACCATTGCCCGTATCTGGAACGCGAATAGAACAACCTGGCTGCCATCCTCATCAATAAAAAGTGCGGCGGGCCAGTTGGACTCGCCTGGTAGGTTGAGTCTCCACAGATCACCCCTGACTACAATAGGGTTCACCTTTTCAGCCATGGCAATTAACTCAGGTACGACGGCCTTTTCATCGGCGGGCATGACGGCTGGGTCCAGTTCGAGCCCGAAAGATCCTCCCATCATGGCGACGTGGGCTCTGAAAACGATGGGGATAGTTCGGCCTGTCTGTCCATTCGGGACTGCGGATATATGGGCGCCCATTGACGAGGGTGGGTACACGAGAGATGTCCCAAACTGAATATGCAGCCTCTCGAGCGCATCTGTGTTGTCACTTGTCCAGATCTGTGGGAAGTACTGTAGAACGCCTGGATCGAATCGCCCACCGCCTGAGGCGCAACCTTCCCATAATACGTCTGGAAAGCGGGTGGTGAGCACATCGAATACGTGATACAAGCCCAGCATGTATGCATGGTCCACATCTGGACTACCCGTCTCGTGAATCCCCCTATTGTTGTCCCACTTGACATATGAGATGGAGGCATTTCCCAGGATATTCGAGACAGACTTAATCATGAAATCCTGGACCTCCGGGAGCGCCACATTTAGCACAAGCTGATCTCGCCTGACTGTGCGAGGGTAATCCCTAGAATGCAGAGCCCAGTCGGGATGTTCGTTGTAGAGAGTGGAGTTGGGGTTCACCATCTCAGGTTCAAACCACAAGCCAAACTGCAGGTTTTCTGTTGAATTAGCGGCCTTTAGTTGTGTTACTTGGTCCACGAGAGAGGCGATGCCTTCAGGAAACCGATCAGTGTTGACTTCCCAGTCGCCCAGACCGGCCTTGTCATCGACACGGGGGTATTCGTTACCAAACCAACCGTCGTCCAGCACGAAAAGCTTCACACCGAGCTGTGACGACTCCTGTGCTAAGTTGTAGATGGTACTCTGGTTGTAGTCGAATGCCAGACCCTCCCAGCTGTTAAGCAGGACCGGTCGCGTCTCGATAGCGAAGTGGCTCTTGGTCAGACTGTTTCGATAGAGACGGTGAAAGATACGTGATACACCCCCGATCCCGGATCGAGAGTACGCAGAAACACACTCAGGAGTGGTGAGCGTCTCACCGGGCGCCAGGGGCCAGGAGAGCTGATAGGGGTTGAAGCCAAGCATAGCCCGTGTAAATCCTTGGGATCCCTTCTCGACATCGACAGAGAAAGAACCCGTGTAGACGAGAGAGAACCCCCAAGCTTCTCCTTGGGACTCGGTCGTGGTGGGTGTTAGGAGAGAGAGAAATGGGTTATGGAAATGAGACGAATAACCAGCGGTACTTCCAAACCTATTTGACCATGTTAAAAGGGGGAGGATCTCGATGGGGAAACTCTACTGCTTACCCCTGGGTCCCGTATTCAACCTTCCTTCGAACCCTCATCGCTTCTCGCGCCCAATCACCCCTGAGCTCAATATATCCAAATCTTCATAGGGAAGATCGATGCTCAGACTTGCCGCCTTCTCGATGGTAATGTTGCTCTGCCCCTCGTTTGTGATGTTGACGCTTCGCACGATGGCATCAAATTTGGGAAAGATGGAATAACTCAGATCGGCTGCCACTGAGCTGTAGTTGTCATACAAATGTACAACCAAGGTCGATACCTCATCATCGCTGCCGAATGTCGCCGGCAGGCCAGCCAGCGCAGGCTTTCCCTGCACGACATGATGTGATTGGTACTGCATATCGCTAACGGTAGACCCTCGGGACTGGCGAATTTGTAAGGCGGGAATTCGGAAGTCACCCCGGCCAAGGTCGGGATACTCTCGTCTGACACGGCCGGGAAGGCCTACCCAACCATTGACCTCGGGGATGTGCATGCCGACATTCTCGCCCACAGAGCCGCCGAAGTGGTCCGAGATGAGATCGCCTGAATTTGGGTCCACGTGGAAGCGGTAGGAGACATGGTCGCCGTTCAGAGCGAACGACGTACCGCCGACCACAATGCCTGGAAAAGGTCAGACACTACTTTTGAATGAGTGCAAAGAGTTGGGTAACCACCAGTGGAGGAGGTCTTCTGGGTAGATACTTCAGAGGCCAGAACCGATGCCAAGATGGCACCGGCACCAAAACGTCGAGACCAAGTAAGACCCAGCATCATGTGAACTTGGGGTATTTGACTGAGTTGAGGTGAAGAGAGCCGTTGTTGTGGTCTTATTTATAGTCTTCCGCGACGAACGTCTGGCTACCCAAGGATACAACGGTGCTACTGATGTTTTCCGTCGTGATGACTCGTAAGTATCTTTAAGTGAGGATCAGATCCCCGCAGATCCCCGCTATAGCTGGATGCGGCCCCGGCTTGGATACCGATCGAGGTTAGAGTTGAACTACTCTAATGTAGGACTGGTCAATCAAGCAGCTCTAGCAATCGGAGCTGGTTATATTCCGGGGTAGAAAAATCGAAGAATTCCTTGACTGGCGAGCTCTACTGCCTGGTCGAAGTTGTCGAAGCGGAGTAAATCACGGTGACACTTCGGTGCGTCAAGGAGAAGAGATTGCGATAGATAATCCTCAGTGAGAAGATTATGGCGCAACGAACTGATTCGCACGGTAATATTCGACTAAGGTTTAACTAATTGCCTTATATGGTTTGGTCCACGGAAATGAGAACTATGACGGGCCTCAAGCCGAGGCCGGTGGTTCCGGGATTGCTAGTCCCAATATGTAATTACCTATGTACGTGATCTTCTACTTGCTTGCTAGTGTATGATACTATATAGGTAGGAAGGATGAAGCCGTATTATAGATAAATTCTTAACAACGTGAAGAGATACAGCTGTATAAATGAAGGAGCAACTGCGTTCTGAAGTTACCTTATAAGCGTATATCATTGTAAGATATGTTTTAGGTCCCTTATTTCCCTATATACTAGTAATCGTTTCACCGGAGTCTTATACTACGCTCGGTTCTATCCTGAGTACCCTCGAGTCTATAATTTTCTCATCTACTCTAGTATTAATTAGGGCCTTCCTAATATATTGGTAGCCGCTAATCCGAAGTCGAACAGTAGTTTCTAGACGGAGTAGCTACTCGTAGCCCTATTATGTAACGAAACCTCTAATAGTCTAGCTGCGTAAACCACTAAAGAGTCTGTAAGGGTTTGTGCTAGTAAGTAAGTCCTGCTGCGGAGTCCTCAAGCAATAATATCGGGGTTTGACGTATGGAGTATAGTGCTTTGGGGTAACTGAAGTATTCAAGTAGGGTAATCGGGAATAGAGTCGTTAAGGCAGTTTGCCTCACCAATGGGTTAGATTGATGCTTAGATTGATCACTGAAGTAGAGACTGTCTATCTATGAAATGCCTGGGAGTCCTGTCCCTTATATATCCATCTCTCCTTCACTGATCCCCACTTGGTTGATTGATTGATTGAAATTTAACGTCTCATCACGTGAGACGTGCCGGGCGCAGTGCCGGCATGGTCTATGCTAGTCGAATCTATGTTACAGGGGACTGTCTTCATCTAACATTCCTGTTCAGTGCGATGGGCAGATCTCAGTAAAGAAATTGGTCTCCTCCGCCCATTGACAAAACAAACGAGCTCCCTTGGCCGTGCCTAGGAGGGAATCTATACTATTCTTGGCCATATGCGCTTTTAGATGACCGGGCGTGGCCTTGCGGCCGCGCTTGAAAAAGTAGAAGTGGACTGGTGTCTTTGTCTTTCCACACCCGCAGTTGAGCAGTGCGTCGCGATGCTGGAGTCTCTCGTGGTAGGTCACGAAATCCCCGTGGTGCGACCTCGCTGCGAGTAACCTGCCTAGGTGTTGCCGGGGCAGGCCAAGTTCGGGGGGTCGCGGGTGGATAGCGATCCCTAGATCTCGATACTGTTGAGGGCAGGTAGTGGCCCATCGATCGTTGAAACTCTTCCAAGTGTAGGATCTCGCGATTCTCTTTATATGTGCGAATGAGGCCGGGTGTTGTGTCTTGGGTGGTTGCTCACAGGCCGCTTTGGCCTGGACATCTGCTTCTTCGTTTCCGGGGATGCCTACGTGTCCTGGGCACCACCAGATATACACTTGTCCCGGGGATGTCCAGGGTTTTCGCTCTCTCTGTGACCAGGTTTTGGACAGCTCTTGGAAGGCGGTGGATCCCCACTTGGATATGTTGGATATGTTAGCTATCCAAGCGATCCACCCTGGTAAGTCACGTGACCTGTCGGTCCTTTCCTTTCTCCGATGCAGGGTCCCGTGATCCTAGCGTCTGTATCCACCTGGCCTGCCAACGGGCCTGTAATGTTGGTTCAGGGCCAACGGTTCGTAACATATTATAGCCCGCTATATCGGACCCCTAGTAGTAAGCCGTTCGGGTTCTAAGTCTCGTAATAGGATCATTTATATTTTATTTTCCTATATATCTTATAGTTCGGATATTAGTAAGAGTAATACTCTATTTACCAATACTAGTAATATTCGACGTAAGTATGTTACGAATCTACGATTCTAACCAATGCAACAGGCCCGATGGCAGGCCCAGTGGATACAGGACAAAGAAGGAGGGGAAAGTCACACAGGAGTGGCTAGCTGCAGGAGGAGCCAGCTAGTGCAAGGATCACAAATCACGTGACTTACAAGGGTGGATCATTTGGATATGAAATGATCCAACATATCCAATTAGGACCAATAGTATCCATGAAGGATCTAATGGCCCCAGTTATCAGTGAAGGAGGGAATGGATATGATACGAAAAGGTAGGGACCCACTGGTTAGGTGAATCCCATTCAATTAGATACTATAACGTTGCGCACTGCTGCATTATAGTGTGACGGTCAACCCTCGCAGACTCACTACAACCAGGTGACTTACAGCTGGAACACCTGCCGTGGCAGTGTCAGATGGGAAGCCAATCATAACCCTTGTAGGAGCCCCGCCAAGCGTGGATGACTTAGTCGCGCTCCCTCAAACCTAAGTTGTCATCTTCTTTCCTTCGCTCCTTAGAGTAGAATCTTCGTCGATAGCACCTAATCGAGGTCTATACCAATGCGATGCAACCCAGGTCGTGACATATAGCATCCTCCCCCCTAGGTGCACGCATCAGGATATATAAGAGACAGGACTCCCAGGCATTTCATAGATAGACAGTCTCTACTTCAGTGATCAATCTAAGCATCAATCTAACCCATTGGTGAGGCAAACTGCCTTGACGACTCTATTCCCAGTTACCCTACTTGAATACTTCAGTTACCCAGAGCCCTATACTCCATACGTCAGACCCCGATATTATTGCTAAAGGACTCCGCGGCAGGACTTACTTACTAGCACAAACCCTTACAGACTCTTTAGTGGTTTACGCAGCTAGACTATTAGAGGTTTTGTTACAGGACAGCTCCTGTCCCACGCTGCGTGTTTCCCATTGCAGTTTACACAGCGCTTTCTGCCGCTTGGGGCCTTCTCGGGGCAGTCTTTTTCGCCCCCTGGGTGTGCCGTCGCGGCGCATATACCGCAACGTTTCGTCTTCTTACAGTGCTTCGCTATGTGGCCGTATTCGTAGCACTGGTAGCACTGTCGGACCCGGAGATTGCCGTCGTACGGCTCACAGTCGAATATCTGGGCCTCCCAAATAAGTCCCTCAGAGCACAGCTCCATCGCCGCCTCGACGCTGTCCAGGTGTAGTATCAGAGCCGCGTATGGTGCCTGAGGCGCCCGGGGGAGGTTTCTTTTAGCCCTAGAGAGGTGCTTCGTATTATCTCGCTTTAGGTCCTTGAGTAGTTGCTTCTCGTCATGGACCTCTCGTAAACGTTTCGTGTAAGATAGGACACCTGGTTCCTAGGTTCAGAAATAATATGGCACTAGAGAAGACTAGTGTCACTTGAAGTTCAGACGACGAAATGAACCCCTATTTCCGAAAGTAACTCCGAAGTTCGGGGTCAGACACCTGAACAATGCACCTCCGACATTTCCGAAAGAATCTATAAAGGGCAGAGCAACGGGAGTTCGCGAGAATAGAACACAGACAACAATACACCTTATTCATAATACAATCTGATGCACTTCTGACTACTCGATTGGACACACGTGATATTCGACAATAGCAGGCCGGTATTAGACCTACCCCGGGAAGGAGGAACGATACTCTAGGAATAGAGAGGTTACGGGACTTAGCTTACTAACCTATTATAGTAAGCGAACCTTTTAGTACTTGCGACCTAGACTCTAGTAACTAGTAAGCTAGAAGGACCTACCTAGTAGTCTAGTATAGATTAGTAAAGGAGAGATAGATATATAAAGGATAAGGTCCCTAGGTATTCTATAGTTTGATAGTCTCTATTTTGGTAATTAATCCAAGTATTAATCTAACCTACTAGTAAGGTATACTGTGACGGGCTCACTGCGAAACTATACAGCTCAACATGCCAAATACTGTTAATTATCTAACTGAGGAGGAAAGTAAAATAAGCGAGTTTTCCGAGAACATAAACCATGTTTTTATATGCCCTCGATGGTTCCTTTGGTGGATCCGGACGCAAGGTTCTTGCAGCTCCGGATCCCATTTCAGGCACAGCCTCTCACATATACTACCTTAACGACTCTATTCCTAGTTGTTACACGCAAAGGTGATCAAAGATTTGTCAGGTTGTAAAAGCATGACATCCTATCTAGTCCTATGGAGCACGAAGGTTGGACTTAGTCCCAAAGGGCTAAGTCACGTGGTAACCTTGGTGGTCTTAGCAAAGCCCACCAAGGTTGCCTAACACTAGTTACTTAGTCATCTAAATATAATACTCTTTACGTCTATACTTCATTATTACTTAAAGAACCTATTAGTAGGGCTTACTTACTAGTATAAACCCTTATAAAATACTTCAGTAGTTTACGTAGCTAGTGTGAAGGTCAACCCTCGCAGACTCACTACAACCAGGTGACTTACAGCTGGAACACCTGCCATGGCAGTGCCAGATGGGAAGCCAATCACAACCCCTGCAGGAGCCCCGCCAAGCGTGGACGACTTAGTCGCGCTCCCTCAAACCTAAGTTTGTGATCTTCTTTCCTTCGCTCCTTAGAGTAGAATCTTCGTCGATAGCACCTAATCGAGGTCTCTACCAATGCGATGCAACCCAGGTCGTGACAGCTAGACTATTAGAGGTTTCGTTATAGTAGTACTATACTAGTACCTATAAGGCTGTAAACTTCGTAAGTAGAAGATAAGGCTCAATAGCGCTTATTAGCCTCCTCTTTAGTAGGATTACTAGCTATATAGCATTGTAGGGTACTACGTGGTAGAGAGTTAATTCTAGATAACTAGCGCTGTAACCTGCCATTTAGAACGTTGATTATAGCGTTATAGATACGTATTTTAGCTAAGATATCTTGTCAGAGAACAGAATGCCATAGGCACCAGTGGGTGTCAGGACACTGAACGCAGGACACCGGCGGGCCGCCGGAGGGGTGTTTCGGACAAAAGACTCCCGAGTCATGATTACAATCTATGTGAAGCTTTGGGATGACGAGAGTCAAGATCCTTGGCATCGCCGACCCTGCTGTTATGCCGGGTCCAAGCGGCGGCCTAGCTATCTATATAAGGACCATCTCGAAGTAGGATAGGGAAGGAGTTGTCAGAGCCACAAGTGTCATCCGAGGCGGGCCGGCTTCCACCAGGTAGGAAGCCGTTTGTGGCGGCTAGAGAGCCGCTTGTGGCGAATGAGAGCCGTTGAAGCCGTTTGCAACGGATAGGGAATCGCTTGGTTGCAGATAAGGAGCCGCTGTCCAAGATATTGGCCGAAGTCGGAGGAACACAGACATACGGAAGCAAACATCCAGAATCCAAGAGAGAACCTCGGCTGGCTATAAGTAAGGAGTCGAGACGAAGGAAGATAGAGAGGGCAGAGATCAATGCATCACCGTGGGCACCCCTACCTGAGACCGCCAGTGACCACCCGCTATTACGTAGGAGGGACGCCCGTTACTCCCCATCACTCTGTACTATTGCCTTCGGCCTAGCCGTACCCTGACATATCTATAGTAGCAGGTAGGGCTAAAGTAGAAGAATAGGTAGTTAAATTTTCTTATTAATTAGACGATTAGTTTGAGGATTATATAGGAAATAGTAGTAGAGATACATAGGGTCACGTGAGTAGGCTGTTAAATAGAGTGGTCGCGAATAGGTTAATTAACTTACAAAGATGCACAAATCAAAGGCTACGTGAAAGGAACAATTGAACGAAATAGAAAATACGATGTCCCCAAGTTCTCGAAAGAGTGTTCATCATTCAACGGAACTCTAGAAATCAACGAAACTTTAAGATGATGCGGAACATGACTTTCTTTAGCACGAGGAATGGAGTCTCGCAGGGTAGATGCCTGGCTTGAAAGCGTCGAGAAATATCGGTTCTCCACCGCATATACCAGAGAAGAAATCTCTTCGACAACTCAAAACTCATTCCATGGTCCCTCAAATATGAACATCATCCTGTCTATCCCAGATGAGAGTCCATTATTCCACCAAGTCAACTGGAGCAATCCTGATGTCTCCGACTGGGGCCCCTAACCACCTCAAGAGATCAAAGCCTCACGAATCCAGCGTAGACCACCTGATTCGACTTATCGATTTTTCGATTGAAATTTTCGAGGCAGGTGGAGAGCAGTCGACGTTGCAGGATAGGCGGCATTCTATGGACATACCAACCCAGCTCAAACCCACGAAGACGGTTCTTCCCAGAAGTCGCATAAGTCAGCTTCAGAAGAAGAAACAAGGGGGAAAGGATGAGTGAAGAGACTTGAGATGGGCGAGTTAGTAATCAACAATCAATATTGAACAAGTTCTCTGGCGATTGATGTTGAACACAATTAACGATTTTTAGGTCGTAGTCAAAACCGAGGGATAAGTATGCACACTGTGTCTGGAGGTTCCGCCATTCCAGCCCCCTTTGCTTCTGATATTGACTGATGCCTTCGCACTTGATACTCTCAGCTAACGTCGTCCAAGATAAATACTAAGTAAACGAGCGTCTAGCTATGCATACCCATCTCAGATGGCTTTAACCTGCCTAGTGAATCTCGGAATCTGCTTTGTAAACCTCGCCGGATCATCCCGTGCCCCCTCCTTCCAGTACTCGTATTCGATCCAAGCATTCTCGGGCATCTGCTTCTCCATAGCAGCCATCCAGTTGCCCAAATCAGGAGAAAGTGGTATGACGCCGGTTTCCAATACGTACTGATCCCACAGCTTGACCAACTCCTTCAACCTCTCAGGTTCTTGCTCGGAAATATCGTGGACCTCCCCCGGATCCTTAGCGAGATTGTACAACTGCCAACGCTCCGGTCCCTTTGGCTTCGGGATGAAGACGATCTTCCAGTCACCCTTGCGGCACGCAGCTCGGCCGCACGTTTCCCAGCCGTTGATGAAGTCTTTCTCGTGGATCGTCTCGGCCTTGTTTTGCAGATAGGGCACCATTGACTTGCCTCGCATGCTGACGATTTCCCGTCCCTGATACGTAGGTGCGGGGTGTTTCACACCTGCCATCTCCAGGATCGTTGGGGCGAGGTCCATGACAGTTGCGAACTGGTGTGTTATACTATTCGCTGGCACCTTTCCATTGAAGTTGGTGGGAGGTTTCATGAGGAATGGGACACGAACGCCTCCCTCGGTCGTATAGGCCTTGTAAAGCCGGCTCGGTGCTGTGGCAGCTTGAGCCCAGCGAGGGCCGTACCAAATAAAGGAATCCCCATTGCCCAGGTTATCAAGGTGGTTGTTGTAATACTTTTTGAGATGCTGGATCATGGAACCTTGCACGATGGGGTATGCTTCGTATGCCGCCCCCTCGGCACCATTGTCCGAGAGGAAGCAGACAAAGGTGTTGTCTAGTTCGCCAATTTCCTCGAGGTAGTCAACGACTTTACCCACGTTTTCGTCTATGGATTCGACCATGCCTGCAAACACCTCCATTGCCCGACAGGAATTGGCCTGATCCTCAGCACTCATCTCGTTCCATTCCTGGACCTCTTCTGCTATGACAGGGTGCGGTTGCACGTCCTGAGCTACCATGCCCAGATCCTTTAGTCGCTGTAGACGTTTGGTCCGCAAAGCGTCAGGGCCATCATCGTAGACGCCACGGTACTTCTTAATCTTTTCCTGGGGTGCTTGCAGTGGCCAATGAGGTGCCGTGAAGGGAAGATAGCCAAAGAAGGGTCGGTCATCGCCCCCCTCTTTCCACTCCTTGAGATACTGCAACATCTTGTCACCATAGCCATTCGAGGAGTACCATCCCTCGGGTAGCTTTTTGACGTATGCTCCGTCTTCGCTATGCAGCGCGATGTAACTCATCGTCATGAACTCGGGGATATTGTCCACGTTTTCCAGCTGCGGCTCATAGGCATAGTGGTTGCTGCATGCCGGCAGATGCGCGAAGCTTCGCTCGAAACCTCGGGCTTTGGGAGACCGTTCAGGGGTCAACCCTAGATGCCACTTTCCCGCCATTAAAGTCAGGTAGCCGGCATCGTGTAGAAGCTCGGGCAGAGCAGCCACTCTCTCGTTCAGGTATCCCTCGTATCCTGGCATACCACGCTGCACAGACGTTGACATGGTGCCGTTGGGATCATTCTGGCCAGATATGTTTGTCCATTCAATCAGATTTCCCAAGCCAGCGATGTGGTGGTCGGTGCCTGTCATAATCATGGCGCGTGAGGGTGAGCAGGCAGCCGCCGCATGGAAATCCGTGAAGCGAATACCATTCTTTGCCAATTTGTCAACGTGAGAGGTATTGATCTCACTGCCAAAGCATTTTATATCGGAGAAACCCAAGTCATCGGCCAGAGCAATCAAGAAGTTTGGTCTTTTGCTGGTTGCCATGATTTGGTGAATTGAGAGTATGAACCTGTTGAATACAAGTCCTGATAAATGATGAAAAGTTTATTACTTTCACACCACCGAGATACTGAGCAGTGAGTTGTTGAAGCAGTAAACTAGGTCCAAGTTGATTACCCGACCCCGCGCAAAGCTTTCAGTATAGCATGCTTGGGATACCTAATGTAGCTCCGTCTTCAAACCCACTCATAATACAATAATGTACATCCATGACATTATTGACCACACTATGGCTCAGTAACTGTGGTTCCTAACAGTTCATATTCTATCAGCCCATCGGCCATCCCGCAACGCAGGAGCTGTCTGTTGCAATCTCGACCGGCTCTGATTCGCCATTTGTCAAGCTCATGTAGAACTGGACGAGGCGCAATGTGCCGATCACTGAAGCTCCCAAGAAACGTCATCGGGGCCCACATGACATCTCGCCCCCTCACAATCTTTTGGTTTCCCCCGCATAACATGGTTGTTTACGGAAGTCGGGCAGTCGATCGCAAAGAAGGATCATTGGAACTGCTTCGAACGGCCTCGATGAGTGTTGCAACATGGGGCACATCACGTTTACACGCATCATCTCATGGTAGAAATATCGTTGCAGTCCTTTACGATTAGCTTTCAGATCAAGTCCAAGTAATGGCAAGTTACACAGAACTCGAGGAAACCAGTTAAAGCCGATGGAGGAAGCACAGTCTTTACTGAGACCATCCAGCGACTCTGAAAATCTCGATCAACGTCGGCACTCGATTGTCAAGATGAAGGGCACCACATTGGGAAAGGTTCGCGCCTACTGGCTGGGGTCGGTGGTGTGAATTGGGGACTTCTTGGGTATGACAGCCGTATGTGAGTACCGTTTCCCCAATTACTAAACAGATATTTAAAAACCTTGTAAACGGGATGAAACGCTGACTTGTGGCGAATGCAATGTTGGTCAGTTCTGCTACAAAATGCAGCGAGACGCGCCCATACTTCAACTAACCACAACACAGGTGGCGTCTTAACAATGTTTTCATTCGAGAGAGACTACCGGTATGATGCAGGGGATATCACTCGAACTAGCTTGCTGTCGGTCGGTCTGCAGCAGTTGGATGCCTTCGTTGCGTGTTTCCTAGCTTGGCCCATGACCAATAAGCTCGGCCGAAAGAAGTCGCTGATGTTGTCTTCACTGGTATTCTGCATCGGTGCATTGATACAAACAGTCAACACTCGCTCCCTGGTTGCATTTTACATCGCCAGGGTCATTGTTGGCTTGAGACTCGACGCCGCCATAGGTTTGTGCCCATGTTCAATAGCGAGATGATGCCTAAAGAGATGCGCGGCAAGGTCGGCTCCTTTTTCGAATGGATCTTTTGGGATTTTTGCGTCGTACTGGGTGGACTAAGCCATTGCGAAGACCATCCCTAATTCGGATACCAAACAGTGGCAGATTCCCATTGGGTTGCAGCGTGTGCGGGGGTACTACTCGGCATTAGGATGCTGGTGAGAAGAGGCCGTCACGATGAAGCTTGGGTTTCGCTACAGTGGATTTGTGCCGATAGGTCGGAGGCTACTCAGAAGGAGATGGAAAATATACGTCTCGGTGTGGAAATGGAAGCGAGAGAGACAGAAGGCTTCCAGTTTAAAGGTGGGTTATGAGCTCCTGCCTGTCGTATCTGAGTCGAGGTAATACTGACACACAATCAAGAGCTCCTTCAAGCCGACAACTTCAAGCGAGTCTTTGCTGCTTTCGCCATCTTCACAGCACAGTAGGCTACTGGTACCACTGCCTTCGCCTACTTCGGTTCCTAGTATTTTAAGCTTCTTGTTGATAGCGGTGATCGCAACCTGCTCCTGATAGCTATATTCGGAGCTGTCAAGGTGTTGGCCTGTGGCTCATTTGTCTTGTTTTTTTCGGAGCGACTTTCTCGCCGTCAAGTCCTCGTCGGTGGAGCTGTGTTTATGGCAGCCTGTTAGATTACCACGGCTGCCGTCGTCAAGGTAAAAACTCCTCTAAGCACCGGCGAACCAGCTCTCATCTACCTCTTCGTTGACTTCTACAACTTCAGTTGGGGCCCCATGCCCTGGCCCTACGTGTCCGAGATCTTCCCGATACGTATTCGCGAACCCGGAGTGGCTATTGGTGTTGCATCCCAGTGACTCTGGAACTTCGTCTTCAGTCTTACAACCCCTTACATATGATGACCAGCATGGGTTGGGGCACTTCTTTACTTTGAGGCATCTTCGACGCCCTCATTGCCATTTGCATCTTCTTCTTCCTCAAGGGAACCAGAGGCTTGTCGCTCGAGATTATTGTTCATCAACGCTTCAAGAAGAGCGCTTCCGCCAAGGATGTGGAGCATGCCCGAACCATTAACGAATAACGACGCCAAGTCGCTTGATGCAACATTCGAGTATGCTAGCGAAGCGTTCTAGTCCTAGCAGAATGAATATCAACCTGTCCAAGATTATCGGCCTAGTACCCACCGAGCTGATGACGAATACTTCTACTTGTTTACCTTGGGTTTTATCCGGCAGGGACCATGTCACTGCACACTAGAATTGCGGGCACTGCGGGGTGCTTTGATGTTGTCGGTTGGGGTAGGGCACCGTGAAAGTCTTCATAAATCGAAAGGCCGCTGTGATTGGCATTGGAAGCTGCTGTATCGAATAGAGAGTGCTTCGTGAATAGTCTCAACATGGCCTACTACGTTCCCTTCTTTGTAGCGACTTTGGCTCTTGTTGGGCTGAGCGACGGTCGCCAGAACTCGACATTTTCCAATCCTATTCTACCTGGCTTTCACCCTGACCCAAGTTGCATTTTTGTGCCTCAATGGGATGACACCTTCTTTTGTGCATCGTCCAGCTTCAACGCTTTCCCAGGAATACCCATCCATGCCTCCAAAGACTTGAAAAACTGGAAGCTGATTGGTGCGTTCTGTTCGCCAGGTGATGCCACGAGGCTAATGAATGCCAGGCCATGCTCTCAACCGCCGTGAACAGCTTCCAGAGCTTATGGAAACAAACAAGTCAACCAGGTAAGTCGTTCCTGGCTAGAATGGTATCATGAAACACACCTTCTCAATTGTCTCAGCGGCATATGGGCCCCAGCAATTAGATACCACGAAGGAACTTTCTATCTGGTCACTACCCTGGTAAACGACGATCGACTAGCGAATGATGCTTCCAGATGGGACAATGTGAGAAACCTGGACGTCCGTCGATATTGGCTTGCGTTGCTAGAAATTTGCAGGTCATATTCAAAGCGAAGAACCCGTACCATCCTGCATCTTGGTCTAAAGCCATTCACTTCGAATTCGAGGGGTATGACACGTCTCCCTTCTGGGATGTAGACGGCAAGGCATATGTAACCGGCTCTCACGCATTTCATGTATTGTAAGTCTCTTCGGCCCCTCGAGTGAGCACGTGTGCTTATGAGTTGAAGCCCTGGAATCTAGCATGCCAGAGCAAATCTTGACACGGGCGAAGTCGGACAATGGATTACCCTGTGGAATGGAACAGGTGGGCCCGTATGATTTCACCTCCTATTCGTCTCTGTTGTAGATTTCTGAATTTTCCATAGGCACCAGAAGGACCTCACTTGTACCACAAAGATGGATATTATTACCTGCTTATTGCCGAAGGTCAGTGGAATCTGGCAGAATTTCTGCCGCAAGGGTCCATTAGTAGATGCTGATATACAGTATTTGTTCAGGGGGCACGGGAATCCTTCATATGGTGACGATGGCAAGGTCAAGGAGTATGAATGGTCCATATGAGCCGGCACCGTCGAATCCACTCTTGACTAATGCAAATACAACAAATTACTGCAAGTCATAAGTCGATTTCTCTAGACTATCAACCCAAGCTAATACCATCTAGTCCAAACTGTAGGTCACGCAGATATCTTCCAAGACGCGACTGGAAACTGGTAGGAACTAAACCCTTCTTGTTATATTCATGAGTAGTTGACTCTTGCAGGTGGGGTGTTGCCCTGTCCACACGATCAGGCCCCGATTGGAAATATTTCCCCATGGGCCGGGAGACTGTCATGACCCCCATTACGTGGGAAGAAGGGCAGTTTCCCATATTTTCCCCAGTGAACGGTGAAATGGGTGGTTGGTCCTTTCCGCCGAGAAACGTGGATATCGATGGAACAGGGTCAGTACCTTTTATTTTCTTTTCTTCACGCCCAAGAAATATGACTAACGCCATGGAAGGCCATTCATTACAGAGGGAGACGACATCAACTTTGAGCCTGGCTCTAGTCTGCCTGCCCATTTCACCCACTGGAGATTTCCAATTTCCGAGTCGTACACGATATCCCCGCCAGGTCACCCAAACGTATTGCGGCTTGGCCCATCCAAGTTGAACCTGACTGCATTGAACGGTAATTATGTCGGCCCCGCCGGTCAGACCTTTGTAGGTCGTCGACAGCAAGACACGCTATTCACCTACAGTGTCAACTTAGACTTCTCCCCAGGCGCAGCTGAGGAAGAGGCCGGGGTGTCGGTGTTCTTGACACAGAATCACCATCTAGATCTAGGAGTAGTGATGCTACCAGCAAACAGAAGCACAGCACCTTTCCCTGGAACAAACAATACAGTGCCCAGCGATCCCACAGAGCTGATCCCCCAATTCAGGTTCCGTGCTGAGTCTTTCCTCCCTGTTCCGAGCCCTGCCATTTTGCCTGTCCCTTCAGCTTGGGTTGGGAAACCGCTACGGCTTGAGATCAAAGCTAGCAACATGACGCACTACGCCTTGTCTGCAGGTCCGGCTGGTGCATTGTCGGAGATGCAGACCGTTATGACGGTTTCTAATGACCTGGTGAGCTGGGGATTTACGGGTGCGAGTTCCGCTCCACAATTCAGTAGATTGATTGTGAAACTGATGCATCATAGGTACAATTCTGGGAGTATACTGCACCAGCAATGGCCGGGAAGGAACTACGCCTGCTTATTTCTCGAAGTGGAAGTACGTCCCGCAAGGACAGTTCAAAAACTGACTTGGCGACTAATGGCGGAAGCTTGCAGGACAAAGGGCTCAGACTAATAGGTTCTAACACTCCTCGGAGCGACATGGCCAACCGTAGTTTGATGAGAAAGCTGAGCTGTACTCAGTGTTATAACTGATACATAAGAAACTATAATGAACAGAACCCACTTATTAGTTCACAGCTGTATAGTTTTAGCCTCGAAGACTCGATCTACCTCCTCTTCAGTATAATTATCAATATCGATATGCTCTAAAGGGATTATAAGTAGCTAAATATTAATATTAGTCGGCACCGATCCAGACACGACCTGCCGCCGGTTGGAGAGCGCATGGGCTACGTGTCAGCGGTGGGCAGTGAGGCACGGGATGGAGTTCGCTCCTGACAAGAGTGAGCTAATGCACTTTACTAGGGCCCGAGAGCCCTTGCCGCAAAGTATTCGCCTTGGGGACGCCACAGTGTCGCCGGTAGTCTCAGCGAGGTTCCTAGGAGTCTGGTTCGACCGCAAACTGACGTGGCACGCCCATGTTGAGCGTGTTAAAACAAAAATGGCAACTCAAAAGCTAGCCCTGACAAAGCTAGTCAATATGTCGTGGGGCTGCGATCTTATACGGGCGAGGCTGTTATATACGGTGGTTATCCGTAGCGCGATCGCCTTCGGGGCGACTGCGTGGCATACTATAAGTGAGGAACCGACAGGGCCAGCTAAGAGCCTGATGGGGATACAGAACGAGTGCCTCCGGGTAGTCTGTGGCGCCCACAAAGCGACGCCGGTTCGCCACCTGGAAGCAGAAGCAGCAATCCCGCCACTAGACCTCTATCTTAGTGCCCGGGCTGCTAAGTTTGAAGAACGGCTACGGCTTAGCGGGAAGAGAAATCTGCTTCGCAGCGCGAGCGCTAAAGCGTCACATATACTCCGGCAGGATAGGCCGGCGAAGAGGAAGCAGGCGTCGCAGCTACTCCGACCGGCAGGGTACACTATGGAGAAGGAGGCCCGGGGCTCCGAGTGGATGAGTGAGGAAAAGGAGGTCCCGGCTGCCCTCCTCGGCCACTGGAGGAAGAGATGGCTCACCGGAGTAGAGCATCACGATCGCCAGCGACGCGCTATCGCTGAGGAACCGGAGGGCCCTTCGATGCAGATACCGAAAGGGGGCAAGTATTTCGGCCTGAACCGACTGGAGGCGTCTACGCTGTGCCAGATCAGGACGGAAAAAATAGGACTAGCAGCCTTCTTATTCAAGACAGGGGCTTTTGGCGTGTACTCGCCGCTATGCCGCTGTGGCGATGCCCCTGAGACGGCAGAGCACGTAATGTCGAATATCACGTGTGTCCAATCGAGTAGTCAGCAGTGCGTAAGATTGTATATAAATGAGGTGTGTTCTTGTCTGTCTGTCTTCTTGTCAGGGTACGGCCTGGACCGAAGGCGATAGTACAGAGTGAAGGGGAGAAATAGGCGTGTCCCCCTGGTGGTCACCTGGTGTTCACTGGTGGTCACTTGGTGATTGCAGGTAGGGGTGTCCACAGTAGTTCATTGATCTCTCCCCTCTCTATCTTCCTCCGTCTCGACTCCTTACTTATAGCCAGCCGAGGTTCTCTGTTGGATTCTGGATGTTTGCTTCCGCATGTCTGTGTTCCTCCGACTTCGGCCAACATCTTGGATAGCGGCTCTTTATCTGCAACCAAGCGATTCCCTATCCGCTGCAAACGGCTTCAACAGCTCTCATTCGCCACAAGCGGCTCTCTAGCCGCCACAAACGACTTCCTTCCTGGTGGAAGCCGGCCCGCCTCGGATGACACTTGTGGCTCTGACACTTCTGTTCTCGCGAACTCCCGTTGCTCTGCCTTTTATAGATGCTTTAGAACATGTCGGTAACTTTGGTGTTACTTTTGAGAAGAGGGGTTCCTTTCGCCTTCTGAACTTTAAGTGACAATAGTCTTCTCTAGTGCCATATTATTTCTGAACCTAGGAACCAGGTGCCCTATCTGACACATTCACGTTATAGAAATTAGATTTATAAAAACAGTCCAGTAGTCAGCGGGACTATCACAAGGTGGCTACTCAGAACTGGCCGGATAGTGCTTAGGCCCGGATAATATCGATCTTCTCAGGGGGACTTTGTTAGTAGGGTGTAACTAACATAGTATTGTGGTGGACGTAACGCAGTCGCTAATAGAGCGAACCTACGTAGCAGCGTATGTATTTAGTCCAGCCATTAGGGCACGGTTTGACATACGGGAGCACTTGTAGAGGTACCGGGGGCTTCGAGCCTACGGCGTATTTAATAATAATATAAAAACAGTACGTAGCTTAATAATAAATCACGTTATAAGAATTATAAGATATAGTTATAGCTATATATTAGGGAAGGTAAGTACGGTTAGTGTCCTCGGGCAAGTTGGGCCTTACTTGTGGGATATCATTGTAAGTATATTCCCCGGATTTGTTGTAATTTTTCAAGATGATTCGTCCGAAACCAATAATGACGAGACGACGCGATTTATACTATTTGATTACATGATCTTCAAAGGCCCCGTGGTACTTTACAGACGCAACTTTACTCGTAGGGTTTACTGTAACGGCCTGTTGACGCTGTCGGGAGCTACCCTGCACTAGACCCCGCATAAGATTTGACGATACCCTGTAGCGCATCCCGCAGCCCCCACTTTCCCGACCAGCTCGCTCGACCCAAATTTTCTGAATTAAGCCTGGGACTTTCCAACAGCCCTGCCGACAAATGCCAAAACAACAACAACAACAACAACATGGCCAAACGAAAGCGCGAGCCGTCCCTGCAGGAGAACTTGTCGAGATGGGAACAGAAACTAATGCAGGCACTCAAGACTGCCAAGGGCTTTGAACGGCAGCGCCTCAGCAAGCGCATACGCGATCCTACGACTACGCCAGAGAAGATCGAGCGACTGGAACGTGAAGTAGTGGTGTTGAAGAGTTTAGATTTGCACCAAGCCTCGCGAGCGCACATCTGCTCTTCGCTACTTAAGATCAAGGGAATTGCCGAGTCGCCGAACCTGCCCGAGTTTATCAGACCGGTTTCGAAGCCCAACTTACCAGTAGAAGAATCGACGGCTTTGCACAATGTTACCTCGGCCCTCTACAATCGGAAACAAGTGAGGGATATCATTGAAGAGGCTGTAACAGGGGTCTCTCAAGCATTGCGAGTGCCTCTGTTGGGCAAGAAGGGAAAGGGAAAGAGCAAGACTCGACAAGAACCAGACGAGCAGGTGAATGACAGGCAAGGCAGCATTGGGGAGGACAAGATGGAGGGTGACGCTTCTAAGAGGAGGAAGCTAGATGATAGAAATACGAAGTCACAACTCGGCAAAGAGGAGGAGTCTTGGTCAGGATTCAGTGACGAAACCCGGGGTGATGTGTCCGGTAACGAGGTAGAAGAGAGCGCACTCCCCCGGTATGAGGGTGCTCTAAGGAGCCAAAAGAACAACGACCCAGACGATAGCGAAAGCGAGGACAATAGTTTTGCGGAGGAAAAGGCCTTTCTGCGCTACGACTGCCTTCTTGGGAACTCTGCCGACGAAAATTCTAGCGAAAGCGACGGTGAAGCTGAGGACCTGCAGATTAGCCGCGTCCGATCCATACAGAACACTCGAGCTGAAGACTGGTCCGGTGGATCGTCCGACGATGAAATGTACGGAGACTCGGAATCGGATGAGGAGCAGGAGCAGGAACAAAAGGAGGAGGATGGGAAAGATTCCGATACACCGCCGCCGCAAAAGACAAGGCCAAAAGCCTCCAAAATGGCCCCCACAAGTACTGGAAACTCCACCTTTCTCCCTAGTCTGTACTCTGGGTATATCAGTGGCGACGAATCCGCCTCAGATGTGGACGTAGCTCCCGTAAGGAAGAATCGACGTGGCCAAAGAGCTCGACAGGCCATCTGGGAAAAGAAGTACAAAGAGCAAGCGAAGCACGTACAAAATCAGAAGGAAAAGAACGCTAGGGACCAGGGATGGGACATGCGCAAAGGCGCCGTGGGCGAAGACGAAGGCCCCTGGAAGAAGGGAATCCAGAACCCCTTCTCGAGTAAGGCAGGCAGACCGCAGAATGGCCCTGAGCCGCGAAAGGTAGAGTCGGGGTCGAATGGTTTGGCTCTCGGCGTCAACCGCAGAGATGTCAAGTCCCAGGAGAAGCCGAAACCAAAGCATGACAACCTGGGTGCTCTGCATCCGTCTTGGGAGGCTGCCAAGAAAGCCAAGGAGGCTGCCCAAAAGGTCGAGTTTAAAGGCAAGAAGGTTGTTTTTGACTAGTTTTCTGTACTATGAATAAAATGTACGAAGAGTGACATCACTGGCAAGCTCTGATGTTCCTCTCGAAGTAATACCCATGAACAATGTTATTCCATCTGCTTATGTTAACTGACACCGGTGGCATATTGGGATGCTTCCACAGGGAATATCCAGTGATGAAGTGATCTAAGAGACGTTATTCCGGTTTCTTCCACTGTTCTTTAGGCTATTGCCCTCATTTCGTCATCCTAACACCAAGCTGTCCGTATCGAAGCAATCTCAAAAAACGTATCCCCGAGTCTCAACGAAATCCCGCGAAGGATTTTGAACACTGGTGTCAATTGATCTCAGGATGTAACTACGAGCAAAAAAATTTTCTCTATCACTCCAATGTCCAAAATAATCGCAATATGGCCCCTGTAGTGCATAATTTTGCTATCGTGTGCCTCACTCCGCCCAAAATCCAGCGCAAAAGTCCATCCCTGAGAAAAGGGAGTCGAAATCAGATATTCGTGGGGAACCTGTGCGACTCAAAATCCGGTTATCCATGCCAATTTTGGCTTGGATTGGATATTAGAGAGAATGAGGTGAAAACAAGGATTTTAGGAGGGGCCATTGGCCAGTCAAAACGGCAGGTCAGAAGCTCGGTTACTGAATAAAAGAAACACAATAAGGCTACCCTTCAGGGGAAGATGATTGGAATAATAGAAACTTAAGCACATGATACCAGTTCCAGAAGAAAATAATGAGTGGGGATTCAGGGAAAGGGGTTAATTCCAGGATTTAGAACAGTCGTGGACGCTTTGCAATGCTGTCCTCTGCGCTTCCTGCAAGAGAGTCCTCAGACAAAACTTTAGGGCACTTAGAAGTTTGCAGGCTCTCATTTTCAGCGTCAGGTCCTTCAGTCTCCAGGTAAGAGTTCTCAAAATCAGAAGAATGTTGCTCTTTCACTTTACCCTTGACCACATCGTCGTCACCCGTCAGATCGATAACCAAAGTAGACTTGGCCTCATCGGCTGATGATTTCTCCTTCACAGGGAGATATTCACGAAAGGGCGCAGAGAGCTCGGTACGCAATAAAAGAAATGAACACATAGGAGCCGTGCGTGTCAGGTCAATAATTGGAGGTGGTCGGGGAGCATTACTTCCCAACGAAACGAATAGGCTGTTGCTGATCACGCTTCTGCCGTCGTCAAGAACCCGGAGTTTCTCATCGTCTCTCGCATCATCGTCCGCAGTGAGATCGATGGGCTGTGGTTGGCGAGACAGAGGTGGTGGTTTGATTCTGGATGTCGTAGGGATGCGAGTCATCGTCGCCGTCAGAATCGCTGGAGTTCACGGGATCCTCGTCTTCCAAATCCAGATCATCGGGCTTCTCGGACTAATCAATTTCCATGTCGTCAACCCCTGGGACTGAGTTTGGGTCATTCCCATTGTCACTGTTGTTTTTCAAGCCTATCTCAAACTAAAACTAGAGCCGGAGATAGATCCTGAGAAGCTAGCTCCCGAAGAACTGCTCGCTGGAGAGGTGCCAATGACAGTCTACAAGGCCGGCCTCGTAAAACAAGGCAGCTATATCCTTGTTATTGTGGGTCGATTCGAAGGTAGAATTTCCCGTGCTATCAAGGTTGGGTAGATCATCAAGGTTGGTTAGGAGTGGCTCGCGACTAGACTTGGGTGAGTTGATTCGTCGCCTGTTTCAGGAAGTTAGGCTCGCAATTAACTGTGATTTATGTTGGGAGAAAGGGATAAAAATAGAAACTTGCCTTCACTCGGTCTTTAGCTGGTCTATTTTTTCAGCGCAGCAGCGAAGACGAGCTCTGAGCTCAGAGTCAGCCATGCTAGACGCATCACACTCGGCTGAAATGTCATCTAAAATTGACGCAGACGCCCGAATCGGAAGAACCAGAGACATAGCCAGAGTTTCCGTCATCTTCATCGGGATTGTTTGAATTATCAAATGGTTGCTCGTCTTGATCCCATCAGGCAGGGGAACGGTGGCACTATTGTGATTGGAGCTTGGATTGCCATCGGCTGGCATGTAGACATAGTTCTTGGACGAGGAGCCATCATCCGAGTACATATCAGTTTCCGTGTTACTATCAGACCCAGCCATCGTGACAGTTGTTCTCAGTGATATCGGGATTGTCAGTGATGGCTGAAAGAGAATATGTCAGCTCTATGAACAGAAGGACAGAAGTCGAGCTGGCTAATTTGAGTTAGCAGGGTAATGTGGGATTGAGCGCCATATGTGTGCCTGAGGTGGTGCCTAAGGCAGTGAAATCGCTTGTGTAGATAAAAAGGTCGGCACCTGCCTACCTACCTTAGATGTAACTTCTCACAGAGCACTCTGAGCAGTCAATACACACATCACACTGCGCATCGAGCATCGTAACCAATACAGGATCTGTACAGAGCCATCATCTGAGGGTTGAATCCCTCAGGTAAGATATAACGTGGTTTAACACCGAGTCGCGCACTTTTTCAACTTTTCCAACCTTTTGACTTCAACACTTATTTCCTCAACAACAACACCATGTCAGTTCAAACCCAAGAAGCCAAAATCAACCTTGCCGAGCCAACGTCGAGCAGCAAAGCTATACGGTGTACCCGAGTCCTCACTCCGTGACAGAATCCACGGTCGCACCCCACGTACCGAAATCTGGCCGAATAGCGCACTACTCGCCAAGATAGAGGAAAGAGCTATTGTTTAGCATGTACTTGACCTAGATTTGAGAGGGTTTCCTCCCCGGCTAGAGGGTGTGGAAGATATGGCCAATCCCATTCTTGCGACGCGGGGTACCCGACGCGTCGGCAAGCTCTGGGCGCATCGCTTTGTAAAGCGAACCCCAGAGTTACAGACGCGTTTTGTTCGCTCGTATGACTTCCAGAGGGCCCTCTGCGAGGATCCAAAGATTATTGAGGACTGGTTCCGGCTTGTATCGAATATGAGGGCCAAATACGGGATCCAGGACTGCGATATGTGGAACTTCGACGAGACGGGCTTTATGATGGGCGTTATTCAACGCTCGATGGTCGTTACCTCGTCTGAACGTAATGGTAGAGGCAAGAAGGTCCAGCCAGGTAACCGGGAATGGGCCACGACGATTACCTGTGTCAATTCGGAGGGTCGCGACATCCCACCATTTCTGGTAATTCAAGGGAACTATCACCTTGCTAATTGGTATACTGAGGGGACCTACCAGCCGATGGGGTAGTCAAACCGACCGAAAACGGGTGGACGAACAACGAGACTGGTCTAGACTGGATCAAACATTTCAACAAGCACACTATCTCGACCAAAAGAGGCGTGTATCGGCTGTTAGTATTGGACGGGCATGAGAGTCATACATCGGCCGATTTCGAGTCTTATTGCAAGTCTAACAGCATTATTACTATCAGTCTGCCCCCGCACTCGTCTCATCTAACCCAGCCACTTGATGTCGGGTGCTTTGGGGTCTTGAAACGTATATACGGTCGAGAGATTGATATATTTATCAAGTCCCATACCATATTAACCACATTACTAAGGTCGAGTTCTTTATTGCCTTTAAGGAGGCTTATTTAAAGACAATAACCGACAAAAACATCAAGGAAGGGTTTCGAGGGGCCGGCCTAGTCCCCCACGACCCTGAAGCCGTTATCTCGAAGCTGGATGTTAGGATTCGGTCGCCTACACCCGTTAGCCCCTCTCTTCCAGATGCTGACCCTTGGGTTTCGCAAACGCCAAATAAGCCGACAGAGGCTCTCTCGCAGTCCGATTTTGTCAATCGCCGAATCGCCAGACATCAGGGAAGCTCTCCGACCCCAACTTTTTATGCTATTGGCCACCTTGCGAAGGGTATAACTCGATTAGCCCATGAGAATACCCTCTTGAAGGCTGAGTGCTCCACCCTTCGCAAGGCAAATGAGGCACTAAGCAAGCGTCGGAGGGCAAAAAAAATCGCGTGTCCGGCAAGGAGGTGCACTTACTGTCGAGGATGCCCTGGACATTTTGGCCCGGAAGGACGCGGAGGCCCAGGTAAAGGAGGACAAGCGCTCGAGGGGGGGTAAAGAAAAGGCTGGTCCGTCGACTGTACGACGATGTAGTAAGTGTAAGAAGACCGGACATAATGTAAAGACTTGTCAGGTCGAACTATAATTGTCAGATGTATAACGTAGTCCACGGTCCAATTGCACACTTCGGCAGATTTTCGTACGCTACCACTTTGACCTGCGGTTTTTCACCACATAACTATGGTTGGTTCTTGGAATAAAAATGATATGATTCTAGCATTACATGCGCTTCAATCTGATCCAAAATTAAGTGTACGTCGCGCTGGTCAGATCTATAACGTACCTTTTAGACCCCTTGCGTATCGACGCGACGGTAAAACCGCTCGAGCGATTACGCGATCGCCAACGCAAAAATTGACTCCTTCCGAAGAAGAGGCAATCGTTCTACATATAACCGACCTAGATTCGCGAGCATTTCTCCCCGATTGAGTGGTGTTGAAGATATGGCCAACCGATTACTTCGAAGTCGCGTCGGCGTCAACTGGGCCTCGAACTTCGTACGACGACAACCAGACCTTCGGACGCGTTTTAATCGAAGAATCGACTACCAACGAGCCTATTGCGAAGATCCTGACGCGTATCGCGCGTGGTTTACACTCGTACGAAATACAATTGCGAAATATGGTATCCAAGAGGCGGATATCTATAACTTTGACGAGACAGGGTTCGCGATGGGCTTAATCATCCGAGATGGTAGTTACAAGTGCCGAACGACGCGGAAGGCCTCGTACAGTCCAACAAGGCAATCGAGAATGGGCTACAGTAATCCAGGGTATTAATTCGTCCGGCTGGGCTATCCCGCCGTATATTATTGTCGCGGGTCAAAACCACCTCTTATCCTGGTACGAGAATAGCCCATTCCCGTCCGATTGGGTAATCGCTGTAACCAAAAACGGTTGGACAAAAAATGAGCGAGGCGTAGACTGGATTCAGCACTTTGATCGCTATACGAAGGATCGTACGAAGGGTGTTTATCGTCTTCTTATCCTCGACGGGCATGAGAGCCACCACTCGACTGACTTCGAGCTATATTGCAAAGAGCATACTATTAGTACACTTAGTATGCCTGCTCATTCGTCACATAAGCTCCAGCCTCTCGATGTAGGCTGTTTTAGGGCTTTGAAAAGGTCTTACGGCAAAGAAATTGAAGACCTAATACGGGCGTATATAACCCATATCTCGAAGGAGGATTTCTTTTTGGCATTCTATAGGGCGTATCGTACGACTATAACTAAGTCGAATATCCAGGCAGGTTTCAGGGGGACAGGACTTATTCCGTACGACCCGGAATATGTGATTTCACAGCTGGATATTAAGCTACATACGCCTACACCTCCTGGGAGCTCGTCTGGCGCCCCCTTAATCTGGGAATCAAAGACTCCAAATAACCCAACCGAGGCGCAATCCCAGTCTGAATACGTTAAAAACAGAATCGTACAGCATCGGAATAGCTCCCCGACGACAATACTTGCGGCTATTGACCAATTTTCACGTGGTGCGACGGCTGTTATACATCGGTTAGTTTTACTTGAGGATGAGGTTACTACACTTCGGAAGGTCAATCAAGAGCTAAGCCGTCGTCGAAGGACTAAAAATCGACAGCTACAAGATAGAGGATCTCTTAGTTTACGAGACGCTCAGGACTTACAGTCTCAACGGGATATTGAACAGCAGCTACAGGATGATATACGTGTAAGTCGTCGTCGTACGAGACCGGCCGAACCACGCCGACGGCGCTGTAGGATCTGCGGAGAGCCCGGACATAATGCTCGTACTTGTGAGAATGATAAAGATACGTACGAGGAAGAGGATTCCGGTTAGTTTGAATTATTATTTTTTAGTTTAGTTAAGTTATTGAAGTTATTCATACGGTGCCAAGAAAAAGTGGCCAACTTGCTTGTGGGGTACGTTATAACAAAGTTATGAAGAGAACTTTAGGTGTCTAAAAAGTGAATTGATCCGAATTGACATCTAGCAAGCCCGTGCTTAGTGCTTCCTGCCTCTATAGATTCAAATAGACGCGTCTAAGACTAACCAAATGTCGTTGTCTAACCCAGGCAAGTTCATCTAAGCAGATTTCTCCTTCATCTTTCTGAAGAAATCCATAACTCCACCAAAGACGACCAGTAATATACCACCCCCTGGACCTAATCTTAAAACTTTGGGCAGGAAGCCCTTGTACAATGCTCCCAGACCTTCTTCCTTAGCGACAGTCGCGCACGCAGGCCATGCCCAGTTATACTTCGGGACAGCCCCAGCAACCTTGGGGCTGTTCTGTATTCTAGACTTGACAACGTCCATGGGGGTGTTAACCATGGTTCCGACAGTTCCACCGACAGTTCCAGCCATGATGTCATTCGCTACTTGACCCTTCTTTGTCTTAGCCTGAGGCAACAGCTCACGCACCTGGAAGATGCAGCCGAAATAGCCTGCGTTCCAGAGAATGTGTCGCCAAAGTGTGCTCTCCAGTCCGTTGTACATGGCCAATATGCCCTCGTTCTTGACAATCTTGGACACAACATCCAGTGGGCCGCTGTACTTCCCTGCAGATGCCTTGTCTTGGAGGCGAATCTTCACCAACTCGAAAGGGACGACTATGAAGGCCTCAGTAGCTCCTGCAGATGCTCCAGTCAAGATTGACAGGCTCTGATTCATCTTATCAGCACCAAAAGCTATTCCACCACCAAAAGTTAGCAATTGCCATGTCTGGGGATGGGTTTCAAGCCATGCCTACGAAGCAAGAACCTTGCGCCGTCACCGCACCCAAGACAGATTTCAGATACTAACCTTTCCGGTAGAACTTGCCCCATTCACCGTTGGCAGCGAACTTGGTGGCACGCTTTGGCGCCTCCATTAGGATTGGCGCAGAAATGCCACGGTAGAGTCTCGAGAAGCTGTTCGTCGCATCAGCCTCACATTGCCCCACTGCACTACATCTCTGCTGTCACTGCTGACCCTTCATTCTTGACAATCTTGCGGAAGCAGTCAAGCATGCCGTTGTACTCTGCATTCGCCCCCGTTCCGGTCTGGAGCTGGACTCTTGTCTTGACGACGTCGAGAGGGTACATGACCAGAATTTCGGAGACGCCAGCAATGGCGCCAGCCGCAAACTGGTAGATAAACGGGAGAGGTTTCTCGGAGGACGACATGTTGGCAGCGCGTCACTGAACGGTCAACGAGGTCTGAAACTTATTAGAATGATCTCAGTTGTGATGCGTCAATGTCGAGCACTTGTATACGTACCGTGAGGAATATGGGACAAGGTAAAGTTCGGAAATTCAATTGCGATGGTGGGCACTAATGGATTAGCACTCCTCCCACCTCCAATTACTTTTATTCACGGTAAATTGTCATGCAATCAATTTTAGGATGGCCCCCACAATCCGGTGGTCGGACCAGCTCCCCCCGCAGTGAGAGATGTACCATCAGCCGTCAACTCCAATAACTGACAAACTCTAACCAGACTTCAAGAAAGACCACAAGACATGGGTGGAACTAAGTTAATTACTTAAGCACTTGGATATAATCTTGATAAAGTATTGGCAGTTCCATGTCAAATTTCATCTCGAAAAGCTCTTCTGGTTACCAAGAAGAAATCTGACTGCATCTGTTTTAGGCACGCCTATTGCTGAGGCGCTCGCTGAAAGTTCAATAAGAAACGACAGCTCACGTGAGGGACACTCTCTAACTATTGGCCACCGGAATCAACCATTGCTTCCTTTGATGTTAACCTGCCACTGCCAAGGGAGAACGCGACTCTATCTTCAATATGGTTATTATAGTTATCTGGGAGCTTGGAGCATTCATCTTCAGGTTCTAATCTGTCTCCGCTTCTGCTCCAATGGCGATATAATTTATGTATTAGCCTCGACTATACACGGTCGGTCTCCTCAATGCCATAACTAGTGTGCACTTAACTTGGAACTGCGTAGCTTACCGCTGTCATTGCCGAGAACGGCGGGTCCATATGAATTCTCCACTAAGTAAGGTAAGTAAGTTACTGCAAAATGTATTGCAGCAAGCTTGTGCAGTTGAAGATTTGGACTTGCAAAACTCGCTCATGACTCTATCCATCATAAAACTTCGCGATATGATGATGTGAGTCATCACATGGGATGGCTACGTTTTATTTAATTCGCCCTAGGCTGTTCAACATGCCTCTAAAGGCGCTTTGTGATTGGTCAACAATGTGCCCCGGTGCACCGAGGGTCGCGGCTTCGGGAAATGCGCACAATAGCTTCGAGGGCATCCAATTAATGACACGCATACTTCTACCCTCAAACTTCAGAACGCCCGATATTATCTATTGTGACTCTCGAATTCGTAGAGATCAGAGAGAAGAGGGAAAACACCCAGAAGGCCGCCGCCCAGAAGAATCCCCTTCAATTGCCAAATTCATAGACTCACCGAATCCTACGCGACTTGCTTACCCCGACACGGCCGACTCCCGAGCTTATCTCCAACACGTGCCCCTCGCGGCGTTCACTCGCATCCTCGAATCTGCACGAAACTAGAACAATCGAATACGTAGTGAAGGAGAATATATACGACAGTGACACATATTCTCCAGGTCCCCTGTCCATAAGCGCTTCGAACCCCCTACGCCTTTAAACAAGCCGTGGTCCCTAGAGATTCACAGCGAGGCGCCCTTCGAAGTGCTTTGGACTGCCGCCTGCCTCTATACACATGAGCCACCTACTTTGGAAATACTACTGGGAAAATGATGTCGATAAGTTTCGAGCATTTCTCGGGCCAGTTGGCTACTCCCAGAATGCTGCCTATCAATCCAAGAGCCCAGGCGCCGGAGTAGGCAGTCCCGGCGCATGTGGAAGTTCACCGCGCGTCGCCACCAAGTCGCGCAAAGTTTCTGCTCACGGCACGCCCGGCGCACTCTTGAAGACCGACATCAATGGCCGGGACCACGCTGGCCTGACACTGCTCCTACGCGCCGCTTCTTCCACTTCACCCAACGCTCCAGCCTTCGCTGAAGCCCTTATCGAACATCCGGCCATCGACCTTTACGTGCAGGACGCTGAATCTGGCTGGAATGCCTTGCATCGGGCTCTCTACCATGGGAATATCTCGATAGCCCGTCTTCTTCTCGACAAGGAGCGAAGGGTCTTTACGGAATCACTTGGTGGAAACGTCCCCAAAGTTCATCGACTTATCAAGGCAAAGGATAATGAGGGGAACTCCCCCTTCGACGTCTACAATGCTACTATTGCATTACGCTCGCTCCACATGGCTGAAGACGAGGTTCAATCTGACGATGAATCCGAGAGTGATGCCACTACTGGGGCCGATGAACGAGGAGGGCATGTTCCCAAGAACCATGGGCTGGGGTCGGAAATCTTCACGTGGGGATCCAATAAGAACTTGACCCTTGGGCTTGGCGACCAAGACGATCGCCAGTACCCTGAGCGCGTCTTTCTTCAACGTCCCGAACACTTAATCCAGTACTTCCACGACAAACATAAGGGGCGCGGCATGGAAGACTCACTCGCTTCGGACTCGTCAGAGGTGCCAATTCTGACTCGAAACCGGCCACTGAATGTACAGGATGTCATTCTCTCAAAGTTGCATAGCGCTATTCTCACAACGGACCCTATCTCCAATCTTTACATTTGTGGAATTGGGAGAGGAGGCCGTCTTGGCCTTGGGGATGAAAACACCCAGTTTACCTTCAAGCCCGTTCTAGGAGCCCTAATGGACAAGAAAGTGGTTCATGTAGCTTTGGGAACAAGTCATAGCATGGCCATCACATCCACGGGCGAGCTTTTCACTTGGGGTTCAAACACCTTCGGGCAACTTGGTTACGTCCTGCCACCTCCCCTGAAGGCCGACGAGGAGCCCCGTGCCGAGACTCCAAGGCAAGTCTTTGGTCCGCTAAAAAAAGAGGCTGTAGTGGGCGTAGCTGCATCTTCGATTCACTCCGTTTGCCACACCGGCTCCTCGTTGTATTGCTGGGGGAAGAACGTGGGCCAACTTGCGTTAATGGACGCTGATTCACGATCGCTGGAAGTTCAGACGATTCCCAGGAGGGTTGCCGCGACGCTTCTCTCGTCTCATTCGTCCATCGTCATGGTATCGGCTATTGATGGGGCGACGACTGTGCTGTTCGAAGACCGGACTGTGTGCGTCTTTACCAACTTCGGGTATAACATGGTCAAATTTCCCTTCTACGATGGCTTCACGAATGCGCCCCTGCAACGATCTGGTAAGTTTTCCCTATCCTCCAGATACGATCCTGGACGCCGAGAGATCCGCTCGATCACATCTGGCGGAGACACCATCGCAGCTTTGACCGGAAGCGGTGATGTCTTCACGATGTCACTCAATCGTAGGGTAGAAGCTAGTCTGCCTGCTACAGCCATGTCAACCACGAATCCAGCAAAAATAAAGGACTCTTTGAACCCACCACAACTCATCTGGAGCTCAAGGAAAGACGGAGCCAAATCAGTGGCCGTCGGCGAGAACGGTTCAGTCATGATAGCTACACAATCAGGGGCTGTGTGGCATCGCATCAAGCGCACCAAAGCCAAGGACACCAAAGTTTTTGTTGGTGGTGCAGACAACAGGCGCAAGGACTTCAAGTTTCAGCGTGTCCCGTACATCACCGGTGTCTCGGCAGTCCGAAGTTCGACCTTTGGCGCTTTTGCGGCAATTCGCAAGGACTGCGATGTCACGCGTGACCAAATCGAGGTCGATGAGCAGACTCTATGGGATGATCTCGCTCCGCTATGTTGTCTCCGCGGCTTCAAAGCCCACAACTCGAAGACGCGCGAGAACAACGACACCTGGAAATTCCAGAACCCCGCGGTGCTACGGGATCGTGACGATATCGATTTGTTGGCCTATCAAGTACTTACGTCGACAGACCTTGAAGGGGACCTCCGTACACATTTGCGAGATTGGGGCTATGTAAATGACAACCTGGGCACAGTTGTGTGTACCAGCTCGGTGCCGGACATCCAGGTGCCAGTCCACTCTTGGGTAAGCCACTTTTTTACGTCATAGTTGTTTGTTCTCTGAGCTGATGCTAGTATTGGAGGTTCTGTCAGCGCGTAGTCCAATTCTTCGCCTTGGACTTCAAAAAGCTTGGGAAGATGGGAGCTATAACTTGGCCGAATGCCTCACTATCAGCCAAAAAGAAGCTACGACCGTGATCGAATTCGCTACTATCGACGTTATCACCTTGCTCAATTTTGTTGTCTACTCATATGTTGATACGTTGATTCCTGCCTGGAATTTCACCCGTCAGTCCCCGCCATTGGCCTATCGCTATAGGCAAATCAGAACAGAGATTATGAAGGTCTCTGCCAAGCTTGGAATGACGATGCTGGAGCAAGATGTGAGGGCGATGCGTAAGCCCTCACGATCGATGGACCAAGACTACAAGAAAGCTATTGAAGACCCGACCTTCTTCGAGGATGGGGATGTGCTGTTGCAACTCGACGGCGATGCAATACCTGTCCACAGTGCAATGTTATGCCAAAGGTGCCCTTTTTTCCAGGGGTTATTCAATGGTCGCTCCGCTGGAGCGTGGTTAGATGCTCGCAGAGCTGCCCTGGATGTCTCAGACAAAGTACCGATTGATCTCAGCCATTTTGACCCGGAGGCCTTCAATTTCGTTCTTCAGCACCTATACAGCGACTGCGAAGACTTTTTTAATGACGTGGTCACGGAGAGCATTGATGACTTTTCTGAGATTCTGTTAGACGTCATGTAAGTTCAATCTTCTACGAGAAACCCCTATAAAAGACATGTTACTAACAGTCAAATCAAGGAGCATTGCCAACGAGCTCATGCTTGATAGATTGTCACAAATTTGCCAACGAACCCTCGGGCGTTTTGTGAATACCCGCAATGTGGCACATCTACTCAACCTTGTAAGTCCATGCTCCGTCACGGAGTTCAAGGACAAGGGCCTGGAATATTTGACACTGTCCATGGAAACTATGTTAGAGAATCATCTTCTAGATGGCCTGGACAGAGATCTACTGCTAGAACTTGATGCTGTCGCGCGGGACAACCAACTGACCCGGTGTCCGTTCGTGAGAAGTGGGAGAACAGAACTCCTGTTGCATGAGCGCCACCCAAGTTTGGTGGAAGACATCTTGGAAGAAAGAGCATGCCGGGTAAGGGAACTTGCTTACAAGACAAACCAGCGAGAGGAGGGCAAGAAGCTGTCATCGTCTTTCAAAACTCGGTTTGGCAGCATGGACGACTTGACAAGCTCGCCACCAGCCGACAAGAGCAGGCAGAAACTGAAAGCGGCGAGGAATGCACCCTTCAGCCCGAACCTGAAACCTAAGGCCTCCCAAGCCGAGCTCATTTTCGATATGGACGAAGAAGCGACTGGCAGTTCCATGCCTCCATCTCCGCGTCCCCTGGAAGGTGGTCTTCGAGCTGAGTTGGACCAATTACCTCAACTTCCGGAATCTTGGCACTCTAAAGGAAAGGGCATCCAAGCTCCGGGTGTCGCTACAGGTTCACCTATTTTAGCAATGCCAAGCACGAGTCTGTCTGAATCCCCAAACAATCTGACAAGGCAAGTGTCACAGGGGGGCAATCCCTGGCACTCGGCTCTACCCACGTCGCGACTCGACCTCCGCGAGATTATGACCGAGTTGAGGCCCACTCGGTCCTCTCTCTCAGATGGTCTGGCGGCCGAGAAGAAAGATGCCGCTGCCAAGGCTACGCCGCAAAAGATGTCTCAGAAGGAGCGCAAGAAATTCTTACAACAACAGGCCGAGAAGGCTGCTAGGCAAGAGTCACAAATACCGCAACAATCGCAAACGCCTTGGGCTAAGGTTGGCGAAAAAGATGGATCACCATCCCCATGGCTAGGCACGGCAGCAGCAGCACCAAAGCCGTCGCCAAAGGGTGTCTTGAACGGTGAGTCAAAGTCATTACTGGCTCCTTCAGGCGCAAAACCTCTTATTCCTGTCGAGACTCGGAGCATTTCAATACCCCGCCGTACCGTATCTCCAGACACCAGATTCTCGGGCCAGAACAGATCAGGTTCAAGCACCCCTCGTGGGCCTAGCACTAGTCATATCAACCGCGGGATCCATATTGCTAAAGCCAGGCCCTCGCAAGCTGCTTCAGTCCCACCTGCAGCACTCGAAAAGAACAAACCCCTGATTCCGCACTCGAAATCATACATCCCAAAGGCTCCCAAACAAGACGAGTCTTTTCTTGGATTGGGATTGGCCGACATTATTGATCTTCAGCAACGCGAGCTAGAAGACGTTAAAGAGGCCGCAGCCGTACGTTCTCTACAAGATATCCAACAAGAGCAGGCGTTCGAGCAATGGTGGGCGCAAGAATGCAAACGTACACATGAGGAAGAGGAGGCGCGGAAGGCTCGTGAGAAGGCTAAGGGAGAGAAGAAGGAAGGCGACGGTGGTAGCAGACGAGGCAGGGGTGGCAAATCAAAGGGCGGTCCTGGTCGTGACCGTGGTGTTGCAGCAGCAAATGCAGGTACCGCAAACGTCGCTGGGGTTTCACCTGGGGGAGGCTCGAGAGGTAAGGCAAGAGGGAATAAAGGAGCCAAAGCATGATTTATAGATTTGGCAAAGGGGGCTAACGTAGTCCACAAGCGAACGGGTCACCCAACCGAACGGGTCACTCCCATAGCAAAAAATAGAACTAAACTTCCTAACTTTACCACGCAACTAATTCTCGATGGATTCTGCTCAAAAAGAATCTCAATTACTCCTTGCAACTCAGGCTATCAGAAATGACTCAACAAGATTACCGCATCGATGGTTGTTACGAGTTCTGAAAGGAAAGGCAAGCCTAAGCTATCCCAGCCTGGCAATCGGGAATGGGCTACGGTGATCCAGGGCGTCAATTCCCAAGGCTGGACGGTCCCGCCATACATCATTGTCAAGGGCCAATACCACCTCTCTTCCTGGTACGAAAACGACGCGTTGCCGAAGGACTGGAGGATCGCCGTGAGCCCAAATGGTTGGACTACGAGCGAATTGACCGCAGATTGGCTAAAACACTTTGACAAATACACCAAAGGCCGGAAATCGGGTTTATATCGCCTTCTTATCCTGGACGGCCACGAAAGCCACCATTCCGACGCCTTTGAGCAATCTTGCAAAGAGAACAAGATTATTACACTTTGTATGCCTGCCCACTCTTCTCATATCCTCCAGCCACTAGATGTGGCATGTTTTGCGCCGTTAAAAAAGGCCTACGGCTCGCAAATTGAGAAGCTCGTCCGAGCCCGGATTTCGCATATCACAAAGGAGGACTTTCTTCCGGCATTTTGCGACGCGTTCAAGAAGAGCCTGGCCGAAAGCAATATTCGTGCAGGCTTTCAAGGGGCTGGGCTTGTGCCTTTAAGCCCAGATATTGTTATTGAGAAGCTGGATGTGAAATTACAGACTCCAACGTCCTCCCGGCCCCCTACGCGGGAAACCCTTCCTTGGGCTTCTCGGACGCCAAAAAACCCAACCGAGGCTACTTCGCAATCCGAATTTATTAAATCTCGAATTTCCAGGCATCAAAATAACTCCCCGACGTCAATTTACGATGCTATCGATCAGTTTTCGAAAGGAGCGCGGAGTATTATGCATAAGATGGCTTTACTCCAAGCTGAGGTCGCCGAACTTCGAGAGGCAAATGCTCTAATTAGCAAGCGGCGCAGGGCCAAAAAAGCACGAGTACGGCTTGGAGGATCACTGAATTCACAAGACGTACAAGATCTTCAAGATCAAAAGGACGTTGCGCAGCAAGTATAGCAGGAAATGCGTGGAAATAGCGCTGGATCAAATCGTGGCCAGCCACGGCAACGGCGCTGTGGCGTATGCGGGAAGACCGGGCATAATGCGCGAACCTGTCAGGTAGAGATAGAATCATCTGGGCAAGAGTATTCTGAGTAGTTTTAATTGATTTACGGCGTTGTGGTTGCGAAATCGTGTTGAATTCCATGTTTTGCTAGTTGGCGTGACCCGTTCGCTTGTGGACTACGTTATGTACATCGTTGGTGAGCGTTATCTCAGGAGTCGCATATATATGGCGTTTTCGCGGCTGCAACTGGCATGTAATTATCCTCATAAACGGGCTTTGGCGGCTTGAAGAAAGCATTCAGCTCTGTATATATATGATCGGTTTGTCCATTTTGTCCAGGTGGGATGGCCTGTTTATGCCCATTTACTGCACGGGAATATTGACTGTATAGTTACGTCCTAGCTACGCTGTTGACTTTGTTGTCTTGTTGTTGCGACATTGTCCTAACTATACAAACAGTGGGGTTGCCCAATGACCCCAGATGCTAGGGCCATAATGACTTGTGCAACTCATGCTCCTTAAAAGAGAAGTCGCTGAGCTTCTGACACTCGTTCTCAGGCCTCTTGTCAGCCAGCGCTCCAGTAGCCCGTGCTAAGCTGGGGAAGAATGCGAACCCTGCCTCTCGTCATATGTTTGAGGATCATTACAAGTAAGGGGATGGTCATCATGAACTATGTAATCATTATTTACGTATTGCCTCCTAAAATTTGTAATATAAATCTACCACAGTGACAGGACTGCTTCGAGAGCGGTTCTACACAATAAGGCGAGATGCTTACAGGTAATTCCCAGTTCTGCGAGCACATCAATGCTGCCTCAGTCCAGCAACACAAACTCCAAGCCTTTTTCAACATAAAATTACGGTTGAAGAAAAGCCAATTTGATTATTCATCTAGAGAAAATAGGTTGTGTCGACTAGACCTGTCTATGAATAACCATGTTCTGAAGCATTGTAATCTTGTCGTCTATTATTCGCCATCTGTTCTAAGTCCAGACAAGGAACAATGATTTCTCGACTACAATCAAGAACAACACAGGTTATACGAGCTCGACGATCTGGAAATAGTAGTATACTTTACTATCTGGGTTTGCAGCATTTCTAAGACGTCGGTAAGTCGTGTACCAAATAAACTCTTAATAGTAACCTTCGAAGGTATCAACCTTGTCGTTTGCAACAGTAGCAACTGCCTCCTTAATAGGTACGCCACCACCGACTACATCAAAAGCCAACCCCACCGTCCCCGAGTCCTCCATTATCGCCACCACCGTCCTCGCAACATCCTCCCGACTCACCATACTCCCAAGTCGTACTTTCCCCGCCTGCACCGTCCCCTTACCTGGCTCTGTACTTAAACCCCCAGGCCTTACAATAGTATACTCCAGCCCTCTCCTCCTATTATCCATCCTTAGCGATCGGTCCGCGGCCAACTTAGCCTTGAGGTACGGCTCGATAGCTCCCCAAACACGGTCACTCATCCTCTTACTCTCGTCATCATACCACTCGGGAACAGGCTTGTTCTCGCGATCCCGGACGTCGAGTGCGGACACGATAATGTACCGCTTGACGCCGGCCTCGGCACAGGCGTCCATGGACTTGATAGCGCCCTCGCGGTCAACGGCCTGCGTACGTTCGGGGTTGCCCCCGCCAGCGCCGGCGGACCAGACGACAAAGTCTGGGTTGGTTTTTTTGATGGTGGCTGTGAAGTCGGCAACGGAGGATTCTTCAATGGACTGTACGATAGGCTTCCCGCCTAGAGACGTGATGGTGTCTGATTGGTCCGCGTTGCGGATGATACTGTGGACTGTGTGGGCGGGCGTGGTCTGCTGGGTGAGGATCCGGGTTAGGTGTTGGGCGACTTTGCCGTGGCCGCCGAAGATGAGGGTAGTTGGCGACATGATTGCAATGTTAGTGAGAGATCAAAATTGGTTGATTGATTGCGATTGGTTGTCAGCGTTTGGGCTGTAGAGGTGAATGGTCTGCGGTATATAGTAGCAGATGGATTTTCAGGAACAGTGAGTTTTTGGGCCTCAAGCGATTGAAGGTGGGCTGACTGACTGACCGGGGAAGGGGGTGAGGGGGTGAAGGCGTGGGTCGAGTTATTTGCGATTAGGTATAAGTACAGATAAATGACGACATGCAGATTATAGGGCCCACCTCAGAATTGGATCGTTCCAAAAGAGGCAGCCTCGGGTGGAACACACACTAGCTCTCGTAATTTAGCGAGACAATGACGGTAGCATTGATAGCGCACCTTGTACGTGTATATCCCTCCAGGCGTGCAGTTTGGTAGCGTATTACAACCTCGTGAGACAAGGTCTTTCACTCGTTTTTAGTGCTGTGTAGAGTAATTACACGCTTGTTCAAGTAAACCAGTACTTGGTCTTTCACACATTTATACGAATTGATCAGCCGCTTAAAATGGGATGTTTCATCCACTAACAATTTGCATGTCTGGAGAGCGGAACATTCGAGAGAGCTCAGGACGACTGAGAAGTATTGCGCCGATCAGGGGTTTTACGGTTGGGGGTATAAGCTACCAACTTAAGGGTTTGGGGTGGCTCAACCTGTTCCCAGTAAAGATGGTGGATGTAATGTACAGTTGTAGACAGAGTTGCCTTGCGTTTTGTTTGACCTTCTATAACCAACCCTGACCTCACCTCGCTGTCGATGTCAAGACTGCAATCTCTACTGACACACCAAACACCTGAAATCACTCACTAACTCTCCCATGCACAAATAGCCCTGTTGTTATGAGTACCAATCACAGCTTCGACTCTAACGACGTAAGTTTGAGTTTCGACGTCAGAGTCTCCTCGGCCTCCTTTTCAATGCGAGTCACAAGTTCGTGACACGTAGGGACGTCGTGGATAAGACCGATGACTTGGCCTGCAGTCCACACCTGGAGTGACGATTAACCTCACAAAGCTACCCGAGGAGATATGCCGTTTTTTCACTTACACCGTAGTCAGGATCGCCATTGATGAAGACTTCACGTCCACGTTTGCCGCTCATCAGCGGTGCCATCTCATCGAACTTGCCACTTTTGCTCTCCTTTTCGACCTTGATGGCTTCGTCTGTCACCTTGTTCCGGTACAGGCGAGTGGTGTTTGTCCACCGTCTCATGACCAGGGCTGTGTCGGTTTCCTGTGCCTTGACGATGGTCTGCTTAATGTTGTCATGGATAGGAGCCTCGACAGTACACATGAAGCGGGTGCCCATGTTGATGCCCTCGGCACCGAGACACAGTGCGGCAGCAAGGCCTTGCCCGTCAGCGAAGCCGCCAGATGCGATGAAGGGCACCTTGAGCGATTGCCGTGCGCGACTCAACAGTATGAAATTAGTGATGTCTGACTCGCCCACGTGTCTGCAGGCATGATTAGCCGAGTGTAGCATAGCAGCCATGCTATGTTAGAAGGTGAGGCGACCACGTTACGCCGTTTCGTAACTCCAAATAGAACTCACCCAGCACACTCAAAGCCGTCTATGGAGAGGAAGTCCACGCCAAGCTTAATGGCGCTCTGTGCATGTCTGATTGTGGTGCACTTGTGCAGGATGATGACTCCGGCAGCCTTGAGTTTAGAGATGACGGGGCCAGGGCTGTTTCCCGCCGTCTCGACAATGTTAATCCCCTCGTCGATAACAATTTGGGCATAGGCACCGTAGTCAGGTGGCGCAAGGGCTGGGAGTAAGGTGATATTCACACCGAATGGATTCTTGGTCATGGTCCTGCATCTGCGAATTTCCTTCCTCAAGTCTTCTGGGGTTGGCTGTGTCAGAGCCGTGAGGATACCCAAGCCACCCGCGTTGGATACGGCAGCGGCCAGTTCAGCATATCCCACATGTTGCATGCCGCCTTGCACGACAGGAATCTTGATGCCCAGACGCCGGGTGAGTTCGGTGTTGAACGGCATCTTATTGGTGTAGATTATCAGCTGTCAGTTGTTGGCTCTCTTGGGGGAATATGCACGTCACTAGCTTGGGGCAGCGACCGGCAGCAACAGGTACGGGGCAGCAGAAGATTGAGCAATGAGGAACTGTGAAAAAAAGGAGTTCGAACGAGACGCGGAGCAGAGAGAAAGCTATCTATCGTAAATAATGGTTAAATAACGGCTCAAGTGGAGGGAACGGGAAGGTGCGAGCATTCCCCAGATTGACTATGTTCGTCTGTTGGAGATGCCGAGGTTGTCACTCTCGCTTCTCAACTCAACCCGTGACTCCTTTATCACAGGCCGGGCAAAATCTCACATTTGCCGCCTTACTCGACCTACTATGTAGCAACAAGACCCACGGGATGGACGACAAGCTCAATCCTGGAAACCCAATTGATCTTTGGCGAAGTGTGCAGCAGCCAAACATTCTAGACGGCCACCTCAAAAGGCATTCCCCGGTCAGCAACGGAATCGATCCGTTCCAATTGAAACCCTCCTTGCCCCAAAATCGGTGGTAAGCTGACTCGCCAACCTAAGCAAAAAAGGCGATGCGTGGCGGATGCGCGGATGACGAGGCTCTCTGATGCCGTGTCACCAACCTGCAGTACCACCTGTCGACGACATGTCAATAACCGCGCTATTCATGATTCTTCCTCGGCCGGCTGCCTGCCACTTCACTACTTGACTATTTGACTACACGTCAGTCGTTGCGGGTGACCTTTCCTGCCTGTCAAGAACCAGGCGCGCGGAATCGGTGAGACCAGATCATTCTAAGACGGCCGAGCTTCGAATCGGGTCTAAAGTTTGTCGCAGGTTCATGCCTGTTGGCCGATCGACTGCTGCTGCCGCTGCCGCCGCTGCTGCTGTGCACACCCAACGGGACGGAAGTGCGTCGATGCGAACTCGGCCCTTTGTTCATCTCCTGCCTGTGCGATGCCTTCCGACGTCTGTGCAAGTTGCCGTCGAACACTGGTCGCCAGCCAGCATCGCCCACAAGTTGCGCGATCAGACTTCTCGCCGCAACCACCCGTTGCATGCGATTGGCGACGGCTCGCTTGTTGTTCCTACATCGTACAATGCATCGTACAGTCCGGCTGCCGCGACGAATGCTCGAGCTTGCGTGGACTGCCCTACACCTTTGTTCACGCAGTGTTGCAACAAGGAAAGTGTGCTTTCTTGGAAACCACAAGCATCGTCTTCGTGGTCTCGCGAGGTGACGGTCACTACTTGAAAAGGGGAAACCGACGTGTCCTCCTTTTCCCCTTAACCGCTGGTTTTTGCGATCCAAAACTAGTTGTGCAGTTGCATATCCCACACCGGTTGAATATGCCCATCCTTCGAATCTTTCTATCTCACTTCTAAAGTTACCTCTATATGCTTAGTCGAAAACCTAACTAGTCTCAGTCCGGTTTCTCGACACCTATCCATCGTAGTACTCGCGAAATGTTTGGCTTGTATCTTATGAAGCGTTGCGACATAAACCCTTAAGATTACTTCAACCTTATTTGCTTTTTTACTTTTATTTTGATTTCATTAAGTTCTCCTTGTTATGTCTGACTGACAAATATGCGGCCGGGATCTGCAATGATCCATCTACGCAAGTGAACAACTTCATGGATAGACGCTGGCCGGAGATGTCATGCTACCCACCTGCTAGTATCCATACAAACCCATCCGGTATGTATATGGGGAAGACTGTTAAATATTGAATAGATCGTTACCGGGGTCCGCGTCTGCTCCACAAACTCGCTCGTTCCCACATCTGGTTTGTGCTTGGAGTACTATTTCCCCCCTCCTGCCTTCCTCGACTGAAAATGCGTGCTCGTTAGCATGTAGACGATGCCGCATCTGCTTCTTGCTATGACCAGCAGCATTGCTGGCTGCTGCCGTGCATACTGTGATTATCCGTTGTCCTCCGAAGCAGGCTTGTTCCATGTCGCACCAATCTCCCGACGAGCCGCGCCGGCGGGACCAGCATTCCTGCATTGCAAATCAAGATGCTTTGGTCACAAGCAAAGCTGAACCCAGCAAGAAGCGTCCGATGTGCAGGTTGGCAGCAACCAGGATGCCGTGCTTGACAGCTCATGGCACGGCTGCAAGGCTGAACAGCTAACTGTGAAGCTTGCATATTGTTGCTTGACTCGTCAAGGTACAGGCTACTAGGACTGTGTACTGACGAGCATAACAGCGATGCTACATAGAAACAGGAACTTCAGGTCACAAGACCCCGCACATTGAATGAGTTGTGCGGGGTGACACCTGCTAACCGAAGATCCGAGGACGGCGACAATAGTTTTTGCAACAATTATTTCACCAAAAAACGGTCCACTGACGGGTGACGGTAGACTGGCGAGGTTGTCCCCCGTTCTCGTCAACTCTCCGCTTGTGGCAACCAACGTGGTAGCAGAAGTAAGCAGTTTCTCCCTCGGTGCTCCGACTTGAAACGACCTGGCCAGTATCAACGCTTGAAATTGTCACATAGCCGAGTCCAACGCCTACCCAACTATTGAGACGAATAACTTCTCTTGCACATACGAGAACATTTTGTCCGTTTGTACCTCATCCTGTTCAGGACTTGCATTCTTCCCTTTGCAACCAGCAAATCACATGTACCTCGCCGAAAGAGTGACAAACCCCCCATATTCTGCAACTGCTTGGGGAAAAGTAAAGTGGGTTTCGTCAATGCAGTCAAGTTGTCTGCATCCTCTGCACCTGGACAGATCAAGGGATGCTCTCTTCAACCACCGACGCAAGTGCGTCATTTGTGCCCAACGACGTCTACCTGAGACCAGACAGGCAGCCCTATTTGGACCTTACAAACGAAGATTGGTGTATAGAGCCAAGATCAGTTATGCCAGTGTCCGTCTCACTTTCTTACGCTTAGACCCTGCCCGATCACCTGGGTCGTTGAAGCACCCCGGCACCTTGCTTCAAAAAGTCAGGCAAACATGGCACGTTCAGTATCATCGTGGGAGGAGGGATTTCTGCCGCCAGTTTCCCCCCTTTTGCAAACAACATATCTTGGTGTCTGTAATTGTGAGCGAGTCGGCTCTTTTTCTACCTCTGACGGCCATGTGCCAGTTGGGTACGCCATGCTGCTTTCGTGGCGGTCGACTCCCACGCCGTTGGGTTGGGTCTGATCGACGCGCATCATTACATGCTCCGTTGCTCACCGGACAGATGTCCCAATGAAGAGCCATTGGGCAATAATATTCGCTGCGCCAGCGAGTTGAAGATTTTGCTGCCCGGTGGCTACAGCCGCAACGCAACACTGCGCTGTGCGACTCGAGAGAAATCTCCGGCCCGAGCTTGAGCGACGGTTGGCAGAACGTTTTGTTGGAGGCTGTCGTGCATGTTCGCGAAGCTACACCTGTCTCAAGCCGAGCAGCCTTACATTGTGCTTTGTTATTCTATGGCCCTGTCGGTTTCATCCACCCATATTAATCCTGCTTACGAGACCCGGCACCAGTGGAACAAGCCAACAACTGGGGGAAAAGAATCCGTAACCTGCAAACAGTGTACCCGGTACTTCGCATCCCAATCTTCCAAACACCTCACGAGGGTATTATTGGAAAAAAGAAAAGATTGGACGTCGGGCTCTTACCGAGCAAGTACCTAGAGGGAATAGCTTGCTAGTTGCTAGACGTTAGAAATAAACCTCATCATCCACTCCCACGATGCAAAATGCCGTCTCTTGTGCCAAATAATTTCCCTTCCACTGCCGTCTGCAAGTCGCGCAAACAACAGGGTATAGTCACCAGAAATCCTTTGCCCAGTACTATCACATCACACATCTTTCTTTAAGGGCCGATGGTGTTCTGACTGTTTGTTCGACGCTGGCTAGTATTCTCGAGAAGTCTTCGAGTATAAAGACCGCATAGCCCTTCCTCAAGTTGGCTGTGTTCACCACGACTCTAAACCTCGACGTCCTCGACATATTGGTACCACTCCACCAGCACTTGCAGTACAACTAGCATCCACCCACGACATATCCACTCCATAACCTGTACTGTACATCCAAACCTTCATAATCTGCGATCATGCCTCCCTCTTCTCCATGGCAGCAACGGCTCGAAGGTTCGCCTCCTACATACATGCCTACCCATTTTCAAGAATACTAACATGACGGTCTATAGATGTGTGCCGTGAATACAGCATCCAAGCCCCCGTTTTCCAGATTGTCTCTGACCGAAGAGGTGAGTCTGAAAGCTACAAGATTCAATTTTGGAACCTTTCCTCCCGTTGGCATCGCAATGAGGACCGTCGAAGCTCACTGTGGTCTATAGGTGGTCGGACAGCTTGGTCAAGCGTAGTTCAGGTTTACGGCAGAAGGATCGAAGCACGCTTCTGGTACGACGGCAAGAACCTCAACAACGCAAAGGAAGACGCAGCTGAGGCAGCATACAATTGGTTGTCGCCATATTTACAATCAACATGGTGAAGTGCTTGCCCAATGTCGACCATTGACAAGCAATCTCGCATTCTACAAAAGACACAATTGTTTCGTTCTGGCTTCTCCCTCATTTCTCTGACTCTATCTCTCTCCTTTACACACACACACACACTCACTCACTCACTCCCGCTGTCCTATGACGGCCGCTTGGTTCATCTTCGGAGTCTCCCAAATTGCATTTTCGGGGTTCTTTGCACAATTTCTATGATACCACGGAGTTTGGGAAAGGAACTGGTAAGCCTCACGGCTAACAACAATGGAAAACGGATTGGAAACCTCTGAAACAGGGGAAGGTGCAAACCAAACCAGACCATTCCATAGGCTCGGCGCAAACGGTACGACGGGATTATCATCATGGGGCACACATGCACACGTTCACTCGCTCACACACTCATAATACCCTACTACCACCATGCATGGTATCGTTTTCATCTTTCTTCTTCATCACTTTTCGCTTTTCTTTTTTTTCATGGTTGTTTGGTAACGAGCTTCGTCGGCGGGGATAGAGGACAAGGATTATGAGCTGCAACGGCTAGGGGGCGGAGAGGGGCAAACAGCCGCATGACAGGGTCGTGTTGCTGTTCTCTTAGCTCATGGGATGGGAAAAGACGGAAAACATCAGACTTTGGGATCTGGGCTTTGGTACGGTATGGATACATACTTTTTTTCGGACTCTCATAAGGGGAAGGAGTTGGTGATTGGCTCGACTTTTGGGGGTTATTTTTAATCTCATGAACATGGCTAGATTGAAAACAGAACAGCAGGAACAAGAATATTTGGATCGACAGGCCAGACAAACCAGAACTTTATAAACATACACAACTTGATGGCATACTTTATATCGTTTTACAATCCGACCCGGCTTGATTAACCTTGTCTTCTGTTCTCATTTCGAGCTTCTCACCTTGCTACGCGAATTGGGATTAAAGTCGTCAGGGCAGGGAGAAATGGCTCAAACACAAAGAGAAGCGAATTTCAGCCAAAAAGAAAGAAAGAAAGGGAGGACATGAAAAATGGCAGAATATGAATTGTAAACCAAGCAAAGTGTCGATCTAGAAAATGGGCATTTAGGCTAAGCTGCCCTCCTCCTCCTCCTCCTCCGGGATTCCTTTCTTTTTGTGGGGCCCCTCTTCAGTAGATAATAATACTCCATTGTGGCTTTCGTCGTCTTCGAAACATTTGACACATACTTGTATGATGCAGCTACTCTTACTATTGACGAAGCCGATTCAGTCGCGTGAACGTGTTAGCAAATGAGAGTGGTTATTATTTCCAAACCTCGCTTCATGACGAACGTAGAGTGGACGGAGTCAAGCTAGCAGAACATGTTGTTCAATATCATGACGATGGTAAAAGAGATGATCACCCCCAACTTAAGCTACTAGCCTGCAGGAGCACTTGATCACCTGTCAAGCTGCATTGAGAGCCGGTTCTCACTTCAGCACCCAGTTACCTGTAGCTTTTTTTATATGCTTTAAGCATCGATCTGAAATCGGCAGGCAAATGTTACAGAGGTCTGGCAGCCGGGATCTCGACCAAAGTCGGGTCTGATCTGTGACCTATCGCTAAGGACCCTGGCTAAGCCGCAGCGGTGCTTCAGTGACTGAAGGAAACCGGTCAAGACAACCCTTAGTAGCCCCCAACTCCTGCAAGGATATGATCGCATGATCACTCCCGTTGCCGTCGAAATTGTGATGTAATCAAGAGGTATGTTAGTGAATATCAGCCACGGAACGTGTAGAGAAAGACACACGGAAAGAACAAAAAAATAGCAACTTGACGAAGATATGCATGCTTCTTCGAGGAAAACATGTGTTACAGATTACGCAGATATGGCACCAAGGTTAGTCGTTAGTAATAGCTAAGGTGAAGCATAGCTCGGCATGGCAGGTGCATTGTCTTTCCTTTACTGATATAGAACGTCCATGACAAACAACTCTTATTGGACGTGTTTCAAGTCCGACCCTTGCGTCGAATTGTCACAGCAGCTTTTGGTGTAGTAATGTTAATTTCGCCAAAAAACGACAGCATCAGTCAGGAGTTTAAATGAGAAGTCAAGTTAAGTAAGTAGCATGGATTCGTATCCTTACGATTATTGGCGTTGCCCTTATGTTGCTTGGCTCAGCCAGACTCACCAACGGGGGAAGAGGGAGGAGGAAAAGAAGAGGAATTTGAAGATAAAGTCGAAGATATTTTCGGAATGCCCGCATTAGAAATCCTGCCGAGATAATTCATTTGGACAATGACGAGAATATACCTCGATAACTTTGAGTAGAAGCGCCAACAAGAATTTAGAGATTATTCTAGCCGGGGTCTCTCCCTCAAGCAAACACACCCTCCCAAAAAAAGGAGGCTTTTCTGGTTTCGGCAGTTCGCAAGTCGTTATCGATCGAGCTCGTGCGAAGCATTGATGAAAGCAGTTCTTTTTCTCGGGGCACACCCCGCTTGAGTTATCCAATAGGGGGCATTGTGAGAGGATACAGGATTACTTGATGGAGTATCCCACGATTCCCAGCACAAGGTGTGTGACCGACCGCCTTGATGTAGACAGACGAATAGTTGAATGTAGCATAGATCCATCCTGTCTTCGAAAGACATGGGACAAGAGTCTCGGTAAGTCGTCGGCGCTGGGAGCTGGCAACCTCCGATGGGTGGCTTGAACTGTGGCTTGACAGTTCTACTTCAGTATTGAACTACCCAGAGTTTTGATAGGCTGTGCTCAACCCCGTCGGATTAACTAAGCTCGCGACATCTCCAAATAATTTTCGAGATCAAGTCTCGGGGTGAAGCTCGGGAAGAAGCCGACCAGCATCTTGAAGGAAATTGGCGGCTGGATGGAATGAGTCGAACAAACCGACGATATGACTTCCAAGCTGAACCCACTGCGTTTCTGCCGCACTCTCAGTATACGGTCGCAGCCATTACTGTCCTGTCCAGAGCAGCGAGCGCACCTTCCCATCGGCCGCAGATGTCTCTCAAATGACACCACAACTAGATCACACAACCCCGACCACTCAATACCGCCAGCAGATGGAGGAGAGCCTACCATTGCGGCCGAATACGTGCGCCCGCCACCGGAATATTTTGCGCCCAACTTCTTGAATGCAGAAGCAGTAGCACGCCTCGAGAAGATTGCTGCCGGCCAGGATCTCTACGATGAGGACCCGGGACACAAGTTCGGCATGCCCACGCCGCCAGGCAAGAATGATCATTTACAAAATCGCTACTCGCCAGTTATTACCCAATTCACCAAACTTCTCATGCGAGATGGCAAACTCAGTGTCGCACAAAGGGTAATCATAGCCGAACCTGCGCCAACGAAAGAAAAAGAGCTAACCCACTTGCTTGCACACAGAACATGTCTCTAATCCTCAACTATCTCCGCATGTCCTCCGCACCTAAAGTCTCTCCCTTGAGGCCTCTCCTCCCCGGGTCCCCGCCCCCGGAGCACCTTCCCCTAAACCCAGAGCTATACCTCACCCTGGCCATCGACAGCGTGGCGCCCCTGCTGCGCGTTCGCAACATGAAGGGCATGGCCGGTGGCGGTATGGCTCTTGAGCTGCCCGAGCCCTTGGCTGCACGCCAACGGCGGCGCATCGCCATTATGTGGATTTTGGACGCCGTGAACAAGAAGAAGTCGACGGGCAGTGGTCGCACGCAGTTCGCTAACCGGATTGCCGAGGAGCTCGTCTCGGTCGTTGAGGGTAGGTCGACGGTGTGGACGAAGAGGGAGATGGTACATAAGCTGGGCACGTCGGCACGAGCCAACTTGAACCATCCGGCTGTTGCGAACAAGAGAGGTCGGAGTTAGACGCTCAGCTCGGGGAAGAAGCGGCATGAGTATTGGGACGGAAGCCCGGCCATGTAGGATAGGGGCTTGTACATATGCGTGTATCGATAGGCTCATGATCCAAGAGCTTTGTGACAACCAAGGTTTACCTAGGTATGGAATTTGCTTTAAGTCATCGATCCTATATGCCACTAGAAACCCACAGGAGCAACTACTATGCTCAGGAATTATCATTGGTGCCCAATCAGAAGGCTAACAATGTTTGGCTGTCTACTTAAAGGCAGGTATACCGGATTGACAAATTATACATTGGCGACCGGAGCTTCCATTCAATCTTATGTCTGGATGCCTGATTGCTTGGATCACCGTGCATCGTCTTCGACTAGTCCAGATAACTCAATTGGTAGAGTGGAACACTACCAATTGAGTCATCAGCTGCTATGCTAATACTCTCCGTAGCTGTAAAAGTGTACGTTCATTGGAAGGTCGTGGTCGTTGATCTAGAAGATATAGAGGTAGCTATGTTCCGCAGCATATAAGGTCCAGTTACGGCGTCGCTTTTATTGACTTTTAAATAAATGCCACTTCGGGGCTCATCAATGAGTGATTCATCGATGCTGTCCACGAAGATAGTATCCTCATGGTGTTCTACACTCAAATTGTCCACCACAAGAAATGTCCACCTCACGATGGCCTTTAGTCGTAGAATTGTGACCATCTCGCGTTGAAATGTTAGATACCATTTGGGGATAATATTAAATGATTCTAAAGTCAACAGCTATAAGCCCACTACTTCCGAGGTGCTCAAGCCGTTACCGACTATATCAATCTCCATGAGTGTCTGATTCTACACTCACCCTACATAGATTGGTTTAGAGTAGACGGTTTGTAAATATGACCATAGGCTGCAGAGAACTCGGGATCCCATCCGCTCCCCCATATATAAGCTGCTAACCGGAAGATTGTCTGTAGGTGTGGGTCCGCACACCAGGCTGCCGTTCTCTTGCGGCCTGTGCACGGACCCTCGGCCCTATCCCTCCGTTATTGGCGAGTCCCCCGGTTTTCCCGTTTCCCGTGCTCCCGTTTTCTCTTCCCCCACACACTTCCCTAGACATAACTTTCTAAATAAATTATAATAACGTGAATGTACACCGAGCTGGCCACCCTTACATAACCTCGCATAGAAATTTTACGATAGTAAAACCACAACGCCGTAAATCAATTGAAACTACTCTGAATATTCCTCTCCAGAAGATGGCAATGCGATCTTACAAGTTCGCGCATTATGCCCAGTCCCGTTGCAAATACCACAGCGCCTCGGGCGCGTTTTTACGCGTTTGGAGAGTGCTTCGGGGGACTTGGTACGTTTTTGCCGCTTGTCGGAGACTAAGTTTTTGGTCATTTGTGAGAGCTTGAAGGGCTAGCATTAAGTCTGCTTCGTTGTATGACTTTGCCATAATTGGTCGTTGAGAAAATCAAACATTAAGTTGGCCGGTCGCGTTGGCGCATGAAAGTGGCCAGCTCGGTGTCATGGCCAGCTCGGTGTACATTCACGTTACTATAAAAGTCTGATACTATACTTTATACCTAATTTAGTAATCTATCCTTAGTAAAAACTTAGCTAGGGTCAGACATATTTTTGACCCTGATCAACTTTGCTACGCCACAAATTTCTACCCCTAGTCAACTGTACGCTCCAACTTAGGTCCCAAGATTTGAAGTCATCCTCCATCCTCTCTTCCTCTTGTTTCCATTGATTTTGGATAAGCAAAGTATAAGTCGGAACAGCACTCGCTCAATGGCGTACCCTGAAAATGCCGGCATCTAGGCCATGGACATCTATGTTCCAGTACAGGTAAAGTCATTCATGTCCAAATTCCCTCCCCCACGACATTGAGTTCAGGTCTTTGATTGGACAACTATCTGGGCTAATCACTCTTCGAGAAGTACCATGATGTTTCTACTGAGTACACCATTGGAATGGCCTGCAAGAACTCCTCAGACTCGTATGTTAAAATACATCACGGATAAAGGAAGGATGGTATTCTGTAGTAGCGGCGAGTTTGATAATGCCATTCTTCATTTATCGTCAATCTTTAATGTGCGAGCTAGTAAAACGTATCGCATGAGACCGAAATCCAACTCAACTAGGTGGTTAAGGGTGGTTTGGGACATAAAACCAAACCTCCATGCCATCTTGCAAACCCGCCGGGGTTATCACTGGATTTAAACCACAATGGCCGAGGACCGCGGACGAGAACCCGTCTTGGCAACCCCGGACCGGACCCGTGATATCGAAAAAGGAGACCCAGGACGCGAAACACCATTAGAGAAATAGGAAACGCAAGGCGAGACAGACAACAGCGATGCGCAAAGCATCGGATATCAGAGGAAGCTACTCACCGGCAAACGGCTCCTCGTGGCCTTCCCGGCGTTGTCAGTTGCTTTGTTCGGCTCCTTCATCGACCAGACCAGCGTCTCGACCTGCATTCCCGCCATATCGGCCGAGTTAGGCACGGGAAGCTCGACTTCACGGATCAGTTCCTCGTTCCTGATTGCATTGACGGCATTCCTGCTCATTAATGGCCGCATGTCGGACATTTTCGGCCGCAAGAACGTGCTGTCTTGTTCGGCCACGATCGCGCTAGGAGACCTGCTCTGTGGCTTTGCTAGGTCGAAGGAGCAGCTGTTTTACTTTCGGGCTATTGCTGGTATAGGTGGCGGTGGTGTCAACAGTGTGGTTTTGATTATTGTGAGTAACATGACCACTTTGAAAAATAGGGGCAAGTATCAAGGTACGCCGACAACTCTATAAACTCATCTACTCCCGGTACTCACGCACTCCGTAGGGATTATTGGAGCCATTATTGCCAGCGCCAATGGTATAGGTGTCTTCCTTGAAGGTGCTGTCATCGAAAAAACATCGTGGAGATGGGTGTTCTGGATTGTGCCTCTGATTGCTGTCCCCGCCGGTCTTGTGATTTTCTTCCTCTTAACTCTGAGGTTTGAAGCCGGCAACTATCTTGAGAAGGCAAAAAAGGTACACTACGGCGGTATCCTGCTCAGCCTAGCAACAGCTCTATTGATTCTGGTGCGCTATACACCTTGTGCTTGCATCGCCTAGCTGCTAATCATTTAGGTTCCCTTGCCTGGAGCTGGTGTTACCTACGCCTGGAACTCAGCAACATTGCTCGGAATAATTATCGTAGGAGCAGTGATGACAGTCCTGTTCGTCCTATTTGAGTGGAAAGTTGCATCACTCCCAATTATGCCCTGTAACACGTTCCGAAGCCCGTATATCTTGTCGCGTACTGACCACTAACCTTCTGCTAGTGCGCGTATTCCAAGCGCCAAACTGCGCCTACATGTATGCCCAGTCTTTCTTCTCTGGAATAGTCCACTATGGAAACTTCTTCTATCGTGAGTGGGTACTGTTGCAAACTCTGAAACTTTACCAGGCTGATTCTACCAGTTCCGTAAGAAATCGTGTCTATCCTTGTTCTGGCCGCAGCACACCGAATCCAGCATCTACTTTCAATCGTTGCACGAATACAGGCCATCATATTAGGGGCATTGATGCTGCCCATTATAGTGGCCACCTCCATCTCCTCCATTGCCTGTGGGCAGTTTCTGGCGCGCATCGGACGTTATATGCCACCCATCGTTGTCGGGTATGGCCTTTGGACCGTAGAATCAGGGTTGGCTATACTCTTTGGCCAGGAATCTCGTCCGTGGAAGATGACTAGTATACTATTAGTCGAAGGATTCAGCATCGGAATGACATTGCACACCAGTGAGCTCCAACTGCATGTTTCGTATAAATGTGAGCAGACTCTTACTTTGAGACTAAAGCTCTGATTGGACTCCTGGCAAATTCGAGAAGTGAGGACAGAGGAGTGCTGACCACTTTGCGGAACTTCCTACGCACAGTTGGCGGGGCATTTAGGCTTACGGGTAACATTCAAATATGATGAGACACACAAGAGGTTTTTGACTAACATTGACCAACCATCCTCTGGAGTGATTCTCTTCAACAACCTACGCACACATTTCACTAACCTGCCATACCTACCAGCCGACGTCCTGCCTGGTCTGACCTCCTCGACGTACCAGCTAGACAGTTTACATCTCACCAGCGAAGAGAAACAGCAGGCGCTCGCAGTCTACATGGAAGGTATGCACTGCATCTTCATATTCTACACAGCCCGTAGTGCGATAACCTATTATTGTGCCTTGACATTGGGAATACACACCTGCACAAGAAGCACAAGAAGCACAAGACCAATGCGGCTGCAGCGAAAACAGAAATTACTGCTCAGCGGCTTCCGGAGCCTAGGACCGAGGACAGTTCCAAAGTAGTGATACGGTAGACGAAGGGACGAGCCATACAGCTATGATTGATTCGTAACGAGCATAGTGAAATGAGTGGCTGGTCGAAGCATGATCAACACCGGGTAAAATGGTGGCCGCTTTTGATAGAGCAAAACCTGACATTATGACTTGACTTAACATTATCAGCCCCCACGCGGGATATCGAATGCATCTCGTTTGAACCTATCATGCGCAGTGTAATAAGACCCTTATCTTGAATCGAAAGAAATGATATCAGCATGGCAAGCTCTAGCTCATCTTATACAGGATAATGAGGTTGAACAAGAAAACGCAGGTTGTAAGCATGAGCCGACTATCTGTCACCTGGAAAAAAAACAATGCATCGTACCCCAACGATTCGAAACCCAATCATGCAAGCCACCTGCCGCTGCCATTTGCTATGTACAGAGATGAGCGTGATCAAACTCCTAAACGCGCCTATTGCTATGCTTTAGTCGGGCTGTCAAGACGGTTGATGTGTGCCCAACATTAGGAACCTGGATTGGTTTGCGCCTCATGTCTTAGAAGGCTTGCCCGTGGTAAAAAGGGTAACCGCGTCCTTGTGGCTGCTGTCCGGGTCGCGGACTTTGAGCGCCAGATCCAAGTTGGGATGTGAATTGGCCTTGTTGCGGCATGAATACCGGGCTAAAGTTTCCCTGTTGAGGTGAACGGTGGTGGTGTGGACCCCCCGGGCTAGTCCAACCACCACCTTGAGCATAAGCTTGAGCACCAGGGTTGATAAAGTTCTGAGAAACCCCATAGCCATGCGGTCCGGGTATTTGTTGGCCGCCCATCATCAGACCGGGGGATTGCTGACCTCCCATCAAGATGCCTGGAGACTGAGGGCCACCCGCCATAGTACGTCCCGCCAGGTTGGAATACATTCCTGCAGGAGGGGGTGCAACGGGCTGTTGCTGGTAGTTCTGAAAAGCCTGCTGCTGCTGTCGCTGGTTGATGGCGTACTGCGCGGCCTGGCTACTGTAACCCTGCTTCATCTGTTGCCTCTCCTGTTCTCTAGCAGCGATCGCTCCGACAAGGCCACTACCGGTCTGAGGTGCATTCTTGTTGCCGGCCATACTGATCAACGGTGTGCCTGTCATTCGTGCTACGTGCTCTTGCTCTCGAGCCGACAAGTTGGCATCCCCGCCATGACCTTGACCTCCAAGCACCGCGCCTGCTCCTCGAGAACTAGGTCGTTGGATAGGGTCCAATACCGCAGCCGCACCTCGAGAGCCGGGCCGCTGAAGCATATCCTGTGAATTACTACGGGAATGCACCCCAAGAGGAGGCGTCGGCGTTGCAGAACGCCAGCCGCCAAGCGTATTGCCTGAACTTTGACGCTGGTGTGCATAGAGTGGTGTGGCCGCGGCAGCGGCTCGCTGTTGAACGAATTGCTCGGCCGTGATAGCTTGGCCTGGACTATTGCTTAACCCAGTGGCCGTTCCTGGCTGCCAAACAACGCTCCTCCGCGCAGTGTTGTCATCGGATTCTGAACGGATGTGATTCATGATCACAGGCGACTTACGTGGCGGTGGCGGGGGCTGGGGAGATTTGCTTGGAGGTGGTGGTTTGGGGGAGAAGGACCGAGGGCCTTGTGAGAATGACCGCATGGGAGACAGAGCAGGTATAGGGGGCTTGTCTTTTAACTGGTTTGCTCCGTAGTTAAACGTGGGTCCAAAATCGACACTCGGGATGTCAAAAGAGGGCTTTTTGTTCACCTGACCTTGGCTCTCGTCACCCACCGTCCGCAGCACGCCAGCTCTCGGTCTTTCAACCGACCGAGCGGTATCTGTCGACGGCCTGGTACTAGCGTAATCTGGGCTGTCGGTCGATTCCGGGTAGTTACTGCTTGCGTTACTTCGCATAGTATCTGCACGTTGGGCCCGAACATATCCTTGCTCCTGCTGTGGCTGTGGTGTGCCTCTACCACTGGAGTTTTGAGTGTGTACTTGGGCTAACACGTTAGGATCGATTCCGTGGGCGCGTGTGAAGCTGCCATTGCTATGATTTGATGGCGCTGGAGATCGAGGGGGGACGTCATCGAATCCTACACCTTCACGGCTTCGCAGGCTATCGGTTCGAAGCGGCAAGGGCTTTCTATAGATAGGCGGAGAGGTGGTATGCTGGTGAAGAGGGCCATTATCGCCAGGAGTTGTCGGCCGGCCGCGGCCACCAGCACCCGGCTGTCCGTGCTGGTACCCTTTATACGGGTTTGCTGGTGGTGGACTGGTCGGAGGACCGACTCTCGGTAGAGGGCCTACGTTGCCCGTCGGCGGTGGTCTGCCTTGGGGTGACGCTTTGGAAAGTCCTCGTTGGGGCGCTGGCATATTGCTCAGCGGATGCCCTCCTGCTGTACCGGGTCTGCTATTCGGCCCGGGACCCGCTCCAGGGCCAAAGGTTGGGTTTCGCACGTCTTCGGTCCCTGATCGACTTAGACCTGGGCTTGGACCCCAGGGACCTGCGGGGCTCGCAGGAGCCTTCTGCTGGTTGAGGGGTGATTTCGAACGTTGCGTGTTGAGCGGCGGAAGAGGCAAGCCAGGAGAGCGGGGGTTGTCGTCCTTTAGAACTTCACCAGAGCCGGTATTAGCAGTTATCCCTCCAATGTTGTTGGTGGCGTGAGCATGTACCGAAGGGGGACCACGTTGGTCGGTTTTCAATTCGAGAACTGGACTCGGGCCTTGCTCTTCGTTGTTTCCTTTGCCCTCATTGGCCCATCCGTTCTGCTGGCCAACCTCCACGACGCCTCCAGCTTGAGCAAGCTGAGCGAGCGTGGTGCTGGACATCCTGCTGTTAGCGCGGCGCATCTCAGGAGAGTGATACGGTCGCTGTTGGGGTTTGTGGCCCGGGGCGTGAGAAAATGCTGGTGGTTGAGACACAGGCTCTGGAGTTTCAAGGTTTCTGCCCATGTCTTGAATTGGCGGCGGGTCGCGTTCCTCATCTGAGCTCATACGTTCTGGCGTCGATGCGAGATCGTTGACAAACGCACGAGCTGGGTTGGGTCGCCCTGGCACAGCGCCATCACCCAAAGGGCTGTCGTAGCGGAGCGGAGGGGGGGGGCCGCTTGCCAAGTTCGAATCGGATGCATTCCTAGTATGACTTGACTTCATACTGCCTGCCACAACGGTGGCTGCACGCTCCCTGTGATGTTCAGGTGGGGCTGAATCCGTCCTTGGCGGAGCACGTTGAGTTAAAGACATAGACCGTGACGAGCGCACCGAGCCGGGTCCACCGTCAGCAAAGCCAACACGAGGCTTTCCAATACCTCCAGCAGCCGGTCCAAAGCTCAACCGCTTGTTTTGGCTATTCGACCTCGATCTGTTTGTAATGCTGTCGGCACCTAAATCCATGGCTGTCATACGCTGGCCAGTTAGGTCCTTCAAGCGTTTTCTCCATTCCCTCTCAGTCCAACTTGCATTGTCGTCGGATAAGATCAGGCTAGTAACATCTAATATCTCAAGATAGCCGTAGCGTTTGTGCTTGGGCATCGCAAACATCAGAGAACGCGGGTCGATGGTGCTTGCGACCAGTCTGCCAGGACGACCGTAGAGCCCAAACGTGTCCCAGGTAGGAAAAAGGTATCTGAGCATCATCTCGAAGCCAGTGACAGCCGGAGGCACTTCAGGCATGATGAAGACGAAGCCTTCGGTGGAAGAGGGCGGGTCAGAGTGAATCAAGATGTTGCCTTCGAGTTTGATCAGGGTGGACGCGTCGATCAGTGACTTCGCCTGCGGGTACAGCGCATACGCCGAGTAAGCATCCGTAATGGTGGCAATGGGCTTTGCCTTCCTCTGCTTCTTTCCCTCCTTCCGAGTATCGTAGAACTTGATATCGCCCTTGAGGATGGGCGGATGTGAGCGGTCATACGGAGACTTCTTCCGAAGATCTTTCTGTAGTTTTTGGTACTCTTTATCATCTGGAGGTGAGATGACACACCAACACCGTCTCCAGGGCACGCCTGCACCAAAGCGCACTCTTACCCACTCTTCGACCTTGGTACGTGAGCGTTCCATGATTACACCAATACTGTTTAGCGTCTTCCCCTTTCCAGCAATCAGGGCTCCTGTGTAGGCCTCTTGGAGGGTTGAATGCTCAAACATGGCGAGTCTAATACCGGCCGTCCATTGAATAAGCGAGTGTTTTGAGTTGAAATGCAGAAGATATCGGTTTCTTCCAGCTGTAGAGATGCTTAGGATGTTCTGCAGAGACTGCTCCTCGTTGGATCGCGTTGGCAATGACTCTATCTGTATTTCCTTGTCAGTCTTGTGTGCGTGCTAATTGACCCATGAAAGCTTGGTAGTGTACGGGATGCATACCATTTTAATCGACGCATCTGTCAGATTTACAAACTTGGGCAGAACCTCTCCACCCTCACCAGCGGCATCCAGCTCGGCGGCGTCCCATAGGGACAATACTGTGCCTACAAGCTGTGCAAAACATTCGGTCCAGGTTCGGTCGGCATTTGCACGGCCCTCTGCGACTCATCAGCGAATGTACATGCGAAAAGACCAATCGGACGGGGACGAATAGATTGACGTACGAGCATTCTGGTCATCCAGCTTCAGGAAATAGCCTTCTTGGTACAATTTGTTGGCATGGCTATTGAGGAAGGTGAAGATGGGCTGCAGCTCCGGGATGGTGTCCTCGTTGATGTCCATGAGAGGCGGCTGGTAGGACTGCACCATAGACAGTGGTCTTGAATTACTTCTACTACGTGTGCGCGTGCGGGTGCGATATGTGATAGAAGCGGGCGAGTCTGCTACGGGTGAGCTGTCATGGTCGGGTCGGACGGGAGATGAAGGGACGGGGGTGGAAGGCTCGTGTATGTAATTCGGCGGTGGGGTATCATATGGTGCTGAGTCGGAGTGGTTGTGACGGGGTTGAGAAGTGAATTCTGGTTTGCCAAAGGGCTCGTTCAGAGGCGCGGTTGAGATAGGCGACGCTACAAAAGAATCTCGAGGATTGTGTCCAGAAAGCTGGGACATGAAGGAGAGCACTTTAGGATCAGACAGCTGATTAGCATAATGCACGCATGTTATTATTGCTTGGCGGCGGAGGGAGCTAGGGAAATGGGAAATGCGAAATGCGAAATGCGAAGTGCAAATGGAGGCCCAGAAGCGCCCGAACACTGTCTCATGCGCCAGCTAACGTTATGCGCCTAAGGGTACACTATGACGGGTGCCACATGCAAGGACAAATAAGTCAAATAAGCAGCAATCAAGCAACCCAACTTGCCAACCGAACAACAGTTTGCCTTGCCCAACTCGGCTGAGATGCCGTGGCAGCGCAGATCGTGCTGGCCTGTTGTTACTTGGCAGTAGCTACTGCGTAGAACGGGCTTTCTGCTGGTCGCCAAGTGCTGCTTAGCTCTGCTTTTCTTGTTGCTGAGACAGACCTTGTGCACTGTAACATGCAAATGCAAGGTGCTACAAATATAATTCGAGACGGGGAGACAGGCAGATTGCGCAATGCTCGCAAAACGCAAAGAGAGATCACTAGAGGTTGGGATAGGCGGACAGGCAGGGAGGGGTGATTTGAAGGAGCTTGTACGAACCGCGATTTCGACCCATTTTGTCCAGCAGATTAGACAATGACGCCTGCTTATTTTAATTGCGCTGCGCGGTGAAGCCCAGGGGCCCACAGACACGATGCCAAACTCCCTCGCTGGTCTGCGCTTCTTGGACTCCTTGGGCTGGGTGCGTTTGTTGCCGTTTCTCGGGGGTTTTTTTGAGTTCTGCTGAATGGACGACGGTCGGCCGCTCGGTCAGAACATGGAATGAAGAAGCCCACTAGACTGTCCGTGGTCGAAACGGAAATCCCACCAAGCGAGCGAAAGAATCGACCGGAATGAGACAAAAACCGAAAAAAAATTGAGTGCGCGCAAGGACTGGACTGGAGGGAGACCGCGCGGGTTTTGTAGCTCAATAATAATCGCAGTAGGTACGTAGTAAGGGTACTGCGGTTTGTGGATTCGAAGCTGCGACAAGGTTATTACCGCCTATCTGCGTTCGTGGTTCGATGTCGTTGCGTCTGAGACTAGGCTGGAACTCCACGACAACTCCAGATTTGGCAGATCCAACGTCGGATCCAGGTTCCAAACCGTTCGTTGCTGGCTCTGCGTGCTTAAATAGGCGGGCGTGCGCGAGTAAGGGACAAGGGGTTTGCAGAAGCAGTGCGTTGCAAAGGCCTTTTGCTCAATATTGTTCCTCGTCGTCTCAGGATGCCCAAGGTGCGGCAGCGTCGGATGACTCGTGATATTCCGGCCTTGTAGAGTTTTGTCAGAGGGTGCTCCCAGGTGAAGCCAAGCACTTGAGCTGGAAGTGGTTGGCAGATAGAGCTCGAGAGCAAAGAACCACGAATCTTTGGCGGCGGCCCGAGGAGACGATGGGATGATTTCAGATATAAGACGGAAATCGAAAAACTCAACCAGCTAGCTGAGTAGGCAAGCTCCCTTGTACAGATGGGAGGCGGTTGTATGACGCTATTTGGTCTTGGGTGATGAGCATTCAAGTTATTATTCTCACGGGAGCTTGGAACTTTGGAACTCCACACAACAGCCAACAGCCCAGAAGGCGTGACCCTCAAGATGCAGCACTAGTTGAGGATCTTCCGTTGGTAAATCCTAAGGCTGGTAATGCTGTAAGTAGCGGTGGCGTTTCCCAATTCCCTTTGGTTGCGAGTACCATCATCTGCTGACATTGCAACCTACCGATCTTTTTTACCATGTACTGACCTAAGGGACGAAGAGTTGATTGAATACGAGGTATCTGCTTGGCAACTCAGCATGCACAGCGAGGTATCTTTTGATGTATTCAACTAGTTGAGTACGAAGTAGACACGAGCAAATAAATACATGAACACGCGTGTTCGTTTCCAAGCTTGGAAACTTTTGGACGTTGGAGGCAAGGATGTGACGATAAATCACGCCTGCCGGCGCCCTGCAACGGCAACTTGTTCTCGAAGTCGTTTTTGGTTCCTCCTGAGGACAACAAGCTTTTGCTGGGGCGCTACGACGTACTCTTAGTAGATCATTTACTACTCCTTACAGCCGTCGTTTTCTTTGAACGTGGCAGGATTCCAGTACTAGTCATGACGAATCGTATCTGCCACTCTAGCAATTGTACACCTTCCACTGCTGACGCCGGCTTGTTTGTCGTTGACTATTACTCCTTGACATGGCACCAAACCCCGTTCAACGTCAGGCCAAGTATGTGCGCGGACCCCTGCTCTGTTGGAGCTATTGGCTACGAAGCCGCCCGGATGCGACGGGCCAGCTGACCAGCCTCATTGTGAGGACCATTGCGCCGACCACTGGGTAATATTCCACTATACGAAACGGAGTACTTTGTCCTTCGCAGGTCGACTCTCAGCTGAAGCACTGGGCCTGCGGAAGGGGCTGGGAATATTCTGCTCGTGCATCCTATCCCCATTATCGAACCCATGGGCCAGTCGTCTCTACTCCGATGCCAAGGACCGGTCCTCGGTATTGGGGTTGACGAGAATGCCCAAGCCTGCCGCGTCCAATCATAACCGCACCATAAAGACATGTTTTGTTTTATGCAAGCTGGCAAAGAGGCCGTCTAAAGCATGTAAATGACAACAACAGTTTATATACGCATTCTAACATTTCACGAGTCTCTAGGTCCTGTCGTCTGCTTTGAATCTGCAAAATTGCAAAAAAAGGTCTACGGCCCCACCCGGCATGTGCAGTGAGGATTCCACGACTCAGGAGACTATGTCAGAACAATAATACCCAAGCTGCCGAAAGACCCGAGACTTCGGCCAAGTAAGGCATCGATTGGGGGAGACATGCTGAAGCTGCGCCTACAAGACGCGTGTTTCCTTAAAGTGCATGTCCATTCACCTTTACCACTTACGGCATTCTCAAGCGTTACTTGGTCCCAACGACCCGCACTCCCTGCCAATCTTGCCAGGTGGATTCAAATAGTCTTTACAATGGTTTGCAATTATTGAACGATTCTCCCCCTCACTGCCCTCCAGCCTCTTGAGTCTTCCTATGTCATTGTCATGGTGGGATTAACTGTCTCACGCTAACTCGGATAAAGACGCCAAGCCGATCCAGACCACTACCCGGCACCGCTGTTCACCGATCACATTGTGTTCACTGCTATGCGGCAGAAATGCACCAGTTCGCAATATCAGGATTTGGCTGTCTGCCGACATGTGTGCATTCTCATTTGGATGGTGCTGATAGTAAGGTGATCTTCTGAGTATGCATCAGAGCTTGCACTGTTCATGGCAATACCACCCACTAAGGGGCTTACTGATGCAGTAAATACGAGAAATTATGTCGTGCTTACCATAATAGTTGCGGCTGAGAATGATGACGCATTTGTACTCCCGCATCACAATGATTTTGAATCGGCAATGTCTGACATGGTTGTGGAAAGTATAAGCATGTCTACTTGCGTAGTGTCAAGCTGTTGACAAAGCTGAATAGTGGTACACCGTCTGGCGATTCTGAAATCTTTTTTCAAGGTGCGCAAGTTGTGCAATAACTACTCCACAACATCTATTTCGGTCCTGGATCCAAACTTGAATCCATAAAGAAATGCAACATGTAACGTAGTCCACGGTCCAATTGCACACTTTAGCAGACCTTATACGACAATGTATAAGTTAATTAAACCACAACGCCTATCATCAATTGAAACTACTCAGAATCGTTATCTTCAGACGTCTCTACATCATTTCCACAAGTGCGCGCATTATGTCCGGGCTCGCCGCAAATTCTACAGCGCCGTACACGCGCAATTCGCCGCCTCGTACGACCACCAATTTGACGAAATTCGTCATGTAACTGCCCATCAACCTCTCGTTGAGACTGTAGGTCCTGTCCAGCTTGTATACGAAGTGACCCTCCACTCTGTAGCTGTTTTTTCTTCGCACGGCGACGTCGACTTAAGGTCTCATTTGCCTTTCGAAGTCATTCGACCTCGCCTTCTAAAAGGGCAAGCCGATGCATAACCTTCGTTGTACCTCGCGCAATCTGATCTATTCCAGCAAAAGTTGACGTTGGTGAGCTATTTTAATGTCGTACAATCCTATTTTTCACATAATCGGTTTGTGATTAGGCTTCGGTTAGGTTGTTCGGAGTCTTTGATTCCCAAGGGACGGGGAGACCAGCCGAGCTACCCGGAGGTGTTGGCGTATGTAATTTCACATCGAGCTGTGATATGACATAATCTGCATCGTACGGAACTATTCCTACCCCTCGGAAACCTCCTTGGATATTTGAAACCGTGAAAGTTGCGTTGTACGCGTTTAAAAACGCCGGTAAAAAGTCTTCTTTCGAGATATGACTTATATGTGCTCACATGAGATCTTCGATTTCTTTTCCGTACGCTCTTTTTAACCCGCGAAAACAACCAACATCAAGAGGCTGGAGCTTGTGCGACGAATAAGGAGGCATACAAAGCGTGACGATATTGTTAGCTTTGCAATATACCTCGAAATCGGTCGAGTGATGGCTTTCGTGACCGTCGAGGATCAATAGGCGATGAGTATCTTTCGTACGAGACTTGGTGTGATGATCGAAGTGTTTTATCTAATCCTCGCCTCTCTCGTTCGTAGTCCAGCTATTTTTAGTAACTGCGATAACCCAATCAGGCGGTAATGGGCTGTTTTTGTACCATGACGAGAGGTGGGTTTTGCCGGCGAAAATGATGTACGGAGGGAGTGCATAACCGGACGACCCAACGCCTTGAATAACTGTAACTCATTCCCGATTTCCTTGCTGGGCTGCTCTAGGCCTTCCGCGCCGATCAGAAGTCGTCACGACCATTTCGGACGAGATTTGGCCTATCACAAAACCGGTCTCGACGAAGTTGTAGATATCCTCCTCCTAGATCGCGTATTTCGCAATTGTATTCCGTACTAGGTCAAACCACGCGCGATACGCGTCGGGATCTTCGCAGAGGACTCTCTGATAGTCGATCCTTCGATTTAAACGCGTCCGGAGGTCTGGTTGTCGTCTTACGAAGCTCGAGGCCCAGTTGACGCCGACGCGTCCCGCGTCGCGACTTCGAAGTAATCGGTTGGCCATATCTTCAACACCACTCAATCGGGGAGGAAATGCTCGCGAATCTAGGTCGGTTATATGTCATACGATTGCCTCTTCTTCGGAAGGAGTCAAATTTTGCGTTAGCGATCGCGTAATCGCTCGAGCGGTTTTACCGTCGCATCGATACGCAAGGGTTCTAAAAGGTACGTTATAGATCTGACCAGCGCGACGTACACTTAATTTTGGATCAGATTGAAGCGCATGTAATGCTAGAATCATATCACTTTCATTCTAAGAACCAACCATAGTTATGTGGTGAAAAACGGCAGGTCAAAGTGGTAGCGTACGAAAATCTGCCGAAGTGTGCAATTGGACCGTGGACTACGTTATATAATCTTGGAAATATTGAAAGCATACTAATTGAAAGTATACTGACAAACATTGACTACATACTATCTACACAGTGGAACAGTCCGAGCTATCGGCGTTTTACATGAAGTATACTATAGAAGTCTCACAACACCACAACTTTACTCATTGAGGCCACAAAACATTAGCGAATCATGCGATAGTCTCTGTCCTGCTCACCCGAAAAGAGACTTTGTAATGGTGGTTTGAAGTCCAAATATGACGTCATATCGGTCGCAACGTCGCCAAATGAGTCCGTCCCAATCTCCACGTAGTTGGAACTCCTGCGATCCGTCCGTCACGTGTGATTCTGCATCCGTCAATAAGGCTAACAAGACTTGGGAACGCAACTTATGCCACTTGCAGACACCGATAAGCTCCAAGAGCTAAGAGCTTATCGGAACTCCGAGACCATGTGGGATCGTCCGAAGCATCTTACAACACAGCGCAATATCTACCGGTATATCGATTCCTCACTTACTATACCTGGTGGCAGTCCTTCCTGCGGCTTTGAGGTCTGTCTAGGCCTGGTCGCGTCCCGTCGCGGGGATGAGGATATTACCCACCCCTCTTCTAGCGTCCACTACGCCCAAACGTCCATTGCGCCGGATTCTATTTTCGCATCGGACGCGATGGCGCATCCAGCAGCTCAACCGATACACCTTAGCGAATGCTGCGCCAGGCAGCGTGTCCCCTTCCATTCCAGACTCTTCCCCGTGCTTGCCGTTCCGCTTCGAGACCGGCTACGGGCTCTTCGCAAAGAGAGCCCCGAGACCGTTTCCGCCGCCATTTTTAAGTCCACCGTCCGGATCGTTCAGTGATCCGCTCAGCACGCACCACCAAAGCAGGAATAGGCGCGCCCTTGTCAATGGAGAACTCATAAGGGGTATGACCAACGGAGATGATGCGGTTTACACCAGCGATTATTTCGTCTGTGTCAACGACGGCGTGGGCGCCTGGTCGATGCGGCCGAGAGGACATGCGGGGTATTTGGCGAATCTTGGAGCGGCGTCATACTTCGTGTGCTAACACTTACATCCAGTCTTTGGTCGAGATTGATATTACACTTCTGGGTTGCGGCAATACAGGACGGCATAGCTAAGCCGCGATTACCAGACACGTCATACGAGCCGGATCCGGTGCAATGCTTACAATTAGCTTACGAACGCACCCTAGAAGCTACCTCGGCGCCCAATGACTGCCAGGGGACCACCACGGCAGCTGGTGCGCAGTTATACTACAAGGGCGACGCTCGTTTGCCCAACTCCGCAACACCATTGCTGTATGTGACGAACCTTGGCGATTCACAAATCATGGTCGTGCGGCCCAAGGGTCGGGAAATGGTATACAAATCAAAAGAGCAATGGCATTGGTTTGATTGTCCTCGACAACTAGGGACGAATAGTCCGGATACCCCCTCGCAGAATGCGGTGGTCGACATTGTGGAGCTTAAAGAAGGTGATGTGGTACTGGCCATGTCGGACGGTGTCATCGACAATCTCTGGGAACACGAGATCGTGGAGAATGTGACTACTAGTATCGAGAAATGGGAGAGCCGCGGTGATGGGCGGCAACTTGGGAGTATGGAATTCGTAGCTGGACGACTCAAGAGTGCAGCTCAATGCATTGCCTTGGATCCATTTGCGGAAAGCCCATTCATGGAGCATGCTATTGACGAAGGCCTTGCCAGCGAAGGGGGTGAGTTTAAAATGTGATAAACTAATTCGCTCCAGTCTAACACCATTGCAGGCAAGCTTGATGATATCAGCGTTGTAGCTGCGTTAGTCTGTCGTCGAAACACGGATTGTTCTTAACAGGGATATTATGGCGACGTAAATAGCAACAAGTTGGTCGGTAAATGCTGGCTCGATTAATCAAATATGCTGACGTACGACTGTAGATTCTGTTAAGTATTGTCGCATTGGTTTTATCTACAACGCGCACAACACCTGGGTGAAATAGCGTTTGTTTGATTGGCAACTTGGAAGAAGATAAGCAACCGATGAGACGTGTCTCCAGGCCCCGTGCCTTGGCACATGGGGTCCGGTATAGTAGGCTTGTTGCACCGGACGGTGTTAGAAACTCAACTAATTACTTACATACCTTGGTATTTGACCTATCCATATAAAATTCTTACGGATACTGGGAACCGACACTCCGTTTTATTAACCAGATAAAGTGGGGTATTGCTACGCGCACTTGCATTGCAATAAGATCTGAAGGCTTATCGGCTTATCGTTCCTGAACTTTTTGAACTTTCTGCGACCTCATTCCAGATCCAAAAATCTAGGTGCATATCGTCGGGTACCCAAACTGAGTCAACCACCTGGCGCGATATCGCGATTCTCTGATTCACGGATCGATCTGGAACCCAAGCCTGATACGAAATGCCTCGAGCTAAGAGAAGCAAGCTCTATAGGTAAGTCATGGAAGGTTTGGCGCCAATAACTCGCGGCGGGCATAGTTCGCTGACCAGTCAATTCAGGAAGCTCATGGAGCGCTTCTCCATATCCTTTGGCTTCGTAAGTCTCATTTAAAGAGTTTCTATTCATGTAACAAGCATTGCTGACAAGGTACTGCAGAGAGAACCCTGTTTGTATACCCGAACGCGATAATCGCGCCTACTCTCGCTGACCACGCTCGACGAGAAAGACCAGGTCCTTATCGATGCCGAACTCCTCCTGGATGCTTCCAGACATAAGATAGAACTGGTTAAGAGACTGGAGCAGACGTTACATGGACAGGTGAAGCCCCTCATCACGCAGTGCTGCATCAGACAGCTTTACGGCCGCAAGGGTGAGGCGGGTGTGGACTCGGCAATCGAGTTGGGCAAGTTGTTTGAAAGAAGACGCTGCGGACACCATCCCGACCAGTACCCTGAGCCGCTCAGCGGGCTTGAATGCCTGAGCTCAGTGGTCGATCCGAAGGATAATGGCGTGAATAAATTTCACTACGTCGTTGCATCCAACGAGCTTGAAATTAGGTGAGTATACGGCAATTTACGTTTGGGATAGTTTGTAGAGCATGTTTCTTACTCCCGAGTCTATCGTTGCTCCCGACTGCCCCCCAAAACCACCCTAAGTGATTGCTTACTGACTCCAAAATACCGAATAGAGCACACATGCGACGGATTCTTGGTGTTCCGCTGATCTACATAACACGAAGTGTCATGATGTAAGCCAAATATTGAGCCATTGATGCACCCTACACGCTATGGCCTTGGGTTTCCAATTGCCCGAACCATACATATTGCGATAGCTAACAATTACATAGAATGGAGCCAATGGCATCAGGTTAGTGCTGCATTATGCGACAGGCTCGGCGGTGCACTTGACTAATGGCATCGTAGGGAGTGTCAACGAGCGATCGAAAGAAGAAAGAGGCAAGCTACGAGCGGAGATCAAGAAGCCCGTGGGGAAGAGGAAGCGCGACGACGACGACGACGACGACGACAATAGTGACGGAGGACAGAAGAGGAATGAACAAAATAAGAGTAGCCGTGAGACCGAGCAGAAGGCAAAGCTCTCGCGCGCAAAGGGACCAAACCCGCTGGCTGTAAAGAAGCCCAAGAAAACCAAGACGGTTAACCAGGTTCAAGGTCCTAAATCCTCGATACCAAAACCTTTGGAGGGTAGTGAACTGGCGGAGGGGCCGAAACGAAAGCGTAAAAGGAAGCACAAATCCACTGCTGCAGATGGTGAGACTGTCGCCATAGCCAAATCTAAGGCGGCGCCACAGCCAGAGGCTGGGGTAGAGGTGGAGGCTTGACAAGGAAGAGGGACAATGAGGATTTGGAGAGCTGACATCATAATAAACGGTATGGGGGGTAAGGGGGGCAAGGGGGCTTTTGGCCTTGGTTGCTGATGTCTGATGTCGGGGCTGGTTCACATGATTAATTTAGCTGAAAAATGAGATATCACCTGTACGAACAGTCGATCAGTTGTTTTATTTTGTATGAAATGAGAGTATCGATTGCTCGATTCCCAAGTCGCACAATGAGACAAAACAACAGCAATACTCTGAGTTCAAGGTGCAAGTGGTGGGTGGGGTTAGGTTGTCTGCGGCTTTACTAGCGGTCACACGACGCTGTGTCCACGAATGCCCCCTGCAACCTCTACTGGAGTGCTGGACCGCCTCACCGGAACTCGACCACTTCGCCCAACCAGGAAAACTCCGTGATCTCCATCTTGATTACCACAGCACAGCACGAAACAATCCACTGAGGCTGTGCTGGAGTTTTCGAACCTGTTGGCTTCAAGTGCTATTCAATGTTGTCACGACCTGTCGGTCATAGCAGGTATCGAGCTGCTACTTCAGGTTGCTTGCTTCGGCCCCGACTTTAGCTTACTGTTATTTCCATTGCTTGAGACCCCTGGATTCCTTGTCCCATAAAGGGTGTCAACTCTCGTGAACCTCGAACAATGCGCGAACCCGATGACAAGGAGCCGCCACCGCCCCCAATCAACAAGGACAATACGAATGATACAAATACAACGAGCGAAGCAGACGGCACATATGCGAAGCAGAATACTCCAATGGCGGCGGTAGCAGCAGTGCAGGAATTCGACGACTTCGGCTTGCCAATTAGGGAATACGTCAGTCCAACTCCGGACGCGGCCAACCACAAGGGCTCTACAAACACGACGGGCATAGCAGGTCAAACGAAGGAAGCAGATGATGACTCGAAGACTTTGGCTGAAGCCCCGTCGGAGAAAGTCGCCGCCAGTAAAGACATGGAACAGACGCTGAAAGCACCCACACGGCCGGACAAGGCGGACGGGTCTTCGGCCGGCAACAGCGATGACGAGGACTTTCAGGACGCACCATCAACGCCAGCGAGGACACCAGTGCCCGAACTGACCTCCCAGACCACCTTGAAGCAAACTGCAGCGCCAAAGATGGCGCCGACCGCCGAACATGCCGCACCCACAGACGCGAAGAACGCGATCGATTCAGGTCCACAAGGACAATCGAATAACGACGAAGCACCTGCGTCTCCGACCGGAAAACCGGCGGAGCCGCCAGCAGCGGCTGTAGATATGCGCCCGAGGTCTGACACGACCAGCTCTGTGCAAGCCATATCGGGGCCGTCAGTGAAGGAAGTCGCGGCCAGCAAGAAGGCCGATGAGGCGAAACGCACTTCTGCCGCGGACCACACTCGGGAGAATACTGTATCAGGCAAAGCAAATGTCATGTCTGAGTTTTCACACCAGCAGTTGACAGCGCCTCAAGAAGACGAGAAGAAAGACGAAGATGAACAATGGCAAACCATGCCTGCATATGCACCGTACGATATATACGACGACGACAACAGGCTTATAGCGAAAGAACATAATGACGAAGATGATGAGACGTATGGGTATGCTGGTCTAGGGGGTGCCGGCAAAGGATACACTAGGGTTCTTGATGATGATGCCGAATCCGAGACCAGCATGGACGGCAACACTAACTATCTTTTCAATGACAAGATTGGTACAAGTGCGGTCGATGACCCTGATGCCGAACAACGCGACGCTGTGTCACAGCTACAAGCAACTAAGGATCTCTTGACCGAGGGTCAGAGGATTGCGTATGTAGGTGCAACTCGCTTGGAACTCCAAGAAATGACCAAGGAGGCCGAAGGGCTGGAGCACACCAAGAAGACTAAAAAGAGCATCAACCTGGCTGCCGAGTCTTTGAAGATGTGGTCCCAGAAGATTATGGTCCGCTTGTATGCACACATGGAAATCAGCCCGGACGAACAGGTCATGATCGAGCAGCTTGCCACCCACGGCGTCATGCCGCAGGATCTTACACCCGTGCTGATGCAGAATGCACGTGTCAAGAATCCTATGGCCGATGACTGCGAGGCTACACATCAGTTTGGCAGCTCGACTTCACGAACGTCTATTTCCGCAAAAACAACCAGCAAACAAATAGCGACGGCACCTCCACCATATGAAAGCCATGATGGCGACGAAATGCCCGAAGTGAAGACGCCTTCGCAGCTACCCACGACAGACAAAATTGACATCGACATCCGTTGGACGGTGCTGTGCGATCTGTTCCTTGTGTTGATTGCAGATTCTATCTACGATGCAAGGTCGAGGGTACTGCTGGAGCGCGTTGGCAAGCACCTGGAAGTGCCGTGGATAGACATTTGTCGTTTTGAGAAGCGAGTGACCGACGCACTAGAAATGCAGCAGGCGGCAGAGAAAGAGAACTGGAATGAGGATGAGCACCTGGAGAACCGACGGAAGTTAGCACTCAAGCGGCGATACGTCATGATGGGATTGGCCACCGTCGGAGGCGGCCTGGTCATTGGTCTTTCTGCGGGACTATTGGCACCCCTAATTGGAGCCGGTCTGGCCGCAGGCTTCACCACCATTGGCGTGGGCGGAACGAGTTCCTTCCTGGCAGGGGCTGGAGGAGCTGCTATCATCACGTCTGGCGCTGCTGCCTCTGGTAGTTTCATGGGTGGCAAGGCTGCCGGTCGGAGAACTGGCGCGGTCAAGACATTTGAGTACCGGCCGCTGCACAATAATAAGAGAGTCAACCTGATCGTAACCATATCGGGGTGGATGACAAGCAAAGTGGACGATGTCCGTCTTCCATTCAGCACTGTCGACCCGATCATGGGGGACATGTACTCGATCCTATGGGAACCAGAGATGTTGACCAGTATGGGTGACACCATCAATATTTTGGCAACAGAAGTGAGAATCGCAATTGATCTATAAAATACTTTGATTCAGCGCTGACTACTGTCCTTAGGCCCTCACCCAAGGATTGCAACAAGTTTTGGGCAGCACCATTCTCATCGGTCTCATGGCTGCTCTTCAGTTGCCAGTTGTTCTTTCCAAGCTCGCGTACTTGATCGATAACCCATGGGCTGTATCATTAGACCGCGCTACGTCAGCAGGGCTTATTCTTGCCGATTCATTAATCGACAGGAACTTGGGAACCAGGCCCATCACGCTTGTGGGATATTCGCTGGGCTCCAGAGTAATCTTCTCGTGCCTCATGGAGCTAGCTCGTAAAGGTGCGTTTGGGGTCGTCCAGAATGTTTACATTTTTGGCTCGCCCATGGTCGTCAAGAAGGACGAATTTCTCAAGATCCGGACTGTTGTTTCCGGCAGGTTTGTCAATGGGTACAACCGAAATGATTGGATCCTGGGCTACCTATTCCGCCTAACCAACGGTGGAATCCGACGGGTGGCAGGGCTAGCGACTGTCGATGAGATCCCCGGCGTGGAGAACATGGATTGCACTGAGTTTGTAGTTGGCCATATGGACTATCGTCAAGCTATGCCAAGGTTGTTGAGGGAGTGCGGCTGGCTCGTTGAGAGTGACGAGTTTGCCGAAATTGAAGACCCAGATCCTGAGCAGCACAGAGAACGCCAGAGAGAACTCATCAATGAGATTGAGGATGCTCGCAAAGAGCTGGAGAAGGAGGACAAACCGGAAAAGAAAGGAGCCTTGGGCTTCTTCTCCCGAAAGAAGAAAGCCCAGCGTCAAGAGTGGGAAGTCTACGAAGACAATAAAGGCTTACCCGCCTCCAACGGGAGAACGGAGGACAAGTTGGGCAACAACCACGGTGTGCTTTTCGACGTGGAGGCCATGCGAGCTGAACTTGCACAAGAGCACGAGGAGTTGCAAGTTAAAGAGCTACAGTCAACACTTCCGCCGATAAAGCTGGACCTGGTCTCTAACGACAGCCCTCGAAATAATTTACGCGTGACGCGAAGTGATGATGCGACCACGACGTTGCGGGGTACGATGCCATATGAGCCGAGCACGTCGCAGGGGCTGTTTGAATCAAGTCTCCATCCCTCGTATGGATATGCACCACATGATGAAGATGTCCAGATGACGTTCGACACTTCATACCGTACGCCGGAACCGCCAGCGAAAGATTTTCAATATTTGCCGCCCACACGGCCTGAAATGAAGTCGAGCCAGACGGTCCCCACTATGGCTCTACACGATCCATGGGGCGATGACGATGAAGATTTTGGCAAGGAAAAAGAAATCTCGATGACGTTTGCGTGATACATGACGAGGATTATAATACCACTTGTTAGTATTGGGTTCAATGGATTCGGTTGAAGTGCGTCTGAGGGAGGTGCACATTCAAAGGGGCCCTGCTTCGACTTCAGAACTCACAAAAAATCGCCCCCGATTAACGAACAACATGGAAGAGAAACCATAGCATCATGGCGTTTAAACCTGTAGGTCGTAGCATTGAGGAATATTGCATGATTGGCCAGACTTCCCAGGATGGGTGAGGGTACTATGCATTCTTTTGCAAGGTGGGGGAGGGGACGGGGCAGGGAGCTTCAAGCTATATGCCGAGACATAGGAGTACCTGACAACAATTGAAGATGCAGAAAGACGGTGCGTACTCTTCAGCCGCTGGCCGTTGTTGCCGGCCCGTGTTGCCGGCCCACGTTAGCGACATTTTATCCTCAAGTTGGGTCGGGTGTTTGACGAACTATTTTTGAACTACGCAAGTATCTTAGATCATGACAGGCCGAAGGCGATCCGCATGACCACAACTCACGACGAGCAAATCTGTTTTTAGAAAGTTTACCTCAGCGCCAATGATGAGTAACACGCGTTACCATACGTGAACTCATTTGGCATCATTAGGGCCCACCGTGTTGACAATAGCCTCGAACGTCAGTCGGCCTACTCAATGGCACCTGGAATGCGAACAATGAACGGGTCGCAGCCTGTTGCTATTTATTGTACTAAGACACTAGACCCCCAAGCTCGCGCTTCCAGTTTGGAAGGCAGCGCTTGGAGAAAATAGACGAATCCTGCAAGGGCGCTAAGAGTAGGGGTCCCACACCATCCCGAGATTCCCATCCTTGGCAGTGATCAGCCGCAGCCTAAGACTCTGCTGTTTGAAGCCCGTAAGGCTGTCTCACGAGTTTCCCTCTCCAGAAGTACCGTAGGCTTTGCGAGACGAGAGTTATTTTTCAATAAGCGATTTATCTAGACCCATGTGCCGTAGGTTTTGTATGTGTTTAACCAAGCAGCCATCCAAAAAGGCGCAACAATCGAGACGAAACCGCTGTCCCACCTGAAGGATCGAGAACTCCTTAGGGCTACATTTTGTGTGCAGCTCGTCAGTCCAATCAGCATATGCGTGTCCCCGGTCGTGCCCATCGAGTGGGTTTAACGCTTTTCGGCAATGCACCCTGTCTCTGCCGCCCATATTGGCTTCAAGTACCTTTCCGCTGCGTCGGTGCCGGCGAGGAGATTTTTCTCTACGTGAGGGGCTGTCAGCAAATATTTCGTGCAGGTAAGCAATCGCTCGTCAGATAATGCTGTGGGACTAGCTCTTACCACCATCCATCATCCATCTAGGCTCAGCGGGGCGCTTGTTGGAACCTCCCCCTGGCATACGACCTTGTTTCGATGTGACGTTGGTGCATCATTGAAAACGATGTTGGTGATGAATAAAGAACAGCCGGCATGATGAATGAAGGTAAGGCGCGCATTGCCACATTCACCGTACCCATATCCTACTCCATTGTCAGCAACGACGAGTTCCATGTCGCCAGCATGCAACAAACATTACAATCGTACAACTGAATGGCCAGTGTTTTCACATATGATTTCTTCTAACACTACTACTAGGCTGCGGCGTAGTTCATCTTCGCGGGTCTCTTATGGGGGATTGGGATGTGTTGGTTCGTCAACTGGTGGGAGGCGCTGTATGCTGCATGAGCGGTATGTTTTGGTGCACGACTATGCGCAGATCAAGCGGGCGCTTGTCCAACGAGAAGTCGACCAGGCTCAGCTGAGCTGACATTGCACATTGCACTACCAACCCACATCCTTGCTATCCAGATCCCCCAGGCCGTTTCTCCCCTTCTCTCCTGTTCTCTCTTCCACACGTCTCTCGGTTTGCTTGCAAATTTCATCCCTTCTCCAATACTATTGTCATTACGGTGGATCTTCTGCGTTTAGCGTTGCTCCCGCGTTCACGACACGGTCGGTACAAGTGAACGTACTGGTTTGCTACTTGGTATTTCGGGTTGCAAGGCAGCTGCATTGAGAGTTGACAGAAGGACGATATCTTGGGCCTTGGAGCTAACTACTTCCCAACGAGACACACGATACCCCCGTGAGGTGACACAACGAAAATGCGACTCGATGCCTCGGCGTACGGACTCATAGCCTGCGTGGTCGGGGCTCAGGCGGAGGAAAGGTCGACTATATCATCATCTACGTCCATACCCTTGCCGGGGAGAGCCACGACATCGACGACCAGTTCCATCACCTTTTCGCCTAGCCAGTTCCATGGAGAATCAAATATCATCCCGCCTGAAACCAACCTAAGCATCGCATGGATACCTGCACAGAGCGTAACAGTCACCAAGATCAATTGGGTTAGGTGGGTTAGTTCCAGTTCCTATGAGTTTGTAGGGACAACCTCGCCGACAACGCAGTTCCCTCGCTTGGGTCGTTCTCGGAACGAAGACGGAACAGCTGCTGCTGCTGTTGAAAAGGCGGACGAGATCATACTCTATCATAGAGAGAACTGGGGAGCAGGTATGGGTCAGAGGGAAAAATCGAATTTGAGTTCGATTGGATTTTGTTCGTGCTGTCTTTCCCACTCATATTCACAAAGACTGCACACTGACATGAATGAACTGCAGTCGACACATCGAAGAATGAGTTGACGTTGAATATCACAAGACAAATGGAAAATTCGGACACCCACAGCATCTTAAACACACCCATCTTCCTACAACTTTTGTGGAACAGTACAGACAAATCGGGCACCAAGCACAGCTACAGCTATAGCACTTATTTTGCCTTGACCAACTACAGTGAGCACAGCAGTCAGTTGGGCAGCCTCAAAGATAAAATGGGCAACCTGAGTCTAAATAAGCCAGCGCTGTCTGAAGGAGTAGCCCTTGATCCCCCCAACCAGCTGGGAACTGGGGGGGTTTCTCAAAGCCCAACTTCGGTGTCCGCCGTGTCCGCCGTGTCCGGGCCCGTGTCCTCGTCCTTATTCTCTTTGGCGACCACCACGCCCGTGATAGGTCAAGCAAACGAAAGCGGCAGTAAACCAAGCGGACTCGCAATCGGCGCCATCGTCGGCATTGCGGTCGGCTGTGGCATCGCAGGTCTTCTCATCATCGGCTTCCTCGTCTGGTTCCTCTGCTTTAGCCGCCGCCGCGACCACAAGCCTATGCAGAACGTGGGCTACGCCTCGGACTCGGGTGTCCACGGCATGATGGCCGACAAGGAGATGCCCGTTATCAACGACAGCCCGCGGTCTCAGTACCCCGATGACAACAGCCGTCTTCACGACGGCAGCTCCATGGTGGTGAGCACTCACGGCCAGGAAGATGACGGGTCGTACGCACCGTACAGCGACAGAACAGCGACACCTCCAGGAGCAGCAGCCGTTGTTTCAGGGACAGGGGCAGGGGCCGCCGCAGGAGCCACGGCGAGTCAGACGGAGTTGCGGTCGAGCAGGTCGCCCACGCCGCCTATTGTATCAAGATATGCACATTTGGTTGAAGAAGGGATGACAGAGGACGAGATCCGTAGGCTCGAGGAAGAGGAGCGACAGCTGGATGCTGCCATAGAAGATGCTGGCAGAAATAGTCGTGCGGCGTGAGATTGCATTTGCGCGTAGAAATGACGTGAGCGACAACGCCGGTGGTGTTTTTCATACAAAGGAGGTTTGAAGGCTGGAAGTCTTATCTTGATTACAAACGTAAACTCGCTTTTTCGTGCGAATGAAAGAGCCATGATATCCTGGGGTGCGTAGCATAGGTGTGTAATGAGATATTTCGGGTTGGACATATAGATGTTGTGCAAAATGTCTGCAACTATTCATTATGATGTTGGCTTGAATTGCTTTTGCCCTGCTACCTTGTGATACGGTCCCCTAGTACTTTCTACCGTACAAAGAGATCCGAAACTCCTATCCGCTGTCCTTGAAGTCAAGGACCCTCAACACGCCGCAATGTAAAAATGTGACTAGAATACACGTACTGTATTAGCCAGTACATGGCCCAACTCTACTGGCCATAGCCAGCTCAAAGTCCTGAATGATCCCCCAAAGCATCTGGGCTGCCGTCTGCCCGTCAGAGGATTGCCCACTACAACCTTCACGATCTACCAAAAGTAAAGAGGCGACTGGCCATATTGCTCGCTATGCTACCAGCCAAGTTGCCTCCGTACAATGCGCTTCCCGCCATATTCGATGCCTGACTGAACTTGTCGCATCGCGAAAAGGCCAGGCTGTTCGTAACCGTGAGGGTCAAGGCGATGGCTAGGTAGTTTCATTAGTCTCTGTGCTTTTCTCCTGCTTAATTTCCCAGACCAAGCGATTCGTTCCATCTAGAGCCAATCGCCGAAAGGAATGTAACTCACCAACAAGCGGCAGCCAAATAAACTTGAGCCGGATCAGCGCCAGAATGGCCAGGGCGACCCACAGCACGGGCTGCGTGTAGATGGCCAGCCAGAAGAAGCGGCTGTCGGTAGGGTTGATGGTCTTGGTGCCGGGCTCGCTGCTCTCAAAGACCCAGTGGCTGTCGCCCGACGTCGGGTCAACCTCGTTCCACCAGCGCAGCCCAACCAGTCGCCGTCCCGCGATGTTCTTCAGGTAATAGAAGTCGGCAGCCAGGAGCAGGATCGTGACGATGAAGATCATGACAAGGTTCTCGATGAAGATCATGCCGAAAAGGTACACGAGGAGGGATGCTAGAAGAGGAAACATCGACGATTAGCATTTGCATCGTAGTCGTCGCATCGTGCACACCACGCGGGACGGTAGGCAGATAGATGGCGGGCGGTTGGGGGATACTTACAGACGCGGAATGCCAGAAAGAAGAGCAGAGTTATGGGGTGCGAACTGAGGCGCCAGCTCAGAGAGCCTGGCGTAGGCTGTGGTTGTTCCATTGGAGATGTGTTGGGGTGTAGAGTCGCAATTCAACTCATATTCTGCTGTTGAGATGAAGCTGCGTAATGGTGCCCGGACGGAGCTGTGACAAGCTGTCCCGAGCAGGGTTACCGCGACACCACTGAGCAGGCAGGCGCTCTATGCTCAAGATTGTCTGGCCTGGCAGCTGGCTCCAGTCCGTCGACAAAATGCCGGGCCGTCACTTGAGCACTTGAACACTACTTGAGTACTTCCTTAAGCAAAGCCGCTGGCCATATTCATCAATCTTTCCAACTTCAAGACTCCTGCAAGCTCAATTTTTCTCGGCGAGTAGTCGATATCTGGCGGGAATCTACTGGACCAACCTCATCTACTGTACTATACTGGAGTAAAGCCGTGGTTGCATTCACCTTGGCTTGTCAGGCACGTATCATGCAATACAGCCATAAGCATTATCGTCAAATACTTTGGTTTGGAAGAGTGAAAATGGGGGGGATGACCACCCATTTCAAGACCTGATTGGTAATGCTATGCTACTCATGTAGGAACAGATGGTCCCACAACGTAGTCTATCGATGAGGCAGATCCACCACGACAGCATGAATAGCGGCAAAGTTGGCCAGGTGACTTATTAACAATAAACGTTTAATTACCCTTTAGCCACGATGCCGAAACCTTGGCTTAGTCGTATCTAGTATAATATCATACCAGGTGGTAGGTGGTGGCCCCTCCGGCAAGGTTCATTCCAAAGGCTGAGCCAGGGAATGGATAGCCACAATGTCAAAGCGTGTGAGTACCTGAGTTTCTACGCTTCGTTTCAACATATTGTTTTTTCACACACACTGATATACCTTTCAAAGCCTATGGTATTTCTCAAAATAGCATACCTGTTTCTGTGGTGATCTGACCGTCCAATGGAGGCCCATCTCTGTCAGTGTGTTTTTGCTCTTACACTCCAACACTACCATGAATACTATGTAGGCAACATAGACTGTCTCCAATACAACATCAAGTATATATTACTGGCCAGTTATAGCGACTGGAACACCTTCCTGGTTGAAAAATAATCGTCCATCGTCTGCTCGAGCTGCTTTCCTTCCCTTCCTAGCAGTAGCACAAGCATGTGACCAACACTTCCTCTATTGGTTATGCGTAGCGTCTTCTGGTTACGTAACGGTCGTAGTGTTCCAATTGGTTGCTCTCTTTGTAGTTGGGGCAGCTGCTTGCACTCTGTCTCGCCGCCTCGAACGCTCGGTTGACATCAAACGGCGAAAGCCCATTGTTTGTAATACTGGAAAAAATTGAGCACTGGGGCTTCATGACTGTTTCTGACATGGGACACTGAACCTTGGCGAATGAATTAGGAAACACTCACTCGCCCGAGTGCCTGCCGTACTGCCAAATTTGCAAACGGATTGGACACACTAGGACCAGGAGTGCTGGGTGTCGGTTGGGGAAACGGGCCGGAGCCAGTCGCATTTGATCTTAACATCAACGGCGCCTTTCGTTTGGTGGTCTGTTGCTTACGTGTCAAATAGACGTTGCCTTGTGCCATTTTCGAATCCAAGAACAATGCCAACGAAGCGACAAGGAAGCCCACATCTATAGATGGACAGCAGCGATTGATGAAGCTGCAGCCAGGGACTGTCTTGGGAGAAATTTTCACAATCACGTTCTGACCCCCACCGTCTTCTGCCAGACCCCATTCAACCAGGTTACCAAGCTGAGTTGGTCGTCTCCGGTGTCCCACTTCAAGGTGATCATTTCCAAGATAGCGATGAACTTCCGGTGCACCCACGTTCAGGCCTTGGAGTCATCTGTCAGATTGCGTAGGCGGTAGATTCTAGCGGGGATAACCAGGCTGGAAGTCTTGCTCGTGGATGTAGTACCAAGTTCCAGCGAGCTAAGCATAGCATTCTAGGAAAAGGGCTAGACGAAGAGCTGCTCGTAGTAAGAATTGAAGGTTTCTTTCGAAATCTCCTACCAGGAAAGGTCAAACTTAGTGGAACCTGCCGCATCTTCTACTTTTCTCGGAAGTAAGAAGAGTACTCGGTGAGGACTTGCGAAGATTTGAGAAGTTCTCCCAGTCGACATTGGGCGTTATCACGTGGGCCGGATATCTGGACGGTATTGAGTGACAGTCAATTTCAAAGCGTGACACAAATAAGTCAGAGATTATATGAGAGGAGTGTCTTCATCTGTGTCTGTCTTAGATAGACCAGGTGCCGGTGAAGACTCCGATCCTGCCGTGGAAGGGGTGATCGAAGAGGATGGAGATGAAGGTGGTGGAGCACGAACGTCACAGCAAAGTAGAGAAGGTACTTCCACATACTTTGTAATTTTTGGCAGACGCACGGGGCTTCTAAACCGTGGGACAAGACTTACGGTTGCTGCTTCCACCTCTGTTTCACTCACAAGTTGCAAGTGACATGTGTCCAGGACAAAATAATATTCAAGACTTAACAAACACTCCCTTAGAGTTCTTCCCATAAATTTCCCAGGAAATTTTACTATGTGGAATGCGTGGAAGGTAAATCAAAACTGGCCATAACAATAGGGGTCGCGACAAGTGTATCGTTATTTCTTGCCCTAGCTACCCTCCTTCGGAAGACCCGCCCTTCGAGAAGCAATTCGTCTGTCGATCTTGCTCGAGCTGGTCAATTAAGAAGCTTTCCCAGTGAGATTAGGATGTTCCGCAACTTCATATTTTATGACGCAGCGCGAGCGCTAAAGCGTCACATATACTCCGGCAGGATAGGCCGGCGAAGAGGAAGCAGGCGTCGTAGCTACTCCGACCGGCAGGGTACACTATGGAGAAGGAGGCCCGGGGCTCCGAGTGGATGAGTGAGGAAAAGGAGGTCCCGGCTGCCCTCCTCGGCCACTGGAGGAAGAGATGGCTCACCGGAGCAGAGCATCACGATCGCCAGCGACGCGCCATCGCTGAGGAACCGGAGGGCCCTTCGATGCAGATACCGAAAGGGGGCAAGTATTTCGGCCTGAACCGACTGGAAGCGTCTACGCTGTGCCAGATCAGGACGGAAAAAATAGGACTAGCAGCCTTCTTATTCAAGACAGGGGCTTTTGGCGTGTACTCGCCGCTATGCCGCTGTGGCGACGCCCCTGAGACGGCAGAGCACGTAATCCTCTTTTGCGGGCTGTTGGAAGGACCGAGGGAACGATTACGGGCCGCTATCGCACCACGGCCACTATACTCTCGCAGAGACCTCGCAACGGCAACAGGAGAACCAGTAGTTAATGGGACTATTGTAAGGTGGCTGCTAGGGACGGGTCGGACAGCTTCAAGGCCCAGATAGCATCGATCTTCTCAGGGGGGACTTTGTTGGTAGGTTGAGAACCAACGTAGTATGGTAGTGAACGCAACGCAGTCGCCAATAGGGCGAACCGACGACGCAGCGTATGTATTTAGTCCAGCCATTAGGGCACGGTTTGACATACGGGAGTACTAGTAGAGGTACCGGGGGCTTCGAGCCTACGGCGTATTTAATAATAATAATATTTTATGAGGTACTGCTACACCTGCGGAGACCCGGCAATGTTAGGTAGAAACTACGACATCATTTCTCCGTATGAGGAAATTTGGCATTTAGGTCAGTATTAATTCCACATTGACAGAATTAAGAGAGACCAAGATCAATTATTTTGTTCCACGGCGCGGGGACCAGTCGTATTGGGCTCTTTCTTTGGATCAAATCGACGCCGTCGAAGCCTCCAGGCTATAGCGGCGATAACTGGTATCAGCAACAAAAGCAAGCCAAGGACTACCACCCAGGCTTCAGTCCCAGGAGTATCTTCAAACTTCGAAGACTTCGTAGGCTCTGTATCTCGAACAGAAGACATTGGATCGTCTGTTAACGGTGATATCGTAGTTGGTGTTACTGAGGCCTCTGTCGATCAAGGAGTCGAGCTCACAGGTTGCATAGGGGTCGCATGCAGGCCAGTTTCTAATTTGCGGTGAAGGGTTTCCCAACTATTAATGTATGCTGAACTGGACAAGGCAAAATCAACACTAAGAGGTAGGTTGTCAGACACACATAAATCTTAACCGGCCGACCTATATTGTATATTGTTTCCCAATGAATCATCCTTAATCAAGCCCCTTCAACACATAGTTGTCATAGTATCCGGGGCTGATTGAGCGCAAGTCATGGAAATGCAAGATTGCAACTTGTAGGACACGGTATTGTGGAGGCAAATATGTTGAATTGAGTATATTTGACATTCGAAGTAAAAGGCAAACTACTCCTTTGCCACACCTTCCATGAGGGCAGTGAAAAGCCCTATCTTACACGTTTGCCACATTCTACTATCTGTGTACCATTGATAGTACCGGTGTATAATAGTACGCTGATCACCGAATTATGACATATTATCTTTGCAAGAACAAGAGAAATCCCCTTTATGTGTTCTTGAGAACTTATTGTTTAACTGCCGCACCATACCGCAACCTAGGAGATGGTATAAACGGCGCCCCAAGAATGTAATAATATGGAATAGCCCAACATTTCAGTGTAAGACACTAGGCATAACTTGATGATCCCACCTGAGGGCGCCGTTCATTTTGTCTTGCAGTTACTAACACCCCAAGGAAAGTAGTCCTTGTTAAATTGTCAGAAAAGGGTTTGGCATGATGACTGTATTTTTTGATCTCAGTCGCTCGGTATGTATCTCACGGCCTATGACGCCCACATGTGTTTGCCTGTACGGAGTCTAGAGGCAATGCGGTTCCTAGTATTATTATTATAGGTATCTACTATGCACTACCAGGAACTAGGAGAACACGACTTGCTTCATAGTTGGGCGAAAAGAGTTTCATATGGAGAGATTTGCTATTGAAGAGCCAGCCGTGGGCGGCACCGAAATTCTGAGGATAGTGCTGCTTTTTGGACGGCGTAGCGTAGCATTTGAATACAGATGGGTTAGAACGTCTGAGAAGAAACAGTAATACCAGAGACCTAGTGTAATTGGAGAACATGTAGTGCTGATAACAAATACTTCTTCTATGAAAGGATCTCAACATCTGGACCAACTCATCATATGGGAAGGTCCAACACAGTACATCGAAAACACAATGGACTCCTCTACGAAACCCTTCACAATTGGATAGAGAAAAGTCTCGTGCCCACAGATTAAACTAAACTTTGTTATTACTGCTGTGACTGTGATAAATCCTCCCTCTAGTTCCCCGAACCCCATGTACAACATTGCGGTGTCGGCTCTAGCACGAGTTTGCCATGTGTTCATGTGCTGGGTTTGCATCTTATATCGCATAATGAGCATAATCGTGAAGACCCCCCAGCCTATGGTTATGACTATGCAGATGCCTACTGGAATTGCGGTGCTCATGTTGTCGTTAGTCTTCAATCGAGATTGAGATTACTAGGTTTGTTATAAGGGACTGGAAATAATTCGGTACCGCATTTGGAGACTTCTACTTTGTGGACTTTCTACTGCCAAAAATGACTTGCGGGAGTGGATTCGGCAGATCATCAATGATTGATAGTCAGGTTGGTTTCGTCTGCGAATGAGCGAGTAAGTTAGGAACGTGACAGTTGCAAGCCCAGGTTTTGCCTTCGTTCAGCTGTGTTTTCATCACATCTTCGCAGTGCGATTCACCAGTCACCACGCTGGTTGACTGAATCCCGTTGTACATCAAGACCGACTAGAAACAACGAGAACAATGCCGGTGATGAAACTCGATCCTCAGAAAAAAAAACTCACGATATTTACCTCTTACCTGCCCAACGTCAACCCCCCGTCCCCTCCCCTTTTTCATAATATTTCTTGACGACGCCTGCCAGCTTGCATCCCCTCAAACCACCTTCTGTTCTTAGAAAAGATCTCGTTTCCATTCCAAATGCCTCATTGAGCTCAGCATCTATCATAGCCATGTCATCACCCCCATCCTGAGCCTCCTTATCCCTCCTCTCCAGCTCCTCCAGCCCAACACAGTGCCTCTCCACCTTCTGCCCACGCTCTCTCTCAAAAGTACCAGCCGCATTTTCCAAGCTAATCCTATCTACACTCACGTATACGTGAATCCCCCCTCTCTCACCAACAGGCACTTTCAGCGATCTACTCATACGCCAAATCATCTGCCATAGTGAGGCTAATCTAATTCCAACTATCCCCCGGGACTAACACTCACTTCCTATCCGCATCTATGGGACTGGGCAGGCCAGGAAAGTCCTTCTTCTTGCCCTTGAGCAGGAAGAAGCTCATGAAGATGCCGTTATACACCAGCACGTGCTCGATCCGCTCTGCCTTACGTACGGTCTGCAGGCGCGTGCGGAACTGCAGCTTGATCCTCCTTAGCACTAGGTGGCACCGGGAAGCGCGCGAGGTCGTTTGGACACTCAGCCGGCACGAGCGGCGCAGCTTTTGGGTCACAGGGGCGGAGAGCAAGTTGCCGTGGGAGTGAACTTGGGATACCGGGTCGGTGAAATTGACTATGAAGGACAGGCGAGTGTCTGCGCCTACAAGTGCATTGTTCAAGGATTCGGGAGTCGTAGTCGACTACCTGGACTGTGGTTAGGGTTCAGTTACAAGGTCTGTATCATATATGTTGGTGGGTAGGCGATGTTACTCTGACAACAGCGCCCTAGTCCTTCAAGTCAGGCTTTGGTGAGCGCGAGAGCACTTTGATTTTGAGCTTGCTGCTGGCCAAGAACTCGTCCAGGATATGCTTGCCTTGGCGGCGATGGGTTTACTACAGAAATGGATAGCCTTACCAGCGCACCAGCTCCTGCTATGACGATATTCTTCAACGTGGACGAAACGAAAGCTTGCTGCTGAATACTCAGGTAAAAGGCAGAGGGTCGGATCATTTGTGTGTGGTTGAGATGGGGAGATATTAAATGATATATGCCCTTGAAATCGACACGGTGCCGGTACGTGCAGCACAAGTAGGCGAAATACACCAATGATCCTCAAATTTTATTCAGCTACGGACAGCCAAGAAGCCCTACTGAGAATAAGTCCAAAATGTGCCCGGGGCGTCCGGTCTACAATTTTGGCTGCACGGATCCGCCGCATTGGAGCGGCCAAGAGACTGCAAGAGCTGAACTCAAGTCTTCACTTTCATACAACCTCAATGTCAGAATTTGAAGCATGTGTTTGATGATGATCGTCTAGTTGCTGCCAAACTGCTGTTAAATGGCTCTACGTACCATACGTACCAACTCAGCTGGTAGTTGCAGATTTCTGCGCCACAGAGCCGCTTATCTGCTTCCTTCGTTCACGAGTCGCAGTTAGACTTCCCCTTGCGCGAAATGATAAAAGGAAAGACCACTCAAAAGTTCCTGTACATCCGAACCCTATGAGCATGCTAAGACGGAGTATGGTGCCCGTCTAGTAAGACCAGGCTCCTGCCACCGTGGCAGAGCCACACTAGGTCTCTGGCTATTCCTCCGGCGTTGCATCCGTATGAACCAAAGTGTGATGCGAGTGGTGTACAATGCGAGGACAGCCATGACCCGTAGAAAATCAGTGTCAACGCCCCCAATCCAAGTACATGCAGGATTTTGTGAGTTGAATGATGCCCAGGAAGAACTGCCATTTTGGGTGTAGATAAAGAATCTCCCAATTTACTGTACAAGAAACATTCTGACGATGAGAGTTTGGAGGATGTTTGAAGAAGAGCACTGCAAGTTGTGAAGGGCTAGATGGGGTTGAGGCAAGCTCAATCCGATACCACAACTTGGGTTAAACGAGGTGGGCCGTGTGTCTTCATACTTCCCACTCTTCCTCGATTTCATTGTCATCTGTGGTCTCATCGGGGGTCAAGGCAACGAACGAGGAGGTACTGCTCAAGCCTGGCTTCGGTTTGTTGATGCCATTGGCGGGGGCCTTGGGCGTAGGCGCAGAAGGGACGTTCTCGGCCGACGAAGAGTTGTCCGGGTCCTGTGTTTTCTTGCCCTTCTTCTTCTTGCTTGTAACCTCATTCCAGGCATCTTCTTGTTCCATGCTCTTGAGCTTCTCGAGCTGTTCCTCCTCTGAAGGCACAGAGGACATCCACGAATCAGGTCGCTCCTTGATCGAGGAGGTAGCTGGCTTCGGCGTGTCGAGGCTTGTCGTGTCGGCCTTTGCCTTCTGCTCAAAAGTGTCCAGAGGCTGGACCGAGGCAGTGGGGGAGTCGCCGTTGGTCTTGTTAGACCAGGCATTTGATTGCTGCGCCATGAAGACCGAACCGTCTTTGGCGGGACGACCCTCGGCAATACGAGCTGCGCGTCGTTGGGCATCAGCCAATGCCTTTCGAGCCTTCTCCGCCTCTTCGTTTTGCTCCTTAGCCTGCTCGGCCTTCTTGCGGTTTTGTCGCTGTTTCTTCGTCACAATAGCTTCGGCTGCCTTGACTTTCTTCTCCTTGGTCTTGACCGAGTCGGTCGAGGTGAGGCGGAGGATCGAGGGTCCAGCATTAGGCTTCTCCAGCATGTCTGACACATCTCGACTATCAGCCGCGGCAATCTCGGGCGAGTTGGCGGGCGACAGGTCATCATCGGCATCACCTGTGGTGGAAGATGGAGCCGAAGTCTTGGTTTCGGCGGGAGCTGCGGCAGCGGCCTTGGGTGCTTCCTGTGCCTTGGACGCCTCCTGAGCCTTGGACTGCTTGACAGACTTTTGACGCTTCTCGTCCGTCTTATTGGCCGTGTTGATGCTGGTACCAGTCTTCAGGTTCGCAAACTGGCGAGCAAACTCACGGTCGGCGATCTTGGAAGATTTGTCCTCCTCGGGATCGACATTGACGCTGGAAGAGAAGGCACCACTGGTCGAAGTGCTTGGGGCCATTGGCTTGGGCTTCGACTTGGGCTTCAGGGCCTTCTCGGTCTTCTTTTTCAATGCAGCACCCGCTGATTTCGCATCGGCCTCCCAAGTGGTTTCTCGCCCCTGTTGTGCGGGGGCTTTGCTGAGCAGATTCCGCCTGACCCAGCCGAAGCCGCCAAAGTAGACGCCTGCTACGACGACAATGAGAGTCCATCCACCAATGGTGGTGAGGGCATTGTATCTGTTGGAGCTATCCATTGTGGGCGATGGGTGGTATTAATGCTAGAATATCTCGATGGACGTCCTCGCTCGTGCCACTCGGGGCGCTGAGTAGCTGGGCAGGTCCTGGCTAAAGCTGATGCTCGTGGTCGTGAGTGGAGGATGGCAATGGCGGCTGTAGCAATGGGATCTGCTCGATGCCAATGACAAGTACCAATAATTGTCGTTAAGGAAAGGACAGATGATGCTGTACAGGTTTGGCAGGTCGTTTCGCGTGTGGCCAGTACAACAGAATTGCCAATGGAGGAAGGAAGGTACGAGGTGCGTGTCTTAAAGGAGGTGCTGGGCACTGGTAACTGTCAATCAGGCGAATCAAGTGTCAACGAGAAATGAAGGTGCCAACTTTGATGGAATCAGAGGAAAGCAGTTCAGGTCCGAGATGACACCCACTTGTGGCACAGCGACAAGAGAATTGGAAAAGATAAAATTCAATGCTGCAGGACTGTAATTGCAGTTGGAGATTCAGCATTTGCCCCAGACTCAATCAAGTTGGACGTTTCCCTGACTTGGCCAGGTGTTCTCACGAGGTGGTGGCCAATCAGAGGTGGGCTTATCGAGAATTTGGCTTGGATGCTTTACAGGTGTTAGGGTAGGGGGGAAGCTCTGCGCAAAGCCTTTGAGGCATTTGGGGTCTGGACTTTCCTCTCCGCCTGGCTCTGGACACTGGCAAAAGTTCGGACATGTGCCGCGTATCTCGGTCCTCCTGGTCTGGATACGACGCTTGAAACCGAACAATTTAGCAACAAGTTGGAAGTCACCAATGTATGGCAATACCACCTAAAACGCCTGTCAAGTCGAGTAGCGCGGTTTGGAAGAAAGGCAGCTGAAGGTGGTTTTGCAATTCGAGGATTGGCGCACAGTGGATTTAGATGTGGAATCAAGTTGGAGAGTTTGACAACCTGGAAGCGCATCAGTGCTTGGTATTGATAATCCATCCATCACCTCATTCATGGATGGCTTCAATAATGGATGATCCATGGACTTGATCCATGTCACCCGTGCCACATCCCACATTTCGGATTCGCTCACCACCAACTTGGCCAGTTTTTCGACGGATTTCAACCTTCAATTAGAATCTACGTAATAACCGCCAACCAAGGCCTGTCTCGAATACATCTGTAGGCTGTAATTGGCCTGTCAATCGACGTCTTCTAGCTTCTTTTGCGGCATCAGAAAAGCTCTTTTTGGCTACTCTACGTAGTCCTTCATGATACTTGGCGAGAACTCTCTGTGCTTTAGCTACCTCATCTTCAACCTTCCTCTTCACCATCTCTCTACCTTCTGCAACGGATAAAACTCCACCAGATTGAAGATGATAGTTCTTCGTAGCGCGCCGTTGTTTTGATATACGTTCGGCGTACTTTGTACGGCTAAGATCGCGCTTAGTCTGCATAAGCTCGGTCGCATTAACGAGGGACCCTTTAACAAAGCGACTAAGTCGATAGGCTAGATCTGGACCAATACCAAGCTCTGGATCAGTAAGAAAGTTCGTAATCTTGCTAGCTACTTTATTAATTTGTCGAAAAGTAGTAGGTGTGCCTTCATATGACGAAGATGAAGGGGCTGGTGGTGGTGATGGCGTCTTTGGTATACGTTCTTCAATCTCTTGTAGTATTGGATGAGGGTAAAATGGATATATACCGGTTTTCTTGAAGGCTGACTGGATAGTACTCGCTTTGAAGGTCTTTTTGCGTACATCTTCGATAATTGAGAGGAACTCTAGCTTGGTTATATTGGTACATCCATCCCGTACTAGCTGATCGAGGGACTTCGCATGCCAGTGCTTATATGGCTGAAAAACAACCACATCTAGTGGCTGTAAGAGATGAGTAAGATGGGGGGGCAAGCCGAAGGGTATAATATCGTGGTCGTTGCAGTACTGGATAAACTGCTTCGTATGGTGGCTGCCGTGGCCGTCTAAGATCAATAGTCGCTTTCGACCTTTCTGCGTTTTCTTAGAGTGTTGTTCGAAGTGCATAAGCCACTCGAGAGAGATCTCGTCATTCGAATAACCTGTATCGACCGGCCGTAGCTTCGTATCTGGATGAAGGTCTTGCGCGTACCACTGAGCCGAGTGGATAGTCCCCGTGAGTATGAGGAAAGCTGGTATTACGTCGCCAGCAGCAGAGATAGCTTCAATAGCTGTCGCTGTCTCTCTATTTTCTGGTAGGCCGAAGTAATGGGCCCTCTTGCGCTTAGTGATGATAAGTTGATCGTTACCAACACCAATCCGGAAGCCAGTCTCGTCCATATTCCAGAGATCAGAGGGATCGATTCCTTCTTCCCGGAGGACTCTCTCAAGCCGTGTAAAATACTCTCGTATAGTGTCGAGGTTTTCAGCAGTCTGGCGGTTTGAATGGAGCTTCCGCTGGGAAGCGTGGAAGTAGCTATGGCGCTTGAGGAAACGTGTAGTCCAGTTTGATCCGACTGTTGGTGGTGGCTGATTTGGTAGAACCTTGACTCTCTCACGCAATATCGTATTTGCAGCGTCGGTAACGAATTCTACGCGAACCGCAAGATTGATCCTATCAAGGCGGTCGATGTAATTACAGAGGGCCTTTTCTTCGGCTTCAGATAGTAGTTTGTTGAGTCCTCCGTGGTTCTTAGTCTTCCCAGCTTGCTTGACGCGGTATCGGAGGGTCTCGCGTTTTACGCCGCTTTCTCGCGCAATCTTGGCAATTTTGGCTTGAGGATGCTCTTGCATGTAGAGGACGGCTTCCTGTAGCTGTGAGTCCATTGCTATTGGAAAATTAATTGACGAAGATAGGATAGGTTGAAGTTGAAAGTGTCGAAAAACTGGCCAAGTTGGTGGTGAGCACCAACTTAGGTTGGTGAGCTCAAGCGAATCCGAAATAAGTAGGGTGTGGCACGGGTACCACATTGGACGCATCCACGAGCTCGGAGTTCGGTCCCAGAAGACAGTCGTAGAACCCTTGTGTCTGCAGGATTATGGCCGGGAGTACTGGATTAAAACATATTGGTTCCTGGCGAGGAAGGTCGGGTATCATGCGTGCCGACAACGGGAATTGAGTCAATTAGTTACACCGTCATCTAAGAAGCAGTATCACAACATTAGCTGTAATTCGGTAACAAATGAGACCTGCGAACTCCGAGTCCGAGGAATAGCAGCATGAGGGGGCCAACTACAGCGTGCAAACACGGAGAAAGGTGATCTAGTCGATTAGTTGTCTGCAGTTGATGCAGTTACTACCATTTTGGTCGGCTTTCGCGGGTCACCGGTGGGCACCGGTGGGCACCGACTTGACTCGAATGGAGCCGGCCATGATATCATGCAATGGGGCTGATGCTTATCAAGATCGAGACTTGACTGTTGCTTGCAGCAATTCATTGTTGCGAATTTTGAATTTTCAAGCCTTCTCACTTCAGCTTACCCTTGCCCTTGTAATGGCCTTATTGTTCCTCTGTTTTCGAAGCTGCTCCACCTTCTGACCCAATCGAAGTGTGCGAGGAACATATTACTCCAGGACAAAACAAGTTGAACCTTATTGTGTGTATTTGGGGAGCTGTGCTTATTCTGAAGGAACGTGCGACTGAAACAGGCCGGACGTCGGACCCTGATGACCAGAGAAGATCAACTTAGCAGACCAACATTACGACAATCTCAGCTTTAAAGCTGTAAGGTGGATTGTATTTTAATCATGGCTCCCAGGAACAGGATCATCTTCGACACCGATCCAGGCAAGTCAGCCCTAACCAGATGAGCCACTTGATGCTAACCTGTCAGCAGGTGTCGATGACATGCTGGCTATGCTGCTTGCTTTAGCGTCATCGCCTGAAGAGCTCGAGATTGTTATGCTCTCCGTCACGTACGGCAATGTGCCCCTCAAGAGCTGTCTGAAGAATGTCGTATCCCTATTCCATGTTTTAGACAAGGAGATCGCATGGCGCAGGGCTCAAGGCAAGCCTCAAGGATTCGAGGTGCTGCGGGCTTTCAAGCCCATTGTCGCCATTGGGCCCGAGCATGCCCTAGAGGAAGAGATCCTCGCAGAAGATGGCTTCCGTGAGTTGATGCCAGTAGACATAGGAAACTACGGTCCATATAGCTGACTAAGCTCCAGACGGCGCTGATGGCTTACACGGTGTACATGAGGCTGTGCGTTGACCAAGCTGAACTATGTGCATGAGGTACTGACCAAAGACAGCACCCGCACCTCAGCCCTGCAGAGACCTGGAAGTCCTTGTTCGAAGAGGGCGTGCCGAGCGCTGCTGAGGATCCTTCATACTATTCTCATTTCATTCCATCTAGGACACCGGCCCACAAGGAGATACTTCGTATTCTTAAGGAAGAGCCCGAAGACACCATTACCATCTGCGCCGTTGGCCCCATGACCAACATAGCCATGGCGGCAGCAGAGGACCCTGAGACTTTCCTCCGTGTAAAGGAGTTGGTCGTTATGGGTGGAGCTGTGGACGTGGAGGGCAACGTCACCCCGGTGGCCGAGTTCAACACATTCGCTGATGCAATAGCGACAGCACGAGTGTTCGCTTTGACTTCTGCTGTACCGACGTCGACCATGCCAACTGTACCCCTGACCAAATCCGGCTTGCCACCGTATCCAGAGAAGCTGTCCAAGCGGTTGAGACTTAGTTTATTCCCACTTGACATTACCACACCGCACCTTCTAAACAAGAGCTTCTTTTTTGACAGCATCACAACTCATCTCAAGGAAGGCAGTCCGCTAGCCACTTGGATCAACACATTCATGTCGGGGACCTTCCGACAGATCGAACGCATCGTGGGGACCGATGAAGAGCCCGGACTATCACTCCATGATCCCTTAACTATCTGGTATATGATCACACACGGTGACCCTGGCTGGAAGTTGGCCAAGGGGGGACAGGAAGATATTCGAGTCGAGACGTCGGGCCAGTGGACCCATGGTATGCACGTGATAGATCGTCGAGGCCGTAAGAGGGCTGGGGAAGGGATTGCAGTCGGCCTTGGTGTTGACTCACAGGGACCAGACGCCGTGACCATTGACGAAATAACTGGTGACGATTTCGGTTGGTTGAGTGCGAAGAGGGGGAACAGGATCAACAGATACGCCGAGAGTCCTGGCACTGACAAGTTCGCACCACTCCTAATGGAGCGACTATTCGGCAAGAACTAAAGTATGGGTGTCATAACACAGGCGGACCATTAAGGACCGCATAGGTGTCAGCAGACCGTTTAGTGTGGTATCATTCGGCAGCGCATACCCTATTCAGGCCCCAGTTCCTGTGTCAAATGCCAAATTGTTGCCCTCTCAACGCCGTTTTATGCAAATCGCTCCTGCCTGCACAGCGCAACCGAGCTTATGTCGTCCTTCCAATTCGCTCTATCCGTATCTATCAAACATGCTTAGTGCCTCCGATGGCTGATCCCTTCACTTCACGCCAGTTGATGCTAGCGTCAAGCGCCTCATCGATCAATCCGACGGTGCAGACATTGTCGCCTCGTACAATGTATAGACCCAGGGGGTGTTCGCCCGAAGGTTCAGGACTGTCGCGGGTTTGGATAACGCGCTCGACCGCATTCTGAAGGACCTGGGACGGCTGGTACTTAGCCCAATGCGCATTTCTTGGGTTCGGCGTTGGAGGGGGGAATGCAGCACTCACCAGGTTGGTCAACTGATCGCAACCAACAAGCTGGCCGACCAGGGTGCGGGAGTCGGCAGTCAGAATCAGTACCTTCTCTATCGAGCTGTCAGAATCAAGTTGTAAGCTCAAAATTGACGACGATGGTCTTGGGAAAGCTAGAGGGTTTGACTAACTGTTCATATACCCAGCGAGGTTCGATGACATCTTGACGATACAGCAGCAAGGCTTGGCAGCAGTTGAACGTTACGCAAAGTAGAGTTTAGGTTGCGAAGGAATAGGATCAAATAAGGGCAATGTTTGTGTGTGCCTTTATGCAATGTTCAGCGTGATTCTCTAGAGGCGCCAGTTCATAGTTCTCTGTCCTACCAAGCAATAGCAATCAAACCATGTCGAATCGGGTGGCTGCTCGACAACTTGATTGCAGATGGAAATCACGGAGGACGGAGGAAGGAGTAAGAATTTGCCGACGCCCGAGCTTTCCAAGCACGGACCAGGTCTGGGGACGTTTCAACTAACCCTTCCGAAGTCCAGAACTCCCCAGTACCATTTCATCTTAAGAATGAACTCCGGATGGTCACAAGCCTTGTGAGCCTCAAGGAACAAAGCTTGCTTTAGAGTGTAAAGCAGTGTTCCTGTTTCAACAATCCACTATTTATGGTAGACAGTGGCTCAATTCATGATTTTGGCTTATGGGTTGGGATGAACCACCAGCCGCCGCCCGTTCTGACAAGGATCTCGCTAGACCTGTGAAACGCTGAACCAATCATTGCAACATTTCGCCTACGTCTCTTGCTGAAACAAGCCGGGAACGGAGACACAATGTTTCACCACACCCAGCAGCCGTCAAATGCCAAGTTGATTGGATGAAGCACAAAGCCGCCTCACTCCACACGTCTTATCCAACCCACCTCAGCTTCTAGATCATGAACATATGAGGACTGCTGCGAGCTCGACTAAGCTCGACTAAGCTCGTAGCAGTCATGAGATCGTCCTGTTATGCCTGCGGGGTGATTGCTTTGTTTCTCAGGGGCAACATTGCCAGTAATGCCCAACACGAGTAAGTCATAATGCCAGGCAAGTATAGGTCCAGATCAATTATGCCCTTGTTTCTTGTTTTCCCCAGTCTCTCCCTCGCTTGCCAGTTCTTTGTTTGCCGGTTTTCGTTCGGTTACGAAGGCTTGCTCTTTGTCCATTCCTTGTCAGCTTATATATAGTTTGCTCTGCTAGTCGGAGCCACTTTGAAGCACTCTCGCGTATCTACCTGTCAGCACCAAGGATAGCAACGCGCTCACGCAGGCGAAGCAAACCGTGGATTATAAGCAGCTCGGATCTCTCATCCTTGGCACAACACACAAACGGCTAGACAAACACAAACACCTTCGATTCATTCCACATATATTCAAGCAGCAGATCACTGGTTTTCGGGTCATTTGTTACGATCTATTCACTCGCTACATCCATCCAAGTCTCACTGGGCGAAAATTTGACAAGTCGAAGACCAACATCCACACCAGCCGACTATATTTATCTCCAAAATGCAGTTCTCCATCACCATCCTCTCCATCATGGCCGGCCTTGCGGTTGCCGCCCCGCTCCAACAGCGAGAAACCGCAGCAGCAATCGTCCAGAAAATTGCCCCGGACTCGGTAACATGCTCTGACACGAAGGAGTGCCGGACGGCTTCGCAAGCAGCGCCCTTCCTCATCAACGCTATGCAGAAATACGGTGTCACCAGCCCCGGTGAAATCGCCGGTGTACTGGCTCTGATGGCCTTCGAGAGCGACAGCTTCAAGTACAAGCACAACATCTCGCCTGGGCGTCCCGGGCAAGGCACAGCAAATATGCAGATGATCGATTACAACATCAAGTACGCTAGTTCCATTCCCGAGCTGGTGGATGAGGTCTCGGCCTTGGGAGATATCTCTACCGACGACCAAAAGAACAAACTTCTTGCCCTCGTTACACCGGATAAGTACAACTTCGGCAGCGGGCCGTGGTTCCTGACGACGCAGTGCGCGAGCATTCGCACTCAGCTTCAGGCCGGAACCGATGCTGGCTTCGCCGCGTACATGGGTTGTGTGGGGGTCACCGTCACGGAGGACAGGAACGCATTTTGGTCGCGAGCCAAGGCGGCGTTTGGCCTCTAGGTGTAGGTGCCGTGGGGTCCTCGAACGGGCTGGAGTTTGGTGAAGGGGTTTTTTTCCATCGAAAAAATGACAGGACTCACATACGAGTATGATTCCTCGCCTCGACGTTGACTCTATTCATGTACATAGATAGCTATAGTAAATTTCCGAAGCGCATGCAAACTGCAAGAGTACAGCATGCCACAAATGTTTCGTAATGTCGTGACTAAGACACTGAATCACCCTCCCGCTCTAATAACCGTACAAGCAACATGTCCATAGCTTCCGGCAAATCTGACCGAATAAGACATTCCCATTCATTCATGCGCACATCAACCCTAGCAACCAACTCTATCACTCATGATGAGTCGTCCCTTACACCACTCAAGCTTCTTGTGAAGTTGTCACCAGGTGCGAAGATCTTAAAGCGTACCATCCTCCGCAACAAGACCCCATGCTCAGGCATATCAATATCGCGCTCTACGCTAAAGGGTAGTTTCGCACTCTCGGCTGGGCGCCGCACGCGGTACTTGCCAGCAGAGCACCCGAGCCATCATCCCTAGCTCCATCGATATGGCCTTAGAGAAGCCCCTGAAAGTGACTCGTTTGCAATCCCGGTAGTCTTCGCCAGTACATGTCCTGGAGCACTACAAGGAGGTCGTACTCGGCAGGGAGATGGATAGTGCCTTTCTGCTGGTACCGGGAAGGACTGCCGTGGATGATGTGTTGCTGTCGGTTGTAGACCTCGAGTGGGAATGTGTAGAAGGCAATGGCACGCTCGCGGCTCTCTTTATTGATGGCTAGCAGGGCGGAGACCAGGCTTCGGGTTGGGAAGATGCGCAATTAATTCATGTTGATAGCTGCTGACGTAGTTATCCTTGACGGGTTTGGTCTGAAATAGTTCAGGATGGGAGGGATGCAAGGAGTGGACCAGAGGTCCAACAAAGCTGCTTCTCGTATTTTTTTTCATCTCTGCCCTGAAGCCTGGGTGCTATGTACCGAGGCCGGTGTGATGTCGTCGCACAAGTGTGCATCTGAGGATAAGGCGAGGACTCTCCGTCCGGTTTTCTTATTAAATCTCGTGAATGAGAGTCCTTGAAATAGGAGAGCACAAGGTAAGTAATCGCATGGAATAGCTGATTGATTAATTACCTGGTCCTAAGGTTGATAAAATTCAACAATAGAAGATATCCATCGGTTTCTCATTCCTTATTGCTTGCCCTCGTCCTTTACCACATCACGCCCGACCCAATTATCCCCCTTTCCCTCTGAGTATCTGAGATCGATTCCATGTTCAATTATGTTCGGGGACTTTCTGAAGATTTAGAATTTATATCTTTGATTTACTTTATGTCTTGCGTAACCTACATGAGTGTAGCGCTTCCAACTCTCCCCACTCAAGTATGTGTTTATGAACAACAACGAACTCATGCTCAGCGATCAAGCCAGAGCTGCATCCTGCATAACATATGAACTGACAGAAAAGAAACTCGCTAACCCACTTCAACTCTGCCAAGTATCTGAAACCGTCGTGGCCGTCTCACAAACCCCGGGGACGGTATAGGTGTGATTCGGATCATCCTCCCAGCTCACGCTCCCAGAGCCATCCACTTTCACGTACTTGTACTGTATTGCCGTCCCTGGTGAAAAATTAATGGTTTTGGTCCAGAGGGGGTGACTGTCTGTATACTGGGTGGCACTTAAAGCCACGGCGTTGCTCGAATCCCAGTTTCCCAGGGCGGTAATGTTACCGACTCTGTAGAAAGTCAGCTTACGAATTGAGTTGGGGAAATTATAGACTACAACCTGACACCTACAGTTCTATAGTCTCCCCATACGATGTCGAGGCAAGTTCTTCGAATGTAACAGCTACTGCTGTCGAGGTTGCGCATGCTGTTCCCGCTATCAAACGTCAGTTAATTTTGATCTCAGTACCATCACGGTCCCCTATGCGTCACTGCGCATGAAGGATGTATGACTTACTAGTAGATGTGCGAGTGGTAGTTTCCATCGTTGTCGTCTGCGTTGGCCCCGTTGTAGTCGTTCCTGGGTCTAGCAAGCAGGGAGTCAGCAACCGAAACTTATATGATCGGCACATTTATCAATTACTCACCAGTGACGGTATCGCATATTTTACTGCCGTCAAGTTTCGCACTCAGGTAGAAGATCTTCGCCGTGGAGCCCATTTGAAAATTTAGATCGCCACTTGAATCCGTGGTGTAAGCGGCACAACTCATGACTTCGACGAGCGACTGACTAGCAGTGAAGCCGGTGGCACTCGCAGAGAGACTGACGGTGTAGCTACTGCCGCTGGCACCGATGTTCGTGAACACGGATACCACCTGAGAGCCAGTGGAGCCCTTGCGCAGGACGATGGTATGCGAGTCGGAGTATATGGGGTCCGCCTGGTAAGTGGTGTAGCTGTTGTCTTTGGCAATCGCCTGCGCTCGCATACTATTCACTTTGGTGATCCAGATATATAGTTCTGCGGTCTTGCTATACCCAGACGTCCACAACGCCTCACGATTTGCGGGGATTTCGCCACCTGAGAAGTGCTGCTCCTGGCCTTGGTAGATGATCGGGATGCCATCCATAAGCATGGTAAAAGCGATCGCCTGTGGTCACTCATCAGTATTGTTGCGACGGTGTTTCAGGAACAGGATTCTTACGTTCTTGGCCAAGGCCTGAAAAAAATTTCGTTAGTAGTGGTATGTTGGGAGGACTCTGGAGAAACTCATCATGTCATTTGTCCAATGCGGGAACCGCACCTGGTCGTGATTCTCTAGAAATGACCCGAGAGTGCTGGTTTTTACTATCTCGGAGTCAGTCGGAAACAATACAGGACAATCTTGCTCCCGACTTACTTGAGGCTTTTATATCGTTGATTCCGTCGACAAGCTCAGTCATTGTGGCAGAAGTCGACTGAAAAGCACGCGTGATCCAATAGTAGCTATGCACGTATTATAAAGGGGGTACTTGGATGGAGAGAAGAGGGGCTTACGCTGGATAGTTCAGGACCCCGCTCGTATAATTCAACCACGGATAGATGTTGTTGGGATTGCCTTCGTAAACCTATTAATTGCTCTGGTCAGTCCCATAGAACCAATGAGCCCCAGGTGTAGGGCATAGTTACCTCTCCCAGATTGAACACGCCCGAAGCACCCTCAAAGTCCGGGAAGAAGTCGTATTCAATGTGTTTCATACTGTCAATGCGGAGTCCGTCGGCGTAATATTTGGATACTATTTTCTTAATCCAGTCATTCCAAATATCCCGCACAGCGTCATCCTCGGTCCGTAGATCCGGCAGACTGACGATGTTGTCGCCTTGCCAGCAATTGCGCACCGAGTTCTCGTCACTGTAGTTGATGGCACAATAAGGGTGGAAGTACGACGAGGATGAAAAGGGGTTGAAGATGGAATAGTCGACGCAGGTACTGCAGCCATTATAACCCAAGTGATTGGTGACGATATCGAGCATGAGGTACTATTAAATTATGAGTATTTTTATGACATGTGTAAATGCATATACTTACCATTCCCCGTTTGTGTAAAGCCGAAGAAAGGTCAACCAGGTCTTGTTCTGTTCCAAAATTGGAGTTCAGAGACCAGATGTCTTGCGCCCAGTAGCCATGCTCGAAGCAATACTTAGCAGTTATTTCAAAAAGGGAATCTGGTCACGTAAGGAGAGTTCCATGTCATATCTAGCAGGCAACCACCCTGTTTAAGTCATGTCGCCTTTGAGAAGGAGCAGGAAAGGCAAGTAAAACGCTGTATTTACTTACATAGGCATACCTTCAATGGTTTTTCGTCAGTACAGAACCGTTTGGTTTCGTTCAAGCTTTGTAAACGATTATAGACTTACCCGTAACCAGTGTCTCCTTCTATGTTCTTTACGATAGGCGAAATCCATACCTATTATCTGTCAACATATTTTCTCAAGGAAGTTCGAATGAACGTGCAGCAGTAAACCCCATGCTTTGGATGTAATCCAAGGCATTGGTAATGCCCTTCCATGTCCCGCCGCAATATGTCGTTGTTTCACATGAGGCAGTCGTGGAACCGTCGGTCCGTGCAAAGCGATCAGTGACGACCTGATAGATGGACTGCTGTTGCCACTCTGCTGTGCTCAGAGCATGACAGGTGGCCGCACACAAGGCTGGTAATAATTGGCCAAGTTTCATGATCTTGGTATAGAGACAACGTAACACAAGTGAAATCTTTTGGGAGACGAGCTAGCACCAAACCGAACTCGAGAATCTCGACTGCGAGGACGAAACCACTTTGTCCGATGTGCTGCTTTTATATTTGCGTCAGCATGACACAGAGCAGATTTTCATCTGCTAGAGACTGCTGCCAAGTTACCAACAGACAATTACATGTAGCAGGTATTGCAAACACAAAGAAAGCAAGCAAAACATTTCCTTTCACGGCACGCCCAAACGTCCCCTCCAATGAGATCCCAAATGGCACATGTGCCCGAAGAAAAGGAAGCACCCGTGCCACATGACGAATTTCGGACGGAATAAAGACTTATGGTCATGACTCGGCCGTTGGCGGTTCGGACGAAGAACCAGGAAGTCGGAATATAGAGGCGGAGTTTAGGGTTCCCCCCCTCGACGCCTCCCAACCCGCAAGCAGCTGTTGGATGTTGGTGTTAGTGTACGGTGCAGGGGGGGGCGCCGCAAGAAGCCATACTTCGGGCCTACATCCCACTTCTAATGCTGTGATTCTGCGCAGAGGCACAAGAAGACGGAAATTTGAACAATTGCCGTGTCCTTTCCCCGTGGTCAGTTGCCTTTACCCCATACCCCACAGTATCCCCGCCTCGCAGCATCAACGGCTGGATTGCCAGGAAGGGACTGGTGGGAATGTTTTACTTAACAGGCAGAAGGACCGAATCAATGCCGCATCATAAAATGCCGTCGGCCCTATGCGTTTTGGTGTCGGTCCGCATCGTTGTGATGGCACATGCGATTGTCCTATAGCATGTGGCCGAAGGTTGTCAATTGCCAGACGACATGGTCGAGTGAGCAACGATAGATCGGTTTCGCGGATCACTACTGGTTGAGAAATGAACATGAGACTATATCCAGTAGGACTAAAGGTCTCTCGACTCCGACAGATTGGGAATTAGTTCCAAACGTAAGGCAACTGGCAATGCGCAGGCGTCGGAGGTGATCAGAAGCCATCACAAGCGACGCCTGGAGATGCAACGCATGCGCGTGTTTGTTGTACACGGAGAACTGGTTTCATGAAAGGACCAGTCGAGTGGGTTGTCGCAAATTATGAGCCAGGCGGCATTTGTGCTGAGTCCGCAAGCTCGGCCATGCTACCAACTCAGAGCGTCGGTCTCCAACATAGTCGACATCGAGCAGCATGTGCTGACAGTTTGACAAGACACTAGGAAGCCTGTATCAACTCGCCTTTTCTGTTGTAACATTGAGCTCCATGCGATCATTCAACTCCCCGCGGCATTGGCTCAGATAAATAGCTTGCACGTCTCTTCCGCTGGCTCAAAGTAGCCGGGAAAGGGCTGATTGAGACATGGTTTGGAAATCAGGCATTGGAAGGTCAACATGAATTGGTGTCGGTGTCGGTTGTCAAGAGAACGGCCATGTGGCAGCTTATTCGTCCCGGCCCAGCTGGAAGACTCACAATAATATGCCAGCTTCACGTAGTTTCAACGCACTGCGCGTCCTTTCCATCCAATGCCACCCGCCTAGTAGCAGTAAGGACATATCGATTTTGCACTGGAAGGGCAAGTACCGTGGCTATTTTAGCTACTGAGCTCTGGTGATAGTGATCGGCACCCCTGAGTTATTCTGTGAACCTGAAGGTAGGTATTCCTGGCGTTGAGACTGCAAAAGTCGAAGGCCAGTTAGCTCGTCCCAAAGGGTCCCCATGATCCAGAAGCCATGAAAGTAATTCCTGAATACAAAGCCGACAATTCGCAGCTTCGGACGTGGCCGTCGAGATTCTGGATCATATCCTTGGATATATCGGCACACTAGATTCATTCCTCGCCCTCCGGCTCACCTGCAAAAGTCCTAGCAGCTACCCGCTGCGGCTTTTCCGCATGACATTTCCAGGATTACACACTCGCCTCACGGGCCACACATTTTCTCCCTTTCCTTCATCACTCACACGTTTAATCCCAACTGTAGCCCGCGCGGCGTCGTCGGCGGCTGCAACCATCATGCATCTAGGGTGTACAAGACCGGCCTTCTATAGCATCCAGCAACTCAGTCCGCACAGGCGAGTCAAAGCACAAGCTGCGTTTCCATACGTCCAGCTGGCCATGAATCGGTACCAAGGAGGCTCAGAGCACGGGTTACTCCTCGAAGCGCTGGAAGAAGTGAATCGCCAAGTTATCTGAGATTAGCACGGCAACAGCTTGGGCTTGATCACCCACACATGGACGGGGCAAACCATTCAAGAGAAGCTTCCTCTGAAAACGATAAATGGGTTTCACCAACCGTTCGGCGATGATGTGCGACTGCGCCGGAGAATCCATCAACAGACTTGACGAGTCTGCGACACATCTCTATTAACAGAAGCTCGCTGTGTTCGACGCCCTTCCATTTCTCTAACCGGCCTGGCAGCGGCTATCATGAACGCGACAAAGTCCCCGGCGGCTGCGCTTTCTGCTTAACTGACTACAAAATCAGCACTCACCGAGATGGACAGGTTGGTGACGTGATCATCACCGTCACTGTCTACCGTCAGCTCGGGATTGGCCTGATGCCTTTTGATTGGAAGAGGCAGACCTTCATGCGGAGCCTGCAACAGCAGAGCTCATCAGTTAAGGTCGATTCGGACGGTCGGAGATGCTAAGCAGAAATGACAATTCCCAAGAACGAGTTCCAAATTTTTTTTGAATAGATCGCGAATACGTCAGTTCTCTAGCGAACTTACTTCGGCAGGGGATTCCGACATACTTGCTGATATCTTGTTTGAGATGTAGTTATGGATCCAGAACTGTCCCTATACATGTTGATGCACGACATCTGTTTTTAGCCCAGCTGGAGTCACCGCCGTTCCAAAGCGCAGTCGGGCTATGTCAACTTGAGGCCGTCACGGAATTGGGACATCACGTCAGCTTTATCTCGACTGCAAGTCTGTGGAGAGAAGTGATTATATTTTCCGCGTTATGTCATCAGTGGAATGATATCGTGCAAACTGTGACGTACCATGTTGCATATCTGCCATCTCACAGGCAGCTTTGATCAAGACATGACACTCAACTACTCATCATACCTATCATTATTTGGGTATCCATATCCGTGTCCAACCCCAGCTGAACTGCCAACGTCCTAAGTTGATCTCTCGGTGCTAGGCGTGTTCATATTTACGAACGAGAAGCTGTTATTTGTAGAATCTCCTTCAGACTGCTGCTCAGAATTGCCGTTACAGGGGAAAAACCCGAAAGATACCTGATCTGGCCCCCAATTGGCGTTTTGCGTAAAATTCTCGAACGCCGTCTGAAGGGTCGTTAGTTTAACTAAGCACAAGTATGGCATTTCTCCTGAGACCTACCCAGTCGAAGTTTTGGTCCAAAGCCATGTCTCCAGAACCCAAGTTTGTGAACATCGAGAAAGGGGACGCGGCATTATTGATACCTGGCATAACGTCGCCCGAGAAATCAGGTGTGAGTCCCGTGCCAGTTGGCACGTCGAGTGGAGGGTAGACGCCGCCACCGGGAGAGAAGTTGGGAGTCAGGCCACTAGACAGATGTGAGAGAGTCATAGCAGCGGAGTGTTCGGGTTGAAGATCGACCGACCCAAAGCCGCTGAATTGGTTGTCTTGTTTTAGAGGGTCAACAGGAAGGTATGTCCCCGGGACCGGATTCTTGATCTTGTCGAGCATGATATCAAGAATATTGGCTGCTTTATAAGCCTCAACAGAGTCTTGCGACATTGATTTCCAGATATCCCTTACACTATCAAGAGCACTGATCATCTCCGTTCGTTGTTCGGGTGTCCAGAAATACATCGTTTGCGAGTCTTGACGTACGCCGGATGCCGCAGCAGTATTGTCGTGGTGGAGGTCAAGGAGGACCAACATTGTGGGCAGCAATGACTCCCGCGCTGTCGATTGAACGTACCATTTCATAGCGCGCAGCCTGCCGGTTGGTTGACATTCCCGGTGAATGATTATCAGGTTGCTCAGGGTTTCCAATGCGGCTTCAACAGCACTACGACGAGAATGGGCGTATCGAGGATTTAGTCTGGCGCGGATGACATGTTTCCTGTGCAGCATGCACATGATTTTCTGGAACAAGATATTGATGTTGAACCTCGCAATGATGAGTGTTGCGGGATCATGAGAGCCCTCCAGCGGCTGTATTTTCAAGTGCGGCGCAAGTTCGTCCATGATTTCCCGCAGCTTTCTGTCGTGGCTGAGGATCTCGTCGTATGTCACTTGCTTCCCAACGCGGGTTACGGCTTGTAGAATGTTGCCGAATTCGATACTTAACGTGGCCTTACCAATCATGTATGCCATCGGAGTGGGCTCTGTAATCGGCCGCGAAGGGGGAAGAACCTTGGTGTCCGGGCCGAATTCTTCGTCAAAAATATTGTGTGGTAGCTTAGTGTCAGTATTGTGTTCGTAAATCATTGTTGGCAGCGAGACCTGGACGTATTTAGTTCAATCGTAAGATACAAACCGGGGCGAAATATCTACCTGATATGAGAACATGATATCAGACATGCGAATCAATGCCCAAGTTCTGCGTCTCATCTCCTGATATCACCAGTAATTTAGCGTCAGGTTAACTTAGTGGAAAGCTCTAGATGACCTACTCCCTGGAATGGTGATATCGACGGAAACCATTCCGCATCTCGATGGTATCCCATTCGGAAAGCGATTCTTGTGATCAGGCTCGTGATAAGCCAGAGCCCTAGGTCGGCATCCCACCTCGAAGACCACTTCATGTTGAAGAAAAAGTTAGCGATTTCCCAAAATCAAGCCTTGAGCACTGAAGTCACCGAATCTGCAACGTGACCGGATTTGCACTCTCAGCTCCGTGACAATGCAAAGCAGGACGCCATTTGCCACTACATACCTCACCAAACAAGTAGAGGACCATGGTCTCCACCGTGTACTCGACTGGCTTGGTATAATCGGCTACTACCAAGCACTGGACTGTTCGCAGGCGATACTCGGCGGCAAGTTCTATCGAACGACCTTTCCACTCAGGGGGCTCATCGCCAACTTTATGGTAACTAAGCATGGCAAGGGTGAGCATCGCATACACCAAACCTACCCACATTATGGGTGACTTGGCCGGGTCTTTCCAATGGTCCTGCAATTGCTGCTGAAACATTGGCCCGTGAATTATGCTTACAGCTGTATCGAGAGAATTAAAGTACCGCGTGACAAGCGTTGTGATGGCAGTCTTTGCTGGTAGCTCGGCTCGAAGCTCAGTCTCTGTCGCCGGCGGGGCCGAGAGCAGGAATATGGGAGAATCGCGCATGATTGCAGGTTTGGAGGACATGACCCGCTCGTAGCTCTTCTCCATCTCTTTCTTGTGCGAGGAGTAGAAGTTTTTGACCTCTGAGATGTCGGATAGTAGGGTGTGCCAATGTTCCTGCCCGATATACATCGACTTCCCCTTGTCGGCATCGACTTTCAACACCCCAAGCGATGTGGCCAAGCCATCATCAACGTCGCTGTCGCCTTCTGCCTCGTCTCTCATTGCTACTTCATCTTCTTCATCTATTCTCTGGTCGCTGCTGTTGGTAGTAGACGGAGCAACAGGTTCGGCGCTCGCAGTCGCAGCCGTAGCTGCGGATGATGGATCGATATTGGCACCGCCATGCATAAGAGTAAGAACTAAACCTTCGAGTCGGTCAATACGGTTCTGCATATCATCTGGACTCGTATTTAATCCTGCACTACTTTGATTCTTCCTCCGGCTTGATGGAGTGGCGTAAACGCATGCCTCTGTGTCACCGCGTTTTACGCAATTTTCACAGCTCGGAGATCCTCTGTTGCATTTCAACCTGTGAATTTGGTCAGACACCGTTGTTTGTCGCTGGGTCTACCCACAACTAAGCATAGAAACTAGCCGGTTGTGATAGGGCTGCTCGTACTCACTTTCTAGTCCGGCATGGGTAGCAGCTGAGCGGTACCCTGTTTCTCCGTCTCACCACACGAAACTGTTCCTCGGGGCTGTGACCCGAAGAGGAGGTGGCAACAGAGGGAGGGGTGGGCGTCATTTTTAACTCAAATCGCAGTCTGTCAAAGTGTTGAGGAACCGGATACAAGAAGCATGTGCACGCTCTGATTTCCCTGGCTCCCAACGGACCTAGCAACGTTGCTGATGATATAAGAGGATAGTAGCCACTCGAGGAAGGGACCGCTCGGTAATCCCCTAGGCGTTTCCTCACCCAGTGAACGATCCCAGGGATACGCCAACGAGGAAGAACAGCCTCGATTTGAAAATATCCTATGGGACGAGGAACGTCCTAGGTAAGCGTTGATCAATACTCCTGCGGACTTAGAGAGCTTCGTGCAGGAAGCGGACAAGGTTGCCCAAAGCCAAATGTTCGAACACCTTCTACCGTGCTAACCTGGATTAGGCCTAACAGTTTCGGTCTACAGATACGTTGTTCCACGCCGCAGTGACCGCAGTTCCTCCAAGTATAGAGGTTGTAGATGTCGGTACCTGACAGTTGGAGTTCGGATTTTGTGATGCGCGATGTGCTGTGGACGTCGCAAATGATGTTGCAGTAGTGTTCGGTTCGAAGCTGTCTTCGGTATACTGTCGTTTGAGTCCAGGAAGCGCCCGTCGTTGCATTCGCGTGGCGGTCCTAGTGGCTTGATCCGAGCGGCTGCGGTGCCTGTTTGTGGTCTATTTCGAGATCGCAAATTAACCCGTTGTCACAAACGGCCTCGAAGAAGAATGGGCACGGCTGGTGACAAGCTGCGCAATATGACGGAGGGACCGGGCTAGTCGAGGGTCTGGCAACTATCGCGATATCCGTGGTACGTACGTGGATCCAGGGTGTCTGCCAACATTTTGGTTAGCTCCGTTGAAGTTTTGATTGGCATTGCTCGGAGTCCAGGATGGCGAAGTGTATGTACTTACTAATTCAACCGTCAGGTCTCGGCAAGGCGAAAGTAATAGTATCGAAAGTGGTCGCAGATGTTGAAAGTGCAACAATAAGTCGGGAGACTTTGTTTTATCTCGGTGCCTAGATCTAGAACGGTGTTTGCGCCAAGTGCAGCTAGAGTGGCCAAAGGGATAGAACGGAGGAAAAAAGTTGGTTATGTAGCAAGAAGCGAATTTGCAAATTGGATATAACGTCTTCGAGCTGGACGAGAATCAGACGGGACTTTTGCGACGAAGGCACAGCAAAAAGAGGGCAGGCACAAGGCTAGAGATAGAGTTGTCGTGATCCGCGATGTTCCAAATTTGGGAGTAGCCCCTCCCTCCAGCTACACTGGAGCACTAGCGCTATGTATTTATGGACTTCTCCAGGTTAAGAAAGCTCCGCAATCAGCCTTGAATCGTCAGGGTCAAGCGTTCGTCTTCTACAAAGCACGTATATATTTTCAAGTCTAAATATGCATAAATTAGGTGCTTGTCAATGTGTGCTTGGTTGTATGACAGTAGGGACTAGTACCGATCTATCAACAACTGTACTCCCATCACGAAAATGCATCCTTCGCCAACACTTACCACCGCTCGTTTCGATGGGCACTTCACGAACTAGCGCTAGCCCCTTCTTACCTGCATGCTCAACATGACATTTCTTGTCATGACGCAATGTTTTGAGCCTGGAAGGCCCAGATCCAATACAAGCCAGTCAGCCAGCCAACCAACGCTGTCTTGCGGTGGGCATCTGATTGTCCCAAGCGACCTTCTCCACTGTCCTCCGTATGCAAGGCTTTGAGAGTCACGGCCGCCATCAGTGTCGATCCGTCTGGCACATGCTAAGCTAGACTTGTGCGCCCGCTTTGTCAGCGTCGAGTCCATCTTCAAAGTAGTTCAATATGCAGATGGTGCCCGATGTGTTCTTGCATGCTAGGCAAGCCTCAATTTAAGCCGACTCCGTAATCGTAGATACTATGGACAGAATGCCAGCGCTATCGCCGTGAGTCCCAACGTCACAAATTCCAGCCTCTACCGGAATAAGGTCTTCCCTTTTCGCCAGTGACCAAATTAATCAATCCAAGTATCAGGTATTATTCTCGTCGTCATTTAAAGTGGAAATGTGCTGTAGTGTGTCCATGGGACTGAGCAACCCCTGACTAATAAACTCGAATCCCATTCTCATATTCTCCCTGCCATGTCTTAAAGTACACCATGCCCATGGGAAACACCAATCTGATAGTCTTTAAAACAATTTGATTTTTATGGAATACCTTTGCACTTGAGAGAAGTATGCCATTCGGTCATGTTCACTCGGAACTTGTCGTTCGTCATAGTAACCTCCAAAAGGGGTGCCAAAACTCACAACAACTATTTTCCAGTGCAGGGCTACTCATTTATGTAAATATCCACGACATTGAAAGAGGCCGTCTATCGCTTAACTAACCGTTAAGGTCTCAAACTTCAGCCTTACATACTAGAGAGCCGAAACTATGGTAGATCCTCTGCCGTAAGGAACGGCAGCTGTTCCAGGCCAAGGCCTGTTGTGGATTAAGCTACCGTCGGCGCTGATCCCGCATTAATGGGTCTGAATGCCGCTATGAAACGCTGCAACCAATGATACTTCGTTTATTGGCCAGGTAACTCTTTTTCTCGAGTTGTGCATTTTTAGCGCAAGCTTTCCAGTTGTGACCTATTAAGTGATGATGTTGTCAATGGTGTGACACTACGTCCACCCACCCACCTAAAACAGTCAGACAGGGAAGGATCTTGTGCAACTTGACTTCAGTCCCAAAATCTTTCGCGTTCACCCCCGTCCCTCAGACACTTACTTAGGTTGGTATCAATTTCACCTCGGACGCGTCTCAATACTCACCCTTCCCTATTCATTTCTTGCACACTCATGCAGCAGGCCCCAATGGCGCAATCTAGCTACAGTGCTTTATAAACTCTGCCCTTCGCGACGTCTTTCACATTCGCCACTCTGTCCATCTGTCAATATTGTAATAATATTTCGGTGAGGGATTAAGCTCGGACAGCGTATTCACGTCCAACGCGACCTTTCTTTATTTTCTTTTCTTCCCCTTCTCGTTGTGTATACCAACTACGATGATGCCCTGATATACCAAAATAGCGGTCTGTATATACTCGGGTGGCTTTTCCACATTCCTTGTTTGCGACACGCTGGCCGGCTTGCTTCATCTATCGGGCATATTTCGCAAAATCTGAAGCAATGGCTGCCTACAACCCATTGGGAGGAGCTGTGTCACTGGGCGAAGACTACAACACTGAACTGGAAGAGCTGCACAGCCTAGACAATCTAGATATCAGAGATCCGGAACGCGTTGCAGCGACGGGGACCCAGGAAGCCGAGGCAGGCCAAGATGAGAGTCTACTCCCGGCAGGACAGGGAGGTTTTGAGAAACTGGACGGGAATGAGGGAATCGAGTTTCGAAAGAAAAGACGTTGGTTCTCTTCGGCATTATCCGTCATAATCATATTTGCTATCGTACTCTTCGACGTATGGTTACTCCTGAGGCCGGACTCAAGTGGGACAAGGGGGCCTTCAACCGATAAGCCCTCCCAGTCGGCTGTGGATGATATGGATGCGCTGGTGAACAAGCCCCTGAGAAGGCCGAATGATGACTATGTATTAGATCCGCATTGGGATTTTGGCGCCCCCAGTCAGATCCGTTACTACAATTGGACTATTGTTGATAAGGATGGCAACCCCGACGGTGTTTTCAAGCCCATGATGACGATCGACGGTCAGTTCCCTGGTCCTCTGATAGAGGTCAACGAAGGTGATACCATTGTCGTCGACGTATTGAATCTTGCCACGAACGCTACATCCATCCACTGGCATGGCATATTCCAGAATGGTACCAACTTTATGGATGGTACTTCAGGAGTTACTCAGTGTCCCATTGCTCCTGGTTATTCGTTCCGGTACAACTTCACCTTAACAGGTCAAGCTGGTACATGTAAGTACCATCCCACAATCTCTACAATGTAACCATAACAAATTCTAGTTTTCTAATCTCGTGATATAGATTTCTACCATGGCCATCAAGGAGTGCAGTCTCTCGACGGACTGGTTGGCCCACTCGTAATCCACGATCGGGACGCCGCAAACAATCTCCCTCTTCGCTACGAATCCGATCGGGTGGTGCTGCTGCAAGACTGGTACTACGATCCTGGCAGTGGATTACTGCGCGACTCATTATCTCCGGGAAACGAGGCCGCCCCTGTTCCCAATGCAGCGCTCATTAATGGTTTGAACCAAGTGGATTGTAGTCTTCATCCTGGGCGGCGCTGTGTCAGGGACGGCACTGCTCTACCTGTCCTGAATTTAAATCCGGGTGCCAACCACCGTCTTCGCTTCGCCAACGTTGGAGGATTTGCTTGGTTTCAAGTATCTGTGGACGAGCATTCAAGTTTGCCCATTGTAGAGGTTGACGGTACCACGATCGAGCCAGCCGCAGAATCAGTTATTATACTCTCTCCTGGTCAGCGGTACAGTGTTATTTTGACTGCCAACCAAGCGACACAAAACAACTACTGGCTTCGAGCTAGGATGATAAAGGCATGCTTCGGCGAGCCAAACATGCCGGAGGACGGAGTCGACGAGGCCAAGGCCATCGTCCAATATTCTGCGCCTTCGAAGTTACTGGGTAGCCAGTCTGACACGTCTGGACTCCCAACGACCAACGATACCAACATCAACTACATCAAGACCTGTAAAGACATGACTTCAAGGAGTACATACCGGCCAACTCCACCTCAACCGGCGCCGGAGTACGCAGACCACTCCTGGTACCTCAGAATTAACCTAGCCATTGGCGACTGGAGGTTGCAACGTGGTGTTATCAACCAATCATCTTTCCGCCCCAATCTGCAAGAACCTACCCTCCACCGATTTCTCGATGGCTTTGCATCCTCAAATTTTTCATTCAATGGAGAAGGTATCAATACCGCCGCTTTTGCCCCCTCAGAACTGGTGATCTCAAACAAAGGAGTTGAGACTGTTGACGTTATTCTCCAGAACATGGATGAAGGAAGCCACCCGTTTCATCTACACGGCACACAAATGTGGATTCTCGGCGCCGGTCATGGGTATTTCCCGGGGTATAAGGCCTTGGGACTCAAGCCTCAGGGAATGGGGCTCCTCGACCCGAATAACTCGACCGTTATCGACAACCCCTTGAAGCGGGATACCGCAACGGCGGAAGGGTTCGGGTGGGTGCTGCTCCGCTTCGTAGCCGATAATCCAGGGGTATGGTTATTTCACTGCCATATGATTTGGCATAGTGAAGCCGGGATGGCGATGCAGTTCGCCTCGAGGCTAGAGGACATGAAAAGTTGGGCATTACCGGAAGAAAATAGACGGTTATGCGGTGCTGATCGAGAGGAGTTATACAAGGGCGCACCACCGAGTGACGACATTTTTTTTGGATTCCATAACGATGACAGATGATGTGGCTAAAAGTAGTCTCATGATAACTGGGTTTGGGTGAGTGTTCTGAGTTTGGTATCGGTTACGATATGTTCAGATGCTCTCGGAGGTGAAGATGTCTTGTGCTGTCACTGTAAATGTACATATCCCGTACATATTGCCACATACACCTTGTTTATTACTCATAAGCCGCGAAGGGTGTGTGTAATATTAGGTCAAAACTTGGGATGCAAACTTGGGTTAGCCAAGACTCAGACCATGATTACTTAGGTGGTGAATCAACTGTAATTTGAGCAATAATAGATCAAAGGATCCCGACATGACGATCCTCGCTGCCAAGAACGGCCTGATAATCTGGGGAAGCGGGAGGCGATACCAAGACCTGTGGCATTATTTGTGATTGTTCTTGGCATTCGACGCCATGTCCAAGAACTCAGCCCTACGCGTCGCGTGGAAATTCGACCCTCACGTATATGTTGTTCAGTCGCCTGGATTCAAGGATTCAAGGTCAGGCAATGTGCTGAGTTTACTCTGGAATGCTTGGTCTAGGTTTGACTGTCTGGTATTTAAAGGATGACATTTAGATGCAGGTGGATCTGAGCCGAATCCTTCCACCATGACGACGCAATAGAGTCAATACTTCATCGCGAACTCTAGTCTGCCTGTTAACGCTTGCTTTTGCTAGCATGGATGTCTAATAGAAACCTATTAAGACCCAATTGTCTCAATGTGCGCTCCCGAGAACAATGGGGCCTTGAAATTTATGGCCACGGAGTTGGCTTGAAGACCAATTCCTCATGAACATGAACATGCCCGAGGTCATTGTTGCATGGAAAGTTGGCTCGCTTGCGAAAGCAATGTGGCTGAGCGACCAGGCGACCTTTGACAATGGAAGGTGTCACGAAGATTTGACACGAGTCGCCACAATCTTTGGCAGTGTTAAAGCTTGGCTTGCTTGATATTCAATCATCCTTGCTGCAACATGGCAAATTCATCACGGATGTTCGGCACCTGGTTAAGCGCTTCGGACAAAGCCGAAACACTTCATTAGTCCTGTATCTAGCGGGGTTCAGAGTATGACTTGTCTGCAAGCTGTAACAGCGTTATGCCAAGTATAGCGAATACTAACAGCGGTTGAAGTCAGCCATAGACGACCAGTAGATCCGATTTGATGAACGAGACCGACAAAATAAATGTAGCTGTTGATTTGAGCACTGGGACAACTGGCAAGCTGACTGTTGATCCGGTAGCCCAGGTCCTATGGAAATGCCAGATTTACAGCCCGGTGGTAATTTATTGACGGTTGCGGATTCAACTCAATCGATCTGAGCCACCATGATTCGCAACCGGTATCTCTAGACCTGCCACGCGTGGCTGAGTAGACTCCGTCCAGATAGATATTTTGGCAACAGCAAATCAGATGGATGCAGACAGCGACATACATTTCCGACGAGGTCTGGCTTATTAAGCATTGTAAACACATGGAACAGTTGATTCTTGGGCCCTGCAGTTTTTAGGTACCTAGGTTATGGGCATGGCTCTGGAAGTGTGGAGTTTGACGCATTATCCGCCCCATGCGACCCAACTTGTGACCCCTCCACTGCCGCTGAAACTTGAACAACCATTCACTATTTGACCCCCAGTGGCCTCCCAAGCACCCTGCAAGCCAAGCTAGACTCGATAGCCTACATCCACTTTTATTTCCTTCATCTGTTCCTACAATCCTGACGCCTCCTGCATACTTCATTCTTACACCCGCGAAAACATCGCACTCACTCAATTTGACGACCTGCAACCATCATCATCGTCACAAACCATCAAACTTGTGATACCAACCGGCCATTGCCAAGCAAATAGTGCGTTCCCCCAAAACTTGGCAGAAGCCATGGACTCTTTCTAGTGGCTTGACCTGGCTCGTTGGTCTCTTTTGACCGCAAGTGACTGGATTCATGAGCTGACATTGGCGTCTGCGCAGACCACAGAACACCAAAACAATGGCAAGCAACCAGTACTACCAGCAGGGCCCTCCTCAGGGCTACGGTGGTTACCCGCAACAGCCTCAACCTGTATGTCTTCTCTTTAAGCCTCGTTTGGCAAGCACCTCGACCGTTGCGCCACTCCTCCCAAGTGCAACACCGCAGCCATCATCAATACCCGAATATAACCTCGCGATTGATTCATCCACCTTATCGTTCGCGCCGCTGGAGATAAAAGCATGGAAATGCTGACATTCAACTAGGCCTACGGTCCTCCCCAGGGTCAGTACTATGGACCTCCCGGTGGTCAACCCCAAATGCAATACCAACAGCAGGCACCTCCCCAGAAGTCAGGTGGCGGTGGCAACTGCTTGACGGCCTGTTTGGCAGCCCTCTGCTGTTGCTGTGTCTGTGAGGAGGGATGCGAGTGCTGTGCGGAGTGCTGTGACCTGTGTCTCTGAGCCTGAGCTGCAATGCGAAGAGCGTGAGCGAACGAAGAAAGAAGTGGCTGGATTGGTCCTGTCGGACTCCGGTCACAAGATGATAGTCAAGCCCACACCTGACACATACACATGGCGAAAGACAGGACCGCTGTGCGAACTGTCTTGACAGGCGCCCGTGGAATTCTCTGTTTTTCATGGCATGAAGTGGGAAGCGACCGATCTACGTTGTTTTTGCGTGCTGCGGCTGTCGGCATGCCGACAGGATTCACGGATCTAAAGAATGGCACCGGTTTCCAAAGAAGGCTGGTTTACGATTTCATTACGGAAGCAAATATAGTATTGGATGCTTTTCAGCTTCCTTAATTGTTCAAGTCACTGGTTTCTCTCACCTCGTGTGTGATGTGATGATTTCTGAAATGTTGATTTAGTTCTTCGCTCTTCGCAATTTCGTGCAAGGCTTGCTTTGCAAATCACAACTTGCCCAATGCTACCTATGAGTATTGGATACGGATCGGGGAGATTGGATCTACGAGATTACCCTCACGCGATGCCGCTTATCCGGATACGGCACCCTAACTTCTGCGCAGGTACATCAGGAGACCACAAACTAAAGCAGGCAAGGCAGGAAATAATGAGCTACCGCTTTGTCAGAAGAGTTTTTCTGGCCTCGAAGAAATTGACGACACGAGATGAACCATCCCCCAAGGTCCAGGAGAGAACCCTACTTATTGCAATGCGAGCGACACAGCTGGAAATTCCCGATTAAGGCTCAAAGGAGTGCCCCATCATGAAATGCTTGGCACTGGGAACTTAAAGCTCGGCAATCAATATCTAGGCCCCGAAATCCGCAATACCCGGAGGCTCCACCAGCACCGAGTCCGATGTGATTGCAACTTTAGCCGGCACAGCAATGCCGTGAGAAATCTAACCGCATTGACCACCTTTTTGCATGCACCCCCATTTTGCAGGGAATTTCTACGCCTCAACAACACGACGTCTCTCAATTTACCTCGCAATTGCTCCCTATCTACGTACAAAATGGCTAATCCAGTGGAGAATAGTCTGGACGATTTTGAGCAGCGAATCGAACGCGCTAAAGAGCTTGTCCGTCAGGGCTCTTCCCAGGCCGTAGCAGCTCATCGGTACGGTATCAAGGGGACTACACTGTCCTACCGTATTCGTCACGGTAATTCGCATCGCGACGCGGCCTCCAGGCAACAAAAGTTGACTCCAGAGCAAGAGGTTATCGTGAACTGGATCCTACACAAAGAAGTGTGTGGACGGGCTCCTAGCAAGCGTTATGTGGCCGACTTCGCTGCCGAAATCCTCCTTGCTCAAGGGGATAACAATACACTCGGCCAACACTGGGTGGATCACTTCGTTAGCCGCCATCCACAGATACGTACCAAAATTGGGCGCGTCGTAGATGCTAGCCGAGTTAGAGCGTCCGATTCGAACAAGATCCGAGACTTCTACACCCTCCTCGAACGCTTACGTACGAAGTATCGTATCAAACCCGACAACGAGTATTGTCACGCCGCGCCAGGGGTTGCAATCCTTGCCACTACGCCACCGTACCAGATGTCTTCACCAAAAGAGACCAATACCAAAGTCCCTGACTTTGATATCTGCAACCACTTATCAATCTGTTCAGACCAGTGTGGGTCAATCACGTGACCACCGTCACAAGTATAATATGGATGAGACAGGTGTCCAAGAGGGGGAATTTGGGCATGGTACGGTTATTGGGACATCTAATTCACACCGGGTACGCGTATCAAAGTCGGACGCTTCGTCGTGGTGCTCCTGTGATGCGAGTGCATATGGGGTGTGAATTGTTGTATTGGGAAAGGATGGCCAGGTCAGCTATTCTGGCCTGGCAGAGCTCTTTTATAGCTCTTATCTTATCTTTATCTATCTTATCTATCGCTATAGGGTAACCCCCCATGGGGTCACGTATCATCCTGGTTAGAGTACATTTCGCATACCCAACGGGGTACACCTGTCTGCGTATTTTCCGGCAAGAGAGTCCAAGCACAGTGGTTCCCAGACCAAAATATCCCTGAGTGGGAATACACCGCGACGAGTAAGGGCTGGAGTAATAAAGTTATTGTGACGGTAGTCACGTGATTGACCCACACTGGTCTGAACAGATTGATAAGTGGTTGCAGATACCAAAGTCCCTGACTTTGGTATTGGTCTCTTTTGGTGAAGACACCTGGTACGGTGGCGTAGTGGCAAGGATTGCAACCCCTGGCGCGGCATGACAGTTATCGCAAATAGGTGGTTAGGTCAGATTTTTCTCCCTGAGACGAAGCCTAGGGGTACCGAATGGCGACTCCTTATCCTCGACGGCCACCAGACACATATTCATGCCGAATTTATGTGGAAAGCCTACTCGAATAGAGTCGCCGTGCTGTATTTACCCTCACACTGCAGTGACGATCTCCAGCCGTGCGATGTCGGGCCGTTCTCACCTTTGAAGACCTACTACCGCCAAGAGCTCAGGGCTTACGCTTCCTACAAGGCTACAGCCCCAATTTACAAGCAACGTATGCTAGAAGCATATCTACGTGCCTCGGAGAGAGCCTTTACTACGGAAAATATTAAATCTGGCTGGCGGAAGACTGGTATATGGCCCCTAGGCTCCGAAGGACTAGTCGACGTATCTTGTGATCCTCCGGAGCCTCATACACCAGATCCTCCGCCTCATATATCACCACCTTTAGTTGTTTTTACTCCTCAGAAAGCGCAGCAACTATCTAGCCAACTACAGTCGATAGAGAAAGCCGAGGGCGGGATATCTCGTAAGGTTCGTACCCTAGTAGGCAAGGCGGGCAAGGCCCTTACACTCCAGGCCGCCGAGAATGCCAAATTACGTATCGAAAACGAGAAACTACATAAAGAACTCGTTAAATACGCTCCAGATATACGCCAGCCCGTCGAGCCAGACCCGAATAAAGTATTCGTTAACTTATCAGCGATCCGAACAGCCCAGGACAAGCGAAATAAGCGAATACGGCCTATTTTACCGGATAAGCAGTTAGAAATTGATACTTTTCTCGAAGGAAGGGTCCCTCCTAAAAAGAGGGCTCGAAAGAATATATCTAAGTCTTCGGACACTTAAATTAAGTATGTTCTGTATATAGATAATATGGACGAAGTATTTAGGTTGATTCAGTTAGACCCTGCAAAATGGGGGTGCATGCAAAAAGGTGGTCAATGCGGTTAGCCACATCTTGCGTGAAGATCTGGCATATTCGAGATATTGAAGCCAGCCCTCAATAATTGGATGTCCAAACCTGCTCAAATTCTGGAGCATGAGTTCAAGGTTCAGCACATCTCAATGGAAAAGACTTATCCTTGAACAGAACTACCGCAAGCTGGGGTTCCCTGATGGTTGCTCCGGGTTGGTGCGTCGGTGCAAGTCTTAGATGCGGGCTTCAGCTTTGCACTGCATTATGTGTCGACGCCCCGGCTGTTTCTAGATCTGTCTGCCCGTCCTTCTTCGCCTCTAGTAAGCATGTCTGCACAATCATTTATGAACCCCGGTAACCGGCTTCGAATCTAGGACTTTCACTATCTACGGGAAGATAACGCTGTGGAATTGCGATACCTTGTTTCCTGTCTCTCAAGGCGATGTTCGACCGATTCGCTCATGTTCGCGAACACCTTTCTGGTTCTCGGTGAGGGAATTGTCCTGTCCTGTAGGTGTAACACCTGCAGCATCAGGAAGGCGGCTGCATAAATTGGGACCTATCAAAGGTGGTTGATAACTCAGATACGTCAGTAGGGGCTGTCTAGAACGATAACACAAGGCAGACATCATATTCCAACCAATCCCGCTTTCAGGATGATATTGCCACTATCCTGCTTCTTGGCCCTACTTCTGCCCCTGCGCGACCAGGTTTCGTTGATTGCGATACCAACGCAACTTACGAAAGCCGCATGTTCAAGCGAGGGCAATTCATTGTGCTACCGAGCATGGGACCGATTCTCAAGTTAGCGACGGCTGCTCCCTCCCTATGTTATATATATATCACCACGGTGGATGCCTTCGCCATTACTGGATGTACCAGCTCCTGACAGTTCTCCTGAAACACAAGACTTCGTGTCTTTGTAGGGTTAGGACGACAATATGTCGCTCAGGCGAGCTTCGAGTAAGACTGTGGTTACCCCGAGCAACCTGGAAGTCTGCGACCCGGATGCCATTTCGCCATTCGACGACCAGAAAGAGCCAGCCATAACATTTTGGGACGACGAGAAACAGCCCGTTTGTCTGCCGCCATCTCCCAAACCCTGGACCTCTAGGCAACTACAGGTTAAACCCTCGAGTAATCCCACCAGTGACAATGCTGCAAGGGAGAAGCGGGAAACAAGCAACGACCAGAGGAGACTGAAGATCCTCGGTCTCGGCAGGTGGAAGTTTGCGATAGTGGTGGTACTAGTGCTCTTCATCATTGGCGGCATTGCCGGAGGGGTCGTCGCCGCGACTCGAAACTCCAGATCGCCACCGAGGAAATCGATGATACTCGGTGTATCCAACCTAGCCGCAGTGAACTGGACCACTGGGCCCGATGCTGAAGTTCATGCTGTCTTCTTCCAGGATCCTGATGACTCCTTGATGGCCTATATCGATAACAACGATGGCACCACAGCCATGGTCAACATAACCGGAATCTTTGAAAAATCCGACCCCTTGGCCATGCTCTCCGGAACTCCAATCGCTGCCGCCGCCAACTCCGACCCTCATGACTTCGGCAACATAACGTCGAACCGATTAAACGTGTTTTTCCTCACACCAGAGAACATCGTCACCGAAATTACCACCCATGATCCTATTCTGCAGGACTGGAGTCGAGGTAGCCTGGGCCCACACCGGGACGTGACGATAACGACGGCGAACGGATCCCAACTCGCCGCCGTATGGCAGCGATGCGACAATCCTAGCATCTGCGGAAAAGGCAGGTTCTATCTAGCATTTGAGGACAAGGATCAGAACTTTGTGATTGCGAACTCGACTTACGACTGGGATGCTAGCACTGCGAGCACACGACTCGCTCTTAACTCGAGTGCCACGTTGATATCGATGAATTATGGAAACGACTCGGATTATGTGTGGGGGTTTTACGAGACGAATAATATACTTGGTTCGGCGTGGCAGGATTATACTACTAATTGGGTGAGTAGCTGCTCATGGGGTTTTTTTCTTCCTGCTTGCCTTTCATATCTTAGGTGGGAAACTTGTTCCAAATCAACCTCTACTCCTGAGACGTGACGTAAACTCCCTTAAAACGGAATCCAGTCAGCATTTACTAACACCGAGAGTTGAACAGTGGTGGATAGATACAGGTAAAATCCTCCATGTTAATTCCGCCATGATGCATTCAATTGACCACATGGCCAAATTCAGGTCGCAACGTGATGTACGAAATAACGACCTCATTGACGAACCACTTTGCCGCAACCTCGATCAACCATAGGAGGGACGCCTTTATGTCGGCTCTTTACCCCAACGGCACCATAATAGGGAAGCATTGGAATTTCGAGCTGGACAATTGGAGGCCGCAAAGTGCACTGAACTTGTTTGGTGGGCCAGCGGCGCCCAATTTCACGAGTATTGCCATGACCGCTAATGCCCGACTCTACGGCATTTCTGGTGGTCAGGTCTTATGTTACTTGATGGGTAATATCAGTGACCCTTTCACGTTTGATTTCCTTGGCTCGATCCCCTGAGCGTAGTAGTGTGTTTTCTCTTTCCCATGCCGGGATGTTCCCTCAGGAAGGCTTTCTCTCAATTATTGCGACAGGGTTAGTATACGCTTGAATACCCGTCGAAGCCTGTTGGCCATTGACTTTTGCTCTCAGTTTGTGCGTTGGATTTCATGGAATTTGCGCCTGAATAACAAATGCTGTTTCAAGCCTCCGGGCTTGAAATCTCTGTAACGATCCATATGTATAGTGAAGTGAGTGGTCTTCGAATGCGAGTTGACTTAGTCGATGATCACATGGTTAGTAAATAGCCATGTAAATGCTGAGTAAGCAAGCTGCTGCCAGTTTTTAACAGCAGCTGTTAGGGATAAGAGGATACATTCACCTCGACGTGAAATATTTCATGTTCCCGGGTAGCTGGCGTCATAATCTCAGGTTTGGAAAGATATTATTGAAGATTCGCACTATTTGGCATGTAAAGCTGGGAAGGCGTCACATAATATGTCACTGGGATTTCCGCGAATCATCTTAAATCCCCTATATACACACGAGTGATCATTCTAGACCACCATTATGCTCAAACTACAATGTCGAGATGACAGCCATACCTCTCAGTCATTTCCACCGATCATATTTAGGCATGACATTACCTACTGTCACATCCGTTACCTTGAATGTGGATTCAAGACAGCTGAGACAGCGTCGTACAATGGCCAATCACCTCACAACTTGAAGACATATCAATGAACGACCATGCACGGCCTAATGTGAATGTTGTATCATTATGAGGTTGTATCGTCTAATATTAAACCTTGAGGATGACATGATGTCTCCTGTGGGTCAAAGGAATGGGCGATAATCCTCAAACTAGGTGAAGAAGACCAATAATGCAGTGAATACCCTTTCATATTTTGTCCCTCATTATGTGCAGTAAATCAGAGTTACGATGCACAATCTACTGCTATTTCCAATGCTAATTGTATCCTGTATGAGAGGTCACTAAACGCGATGCTGTGGATCGAACTTGGACTAGGGCTATGCTCCAAGATGCAAGGTTCCTCCCGGCCGCGTTAGATTTATCCGTGCCCTGTACCCTCCTAGCAGCTGAAAGTGGTTGATTTGGCCGTTAGAAATCTTCATAGTAGTTGGTAAAATTTTGGTTGCTTACCGGACCGAGACACAAACATAAACCAGGAAAGTGTCTTGAGTAGGATTCCGGTCCCTGGGTTGTCATTATTGAGCCAGGAGCGCCCCAACACTCAAACATGATATAACGAGTATACACAAGGATCTATACTTAGACCTCACCGTGTCGGTGTTTATTCTGAGTCAGCATAGTAAATACTGGCTAAGAGCAAGAGTAAAAATATACTCCCTTGTTCTGATTATCATACATTGTGTTCTAAAAATACTGGTCTTATAATTTGTGAAAATAAATGGTTACATATTTATTACATAAACGCCATTCAGATCCTGTTAACATGATAGAAATGATAGAGTGATCAATAGCAACAGTCTGTCTGGGGGTTTGTCTTGACCGAGGCATGGTCATTATGTACCAATCGACTCTGTTACCCAGATGACTGGTCACCGGGACGTTGCAAATGTTGCCAAGCCCTAACCGTAAGTCCCAACGGCCCGCTGGGACGGACTGGGGCCTCCTTGCAAGCCAAGAGGCCCCCACGATTCCAACTGTACGGTACCCACTGAGACGATCACAATGCCCGAGGAAACTTATCCTTACCGTAAGCACCTTACTTTATCCCAGCTTCATGAGATTGTGATGAAGATATATCGGCAGATGTCGAAACAGCGAGTTTTTGGGAACCGAGGCACTGACGACGAGTAGGCCCGTCGACTTCTCCTCCAGCTACACCACTAGCGCTATCCTGACATATAAGGGTGCAGTGGGAGCGGGCCGGGGAGCGTTGGTCATGGTTCGAAATGCAAATGATGCAACACTTACATCACCTTTCTGAAACATGCCCAAGCTATTTTTTAGGCGGCTCGTTGAAATAGACGTTCCGGTTCACAGGCATGACTAGCTCCAAGCGAGGCGTTATGTCATGACTGTGCATTCCGAAGATTACTTGCTCGGTCGAAAACCGGAGACTTTTTCGGGCTGTGTCTGAGAAATCAGGTCCATAGACCACCTAAAGGCAGGGTTCCCGGAGATATGGAAGAAATGAAATCCGCCAAATTATCATCCACCAGGACTCTGGCATAATCAAAAAGATCAAAAATAAGGTATTCATCTGAAGTTGAGCCGGGGTTAAAATTCTGTTTTCCCCTTCGACTGACCGTATTGGACAAGATTGAGATACATACCTACGTCAGAGGCTTGATTAGAAACTCGCTGCTTCAGCTTCTATTTCAGAGAACGAGTAGGATTGAGCATTTGGTAGAAGGATTCCGACTCAACTCGAACAGTGCACCTTCTGGCCCTGGTGGCTATCCATGAAGGGGGTTCGCGGATCTCTTTGCCAGGCGAATACCATATCAGCAGTGTCAGCTTGACGGTAACATGCTCTGCGGACAAGCCGAAATAAGCCATAACAACAATAGTCCGGCAACGTCATATCGAGACGGCGTAGCCCGCTTGCCTGGAGTTCCCCCACACTTTCGCGGCTGCCTGGATAGCCCGGGCTCTCCTCTACGCCATTAGGCACGATTTGAGTGGGTGACTGCCGAGACCGTTGAGACCCTAGACCTGGAGAGTTCCACCAATATCGTCAAGAACGAAAGACGACAGCGCAAAAGGAGCCGTGAATCTTCACCCCGAGAAACGTATCATTACTGCCTCGTGCAGGGTGCTGTCAAGCTAATGTATGGTCCAACTTGATGACTCCGGCCAATTGAGAGAACAGATTTGTGTCCCCAAAAGGGAAAGGATACCATATGGGGTCTAGTGTCCGGGACGCAACTTACGAGATACATTTATGCCAAGATTTTCGGAATGCTTCCCTGTTCATCTTGCGGCAGCGTCTCCGCCTCTTTCAGCCCTAACGTAACTTTGAACCAGCAATTGACGGCGGTAGAGGATCAACAGCAGACAGATGCAGCCGTTGCCGAGTTGCAAAGCACTGCAACTCAACTGGCTGCGGGGCCATGTTCACGACGCTACGTATGTAGGCGTGCCGGCCACGATCGGGCCTCCTCAACCTACATGCATTCGATATTATTGATTTTATACTGACGGCCCGGCATATGTTCCTTCAAAACCTCTTTCGCCTCCCGCTTGAGCAATCCCAACCCTATGTTCCCATCCTTACCGGTGGAAGCTTCCAAGGGCCATTTCACTTGCCAAGAAAAGCAACGTCGTGGCTCATGGTTAGCCACTGTGGCGATAGGAAATAAATAGAGGATTTGATGACTCTCAGGCATCGGATCGGCAGCTTGAGCCTCGACTAGTCCCGCGTCTACCGGTTGCTGCGCCAAGTAAATATGGCCAGGGGATTGACATAGCACAGATACTTGGAGATACCACCATAAACGACTAGCACCATCACCAACCATCGCATAAAACCAGCTCTTCCCGCTTGGGAACGCAATCTGGCATGAACCTGAGGCGGTCTACATCACCTATGAGTACCCACCATACCCTTCAGCGACGTACAGATGGATCACTTCAATGCCACCGTCTGCAATGGGGCCATGATCTCAACTCGGAGAGGGTTTCAAGTGACCAAGCAGAAACACAAGGGGACCGCATTTGTAAACTCTTCAGTGCAAGACCACGCGTCAAAGAAACCCCGAGCGAGGGCTGGCTTTTCCCTTCCTGTCGCTACAACGCTCACCTTTATCAACAACGAAGAGGATGAAAAGAAATACACGCAGCCCAAGAGGAGGTCCAGGGGTTCGAAAGATGCCGAAAGAGCATCTAGGCTCAAGCCGGCGAGTATGAGGAAGCGGAGGACTTCTTCGGAATCATCAGGCAACCACCCAATCCGAGAATCGTGCCAGCGGTTCGGTCTGGAGGAAAACTACGAGGAATTGGGATCGCTGCCAGCCTGGGCTTCGTATAAGCTCCCCAAGAATCTCCGGGATTCGAGCAAAAGGTTGTTGTTCATGACACTTGCATTTGTCCCCGACAAAGCGTCCCCATTCAAGGAGTACGGCATGTTAACATACAACCCGTTAAAATTCTCCGATCGGGATATATGGCTGGTCCAGGACCCTACCATTCTCCATAGTGCCATTGCTCTGGGCGCCCTGTTTGATGCCATCAGATCAGGAAAGAAGGACTCGCCCGGGCTGACATCACTTACCTCGCAATTGTGCTCCATCATCAACCGAAGGCTGAACCAAAAAGAGCAAAGCGGTTTGGCACGGGAAATTACCATGCATGCTGTTGCAGCTCTAGCAATAATTGCTGTAAGCATTATACCTCGTGTAAGCAGCACATGACTGACTGCAATCCATCAGGGCTACCAGGGAAAACACGACCATTGGTATGTGCATATGAAAGGGCTCGTACATTTGATTGACCTTGTTGGGGGCCAAGAGAAACTAGACGTCAGGACCTTAGGCGCGATACGAAAGTAAGTTGAACACGAGAGCATCACATCGTTCATCGATAAACTGATGATTCTTGAAAACGACAGGGCAGACTTGGCTGGAGCCGTCTCAGCTGCAACTAGGCCTTGCGTATCGTGCGTGAAGCCCCGACTTGACCTCCGGTCTGTACTTCCCGAAGCACACCAGGAGAGAAATTCACGTGCTGTACAGCGCCTCCTCAATGCATGCCATATTGACACAGAAATTGTCGAGACGATAGCAAGCGTGGCTGGTTTCAACGATTGTCTGGATTATTGCAAAAAGAAAGAGGGCACCAAGTCAAAGTTCGAGCCTGATGCTCTCATGGAGTATTTCTTCTTCCTGAAATACCAACTACTCTCTAAACCAGAGGCACTACGAGATTTCGACGAAGTCATCACACCGAAGATGAGCCGCAAATTCCCCTTGAGCGCGCAGGATTTCCCGACCCCAGTTTCAATGGACCTCTCAGTTGACGCGTATTCCAAAGCAATTGAATCTGCGATGCGAATTCTGACGATATTATACCTGCGAGAACCGACGCTAGACCTTCCTTGTGGAGAGACAGTGCTACTAGATCTTTTGACCCGACACATGACAATAATTCTGACGAGCCGAAGAGGACCACAGCCAGAGAACTCGATGATTGACCCTTCTTTATTGGAAGACTCTACTCCGACACAGAGTGCGACACTAATATGGATGTGCATCGCCGGAGACTGCTTCTCAACGTCAAAAATGGCGACTTCAGTAGATCACTCGGACAAGATGGGCCAGCCAAGCATTTACAAGCAGCTCCTCATTGAGGTGCTAGGACCCCATGCCTCAGCGAACCCGGAACTTGTATCTCAAGAGGACTTGGAGCTATGCAGATTTTTGGATTTGAGATATGTTCGAGGCACTCAGTGGAGTGAACGAAGCGCGATGAGACACATTCTAGGTGTGATCAAAGTCGAGTAATGAAAAGCGAGATGTTCTCATAGAATTTGACCGTTCTAGAAACTGCATCTTATACCAAACAACAAGTTTGAGTTATTGTTTGTCATTCTCCATCAGACATAGTACATCGCCACACACGAATTTCTTGCCGACTTCCCTCGAACAACCCTTAAGATACCAATTCGGCGAAAACAGTCTAGCACTATAGAGACGATCCGAAAGCCAAGCCACAAGGAGGGACCAAGGACCGTTCCGACGGCATGTCCGAGATCGACAGAACCCGACAATCTCGTGCAAGCCCTGTAAGTCGGAGGCATATCCATTTTCGATAAAGAACATTGCCGATCACCTCCTACGACTGGACTATCAAGGACGGGGACCAACGACTGGAAACGTCGCAGTAGCCTCAATTCCGCCACTAACCTCGCCGCATGACGCGAAACTGTACCCTGTCAATGCTGCAGTCTTACTCCCTCGATGAGTATAAAGCCTATATTGGGTGGTTCATTCTTCATGTTAATGGTCATCATGGTGGTTGGGCATAGCAGCAACCCAGGCCCGAGAACCCTCAGTCACGAATAGGAAGGTACATGCTGCTAGAAATATAAGTTTCGATACCGATATGTTCAGCTGACCTCACACGAAGCACGTGAGGATTCTAACGCACACTGGGGTCAACTGGATGCTATTATAGTGCACGGGCTTACGACCTACACCTAGAGTTATACATGTAGAGACAGCCAGCCACTCGCGCCAACTCGAATGCTTCCCAATCAAAGGACTACCCGACGACCTTCCCATCGTAAGAACCCATTTTTGCCCGGTATCGCAGTAAAATCAGAGATCTTGCCTGATCTGGTAAATTTTCCCACAGAGGCAATAGAGGAAACAAGCTGATGATGATTGGCAGCAAATCAAGGTGCCTCCGCCCACCACGTCTTTGGCATCCATCTCCTGTGCATTGATAGCCGGACAGTCGGGTCTCTTGCCCGTGGGAACATGATCCTGGAGGTTGCGGATATGGTACTTGGGGCTGTGGTTGCATGTAGTTGCCGCTATCAGAAGCATGTTTTTGCTGACGAAGAAAGCCTCCCGTGCTGTCACTTTGTAAGCGACGTTGGTGATGGTAATCTAGTGTTGCAAATTCCACATGATGCTTTCAGCATGTAGATTGTCGTATATGTCCATGGCCTCATAGCCTTTCACGGATGCCACCTATATGAGAAGGATCGCCTGCTCATTGCTCAAGTATTTTTCATGAACAACAAAAGAAAGTAAGGTGAACCGCTTGGAGAAAAGCCTACTAGCAAGTTCTGAACAAGCATGAGCGAAAATACCTCTTGTCCAGACCGAGATGTGTCTGGCATGCTGTCTGGCATGGACATGCTCTAGCCCCCAGGTTTGGACGACAGTACCTGGGATTCTATCCCTAGACAAGGCCAGGCCAGAAGGGTAGCTGAATATTTTGACTGATACTGCCGCTTGAGACTCACCACCAAGAGCAAACCGTGATGTCGAAATGTGTGTAACATGTGATTAAACAGCGAATAAAACTTTGTGAAATATTGTTTACGAGCTACCGTGGAATCCAACCGTATTGTTGTGAACCAACCCTTGGTATGATATCTAGAGCTGGGCTTAAGCACGGACCAAACATGAATTAACAAGCGAGAGTAAAAATGATACAACTGCTGAACTTGATAAGGCCTTTATCAGATTGCAAATTCAAGCCGTGCTATTGCCCCTCCGAGGAGCCCCCTCCGTCATTGCGACCCGTGGAACCGGAACGCAAACATCTACATCGCGACAGACCCCCCTGAACCACAATATCCAAAACGTTGACGTACACAACAGCCTGCTCTCATACAGAGTTCATCTTTCCTATCCAACGCATTCAAACCAGCCGCCCACCATGTCGATAATAAAGGAAATCACCAGCGAGGACGAGTGGCGATCCCACGTCGCATCGTTGCACAAGGAAACCCTCCTCATCATCTCTTTCCATGCACCATGGGCAGCCCCCTGCGCGCAAATGTCTACTGTCCTCCGAACTCTCGCTTCTGAATACCCCGTCACCGAGCCACCGGCAACGAGCTGGGTATCACTCAATGCCGAGGAGATGAGCGACATCAGCGAAACATACGACGTAACCGCGGTCCCATACCTGGTGCTACAGCGTAACGATCAGGTGCTGGAGACGGTCAGTGGAAGCAGTGCAGTCAAGGTACGGAATGCCATTGAGTCGCACGCGAACAAGGCAGCCGGCAGTTCCGCACCAGCCACCAACGGCACAGCACCGGCCCCAGTCGCAGACGAGGTAGAGACGCCAGTAGACCCGGCCAAGGCGAAGGAAGAGATATTCAAGCGACTAGAAGAGCTGGTAAAGGCGGCACCAGTAATGCTGTTCATGAAGGGCACACCGAGTGGACCACAATGTGGATTCTCGCGACAGCTCGTGGGCATCTTGCGTGATCGCTCAGTCAAATATGGATTCTTCAACATTCTAGCCGATGATGAGGTTAGACAAGGCCTGAAGGAATATGCCGACTGGCCGACTTACCCTCAGCTGTGGGTGGATGGTGAGCTGGTTGGCGGTCTTGACATTGTAAGTTTGTCCACTTATGGCAAGCTGCTGTTTAAAAGGCTGGTCACAAGTTACTGACAATTAAATCAGGTCAAGGAGGAACTGGACAACAATCCTGACTTCTTTAAGGACTACAGTGTGAGCAAGGAGGAGGGCAATGCTGCTGCGTGAAAGATAGTCGTTTTGAGAAACAAAACCCCATCATGCTATGGACTCTATACAGCTTCAGTGCTTTAGTGGCCAACGCCGGCTACAGGTCTTCCAGCTATCTGTTATTCGGGTATTTGGCGTGGGTATGTACATAAATGCCGCGTCCAGGAGTAATTGAGGCAGAGCGAAAGATGATGCAGTTAGGTCCATTTTATGGTTCACTTTGTTTGACGGTTCACTTTGTTTGACAGATCAGATATAAGGTGTGTACGTGTACCTCGTAAAAGTCATCATACTTGCCATTGAAGAATCTGTCCAGGGTGCGGCGGTTCGCCAGTTTCGATAACGCGAGCTGGCTGAGAGATTGGAATGACGATGCCCCTTTGCATCGCTTACATGTAAGGACTAATGGACTGACCAAGTCAATGTCAATACCATACTTTAGAATAAAGGAAAACAGGGCAGGAACGGGGTTGGGGAAGTATAGTCACTGCAATAATTCAATAATTAAGTGCCTCCCCATCTCTTCTTCCCCCCGGGTCGCGAAGCACACACACGCAAGCAAGCCGCAACCGCCAATGACTCCAACTTGATAAAACCACACGCCAAGCTGCCACAAGTGAAGACCTCGTTCTCTTTTTCTTTTTACCGTGGACTTAGCCAAGTCAGCGTGTCATCAACAAGCCCATTCGATCCCGCAATCCATCATGGCACTATTGCTTTCGGAGTCCAATGAGGAGAGTAAGTCATCACCGCCCTCCCCCATTATAGAAAGTCGGAAGAACATGCTAGGTTATGTCTATCTTTTAGCGAAGGAAAAGGTGGGTCTTTCCGAACTAATTCATGCTGCTTAATACAACCAGCAGATTGGACTGACTTTAGTGAAGGTAAGCTCTGTGATATCCTCAGTTCAGAGATCCAGATCTGTGCTCGTGCGAAAGGGGGAAGCAACTGTGGTGACACAGTCGTCACTGGTGTTGTTGAATAAATTTCTCTCCCCTAACGCTTAATATTGCTCATTATACTAGTTCACACTGCAGCCACGTGCTCCCCTTGGAATTGCTGAAGCCAAAAGCCACCAGTCTGGTTGGTCCTGGTGTCGTACTGCATCTGCCTATATTATTCTCTGAGTTGGAAAGCTTGAAGAAGCAGAGCATCTCCAAAACTCAAGGCTGACTCTTCGTATCAACGCGCTGTGCTCTGAATCTCGACCTACTACTACCTCGAGATCAAGGAACTTCCACGTAGGCACAGGAGGATTACCTATTTGTAAATACTCCCATCTTATCCGACTTGAGGAGAGCAATTTAGGTGGATGAGGAACTTTTATAAACTATCTGCAAGAAGTGCTCCTACAACATAAGATTTTTGTCAATTCTTGACCCGCACCCGCACTGTACGTGCCCAGTTCCGGATCAGGGGAGGCGATGGGGCAGACGCAGAGGAAGATCTGAGACTCGGTACTTGCATCAACTAGGACAGTACCGCGGAAAATGCCTCCTGAGAACATGCCTATTGATCCAGCTCAACATAGTTAGCAGGGAAGAGACCTGATCCACCTTGGTAGTGCCCGAACCACCAGTCATCGTCGGGGAATTCGAGGTTGGTGATCTTGGCTCCCTCGGGGAAGCTCAATTCTACATCGAATTAGCAAATTTGTCATACATGGATCCAAATGAACAGTCACATACCGTTGTCCTCTGCAGCCTCATAGTCGAATTGAGCCGTGGCAACCACCGCACTTCCACCAGCAGCCGGCTCCGGCTCTGGCTCAGGCTCAGGAGCAGCAGCCGGGGCAAGCGGAGGTAGTGCTTGTACGGCCGCCGAAGCATTGTCATCTTCTACAAGCTCGACATAGTTGCTAGGGAATAGACCACTTTCACCAGCTGAGTTGGTGCCCATCCACCAATCTTCGTCCACCATATCAATGTTGGTGACATACTCGCCCTCGCGTAGCTCCAGCTCGTTATCCTCAGCCTTCTCGTAGTCATATTGGATAATAGCACGCTTGCCACCGGAGGCAGCTGGTGCGGCCGCAACAGGCTCATGACCAAACTGTTGTTCAGCTACCGAGGTTGCAGCAGCGCGGGGGTCGAACGAATCTTCTTCCTCGACCATGTCCTCCTCCCTGGGCATTTCCTGCTCGATCGGCCGGACAGGGAGAGACCGCGGAGGTTCGGCGGCGGGTTCAAGTTCTATTTCAGGACCGCGGGCCACAGGTCTGGCGACTTGGATGGGCTCTGGCTCTTCTTCATCTTCTTCCTCGTAGGTTGGCGGCGGCGGACGAGGTGGCATGCCGGGAAGTGCAAAGCCGCCCGAGGGTGCGTCTGATGGGCGATCACCCGTTGGCAGAGGAGGGGGCGCTGGCTCATCCTCTTCTTCATCCTGAGCAACATATGCAGCTGCACCGGCACCTACACCCACGGCAGCTCCAATACCTGCTGCAGCAGCGATGGGCGCACCGCCCTTGAAACGATCACGCAGTGCGCCGATTCCTCCAGATGGCGACGCCGGGGTCTCCTCCTGATTAGTCCCCGTCTCGCCGGTCTTTTGTCCAGGGATACCACGGCCATACCCAGGAGCCTGCACTGGGGCCCAACTCTTCCCTTCGTAGCCACTCTGCCATCTCTGCTGTCCGCTCGTCTGAGGTGCTACTGGAGACGCTGCTGGGGGACTGGCAACGCTACCACCCTGCGCTGCCTTCTTCTCAGCCCATAGCTGAGCCGGGGTCTTCCCACCTTGGTCAGCGAATGTTCGACTTGCACCTCCGAGTGGCGCCGCAGCTGGAGCGGCTCCAGGGCCGAGCAGACCAAATCCTCCAGGAGTTGGTGCCTTGGTTCCGGTGAAAGAAGAGGCACCGCCCCACTTCTTGGCAATCTTGGGCTTGGGCAACTCAGTTATCCGTTCAGACTGAGCAAACGCAGCACTCCGTTCGGCAAGAGATTTGGGCCGTTCAGAAGATTCCTCTGACGGGGCGGGCTCAGCAGGCTTTTGAGCTCTGGACCGGATAGCGGCAATATCGACCTTACCCACAGGTTCGTATGCGCCTTTCACTGTTATTGGCCGATCGTCCTGTTTCTCCTTTGCAGCAGCTCGAATCGCAGCTATATCGACCTTTCCGACGGGTTGATATGCGCCCTTAACCACGTCGGGTCTCTCAGCGGGTTGGCTGGATCCATTGAATCTTGAAGGCTCTTGTTTCTGGCCCGTTAGCTCGGCAATATTGACTTTAGTCGGCTTGTACGCCGACTCAACTTTCTCTAACTGGGTTCGTGTGGGTGGAGGGGCATCATCACCCCAGCCATCATCGTTCGTCTTCTGTCGCAAACTTGCGTTTCGTGCGGCCACAATGGGGTTGAAGGAGCTAGAACTTGACGCAAAGACAGGCTTGGTCTTAACTGGAGGGGCTGCGGTGGACGATTTCACTGGTGCACTTCCACCAGCAGTGTACTTGGCACCCGATGCATCAGAGACCCTTTGCAAGATGTTGGCAGGTTCAAGATCGGTGTCGGATCGGGCGGTGATCTGGACATGGTAGCCGTGGAGGGCTTTGGAGACGACATTCAGATGACTTGTGAAGTAGCCCTTGGTCCTTTCCGGGACACCTCCGCCGCACTGTTGAATGGGTAATTAGCTCGTGTTACCAACAGCCGAGTGAGGAGAACATACCCATGCGATCAGGGCATATTTGGGCAGACCGGTATTTGGGTCCTTGATCTTGAGGAAAGCAAATTGAATGCGGCCCTCGTTGAAGTCCTCGATGAGTTCGTCCAGCTCACCCTCGCCGGTGGTCTGCACCTTCAGTACGCTCTCCTTGTTGCCGCTGTCTTGGAAAGCATTCGCAAGCGGGGCTTGAACAGAGAAGAGGGCCCATTGACCATAGGTTGAGGAGCTTCCAGATGGCGGTGCCGGGGCATTGATGACTGCATTGTAGCTGCTCTTGATGGAGGGCCCATTGATTGACAGATTTAACGAGGCCATGGTGCGGGATCGGGTTTGGTTTCTCTGAAGTCGTGGTGGGAATTGTGTCGTCGATTTGGTACTAACAAGAACCCCAACGCACTGGGTGCGGGTGATGTCAGAGCCGGCGGCTTTAGAGCTGAAGCTCTCAGTCAGGGTTTGGGGTATTGTAACAACGCCTCTCAACAAAAAGTCGATGGCTTGCGATAAATGGATTGATGGTGGGAATGAAAAATACAGCCGGCCACTCAGTCATTTACTGAAGAGATCAAGTTGGCTGGTTGGCTCCTTCGCCGTTCCAACAATTCTTGTGGTGCCTGGCAAGCTCACCGTATTACGGCAGCAAGGCAAGTGGGCTGTGCTGTGCTGTTCTGCTGCCCGCAACTTGGATCATGGTGTGCAAGCGCGTATTCTGCACACACCTCGAGATCATAACACCACACCCCCTTGTGAAGATTCTAGCTGCTGGACCCCTAGCATAACTGTCTGAGCACTTATGACCCAAAGTGCATCGCATAACTCTACAAAGTACTCAAGTACCTGTGTGGATTCACCCGCTTATCGGGATGTTCGTGGATGATAGTCGCAACTTCCGCTGTAGCCTCGTTTCTGCCATTCCAAGTCATCAAATACTTTGGGGGCGTCGCGTTCCAATCCACGCGAACCTAAAGTTTTCACTTAAGCTGCATCCAGGACGTTCATCCTCTGCCATCTGCCATCTGCGAAAAGACTGCGACCTGGCTAATTCACATGAAGGGGAGTCGCCATTTTCAGGCATCTGGGAGTGCATACTTTCTAGCTTGATTGACCAATCGTTAACTGCCCCATTCCCTTCCCCTTTCTACCCATCCCATTATTCACAATGGTTCTGCTTTCAGAATCATCATCAGACATCAGTTCTCTGTCATCAGAATCACCTGAAGCGGACAACGAATATGACGACTCTATTGCCCCAGAAGAGCCAGCTCTGCCGCCATCTAAACGCCAGAAGCTCACTGGCGATGACTCCCGAGCCTCATCAGCAGTGCATCTCGAACCTGATGTGATAGAAGAAGAGCAAAATCTTTATGGTGACATATCCTCTGACACATCTGGTGACGTACCCAACTCGCCCATCAACGCCAAATTAGACGAAGAGGAGTTCCAGGAGCAGGTCACAGTATGCGCCTGGGATGGCTGTCAAGCAGGCGATCTGGGAAACATGGACAAACTCGTCGAGCACATCCACAATGATCACATTGAGAGCCGACAGAAGAAGTACACATGCGAATGGAATGGTTGCGCGAGGAAGAGCTTGGGACACGCTAGCGGGTATGCACTAAAGGCTCACATGCGGAGCCACACGAGGGAGAAGCCTTTCTATTGTTACTTGCCAGGTGAGGCCGTCCCGTTGCTAACCAAGGACGTAACACTGACTTGTGACTCCAGAATGCGATCGTGCCTTTACTAGGTCCGATGCCCTTGCGAAACATATGCGGACGGTACATGAAACCGAAGCCCTTCGTCCCTCCGATCCCGTTCCTAAATCCATGCAGTCACATGCTACTGGCGACAAAGGGCCTAAGGTCAAAATCGTCTTTAAGACGACGCCACAATCGCACGCAACCGGCCAAGATGATGGTGCTGATGGTGGCGATAGAAGCGAGGAGTTACGCCCTGAACAGATGACGGCCCTGGCAGAGCAACAAGGCTTCACGACTGAGGAGCTGCAGAAGGACCCTGAATCCCTGTGGAAATTATGTGTTGCCCACATCAAATGGGCGACAACTGTAGGCCAGGAGCTACGGCAGGAATGCAAGGAGCTGGAGGAGGTGTACAGGCAGGAGTGGCTGGAGAAAGAGGTCTTGCTTGACCAGGTGATTCAAGTTGAAGAAGACTGGTGGCATCGCCGGAAAGCTGTTCTCGCAGGTGTAGCGGATATCCATGTCAGCGATGCAATTAATAGGAAGACAAGTGAGCCCGGGGATCCTATGGATGCAGATGAAGATGCGTTTGGCACAGTTGTGAACACTACTGTTGACAAAGGGAAGGGGAAGGGGAAGGCTGTTGAAGAAGGTGATGGAGTCATGTCTGATTAGTCATGTGTCCAGAATGACAATAGCATAGGCGCAGGAGCAGGTCTATTAACGGGAAAAAACAGTTTTGGTATATTGCATCCTGGAGGATATCACTAGGGACCAAAAAGACCGGCGGGTTGCAGTGAAAGCTGGCCAAAAAGATAATTTCGACAGAATTGCTAGAATCAGGCGTGTTTTTATGGTAATAGAGCAGTGTACATACCCAAAAGAGTGATGAAATGCGTTGTCCTTGCTCTGGCATATCTACAATGTCTTTTTCGCCTTTCTCTTCCCGGCCTCTGCATTGGCGAAAGGAAAGCCACTCGTCCGCTTATCCGCCCCAGTTCTCTTGCTAATTCGAGCCTTATCACCTCCAAACATCAGACACCAAAGACCGAAGACAGCCATTGTCACACTGCCGATGAAGCCGAGCAGGAAGCCCGTTTGGTCTGTGCTATTGTATTTCGTCCAGCCGTAGAATGCAGTGAAGCCATGATGGAGCATCGTGATGAGCAGCACTGCGGCTGCGTATGGGGAGATTGAGTCGGATGCGTCTGAGATCAAATTAGTCTTCCAGGGCCATCTCAACCCTAGAGCTTCCATTGCTCATGCCAGGCCTGTGAGAAGTATGACTTACTCTCAACCAGAGAATTGAGTGGCAGGGAACCTGTCAAGACAACCGTCACAAGTCCAAGTGCTATCTGGGCAAAGCCCAAGGAGCGTGCGAAATAGTTCTCGATATCATTTGGTGGGCGCATGCCCTGGCCATCAATGGTCAAAAGGCCATTGATAGCTTGAGGCCATATGATCAGGGGAATGGCTTGGACTAAATGCCAGCCGCAAGAGGCAAAGCTGTAGCTTGATACCACCTGGAAATAGGTTAGTTGACCTTCAAGTGCATCTTTCAGATCATCTAGAAGTAGGCTTACATCCATCGTTGTTGGGATATGCTGGAGAGTCTAAGGCTAAGCTGTGCAAAATACAAATTGAGGCAATGGAAAATTTTGGCTAAGGAATAGATGTCGTTATGTACGATCCACCTTTGTTGAGGGCGAGGGTGAACATGAGTAATAGTGTAAATTTGGGTATTTAATGGTCAACTCCAAAGCTGCTGTGTACAGCTGAGCCTCATCAAAAGGTGCTGGCCATCATGAAGAAGCTACGTCATTTATGACAGCAAATACGAGCCGATTGATTGGGCAACCTCAATTGATGTGGTAAAATGAAAGCACAGTCTCAACCTCACAGCGTCGCCAATTGTAACTGTGTTACTCGCAGCAATGCCTGACATATATACAGTGCGGATATCTCAACCCCGCTATAAGTACAACATACCAAGTAGAAGCCCCACGCCACTCGCGGGGCACCGATCTCGCGTTCACTAAACTAGACCAAAAAGTTGCGTTGCATTTCAAAGCACATGCATGCATGTACGAAGTAACGATTTCGCATCTCCGGGCTCAATAAGCAGTAAACTGAAGCTGTTCTTATCCAAAAAGAGTCGCTTTCCTTGCATGTTTATTCGCACTCGGTCGCTCTGTTCTAGACTTTACACCTTACAGCACCTTCTAGTATTTCTCACGAACCCATAACTGCAAATCGACGTCCCCTCCCTGTCTGGACTGAATCTGGTCTTGCAAGCTGGTTTGCGTCAACAACTGTTCACGGTGGTTCCAAGCAACCCTACTCTGTATCTTGCAGCTACGGTCGAGTCCTCGACTCAACACCGACGATGTCAGCAATCCTTAGTGCCGACGACCTTAACGATTTCATATCCCCCGGTGTCGCCTGCATCAAGCCTGTTGAGACGCTACCCGCCCCGCCCCCACCAAACGACGATGCGGTCGAGTACGAAGTGGTCCTTGATGGACCTCTTACATCAATAGCCACGAACGAACCGGCCCAGATATCTCTCACAGACTGTCTTGCATGCTCAGGTTGTGTCACATCGGCTGAAGCGGTCCTCGTCAGTTTGCAGAGCCATAGCGAAGTGCTGAGCGTGCTCGATCAGGCCCCAGGCCTGCGACCACGGCAGGAACATGGACGATGGCAGGTTGACGGCCTTGAGGATTCAGAAGCAAAGTTGTTTATTGCGAGCGTGAGTCCACAGACCAGGGCCAGTCTTGCTGCGGCCACGGGAGGACGCATAGGGGAGAAGGTGGCGGGAAACATGATCGCGCAACTATTGGCGGGAGAGAGTGGCTTGAAGACTGGTGGAAAACACAATAATGCGTTCACATGGGTGGTGGATACAAACACCGCCCGCGAAGCCTGTTTAGTTCTTGGGGCGGAAGAAGCCCTGAGCGGAATAGAGGGTTCCGGAAGAGCCACGAAACCGATACTTAGTGCGAGCTGTCCTGGCTGGGTGTGCTATGCCGAGAAGACACACCCACATGTGCTGCCCCATCTATCAAGAGTAAAGTCGCCACAAGCCCTCATGGGTACGCTACTGAAGACAACATTGAGTCGGACCTTGGGTATATCCCCAGACCGAATATGGCATCTCGCAGTAATGCCTTGTTTCGACAAGAAGCTCGAGGCCAGTAGAGAGGAGTTGACGGACTCGGTGTGGGGTGGTGATGGGGAATCTGGTCGAGGTGTACGGGATGTCGACTGCGTCATCACCAGCAAGGAGGTCTTGATGCTCACCGAGTCAAGAGCTATTGATTTCTTCAACCTATCCCAAGCTCCTATTACACCGTCACAGCGTGCCCTATTCCCAGACCCAAAACTGGACAGATTCTTGTTTCCTCCTCGTGCTCGGAAGCAACTCGAGCCCGCAGCTGGCACATCCGGCGGCAATCTTTACTACACCTTGCAATATGTCTCATCGCAGCATCCCGGCTCGCGGATCGAGTCTGTCAAAGGCCGGAATGTTGATGTTGTTGAGTTCAATGTTGTCGCGGTAGATGGCAAGTCATTGTTCAAGGCTGCGAGATACTACGGCTTCCGAAATATCCAGAATCTGGTCCGACGACTGAAACCAGCGAGGCCGTCGAGGTTATCGGGGGGGAGACCAGTCGGTGGTACGCGCAAGCAGATGGAGTATGCCTACGTCGAAGTGATGGCGTGCCCTGGTGGGTGTACAAATGGCGGAGGCCAGATCAAGATCGAAGACCCCATCGTCACTGAAAGGAAAGGCTTGACGGGTAAACCGGGTCCCTTGGAGCAGAAGGAATGGTTGGCGCAGGTGGATGAGGCGTATTTCTCAGCCGAGGAACCTGAGTCTGAGGTTGAAGCCGATGCTGGTGAGAGCAGAGCACCGACAGCCTCGGTAGGCGGCATTTCCCATTCATATATTCGAGATACCCTGACACATTGGTCGAGCATAACTGGCGTGGATGCGGAGAGGTTGGCCATGACGACATACCGCGAGGTCATCAGTGACGTGGGCAAGAATAAGCCAAGCGAAACTGAGAGGATTGCCCGAATTGCCGGGAAGATAGGAGGGGGATGGTAATAGACCAGCATGTTCGCGATTGTACAGGACATAAATCCATGCACATCATATGAACCATACCATGTCCATCACACCTGAGCCAGAAGTGCAATGAATAGATGAATGACACAAGAGATTCCTGTCACTTCATGAACGAACCCCTTTCCAAACATCGGAATATACCTATGACGCTGTCCAAGGCTAAGATGATCTCGTCACGTAACCTGCAAGTGCCATTCATTACACCAGCTTGCTGGCCCTGTTCAGAATCCTGCAATGCTCCTTTGCCGCGGCAGTAGACAACTGCTATTGTCAGCCCTCTTTAGCACCACGTCTGGCGAAGCCAAAGCCTCTCCCATCAGCATCAGGACCCCTCGGTGTGCGGATGATGCGTTCTTCATCTCGTGGTGTAGATCTTCCGTATAACGGAGCCCCTCCATTCAAAGTTTTTTTCTCGAATGTAAAGCCGGGTTTCAGTGCATAGCCAGGATCGTAAAGCTCCTTTTCCCGCCCTTGCTCGCGCAAGCTCGCTCCTCCAGACTGGCTCGTCGGTCGACTTGACGGCCTCTGATCTGTTATTGACACCCCGCCGCCATTACCTCCACCGCCTCCCCTATCGGCGCCTCTGAACCCGCCCCTGCCCCTGCCACGGCCCCGTCTGGCCCCATTACCATCCCGTGGTGGTGTTGTCGTCCCCGGTGTGCTCGTCCCCGAACTTGGATTACTCCTCCCTCTTCCGCCTCCACTACCTCCTCCACCTCCGCCGTCCCCAAATATCTTGGCACGCACCTCATCGTACCGCCGCTGCTTCTCCTCGCGCTCACGTTGTTGCCGCGCACGGATCTCCTCGGGCGTCTCCTGCGGCTTGCGATCCGTCTCGTCGTCGCTGTCGTCTTGGATCGAGAGGGTAGACAGGCCCGTCACCGGGTCGCGGGTGACTATTTGGGCTGCTGCTTTCGGTTTCCGCGCCAGCACTGTCATGGGTGCTTTGAACGGCTGGGCCAGGGGCGGGGAGGGCGCGGTGGCTAGGTGGAAGGGAATTTGGTTTGTTTCGCTGGAGGATATTGTTAGCACACCGTGGAAGGCGTCAATGGGAAGAATGAAAGATCGCACGCTGATTCCCAGAGCTTTCGATTGGATTCTGCATGTTGGGCTAGTCGCTCCTTCTTGGAGAGGCGGGCTTGTGCTGGTTCTGGCTTGGGCTCCTGGAGGGCGGTTTTGTCGGCTTGGGCTTCCCAGTCGTCGTCGTCCCAGGCGTCGGGTACTTTGCCTCGTTGTAACATAATGGCTATTATATTTGATCCAGTGGCTGAAAAGCAAGGGCTTTCTATGTATGCTAGTCCATAAGACGCATCTAAGATGGGGGAGGGGTGAAGTCCTTATAATCGGCACATAGTCTGGTATAAAGTGGATGATGGATGGTCCAAGCTGGGCGATGCGGCTGGATGCAGGGCAGGGAAGTCCGATCTGGATTGTGGGGTACTGGTACATAGTGGGGCTAGTAACTACCCATGTCACCTGTAGACCTCACAGCAGCTGTTTGCTGCCCGAAGAACTTCAACCTAGAAGTGAGCAAGCACTTGCAGGCGACTTCCGACTCCTGGATTTCAAGATCAAATACTCGACGGTTTCCACCACCACTGACGACTGCTTTTGGATCCATTCACGACCCAAAGGAGCAATCGGACTCAACGTCATTTTCCATTCAGGTGACCTGAAGTCATCGAGATCACAGCTGTTTGCAGACAACTTTGAGTAACATTTGTACGCGAGGCAGACAAATTCAAGGCTAAAAGGGCTGTAGTTAACACTTCGACTTAGAATCGCTGTTGCTGTTGCCCTCAAGACAGACAGCGTCCAATCTTTCATCAATCATCAAGGGGGACAACAGCATGTATCAGGACATGGATCGCTTCTTCCCTCAACAATGCACACCAACGCCATCCTTCAGCGAGTCGCCCGCTCCTGATGTATCATCAAAGGGCGAGCGCAAGACCAAGGAGGAAATTGACTCCGCCAAGGCGCGACTGTCGGATACCAAATTCGAGATGAGTAAGTAAATACTTAGATGGTTGGGACGGTCACTGGTCTACTGGGAATTGCTAATTGGAGGTTAACATAGACCACTTTCCGGATCCCCTACTTCCCAGAACGGGAACAGCAGCAATTTTCATGCCGAAGGGTGTTACGGCTGAGATGGAAGCCCACTTACAGGGCGTGATTGATCGAATTAAGGGCACTACTGCAAAGGTTTGAGCTAACTCACTCCTGTCGACAATCAGCAAACGGCATCCTCTCCACACGGAATCTATGGATGTTTTGGTGGCATCGGAGGTGCTCCAACTCTCTCTCATACTCGTTTTCCCCAAGACTGCTAGCCGAACCACCAGTGTCTCTGGTATCTCGAGGACGGAGACAAATATCATGCTTGGCTTGGTCATTAGTTGGTTGCACTTGTTGCTTAGATTGAGGAAGGATCTGAAATTCTCACGGATCAAGTCACATGCCCGACTGCACAGATACTACAAGCATGTCATAATTCAATACAGACAACAATATAGGTGAAATCAGTTCATTTATCGCAAATGTCATGTGCTGGTACCATGCCGGGGGTGTCAGAGGAACATAGAGCAAGTTTGGAGCAGGATATCTCGGGGAGGGGTACTTAGTGCAAGAGTTTATCCACAACGCCGGCTATCAAAGGTTTCTCTCCCTCGACATGCAGTGAACTTTCAGCCAAATCCCCATTGCAATTATCAAATTCCTGTCCATGCCATCCCTAGCATCGATCAAACTCAAATAGGTGATCTCGTGACGGCAGCCAAAGGAAAATAACCGCCTTCGGAACATCCAGTCGCAATAAAGGAAACGGGTTGAGTGTAACAATCAAATACCTCTTAAGGTTGGTTGATCGGATGAAAACAAGCGCCAAAAGTGATGCAGCAACAACTGGTCGATAGACTGGTCGATAGATGACAAGCAGTGCTAGAGGGTTGCACCGAGGTCAGAAGGTATGAGTTCAGCATTCGGACTAGGCGTCACGTCGTCGTCTTGGATGTAAGGAATAAAGCATTTGCGGCTCCAATTCCCGGCTAGTCGTCATCATGGCTCGTGTGAGTCTCATCCTTAACTCCAGCCTCGTCACTACCTTTATCGCCGGTGTCGAAACTTCTAGAGGAATCAGGCGCAAGCTTGACCACGATGGTATCAGATACATTGGAGTCGATAGAGGCAGTCTTGTAGTGAGTCTTCTTCACCTTGCTCTTGCCCTTGCCCTTGCCCTTGCCCTTGCTGTCAGGGCCGCCAGTTCGCTGGGTAGGGTTGGGGACAATTTGGGCTCTCATGAATCGGGACAGGGGCTTGACATTAACAGTATGGGACCTCTTGGCGCGCTTGACTTGAGACTTGTCCTCCGAACCGTAGCCATCGTCAGAGTCTGGGTTGAAGTCATCGTCACTGCCAGGCTTACGCTTGCGGTCCTGGTTCCTTCTCTTTCGAGATTGGTTCATCGGGCTGGGAGTTTTCTGTTTGGGAGCCTTTGTGGTTGTGGCATTGGCGTTGTTAGGCATGTCTGCCATTGCGCGGGAAGGGGAAAAGACGGATGTCTTCCTGACTGAAGGTGAAAGCACATCAACATCGGGTGCAGTCGCGTTACCGGTCTTGGGTACAGGTACAGGTACAGCAGAGTCTCCAGTCTCGGAGACAGCCGAGGGAACCGTCGCGACAGTTCCGGGATTGGAAGTGCTCTGAGCCCCCTTAGCCTGTGACTTCTTCGAAGGTTTGTTGACCTTGCGCAGAACATTCGTATTGGACGCAGCAGGCGCTTTGCGGTATCCGAATTTTGCAGCGAGCTCAGATTCATTCATATTATCCTCATCCTCAGATTCGTAATAGAATTTCTGCACCTCTGCATCCTCGTTGGCAGAATCAGGATCCCTTACGTCGCGCACAAAGGGCATGTACTCATCGAGTTCAGCCTTACCCTGCTCGGTCTTGTAGTACTTGTCCCGCTCCTTCCAGCTCTCCTCGTTCCAATAAGGATCGTTCAGTTGCGGGAATCCTCTCTCGGGGAAGAGGCCGTTGACTCGTCGGACGATCTCGGGCATCTCGCCATCGTAGTAAACGTCATTCAACCAGCTGGAAATTGTTAGATGGATACTTCTACTGTTGAGAAAGCTACGTTCTGAAACTTACTCATAATAGGGACCATCTGTTTCCAGGCCGCGCCAGAAGGGGTTGACAGCAACGACATGGAATTGGGGCGCATCCTCAATGTTGTTCATGATTTTGTCGCGACGGAGTGCATCAGAGATTCGCTTTAAACGCATGACTCTGTGCAGGCGTTGCTCTTCGGCCTCGACACCAAAGCCTTCATCATCATCCCCCTCCTCATCATCGCCGTCAACGTCGAGACCGTGCTGTACTCGCCAATTGTGCTTCTCGGCTTTGAAGCGACGACGCTCAACTATGACAGTCAAGGTTAGCAATTGCGTTTTCAGAGACTGATAAGTGGGGATACAAAGCTATATTCAGAAGCCGCAAGTCCCAGCTTACGCGTTATTAGACAGCTGTTCTCGTTAAGATAGACCAGAAAAAGCAAGAAACAAAAAGAAAAGTTACATACGGAGAGGCGTCTCCCTCGTTTCCAGTCCAATGGTCTTGTCGGGCCTTGAAGGTAGAGGTCGGTGGAAGTCTCTTCGCAGGGGGATTACTACACCCATTTTCATGGGTGGGACCTTAACCTGCTGAGCTTGGTTGAGATCAGTTGGAGGAAGTGTCAGAGGAATGCCCTCGACCTTCTTGAGAGTTCCGGGTTGTTTGATGATTCTCTTCGAAGCCATTGTCATGATGTCTATCGGTGGTGACGTTTGCACTAGGCTGAAGAAGAAATGGGGTTGAAAACAAATGGTCAAAGAGTAATTGTGCAGGAGGAATAATAGGTTGAGGATGGATCGGTCGGGAATGAAATGGCAGAGGAAAAAATTGCAAAGTAATTGCGATAAAGTTGGTACCGATGTTTGGCTAGGTTGGGAAAGTACGGAATGGTTGAAGAAAACTTGATGAAAGGATTCTTGTATTGGATTACGATGGGAAAGTACGGAATTGGGCGTGAACAGATGGAGTTGGTGAACCAGGGTGAAGGGTTGGTGAAGTAAGGTGGTAGCTGGAGCTCTGGTGCAAGTTGTTGCTGCAGAGATGGAGTGAGGAATAAGCCGGGGCAAATGATTTCAAGAGGAAGTGGTTGGTAAGAAAGCAGGAGAAGATAGGCGTGAAGAGTGTGAAGGTTTAGTGTTGGTAAAACAATATGTTACCTTCATATGTGATGCAAGTCGAAGTTGGTGTTATCTGCTCTAGGTTGAGAAAGTAGGCAAGTGGATGAACATTGCACAGGCATAACAGATCGATATAGTGATAGGATGCCCTGAGTTGTGATGAAGTCAATGTCGACGTTTATACTGGGTTGTGGAAGCAACAGGTTAGAGAAGGGATGGACAACAGAAGACTGTAGTGAATTGACAATGTTGAAGGCTGGCTTCTTGGCTTTACTGGCGAGTCGTGGTTACCTTGGGGTAAATAGAAGCAATCTATCGTTGTAAGTGATCATTAGGAGGAGCGTGGTGGCCCCAAGTCGACATTGATCGTGGTTATGTAGATTCTGCAATGTAGGTAGTGGTCTATATCCTGGAACGAACACGATGACTACAGTCATGAATGCTTGCCGTTTGACCGGCAAAGCCAATGTGACGATGGGAGATCGTGACCACTTAACCAAGCAGCTTTTGACAATATTCGCTGATCTACCACAACGCCAGAGTTGTGACTATCTGTAAGTGGATATGCCTCCCCAATTCTCACTGTGTGGAAGGTGTTGATGTCATAGTAAACGAGTTTTTCTTCTTTCTTTCTTGAGAGGCGATAGAGCAAAGTGAAGATACTAGTACAGAAAGTTGGTTACTTACGCAAGCTTGCCTTAAGCTGGGCTGAACGTCTACACTTTCGTCAGGTAACCTCGGGATTTGGAAATGGAGACAAGGACAGAACGCTAAAGGTTATTGTAGATCATATAGTGTATGATCATGGAAGTACAGGTCAAATGGAACATGACTGCATACTATAAATTCAAAGTGATGTTGGGAAGGTTGAACTGTCGTGGATCTGACACGCATTCTGTTGCTATAAACTGAGGGAATGTACCTGAGTGCTGGACAAGGGCTCGGCACTGAGAAACCAGAAGCAGCAGAGGTTCTGACTCGTTTTGAATACTAGAAAAATTGTCTACTCAAGGCCCGAGTTGGCAAGAGTTGCCTGATAAGAGGAACTCAAATAGGCATTTTCAACATTGTTGTTACTGGCATTACAGTTAGGTCCGTAGGTAGAGAGAGTTTTAATTGAAGGAGTAATCGCTAGAATGAATAAAATATTCAATGCCTGCTTCAGATGCAATTACTTCACACAGGAACTTCATTCCGATCTTCGAGTTCTGCTAGGGAGACTGCTATTGGGTTGTGAGGTTGAACAAGTAGCATTGTATGGGATAAGGAAACTAGACGCTCTCGGCTGTTTCTTGTTTTGCTTGAGGACATGATACAGATTGGTTAGTTAGGCGTCGACTAGGCTTATACCCAGTATTTTTACTGCGACCCAGTAGTTCAGATCGTTATACACTTGCACTGTACACGGTAATCGTGGTAAATTATTCTCTACATAGTCATATTTGGATAATTATGTAGAATATCGACCTTCGGCAGCCTGTGTTACCATCGAATCATCTGAAGGGTTGAGTCCGATTCCACCCATATTAAGACCCCATGCCGCGGTCTTGCTGTCAAACGACCAATACATTGCAGCACTTTCACTTCGGAAAAATAACGTAACCGAAACCATGCCGCTCTACAGAGCTCGGTATCCTTGATGCCTAGCCATTTTTGCTATGGCGGATCACGTTGCCAGAGCGAAAGCCCAATGCAGAAATGAATTATTGCTCTTAGTTCCGAGAATATGTAGGCTGACATAAAGCAGAGATATGGACCAAAGGTGTCTTGTCCTTCGAGCCATTGCGGACTCAGTATAAGTTGGAAGAAGCTCGCATGCTTAAATATGCTATGATACCATAACCCTCGGGAGGAGGTGACGCCATTCGTTGAGAACCTTAGTGTGGCATAATACGGATTTGCATATCCCGTTGGATTATATGTTCGAATGTCTGAGGATTACTTTCTGCAACAGCTGGTTCTGACATTCATATTATGGCTTTACGTGGCTGCTGACAACGTCCCTCTGGTTGGGGTAAAGTCCATTAATTCAAGTTCCTCCCAGTGCCGCTGATATAGAGCTAATGGAAGATTGAACCCGAAGCTAATTTCAACGGCCGTGGGATTATTCTCGTCTGAGCCATCTACAGTCATGTCTTTGGTATGCACTGGCCCATGTGTGGTAGGACAGCTGCACCAACCTACACCGCAAGAGTCTGAGAACCGTGGCACATGCCAGAAGGAGCAGCAATACGTCGAGTCGTTAGTTGCTCGTCCCTGATTGGCGCAACTCCAACCACAAATATAACGAATTGGGATTCTGGGCTACTTTTTCCAGGGAACTCCATGTGTGTCACTGCCACATGGAAATACGAGGCCGCCTCTCTATTCGTCATTACCTTATTCGGCATGTATTGTGTACCGAATGGCTGGAAACCTTGGGGTTGATATTTACCAGGCACTTCCCCGTGAGTTACATACAACCCCACTGGGATGTTCTCGAGTGTCACTAGGGGGTTGGTTGATCATGTTCGAAAGTCCCGAGTTTGCAAACCGATAACAGACAATGCCAAAGTGGGCAGGTGGTGAAGATGCGACTTCGATCGATCACACTACGAAGTGCATCAGAGTTTACTGAGCTTGCGATTCAAAAGAGTATTTGGCACATGATGGGAAAACTCAGACCATGTCAGATCAGACCACATGGTAGCGGTTCGAATGAGAATTCCAGCAATACTCATTCATTATTGGAGGAAACGACGTAGTGAATTTTGACTAATCCATGGATGCAGCTGTCATTGATATCGGCATAGGAGTGTCTGCGCCAAGCGTAGTCCGGATAAAGTAGCAATCTGATATTGAAGAAAACCGGGGAACGTGCCTCCCGATGACTGCAAAGTACCACTCGTATGCGATTGCCACTTAGCCGAGTCTGAGTTTGATCCTGTCAGCCTGTTCAACATGACGGTGACTAGCCGTTGAAAGTATGTTATCGGTTCACGGTTGCAAGTGTTGCCGATATGTGATGATTCAAATACGACACTGTTAGTTAAACGAATATTACTCAGCACACTAGTCACTTGAGCAGGTATAAGTCAAAGAGGTACTTGATTGATAACTGGAGCCCTGTCATCTCCAATTGATGAAAGAAAGCATTTTCGGGTGGTCGAGTGGTTGGCAGCTAGTCGCGCATCATTGCTTGGTCTGTCAGTAGATACATCCCGACGAAAATTCGAAATATTGATAACTATCCATCGGCCACGCTCCCGCTACGAGGAATCGTGATATCCGGACATGGCCCACGCGCAGTTCCGGTTTCATCTACGTTAGCCAATCTGCAAGAGACCAATATGTAAATACGTAACGCAGAATGTATTTTAAGGCTGCTGGTGATTCAACTGATGGCTTCGGGCATATATCATCCCTGGGGCGGGGGCGGAAAGTTGTGATGGTTACAAGGTTGTACCTGTTCTTGAACCCATCAAAAGCCCGTTACAAGATCAAACTCTCCTTTTCCATCCAGCTTCCTCTTGTGCCATTAGCGCACCGGTGCTTTACAATTTGTCTGGAATTAACGAGGCCTTGTCCTTTCTGCAGTGACACGTTTCATGAATGCGAATCCATCATATACGAGTTTGGGTTCGACCGTTACGACAATGCTCCATCCCATCACACCGTAGCCGCGATTTCGGTTGCCATTTCCATCACAAGCTCTGGATATTGCCGCTCAATTGCAGATCAATGGTCTAAGTTGCAGCGCGCCAGCCCGTGCTTCCAGGGCTCGAATGGTGCAGAGCGCCCGGAGCTGGCCCTCGCGTGGCTGGCTCGAACAGTGCTGCTGACCAAGGCTGTGTGCACTTGATGCCGAGAAATAAATCGTCCAGAGGGAGCATTTGGTGTCCAATCAACCAAGGCTAGCCAGACCCAGACGGAGACGGAGCTGCGCTGAATCTAGACTGCGTGGCCACCACTGGTCCTTCCTCTTTTAATAGATTGCCATTAAGTACCGCGTTCCGAAGCTGCCAATATCCCTCCCATATCTCATACCTGCGCTGCAAGGGTATAACAACTCTTTCCGTTCAATCGCACCAAAGACGGGCGAGACAGGCGAGAGATACCAGTGGCAGATGCCCCCCGAAATTCCGCCTGTCCATCTATATCCATTCCTCCCTACTCCAATGCGGGCGTATTCATTAGTCTGTTAATGTCTGATTTTTAATCCCTCTTCGATTGTGGTAGCTGTCATTTTGACCTCGAATGAGATTGCCTGGAGTTGGGAATTTCCACTTCACGTCTCAGGAGTCAGCAGCAATTCCCCACCAAGGCATTTTCATTCATGATTCGGATATTTCAACGTTGGGCAACGGTCGTTTATGGCATAATCCGTCTATTCCACCCGCAGCTGTCATATCCTCGGGATCCCTTTTAATACTCTGTGCGAGACTTGCACAGCTCTCAACTGTGGAAACGCGAATGCACCCGAAATAGCTCGTCTTGACGGGCTGATTGCACACCTAATAATATTTATTCCACCATCGCGGGACGGTTGCATCTACTTTTTTGCATTACCTCACATTCTTCTTCTCGAGGAAAACACATCGATTTCTCTATTGAAGACTTCAGGGCCAGGCGAAATTTGGTGACAATTCCCGACAGCTGCTCTAACCCCGGCCAACACCTCGTTTCCCCCGTCTCCAGTCTCCAGCAGTGCTTTTCGTCTTCGGCTGCACTCGGGGCGCGATTGATGAATTACCTCACTACGAACATTGAACCTGCAAAAACGACCCCGCCAGCCGGTCGGCGCCCACCAGTCACATCCGGCCCATTTTCTGGCCCTTCCAACAAATCGATCTTGGGAGCTCCATCCATTTCATCACACCTCCCCCACGCACATCGATACGACCCGAACCCGACAATAACATACATCTTACGACTTTGGACCGACATCAGATATTGGGACTGCGCGACGCCAACCCACGCCTCGAGCAAACTTGCACAGCCAACCATCTGGACGACCATCAGGTCTGGCAGATCGACTTGAACGGCGAGCACCATGTCAGGCTCAGACGGCAGCTACGATCTGCTTCGGCGGGCAACGCAGCAGCTGATCCAGTCAAAGTAAGCAAATCCACATTTTCTTGCATCTGCCCTCCCGGCGTGGTTTACAACCTTTATTTCTGTTTCCGGGCCAAGCTCGCGCTTCACGTTTATCTTCTTCCCACATGTTACTATTTGCCTTCTGCAAGTCCGCCACCTCGTCCGATGAGGCAGCTTGCGTTTCCAGAAGCTTTCCTTCCCATTTAGCCAGTTCGGATCAGGGTGTGAGTCCTCCCAGAGTTGGACCCTGACTCTCCCGGTTTGGGATGTGGCGAGGGGTATTGAGTGGGCTGGGTAATACCGGAGCCCACTAAAATGATCCTCGGAGAGTCGTCGTGGAGCCACTGTCGATGATCCTTGGACGAACAGGAGAAAGTTATGTCCCGAGTCAGGCTCCTGTGCAAGTCGTGGCACGTCATCGATGGGGACTCGATGAGGTATCGCACGAGAGCTCCAGCTTCGGGCTTGTCCTGTGAAGCAGACCGCTTGGCCTAGGGCACGTTGCTGGAAGCGTTTCTGTGACATGGCATCAGGACAGCTTCTGCAAACCACTCTGGCGTTCCGTCTGCGGCGGCGACTAGCGCGGGGTTCTGGACAAGGCTTATCAAGTCGGCGCCTGACTCGCTAAAGAGTGCCGCTGGGGCGTTACCACAGAACAGTGCTCATCCCGCGAAAGTTCCAAAGCAGAGGTGCTGCTGCTTGCCCGTCTCGACTCACCCCTCCTCCTTGGAAACGATATACATCCTCCTCCCCACTTTTAGCTCTTCAACCACATGGCTTTACATGGGTGTCAAGGGTGTTTGTTGTGCTCGAGCCATGGTTCCGTTCGGAGGAAAATCTTGTGAAATTTTCGTTTTACACCTGCATTCGTGCGCGTTGCGTTTTGCATCATCGCATCGATTGTGATGTCCCCGGGATTGAGCTACCAATTCTGCTTGGAAATGTGCTATTCTTCAATGTCATTTCTCAGGAAACCACCCTAAACCAATCTGCCTTTCATGTCATTATTGCTTCTTTTGCCTTTACTTCTTCCACACATTTTACCCATTCGAATTTGCTCCTTCTGGTGCAGTTGAACCATCCAAGATGACGGGCGTTAACGAACAAAGTAGGGCAGACGAAGATGGCACGGATCAGATTGGCTACGATACACCGCGCTCGGGTGTTGCGACGCCCCAGCCCGATCTGACCGACAAACGACTCCCGGGCATCATGAGCTTCTTTGGCCAGGTTGGTTCCACCTCTCTGAATTCATTGTTTCGCTCTTTCCCCTCCACCCGAGCACCAGAAACTGAGTTATCATGTCCTACGCCACCCCAGGAAGAGAAGGAAGCCGACACACTCCCTCAACAGCTGCCCGGCCCAGATGCGGTCAGTCTGAGCAAGGACTCTACAACCGAGGGATTACCTCTCCTACCACATGAGAGGATAACCCCTCCAACAGAAGCGGAGCCTTCGCAACATACGACTCCCCAGCTGAACCCTTATCCAACACCACCATGCTCCCATCCGCCTTCAGAACGAGGACTGAAGTTGAGTGATGCGAGCGGTGATGGTGTTGAGCCCGCAGCCGGCGACGTTGTTGGCTCTGTACCGTCATCCAAACATAGAAAGAGCATTTCGGATCTTGCACAAATGAAGTCCCGCAGGGCTAGCGTGGCGTCCCCTCTCTCCAGCATAGTCACTGCTTCTAGCGTTCTTGCGAGTCATCTCTCAAATCCCACGGGCCGCACCGCATCAACCACCCCTAGTTCTCCCTCCGGCACTCATTCCCCTTCTGGGGATGTTTTCTCCAAGTCCGCTTCAATTGATCGGCTTAAGAAGCTAACACATGTTGGAACGCAAAAGAGTGGCCCGCCAACGCCCACCCGAGCATTGTCCGCTGGCCAACCATCCCAAGTTGAACCGAAATCATCTACGGCATCAGTTTCCTCCCCTTCGAAGAACGGCGACACATTCGAGGGTACAAGCGGGAGGCAGATCCCAGTCGCTTCCCAAACCGGGGGTGCCCAAGCTCCTGTGCAGAGGGGAAAGTTAACCATCAAAATTCTAGAGGCACGGGGGCTTCGAAAGAGCCGGGACCCTTACTGTGTCGCAGTATTCCAAAGGAGCGAATTAATCTCACCTGGACCGAGAACATTTGAGGACGATGACGAGTTGAACCTGCCGCCGGTACCCATGGGTGGAATACCTATTCAACGACAAGGCAGTGATGCGGGGCGGCCCATGGCGATTCCAATGAGAAGCCGCCAGAGTAGCAATACCAGCATTACCGATTACACCACATTTCGCAACCGTACGCGAAAGTCTTTTACCAGCCCCAAGTGGGATGCTGAGGCTGTATTGTATGTTTGAAAATAGCCCGTTGTGTTGTACCTTTATTGATCATTTGCAGCGATGTTGTGGATTCGGATATGCTGGTTGACATTTCGGTCTACGATCACGGCGCCAACGGTGAATTCCTAGGTCATGTTGACTTCCAAGCTATTATACCCGGCAAAGACGATCCAGTGCGTGGGTGGTATCCGCTCCAGGGCCATGCCGATACCATGGCGGAGAATGCCCCGACCGGCGAAATATACGTTGAAGCCATTTACCAAAGAACCGAGAAGAGGCATTACGGGCCGGACGATTTCCAGATCTTGAGGCTCATTGGCAAAGGCACCTTTGGTCAAGTCTACCAAGTTCGAAAGAAGGATACGGGGCGGATATATGCCATGAAGGTGTTGTCCAAGAAGGTCATTGTGCAGAAGAAAGAGGTGGCACACACCGTGGGGGAGCGGAACATATTGGTCCGGACGGCAATGTCGGAATCTCCATTCATTGTCGGTCTGAAGTTTTCATTCCAAACCCAGAACGATCTCTTCTTGGTCACCGACTACATGTCTGGTGGAGAACTTTTCTGGCATTTACAAAAGGAGGGACGCTTTGACGAGAAGCGGGCAAAGTTCTACATTGCGGAACTCATCCTTGCCATACAACACTTACATCATAACGACATCGTCTATCGGGACTTGAAGCCGGAGAATATATTACTGGACGCGAATGGTCACATTGCGCTCTGCGATTTTGGGCTGTCCAAGGCCAACCTCACCAAGAACGATACGACAAACACATTCTGTGGAACAACCGAATATCTTGCTCCAGAAGTTCTCCTCGACGAGGCAGGTTACACCAAAATGGTCGATTTCTGGTCACTTGGCGTGCTCGTTTTCGAGATGTGTTGTGGTTGGAGCCCCTTTTATGCGGAGGATACCCAGCAGATGTACAAGAACATCGCATTTGGCAAGGTCCGGTTTCCTCGAGACACCCTTTCCCAGGAAGGTCGAAATTTCGTGAAAGGGCTGCTCAACCGAAACCCGAAGCACCGTCTGGGCGCGGTCGATGATGCCGAGGAACTGAAACGCCACCCATTCTTTGCCGATATCGACTGGGACATCCTCACCAAGAAGTTGATAACCCCGCCGTTTAAGCCCAAGTTGAAGTCGGAGACGGATGTGTCGTATTTTGACCCGGAATTCACCAATGCCCTGAACACCAACGGGTCATTAAACAAGCGGGCTCAGCAGCTGGCCACTGGCTTTACTACATCAACACCGCTCTCGCCCACCACTCAAGCGAATTTCCAAGGTTTTACCTTTGTGGATGAAAGTTCGCTTGATGATCACATGCGAGGGCGATATGACGACGAAGAAATGGATGATCGTCGGGACAATGACTGGGACGACCTCGACGACCTTGATCTTCGCAAAGCAAATCGCATGAGCGGCGTTGTACGAACAGGGCAAGATGAACCGTTTGGCGAGTCTCAGTTCGACATGTGATGGGCGTTGTTATTGTTTGGTTTTAGGCGGAGATAATGACCTCGTCGTGCTCATTCATCCTTTCATCTTGCTTTCTTTGGCACGAATTCCCACGACAGTATCAGCATTGTTTGCATCAGGTGGCATTGTATTGCATCAGGTAATTGCTGCTAGTGGATGAAGGGTATGGAGGATGGCGTTCGGTAATGAAGAAGAACTTGGTACATACAAGAATGCTGCGGCAGTTCAGCCCATGATTACTTACCACCCCTTAAAATCCATGGATGCTCAGGCATTACTTATATGACATGATGGTATCTCAATGAGTGTTGGAATCCCACACACGTTGGAGTGCTGTGTGATGGTTGGAATCCGCGCTCATATCGGGTCGGGTATGGCAATGCTGATTATGCTCCTTGTGGAACTCTGGGATTCTCGGCTACATTCTTTCCAACGCTCAGCTGGAAGACAGCCAAGATCGATGTTATATTGTCGGCTGTGTCTGTGTCGAACATCTCAGAGGGTCGTCCATGCATCGGGCTGTCAAGATGTCCAGTGGACCAGCTTCTTGGTACGACTTTAACGGACATGTCAATGGTTGGTTTTGATCAGGCATCCTGTGAAGCTGGTCTGATGAACATACGGGTCGATGGTGGAAATTTGAAGCACATATAGGTAGTCTCAATCACTAAGAATGAATGAGAAACATGCCATCAAGTTGATTCTTCTCTTTTGGGGTGTGACTATTGACCACCTTGCTCCTCGCTCCTTTAATGTAGGGATGTACAGTACCCTGCAGTGCTGGCCAACAAAGCAGCAACCGACCACCAACACCCAGCTATTCGGGCCTGTCAGTTGTTAACTTGCATGCCCCAAAGACACCCGGTTCAGCTCAACCGTGATTGTGGGGGTTTGACTTTCCATGAGAAAAAAAGAGACCCATTTGTCGGTTCTACCCGGGGAAGATGGCAGTCACCCCACAATCATCCAACCATCATGCCATGATTTGTGCCTCGCGGCCTCCAGCTCACAAATCCCCAGACTTTTGCGCACACCCCAGGGTGAGAGTCATGATCAACACCAACTGCCACTACTGGCTGACAAGATGTACGAAGTAAGTACCCGCCTATTCGAAATGGCTGCCTACCTCGGCTCGTTCCGAGGTCATGGACATTGGTAATTCGGGGCGATCGATCGCACGTTTCTCAGCTTGTAAACGCTAGACAAGTCTCGATGAGGACCTTGAAGCGGGGATGAGGTCCTCGTTGTTCATCTCGCGTCCCCAAGCTCTGCGGAATATTCAGAGTTTTTCACTGGTGTCTTGAAACGGACTACTATGTATAACTGGGATCCCACGTTCTGTGTTACGACGTAGCTATACTTCGAGCTATGCTTATACTTCTCAATCGGGGTGATATGATATGACGTCTCGAAGATTGATGCATTGGTGACACTGGTGTACGAGCTATTGAATGACCGGAACCAGGATCTTGTTGATTCAGCGACAGCGATCCTAGAGTACATATACACGGGATTACTCCTCTCATATTCGCCCATCTCAGTCACACATCGTAGCAGTGTGATGTTGTTTTGCTTCCCCGTCACGGAAAAGTGACCTTAACCATTGAACCAAAAAAGGACCTTCCGAGTCCAAGGCTTCCTAAACCCGCTTGCTCGATATTCGCTCGTTCAGTGGTGGGCACCCTCCTCTTCTTCCTCTTCAACAAGCCAGTCCTCAACGACAGCGGGGGTGGAAGACGAAGTGGCGGCGTCCTGTCCCTCAACCTCGACGGCCATGCTCTCGTACTCCTTCAGGCTATTGGCGAGATCGGTCTCCTCGGGAGACTTGGGGGTCTTGGGGGCGGTGAAGGTCTGCACTTGGCCCACGCTGTCCGAGTCCTTGATCGGGTTGGGCTTGTAGGCTTTCAGTTCCTTGAGGTAGAGCTCTTGGACGAAGTCGGCTGCAAGACATCTTATTAGTATTGTTGTCGAATGAGGACTCAATTCGAGTGGCAGATTGAGTGGCGGGGCTGTGAAGCGGGTTGAGAAGATCGAGCTGGGAGCGGGGAAATGCTCGATGACGGCCGTGGATGTAGGTATTGCGGGCGGCGGAGGCGAGGAAGTAGCTCAATAGACATGTATTTGGGTTTGCGCTCTAGGTCTTGAGCACCCTACACTTGCCGAACCGCATTGTGCCACTAAGTTCCCTCCCGGGACAGCCAGCTGGCTTACTCAATGTATAACATTTTGTTTCACGTACCTCGTCGCGACACAGTGGGTGCAATGAAGCCTCTGACGGCGTTTACCCTCGCCACGCGGGAGATGGCCGATGCGGCCGATCGAGCAGTCTGCATGCACGAAACACTGTCAGTATATGCCGATGGGGATCAAGAAGGGCATCAAAATGTGGTAGTCAAATTTACCGAGGCTCTAAGTTGGACGAGCATTTTGTCCGATGGATTGCGGATGCTCAATTGACGTTGTCGGAGTGGTGATGGTGAATGATATGAGGTTTTTCGATCGGGAATCAAGGACCAGGAGCTTGCCCACTAGCGCAATCGCTGCCTTGGAGAAAAAGTGATGTCGATCACGTGACACCCCTGTAGATGGCTCTAAAGCAGAAGTTTGGTAGACGGGCTTTGCAATCAACAACTTAAGCTGAAGGAACAATGCTTTAAAGGAAGTTTTGAACCGATCCTCGGGTGCTCATATGACAACGGGCGATTAACTAATGGAGTAGCTGATTTATTATTTTAGGTACAATGTGTTGTGTTTTAAGCTCTTGTTCACTTTTCACAAGTCACCTCTTGTTGAGACTTTATCGCTAAGGATGCCACGAAGTCCACCCATCACCAATCGCCTGGCTCGCTCGACGATGCTGTATGCCCTGCCAACCCTGCCTACTATATATGCCAACCATAGATTCCAGCCCTTCGTGGTGGGGCTCTTGGTGGCGAACCACAGCCGCCAGCGCCCTTATGCTACTGTGAAGGAACAAGAAACCGACAAATTCAACTCGCGATGCTCATCCAACCCCCAATTCTTCACTAGAGCATCTTGAAGAGGCTCTTGAAAGAACTCTGCTTGGTCCCGCTGCCTGTGGAGGTCATGTGGGCAACCCAAAGTGAGGTAAGCAGCGCAGAAGGCTGGAATAGCTACTGGTCCTGCAATGTGGCAGGGCCGATGCAATTAGCAGGCGGTAGAGGCAATGGATATACGTGACCATCGTCTCTAGAGATTCATTGAGCGGACTAGACCACCTTGAAAATCAGATCAAGAGTGCTGGGCCTGTCCGAATCTTGATCAAGGATGCAACCTAGCCCGGCTTTGCCTATAATGCTCAATTCTACAGGACTACCCCTCAAGGATGTTTTGCCCAGGTCTGAGCACTACCTCCGTGTTCCAAAACGCCATTACTTTCTATCCGCTGTCGTGAACTAAATTTCTCAAGTTACTAAACGTCGTGAGCTCTCGTCGACTTCTAATTACATCTTCGAAACACGTCCCGACTTCGCAGCAGTCACAAATTGTACCTTATATATCGTGGTGTGGAATCTATTCCGAGAGGAAGCCCTTGGCGAGGGTGCAACTAATACCACTGTCATTGAAGCTGCTTGGGTACTGATGCCATCGAGATTGCATACGAGCGGGATGCTGGTCAAATTGTTCCCCAAAGAGCCCGCCAGCAAGATGAAAACTGCTGCAAATCCCGTGCAGATCAAGGAGAACACCGAAAAGAGCGAGGTCATTGCAGACCTACAGAGTAAGCGCCTGGTTGGTGGCACTACAGTGCGATCTCGGAAGTAGCGTTGCAATGACTTGGGATAACATCAACAACCCGAAAAAGGGGCCGAGAACAGTCCATTTGAGTTCAAGTGAGTAGTAGCTTATTCACAAATCCACCATCAAAGTGAGACCATTACAGCTCAGGTCGGCCTCAGTACCATACCACTTGAAGACGAAGACGCACGCCCTACGGTTGCTCAAGACGTCACGCCGCTAAATTAGGATGGGGGTCTAGTCAACAGCATTGCAAAGGCGAACCAACAGCAAGCATGATGGAAATCCGATAGAGAGCACTGTAAACCCCATACCCGTCTCAACATCGACGAACCGGCCACGCAGATAGCTGAGATCTACAACTACAGCGCCTCATTTGGTCTCATTACTAGGATTAGATACTCTATGGTTACGAACGACGTTCAGTCCCCTAAAAAAGCCCCCAAAAGAGAGTTGGCTTGATTAAGGGGCTCTCAGTGCCCAAGCGCAGGCCGAACTCGGTGCATAACTGTTAAAAGAGCAGAATGAGTTCGCTGCCACCAGGCTAATCTGAGGATAAAGGAGCATCGTGTAATATCGTTCGTACGCAACCAAGTCGAATCGCAGCTTTGTCGGTTGCCGAACACATCAGCAAAGGAACGTGGCGAGGATCTCGGCCAATGTGTTGGATACCATATGCGTAAGAATGCCCATCTACCCAGAAAGAGAGCAGCGTCACTACTAGCCTCTTACTTAAGAAGCTAAAGAACAGCCCTGATACTATTCTCGATCAACTCTCGCACATTTAGGTTAACGAAGTCCATGAGCAAAATATGTAGGTTGACTTTCAGTTAACGACGCTGAAGAAACGCCAGTGGAACGCATGGCCAAAAGCAAGAGCGTGCCCAAGGTTGTACTAATAAATGTCACCCTTTATGCGGACTTGTTCTCTAAGTTATTCTCCGATAATGTCACTGGAAGACCTTGCCCTTCGATCAATGTCCCCGGCCGGAATTTTCAGGTCTCTAAAGTACATCTCCCGGATACCTTGGCACAACTGTGGGGGCTACGGTTCACAACTAGACCAGCAAAAAAGTGTGTCATACAACGAGGCCCGAGGTAGCCTCGGATTCGCTGGGGAGCAACTCGAAGGATGGTAAAAACACACAACAAAGTACCAAAGACCTAGAAGACCGCATAAAAGGATATGTTCCTGTTCCACTGATTGCGGCCACCCCAGCGCAAAACAACGAACGAAGGCGTGCTTCTGGCCTTCCTTCCGGGCTTGTCTGAAATCGACGAGGCAGAAAAGCTCCTACAAGCTGGCTTGACTGGTAGAAATAGGTAGACCTACGATGCCATGGAAGAGGAGGGTGGCAGATCTGTCATTGTACATCATGGGAGATTTTCCGTCTTCCCCTGGACGCATGCCTGCGGACTCGTTCACTAATTTCAACTGCTGAAATATAGTGCATGTGTTTGTTGGAAAAGGAGAAAGAGAGAGACAAACAGATGGCAGGTCTGTTGTTAGATCGTTACCGTCTTATATACCCCAGGAAGCGCCACTACTGTGCAATAAATATACTGTTGAAACCTTTCGTGGCCTAGTACTTGTTCTACTTACAAGTTTTGGAGCGGTGCAAGTTCCGCTCCATCGTCATAATGCCAGCAACGGGTTCATATCATGGCAGCTCTTCCGGTCGACCCCGTCTGCCCCAAACTCTCGAACGACATTATCATTTTCCTTATTGCCAGCCCGAAAAATAGAATCAAACGTCCGGCAGTCGGTACTTCGACATCACGAGAATATAGAGCAACGAAAGTAAGCTGCACGCGCTTGACTGATATACAACCTGGACCTTGTACCAGCATCGAGCGGAATTTCGTACATACTATTTGTCTCATAAAGATACACGAAGACATTAGAAAATAGTTACTGTGGCAAGGAAAACTTTGTTTCAAATCGCTCAGCTAATATCGTCGGAGTCGTACTGTTTCAGGAACCCAAATGAACTCCAAGCTACCTGCCAACCAGCCATCCATCCATCCATACATCGCTTCATATATCCTTCCAGCCAAACACAGTTGATAAAACTCCATCTGTCACCACCAAGTAGAAAATGTCTACATTTTTGTGTGACCAAGTATCGCCATCTATGGAACTAGTCTGTCCAGTCTAGGACCATTCACACCGACACCAATATAAGCCAATTTAAGCCAACCCAAATTCGTAGTCCCCTAGTCTCCTAGTTTGTTTTGTTTCGCATTTAGTTATGTCCATTTAGAATCCAGGCCCACCCTCTCTTTGAGTTCCGTACGGCCGTCGCGGCATCTCATAATGCTCCTCCCTGGGAGGGGGCGACGCCTCCTTCTGTTGGGGCAAGTTCTTGCCCTGTCCACCAGCTCCCGAGCGACGCTTGCGGAAGCTAGTGAAGCCCTTGACAGCAACATAGAGCACAAAAACGATAGCGGCTACGACGCTATATGCGATGACGAGGTTGTTGGACGCGTTGGCGAGCTGTAGGCCCAAGCCTCCATTAACGACACCAAGCATCATGAGCACCCGACCGTAAACGATGTGGGCGTATGAAATGGCACCGCGGGCTTGGTGCTGGACGTAATGCCTGTGGTGCATGTAGCCCAGTACAGGCTGGAGGACCATGAGGCAGACGATGACGGTGCCGAAAATGGTGTGGGTTTGTACCAGGCCCTGTGAAACTATTAGTCATGGATGGGATTGAGGGATTGAGTGTACATACAGTTTCCATTCTCTGCACAATGACAATGCCAATGGCGAAGCCAACCCACATGAGCACGAAGGTGACTCCCTGCCAGGCGCCGTGGAGCATCCATTTTCCCAAAACGGGCATGAGGATGGACCCGAGGGGATAAAGGATTACAAAGGCGATGGCCATGATAACACCGTGGGCGGCAACCAAACGCGGCAGCTCTTGGAGGCTCTGGTTCTGAGTGACGCCTGTGTTGCCCGAGCCTTGAGATCCAGAGCCGCTGCTGCCAGCATTGGAATCACCAGAGCCGCTGCCTCCCGTGCTAGCGGAGACGAAAGGGTTGGCGTCGGTGTCGACCTGAGCAGCTGTCAAGTCGAAGTTCCAGCTAGAATAGTCATCGTGTTGAGAAATAGCGGCGTTTTTGTCCGTCGTGGCCAGCGAGCTGCCGCTCTTCCACCCAGCAATCCAAGGAGTGTTAGTGCTGCTGAGCGACATCTCTCCGCCGTTGGCCCAGCTGTCGCAATTGGCGCATCGCACATTGGCCCTCATGGTATCGCCGTCGACCCCGGAGCCCTCGAGCAGTGTGAGCTGTGCCGCTGTGCTGCTGGTGTCCTCAACGGGCATTTGGTGGTTGGTGCCTTGCCGAGGCGAAATGGTCACGTTGTTGTCACCGTCCTGGTACATTACGAACATGTTGGAACCGGACATCCGGTCGCCTGTGCCAAGAGCAATCCATGAGTACGATGTTGGTGCTGATATCTGGAAGTAGATGTTGCCGCTGCCAGAGCTGGCCGACGTCGTCGGCACCCCAAGACCGAAGCAGATGTTGCCAGACGGGCAATAATTCAACGCTGCTGCCGCCGTCATGGCGCTATATGTGAGCGCGGCTAAGAATAAGTAAGTGATGTGCTTCATGGTTCTGGTTGGTTGATGTGCCAAATTGGGTAGCATGTTGGGAATGAATGTAGAATTAGTTGGCGGGTTGGAATGAGAAGACAGTTGGGACGTTGGCTAACTTGGTAGCCGCAAGCGGAGTAGTGACTTACACAGAGCCGCACATGTGAGAAGGGAGTACATCTTGGCCAACACGCTCGTGATACTCGAGATGACACGAGTCAATTCGACAACTTTGGTCTTCCCTCGGAAACAAATAAATGTTCTTTGGGTGCGACGGGACCGATATGACAATATTTAGCTGGGCCCACGGCACGTTTGTATTGTTCGCTGGACGAGTTTTGTAAGCCACCCGCCGGACTTCAGCTAGGGAAGACCGATGGACTGTCTGACGTGCCTGTGGTGAAAACCAAGATGGTAAGACGTAATTATTAGCAATGCTGAGCCACTCAGGTCCTAGAAGCCTGCTTGCTTGATCGTTTATAATAGTATATTTCTTTGATGTAAAAAAAGATCGAGAGTTTCGAAAAAGCCTGGTCGACAGAGTGAAGCGGACATACACGACTTATAGCAGTACCTAACCGCTCAAACGATCAATCGCAGTTTCATCCGTTCATTAACAGAGGCGGGCTGCGTCATTTGTGTCTAGACGAGGTTGACGGGCAAGGACATGGGCATTGGGGCCCACGACCGGGTTAGAGTTCTCTCAGTGGTCTTGTCGGTATCTCCAAGACCTGCCAAATGTCGGCAAAACGACTCCAATCGAACCAGCGGCACCGCCAGCCGATCTTCTCGTGTATTGGGACAGCCCACATGTAGCTCTTGTCTTGGCTGACTTGGCCGACAGCGATGGAATATACTTGGGCTCAGGTACTTCGATCGGACAAGTGTACTGCAACATCAGACATAGCCGTATACAGTATGTGCGTCTTAGGGATCATGGCTAGTCGACGAATTCCTGATGTGCCGCTGAAGTGTGCTGACCATGTACTATAATAGGTGGGAAAGCACTTGCAGATATGACACCCAGGCTCTGCCCAAATGCCGGTCGCTAGTCATATTCGAAGCCCGTGATTGGGTTTGCGGGTTTCATTCCGTTGAACCTGTTCCGTCGTCCAGTAAGCCCAAACCTTGCTATACCCCTTCTACTGCGACGTGTTCACTTGAAGCTCGCTACTCCTTGGCGTCTGCACGGCTGCCGCAGTGGGTCCTTGAAGATCGAGTAGCCGGGATGGGTCGACGAGATGGAATATACTATAGTCTTGGCATACACCAGCTCGGCATGTGGCCACAAGAAGGTGAAACAGTGATGTGCCGAAGGATCGATCCTACAAGGGTCGAGGGGCTGTGGAATCATCTCCCACTCGGCTATCTTTGTCACCATCGTGAGTGGGATTTCCGTGCTTCGAGATAAGGTCCGAAGTGAGGCTCTTGTTGTTTGCTCTGTCCGCGTCAACTTGTTACTTTCGTTAGTGTTGATTGTCTCCATAATTCAAGACAGTGCAGTACGCCTGCTTTGGCTCGCTGCTCGGCCAAGTAAAAAGCAGGGCGAAAGCTACTCCATATTGGATTCTTGAAAGTCCATGGCGGCTTTCTCGAGCGTAGTAGAAGCGTGCGAGGCGTCGTCACAAACATTTCGAACCCAGCCAGTATAGATCAATGTATCCCACTGAGTGAGATCCAGACGAACCGCCATTTTGATTTGTCAGGTTGTGATAAGTAATGTGGTTCTCGTAATTGGACGCCACGTCTCGAGGACCACCGTTTTACCAATATTGGGCCACTTACTCCCCGCAACATCTTGACTGAAGCGGGCAACAGAGAACGGGTTTTGTTCGACGATATCTCGAGAAATGTCTACCCACTGAACTGTGAGTACGTACTATTGGCGATCTCGTGTTACATACCTTGCTGAGCTGAAAAGGGATGACGCACTACCGTCAGTGGTTCAAGCTAGGTCCTATGGTCGAATGAAAAACGGCAGATGCCGTTTCAGTGCCTTTCGTCTGATATGCTGTCTTCATTTACTGTTTTGGGAAACATCAGACTGTGCGGAAGACGCTGGCCAAGAAAAAAAGATTGCGCGTCCCCTCGGGCTGCGCCTGCAGCCACCTACTATTGCGCCAGGGCCTCACGGAACTCTGCTGGTGGGTTCGGGGGGTCCCAAGAGTCCAGAAGATTATCGCCGGACTTGGCAATCGGAGTGTTGTATACGAGCACCGCCAGCAGACAGTTATTGCATCGGGGAATGTTGAGAGCACTAAACCGAACTTCAAGAGGCCCCGCCCTTTAGCGTTGAAGCTTAAGGAGACTAGGTTAGGGATGTTTAATGCTGCATTACTCGTGTATCTGAGGAGCCATTGATTCGGCGAGCATCGACTTCCCAGGCTGCAAAATGATGTCATCAATGATAACGTCCATATCTTGTTTTCTGTACGAATCTCGAGGTTTTTAAAGAATAAATAATTAGCTCTTCCGGATATTGTCATCTACCACATGTAGCCAAGTATGTGAATCTACTAAGTGATCAACCGCAAACCCCCACACGCAGCTGCCAGTGGTGTGTCACACTGCTCAATCGCACTACTGCACGCCATGACGGCAACAAAGCCGTCGTGGTGATGCTATGCCTTCCAATGGTGCGTAGAATCAAGCCTTTATTACCTAACCCAGCCCAATACTCTGAAGGAGGCCTCCGACGAATTCGTCAGAATCTACCTACTAGCCTGTCTGAGACAGTCTACTTACTAACTATCCCTCTCTCACGACTTGCTGTTGATCTTCGCAGGAAAACCCTTACCCGATACCATGGCGTCTACAATTGCTAAAACAGCACTCAAAGAAACTCGAATCTTTGGTGATCATAGCAGCATCATCTTTGCTTCTATCTACCTCTGTGTCTCAGACACTCTGCCCCGACCGTATGCGCCATTATCGTTACCGTCACTATCGCCGTCTGTCATCATTATACCCTTTATGCCTCCATCATGGTAAACCCGTTCGTCTCCAACAAACTGTTTGAGGCCACAAAGCTAAATCCGCCAAACATGTCATCCTTAAACCCGTCCTTGTTTTTTAGTGACCCCAAATTCCATGGATCCTTGCTGGTGATGACGGGACTCAAAGACAAGTCTGTAAACTCGGGCGCGAAGTTCTCGGCGAGCTCAGGATCCGTAATCATGGGTTGGATGGGTGGCTCTACCTCCCTGGCTGCGAGCTTTGTCCAGTCGATCTTGCGGAAGAAGCGGTGTTTCTTCATTTGCAAAAGATCTTTGGGCATGTTGGAGCCAAGCCGCTTACCCGGCTCCTTCTTCAAAAGCCGCGTAAGAAAATCTTTAGCGTCAAGGCTGAGAAAGTATGGCAACACCAATTTCTGCTTGACAATGTTCTGCTGGATCTTGGCGTGGTTCCCGCCCCGGAAAGGTGGATTACCCGTCATCAAGTCGTAGCCCAAAGCCCCAAACGACCACCAGTCAACCGACTTGCCGTACTTCTGTCCTAGCACAACTTCAGGGGCCATGTATTCAACAGTACCCAGGATAGACTTGCATCCAGTGTCGTCATCGACCGCCACCTTGGACAGCCCAAAATCCGTGAGTAGTAGATGACCCTGAGCATCAAGCAGGCAGTTTTCAGGCTTCAAGTCGCGGTAGACGACACCTAAGGTATCATGAAGGTGAGACAAGGCTAGAACCATCTCGGCCATATAAAATGCCGCTACAGGCTCGGGAAACATCTTCTCGGTATTGAGGTGAGTGAACAATTCCCCACCCTGGCCGTACTCAAGGATAAGGTAGAGCTTCTCGTGGTCTTGGAAGGCGTAGAACAGCTTGACGACGAACGGGTGCCGATTCACTGACTCGAGGATCTGTCGCTCCGTCTTTGTCTGCTCGACCAGTTTCTTGTGGACCACCACTGAGGCCTTCTTGAATTGCTTCTGCGCATAGAGGCGGCCGGTGGTCCGCTGCTTGACAAGAAGCACAGTGCCGTAGGTACCCTTGCCGAGACAACGCAGCGGCTCAAAATCGTCTGCCTGCATCTTGCGTGGTACAAGCCCGCCCTCAATGGCACCGCCCTTAGATCTGTCGCGCACGCTGTCACTGACAAAGTCGTGCTCCAAAGCAATCTCGTAGCTCGTCGACCCCGCCTCGGAAACATCGTCATCGCTACGGCCCAAGCCACTCTGGCGACTGTCGCATCGGCTCAGGGGGCGGGCACGACTGTCGCTCCGGGTCATAGTGCTTGCGCGGGAATCATTCAGGCTGAGTTGGTCGACTTGCATTCGCAGTTTGGCAATGCCGCCGACGGCAGGCGAGTTTTGGCCGCGTAGAACGGGACTACAGTTTGCGCTCACAACGTCATCGATTCGAGGAGTGCGACCGCAACGTGTTGTCAGCGGTGGAGTTCTGCAGCAGTCGGAGTCTTCGTCACCGGACATCATCGGGGTAACCGTGGTAGCGAATCCCCTCACCGTAGTGAGAGCGGGAGCAGCCGGTGGGAGCATCGTGAGGTTGCGGTTATGGTTTCCTTCTTTTCTTGGGATAAGATGCGAAAATGAGATAGTTGGATAAAGAATCGTTCGTTCGCACTTCAGCCCACGCCTACTGCGATTCAAGGTAGACGCGTGCCACGTCGGCGCTCAGCGTCTGCTCGGGGTTCGAAGAGGGTTTGCGCGATAGGCTGGTGTGCTGGAATGCGCATCTGGGTCTGGAAGAGGAACGAAGAAAAGAAATTGTCCTGCGACTGTTGCATATGCATTGGCGACCGTGGTTGTCTTTTGAACGTGGCTATTGTTGATTGTTGCTCGATTCACCGGTTAGGTGTGAAGAAGAAGAAGAAAAAAGGAAGGGCGGATAATGGGAATATGGCCAAAGCCCAGGATAAAACCGAGAAATTCCATTCACAAGCTAGAAATCCAAAAATTATCCTCACTCAGTGCCTCAGTGCTTGCGTCTAGGCCTAATCCGATCCAGGCCTAACTATCTGGTACGCCGGCTGCAAAACCAGACGGCTACCGTTGGTTAGTGTACCTTTAAGAAGCCACTTATCCCCGGACAAGGTGTGATCATCCCGGACCGCGGAAAACTCAATGTCGATCTTTCAGCCTGGTCATCGCCTGTGCTGAAATGGAATGACCTATGACATGAATGCGACGCGTCTGCGTCATATGTCTAGTTGACCTATTCATATTTCTCCCTACGAAGTGTTGCAAATTCCTGTTGCTCGTTATTCATTTTCTGAACCTTTAATCCTGTTACCTATTTTCAGTTGACTCAAGTGCGTAAGACTTCGAAAGCCGGTGCCACCCTTGTCCCACCTGCCCCTAGGGTCACAAAACGGCAAGCACTGGATATCGCGATGATCAACCAAGTAAGGATAAATGCTACTTCAATCAATGAGAGTACAGACTGTGCAAGCTAAGTCTCGCTTCACAAGCAAAAATAGGCTTTCCTTTCTTACGTAGATGATGATCTTCCTGACAAACTTCCGAGGGTATTCACGACCTCATCGTGTTCTTGGACACTAACCTACGTGGAAGAAACGGGTTTAGTTTCTAGCGTAGCCTTTTTTAAGCGAAAAGCGACCGAAGAAACGGTCCCGAGATACTCATTATAGTAATTAGACGCATTTTTGCTCAAGCTGCCTTCGCATCCTTTTCCGCTAGATTGCGAGCTAGACTATCAACCTTGTGAGAACCGTCCAAATAATTGAGCAAGTGTGGGATCACACTGGCACTGGCATTCCGGCTGCATACAAAGGTGAAGAAGGGTAGTACAGGTCGGGGTGGGGGCCAAGTCGCACAAGGGCCCTAAATCACCTTAGGTGTACCTCACCATGACCTCAGGCCACCAATTCTACAGTAATGAACATAAGGCGGCAAGTTGATCGTGGAAAACGCTATAATTATAAGCGCTACTAAAACAAGAAGCAAATCGTGAAGTTCGTGTCGTGGCGCTCTTGTATAAGCAGCCATTGGCACATTACCGCCCCAATTTCCAAACATGTGTGGCTGATCTAAATGAAGCATGTGAGAAGTGGACGTGTGATTTCAAAATTATATAGACCCGCTCAAGTTTGGTTGGGCTTGATCTCATGGGTCAATTGACGCAATTGTACGACTGAGTATCATCGACTGACATCAGGACATTGGTATAGCACCGAAGAAGTGTGAATACCAAGTTGGACTGTACGGTCATTTGAAGAGGCAGACTCGACAATAACATATCTGATTTAACCCGATATTATATTATATAGTATGACCATGCGTACTGCCAGCTCGTGATCGCACTAGTGTTTTTAGCAACTTGACGATGTCCAGTCTACATGGAATATTGAAAATCACTCATCATCCTCGGGGAACAGAGTCGTCAATGCAGGCTTGATGCAGGGACTCGGTTGCAACCAATCCGATAGCCACGGTATTTCCCTAGCTCATCTGGTGTTGACTGGGCCCGCTGATTGCCTATAGGGCCGCTTATCTTGGAATCCGGGGAGAGCTGTGGATCTGTGGGGAAGATCGCCCCGGCGCCGGTTTCCCCGCTAGTCCGTCGACGTTGATGAGAGGATGGAGAAATCTGCTTCAAGGTGGGTATGGATGTGACCCAAGTCTCTTTCACTATGCACACCTCGGTTGTCCCCGCACGGTGGCACGATGGCGATGGTGGAGGAGTGACAGCGTATAAGACTGGTACTAGAGCAGCACATCTAGAGCCCTAAGCTCTCTTCAAGTCTGTCTTTCTTTCTGTTCTTGTTCAATATGATCGTCATTGTGAACAAAAGAAGCTTCACCGCGATGTCTGTATCTTTATTGTCTCTCGCTGTATACCTGGCGGTCTTCGTTGATGCCAAGAATGTGCGGTCTCCATCTCCGCCAATGGGCTGGAACAGCTATAACTACTACGGGTGCCGGCCCTCCGAGGACATCATGGTATCGAACGCCCAGGGACTTGTCGATCTCGGGTTGGCGGACCTTGGCTATACTTCTGTCACGACGGATTGTGGTTGGCCGTCGAGGGATCGTGACTCGGAAGGTCGAATCCAATGGAATGAGACCTTGTTTCCCTCCGGAGGTCCAGCGCTGGGCCAGTTCATCCATGGGCTGGGTTTGGAGTTTGGCCTCTACTCTGGGGCTGGATATCTGCAGTGTGGGTCAACTGATCTACCTGCTTCGCTGGGTGAGAAAATCTAGCGTCGAAATCTCATAGAACTCCTCTAAGCGCAGTCCAGGATATGAGGAAATCGACGCTGAAACGTTTGCCGAATGGGGAGGAGACTCGTTGAAGTGAGGTTTGAGTCCCCCCTGGTCAGATGGCATCCTGATTGACATAACCCAGATATGACAACTGTTACCCTGTGTCGAACACCACCATGGTGGACTATGTGTCCAAGGAGTCGATATCCCCTGCTCGCTTCGAGAAGATGGCGGGCGTCTTGGACACCATCGACCGCGATATGCACTATTTTGTCTGCCAATGGGGCGTGGGGTATGATGTTGGTGAATGGTAAGATCCTCGACACCAGAACGACACGCAACTAACGAGAAAGGGCATCTGCCATCGGAACCACCTGGAGAATCAGCAACGACATCTTTAACGCCTGGCGTAGTATTTGGCGCATCGCCAACGAAGTAGTGCCTTACTACAGGCACACCACCGTCGGGGCTTTCCCCGATATGGATATGCTCATCGTTGGCCTGAAAGCTCTCTCTGTTGAAGAAGAACGCTTCCACTTCGGCATGTGGGCCATCAACAAGTCTCCGCTCATCATCGGCGCTCGAATGGACGCGCAGCACACTCCGCAAGAATCCCTGGACATCTTGGCCAATGAGGTGGTAATCGCAATCAACCAAGATCCTCTCGGAAAGCAGGCGGAACTCGTTCGTCGGTACACCGAGGAAGAATGGGACATATGGGCTGGAGAGCTCTCTGGCTCGCGAAAAGTCTTGGGTATCGCTAATTGGAGAAACGATTCACAGACAGTGGAGGTTGATTTGAGTGCCGTTGGGGTCGCATCCGCCAAGGCCCGGGACGTCTGGGCAGCAACGGATTTAGGAAGTATCGAGGAAATCCACACGGTGGAATTGTCTGGCCACGAACTAAAGCTCCTTGTTCTATCTGATATTAAGGCGTCCAGGCCTCTAGAGTCAAAGGGTTACTACTCAGCCGCCAACGCCTCCATTGCCGGTTCAGCAGAAATAACAGACTGTGACAGCGGTGACTGCCTGCCCGTTGGCCAAAAGATTGGCAACATTGGCTCTGGCTCGACTGTGACTTTCAGCTCCGTGAACGCCTCAAGCGCCGGGAGCAAAGTGCTTGGGGTGGACTTCATCAACTATGATATTGCCCTTGACACGGCATGGGATAACGGATTCAATATCAGAAATATGACCATAGCTGTTAACGGTGGTGTATCGAAGCGGTGGGCATTCCCGATTTCCGGAGGCGACTGGTTTGAGACGGGGCGGTTGACGATTGAGTCTGACGGCTTTGAAAAGGGTGCCGAGAACGAGGTTGTGTTTGGCAATGTGGGGGATGCTTGGGCTCCTGATCTTGTGGGATTTGAATTGTTTTGATCTTGTTAATCTTCAAATCATCCAAGTCAATGACATTGTTTATGGAGTCGGGTATGCCGATTTGGTGCCCACATCATGTGGAAACTATTTGAACAGCATGAAATGCTTAGTTCAAAAGTAGCTGCTGCAGGGTAAAGCTCGTTACAGGGTAACTTAGAAGTTCACAGGGGTGGCAAACCAGGTCTGCCCCACTAAAGTTGATAGATTCTCGAACTGGACCTCCAAGCTTCCATCAAGGCGTATCTTTCTACCTTCATAACTCTCCGCTTCACGATCATTCGAGCTTCGGCCGTGCCCTCCGCCCAAGATGATGCACCCGTCGCGGCAGGCCTATGTAGAGGACGCTCAAAATGGAGTAAGCAACGCCATATGTGAGATGTTCTAGTCCCAGATGCAGGCAACTAACAGGTAACTCTTCTCACAGGATCGCGGCATCAGTCTCGAGGATCTTCCCACAGATCACGACTATGATATGCCCTCCGCCTCGGCCGGGATAGCGCCCGAAAAAGCGAGCGCCATCTTGTCCCAATTCGAGCGAAAACGTCGCGCAGCCACCATTGCGGTACCCACAGACGATGGTCGCGTACGGGCCCGCCTCCGCGAGCTCGGCGAACCTATCACACTATTTGGCGAAGGGCCGGCCGAGCGACGAGACCGACTGCGCGAACTACTGGCATTGCAGTCAGAGCAAGCGGCAGCTGGAGGAGAGGGAGTCGATGTGGAAATGGAAGATGCCGAAGGCGAGGATGGGGCCGAGGACCAGGAGGAAGAATTTTACACACAGGGAACGGAGGAGCTGTTACAGGCGCGCCAGGAGATCGCGCGGTTCTCGCTACCGAGAGCCAAGAGGCGGCTGGCCGACTTAAAAGAGGAGAGCGGCATTCAACTACGGACGCATGTCAAGTTTCGGAAACATGTGAAGGAACGACTGCAGGGCTTCGAACTGCAAGGCTCACAAACTGCCGGCGATCGGCATGTCAGCATGACGAGGATAGCGCCCAACGGGGCCATGGTCGCTGCGGGAAATTGGGGCGGAAGCATCAAGCTGATTGAGATCCCGACCTTGGAGGAGAAGGGCACGCTGAGGGGCCATAACAACAAGGTCAGTGGTCTAAGTTGGTACCCTGGGGCGACGGTGCCGGAGAGAGGCGTGAGTGCGGACACGGTCAACTTAGCATCCGGAGGCGCCGAGGGTCACGTCAATCTCTGGAGTCTGACCAAAGACACGCCACTTTCAACGCTCCAAGGGCATGGAGGGCGAGTGTGCAGAGTCGAGTTCCATCCTTCAGGGCGGTATTTGGCGAGTGCGAGTGAGGATACCTCTTGGAGGCTATGGGATATCGAGACGACTACAGAGCTTCTACTCCAAGAAGGTCACTCGAGAGGCGTCTATGCTGTGGCTTTCAACACAGATGGCTCTCTGTTGGCAAGTGCGGGCTTGGATAGCATTGGAAGGATATGGGATCTACGGTCTGGTAGAACAGTCATGATTCTCGATGGTCACATGGACGGCCACATCAAACCAATCCATGGACTTGACTGGGGCTCCAATGGCCACCGAGTCCTGACAGGGTCAGCAGACGGCTGGATCAAATGTTGGGATGTGAGGAAAGTGCAACGAATAGGAGGCATCGGAGCACACAGCAGTGCAGTATCAGATCTGAGATGGTACAAGGGCCTGGATGACCCGGTGGAAGGTACAGTTCAGCCAGAGCTGGATGAAAAGGGCAATCGTCTACCCAAGAAGTCGGGTACCTGCTTTGTGTCGAGTGGATTCGATAACAAGGTCAACATTTTCTCAGCAGACGACTGGACTTTGGTGCAGACGCTCCATGGTCACACAGGCCCAGTGGCAAGCGTAGATATCAGCAGGGATGGGAAGTGGATTGTCAGTGGAGGCCATGACAGGACGGTAAAGCTGTGGGGTCGCAACGACGGCCAGGGATTCTAACCTAGTATGCGACCTCGTGGCTTGACGTGCATTGTGTCTCCCAAGTTCAGATACCCAAATAGAGGAAACAAGAAGACCTCATTATCTTCAACGACAGTGTGCGTGATATACCAGTGCTCTATTTTTTCCTCAAGCATCTATAGATGCGCATATATTCTCTAGTAGATGGCCTAGTTTCTTCTAGGTTAGTAACTTCATGGATGGCTTCACGCAAACTCGGTGGGGACTATCTCACGTTAGTGGGGTGGGGATAAATCGTATCCCCGATACGGGCTAGAACTATGATCCAACATCAAAGAGCTGTTGCATCAATTTCAAGGACAGCCCGAGCACAGCACGCGAACAGAAAGAGCTCCAGGACAGTATTGCGTCCTTGAAGAATCGACCCAATTGGTTGGCTTGATTGGCTTGATTACATAAAAGCACAATCGCCGTTTGACATCTTCGGAAAATCTTTGAACGTAACGACACTACCGCCCGTCATCGTCCTTCTGGCGTCGCACTACTAGACACATCCAAAAGTCTAATCGCGACGTTTCAAATCGATGGCCAGCATTGACAGATACCGACCTCCCGCACGGGAAGGCTACCAGCCACCCATCATGGCCTCTAACGCCACCGTCGCCAGCGCTGCGCGCACATCACGATCGCCCTCCAAGAGACGTGAAATCCCACCCGCCGTGCCCACGCCACCACCGCCTCACTTGTTCCGCACCTCTCCCCCCCCTCGTACGCGGTCGCGCCAGCAATCACAATCGCCGCCTCCGACGCCGGCTACGATGCTGAACCAATGGTTCTTCAACCAGGATGAGGTGTTGAGCAGTCCGAGCATACTGGATGGATTGAGTCCTGCCGAGGAAAGGCTGCGCAGGGCGAAGGGTGTCAATTTCATCTACCAGGCTGGCATACTGCTGGACTTACCGCAGATCACGCTCTATGTCGCTGGTGTCTACTTCCATCGCTTCTATATGCGCCGTAGCATGGTGGAGGAGAAGGGTGGAGTTCATCACTACGTGAGTCATGCCACTTTGGCTACGCATGGCATGCCATGTATTGTTTTTGTATGCCGTTGGCAGTAGTGAATGGCGAGTGCCTTCAGCCAGCCTCACAAGATGAACCAATCTTGGATGAGCAGGAGATTCCTTTGACAATAAGCTAATGTGGCCATGAAACAGAACATAGCGGCCACCGCCCTATTTCTTGCGAACAAGACCGAAGAAAATTGCCGAAAGACTAAAGACATCATCATCGCTGTTGCCAAGGTCGCACAAAAGAATGCCAAATTAATCATAGACGAGCAGTCGAAGGAGTACTGGCGCTGGCGTGACAGCATATTGGCATACGAAGAGGTCATGCTGGAAAACCTAACATTCGATCTGATGATTGACAACCCGCACAGCCAGCTCTACAAGCTTCTCGAGCAATTAGGAATAATCCACAACAAACACCTGCGGCATGCGGCCTGGGCTTACTGCAACGACTCCTGTCTGACCCCGCTCCCGCTCCTCATGGACGCTCGCGACATCGCCATAGCCAGCATCTTCTTCTCCAGCACCTTTACCAGGCAGCGCATCGAGGATGTCAACAACGAGCCATGGTGGAAGGCAGTCCAAGGCAATGAGCCTCTCATGAGTAAGGCTATTGATGTGTTGCGGGACTTCTACATCGAGAACCCCCTCCGGAAACAAGAGAATCCGTACCAGGGAAGTCCCGAGTTCAACTTGGAGAACACACGCAAAAACGGCGAGGGCTCTAGCACAAATGTGACCCCACACGTGGACCGCGATACGTTGAGTCCGAAAGACCGGGTCAATGGTTCAGATATGACGGCGGGCAGCAAAGAGCCGGATGCGGAATCAAAAGCTGCCGAGGAAGCTTCGCGAGCCCTAGGTGACTCGGATGCGATCTTGAAGGAGGCGGCCAACGACCCCACGACACACCTGAGCACCAATGGGAACGGTGCCGAAGGCTTGAGCCCGGGGGTTAAGCGAAGTCTGGGGGAAGTCGAGCCCCTGGCACCAGAGGAGACCAGAGAGGTCAAGAGGCCACGAACGGGGAGCGATGATGATGAGGGTGAAGTGCACGAGTAGATCTCGATTTCAGGCGAAACACCGGCAATATCAAGATACGGCAGGCCAAGACCCTCATACTCATCAAGCCCGGGCATGAGTGCGGAAATTTGGATCGGAGGAAATCCATTGGCCTTGAGGCCTTCAGGCGTTTCGGCAGGACATATAAGGAATCGAGTCCGGAACAAGGCGCCAGGGATATTTGCATGCGTTGTTAATATTGTGTATAGTTCTGCCTTGGCTTTGGAACCAGCAATCTAGTCTCCTGGCTTTGGTGCACTAGGGGCGGGTGCCCTTTGACAAAGCATCATTTTAAGTGTAGCGATATACCAACAGGGAACGCTTTCATTTCTCAACTTGTGAGCCGTCGATATCAATAAATTTGATTGCCTTCCTACAATGTGCATCCCTTGCTTCTACATACCCTTCAGATAATCCCTAGGGCTTGTCACTTGGGCCTTCCTATCCTTGGCCAGCACTTCAACCTTAATTCTTTTCTGGTAAGCTCGCATCTTGTCCACATATTCCGGGTATGTGTTGCCCAGTATTCTGACGGCCTCTAGAGCTGCGTTCGTGGCATTGTTGATGCCCATGGTTGCAACCGGGATACCCCTCGGCATCTGAACGATGCTCAGAAGAGAATCCATGCCATCACACGTCGAGCCCTTGACCGGAACGCCGATGCAAGGAAGATGAGTTATCGACGCCAGCATGCCCGGCAAGTGGGCAGCACCTCCGGCACCAGCTATGATGACCTTTACCGATCCTTGTGACCATTCTGCAGCTTTTTGCTCCATGTACTCCGGTGTTCGGTGGGCTGAAGTCACGTTCCATGTGTAGGGAACGCCAAATTCCTCCAGGATGTCCGTGGCCTTGATCATAACGTTTAAGTCAGAGTCAGATCCCATCGTTACGGCCACGAGGGGGTCAGGCTTCGACCCCTGGCTTGAAGTACCTGCCGGCGGGCTCCCGCCGACTCTCTCGGCCCTGATCTCATCAACGCATGTAATAAGAGGCCTTGCACGTTCCTCCAGCTGGCCAATGCTTGAGGATCCAGTAGCCGTGATGTGACCAATCTTCCTGCCTGGTTTGGACTCCTTTCCGTATTGGTGAAGGAAAACGTGCATGTATTTGCTCGTCAGCTCTTCGGCAAGATTGGCTAACCTATCGTGAGACGTGGGCTCGGCGCCACCAAGAATGTTGAGCATAATAGCGGATGAAACTGTAGGACTTAGATCCAAATTCTTCGGGACCTTGTTAAGGATAGAAACGAGCTGTGCTTTGTACTGCGACATTTGGTGGACAGCTTCTATCGTATAGTGTCCCGAATTGTGAGGTCTCGGGGCCACCTCATTCACAAGTATTTGGCCTAAAACCATGTTAGTCATTATGGTTGCAACATCAGGTATATACAATGATACAGGTGCAGACGAGTTCATATGACTACTGCCGGCGTCATCGTCTCTTGAAGTGATGATCCAAAGCGTGGAGAACCCCAAGTCAATCGCGGAGGGCTTTCAAGGCATGTGACCACTAGAAGGGTCTGCCGGCGGAGACATACTCCTGGAGGCACCGGTAGGGCCAGTCATAGAATACTTCATCAAGACGAAAGGAATAGGGGACACGGGAAAAATGCAACAGGTTGCGCAAATTCCATCTCGGGGTTCGCTCACCATCTTTGAGAAACATTTCCACCGCAAACACTCCTCGACCCCAAAGGCTTGCCACGACGTCGCAGGCTACTTTCTGCGCCTGTATCTTGATTTCTTCTGTGACCGCGGTGTTTCTCGGCGGGAAGAAGACTTTAGTGCATATACTGTCTTCGTGGACAGTCTCCACGACAGGGTAAGGCAGGACCCGATTCAGCTTTCCATCATCGTCCTCGACGCGCACCACCATGACGGCGAGTTCCATGTCGAAGGTTACCCATTTCTCGGCATACAGCGGCTGGTCGCCCATTTGCTCTGCGACGCTGTCAAAATCCTGTGCGGTTCGAATTTTGAAGTTCCCGCGCCCATCGTAGGATCCTTTGCTGCCCTTCAACATGAATGGGAAACCGAATTTCTGGCCGACTTCGTGTAGCGAAGCCTTGCGCTCGGATCCAGACTTGATGGCCATTTGCTCGGCGATAGGGATGCCCTTTTGGCCAAAGTACTCCTTCTGTTGGTACTTGTCCTGGATGAGGCGAATGGTCTTCCATGAAGGGTGGACGGGCACCTTCTTCATTTTTCCATCAACCTCTACGCCTTTGGTTGCAATCTCCTCGAGGATTTCGGTATCGACATGCTCGATTTCCACAGTGAGTACATCGCAACGTGCGGCGAGCTCCTTGATTTTGGCAGGATCCTTGAATGATCCAGTAACGTGCAGCCCATTCTTTCTCGCCGCATGTTTCGCTGGGCAGTCTTCGGCATCGAGTACTGCAATTTCGACAGTGCCCAGAGGTCCAGCTGCTTCGCAAAGCATCAATCCTAACTGGCCGCCGCCAAGAAGGCCGATAACGGGCTTTTGCGCCATGATGATGTTTTCAACTCACCACAACGTCGCAAGGAACGTACTTGACGACCAACTGTCAAAAGCAGAGCAGGCCACGGGATGCTCAACAATCTTGAAGAATTTCTGCTCCACGGAGGACAAGAAAAATAAAGACCGGCACTGTACTTATCGAGGACGCAAAAAGCTGCTTGGCAGAATCTGCTCAAAAGAGCAGGCGGTCAAGATTCCAATATGTATCTGCCAAACCAGTCGAGAGACCTTGCTAGTGATTCACTTCTTTCGCCCTGTTAAAAGTAAATCGTAAGGGAATCATCTCAATCACTTTCTGAATTGACGCCCACCAAGTTCATATCGAAGCGTTATTCTTGGTCGTTCTGTTGTGTTGTATATAAGACTCTTACAGAGAATTACGAAAACACTATTTGAAATCGGAAATCTGACGAGTCTTGATATTGAATGATACAGATAGCATGGGTGCCTTCAATCAGCGATGACGACCGATCATGAAGATGGGGATATCAACCCTTTCCTCCCTACCGTCCAGTACGCATATCTCATTACCATTTGCCATATAACTTCACTTCTGCTGCATCTTAGATCTCCATTGTCAAATCTTGATGGTTTTATTTGGCTGATATATTGATCTTATCAGCCCCCTGAAGATATTTGACGCGGCAAAATCTCAAGGCCGATTCTTGTATGCTTGTGCCCCGATGGTGAGATACAGCAAGGTATAGACCTAAACCCCCAATTATACCTCGCTTTGAATCGAGTTGCTGACATCGCCTAGCTCGCGTTCCGCCAAACGGTCTATCACTATGGCACCGATCTCTGCTGGACGCCCATGGTTCTAGCCAAGGAGTTCAACCGCAACCAGGTCGCGAGAGACAGCGACCTAACCATCTCCAGCTCCGGACCCCAACCGCATACAATCGTCCAATTCGGGTCCAACTCGCCCACAGAACTCTCTCACGCCTCATCCCTGGCAGCCCCCTGGGTAAGCGGCGTAGACCTCAATTGCGGCTGTCCCCAATCGTGGGCGTGCGCCGAAACCCTCGGCGCGGCCCTCATGGAAAAACGTGAGCTAGTCCGCGACATGGTCGTCGAAACTCGCTCGCGCCTCGAGGCCGACGGCTGGGATGTGGGTAAGGAGAAGCACGTCGATAGCCTCAAAGGCAGAAGTGTCAGCGTTAAGATTCGCGTGCATAAAGACCTAAGAAAAACCATGGACTTTATCACTACGGTTATCGGGAACCCGCACAACCGGAATGTGGACTGGCTGACCATACACCCGCGCACGCGGAGCACACCGTCGACGTCACCTATCAATCTGGAGGCGCTATCCATCTTGACGGAGAAGTTTGGGCCGCAGTTGCCGATTCTGGTGTCAGGCGATGTGTTCACGCTTGCAACGTTGCCGTATACTTCACATCTGCTCGACTCCCTGCCCATCTTTACGTCAAAGGCCGCAGATACTACGCCTAGCACAAAGCCGTATATACCAAAATTAGCTGGCTTGATGTCGGCGCGTGCACTTCTAGCCAATCCGGCGCTGTTTGCAGGCCATGAGACGTGCCCCTGGGAGGCCGTGGATGTTTTTCTGAACAAAGTTGCGCGTGCCCCACTGCCGTTGAAGCTGGCAGTGCACCATATTAACGAGATGTGCGGCCCGGGCTATGGTCCCGATAAGAGGGCGTTGCTGAGTAAGAAGGAGCGGATGAAGCTCAATGAATGTGGGAGTTGGATTGATGTTCTGGATTATTTGGACGAGGTGAGGAAAGAGAAAGATGGGGGTGGGAATGGAATGAGAAGGTATGCTTAAGAGGTGTGGCGGATAACACCAGTGATTTTCATAGAGCAGGAATATATACCCTTGAGAGATCATAAGACGCAACATGAGTTTCTTTCCTCGGTGGCTATGTTGAGCCCATGAAAAGTCTCAAAGCCGAACGATAGAGGTATTTCTGATGTGGGAGCCAGATGAGAAAGAAGGCTCTTCTCTTTGAAGAACGAAGTGCTAGCAGGGGCTTCTGACATTCTTCACTCTGGGCACCCCTTACAGCTCATGACAAATTATAACATATTCGAGCGCAGCAACTACCAGGGACTCCATGGCGCCACGTCCGCGCCAGAAGATATGTGGTAACTTACACACATGATGATTTGGACGTAGTCGGGCTGAATTGACATGCCCATAATGCCCTCCACTGCAAAGACGACTGTCAGCCACTGCCACTTCCGGTAGTGAGCGATGAAACGGCGGACGTGCCCCCAAAGTCAAGCTTCAAAGACGAAAACCCGGCCTATACTGGGATATTCTTTTCTCTTGACACTGCATTAGCCAGAGAAAAGATGAAATCGAAATTGCATACTTCTCTCCGGCATGTTGAGCTCGCCTCCACAGTATAGATTTGCACCGTGGAAGTCTTTGTACCGGAGTAAGTAAACCCAATCATGTAGCCCTAGTCACGGCTGTGGGCGGCCTTGATGACAGTGTTGTCCGGGCCGATATCGCCGGCATATGCACCACCGAAACCAAGTCGAGTGGACGACACGGCCATGCACTCTCACGAGAAGAGACCTTCGGTCAAGTTTCTCCAGTGGTACCAAAGAGTTGATAAGTCAGGCCAAGGCTGTTTCAAGTATGCTTTTGTTTCGACACTCGCCACCATGCGTCAGAACTGCCGTAGTACCCTGCGGTCTCATAGATACCGGGGATGAAGTATATCTGGTTGACAAATGACTCTTCCCATTTTAGTATAAGCCAGTATGTACTATCCCAAGCAGCGTTGCATTAATATCGGTTCGGAGGACGCCCTACCATCGCGAGAGAAATGAGAAACTTCGATCATAAGAAGAGGGGTTTATCATTCGAGGCATCCCAATGGAAGCCACCGCTAGAGAATGAGAATGTGAAAATAAAGGGAAACCTATTGGGGGTATCTTTGAACCATCCTGTGCTTTCCAGATGCGCAGCAAGGAGGTCATGGTACTTGGCCATCTGTTAAGACAGCATCAGTATCTGCTGCATGAACCAATTTCCAAATTGTACTTACGCCACCGCATGTGATAGTAGCGTTGCAACATCCATCTTCATAAATATAGAGATCTACGGTAATATACAGCTTGAAGCCTCTCTTTTTTGCATGACTGAACTTATAAGTCAACGAATCCTTGACAAACTGTTTATCCAGATCGACAATGTCCAGGGCAAAGCCGTCGAGTCTATTATTGCCGAGTCACGCTGGTATTGTCAAAACGCCATGAAGCACTTTACTCCATTGCCATGGAATCATCAATGTTTTATTTGCAGTGTGCTTGTGTAGTGTTTCCGACCTGTTGTTCGGTCATATCAGCCGCCATTCCAGTAGAAATGTTAGTAGGATACGATATATCATGGATTGTAACGACTGGTGTAGAGTAAACTGTGAGATACAGTAATACGGGCCACAGACGATACTAAGCCCAAGTCAACAGCACTCACTGGACTTCTTTTTCCAAGTGGACGGATTGAGCAGAAAGGTGTCATGATCCCAATTGATTGTCAACCCATTAAAACAAGTGCCCCTGCAAGGCACGTTCTCTAGTAAGTGGTGATGGGTGTATGAAGTTTCTATAAGGCAACCAGGAGCAAAGCCCGGGACTCTCAGCTACTGTTAGTCAGAATACACAGAAGCGTTCCTTCCGGAGAGCACATTCACGCTCCCAGCCCGTAAGGGAAAATTGCAGTGCGAAACAGATGCCAACGGAGGAGATTCGCCGAACGGGAGCTTCCGCGTTGCCTGAGCGTAAGATTGACACACTTGCTTGCTTAGTTCTCCACCCTAGAACCAAAATCGACATGGAGACTACAGAAAGGCCTCAAACAGTGTGGTCCAGCCTCGGTAACTCTGGGACTTGAAGTAGGCAAGATGCTGAAGTAAGTAACCCTGCACAGCCTGAGCTTACTTGCCCTTTCCCAGTAGGAACTTTCGGCCCTTCGAACAATGGCTTAGAAAATCAACGAATGAAGTCAGGTCATTCCAAGATATTCCTAGCCTCTGTTTTGCGGGTTTGCTAGGTGTCCCCGTCGTAGGCCCATCGCGTGGGAAAGCTTGTCTCTCAATGACTCTGCCAAACTATTAGACTACCGTCTAAAAGTGGTGAGTCGCAGTCCAGCGTCACTGAATATTTCTGAAGCACATCCAGGATTAAGCTACATGTCTCCAGAACAGGCACCGCCTTGCTCTTTAGGCTGGACACAGAATGGACACAGGACCAAATTGCTGGGCTTCGGAATGTGGGCATATACTAGTCCAGGTACACTCAAAATTTACCTACCCTACCTACGTGTTACTCTGGATTAATCGAACAATAGGGGCGAGGCTCTTGCGAACGACATTTGAAGTACTTGTGCCTAAAACCAGCCCAATACTTGGAAGCATTACGATTATCAGTGCTCAAGGCATATAATGGGAACATGCAGGCCCTAGCCCACCGCCCTGGACATTGTGCGGCTCTTACAAATTGCCGGGAAATCGGCAATATTATTTTTACTTGTAAGTTATACACGAAAGCTGCTACTAAAGCCCGCTAAGTCCGCCAAACAAACCAAACTCTGTTGCCACAAGTTGTACTGACTTTCTCCAGTAGCCTGCTGACTTGTTGAACTTTCGGGAAATACTCGCAGGCGGTTCTCATCTCGACTCTGGGCTGAAATTGTCATCACGACTAGAGATATGAAGTACGTAGAGAGTGTGGCAAGCGGTAGCGGCCGAGAAAGCACGGCACAACTGCAAATCCCGATCATCATTTGTACTTCGCAAGTGGTGTGTCCATCCCAGTCCAGCGAAAGGACGTGGCAAAGGTCACATCGTAGGCTTTAGCAGGTCGTCATATGTAACATATACAGTGGTTCCCTGAGTAACGTGCACAATTCATCAAACTTGACACTGTATTGTGCTGGGCTCATGCACATTCATCATGCGGAAATGTGGAGACTGTTCGAGAAACCAAACTTCGACCCGTCAACAGTAGAACCAGAGTTAGAAAGCCATCTTGTTGCCGTATTTGCTGGATATCTGCATCATTTCTTCATAATTGTACGTAAACGGGCTCTGCGCGGTGCGAACCAGTAAGCGACCACGGGTTTTGCGTTTCTGGACTTTGCGGATTTTGGATCTAGACGTGCAGCAAGCGCCGTAAACACCGAATTCGGCTCTATGACGAAGATCAGTGCACCGCATAGCATCACGGACATGCTGCAGCGGAGTGGCATCAGTGTTCGCAGAGTGAATTATCCGGGACGGTAGAATTCTAGGAACCACACCTAAGATGCTCATATATAAAGAACGAGCTTCTCCCCCTCACCTTTGCAATTTATCAATATTGCACAAGCACTGAAGCACACAGCACACTGAAATCCCACAGTCAGTCAGCCATCTCATCCAACGATTCAAACGACCTGAAAGCTCTACAACCTTCGAACATGCCGCAGCTCGTCGGAAAAGAAGTTGGCCCAATTGGCTTCGGCCTCATGGGTAAGTTTCTATAACATCTCGCGGGATTTACACAAAGTGTTCTCACAAACACCATTAGGCTTCACCTGGCGCGCCAACCCATGTTCCAAGGAGCAGGCCTTCGAGACCATGAGAGCCGCTCTAGATAACGGCATGAATTTCTGGAATGGCGGAGAGTTCTACGGTACGCCTGAATACAACAGCTTGACGTTGTTGGCCGAGTACTTCGAGAAATACCCGGCAGACGCCGACAAGGTGATTCTCAGCATTAAGGGAGCCGTAGGGAATGGAGGCACCGCCCCGGATGGCTCGCCTGAAGGTGTTCGCCGCTCCGTCGACAACTGCCTGAAGCTCCTGAAGGGTCGTAAGACGATCGATATTTTCGAATGCGCCCGCCGCGACCAGAACGTGCCTTTGGAAGTAACGTTCGGCGTTCTCGACAAGGAGTATGTCCAGACTAGCAAAATCGGGGGCATCAGCCTCTCGGAGGTCAAGGCTTCGACCATCCACGAAGCCGCCAAGATCACGAAGATTGTGGCATGTGAAGTTGAGCTTTCGCTGTATGTACTGGTTTGGTTACCCCTGTATTCCTTACGAAGCTGCTAATTACGACCTTAGGTTTTCTACTGATGTGCTCAATAACGGCGTTGCGGCTGCTTGTGCCGAACACAACATTCCACTAATTGCGTACTCGCCTATCGGTCGCGGGATGTTAAGTGGTCAAATCAAGACGCTCGATGACATACCCGCCGACAGCCATCTACGGCACTTTCCCCGGTTCCAGCCAGACACCTTCTCGATCAACATGCAGCTGGTGAAGCAGATCGATGATATCGCGGAGAAGAAAGGCTGCACCCCAGCACAACTGGTTATCAATTGGACCAAAACGGTCGGCAAGAAGTCTGGAATGCCAACCATCATTCCGATTCCCGGAGCTACGACAGCCGCCAGAGTAAATGAGAACGCGAAAAGCGTGCAGATCAGCAATGCGGAGATGGCTGAGATCGATTCTACGTTGCAGAAGTTCGAGGTCGTGGGAGCTCGATATCCTACATATGTGCCCACTGAAGGCTAGATGTACATGAATCGCAGCTACGGGCTCATTAGCTTGCTTGCTCATGGCAGAGAGAATGAATAGAGGTGTAGGATATTTCAACAGTCAGATCAAGAAGTTCTCCACATTTTCGACCCCAAAGGATCTTGTCAGAATTGCAGAATTCTTGTAATAGTCATCACGCTGAATGGGGATAGAATAGAAATAGGATTGTTTTCATACTCACAAGAAAAAAAAAACCAATGCTGCAAAATGCTCTAGCAACGTAGCCCGAGTGCTTACTAGAAACACGAAAACATCTTGGGGTAACCCGTTTTAGATGACTTTTCAGAAAAGCAGGTAAGGAGGCATTTTTGCAACTGGCATGAATATCGCCGAGGGTAATCCTAGAGATTCCTTATGTGACCGTTCCAAACTGAACCGAGTGGAATCGGGTCGAAGACTTGGGCAGCATGCTCCTTCGTCCAGCTAAATGTGGATGGGAACACCAACGAGGATTCCCGCTTTGTCTTGACATGTTGCAAAGAGGCCATGTTGTTCAAGGTTAGGCCACAGATGCGTTGAAATTTTCACGAGATCGGAGGAAAATGTTTGGCAAGATTGGGATTGCTGCTTGGGACAGAAAGCCAATGAGACTCGGACATTAGGCGGATAGAGGATCCACTGTACCCATTGCGGCATTGATGGGTGGAGTTCCAGGGGTCAGAGCCACCTGCGGCCTGAGCGCTGTGCTGCATAGTATTCAATGTGTCAAGTACGGAGTAGGGTAATTGCGATTGCTCGCTTGACCTCCCGTGACGACCATGCATGGCATGTGCCAACCGAATATCCAGGTCGTGGTCGGCATCGAGATTCATGGAGTCTTCGATTCCAGAGTTGCATAACGGTTCGTCCGTGTGGAATAACCTTTCAATCTATGCAACGGGCTGCTTCTGAACTACTTAAGCAGAGGGTCGCTTTTCCTTTCTAATCAGACTTGGTAAAAACTAATAGAGGTATTCAGAATTGTCAACTCATCTGATCTCAAGAGTCGAGCATTCCATGACATGTTGCTTCGAGCTCTAGCATAAGATTTGTTAGGCACCCCTCCCATAGTTGGTCCGTACAAACATGACATGTGAAGCACTAATGCAAGATCACAAGACTGTAAGACGTTCGGATTTCAACTACACATCCCAGAGTCTTCTTCTGTGGTAAATCATAGTTGGCTTATCCAGCAATTAACAACTCTTGTCCATTAACCCATTCTCCGAAATGACACCCCCGATGATCACACTAGAGGAGCATTACCTCTCCAATAGCGCAGATGCGTTGAAAGAATTCTATTCGGAACAGTTTAAAAACATTCCCCAGCTAGCCGAGAAGATGTCAGACGTTGGACCGCTGCGACTTGGGTCGATGGACGAAAATAATATTTCCGTTCAAGTAGTGAGCCATTGCCCAGGAGCAATGCCAGTGTCCCAATGCAAGTCAGCCAACGATGAGCTGGCGGCGGCTATTGAAGCCAACCCCACCCGGTTTGCCGGCTTCGCTGTTCTCCCGGTCTCTAACCCGGATGCATCGGCCACAGAACTTAGACGGTGCATCCGCGAGCTGGGCTTCGTAGGAGCCCTCATTGACAACCGCTCGGGCGACACGTACTACGACGGACCTGAGTATGAGAAGCTGTGGGCGGAAGCCCAAGACCTCGAGGTTCCTATCTACCTGCACCCGACGTGGCCTACTGACAAGCAAAAAGAGCTTCTCTACACCGGAGCCTTTGCCGCATCTGCTGCTCTCAGTCTCGGCACTTCTGGGTGGGGATGGCATTCGGACGTCGCATTGCACATCCTGCGGCTCTTCGCGGCAGGAACATTTGACAAATTTCCCCGTCTCAAAATCATTGTGGGCCACATGGGCGAGATGCTTCCGTTCATGCTGCATCGCATTATCCAGTTGTCGCCGCGCTGGGGCAAACGAAATCGCACCTTCAAGGATGTCTACGACACCAACATCTGGATCACTACGAGTGGGGTCTGGAGCGTCGATCCTATGGCAACCATCTTGCGGAATACGAAGATCGATAGAATCTTGTATAGTGTCGACTACCCATTTGGAAGGAATGATGACGGACTGCAATTCATCAAAGAGCTCGAGGAAAGTGGGTTGGTGACTGAAGAGCAGTTGAAGCGAATCGCGTATCAAAACACGGAGGAGCTATTGGGGCTTCGAGTAGACAAGACCTTTAGCTAGTCGCGAGGAAGTAGCTTGCCTAGTTGACGAAATCGACGAGATATATCCATGTTGAACGGACTAACATGTGAATATATCAATCATGCACATTGATCGCTGGTGATGCAACGAATCGAAATCTACGCGGCCCGGCGATATACCGTACGGAAGAGTGTCGGTAATTGCTGGGCATTGGAAACATGACAGAGACCCAACCACAGCAGTTCTCGATGCGACATCACTATTGTTGCGTGCAGAGTGGCAACACCCTGAAAATACAAACCTTGGAAGTTACGTCCTGGGGGCCAGGCAATAGTGGTGCCTTCATTAGCCGGCCGGCTGTCTAGGTAAAAAATGACAAGACAAGAGCAAAATGGGTCGTTGGTTTGAATCCTGGGTCGTAATTTCTGCCTTCCGCTTTTCATGGCGTCGTACGCATTGAGTTTCCTACTATCCAAGCTGCCAACTGCATACTGTTTGCCTATGGCATGATGCAAGCGACCGTCGACCAGAATCCGCAATCTTCACATAACTACTGGTTGCTGTGAGACAATCGATGCAGCTGGGATGCCGCTTGTCGTGTCGTCCCACACCAAAGACCCGGCTCTTTCCCCCATGCAATCCAGAAGCTTGGCGCTTGGGCCTTGGTCAACCTTGATGAGCCCCCAGAGCACCCTGTTGCTTACGATTTTCGAGCTTGTTGGCAATACGATACTTCGTACGGAGTCGTCAAATCACGAATAGTATGCGCTGCGAATGGCTACTAATGGCTACCGACCTCAATTGAGAACCCGGAAACCTACTCAAGTCGATGCATTTAGGCTTTGACCAAGTGTTCGAGCTCAGCTCGATATGCAGGCCCGTCACGGCCGTCAGATTATGAGGCCACCCTACCATGCTGGTCTGCCACGACCTTGGAAGAGCATGTTCCTGCTTGAGGCATTGCAACATAGTGCCACGGCAGACAAGGGCATCTGAGGTGATTCGGCCATATACAACCCTGCGAGAACCACAAGGAACCCCCCCTTCAACCCTGGAAAGTGTGGTAGACAGGGGGTCCGTTTTCAGCATCAATCACACAGTGAACACTTGAGAGTCAAGACTTGATTTGGTAGGTCGATAAGCAATGCGATTCCCCTATTATTGATGTCTGCCACCCGACCTGTTGGTCCTAAGCAATGCAATTTCAAGCCCTGTCTCCCAAATCCCTCTTCGAGTCGACTCGACAATGCGCATACAGACGCATCCCGCTCTCAAAGTCGCTCGATCTCCCCCTCTAACCACAGTATCTCTCCATGATACATATCACGACCAAGCGAGAGAGAGAGAGCTTAAACGCCAATCTGTTCCGCCAGCCACGCCACCAAGGGACCACGACCAGACGACGTGGGCGGCGCGACATCTAATCAAATAGGATTTTCGGACTCGAAGCTAGATGCCAAACCTAATAGCTCGCCAAATTAAGAATAAAGCAGCCGGGCGCAAAGGGGGGGGGGTTGCAATTGCCAAAGTCATTTTGGAGTTCCACCACTACCAGCCGCAGGACACGGTCTTCACCAATCACGGAGGCCCATCGCCCGTAGCCCGCGATTCAGACCTTCTTTCGTCAGGGTTCCGAGGCGAAATCATATTCTTTCCATGGTTGAGCACGAGTTGACGAGAATAAAAAAAAATTATTGAACTGAAGAACTGCTACGCATAGGTTGCAGCTCGTGGGACTGAGGAACCAGAAACCCGCCCAGAAAGGCAAGGCAGAGACAACCTTTGCTGCTGCTGCATCATGCTCATGATCAAGTTTGGGGCTGCACATCGCCGTCGACGCTCCTCGCCGCCAAACTCAACCTTCACTGTGCCCTGACCAGCCTTCCTTCGTTACTGCCGTCCTTTGTGCCGTTGCCTGTGTCACGCCTTCCCTCTTGGCGACTTCGGATATTGGCCCGTCGCGACAACTACTGCTTGCGCTTTTTCCATTGCGCGATCCGGTGAGGATTGAGCACTTTCGGATCATCAGAGGCCGAATAACCTGCGACTCGACTTCGAACGAACCATATAGCCGGTGTCTGACTTAGAGAGGCCATTGGACTGGTGTATAATTGTCCTTGCCAGTTTAACGTTCACAGAACACCAGCGAAACGCAACACGGCTAATTGCAGGCGACCTCCAATCGCCTGTTTCATCTGCCGTGCCACTCTGCTGCACTTTAGACCTTACTCTGGCTAAAAGTAACTGTAGCACCAGGCATCTTTTCAGACACGAGTCGGAGCGGTCGTGGAAGCGAAGGTGGAACAACTGCACACGCCGTGTCAAAACTCTGCCAATCCGGCCGACAGCGAGCAGATATGGCCTTGCGGACCGCCCATAAAGCCCCGGCACATGGCAAGTCGGGGTCTACGGGCTCGCTGTCTGGAGTGCTTTATCCGCACCCGGCGTCACCTACCTTGACGAACCCCGACATGATCTTGCCCGACTACGACGACGGCATTTCCTCGCCAGATCGGTCTCAATCGCCGCTCATGATGTGGAAGAATGCTCATTCCGCCGATATGCGCCAGTTCGATCTGGGTGGCCAGCCGTTCCCCTCGGGGCCCATAACTCCCGCGACACCCATCATATACGGAAACGGTACAATGCTGTCCGATATTGGCGAGGTCACCGAGGCGGAGAGTGTACGGCCAATGAAGATGCGAGACGCCGCGCGCAACGGCTACACCCATCATGAGGTCGACATGCGAGCTTCACCAAATGCACTCCCTTACCATACCATCAAGAGACAGGCATCTCGCGACCTAGAGAGGCGCATGTCGATGGAATCAACCAGTACCATCACCAACGGGGACCAATCTGAGCTGTTTGCTGACTTCGACGACGCCGTCAGCGTTGAGGATAGCAACTTCGAAGGCGATGACGAAGAGAGTACGGCCCAATCCTATGTCTATGACGATGCCTCGGTGGCTTCAGCACAATACGAGAGGATACAAACCCCCCAAGAGATACGCAAAGATTTTGTGCCGAGCGAGGAGGACCGATATTCGACAGCGCTCAGTCGGAGAGCAGAGCAGATTCTGGCAAACGCCAAACGGAGGCTGACGGTGAGTGCGGCAGCTATCTATACGCAGCGACAACATGAAACGGCTGACAGTCTGAACAGACCATGGAAGGCAATCTGAGCAGGGCGCGCAGTTCCATCTCCTCTGGGTCCGGATCTACACCCTCGCCAACCATTGGCCGACCAGCAACTGCCATTCATCGGGACCGTGATGTCGATTTCGCCAAACCTCACATGCATACCAGAGTGTCAAGCGAGAACAATATACCCATTGATATCAAACAGGACGCTGCGTTTTCCCAGAGAGCATCAAGTGCGTTGGGTGCCGCAGGCGGTTATCGGCAACCGCTACAGAATTCTCGAAGCGCGGACTATATACGAGATGGCCCTCGAAGCACCAATTACAAGAGCAACTCAATTTATGGCAATGCTGCCTTTGCGAAGAGCAAGCCATCGCTACACGAAAGCATACACACATTGGAGCCGTTGAGCGAAGATGAGGTTCCACCAGGCTTAGACTCGTTCCGCCCAAGTTTGGAAGATACTCGACACGACTCGTTTCTCAGTCCTACATTTGGGTCATACGGCGAGAAAGGCCTGAAAAGGTCGGCATCGACAGCACAGATGAGAGATCTTAAAGACCAGATGAATGACCTCAAGGGGAGGTTATCGACTCTGAGGGACCAAGCCCGCGCTGACAGCATGAAGCGTCGGAGCATGTCAAACCTGCGCACCGCAAGTCCCTTCACGCACGCTCATGCCGAAACTTGGCGCGCTGAAACGAGTAATTCTAGCGAAAACATCTCACCGAAGGGTGGTTCGAGTTCCTGGAGTGGCAAGGAGTTGAGCATAGATGAACGCAGCAACGGCTCGGAAGGTAATAGGAGGATGCGGGAGTCATTGGGCACAGAATCAATGCTGAGCACCGGCTACGCAGAGCCCGAGGAGTACTCACCACGGACGAAACTGACACCTCCTGAATCAAGTTCGCATTCTCCAACTAAAAGCACGACAACGGGTGGCTTGCCCGTAAATGTTGAGGAAGATGACGATGATATGATGACGGAAGACGGATTTCAAGACGTTGAAGATGAGGGGCTGGATCGCTACAGTGACAGTGGCGAGTCATCGTACCATGACTCCGTTCAGAACCAACTATCACACGAAGATCGCGAGGATGCATTCGACTATGAGCATTTCTTCCTACATAGCGCGATGGGTACTTTGAGCCAAAAACGGATGAGAAGGAGAAGCCAAGATAGCTTCAGCTCCGAAGAATCGATTGAAACGACGCGCGGGCCGATCACATCCACTGATGTCCCTGGCTTCAAATCTAATGGGCGGGGACGACGAGGAAGTAATACCTCGACATCAACCATGGATTCTTTCGCGACGGCTACCGAGGGCAGGTCGACAAGAGCAGACGACCCAGACAATGAGGCCGTGGAAACCCCAGAGATTCTATCTTTGGAGACTGTGCCTGAACAGGTTGTGGAAACGTCGGAGTGGTCACAATCATCAAGCCCACCGACAGACAAGCGAGCAACCTTCGGCTTCGCTGAAGATAACACAGATGGGGCCGCGGACTTGGGTCAACACCGTACTTCCGTAATTTATCGACCACAAAGCAGCGCCGCTGTTTTTGTTCATCGGCCTTCGGTTTCTTCACTTGAGTCTACTGGCACAGCCAGGAGTTTCCCTCTGGTGAATCCTCCAAAACCCAATGGTATCATGACCCCTCCTGGCACCTCGCCCGAGGAGAGCTTGAAGCAGATCTCGGAGACAATCATGAGTGAAACTGCGAGCATCTGCGAGAGCGTCCACGGTGACAAGGCACCTATCAACATGCTAGCAACAGAGGACCAGATCCTGGTAGAACGCCTTGTTGCCAGCCTGGGTAGATGTGTGCTCGGCCTGACTGAGAGTGGCCGGGCAAGCATCGAGAGCAGGATGTACAAAAGAAGGATCGACTCAGCACGACGCATTTTAGAAGGGCTGGATCAGCCGGCGTAACCATCAATGTCTAATTCGGCGAACGGAAGTTGTAAGATGAGATTTGCATTCAAGCGAGCGAACCTCGAATAAGGACGACACGTCAGCTTCGAGCACACAAGCGAGACGTTCTCAAGACATCTTCAACTAGAGCGAGCGAGCCCCGTTTTCCCACCAGTAATCAGCAAATGTATAATGAGCACGAGACACGCAAATCTCTCTTGTACGAAACGAGATCGCCTTCAATTACTGCAAAAAGTTCCTTTTTTTTGTTATAATGGGGTTCTTACGGGTCCACAAATTTTTGGTGGAATATTTATTATCTGGGTTAGATATGGATCAACTTTCTCTTCAATACCCTTGGCTGCATTCGCTGAAGAGCCTTGCTTGGCATATCGTGTGTGTATTTACCCTAGGGGCTAAAGCAGGACAAGGCGGAGGCGACCGGAATTTGTGTAGAGAATAGAGCTGTACTCACCCTGCGACTCGGGATGTTTTATTGTGAATGATGATAATCTTGGCAATAAGGCGGTCTTCGAAGATAGGCATCCAGGAACTTACAGGCATAGATAAATGTTACTACTGCGTCCATCTCAGGAAATGGTTCTCCACTTCTACACTTCGTGTGTCGGCTGACAAACATTGATTGCGGTAAAGATCTGGCTAAGGCACCACGATATTACCGCCAAGTTACCACCGAGCTTCTCTTAAGCATAGGAATGGCTCCGGTATGGACATGCACTTGCAGTTAATGGGGATTACAACATTGGGAACGTGAAGGTTCATGGATCCAATATAGGGGATCGCAATGCTCCTGAGTAGGACGACGCGGGTTGGGCAGGCTAAAGAGAGGGCCATTCGTCCGCAGTCACGGCTTTCTAGGTCTGAGCTGTCATGCTGATATAGAGGGAATCACAGCGGAGTATATAAGAGACTTCGAGGTGGTGTTGTGTCGTCTTCACTCTGGTGTTGAAGTTGGAACTCGCCTGGCTAGCAACCCCTCGACCCACCCCCTAAAGGTCCAGTACTTTTTACAGTTCAGATGGCCAAGACGTGGAATATAAAATGTCATGGTGTCGCAAACGCGGCGGTTGTTACAGCTTCCGCGAGCTGCTGGCGATTATTTGGGCTTGCTTATTGTATGCCCCCGTTCCTAACACTGTGCAGCTCAGATGATAGTACCTGGGTTTGTGTATGCCCCACACAGTGCTCTTTCCTCATTCAACGACAAACCAACTAGTGATGACTACTAACTTCTGACTTCGATAGGCAGACATTCCCCATCACCAAGTCATCCAATCAACTCACCGCAACCTCACTGCTTTAATCAAACTCGTGCCTGTTTTCCATCATCAATTTTTCCTTCATGCAGGTGCATTCAACGCCATCGCTCTTTCCTTATAGGCATTTCTTGGAATCATCTAGCCAGGAGTACTGCTCACATCCATCTAACGATGGATGAGCCGTGGCTGCACAATTACATCCCGGCAGGTTGCCTCCGGTTTTCTGCAGACGACAACAACCCCATACCGGCGGCATTCTGGGCTTTGCCCGAAGTCCAAATTTGGAAGTCTTTCACTCTTGACAACGATGCTATTCCTAACGCACTTTCCCTCTCCCAAACGTATCAAGCGGCACTCTTCGGCACTCGGACCCTTCAACCCTTAGAGTGCTTGTTTCGCCATCGCTGGATCCAGCTTCAAGTCAAAGCCGAAGCTCGACTCGTCCGAGTCTACATCTTCCCCCACGATCTGGACAGCCGCGTCATCGATCGCCGAGATGCCAAATTGACTAAGGCTCTGGGTTTGCTCTTGACTCAACTCGACTTTTCGCCAAGCGCATGGGGCGGTTCAAGCAATTCGCCCATTTGGTCCCATCCACTTCCTATTGGCGATGACGGAACTCAAATTGAGGAGGACGAGGATAACTGCTCACTCTTGGAAAGATTCAATAATGTGCCCTCGCCCAATCCACGTTTGGACGCTGTTTCCCGTGATGATGCTACTCTCATGCAGGCTGTCTTAGATAGTCAAATCCCGGGGCTTCAAACCACACTCTACCCGTATCAAAGACGGTCAGCTGCCCTCATGCTTCAACGAGAGCTTCAGCCTGGCCGAATCATTGACCCCAGGCTTCGGGCTGCTTTGGACCAACGAAAGGAACAGTGGTTCTTTGACACCATTACAGGCACCGTCTTCAGAACTCCGCGTTACTATGATGGAGCTCGCGGGGGGATACTTGCCGAAGAGATGGGTACCGGCAAGACCATCATCTGCCTAGCCTTGATTCTTGCCACCAAATTTTGGCCCACAACACCTCCTGAGCCGCTCTCAGTTGACATACCCGTGAGGCGCAAGATGACTAGCCTTGTCGACATGGCTGCTGCCGCTGTCAACCGACATTCGTACCCGTGGAAGCTCTGGGCGGACAGGATCCCGGAGAATTGCATCGGGCCACTGGAATCCCGCGAGAATATTGCATTTTACGAAGTTAGAAATCCCTTGGTCGAAGCACGGAAGGGATCTCGTGTTAAGACAAAACCGCAACCAGCTCGGAAAGTGCATCTCAGCAGCACTACTCTGATCATTGTTCCGCCCAATCTCGTGCAACAATGGCAACACGAAATCAAGAAACACACGACCGGTCTGAAGGTGATTACAATTGAAGAGATGAAGGACCATATTCCGCCAGTATCTATTTTATTGGCGCATGACGTTGTTCTTTTCGCGCACAATCGTTTCGAGAAGATCGAGAGAGAAAGATCTGCCCACTGCCCTCTAGAATATATTCGCTTCAAGCGATGTATCATCGACGAAGGCCACAAGCTTGGCAATGGCTCGGTATGCAAATCTTTGGCGCTTCCCACTTGTTAAGAACAGGGACTGCCAATCTAGCCTCTTTTGGAGCCTCTTTGTCCTTGCGATACGGCCAGGAACCCTGCAGTGGCTGAGCTGCAATTGCTGACCTATTTCGGTAGGGCCAATGGAAAAGCGATTTGATGAAAGTTATCGATAATCTCGAGATAGTGTCGCGCTGGATTGTCACTGGTACGCCGTCGCGAGGTCTCTACGGTGTTGACCAAAAGGTCGGCGAGAATGGCACGAGGCCCAACAGGAGTAGGGAAGGCAATAACTTGGACATTGAAGGCCTACAAGAGCAACAGGACCTGACTCGGATCGGCAACATCGCCTCCAAGTTTCTCAAAATTCGGCCATGGTGCAACACCAGAGAAGAGGTTGGCGACACGGTGGCCGATTGGGCTGTCTATGTGATGCAGCCAAAACACAGCAAAAAGAGTGCCGGTCGCAAGGATTGTCTGAAGACAACGCTCGAATCACTTATTATCCGTCATCGCCTATCCGACGTCAACGCATTGCTTCCGCCAGTGGACGAAAAGATTGTCGTCCTCGACGGTTCCTACCAAGATCGACTCTCCCAGGGTCTTTTCAACATGATGATCATATTCAACTCTGTGCAGTCTCAACGAACGGATCGGGATTTCTTTTTCCATGCAAAGCAACGGAAGAGTCTAATACAACTTGTCAACAACCTAAAGCAGGCAAGCTTCTTTGGAGGCGTGTTCTACTCGAAGGCAGACATTGCCAAGGCATTGGAGACTGCGGAGGGGTTCTTGCAAAAGAAGGAACTTCCCATCAGTTCTGAAGACCACGACTTACTCCGCAACGCCATCGCCTTTGGTGAAGTTGTCGTCAACAATCGTCTCAAGGATGTCAGCAATCAATATCACTCCATGCCGTTATATCTGGAGCACTTTCCTGGGGGTGACCCTGGACAAGCTTGGGCTCTTGATGGGAGAGGCGGTGCCGGTGAACCGATTTTGACTGATGCACACATGGTGTCATCTTTGCAGAAATTTCTCAACCCCTGCATAGACGCGCCGACTTCACTGCAGCTCATGATTGAAAGCGGTCGGTTGCACGTGCAGGGCGAGATAGAAAGGACAGGAGCGCTCAAATCAGCTCTGGAAGAAACTGGAGCGAGCAAGGTAGCCGGTCTGGCAGGTAATACGCCGCTCGGAGAGGATCACCACGCGAAGCCTAAGTCAGGAAGCCTTCCAAGGTCGGCTCCTTACGTTGATGCGGAAGATACAGCTGCGCCATTAACTGACATGGAAATTGCCGAGCCTCTAGCCAAGACTCGGATTATTTCGACAGTGTCTGCCAAGTTGTCATACTTGATTGACTCCATCGTCAAGTACCAGGAAGTTGAACAGATTATCATCTTCTACGAGGTTAGTTTCATCTCTTCAGAATTTGCCTTAAGGCTTGTAAGTAGAAGGATATGAAGACAGTCACGCTCTGCATCGTCTCCTGGCTGCTTCTCTTGCTTTATTCTTGACTATCAGAATGGATGAGCTGCGATGTCATCAACGAACTATATAGTCGTTACGGGATGCGATCCATACCAGAGCGGGCATGGCTCCTTCCTGTTCTGCTGGCATATTGATGCTTGTATTGCCTATATGGTGTACCAAGTACTGAACTAATCTGTCGCAGAATGACAATGTCGCATATTACCTCGCTGGCGTACTCGAGATTCTTCAGATCCAGCATCTGATCTACACGAGAGTCGGCCTCTCCGCCGAGCGACGAGCACAATACGTCGCCACCTTTACTCACAACCAGAAGTTCCGAGTTCTTCTGATGGACATCAGCCAAGCAGGTAAGTGCTCAGTCGGCTTTCGGAAATGCTTGGGAAACACAGCATGCTAAGTTTTGCTCCTTGGTATACCTTGGACCATCTGATCGGTTGTGAAATGCACTTATCACATGCACTGACTTCACCAGCATTCGGTCTTGATATGCGCAGTGCTTCTAGAATCTACTTCATCAGCCCTGTTCTCAACCCACAGGTTGAGGCTCAAGCGATTGGCAGAGCTCGTAGAATCTCGCAGCAGAAACCTGTGACGGTGGAGACTTTGGTGCTGTCTGGATCGATCGAGGAAGTCATCATCGAGCGTCGCAAGACAATGACCCAAGCAGAGCATCGCAAAGTTAAAAGCCTGATCGACGATAAGCCTATTTACGACTGGATCTTGAATGCCAAGACGATTCCGCTCCCAGAATTAGAAGACGGCGTTGCGCAGACGGCTATGTTGAAGACGCCGCAGTTCGTCTTCGGCAGAGGGTTTGGGCGCGAGCTGCATCCGGATGAGGGACTAGTTACGGACAGCCCAGAAGCGAAAGGTAAGAGCAACGAAAAAAGGGTTGATGTCGATTCCATGAGAGACAGACCGATACCATTTGCGCTTATAGGTGTGAAGAGATCTCATACTTCCTCGCCGGTCAATGGAGGCTCCACGACAGAGGGCCGGGCGGCTGTCGAGCTTCCGTCGAAGAAAAAGGCTCGCATTGCCCAGGCAGACGACAAGCCATGACTCATCAAGGGGACAATTCCAGAGGGTGGCGTGCTGGAAGTGAGTGTACCGGGTGATGGCACGGAGACGGAGAACTTATCACAGCACCCACCTTGACTAAAACGTCGAAGGCGTATCAAAACATAGGCGAGCGATTCGGTGATTACTTAGATACCCATAGTTACCATGATTCGCGATGAGACTATCCTGATCACCGACTACCGGCGGATTGCTTGAACGGTATACTTGGTCGCACCAATGTTTCTATGCGTATGCCACATTCGGAAGACGTTCATGTGTCCCGACCTGCTTTAAGTACAGAATAGGATGTGTGCATTTTACACAGCGTGACCTAGTCCATCTAGGCAAAGCCATTCCTTGGATATATACAGATACTACTACGCCAAGACCCGTCACTGGCTTCTCCTCGCAAGACGCCTTCCAACCTGGCCGTCGAGTCCGGGCCATTCTTCTAGCCCGTAACATTGAAGTAGTTAGCCGCAATGGGTACGCTCAAACCAGCGGCCTGGATGAAGTCCTCGACGTTAAAGCCGAGCTTCTGATTCTGAAGCTGCGTGTTGGCGGCCTGGGGGATGACCCAGTTCGCCGGTTGCTCCCACAGAAGGTTGGTGTAGCGATGGGGGTGCGGAGGGTTCTCAGCCCCGGGGGCAGGACCCTTTAGATTTGTATTAGTGTTTAGTTTTTGGTTCATAACTGCCCATGTCTGTCGTTTCTAATGAGACGCATAAGGTGTTGCGGGGGCAAATGTCGATTGTTCTAGTACTGGAACGAAGATGTTGGCTTGAGGAAAGTGTGGAACATACAAACCAAGAGACGGGTCCCGTGGCCGTCGAGCTCAGGGTGTAGATGCCGCTGCTGGTGGTCTGGCCGGTGGCTTTGAAGTCTCGGATGACGGTGTGCAAGTAGGTGCTAGGCTGGCCGGCTTGGGGGTTGGCGAAATTGGTGGAGCTGAGGGGGGCTTGGTTAGGATGCTGGTCGGACATAGGAGGAGGCGATTCCATGGCATAGGGGGCAGAAAACGTACGCATCAATATCTGAACAGTCCGTGATAATTAGCAACGTGCGTGTGCTTGCAAAAGTTGCAGATTACTCTCCGAATGAGTACTTACCCACCATGAGCCAGAGGTAAGTTCCGTTAGGCTGTGTGGCCAAACCGAGTGTTGGCGGCTGCGCCGTGTCTGTAGGCGTCATCAGTAAGGTTGACGAGGGCGTGGAAATGGTATTCTACTCACCGGACTTAGTCAACGCAGTTCCAGGGGTAGCGACATTTTTCGACCCAAAAGTGAGATCCAGACGTGTCGAGACACTGGGTGTAAAGCCAGCTGGTGTCTGGGCCGTGGCAGGTCCTGCGACAAGCAGGGCTGAGAACGCACTGGAAACCTTCATGATGCCTACCTAGTAATGGCCTGTCGAGCAAATGGCTTCCCGGCTGCTGCTACGGTACCTCCAGAACACGGCGGCGCCAGATTTTATATAGCCATGGCCCAGAGTAATGACACCATCGCCACTGTTTCCAAATGGGTTGCAACATCTGTTGATTGGAGTACAGGTCAATATACGGCTCTTCCTTGGGGACCATCCATATTCCATGGCTAAATCGACATTTCCTCATCTGGCCCGGTCGTCTCGACGGCACCGTCAATCATCCGGCTTGGCTCGGTACATGTTTTGCCACCCTGCGCCCCGCAGTTGGAACCCCGGTTGGAACGATGCCGGATGCAGTGGCGGGACTTGTGCAGTATTGCCAGAGGTTGACCGATGTCATACCGGCAGGTCGACGAGCGTCTGTTTCTGTAATGCAGTCCCACCCCAGCATCGTCTTCCCAGGGGGTTCTAATCAACAGGACATAGCGAGCGAGGTTTCGTGTCGTTTCCCCGGACATGTTCAACATGAAAGTTGTCCTCTGAGAATTGTTCTCTAATACGTCCGTAAGTGAGGGACGAATGACGTGTCTCATCCCTCTTGGGTGCTTACTTAGGTATGCTTCATGCATTTGACTTTTTGACAGTGCAATTGTCTATTTTACACCCATCTCAGCTCTGCACTTTCATATCCGTTCCACTGGTACTGTGGTCACTCGACAGATCTATCTGGCTGACTACCTAGCCCCTCTCTCCTCAAGATCTGTATTAGATCACAGGTCTTGCCTGTTCAGCCAATGAGATATCAAGTAACTACATTAGACACGCCTGCCTCCTTCACCCGGCCAGTCATGAAAGCCCCAGTAAGCAATAGGATCGTACTGTTGCTGCCGGTTGCCTCCGTTTCCCTTGGCCTCCTTGGGCGGGGGCTTCTGGGAGTCGCGAGGCTCCGCATGATTGGCAGCGTCATGCAGCCATTGAAGGTCGCCCGCGTTCCCCTTGCCTTGCTCCTTCTTAGGAGGCTTTGGCAAATTGCCGTGCTGGTTTCCGGTCATGGTGAGTAAATCCTTGGTTCGCCTGCAAGTCTGGCATGGCACGGTCTTGTAATGGCACGGTCTTGTAATGGCACGGTCTTGTAATGGCAAGGCCTAGATACAAGCTAAATGGTTCCATATTGATGCAGAGGCCAGGCTCATATATATAGCACCGCTTGCTCCAGCTCCAGCGTAGAAACATGAGTTCTTGGTGAGAAACACCTGGCTGTCTTGAACTAAAGCACTGGCTCCGGTTCTTTGTTTGACACACAAGTGGCCGTTCTCCAGATTACCAGGCATCGCTGCAAGAAAGTACGAACACAATAGCTATTTGAACACACACTCGCCCAATACTAACAAATTTCCCAGACAAAACCACCGAAACGTCCTCTCCGCGAGCAACCATACGCGCACTATGTCAATACAGCCGTGACGTCCCAATATTTCGAATTCGGTGCTGCCCAGACGGAGGTCCCCGAATTACATAATCCAGGATACTCTTCTTTGAGACCAATGGGGAGTGCCATATTCCCATCGTCGTTGATCTTCTACGGTGGCCAGATCGATTCGCAGCTGTGAATGTGTCCCACACAGCCTTTGCTCCCCGGTCGACAATTACGCGCTGTTCGACAGGGGACCACAACAACTACGCCTTCCACAGAAATCACAACCGTAATGTTGACACGGCTGATACAGACCTGACCAGCCAGGATGACGGAGCTCTTCTTTTCACACGTGAGTGATTGTAAGGGTACCTGGCGTGGGGTTTCGACCCAGCCCTTTCACTCCTCGAACTCAGACGCTACAGATAGGAAAATACCTCGTTCGGTCGGCCCCATTGGCCGTGGAATGGGCCTCCTAGGCCTCCCTCATATAACCTGAACACTTTTAAGTGGTACTTTTGCTTGGCGCCACATCGCCACGCTGATTCATTGACCCTGTCGAGGTTGATTTTTCGCCTTGCGCGCCTTGCGAGGCTACAATTGGGTATTTGATCCGATACTTTGTTAGTGTCCGAATCTAGCCAGATCCAATTAGCATTGGAATGCATGGATGCACGAGGTGAGTCTTGATTAATCAGATGGTACTACATTAGTGCAGGCTAGAAACTGTCTTTAGCTGGGAGGCGTGACCCACCCACACCGAGGACTTGGCGTGGCTACTCGTACGGCGACGGCCTGAAGCGGTCGCCCCGTCAGCTTGCGGAAGAAAAACCGCGGACACACACACATATATATATGTGTATATATATGCGCTTATGTGTGTCATCGATCGACGGGGTGAGTATCGAGGCGTTTCTGTCGCTGCTTATTCTCGACATTGCATTTGCACACCACCATTCAGAAGCCGTCATGTCGACGTTGACTGATTCCCACGTGGCGTCGAAAGATGCCCAGGTCCACGGGAGCCCGGGAGGAGGCGCCGTCAAGCGAGAGGACGCCCATGAGGCACCCGTGGGCGACAAGTCTCCGGGTGTGCTCCGTATGGAAGCCCTCTCGTCGGTCATGACGCGGGCCGATCGCATCTTCATCTTCATCGGCGTCTTTCTTGTCGCGTATGCGTACGGCCTCGATGGGACCCTGAGGTATACCTACCAGCCCTATGCGACGGCGTCTTTCGCCAGTCATTCGCTCCTGGCGTCCATCAATGTTCTGCGCGCCGTCATCGCCGCGGCGGCCCAGCCCACCGCCGGCAAAATTGCCGATGTCTTTGGTCGCGTCGAGCTCGTCTGCCTGTCCGTTTTCTTCTATGTCATCGGCACCATTGTCGAGGCCACGGCCACCAACGTGGAGACGTTCGCCGGGGGCGCGGTCCTCTACCAGATTGGGTATACCATGATCATCCTCCTGGTCGAGGTCATCGTTGGCGACATCACCTCCAGTCGGGCCAGGTTGCTGTTCAGCTACATTCCCGCCCTGCCCTTCCTCATCAACACCTGGGTGAGCGGCGACATCGCCGCTGCCGTCCTGAAAGCCACCACGTGGCACTGGGGTGTGGGCATGTGGTGCATCATTTACCCCGTGTGTGCTCTTCCGCTCATCATCAGCTTATCCCTTGTCGGACGACGGGCCCGGAAACAGGGGGCTCTGGACTCGTACACGTCATCTTTTCAACAGTTGGGCTGGCAGAACTTCTCTCGAGACCTGTTCTGGCGGCTCGACGTTATCGGTATCATCCTCATGATCGCGGTTTTCGCCCTCATCCTGGTCCCGCTAACTATCGCCGGCGGCTTCGAATCCCAATGGCGCAGTGCTCATGTCATTGCGCCTCTAGTCGTCGGCATCCTTTGCATCCCCGCTTTTGTCTTGTGGGAGCTCAGAAGCCCCTTTCCGCTTGTCCCTTTCCATCTCATGAAAGACCGAGCAGTCTGGGGACCCATGGGAATCGCCGTTCTCCTCAACTTCTGCTGGTACATGCAAGGCGACTATTTGTATACCGTGCTCATCGTCGCCTTCGACTTCAGCATCATCGACGCCACGCGCATTACCTCGCTCTACTCCTTCGCCAGCGTCCTAGCCGGCTTCCTCCTCGGCTTCATCGTATACAAGGTTCGCCGGCTGCGCATCTTCATCATCGCCGGCACTATGCTCTTCATGGTCGCATTCGGCCTTCTCATCCACTACCGGGGGGCGCCCACCTCATCGGGCCGTTCAGGCGTAATCGGCGCCCAAGTCCTCCTGGGTATCGCGGGCGGCATGTTCCCCTACCCCGCCCAAGCCAGCCTGCAGGTCTCGCTCAAGCACGAGCACCTGGCCGTCATGACCGGCTTGTACCTAGCGACCTATAACATCGGCTCCGCGTTCGGGAACACCGTCTCGGGCGCTATATGGACGCAGGTTCTTCCCTCGGCCCTCGAGACCCGTCTTGCGCCTTTGGGAAATGCTACGCTCGCGTCTTTGACGTATGGCGATCCGTTCACCATTGCGGCCGTGTATCCCCTTGGCACCCCTGAGCGCACGGCGATTGTGGACGCGTTCCAGCATACGCAGAGGCTGCTCACGATCACGGGTATTTGTTTGTGTATCCCGCTCATTGGCTTTGCATTTACGCTGCGGAATCCTAAGTTGAATGACGATCAAAACTTAGTTGAGAAGAGGGAGGAGGGGGTGAGTGGTTTCACCGCGTAGATGTTGTAGGTGAGTGCCAGGAGAGCACCGACTCATAAACAAGTCGAAGACTTTTGGGTGGCCATGTGGGGTAAGTCTTGTATAAGGTGCATAAAGTAAAATAAGTAGTTACTTGATCATGCTATGATCTCATAATAGATAAAACATACAGATAAATGTGTGACAAAGTTGTCTGGTGTTCTGCTCATCGTTGTGCCTAATTGCATCCTTGTCGCCTCGTGATTAACGTTGCTTACGAGAGTACCAAGACCATGTGATGACATCAACGTCTCCTTCCATTTCAGGAAGGTGCCATGCTTTTACCCGACGTCCTAACCTGCGTGTCTTTGCAAGAACCCTGAATGGCATGTCATGCACCACTCACTCGAGAATCGCCAGTTCTGGGCTTGGCTGAATAAAACCCAGCATAACGGATGGACATTCCATGTCAGTGCTCCATGAAGGACCAGGCGTGTTCCGTCAACGGGACTTTTTATGCTCGTAATATGTAGATGTTTGGCTTTTCCTCAACTCGACACTTTGCCGGCTAAGACAAGTACTTTTCGGCAGCTGCTGATACAATCTATCAATGCTAAAGTCAATGCTCATAACTCATGCTTAGGAACCACCAAACCAGCCTCGATGCACGAGAAAACCGCGTGGCCGTGGTGTGTGCCTCAATCCCGTCCCGCGTTCCGTCCCTCTATCTCTCTCCGCCATTTTCCCTCGCCCATGTGGGCACACTGCCCCGGATTTCCCAGTCCCTGAATCAAACTTCGTTGCTGGGGTATTCCACCTTCAACGTCGGCACAAACTCCTCCTTGATGCTCCGCGCACTCACAAACCGACTTAGGAACGTCGCACTACCCGCCTTGTCGTTGGTGCCGCTGGCCCTGGCCCCTCCGAAAGGCTGCTGGCCCACCACGGCACCTGTGCTCTTGCAGTTGACGTAGAAGTTACCCGCCGAGTTTCTCAACGCCTCCTCCGCGAGTCGTATTATCGATCGGTCAGAAGCGAATACGGAGCCCGTCAGCCCGTACTCGCCTGTGCTGTCAACAAGCTTGCATGCGTCCACGAACGCCTGGGCTGCGTCGGCACCGGTGTCATCGTAGACGTGGACGGTCAGCACGGGGCCGAAGAGCTCCGTCGACAGCAGCTTGTGTCGGGGGTTGGTGGTCTGGTAGATGGTCGGTTGGATGAAGAAGCCTCGACTGTCGTCGTACTTGCCTCCAGCGAGCAGCTCCAATTCCGAATCGTTCTTGGCGTCGTCGATGACGCCCGAGAGCTTGTTAAAGCTGCCGGCGTGGATAACAGGGCCAACAAAGTTCTGGTGGTCCCACGGTTCGCCGACCTTGAGTGCCTTGGTGTGCGCAACGAGTTTCTCCTTGAACTGCGGCCACACCGACTTGGAGACGTACACTCTACTAGTGGCGCTGCACTTCTGGCCCTGGTACTCAAATGCACCGCGGACTGTCTGTACGGCGGCGTTGTCAATGTCGGCCGAGCTGTGGATTATATGGAAGTTCTTGCCGCCCGTCTCGCCCACGATGCGAGGGTAGCCCAAGTATCGACCCTCGGCAGTGCCCTCGCCAATCTGGCCGTACAGCTTGCGGAAAACGCCAGTGCTGCCAGTGTAGTGCAGGGCAGTGAATTGCTTGTGCGCCAGGACGGCCTTGGTGACTTCCTCGGGTGGGCCGGGCACAAACTGAATAACGTCTTTGGGAAGTCCTGCCTCGAGGAAGATGTTGTAGAGCAGCCAGCTGGAGGCGATGGCCGAGTCGGACGGCTTCCAGAGGACCACGTTTCCGAGAAGGGCCGGAGTGCCGGCTAGATTAGCCGCGATGGCGGTAAAGTTGAAAGGGGTAACGGCGTAGACAAAGCCCTCGAGCGGTCGGTACTCGACACGGTTCCAGACACCGGTTGCGTTGTGACCGGGCTGTTGGGCATACATCTCCTCGGCAAACTGAACGTTGAAGCGAAGGAAATCGCACAGCTCGGCGGCAGAATCGATCTCGGCTTGCCAGGCATTCTTGCCTTGCCCAACCATGGTGGCCGCCATAATGTCGTAGCGGTACTTGGTGGAAATGAGGTCTGCTGCCTTGAGGAAGACAGCAGCGCGGTCAGCGAACGGGAGAGACTCCCATGCTGGCTTGGCAGCAAGAGCGGCATCAATGGCTGCGTTGACGTCGGCCGGACTGGCAAGAGAGTAGTTGGCTACCACCTGAGAATGATTGGCGGGGTTGAATTGCTTGGATGTTTTGGGAGATCTGATCTGTCGACAGGTGTAAGTGAGCTGCTGCAAGCGTAGGGATCCTTGCAACCATACCTCCCTGCCGCCTACTACCAGGGGCACCTCTAAGGGAACTCTGCTCTGGAGTGTCTCGATGGCGGCCGTGAGGCCCGCCCGTTGTGCCGAGTCCTTGGCATAATGGTGCTACAAATATGTTCAGTATCATCGAACTGGTCTCACACGAGAATGGCAAGATAGCAAGATCGATTGGCTTACATTGGGCTCATTGAGCACCTTGGGTATCTTGAAGGCAGCGAGCGTCGTCATCCTGGAGTCGGTAGTGCTCAAACACCTGACAGCAGGCAGAGACTGGCCATGTCGATAAGAACATCTCGCCCTTGATGAGACGGCCACTCTCGACTGGAATGCTCGTGCCAATTGCAAGCTCGACGTGCTCCTCCTTCCGGCCATCTTGGCGGTAGATGCTGGCAGCGCTTCCTTCCTGGCCGGAGTATGTGCTTTCCACAAAGTGAGACGGAACTGGCTGTGTGGAACCAATTGTGCTGGTGCAAGTTCGAGTATGATCCTGAGCTCGAATTGCCGACTGCTGTCTCTTACCTCACCTCATTGACGTGATGTTCGAGTCGTGCTTTATGGGATTTGGGGTTGCCAGAGCTGCTCGCTTTGTCTCGGCCTAGACGGCCTCGAGAGGGGCTGCGGGGCCTTAATCTGGGGAACTCAATTGAGGGGGCAGCCAATCATGTGCCGTGCAATGCCAGCCGACGCTGTTGTCCCGACCAGCGCCGAGCTCGGGAGACACAGACAGAGCCGTCTCCTTACATCGGAGGCAATGGCGTATTTCAGGACAGAAGTGGAAGTCCGGGGGCCTGGAACTCGATTGCTCCGCAGAAAGCCCGTTGGCCGACCTAAGCATTATCAATCAGACGGACTTGCTGGGATGACGTGATCTTTCAGATGAACTTGCACCGAGTCAAGACGCGACGATACCCGAACTCAATGAAGAAAGACCAGAGAATACAGACGACATCTTGCGTTTGCCAGAGGAGACCAAACATCCGCCGCCCATGCTGCTACAATACAACGAAGGGGCTGCAAACCACCCCGACGCACCTCTCTTTTTCTCGTCTATCCTACCTGGTAACACGACACTACTCGCTGCGCCCCATCTGCGATGATTAGTGGGTGACAAACCCGGGTATGAAATGTGAAAGGCCCAACTTCCTGTTTTCTTTCTGCTCCCCTCGGCCGAGTTTTAACTTTCCCAGGCTTCATATGCGCGCATGTGATCGCTATCCTGACTCCCGCATCTGCTCTGAACCCGAACGAATGGAAAACCGAAACTCCGCTTGCCCCCAGGATATCCTACATCTTCAAGAAGTTCCTACACGACGCATCCAACCCCAGCACTACTGGCCCGCCTCTGACGCTGAGGCATTCGTGCTAGGCTGGGTTCCCGGCCTGCTGCCGTGAAGGCGGATGTGGTGGTGCTCATTGCTTCCATACTTGCCAGCCTCGTAGTAGAGCGCCGGGATGTTCAGCCCGTAAGGTTCCGTCTTGCCCTCCCGGTCATGCTGATCAACCTCGACATTGATGCAGCAATCCAATGAGCCATCATTACCTTTGCCGTGCGTTGCAGGTATGGCGGCTTTGTGCTTCGTGCCCGCGTTCTTCTCCCCACTATGGAGGAATGAGTGTCCGTCGTTGCCGTCGAACTCGTTCGTGGCCACTTCGCCGTCCCCACCTCGGGGACCATTGACACCCGCCGCATGGTTGTTGGGCGAGTTTTCTGTAATCATGGCGTAGTTTCGGCTTGGCATGGTGACGTGATTCGAAGCAACTGTCTTGTTGGAATCACCGGGGTCTTTGTCGAAGAGGTTCATGAGCGTCTCATCCGTATCATGATTGAGATGATGGATTTTGTTTCTCTTTGCGAGCAAGTTGGCAATCGCCGCCGGAGGTGGCTTGTTCACGATGGCTGAGGACACAACGTTGACCATGTAGCGATGATCTTCGGCCGCGGGGATGTGCAGATTAGGATTGGAGTAGAATCTCCCAAGTGCCGCCAGGTGCACGTCTCCTCCCAGGATGGTGATGCGGACGGAGAACTCGGCGCAGATCTGCTGCAAGCGTTCGACCATAGTATTGCGTTCTTTCTTGTGTGTTCTAGCCGTGTAATGGTCGTCCAGGTCGTCGAGCAGATCCACGCTTCCATCAAAGTGGTTGAAAACACCACCCCCTGATGCCAATGTTAGAAAGTGTCCCCGCCCGTTTACTGAATCATGTCGTCTTACCAAATCCAAATCGCCGATTCAAGAACTTGATGGGGGCGATCAGAGGACTCGAGAAGACGTTTTCGAGCCATGTGAGACGCTATACTCGGTTAGTAGAGGACCTCCAAGGGCAATATTTATATCTCACCGGATAGGCAATAGGGATGCCCAGGAGAAAGATCATGTGGGTGAACGGAGTTCCTGCCGCAGCCGCAGAGCCAAGTTCATGTCGCAGCCGCTCGAAGATCAAATCGTATGTCTCCGGGTAGTTGACCTGGTGTCGAGTCCGCTCAGTACGTGCGTCGAGGCCGAGGAATGCGATCCTGGCACCCAACCTGGCAAACATGTTCATCGAGCGCTCGGCAACGTAAGGACCGGGTCGGCTACCCATAATATAACTGGGCTCGGTCTCAAAAGTTTGCTCCGCCACATAAGTGTCCCTGAGCTGGTACTTATCCTCGCCAGGGCCCGCTTCCATGGTTTGAGGCGCGTCACTGGTGTAAGTCGATGCTGGAGGAGCCAGGTGGTGCTGGAAGAGGAGGTAGTACTTGTGGGCGGTGCCGCCAATACCACGGAATACATCACATTTCATGAACTCGTTGACGTACGAGCCGAAGCCGTCGATAATGTCGTGATCGTCCCAAATGTTCAGCTGGGGTATTTGTCCGTTGGCAGTTGCGAACGGCTCTGTCGAATACCACCGTATGTAGTTCTTCAGATAATAGTCATCGCATTCTTGTCGCAGTGTTTCGCCGAAGGCATAGTCGCGCCTCTTCTTGGGGTTGCCGATGTCTGTCCATGGGCGCAGAGGACCGTCGACCCGAATGCCGTCGTTGTAAATCTGGTCGCCTCCCCCAAGCATTACGTGGAAAGGTGTCAGGCCGTGACGCCTCACAACATCGTTCCACAGGGCTGGACCACTCCAAGCCTCCTCTGTCCGGATCTCGGTGTCAGTAGTTACTACTCTCTCGTTCTGTTTTTCGGGGGGAGGGTCAGGTCGTGTCCCCGAGGAGTGGAGACTGGCGGCCTCTACGGATTTTACCACCCCTGAGATATAAGGAGGGAAAAGGACTCTGAAAGCTGCTCACCGTCTGTGCCAACGCTAAATCCGTTGCAAGAATGAAACATAATCCGCATCGACTCGTTTATGGCAGGGACGAAGAAGTAGTTTATCTTGGGCTTGGTAGCGCTCTGGTACCGAACCTCGGTGATGGAGTACGCCCACTTCGTCTCGACCGCGAGGACGTCGCATGTCAGCGGGAAGACCCAAAAGGTATTCCTGGGGTCCGAGTAGAGACAGGTCCCGGTTATGCCGATGCCGTGATCGCTCTTGATGGCAGCGTCAGGGCCCATCGACTGGTTCACTTCGGCGCCGTTGGCATGGAAACCTTCTCCCTGTAGCCCTTGTTCTGCGTCCTGGCTCACCTCGACGCGCCCAAGGTTCAATACGGGCTGGAAAGGCTGCGTTTTGCCTCCACCCTTAGTAACGATCAAGACACTGCCGTGCCAGACGTTTCCCTCCATGCGCCGGTAGTTTAGCAGAGGGCCGCAAACAACCTCTTTCCCATCATCGACCGCGAAAGCAGGTGCGCCGCCGACCACGATGGGCTTGAAGTTGCCGGTGCCATTGGTCGCGGGCCCGTCGCTTTCGACTCTCGTGGAGTTGAGAAAGTTGGTGAGGTCCTTCGTGTTTGTGCTGGCGGTATGCGCATCCCGGGGGGCGACATGCCGGGCGAAACTCGAAGATTCTTGATGGCGCCATGGGCTGGCAGATCGGCCAGGGTTCGGCACGTCGACAGTTGCGAGATGGTCCCGGTCGGATGCCATGATTACTTTCGGGGTCCGGTGTGCTAGGCTGTGAGAATGGGAATTAGAGGGATGCAATGGTCGTCGTCCTGGCACTCTTGCGCTTTACAACTGTTGCGCAATGTCTTACTGGCCGTGGCTGAAGGCGCAGGATGACGCGCCGTCGGTGGGCTGCCTCTTGACGCCTTTGCGACTTTGCGACCACTGAAAACGGGAACGGTTGGTTGGTTGATTGGTTGGCGGGTTTGTATGTAAGGTATGATGTATGACGCGCAGAACGGATGGTCTCGAGTCCACGAGTTGGGATGAACGGGAATTATGAGGGCGACGCGTTTGTTTCAACGTCCCAGTGTATTAAAATCAGGGAAATAGCGTATGCCAAGACTGACGACGGCTACGCAGATTGCGACAATATGGCTGTAATTGGATTGGGCAGAAGAAGGTGCTACCGTAGTGCACATAAGTCAAGAATGGACGTTGTATTAGATGCCTGCGTGACCAATGCCCTGGAAACTAACGAGGGGAGGACAGACTGTGAGCTGTCCCCTCAAATCCCACGATCAACGTGGGCAATGAAGTTGTTGTTGCTCGTTTATTGCTCCATTCTTACAGCTCAAGTTCCACCCAGGGACCAGAGTGGGATTGAGGGTCAGAGCTTCCCTGTCAGCTCAAAATAAGACAGGGATGGCGATCGCCTCGGAAATGCAGCCAGTAAGCAATCTTTATTTTCAAGCATCCTGGAAATCGGCCTGCATCATGCCGCATCGCATTGAGAACTCCGGGAGTAATTCTGAAGAGGTTGGAAAAGATACATCTCGAGCAGAAATTGGACCTTCAAAACAAGAACATTCAAGTTTCGAAAATCGCTGGTCTTAACATGGCATCTGGATCCCTGTTGGAATTAAACACCGATCCTTATGATGTGGCCCAAGGTTGGCTCCAGCTCACCAGGGGCAAACCATGGATCTACTTGACTGTTGGGAAATGGCGTACGAAACTGCCAAGACGGCTTCGCGGCAACGTAGATAATCTTCCTGTACCATATGTTTCTGGTGTGCTGAACGCTCAGTTTTCATACAGCTGGAACAACAGGACAACCTGACTGAATTGGTCTGAAAAAGTCAATCTGGAAGCTTTTGGATCTATAAGCCATTGCAGTAAGATAGTACTCGGGTCAATACGTGACCTCGGTACTTGTACGAGTAGCTCTGCGGGTTCCTTAGTAGAACCGTAAAACTTGATTGATTAAAAAAAATATTACTATATCGAGAAAACTCGGGAAGAAATCATCCTTAAGGGTACTATCGGATTCCAAGTATTAGGAGTGTAGTGGTACTACGAAGGTATGTAAGGGACTAATCCTAAGTTAGCCTCGAGGGATCCCTAAATACTATAATCCGTGCCCCTCTATACCTAAGGCTACCGCTTCCTATAAATACCATATTATCATGTATGTGGGATTGAGCGCCACAGTTACGCCCTAGACCGAAAGCGGTGCAGTTGCTAGTGTAGATAGCGGGTCCTACCCTTTCTTCCTACACAGAGAGCAAGAGCACTTTACAAATCCTGTGAAGACCAACCTACGCAGCACAACGCGCAGAGCAGGCATAGGGATCAATGCAAAATCATCCAGAGTTATCAACTTAGAGGGTTGGTTCCCTTAATACAAGGTTAAGCGTTACTTAAAAGGCCTGATTCGGCTAGACTTAATCGCATGGTGTTTATTTATACTTTGAGTAGACGTATGGACCTTCATATATAACCTTATCTTCCGTATTAGGCTTGCGTATTATCCGACACTTGATAGCTCATCATAAAATACTTTGGCTATATTATCTGTACACAAGTCTGTACAACGTGCGGCTTCACCGAATCTGACCTTGACTTACCAGATGCTGGGCGGTATCATGACCCTAGCAGGCCAGCAGGAGCTGGATAAGCAATATGCGGATTACCACCAGGGCACAGTTCACAACAACACTGATATTCTTCGGCATCGGAACGATGTCGACTAGCAACTCAACATTCCGGACCTAATGCACAAGGTCAGTTTCATATATAAGCTCTTTATACAACGCTCCCGTGTATCGCACACGTCTAGTATCAAAATACGGGAAACCTGGCCCTCCTCCAAGCGGCTACCAGCATACCACACCTTGGTTTAATAGAGTTGTGAAACACGAGCATTCGACGGCTCGTTAAGACCCGAATGGCCTCGGATGCTCCTTGAGCCCGATAACTTTATCCATAATATCCGGCGTATCCGGTTTCGGTTTCTGCCGGTGGTCCATGGCCTTATCCAGCACGCCCATAGTCTTTAGCTTCTCGGCCCTGACCCTAGCCTTTTCGTCCATATGCCTCTTTACCATCTCGATGCCCACGCCCCCAGCCAGCATCCCGCCCAAATGGGACGGGAGGTCCAGCTTTGCCGCCCTAGCGCTCTTGGAGAACAAGCCGAAAATGTGCACACCTACGAGCACGGCGAGAAAGGCCAGGCCCTGGGGCGCTTGCATGGGGTCGGGTGGCAAGCCAAAGATCTTGAACTCGTCGTATTTATGCATCCAGAAGTAAGCGACTATCAACCCATAGACCGCACCTGATGCGCCAAGCGTCGTGAATTCGAGGCCGCGTATGAGCACCAGGTGGCTCACACTGGCCAGGAAACCCACCGCGCCCGATGCGAAGTATAGTGCTAGGAAATTGCCACGACCGATCTCATCGTGGAGCCGAATGCCGAAGAAAAAGAGTGCTATCATATTGCCCGTAAGGTGGCCGAATCCGTGGTGTGAGAATATGGCGCCGACGAGCTGCAGTGGCCGCGGGGTTGCTGCCACTACCATCATATATCGGTTGAAAACTGCCCAGGCTGGCGGGAACTTCCACAGCATCCAGATGGACATGTTCATCATTATCAGACCCAGACATGTTGCTGCAGCAGGCGGGATTTCAGGCCATACCCTCCAGTCGCGTTGAGGAGGCTTGTACATGACGGCAAAGGCGGCACAGCCCCCGAGGATCAAGGCCGTCATGGCGACCATGGGGAGCAGTCGTTCCCAGACCTTCATCTCAGGCGGTGCCTGGAGGTCAGAAGTAGCGCGCTCAGTGTGCTTCTGCCGCCAAGGGCTAACGGCCCGGGGCTGCGCCTGATCCGTCTGTAATGTTCCGATATTGCCCAAGGCCTCATCATGCTCACGCTTTATCCTTTCCTCTTCCTGGCGCTTTTCTTCTGCTTCACGCAGGGCGATGTTGCGCTTGCGGATGCGATCAAAGGTACTCTCACCATAAGGCGAGTCGCTCTGGGGCTTCCTCGGCAGCTTTCCAGGTGCTGTCGCTATTTCCGGCTCTGGTTCAGACTTAGTCTCAGAAAACGGCGTTTGTGGCGTGGTCGGCTCGGGTTCGGGCTCCAGCTTGGGCTCTGGTTCAGCAGGCAACGTTTGCGAGCTGGTCTCCTCGAACTGTTCCTCGGCATCTTGTAGCTCATTCTCCTGTTCCTCGATGAGACGAAGCTCATCTTCAGCTCGTAGACCAGCGTTGATGACCTCATCGACTGGGATATTTTTGCGCAAATATTCCAAAGCCTTGATCTTGTCGGCGGTACTGTAGTGAGACGTGTTTTGTTGAAGGTCGGGGTCGTCTAGAGAACCAGCTACTCGCCGGCCATGTATGATCTTTAAGAGCCTGTTTGCGTCCCGCGCCGAGATATGCGGTCCAAAAATGGCATTTACTTCGCGCTGGCTGAGGTCTTCTTTCCGGAATTCCAGTCCGTCAGCGTCCTCGTAGGTATCATGTAGATCCGTGTAATGCAAAATGGCGCGAAACGTGTACTTTCCGGGTTGCATGAGTTTGCCCAGAGTTCGAGTTTGGGTTCGAGGCCATAGCTTATAGCATCGTAATTTAGAATCTTTCAGCCTCCTTGTCGGGCTGGAAGCCCCAAAAAGAGAATATTCATAGCATGATTGCGAGAGGATATTTCCCGTCGTCCTCGAAAATGTTCGAATCGCCGCGCCGCAAAGGAGTCGTTCGGGGTGACGTCGACGTCGAGAGAAGGCTCGGATGCCAATCTGGAAGCTGGAGGCGGGCGCAAAGGAAGAAAGGACGTTCATCGTCCTCAATTTAGACACTTGTGACCCAGTGTCTTTGGATTTTCAACGTCCATTGGCGCGTGATAACGCGGCGAAGCGAGTCTCGTAGAAAGAATTATCTCGTCAGCTTCGTGCAATGTTTCATCCTGTCAACCATTAAGAGCCGTTGGGAATTTTTGCTGACCGGGAATCAAAGCCACCGGGTGGTGAGGCATGGCAGCTCGGCATTTCGGGGTCTTGCTTAGAGCTACCGGGTAACTTCGGAGATAAGCAGTAAGCATGCTTTACTAGGAGATCCTGAAGCAGGTCTGCCGAGTAAACCGTGATCACAATGATTGAAGTACCCAATCATTCACGACTGGTACTTGGAATTTGTGACGGCTTCTGTACCAGTATGCACTCGTGTTGGCGGAATCTCCAAATGCCTTAACCATACGCCAACTTGTGTCGATGGTCGACAATCTTCAAGATTGAGCTAGATGTGACGATCAGTGGCTTGAGGTCAATGACGTCGCCGGTTCAAAGTCAAACCGTCATCACAGCTACTAAGACGCTATATACCTACGGGGACACATAATATACTGAAGACTGTTGTGAAATATTCAAGTTGGGTTCGATTGCATTCATTGTGGGTTTTCAACAGCATCACGTCGCCTAATGGCTCAGAACTCCTTCGACCGCGATATTGAAAGAGACAGCGCCGAACCGATGGCTTCAAATGATAATTCTACCTGTGCTGGACGCAAGCGTGTGCTTGTCGTGGGAGCTGGTGCCGCTGGGTAAAAAGACATTTGGCTGTCAGAAAATACTATTTGCTAACCACTTACTGTAGTATGTCCACGGCGTATCACCTCTCGCAGCATCGCGACAAATTTGATGTGACCGTTATTGATGCGGTAGACTATTGCGGCGGGCAGGCATTTTCTATCCCCTTGGATAAGGACCGATATGGTGCATCGTGGTGCAATCAAGGTGTTCAGGGTGGCTCCTACATCTTCCATCACACGTTGACTATGTTCCAACGGCAGGGTTTCCGTGCCGACCCTGTCGAACTTCAAGTATCGTTTGGCATGGGCGACACCTTCTGGTCAAACGTCTTCCCAACTGTACTTCTCGTCCGCCATCAGAAAGAGGTGAAGCGGCTTGCCTCGGTACTTAAGTTGATGCGCTGGTTCGAGGTGTTCTTTGCGCTGCTCCCCCTCCGCCTCGTCTTCAAGCTGTTTCTTTTCTCGGATGACTTCATCAATACCATCGCTCTTCCCATGACGGCGCTCTTCCTTGGTACTGGCAATGCAACCCCTGAGGTTCCTGCCATCATGTTTGAACGGTTGTGCACGTCACCTACCTACGGCATGTGGTATCCATCAGACAAAAATTCCGTGGTGCACAATAAACCACCGATGGTCGTCTTTCCAAACTTCACCGAGTTTTACAATACTTGGAAGATGGATCTTATTTCTCGTGGCGTCACCGTGAGACTCTCCACAGAGTTGACTGAAATTGTCCAACGAGGAAAAAAGGGAGTCGTCGTCAGACTTAAGGCTCGTACACCCGCGCCCGATGGACATAATCCCAATGATGGTGATCAGGAAGTTCCACCCGGCGAGGAGGTTTTTGATGAGATAGTGCTTTGTTGCCTCGCAGACACGGCCAAAAGAGTCCTCGGTAGAACGGCAAGCTGGAAGGAGAAAAAGGTGCTCGGCTCTGCGAAATTCAGTGATGATATCACCATCACGCATAACGATTCGGAGTATATGCAGAAACATTACGAGAATTTCTACCGCGAAGACCTTGCTGTTACCAATACTAACGGTGTTGACCAAACATCCCGCCTCAACTTCGCCATGGACAGCTTCCGACCTATGTATTACATCAAGATGTACCAGGACGACAAATCTAAGCTGGAGATGTGTTTCGATACCACCAACTATCAAAGTCAATTTCCCGAAAAAGTACCGTTTGAGCAGCATGTCTTCCAGACGATCTACCTCAACAAGGGCCGAGACGGCAAGTTGTGGACCGACAACGAGATCAAAGAAGACAAAATCATTAGGAAGGATTGGTGGCACCAGTTATGCCACAGCTACACGCACTATCTATTCGTTATCCCCTTCATGATGTTTCTCCAAGCCAAAAACCACACTCGGTTTGCCGCTTCGTGGACACTGGTCAATGCACACGAGGTTGCCGTCATGTCAGGTATTGCAGCTGCCGTCGATCTCGGCGCGGAGTATCCTGAGGATCTCGAGCATGACAAGTTTGCTTTGCTGTGCTTCAGACTGTACTATTTGCTTGCATACGGAAAGTGGTATAAACGCAGATATACCAAGGGCAAGGGAGCTTCTTTGAGCCAGAGCGCAAAGGAGGGTTCAAGCTGGGCATCGGGCTTGTATGGCAGTGTCTACAAAGGCCCGGGCGTCTCCACGATGGAGAGACAAACTTGGAGAGAGGAAATCAAGAAAGGGAATAGCACTGAGAACCTTGCAGAGAAGAATGCACCTGGGCGAAGCCAGCCGTAATCGTCAAGTGTCGACAACCATCAAATGATATGTGTACAATGGAGTGGTATTCAATATCATACGAGGATTTTCCAGAAATGGAAATACGGGTGTCATATTAGCCAATCATATCAGGGAAGATCGTCGGCGGCAACTGCTTAACGAGGTTTAGCTTCGGGTCACGTCTAGCCTGGACCAGTTTATCGCGAGTTACAGTCAGGCTCCAAAAGTCTGGGGACACTCCACTTTTACTACAGCGCTCTTTAGGGGACTGGGATTTTAATATGGCTATGTCTCTATGAATATATAGGCTACAGGTATTAAAATAGAGTCATTTCGAAGCTTATAACCCTTAGATTAATATTTTGTTACCTCTATCTTAGTGCCCGGGCTGCTAAGTTTGAAGAACGGCTACGGCTTAGCGGGAAGAGAAATCTGCTTCGCAGCGCGAGCGCTAAAGCGTCACATATACTCCGGCAGGGTACACTATGGAGAAGGAGGCCCGGGGCTCCGAGTGGATGAGTGAGGAAAAGGAGGTCCCGGCTGCCCTCCTCGGCCACTGGAGGAAGAGATGGCTCACCGGAGCAGAGCATCACGATCGCCAGCGACGCGCTATCGCTGAGGAACCGGAGGGCCCTTCGATGCAGATACCGAAAGGGGGCAGGTATTTCGGCCTGAACCGACTGGAGGCGTCTACGCTGTGCCAGATCAGGACGGAAAAAATAGGACTAGCAGCCTTCTTATTCAAGACAGGGGCTTTTGGCGTGTACTCGCCGCTATGCCGCTGTGGCGACGCCCCTGAGACGGCAGAGCACGTAATCCTCTTTTACGGGCTGTCGGAAGGACCGAGGGAACGATTACGGGCCGCCATCGCACCACGGCCACTATACTCTCGCAGAGACCTTGCAACGGCAACAGGAGAACCAGTAGTTAGTGGGACTATTGTAAGGTGGCTGCTAGGGACGGGTCGGACAGCTTCAAGGCCCAGATAGCATCGATCTTCTCAGGGGGGACTTTGTTGGTAGGTTGAGAACCAACGTAGTATGGTAGTGGACGCAACGCAGTCGCCAATAGGGCGAACCGACGACGCAGCGTATGTATTTAGTCCAGCCATTAGGGCACGGTTTGACATACGGGAGTACTAGTAGAGGTACCGGGGGCTTCGAGCCTACGGCGTATTTAATAATAATAATAATATTTTGTATACCAGCCGCGGGATTTAATAATAACGCGGAGCCGATGCTCTAGAGTGTCGTATAGCTTCTTAATCAGCGCTGCCGGTACTGCCTTCCACGCTAACTGCAGCGCAGCTTTAAATTTCTCAATATCCAGCTAGTTGTTTTTAGGATAAAGAGTTCAGGGCATTCCCTAGATAGATACCTCTTTAACCAGGCCCATACGTGCTCTATAGGGTTGAGATCTGGGGAATGCGCTGGCCAGTCTATTAGAGAAATAGCGTGCCGGCCGAACCACTCCATAGCTTGCGCCGAGAGGTGTATCTTCGCATTATCTTGCTGAAAATGCTGCCAATCCTTTATAAGTCCAATTTCGATTACGCTTGCATAATTGAACGAGGAAACGCTTACCCCGACGTGAAAATCTAGGGCGACGACCGCTTCGAGCTAGCGAATCGAAATTATGGCGAGATTTCCAGGACACCAGGGATTTCGTGACGGTCGATCGGTGTACGTTAAAGAGGCTAGCCACGGTAGTCTGCGGGATACCGCACATAACTGCCGTTACCATGGCCGCCCGTTGGACTTGAGTATACTCACAGCCAGGCCGATGATCAGTCATTACTTGCTGCGCAAATTCGGTGAGATTCGGCCTCATTTTGATATAATTGTGGTGATTAAAATGTTAGAGGGTGTAGGTGCGAAGTGCGCGAATTTTCGCGTTGGCGTAAAGTGTCCCCAGAGTTGTGGAGCCTGACTGTACCTGATCATCCTGTCGTTTGAGAATTTTTTTGAATATCTAATGCTTTTTCTAATCTAGATCTCGTTATAGTTCTATCAAAATTCATTATCACGATGATGTCGATAAACCACTCCGCTCAAAGATACTATTGCTCGCAACTGGCAAAGCTTCTACCACGTTGGTTCTATGTTTCTACTTGATCGTAGACTTTTTCTTGCCTTTTAGTCACTAATCCCAGCGAGTTGTACCGTTTCACTCCTCTTGGTTTTGGTACGGACCGAACCGCTTTAACCGCGAGCTCGCCCCATACCAGGCCTATGTTGTTTCCTCGCGCATCCTAGCCTGAGATGAGAGGGGTTTATTTTCCGAAGCTCGACATAAAGCTACCGACCGAAGCGGAAGTTTTGGGCGGGCTAGGAGCGACTTGAGGGATGAGAGGTTGCAGAAAGTGGAGTATGCTACTATGGTTTCTAAGTATGTATTTACATTCGGTAGGAGGAGGAAGATGCCTTTCGTGACGTTTTGTTGATTGTATAAGAACAGCGGAAGAGCGTGGATCAAAGTATGGGCGGTGGTGATTTCATGAGCATGGAGGAGGTCGAGGCTATTGGGCATGATTTTCAATATGTGAGAGAATGTATGCTATGGGTTTTATGCGATATGAAGTTCCATGATCTGCGCCTCTAGACAACCTGATGGCAGCCAGCGAGTGGGAAGAGGTCACATGCAGCCCGCAAGCTCGTTTCTGTCTCTCGCCAAGTGTAGCACCCGTCGATATCAACTCGCCTCCACGATGGATGGTAACGATCATTCTTGTGTATAATCGATAAGATATCCTTTGGATTCTCCTTGTTAGCTTCAGCTGTTTACTTTCATACATCCAAGCGTGTACTAAGAGCTAGTGATCACGAAGGCCCCGGCAAGATACCATTTGGGCGATTCAGGTTCAACAATGCCGAAACTGTACCTACCATTCGTAGCATCCAAACTATCGCTCTTGGCTATATTGACTGTCTAATTTCACTACAGTATGACGTTGTGGGATTGATTACAATGGGGCAAGCTTGTGAAACAATAATGTTTCGGGCAACGGACGGGCAACAGAATACTTCGAGAAGAATAAGTAATACTGTTGGCGGGAACCTGCACCATGGGCGATCTCAGTCACCGAATCACATGGAAATAAACAACGATATGAATCTGAACCTTGAAGTTAGCCTCAACATGAGCATTTCAGCATTCGCCAATTCAGTCATGAATCCACAGTGCATCAACCCGGTTCTGAGTCGGAATAACTCGTGCTGGGGTTGGTGGAAATCATCATCAGCAGGTGGCAGTGAGCGACAACAGTAGAGCCCGAAGAATGGTGACGGTAGTCATGAGGGCATCAATGCGAGGGAGTGGCGAAAGATGACACCAATGCATTTGTGTGTCGAGCTCGAGCGGCTAGAGATCCTGCAGATATTACTAGATTACGGGCTAACGCCAACATCGGCCGTAACTAAATAGGGGTTGGTACCAAACCATCGACGAGTCCTAGTAGACTTACAAGAGACTCTACTCTGATTATTAGCCTTAGTAAGCATATAAGCTTACATATTGAAGAGTGACACTAAGTATTTTCTAGCTTGATGAAAACTAAGTTGCCTAACTGTATTATCAGATACGTGGAGTCTGAAATATTTGGCCCTAAGTTAGCGTAAACAACGCAAGTGAAGGCAACGAGATCTCGCACCAATGCGATAGACATATTCAATGGTCTTTGCCACTTTCTCCTAAACATATTTGCCGTAGATATCTCCTCCGATCAAGCTAGTAGCATTTGCCTGGTCGATGTCACACATGAAGGATGAATCAGTACAACGCGGCCGTCTCAAGAATTTCTTACGTGCACGTTGGACTCACCTAATACATTATTAGCTTGGAACTACTCCTTCTGGACTCCCAATATTGCCTGGCGCATAGCCTCGATGCATGTGTTGTATTTGCTTGCGTGTCGTGCTAGAATCGTTGACCTCAAAATGCTGACGACGATTCAAGGTCAAACTCCATCTGAAAGACCATCCTTGAACGACCAAATCCCAGCAAGAATCCGCGAAGAGAATGAGGCTCTTTGATTGATCCTGGCAACCACCACTTTGGTTCTATTTGTCCCCCACCCACCCAGACTTCCGATTTAGCGGCAAGCGGGCTAGCTTCCCGCTTGATCTCTTGGCCATCGAGACTGCCAGGCTTGTGCTGGCTTTGCATGACAAATATCTTCGATTCGTATTGGAGCACCACTGGTCTGCTTTCATGATGTCCACTCTTACTTTTCAGTCGCAAGACTTATTGGATGCGATTTAAGCCGAAGACGTGTTTGTATTGCCTAGGGGAATGGAGCTTGTGGTGTAGGGGCAGGAGCTCTCGGGCACTTACCCCACCAATTGTTAAAACACTGCGATACTTCTCTGGCCAGACCCATTTTATCAGATCAAAGCTGATCTGTGAGCGACCTCGAAATTGGACCGCCAGTGTTATGCAAGTTCGTGCAACATGGAGAGTCGATATATGACACACGCGGACTGTCGACTAACGAGATGTCGTCCCTCGCTGGCTCCCGTACGTTCGCAAGAAGCCTGGCAATCTGGGAAGCCGGGCCAACGCCTTGGCATTCTTTGATGCGCCCATTGGATATCACCTCACAGAAACTCAAACGATGCAGATGCTCCGCCCCATAACAGAGACACAATAGACTATGACTATGCTGGAACGACAATGCAAAGCAAGGCAAAGCAAGGCAAAGCCTTCGGGTCTGCATATGCTCAACCTGGTATTGTATGCAACCTGTGCCTACTCAACCAGACATGTGGTAGAATGTGACCAAGATGTACATACGGGTCTCCATGTCGAGGTCACATAAAGGCAAGCTCCAAACGCAGTCCCGTCTGGGCCTAGAAGCCATGGACTTCATAGTCGGAGTGGTCGACAAATGGCAGTGCTGAGCGAGCTGCTGAAAACATTCGAGCCCAAGCCTGCCCATCAAAGCGGCTTGCTGCGCAAAACAAAAGACACACACAAACGGCTACATCTAAGCTGCATCTGTGCACTGATCGAGGAGATATAACCCCGCCGTGGCCCTGCCTGCCTCGCTGTTTTGACCGCCGGGACTTGAGTTTCATTCTTTGCACCATCGCCTCTTGCGGAGGCTTTACGAACCACGAGCCGACGGCCAGTATCCCAAAGAGGCCGTCTTCAATCAGCAGCCAAGGCTTCATCCCACGAACCAACAACGCCGAATCTCAAGGCACAGATGAAGGGACTGCTGCGAAAGCTAATCCGTCATTTCGCTGCAGGTCGACGTTCCAGAAAACTCGTGTAGCCGGTCGATTTCCCCCTCGACAGTCCTCCAATATTAAATGGCAATGTCGGGTCACTCATCGGGGGCAAAACTGCAGCGACGCTCTGGATACAACCCCAATAGAAAGCCTGCGCATCCGAACCGAGCCTCGTTGCCTCTGAACCCACTCAAATCGCATCCGGTCATCCACGAGCGCGGCAGTGACGCTGACGGCGCAGATGCTAATTTTACGTCCCAGTGAGTCCTTCTTAGTATTCGTGCAATCGCCGTGTGGCTGCATGTTGGAGGGGTCAGCTGCATCCAAACCGAACTGCCCTTCCACATCCGCTTCTTCTCTTTTTGAGTTTGTCGGATGAGTTGTATTTTGTTGAAATTTCAATGTCTTGCTATGACATTCCGGACGAGACCCGCCTACAAAAAACCCAGAATGGCGTCATTTCCACTTGTCTTCAGGGTTCCCCAGCGGTTCGGCAGCGTTGTTGCTACATTCGTCTCCAGTGGATACGAGGCAACGACTGATTGGGAAAGGGGGGGCCACATCATTTCCACAGCTAGGCGTGGCGCGTATCTCTGGATGCGCTACGGAGACAGCTTCACGCTAGCAGCCGCCAAGTGGCCTACGAGCGAGTCGTCCAAGTGCATTGGTGTGGGTTGGACTCCCAGACGAGCGGCATCAGGCAGACACTGTCGACAAGTCTAAAAATGATTTCCATGAATGTTCTTGGGGGCGGATAGAAAGGCGCCTAGGGTATCAAAGTTGCACATTGCTTACAATGGAACCCCCTGGTTTTGCCTGCGACTCTGCTAGACGCGCCAGTCCTTTTCTTTAATCTCAAGTTGCCCCACGCAAACGTGTCGATCTGGCCGTTCGAGAGTTTTACGATAACTTCGTCATCCAGAAAATTTGGGGTCTCTGCTGATCACTTGGCTCTTTGTGTTTGCAGACATACAAAACAGCAAAGAGCTCGCTCCGTTTCGGCCGTGGTCTGTCCGGCAAGATACGATGACAATTTCTTGAAACCTGTCCCTCCACTTTCATCGGGCAGGAACTCGAGCAACGTGATAATGGCTTCGATAGTGGGACCAGCCCCGGTTACTGTTCCCGAATCCTTCTCCGTGCGGGACCCATCGACCAGGGATTTTATCATAAGAACCGAACGGTCCACCAGCTTCAGCGCCGCGGGCCCAGCCCAGGTCATGCGTTCCAAGAGAACATCGTCCATGCCAACGCCAACGGTAACTCAAATCGAACATCGGCCAGCTATGCGTGACGGCTCGGGCAGGCCTTCGAGCAGGCCCTCGACTAGCAGTTCCACTGGCAGCACGGTCATGACGAGAGATAGCTTTGGGTCCAGGATGCACAGCCCCGCCAGCAGTCAATCCAGCTTCGAGTTGTGGAATTCGGGCCCTAGAAGAGTCGAACACGGTTGGCATCGACCAGCGCCGATTAAGCAGTACAGGAAAAAGGCAGCACCGGGCGAGATATTTGCTGCTTTGCCCGGCGAGGTACTCGAAATCATTCTCGATGAGCTGAGGAACTTGCATCTTGCACCGAGCTCGACGAGTTGTGCAACATGCATGATGAGAGACTTGTGCGCAGCCGCCCTTGCGGCGCGCAAGTTGTTGAAGTTTGCCCGAGTTGCCTTGTAAGTTGGAACTACTCAACCTAAGAGGGACATGACTGATTGGCCAATGAAGATATGAAGACATTCAGCTTGTGGGAAATGATTCGCACATCCAGAAGAAGCGCTACAAGATCAACTATGGTTCACGAATGGTTCTTCTCCGTCGCACCCTTAGAGCGAATCCCCAGATCGCAGCGATTGTGCATAACGTCAAAGTGCCCGCCCCTCCACCTCAGGGTTTACCTTTGGGCGAGTATCAGAACCTGATCGCATCCGTCATCATGGCATGTCCCAACTTCGAGCGCTTGATGGGCCCGCTTCAGAATTACGACCACAATCCCAACCGCTTGTTCCATGCGCTGTCTACCCGCGAGAAGCTCAAAGAAATGAATTGGCTTGTTCAGTCCTCTCCATTTCAACGTCAACGGCGACTAGGGTCGAATTCGACGATGAATATGTTGAACCAATATGGCTCCGTGAGCGCTCCGCCGCCGGGTGATCTTCAACCACACCAGAGCACGGCTTTCCTCGACATGCATGTGAACTGGACTCATCTGACGACATTAATGATTCATTGCCTCCCGGGTGCAACCCTGACCCCCACGTCGCTTATTGTCACTGCGCTTGGTTGTTTGCCGGCTCTTCAGAATCTGTATCTATCTCACTTGCCGCATACATCATTTAATGATAGCAACCTGCTCTCGTTACCGCCGCTGAAGAGCCTTTCGCTCTCACATCTCCCAGGAGTTACAAGTGCGGGCCTCTCATCGTTCGCGACCCGATACTCGAGTCGCTCGATTCGGAATCTGGCAGTGAAACATAGCAACTTGAATTCTCTCCCAGCTATGGCTCGAATCTTATCCAACCTCGTGTCGTTGGAAACCTTCACCTTTGTGCAGTCGACGGCCCCCATACTCCCCGAGCACGAAATGATCTGGCTGTTCCCGTATCTGGCATCACCCTCTCTGCGGAAAATCCATTGGGACGTGACCAATCAAGCCGCTTGCGCCAATGTGGCCGACGGCATCCTTGCGAAAAGCATAGCAGCTCATGGTTTTCCGTCGCTGCGGACGCTGCGAACGCCCAACGATCCGGAAGGCATGTTTCAAACACTTTGCCGACCGACTGAGAGGATTGAGATGGCGAGTGACCGCTTCCGAGGCCGAAGCTTGATTGGCAACAATAGCAGTCGACCCGACAGCCCTGACACTATGACTACACGTAGCGAAGTATCGGCGGGGGAGAAGCAGATCGGCCAGGAGGATTTCAAGGAATCAAACAATCTACATCCAGCTCGCCGGGCAGCTCAGAGCAGACTTGACGCAGCCCGTCGGTTTCCCCGATTCTTCGTGAATGTGATTGACGAGGACGGAACTTTACTGGAGAAGTTTGGCCTGGCTGGTTTTCTGGGGCAGCTTGACTCCCAGGTCGAATACTGTTTGACCCCCGATGACGGAGCCATAGACGAAAACGGCGGGTTGGTTGAAATTTCCGACCTACTCGGGGACGGAGGAGAGGACCTCAATGAAAGAGAGGGCTGCACAGGTCGGTGGAATACGTACGGCAACGTCGTGGATAAGAAAGACCGGGACAGACTAATGCACACGGAAAGAGGGCGGTGGAGGCCCGTCACACTCATTTGAGATGGAGGTCGTGAATGGAATCGGCTGTCCTATACCGGGGACAAACCGCCATCTGGACACTACGGTTTTGCTGTTTACAGGCGTATATACGGGGGTCACGATCTTTACTAATCTACCACAACACTTTCGGATACCCTGTACACCCTATCACTAATCTTACTAATTTAGCGCGGAATGAATGGCATAGATACTGTATATATAGCTACTCATACAGGGCGCCAAAAGCGTCAATAATGATATTTAATCTTCCTGTTATACAATGAAGTTCTTGCGGCTCTTGACCTTGTGCGCGTCCAAAGGTGAAACGATGTTACCGTCGCCTGTGCCGCGGTAATACAGTGGCGGGCCCGGGCTCCGGCCTCGGAATTTAGAAGTCGGTTGGACCGAGCCTGCATCGACGTCATGAAGCAATGACTTTTCGCAAAGATAAAAGCTCCGAACTGCACGAAGACCTGCTCTAAGTCTGTTCAGCACATCTATCTAAACCGAGTACAGCCTGACAGTGTCACACCTCCACTATGCGCTCGTCAATGTTATCCAGAGGGCGCCAACTAGGCCGCATCTGTGACGGCTGTCGGCAAGAGCGCAATTTCACAACAGCACCCAACTTGGCGCCCGTATGCAGCAGAGCGACGCAAAGCTACGTGCAATCCTCCTCAATCACTAGCTCGCACGCACGATTGACCATTCCTTCGCAAATACGCTGGCTCTCTACTTCTTCCACACCGACGAGCAGCAGCAGCGCAGAACAGCCCTCTCCCGACGCCGCGACCACCTCGTCGTTCAAGCCGCAACCGCCGCAAACGTACTACGACATCTTCCCGCTTTCGCTCCCCGCCGGCCCTCCGCCCGACGGACCCTTCGAAATCGACGTCCGCGCCCTGCGCCGCGAGTTCCTGCAACTGCAAGGCAAAGCGCACCCGGACCTGCACCCGCCATCGATGAAAGCGCGGGCTGAAGCCATGTCGGCGCGCATTAACGAGGCGTTCAAGACGCTCTCATCGCCGCTACTGCGCGCACAATATCTCCTATCTCTACAAGGGCTCGACGTGGCGAATGACGAGACGGCGAAGGTTGAAGATCCGGCGCTGTTGATGGAGGTCATGGAGGCGAGGGAGGAGGTGGAGGAGGCGGAGGAGGAGAGTGAGTTGGAGGCATTGAGGAGGAGGAATGAGGAAAGGGAACGGGAGAGTGAGGGCGTGTTGGCGGGGTGTTTTGGGGAGGGGGATTGGGAGGGTGCGGTTAGGGAGTGTGTGAGGTTGAGATATTGGTGTAATATTAAAGAGAGTATACATAATTGGGAGAGGGGTAAGCCGATTATTCTTGAGCATTAGGGGCTGGGGGAGGAAATGAGCGCTGAGAGTCTATGATTATGGGACCCGCGACGGGCGAGGTGCGCATGGAGGATATGGTATGGCACGTATGGCACGCAGTCTCTTGGTATATTGCGAATGATTTATTAGAGGCCAGGCGCATGGTATTGGAATAGAACGTGTGACATCGAAAACGGTTTACTTGCGCATGGCTGGGTATACGGGGAAAGGATGGCCATGGTGCGTTCAGAACTAGTCCTCCCGGTCGAATCGCAAGAAGTCGATTGTTTCCCTACATACATCGTAATGGAATATCATGACAGGCCACAGAATAGAAGATTTCTAAAAGTTCCGTGGAATTGTATCTTCTGTGTATTGACCTGGCCGCTATCGTAGTATAATAGAACCGAGTTATTATACAGTAAAAGGCGTAATGGGTTTCGCCAAACATTCTAGTTAACACTTTTAGTAGTGGTGATGTGGAGCTGTGGCTTATGTGGCTTGCTAGATTACGCTCGTAGTCATCACGTACCTGTGGACTAGTCACTAACAGAGCTAGAACCTGGGAGCCAGAAATGGACACAGTCAGGAATACTGTACATAGACGGAAAATGGAACAAAGTCAAAGATGAACGCGACCAGAAATGGCTTACTAGTAAGCTGTCAGGGACTTGGCCAGCCCAACAGCTGTTAGGCGCCCACTTTCCTCGCCTGACCGTCGTCCCCTCGTTCTCTTCTCTTCTCCTCAATCTAAACGGCGTTTGAGTGTCATCCATCTTCATGGCGCCGCAACTGGATGCCGCACAGCATTCCCTAATCAACATACTGCTGACGCAGGGATTCGAGAACCGTCTCATTGCCCCCAAAGCCTTATGCTTCGTATGCACCGTCCAGAAGATGCGTCTCAAGGGACCAGGTCCTGAGACGCTTACCCGAAAACCAGGTCGCGTCCGCCTCGGCCGTCGCTGCCGCATGACCACACGCATGCAGAAGGCCCTTTGTGATAGGCTAATCAAACAGCCGTATATGTATCGGTACGAGATGGCAGACTTCCTCTATCGTAGCTTCGGCATCAGAATATCGGAGCGGTCGATTAGACGGACTTTGCGATCGATGGGATGGACGAGAAAGTCGATCCGTCGTATCGCACAACAGCGGGATGACGACCTTCGAGACCACTACCTTCATCGTATATCGCAGTACCAATCTTACCAGCTTGTCTTCGCTGACGAGTCTGGCTGCGATAGGGAGGCGGGATACCGTCGATGGGGGTGGTCTCCGAAGGGCTCTTCTCCCGTAGAGACCACGAAGTTCGGTCGTGGCAAACGGTGGCACATCCTTCCAGCATACGCACAAGATGGCATCGTATTAAGGCGAGTATACCAAGGACCAACGGATAGTGACCTGTTTGAGGATTTCATAGCCCAGTTGCTGCACCGTTGCGGTAGATATCCGGAGCCGAAGTCTGTTCTCGTCATGGATAATGCCTCTTGGCATCATTCGGAGAAGATCGTGCAGATGTGTAGAGATGCTGGAGTGGTTTTGGAGTTCCTCTCACCATATCCACCCGACTTCAACCCGATTGAGGAACACTTTGGAGTCCTTAAAAAATTCATTAAGAAAAAGTGGTACGAGAACGAAGACTTCATCGCTAGGGAGTTTAAAGATGTTTTTGGAGTGGTGCGTAGACGTGGTTGGAGATGATGCTAATATGGCCGAGAGTCACTTTCACCACGCGGGAATAGCAATCACGCAGCTACCTAGGTAAAATCGATCATAGTAATAAACTGACAAGTATGACGTAGGAAACCTCTTTTTCTTTATAGCTTCTTTGTTTCTTGTCGAAACTTGGTAATATTGCTCACGAACTGCAGCGCAATGCCCGGCTTCACTCCGCCCTTCACCATCACATCCGCAGCCACCTTTGGGTGCTTCAAAATGGAATTCAGCTCTAGAAACTGATCCATCACAAACTGATTCGCAGCCTGCAGAGCCTCTCTCCACTTGTCACTCTTAACTTGCTGCAGACTCCAGTTGCAGTACTCTTCGAGCCTGTCCATCCTGTCACCCTCAACCTCTTCGTTATCCTCACCTAAATCCATTTCTCCCGTGTCCCGAAGCCTACCGCGGGATGAAGCATGCATTTTGCAGCCACGGCAGTCCACCGAGTCCTGTACCTTTCGCTTGCGGCTATCGTTCATTATATCCCCGAGGATTTTGGATGGGATCTCGATATTCACATTAACCTCTTCTTCTGTGTCTCCATCCTTCGGCATTCGTGTTGATGGCGGCGGGATCCATCGTCATTATATGGTTAGGACTCTTCTTGTTCCATCTCGTATCAACTATCCAGTATTGCAAAGACGTAGACACTCGAAGGCACCAGGTGGACGTATAATGGATCGCTCTGGGCGCCCGTTTGGCAGCTGCTTTGACTTAATTAGTACTTCAGATGAGGGTCATGATTGGGACTTGGTATCCCGCTTAGTCAGCTCGCTCGGCGGCTAATGACTTTATAACTTATCAGTTCAGTCGAACGATTGCCTGCAGAAGGCGTCAGCAATGCTCACGTGCATGCTATCCTGTATCGGTGTCCAGGCATCCGGCAGCCTTATCCAGTCACCAGTCCCTCCTCCCTCTGCCTGCAAAACGTCCCATTACATCTATTCTTTTACGTGTCTTAATTTTGTCTGCTCTAGAAATGGGAAGCATCTACTACGGCTCGTATCGTGATCAAACGATTTCAACACAGTCAGTTACTGTCGTCGCAGCATGATCTTGCACGATCTCAATCAAGCGGCTGTCTTGGCTTTCCTCTTAGTCCTGACTCTTCTCCTCTGTCGCCGCATTTTGACCACGTCACAAACATCTGTCGCTGCGCTGCCACCACCCGAGGGAGCGGGCAATGGCAAGACCTATCGTATTCGGGGTGTGCCCATAACCTGCGATAAAGTCCGCTTGCAGTCATTCATGGACACTCAAAACGGTTATACCAACCCAGTCGTTTGGTCACTAGCTACTGAAGCCCACGGACGCTCTCAGACTGCGACAGTCACTTTTCGACACGGGACAAAGCCTCCAAAGACACTTCGTGGAAGCTTGCAACCTGGTGGTGAAGATCAGCCACTGATCATTGACGACGACTTTCTCGGGCTTACCACGCTTTTCGCTCCTACACAAGAGGACCATAAGGTCGAGTAAGTATTGTAGACCCATCGAATAAGTGCACGGGAGGCTAAATAGGGCAACATTATTGCAATACCTGGCCTTGGCGGTCACGCGTTTGGATCATTCAAAGAACGAGGCGGCCAGCATATGTGGCTACGGGATGCCCTGCTCTACCATATACTTTCAGAACACACTGACCATCCCATCGCTCGCGTCATCACATATGGCTACGAATCTGCCGTCGCAAATAGCAACAGCATACAAAACCTAGAGGACCTTGCTACGTCCTTTCGCGAGAGTCTCATAACGTTAAAGTTATCTCAAAAAGGCGAAACCATTGATCCTAGTCGCCCACAGTCTTGTAGGTTTGATCGTGAAGCAGGTAAGTGGGTCACTTCGGTACAGTTTACTATTCATGTGCTTACTAAAGAGGAAGGCTCTCATTACTTTAGCGAGTTCTACTGCGGAAGACCAACAGAAAGCCGCTCGGGCTATCTACGGAATTGTGTTCTTCGGTGTTCCCCACGATGGCATGGATATCAGCTCGCTCATCCTAATGGTGGGAGACGGCACGAACCGTGAGCTGATTGGCACTATCAGCCAACTCAACTCACAGGTTCTCAGCATGCAACAGCGGGACTTTCGCAAGGCACTAGGAGCTGAGGGTAACACAGAGATCTTCTGCTTCTACGAAACAGAACAATCGCCAACAGCTCAAAAGGTATTCATACGAAGCATATATCAAGTTGATGTCACTAATTCAGAATAGGACCGGCATAGAGGGTGGCGAATGGATGGACCAAAAGCAATACTCGTCACGAAGTCTTCCGCTACTCACTGCCGACCTTGGGAGGATGGACCAGAACAGATCTGCGCGATCAACCGTTCGCATTCAAATATGGTCAAGTTTGGGTCGGAAGATCCCGAATACGAACGGACGCTCCAGAGACTTCAAGGTTTAGCAAACCGCGCTCTCGGTGTACAAAGTCGGCTTTGGGACGAGAACACGAAATGTATGTAACATACAATATGCATCAATTGCCTGGCGTGATACTGAACCACGCAGTCCTCGTGCCTTATTCTCAGAACCCAGACTATGTTCGTCGATCCTCCGTACTAGACACAATCCAACAGAGACTTGGCTACAGCAAGAGCCAGACTATGCGGTACCCGAGAGTATCGCTTTTCGGTCTTGGCGGAGTTGGGTATGTTGACTTCGTAGCCTATAACCTGCATTATGTTTCGTTCTGACATACAATACAGGAAAACGCAGATTGCACTGGCCTTTGCTTACTGGATCAGGGATAACTACTCGGACGTGTCTGTCTTCTGGGTACACGCTAGCAACGCGGAGCGTTTATACCAGGCTTTTGCTAATATTGCAAAAGTGTACAACATTCCAGGTCATGATGACTCCAAGTCTGACATAAGGATTCTTGTTCGCAGATGGCTAGAAAGAAAGAAGCAAGGCCGATGGATCATGATCGTTGATAACGCTGACGACACAGAGCTATTTCCCCATCAAACTACGCACAAGTTAGTACACCTGAAGCTGATAAAGCCCAGCAGGCGGAAACCCTTCTCGATACATTCCCGAATGTGGTCACGGATCTATTTTGTTCACAACAAGGAACAAGGAAACGGCATCAAGACTTGCCCAAGGGCGACCTCCCGTCCTAATCGAGAGCATGACTAGTAACGAAGCAGAACAACTTTTGCGGACGCGAATAGCCAACGTGGAGATTTCCACGGAGGACGCTCTGCGTCTGGCGTCTCAACTTGAATATCTGCCATTAGCTCTCGTACAGGCGGCAGCTTACATTCAAGAGAAGTCGATGACTATTAGCAAGTATATTCGTCGGCTACACGAGAGCGACTCGGCATTAGTATGTCGACTGAGCAAGCGATTTGAGACCGTAGGAAGAGATGCAGAAACGCCTCATGCGGTCACAGCTACCTGGATCATTTCTTTCGAACAAATCCAGCAACAGCGCGTCTTTGCTAGCGAGGTTCTATCTTTGATCAGTCTGATGGATCTTCAGGCGATACCGGAACGATTTATCACCAACTACTACCGCCGAACACGGCAAGGAAGCTCCAAAGCTGTAGAAGAGGACGAGATCGACGAGGCACTAGGCTCTCTGAAGTGATACTGTTTTATCTCAGAGGCTGAGAATGACAGTGTGGATATGCACCGGTTGGTCCAACTGGTAACTCGCAAATGGCTAGTTGATACGGTGAGAATAGCTAGTTTCGCACAGCAAGCTCTTAAGACAGTATCAGATGCCTATCCATATGGTCAGCATGAGAACCGCGAGGTATGCCGGGAATACCTTCCGCATGCTTATACTGTGCTCGACCATAAAGGTACTGGTTCGCAGGATGAGAAGATTGCAAGGGCGTCCCTTTTGCACTGCGTGGCAGGGTATCTCAACTACCTAGGCGACTGGAATAATGCAGAGAAGAGAATAGCTCAGGCAGTAGAGGTCCGAAAGAGGGTGCTTGGCGAGGAGCATCCCCACACACTAGTGAGCATAGCCAACCTGGCATCGACGTACAGGGACCAAGGCCGATGGAAGGAGGCCGAGGAGCTATTTGTGCGAGTGATGGAGACGAGTTCGAGGGTGCTCGGCGAGGAGCATCCCAACACACTGTCGAGCATGCATAATCTTGCCTTCACTTGGAAAGATCTGGAACGATGGGAAAGTGCAATGCAACTGCTGCAGGACTGTGTCCGCCGCAGAGAGAACGTCCTTGGTGTGGATCACCCAGACACCGTATCTTCCGCCTCGGCTCTTTCAGACTGGAAAATAGAGTTCGGGGAAATAGGCACGAGTGTTCATGATATCTTTGATCATGAGATATGTACTATGATCGTAAATAGAATAACTATTCAAATGTGAACAAAATACAACGAAACGACAATAAATTGTGGATCAACCCTATTCCTCACCCTGTAATAGTAAGAGGGTAGATGCTAATCAGTAGATCAGCCTTGACTCGCATGTGCAAGATCAAGGCTTTCTAAGCTAGAATATTCATACTACTTACGGGGAAGGGGAAAGCAGAAAGACTATTGAAAAAAAACATGATGAGTGCAGCCGGAATGGGAGTCGAACCCATTACTCGCCCGACTCAATTGTAATGGACGAGTTCTGACCAATAGACCAGCCTTTTATATGTTTCATAGTACAAACAGTGTTAGTAATCTGGCCTTATTTGGTTACATGGTTACAGGAAGACCCTAAGTGGCCCTTCTGAAGCGCTGCTGCCTAGCTGCGCTTCTGGATATTTAGTGTACTCCCCATGTGCCACATTCATCTTGTTCCATAGGGTAGCATTCTTCTGAAAAAAAAAAAGAAATGTTGGATCAACTTCAGAATTTGTGGCTCTGAAGGTCATCGTAATGTTCGTTGTTCGTCTCCTAATGAGGTTGGATTTGAACCTTGATCTGCTTCCATCAGAGAGCATCACCGTCGTTGAATAGTATCAATTTCGAGCAGGCATGTTATCTGAAGTTATGCAAATCGCCAAATGATAAAATTTTTGATATCTAAGTGTACGAGGGGTCTTACAAGTGCCATGCCTTGTTATTCGCCGCGTGGAGCTGCCTTCACGGCATTGAGCCAGTCAGCCAATTTTCGCAAACCTCAACAAGTACTGGCTATGATGCCGACGAGGAAACGAGAAATGAGAGCAGGGTGCTGCGTCATTTAAGTGCACTAGAATTCTGGCCGCAGTTCGTTAGGAAAGAAAGTAATGCATAGGGCAACACAGGGTAATACAGCGAAGACGGCGACCGCCGTGATGATGAGCAGTCTGACAACCGCACATGATACTCTTGTCGAGAGTGGGAAAGTTGATCCTCCAGGTAAGTACGTGGATCTCCCTATGTCACCGGGAGCATGACTCGGAGGGCGAAGATCTGTTATCGAGAAAACAGGTGTCTAGTTCATGACGAGGCTCCCGTTTCCGGGTCCAAGATTGTCTACGTACTTCTTATCAAGAAGGCTAGTCAACATAAGTAGGGAGAAATGGCGCTGAGGTTGATTGGTTTCCGATCCTCATCTCTCCTGCAAGACGTACTTTGGGAACGTCATCCTTACCCAGCTAAGTCGTACAACCTAGCTTCGGATCTTTCCTCGTAACATATTTCCCCTTTCCCCTTATATTTACGCGCTTGAGACATCAAAATTCCTGATCAGATTGTAATAAAACTTCAGCGCTTCTATGTGAGCATGCATGTCCATCGCTTCGTCGACTACACAAGGTTGGGTTAGCAATGATTACCTGCTTCACCCGCAAATGGTAAAAGGCGGGTATGAGTGACAACAGGATTCAAGGGGTACTTACCCGTGTGGGGATTTTGATTACCTCCCTTGCGAGTTGGCGTCCAACGGTAGACATTCGGGGAGAGGCCTACCCATATTAGTGTCGTGCACCACAGACTTCAGGTCCTTTGGTCAACTTACTTAAATAATGTCTCGTGTCGGTATTGCCCGTCATCAACTCTCCCACGGGGACGACTTTTCCGTCAGGAAAGGCAAAGCTGTGTTGAATGGTACCAGAAAAGATGTCCCAGACCTGCCCCGAGGTTGGCGAGATAGGGGCAACGAGTGTGCGCTGGCTAGAGGTGAGGACCAAAGTGCCGTTGTAGTCCACCTCGTAAGCCGGCTTGAACTCTTCGGCATCAAACTCGGGGTTCTGCTCCTCGCCTTGGAAGGCCTGTACAGTTAGGCCGTATTTCTTGACGATCGGCTTGATCTCGTCCAGGATCTTGCTCTTGATTTCAGGTATCGAGTTTTGCGGGGCGATCCTGTGGTTGATTCCGATGCGGATCTTCTCCGGCATGGCGTTGATCTTGACACCGCCATTGAAATAATCGACGGCTTGCGATGTCTGCAGGCGGTACTGAGTCGCGCGGTCAATGGTTACCAGCTCCTCCGCCAGCGCCTCCAGGTCACCCTTGTTGATTAATTTGGTGATTTGTGGTGCTGATTCTGGCGAGTACCTCGCCTGACACACGAGATGGTTATAGATGGGCGAGCCCTTAATGAGCTTTGGCTCATAAGGATTTGATTCAATTTTGACGACGATCTCCGACATAATTCCTATGCCCGTATGGGGGAAAGGAGTAGACGAGTGACCGCCGTTGACCGAGAGATCGAGCCAAATATCAACATGTCCTTTCTCCATGACCGCTGGGAGAGCATCTTATTTTTTTTTCGGTTAGTACCCTGGTTCAAGCTGCTAAATACGATATCACTTACAAAGCGTATCACCTTCGAGAAGGTCGAGGCCCATACCACCTTCATCGAGAATGATTGACATGGAATCTTTGCCGTATATCTCCTCCAAGTACTTCCCAATCGTGCCTGCACCGCGCTGACCCGAGCACTCTTCGTCAAAGCCTAGGGCAACGATGATGGTCCGTTTAGGCACCCAAAGCGGGTTCAACAAGAGAGCCTCTAGAGCGGACATCAGAGCAGTCAAACTGTTCTTGTCATCGGAGGCGCCTCGTCCCCAGAGCCATCTCCCATCAAAGTGGCCTGAGAAAGGGGGATACTTCCAGGTCGAGGCGTCGGCTACAGGCACTACATCTTGGTGGGCGGTCAACATGAAAGGCTTCAACGAAGCATCTTGGCCTTTGATCGTATATAAAAGTCCAAACGTGTTAACGGTTTCGCGGGACATGCGGGCGTGACTGTACTGATCAGTAGACGCTCCGGAAGCCTGTCAATGCAGATTCTGTAACAAATCCTAAATGATGACTGGAAATATCCACAACTTACACAGATGGATACAATGCTGCTAGTGTAGCATGCAACTCGAAGAACACATCCCACCTCGGGTCCTCTCCTGGTTCACCATTGTCGTCATAGGAAATAGACGGGACTCGCACAAGAGTACCATGCCTCTCAACTTGCTTCATCAGTGCATCTTTTCCAGAGAAGAGCTTGTCTGCAGATGGCAAGCCATCATTCGAAGGGTCAAGAATTGGCGGAAGATCACAGTTGAACTCGATTGACTCCGATTCGGTCCTAACCACTTCTCCTAGGACTTGCTGCCCCTCATTCTGCAGATAGAGACGGCTGGTTGATGCCGATCGCACAACAGATATGCCAGCTATAAGGGTCAACTTGGACCAGAGCATTGCTTCCGAAAGACGTAATCAAGAGAGAGAGAAATTAACAAAGCAAGAAACGCCTGATCCGACGTCAGACACGGGAATATGAAAAAAGAAGAACGGACTCCGCATTCTTGTAGCTCAGCAAGCTGCCAGTACCCGGCGCTGAGAGCTCCATGCCGGCTCCGACTTGCAGGATCACAGCTCCTACGAGATATGATATGAAGAACCAATCCGAGATAGGCAAGAGAGCATGACAACGGTGGGTGGGGAGAACGCCGCCCTTGACAGATATGACAGCCGATAGGCCATGAGAAAGTCGGGTTGCATATAACGCAAGTGCCTTACTCGCGATAGGTAGGGATCTCCACTCAGCACGTATCATAGAGTGCAACGTCGAGAGCGGTGCCGGTGCCGTTGCCGACAGAAGCCCTGTCGCTTAAGCCGATGGACTCGGTTCCCAGATCGGCGACTCCACCTGTACACGAAGTACTTCTGTACTTATAGTCATTGACGGCCCAAGCTCCAGGCTAGTGCAGCTACCCCGGTTTACGCGACAGGCAGCTCCTGCATGACGAAGCAAGTGCGGGCGCATCCAACCCCTCAAGATCATTCTACAACTCGAAGCTCGTCGGCAGCCGAGATCGTTCACGGGCCATCGCAAAGAAAGCCGTTGGGGCACACAGAGAGATACATGCGTGATGTATTGAGGAAAGCTAGTCTCGTGCTACTAGGCTGTGGTCGTAGCTACGCACGGACCACCTCTGACCGATTCACACTTCTCTTCCCTCAAATCCTTCCCTCAAGTGCTCTCCCACTGGGACCATATCAATGCGATGTCATCAGAAGCAACGCCCATAAACCCCGCGCGCTTCGCGGAGGCCCTGAAAGAGCTCCCCGCTAGCACTCTCGCGCTCAAAGTCCTCGAGCTGCGCAACTCCATAGCGCACCTCGACTACTCCAACGCAGAACTCAAGCCGTTTACCGAGTGTCGCGAGCCCACGCTGGGTTCCACCGACTCGAACCTGCCTGACCAAGACTGCATCGATGCAATTGCCGAGAATGAGGCCGTCATCGCACGCATGCAGGGGCGCATAGAGCTGATCAGGACCGAGGTCGAGAACCGAGGACTGAGCTGGGCTGAGTTCCAAGGCCAGGAGCAGCAGAACAGATCGGAAGATGCGGCGGCGACAACTGGGGGCGGTTTGACGAATGGTGTGAATGGTCATACGCCGGTAGAGAATGGACAACAGCACCCTGCGTGGCAAGATGGCACCTTCCAGACGGGAACGGTACGCGGACTTGGGGACGAGGAGTTGATGCGCCAGTTGCAAGAACGCATGAACGAGCTCAATTCAGACCACGAGCAGGACAGCGAAGGTGGCTTGCATTTGTAGTGGTGCGCGGTCAGGCTCCACGGAATAAAAAGGGAAATGGCACAGTTCATGATGCACGGCTGGTGTTTGTGTGAAAAACAGTGAATACGTGATCTTCCAGCTCTCGCCAGTAATTTTGGTGCCAACTGGTGAGAGATGAGGGATCACGTATTTAATACCCTGATACCCCTATGACACCAGGGCCGCATAATTTGGCATTGTCAGCTTCCTCCAATATCCCATCCCAACTTAACTGTGGTTAAACCAGCGCTGTCAACTTCCAGGAGCGCCTGATGGTAGCGCCCCGGCATCGCCGAGTCTGCAGTCAGAACTGAGGTTCCGGGTGCGGCCCCTGTTCCTTCGGGCTCCTAACATTAGAAACGTCGTTGATATTTTCGCGGGAGAGCTCTTTCATCTCCTCCACGAGAAGGTAGAGAAGGACTAGGGCGATGAACCTGAGTCCACTGAAATATCCTAGGGACCCTAGGGGTTGGAGCTGGTTATCGATACTGTGCCTGGTCGGTTAGTTTCTTGGTCTGCCAGATCGTCAGCTTCATTTGATCTCCTGAGTTCCCGGTTACTCGTAATTCGGCGGTGGCAAAGGGGCAAACTTGGAATGGAGTCAGCAACATTATTTGAGGATATCCACACTTTCCGTGCCCCTCAGCAGTCCGATGCTAGCGTGAATAGTATGGCTACAGATTAGCCGTTGTGGCATATGAGTGACTTAGACTTACCCAACCCTGGCGAGTACGCTACGGCGTGTTCTAGAAGGGTTTGATGCGATGAGTGAACATGTCGAACCAGCCAGATAACAATACTTATACTATATCTAATACGCAACGATCCCGATTTTGTGATTCTCATTTCCAGCGGTTCGGGGTATGGACACGGTCATGGTAGCCGCTATTGTGAAAAAGCATATGATAAGGGGGGTCGAGGTCAGCCAGTTGTGCCGTCCCAGTGCGTCGAAGGTACAGGAAGTTGAGAGCGCCTGTAAGCCGAGGTACGGGCTGAGGGCTTCCAGTTCAGAGTTCTTGCGACCTACCGAAGCGCAGACTAAACCCAATCTATCAGCCTCTTTGTTTCGTTCATTCAATGAATAAGGTTCCTAAGCCCCACTGGGTCAGGAATTGGCAACTCTTCGTATCGTGTTGAAGTTCAACTTACATACCAGAGTAGAAGGCAGAGAATTGACTGTGTTAGCGAACCGCCCTGTCCATTGATTCGGTAGGGATGATTCAAACCTATTTCCACAGAGCTGCTGTAACAGAGCCTCGGTCGATCTGTTAACCAATGCATCCCTTAGCCTTTTCTCCCCGAACATAGGCTTGGATTTGGAGAACTAGCCCAATTTCCCAGCCAACTATTCTGATTTCCAATTAGGGAATGCCGTAGGAGGGTAGGGTATCTATATCCATTTGCACTGTACTCCTGCTCAATGGTTTTGTAGCGAAGGTGCTGCTCCTTGATAGTGAGGAGAAGATCAAAGCCGGACCTAGTTATGATCCTACAAGCAATAGCATACTGTAGTTTTCAGGCATGGAACAGCGATGTGGAGGGCTCACTAAATTTGCGATGCAACAAACAATCAATTCCAGGAGCTTATTGCAGATAAATATTCCCATTGGCCTTGGCTCACGCTTATTTAGTCCTTTCTGTTAGTCATACGTAAAAGGGCGTTACGATGGTGCGGGTAATACTAGCAAGGCCAAGTTTGCTTACGATGCCAGCGGACGATGACCCAGTTCTAGCTTGTCACCACGTGAAATGCCCAGGTCGTACTCGCTGTCGAGGACAGACCTAAACCATTTCATTAATGATCATGTGAAAGAAATCTATATGCATACGCAACTTACTCTGGTATGGCGGACACAAATTAGAACCTTCTTACCTAGTTGCGCATGCCAGTGAGGCATAATGAGCAGTACATCCTTTTTGGTCACCATCGAATTCAAGCTGCTTTTGCAAGAATAAAAGGGGTATTAAGCATTGAAGAGACAAAACACCACTCTTTGACCATTACATTGTGCAAGGTTGCATGTATGGACACGAGGAAGAATTGCAAACATTTTCCGTTCCGACGCAGCCAGAACCACAACCACTCATCGGAACGACGCGACTTCATCCAGTGTCGTTAATGACCGCTTCCGGAAACGAAGTACCCATCATACTGAGTGCAGGGGCTGCAGTGCCAACAAAATTTTCCTCTCAAGATCGATCCGCTAAGGGTGAAAGAGTTTTGGAAACTTCGGATGACCAAAACCGCCACAGCAACCCGACTCTACTCACAGATCAAGACACTTAATCATGAACTTATCAACGGCGCCAGCGTAATAACAATCCAATGCACCTCCGCATTTTCGTCCTTAAGAGGCGTCCAGTGAGACGAGAACTTCTCATCACCCCGAAACAAGGCACTGCGCCGGGTCTGCAGACGCAGATCAACGCTGATGGGATTGCCGAGGCGGATGGCATTGCGGACCTTGGGTCGGTAATCGTTCTGTGAGGTGACCATGTTTTGGCGGAAGAAGCGGAAGATTTCCTGGCCGACGATGAGACCGTCGGCCGTGTTGGCCGGGTTCAGCATCTCGGTGATGCCTTCCGAGTAAAATTTGATGACGAAGGTGTCGGCGCGGACGACGATGTACTGAGGAAGGGTTAGCTTTGTTTATTACTTATTTTTCTTCAGTTTTCTTTGGCAGTCAATGGCTGGGGTGGAAACTGACCTTGGAGTACGCAGTGTAAAATTCCTTCAACTGCGTCTTGAAATCTTGCCCTTCCATCCTGTTCAGGACTTTATCCTCCATTCCAACATCACTCAGGACCATCGTCCTAGGGTCGTTGATGCGAACGCCAAACGCCCTCAACAGGGCTTTTCGGGCTGAGGGCAGAGGACGCGACTGCTTGGTTGCGGGTTTGGACGGTACATCTTCCTCGAGGTCGACTGTATTAGAGGTTGACAGTACCTTCATGACATCCACATTGCTGTGGATCGTCGTTGAACAGTTAACTTGGCCGCCGATAAAGAAGGCGACTTTGCCCTGTTCATTGAACAAGGGGGCTATTCCGAGGCCACATATTAGTTTCTGAGCAGGGTAGAATTAGTCGCTGAAGGTCCTACTCACCGACGTATAGCAGGTTCCAAAATGGATTGCCGTTCTTCTTGTAATTAAGAATCAACTCGACGGATTCACGACAATCGTTGATGGCAATCTTGAGGCGGCGAACCGGCTCCCGATCTGTGTGGGAACCCTGAAGGAATCTACAGTTGCGTGGGATAATTTCCGGGCGCGTGTACCCCGTGACTTTGACAAAGCCGTCGGAAGCAAAGACAATGGGGTTATCTGCCTTTCTGATGACGAATAGAGATTAGCATGAGTGAGAAATGAAACGTATATACGCGATCTTACGTTGGATTGGTCAAACAGAAACAATCGCCCAACCCCTGGTATCTATGCCGATCACTAGCAAGCGCCTTGGTAGCGCTTAATACGAGCTGATAACGCACGAATCGAGGGTACACATCGGTAAAGACCAATTGTTCAATGTTCTCCTGCATGTCGCTAAAGAGCGACTCCATGGCTGGGAGTGTCGTTTTGACAATTGACTTCATCTCGCCGTGTACGTTTTTCATCAAATTGCTCGGCACACTGACCTGACGTGGTGCCTCATCTGCCAAGTAGGACTTGTGAATACAGGTCATGATACCCGCAAGATCATTCAATACCTTCTGGTATTGTTCAACCTACATATTTAAAACACCGTCAGTTGTCGCTCTGGAACCAAACGGGGTTATATGTGTACGCGCCATCATGCCAACGCCTTAAGTAAGGACTACAAACCTTTCCCAGAAACTCAACGTTCTCGCTGCAGAAGCGAGTCTCGCTGAATTTTTGCAGTTGGTGCGCCGTGGTCGGGTTATGAAGGACGACTTGGAAGACGGCCCGGCCGAAGAAGTCGGGCATGCGATTCGACGCACTGCTTATCTGGCTCTGTTTCGAGATAGAGATGCCGTCGTCGCTATAGGTTCGCCTATGCGGGACAGTTGGCCGGCGACTGCGGACAGTTCCTCTCTCCGAACCGCCGTTTCTCACACTGCCGAAGTCCTGCAACTTGGGCAATGGCAGCGCCTCGCTCTCGTCGTCTCTCGACTCGTCGATGGAGAAGGCTTTGACGCTGCCTGTGCGTGATGAAGGACGTTCATCAGTCTTTGGACGTGGCTGGGTCTCCTCTTCGGTGTGGAACTGGAAGTGGTCGAGGATCGGCGTGCGCGTACGATCATGCTTTTTGGCGGGAGCAGCTGGCCTGGAGGACTGGCTTAATGCACCGTTTTGGGCCCTCGAGACAGGCCGCCGGGAAGGGGGCAACTCGTCTGATCGAACGGCAGGGGCAGCTGGTGCGCTGACTTCTCCGTTAACCAAGTCGCCATCACTGTCGTCATCGATCGTGTCCTCCCCAGGTTTGTACTTGGGGAGGCGGGCGAGTCGGTCGAGTTCATTAAGATCGCTCTGGTCTTTGTTCTTGCGGGACGGGGAGGAGCGGCTGTCGTCGTCGAGTCCATCGTCAAATACGTATATGCGTTTCTTATCAGACCTGCCAATGGGCGGGGGCGTGGCTGAGCGGACGGTCTCGGGCGAGCTCTGTCTCGTCTTCCGTGGAGACTTATGTCTGTTACGTTCAGCTTGTGCCAGTATTTTCCTGGCGGCCTCGAGTTCCTCGGCCGAAATATAATCATAGTCAGGTTCTCTGGCGCTGGCGTTGGTGCTCGTGCGTGGTGGGCGAGAAGACTGGCGGTCTGGAATGTCTAGGGTACTTCGTGAACGGTTCTCACGATCGCGGCGAGAGACCTTGGCGATTTGAGGGTGATGCTCGCCAGAACTCGAAGACTGGTGGGCAGCAACACTGTCAAGCTCAGCTTGTGAGAGGGGACGGATCATGCCTCCATTGCATTCCTTGTCTGGGTCACTGTGGGCGTCCTCAATCCTGGCGCGGAGCACGAAGCTGCGCGGCGCTTCTGCATTGTTGACTTCAGGCAAAGAGCGGGAGTGACGCCGCTGGTGGGCATGGAGATTGTCGTCATTATGTTCGTCCCGGGCGATGACTTGTCGAGCCTCGTCTATGGCGCCCGTGTCAAGCCGGGAGATGTATCGCGAAAGAGGCCCGTCGTCCATGTCGTCGCCGATTGTCGATGAGGCATCATCCTGCCACGGTGACTTGGACCGCTGGGCCCTACGACCGTCACGACTGTACCCCATTTCGAGATATAGTTGCGCCAAGGGGATATAGCAGTTGTCGGTAGTCCGACTGCTTCAAAGTTCAGAGAGACTTAACACCACAACGCATCTCTTGGCCGACAGCAGCTTGCGAAAATCAAACTCTCTCGCGCACGCACCGAGGCGGGACCTGGCGTTGATATCCATTCTAGGCTCAATTAAGTCGCGTGGACTTCTCGGCGGTTTTGTTTTCAATCCTCATAGTCTCTGTCCTATTTCCCCATTCCCAATATCCCCCATGGAAGGGCCAGGGCGCAAGCATCGAATGAAGAAGATCCGCATCCTGGCATGTTAGGTAGCGGAAGCTGGCCTGGAAACTTGCTTTGTTCAATCGAAGCGCACCAAAATGGCTGAGCTAGCAGGCATGCGAGGCTCTGCTGTCAGTACACAATAGACTGTCACAGAACTTTACCCCATCGTGATCCGACGACTTCACACCCAGACAACCAACGCCATGGCGGTGGATCAAACGCATTCGTCAACGGTCCCCTTGTTTAAAGTATTTGTCGGGTCAAACAGCCCAGCTAGGGTCGGGGCATCGTGGCAAGTGGGGTCGAAACCAGGACTGGGCCTGTTGAAACACCAATCGCAATTTGCCGTCGCGTCTGACCACTACAGGAGCATTTCATTAATGACCGAGAGCCTGGACCGACCGAATCCAAGCGCACAGGGGACGAAATAGAAGGACTCTCAAAGTAGAGTTAATGAAGGGCGTATTGCCTTGAAGCCGTTGACAAATTAATTACAATTATATATATATTCAAATATGGATGTGTATAAAAAAAAACTTGGGACGGTGGTGGAGCAAGTGGCATTTACTGCTATCTGATAACTACACGGCAACTGCACCTCCGCGCCGAAATGCTTATCAAGGATACAATGTACCACAGTAGTTTGCGATGATGATGACCTGGCTCTTCTATTTCACCCGGGTGTGAATCAACTCGCTCTACATTTGCTAAGACCCCTGCGAGTTGAGGTGGTATTCATGGCAAATGCTACCTAATGCAAGTTACGATCGCCGATCTGTCATAAATGATGAAACCAGAGTATATGCGCGTGTATTAGATAGACAAGGACTTGACGCACGCTCTGATTTGTTCCAAGTCTCAGCCCTGTAGGAATCTAAAATAACGGACTCCCATGAGTGATGATCGATGATCCGTACATATCCAAATTCTGCACGTAACGTAGGATGGCTTGGTCTAGTATATGCATCTACGTTTAAGCTTGTACTCGAGTAGAAACCCTATGCCGGGTATCGCGGAAATCCCAACCGAATGTGCCAACCACATATTGAATGCAGCTCGGCATTTTGATCATTGCTGTTTACGATCTCGAAATGCTCCATGTCCAAGTTGCAGCTCCGGCTGGAGTCAATTACACCGTGACTGTCAACCATCGTAAAATGAGCTCAACAATGTTTGCTTGGGTGCTTGTTGGCCATTTCTAACGATGTGACCTCGTTCGCTCTCAATTTGACCTTCATCGGCGAGCGTCCGTTAAGCGGAAACGATGCAGAGCTTCAATTTCATGTACGTATTGAGTTGAGATTTATCTCGTCTGTAGGATGGATTCATCAAAGCTCTGGCCCCAATATGAGATCGGCGGTTTGGGTATAAGCCGACTATACCGAACAAATTCCTCAGCCAAAAATGGCCATACGCGGAAGATAACATGACTCGTCAACCATATGCCAGGGCAACTATGCCGCAACCAATCATGAAAGTCTGCGTCGTCATCAGCGAAATGTGGGGACGGAAGTCGATTGAGGCAATTGAAAGCAAGGCTTCCGCCCGTGTAGCGTGACCCTCGGCCGAGATTCGAGATATGCCTCCGGGCCTTGCGAATCGCTGTTCTTCGCAGCCAACCTTACTTCCCGGTTCTTGCGATATCGAAAACTGCTAGCTGCATGAAATACCTTCTTCGCAGCAAGCCGCAATTTGCTAGTTTGATTATCTACATAAGTACTCAAAACATAATGGGGTCTTATAGCGCTATTCTTTGCATACAGTTGTTATGTTTGGTCCTAGAAGGTGGCAGTAGCATGGGCCGACTTGTTTACTTGCTCTAACGTAGGAGCTTGGCTACAATGGCAGCCAATGCGTGCCTGGGTAAGAAGATAATTTGTGAGTAAAGGGAGGGGTCTCTGGGTAGCCCTAGTTGCTGGTCACTGCCCATGCCTTCGCATGAATTACCTTTTCCAGCTTGGTGTTGGTTCCTTAATACTTGGGCTAGTTGGTTGCATCTCGATCTTCCGGCCGGCATGGCAAGCGAAGAATTACCCAATCCCATCATGTGAGGGAAGCATGAAGAATAATATGTCGCCGGCGTGCTCATATGTCGCCTGAACGACATCCTCATCTAATCGACTTGCGCCTCGGCGTCAATTTCTTTGCTTCCGCTTCGCCCTCATTCCCTTCCACTTCCATGCGATAGCCTCTTCCATTCTGGTCTCGGGGTCCCACAAAAGTGCCGTCTCTATCAATAGAACCGAGTGAACTCCCTCCATCGTCTTCAACATCACCTACTGTGCTGCGTCAACTTTGAACTGTTCTAGCAGTCACAGCCCGTATTCCACGACCAAGATTTTACCCACAACTCTTCTCGCAGACCTAGCGTCCACTCCTCCTTATCGAAGTCCGCCTTCAGAACTGTCATATAGATGAGCTAGTGGTTCAAGTCAAGTTTTCATTTACTGAAATAGATGATGGCGGGGGTCTAATCACCTCATCAAGTTGTATTCCAAATGATTGCATTAAGTTTCTCCGTCTTTACACCGAACACTCTTATGAGGCATTTGTTTATAGCATATCATACCTTTAGAGACGAAAACGAGATGCGCTCTCTACATGTGAGAAATCTCACGCTATTTTCCCTCTTTCTTTCATTCATATTCCTACGAGTCTCAAATTTAATGCGGAGCACTACGTAAGCTTACAGAGTCTGAAGAGTTAACCCACATAATCAGGAACATGAGAATATTCAGGATTCTTGGGTAGGGGAGGTTTCAGGCGTCCATAAATATCATAGAGAATGTCAAAGGATTGACACAAGGTGACATGAACGAGGGTGACATACCGCCGGCGGACTTTCAGCGTGTCGTTATTTGCAGTTCATAACATGAAGCGAAGCAGATGGACAGCTGGACATGCTCATGCCTACCTGTTAGGTATATCTTGAAGGACTCGATCCTTCCTGAACACTCGGGTATCTCAACGGTATGAACTATGAACAGCTATTGTTGTTGCAGGGTTGATCGTACTTGCGACACTCTAGTTGCACGCTTTGGCAGACGCGCGGGCCTCTATATTTTATCTAATCGTCCATATTGTGCCGGCGTCTTATCCGACGTACACTATCTTGGTGAATTCGGGAGGATCGGGGCGTCCGAAAGTGGTCCGAATCATCAACCCCTGGGCTGAGTAGTTAAACTATAACCTGAGAAACCATACTCTTGGGCGAATTGTTAACCTTCTAAAGCAACTTCAGGCACATAGTACTACGTATTGAGACTAATTAATATGTTTAGCTCCTTTTAACTTAGCAATCGTGCCTTGAAACAGCCTCCGTCCTCAAGTATTCAAAGTGCATCACTTGCACCGTCTGTTGCACAGAAGCATATCAAGTGAATGTAAGTCGTAAAGATACACGCGAGATACTTTAGTGCCCTTGTGAGGCTTGGACCCCCCACCTGTACTTCCCTTCTTCACCTTCGTATGTAGCCGGAATGCCAGTACTAGTGCGATCCCATAGTTCATCCCACATATTGGTATGATCGAGACTCATTATCTTACACCCATAATCACCAGTTGAAGCTCTCTTGCATACTTTAGAAACAGTTCATTCGATGGTCAACTTACGAGCCCACTTTCTCAGTGACTGCTGAACCCTGCAGAATCCACAATGCTGCGACATCAACTACTGCAACCCTTACGAACTCTGCGCAACCCCGCACTCGCCCCCCTTCTGTTTTGCACCAAAGCTCAACTAGTTTCGGAAGCTTTATAACTTAGCAATAAATTGTACAAAGCTCAGAAACATATAATTGAGAGAGATTTAGTTTACTAATACTTATATAATTAAAATATCACTAACTATAAGTTCCCGAATTCTTAAGTCATGGTTTATAAGCTATATCTAACCTAGCTACTAAGAAGTTTCTTAGAGAGAGATAGTCTTTGACGTTCTTATTGGATTAAAACAGTTAAACGCCTAAGTTTAACTACAAGTATCTGTGGGCCACGGTTATGCCCTAGTCCGAAGGCGGTGTAGCGGCAATTGTAGTCTGGTGGGGTCAGACCGCACACAGCCAACAGAACAGTAGAGATACACCAATGAAGACAGGATCTACGCAGACGTCGAAGGGCGCCACATACTAACCGCATTGACCACCTTTTTGCATGTACCCCCATTTTGCAGGGAATTTCTACGCCTCAACAACACGACGTCTCTCAATTTACCTCGAAATTGCTCCCTATCTACGTACAAAATGGCTAATCCAGTGGAGAATAGTCTGGACGATTTTGAGCAGCGAATCGAACGCGCTAAAGAGCTTGTCCGTCAGGGCTCTTCCCAGGCCGTAGCAGCTCATCGGTACGGTATCAAGGGGACTACACTGTCCTACCGTATTCGTCACGGTAATTCACATCGCGACGCGGCCTCCAGGCAACAAAAGTTGACTCCAGAGCAAGAGGAGGTTATCGTGAACTGGATCCTATACGAAGAAGTGTGTGGACGGGCTCCTAGCAAGCGTTATGTGGCCGACTTAGCTGCCGAAATCCTCCTTGCTCAAGGGGATAACAATACACTTGGCCAACACTGGGTGGATCGCTTCGTTAGCCGCCATCCACAGATAAGTACCAAAATTGGGCGCTCCGTAGATGCTAGCCGAGTTAGAGCGTCCGATTCGAACAAGATCCGAGACTTCTACACCCTCCTCGAACGCTTACGTACGAAGTATCGTATCAAACCCGACAACGAGTATAATATGGATGAGACAGGTGTCCAAGAGGGGGAATCTGGGCATGGTACGGTTATTGGGACGTCTAATTCACGCCGGGTACGCGTATCAAAGTCGGACGCTTCGTCGTGGTGCTCCTGTGATGCGAGTGCATATGGGGTGTGAATTGTTGTATTGGGAAAGGATGGCCAGGTCAGCTATTCTGGCCTGGCAGAGCTCGTTTATAGCTCTTATCTTATCTTATCTATCTTATCTATTGCTATAGGGTAACCCCCATGGGGTCACGTATCATCTTGGTTAGAGTACATTTCGCATACCCAACGGGGTACACCTGTCTACGTATTTTCCGGCAAGAGAGTCCAAGCACAGTGGTTCCCAGACCAAAATATCCCTGAGTGGGAATGTACCGCGACGAGTAAGGGCTGGAGTAATGAAGTTATTGTGACGGTTGTCACGTGATTGACCCACACTGGTCTGAACAGATTGATAAGTGGTTGCAGATACCAAAGTCCCTGACTTTGGTATTGGTCTCTTTTGGTGAAGACACCTGGTACGGTGGCGTAGTGGCAAGGATTGCAACCCCTGGCGCGGCGTGACAGTTATCGCAAATAGGTGGTTAGGTCAGATTTTTCTCCCCGAGACGAAGCCTAGGGGTACCGAATGGCGACTCCTTATCCTCGACGGCCACCGGACACATATTCATGCCGAATTTATGTGGAAAGCCTACTCGAATAGAGTCGCCGTGCTGTATTTACCCTCACACTGCAGTGACGATCTCCAGCCGTGCGATGTCGGGCTGTTCTCACCTTTGAAGACCTACTACCGCCAAGAGCTCAGGGCTTACGCTTCCTACAAGGCTACAGCCCTAATTTACAAGCAACGTATGCTAGAAGCATATCTACGTGCCTCGGAGAGAGCCTTTACTACGGAAAATATTAAATCTGGCTGGCGGAAGATTGGTATATGGCCCCTAGGCTTCGAAGGACTAGTCGACGTATCTTGTGATCCTCCGGAGCCTCATACACCAGATCCTCCGCCTCATATATCACCACCTTTAGTTGCTTTTACTCCTCAGAAAGCGCAGCAACTATCTAGCCAACTACAGTCGATAGAGAAAGCCGAGGGCGGGGTATCTCGTAAGATTCGTACCCTAGTAGGCAAGGCGGGCAAGGCCCTTACACTCCAGGCCGCCGAGAATGCCAAATTACGTATCGAAAACGAGCAACTATATAAAGAACTCGATAAATACGCTCCAGATATACGCCAGCCCGTCGAGCCAGACCCGAATAAAGTATTCGTTAACTTATCAGCGATCCGAACAGCCCAGGACAAGCGAAATAAGCGAATACGGCCTATTTTACCGGATAAGCAGTTAGAAATTGATACTTTTCTCGAAGGAAGGGTCCCTCCTAAAAAGAGGGCTCGAAAGAATATATCTAAGTCTTCGGACACTTAAATTAAGTATGTTCTGTATATAAATAATATGGACGAAGTATTTAAGTTGATTCAGTTAGACCCTGCAAAATGGGGGTGCATGCAAAAAGGTGGTCAATGCGGTTAGAGCCTGAGATAAAGCAATACGTAGGCTCAAGGCGAAATAGTGAAACCAAACGTGGGCGGAATCCAATACGGTCACTTCCACTGAGCTTGTCCCTAACTTGACTCAACTTGACGGGCGTACATCAAGTTTTGGGTTTGAGGTTCACGTGCAAGCGATGTCTGCTACGAGCAGTTGGTAATTTTCAGGGGTATATATTTTTGTGTAGAAAAGTTGAAAGTGAAGGAAGAAAGCAAAATCCCGACCCCAGCCTGTCCATGCCTTCATGCCATCGTCCCAATTTATGTGCAGCTTTTCACGCATGTCTCGTTCTATTCCTGTCATGTAATCCGTAAATGTGGTGGTGCATCGTGCAAGCTTTTGTCGCCGAGCTGGTCGTGCAGCTCATCAAATCCACACCCGTTAAGATCATTCACTTAATGTTACCTGCATCTCCCGCGTCCTGCGCAGCAGTGCGCCCTCGTCACCCTTGAAGTAACGACCGGTGTGGAAGCTATTATGAACGTCAGTCGCATGCCTAATGGTGTAGGGCTTGGCTCATTAGCTTACCTCCAGTGAAGACTTCCCAGCGCGACGTTGCGAATACCGTCCAGGTATCTCAGTACTTCTCGGTCAATTTCAGCGCCCCAGATGGGCATGTCTGCTAGCGCTCTGTACCAACGCCTGTAGCAGGCATCGAGCATATCACCGACGACGTCAACTGCTTCCTGCAATGACTTGCCCTGCTCTGCGCGGATGAGGTTGATGATATTTAGCTCCTCGCCTTCCAACTAGAAGCTAGTTAGGGTTGGTTCCGTCTAAGGCTGGGTTGGTTTTCCATGCTTACCAGATCCTTCTTGTATGAAAGAAGATCGTTGTCGCTAGGAATCTGTTAGCAACGCGCAGCAGCGACATCCTCTGGATTTCGCTTACAGGAGTACCAAGTCAACAGCCACTTCTTGGCAGGCTTGGATAGAAGGATGATCCAGGACTGATTGGGGGATTTTGATTCCTTCAGCGTATCTGCACAATGTTAGTCAATGCGTCTGGGCACCATCACCAAATGGATTGGCATACTCCACAAGACAGAAGCATGGGTAAGCGCCAATGGTTCCTCTTCGGAACTTCAGGTAGCCTTGCACCCCGAGTTTGGCAATTTCGGTGTCTCGAGCCCCAACTTGGCCCAAGCAACCGAGCATGTAGTGCTTCAAGCATTTTTTGTAGCGGTGTTGTAGCTCTGTGTGTCCGGATTAGCACCAAGGTGTGTCCGCGATACCGCGTCGAGGCACATACCTGGAGATGATCTCTGCGCAATAGTGGTCAGCGGAATTCTCTCGGTCCCCGGGTTCAATCTGTGCTTACCTCTCTGAATCGATACCAGTTGACCTGGAACGCGTACCGTATAGGATACTCGTCGGGCGAAATGGCAGGATGCGAGTCGTCGAGCAGTGAAATCATGTGGATGATCTCCTCTGCTGCCGCGACTGTGTTTTCTTTGAGGTGGCCTTCGTCGAATTCTGGAAACATGTGTGAGTATTCAATTAAGAAAAATGTTGCAGAAGCACGTACGGTCATCCCAAGGAAATGCCTACAGCCAGAAATTGTTGTTAGTTTATGCCTCCACGTCGTGTGAGTAAGGAGAGAGAGGAACAAACCCAATGTTGCCAATCCACCAGTGTCCGAAGCGCTTCAGCATCGCCATTGGGAGCCCAGAACGATACCAGGTAGGTGAAATCGGCTCTGGAGTTGCGATGGGCCGCTTTCTCGTCGTACCCCAGAACGCTTTGACATGATCAGCACCGACTTGGTCATGGCGGTTATGGGGAAATCTTTACCTGGCAATCCAAGTATCCGCTTCAGCTTTGACTTGCTTATAATGCTGGTTCATTCGTGGCTCGATGGACATGAAGGACGAGAAGGTGTCTGGCAAGAATAGCGTGACGTCCCTTTTCACCAAGGCCTTGGGACTTTCAGGAGGCGTCACATTGCCACTGCGGGGACTGTAGTGAGCGACTGTCGTGTCCATGTCTGGCGAAGGGAGCAAGCTGGGCTTGATGGATGTCAGCAAAGCTGATTCTACTGTCAACGAAGCCATTTTGAGTCAGGTTGTTCTTCTCAAGTCAAATTGGTCTTGATCGTGATCGTGAGAATGAGAAAAGAGCAAGACGGAGGGGCGTGAGAAGGACTTTAGCAACTGAATTCTCCACCAAGAGCCATACATATATCTTCTGATCTGGACAGTTAACCCATCGATAAACGCTGACTAGGATGAGCAGATCTAGGACCCAGGTTTCATACCCCTCCCGCAGGTGATTTGATATAGCAGGTGGAGCAAAAGCTCGACTGCCCTCTTGCGTGAAGCTGGAGCAGAGCCAAGTCCGCCGCTCTGCTCTTTTGGGTCGCCTAAGTGGGCAGCCTACGATAATGGCTATAGACCTCGGCGGCAAACCATGTGATATCATGCGGGCCACGGTAATGGATTTGCCACAGTTCCCCGTATACAGTAAAACATTAGCGGTGAACGAGCCAATATTATGCGGGAGCTCCCTCTACCCCTGAGACGGAGGCATTTTAGTATAGTTCCTGCTGCTGCAGCGATGGCGCGGTATCGCCCCATAATAGTTGGTCCTCATCCCGCTGTTGTAATCAGGGCCCAGATATCAGTTATCAGGGCATGAGACCCATGAATCAACGAAGCGTAACGTAACGTAAGGCTGTGCAGGTTGAAAGGATCTTGATGGCAGCGATTGACGTGTTGGCCGCCATCGAGCATTCGGCAGGTGAAGCCCAGTATGCTCACATTGAAAATCCTCGCACTGGATTTTGATGATGAGCCGACATGCAATCATGATAATTATGCAAGTAGGTTTCCCAAGTTCCCCGGATTTATGTCCAACCACCGTTGGGACCTTTGTGTCGCCTCGTATGGGATTGGGTCCCAACTCAGGTTACGGAGTAGTTGTAGGCAAAACTTGACCTTCACTAGCACGCCCCACAGCGTGGTCTACCTGAGTCAGGTCGTTCAGGAATAGATCCACAGATTCAAGGAGTTTGCAACTCGGTTACGAAATCGATACAGACGAAGCCGGAAGAAGTGATGAAGCCCGCATCGCGGTGGTCCAGTTCCAAAATGGCATCATCCACCGGCGTCGAGCTCTGGGCCCCTTCCCGCGGTGGCTGTTGGTAAACTAACGAAGTCAATGAACATAGACCCGGGCGTCCTAATGCGGTCGGGAATTGGGCCTGCAGAAGGGTTAGGATAATTCAGCAAATGGGGGCAGGGAGTTCTCATTGGGCCGACTGTATCCAGGACGGTTCCATGTTTCGGCCCGGCAATTTCAGGACCAGTTAGTTGATCGGAAGCAAAGATAAGATGATGACTGCTTTCGTCGGCAGGTAGTATTTTGTGGGATTGCGTGGTCAGGTGGTATCGAATGATACTTCGAGTGACTTCAGAAATAGCAATCGTCGATTTTAGCCTCGCGGGTAGATCAGCCGTAAACAGATCCCTGGACCGGGGAACTTCAGGAGCGGTAATGTCAAACCCCTCGGGCCGTATGCACTCAGCGCATGAGATTTATTAAGTGCCGCAAATATGCCGGTGGCTGGATTGAAGTACCTCAGCTGGCTGGCTGGTTGTTTTGGTTCGATTTTCTCAATGATTGGATCACGGTTGTTTGCGCGACTAAACATCCTCGCCTTCCTCCTGGATGCCCCGAAGTTGGCAGCTTGGTTTCAACCATAGTGCGGCTCTGGTGGCCCGATTGCTACCGACTACCATTGTTTGAGTATGGTTCAGTCTAGCACGTTTGCAACCTGCAGGGTCGCCTGCAAGGGCTGGGTGACATGGCTCTGGGCAGGGGCTAGCGCCAACGATGATTTTGGCTTCCCGAGTAGGTAAGCTGCGTAGGTAGGTACCAGCGGATACATGTCCGCTCCTGCTGCCAGTGCAACTTCAACTTTTAGCGTCGAACACCTACCGTAGTCTGGTTGAACTGTCGCCACATTTGCGCCGAGGCACCAATGTCCAACTAGTCCACAGGGTGTGCAAGTAATTCGCGAATGAACACGAGTAGTTGGGCCCAACTGGATGGATCAGTTCACCGCTTCATCATTAGCGTTTCCGCGGCATGTCGGCATCAACGTGTTTGCAAGGGCACACAGCACATAAAGGCCCTTGTCCACAGCATTTGTGACAGGTCGTTGCTTGGCGTTGGCTTAAGAAATTGAGAGCAGCGTATGGACAGTGGCACTGGCCACCGAAAGGCAGAATTAGGCAAAATCAAAAACATTTTTCCCTCATTCATGGTTCATCGTATGACACGTTGGGACCGGGCCCCGAGTCATTCAAAGCGCAGATATGGCTTTGCTGCGAAGGCTGGGCTTGGAGCTTGAAGCTCGGAGGTCTGGGTTGGATTGCATGTCCTGAGGCCCTAAGCCCCGTCGCTTCGTTCGTCGCTTCTGGCGGTTCTGGCGATTCTGGCCATTCTGGTACTGCGCTCTCCGCATCGTGGCTTCTTTGCTAAGCTTGCACCATGAAGAGAATCAGGCTGGCTCTCGCCCGGATGACGCGGGCTCGTAAGCCTGCCTCGTTGGAACCGGGACCGGCTAAGACGATCGAGTCGAGTTTCGTTACTTCTTCAACCACCTTGACCCCATCAACGAGGCGCAACTCGTGGGACGACGATGTCGGTGGGCCGCTCGTCTTGTACGACGGTACTGCTCGGGGAGACGAGGACCACAGTTTTGACATCGTCTTCGTCCACGGCGTCGGCGGACACCGAATTCGTACGTGGGAGAAGGACGGCGTGTGCTGGCCTCGGGATCTTCTGAGTCGGGAACTCGAAGAAGCAAGAATCATCACGGTAAGTCGACTGGAGTTGAGTTGAAGATGGGGCTATTAGTAATGTATCCTATACAGTGGGGCTACTACCTCCCCGATGCCAATGGCGACAAATCAACCTACGGCTCTATGGCAGCCCTTATAAGTGATGGTCTGATCGCGGATCTGGCTATGGTTTGCGACCAGCCTCGCGATATCATCTTCGTCGGCCATGGACTGGGCGGACTGGTCATTAAGGAGGCTCTCAGCACCGCCGCCACCTCTCAGGTGTTCGGCAAACACACCGAGCTGGGCAACATCTACAACAGGACCATTGGCGCCATTTTCCTTGGGACGCCTCACATCGGTAACCGAAAGCAATCGCTGGGGGACGTTGTCGCTGCCGCCGCCCAGGTCGAATATCAACGCGCGAATCCTCGGTTGTTCCAGCTGCTCAGAGATAACAATGACCTCTTTGAAAATCAACGCGAGGAATGGGCAATGTGCTCCAGGGATATGCAGGTAGTGTGTGTCCGGGAGCAGCTTCCGACACCAACAGGAGGGGTAGGTCCATTTCCGTAGAGACTGTGGGCAAGACGAGTACTTATCCGACGACCGCACAGATGGTGCCCAAAAGCACTAGCCACTACGAGGGCTTGAATGTCACCACTGATGATATCGTGGCCGACCACATGGATATAGCCAGGTTCTCCAGCAGACGGGATGCAGGGTATTTCCAGCTTGTTGGTCACATCAGCAAGATTTCGCGAAATACCAAATTGGAGCGTGAGTTTCCCCCAGAGACCTGCGCATTTACAGACGGGGGAGGGGTAGCTGATGTTCACTTCAGAGTCGGAGGCGAGACTTGTACGCAACCGAGGTAAGTAAAGCACGGATTTCTTCATTGCGTGTTTTGAAGTATACTAAGTAAAGCCCCTGCAGAGATCCTGGATACTCTGCAATTCGATACCCGAGAGAAGGAAGAACAACACGACGATGCCTACAGGCAAAGCTGTTCCTGGCTTCTCTCGACCGGTGAAGATGCGCAATCCCCGTCGGCATTCCACGAATGGCTCGAGGCCCCAGGATCCTCCCTGTTCTGGATGAGTGGCCGAGCTGGATCAGGGAAGACTACCCTGATGAGGTATGCATTCCACGATCCGCAAACACGTCGGCATCTTGAAACATGGGCCAACGGCGCCGATCTTATCATGGCGGCAGTATGCCTTACCGAAAGTGGTAGCCATGTGCAGAGATCACGGGAGGGCATCCTTCGCGGCATACTATTCCAAATCCTAAGTATAAGACAGGACTTGATCCCCATATGCTTTCCGAGCTTTATAAAGGGCCCATGGCCTCCTCCTGTCCCTTTCAACACGACCCTCAATCTTTCCCAAGCATTCTTCCAGCTCTTTTCCCGCATGTCCAAAACCCTAAGACTGTGCATATTCATCGACGGCTTGAACGAATATCGCGTTGCAGAAAACGGCGGGCATGATGACACATCGGAAGCCGATACTCCAGGCCAATCCACGGACGGAGAAGGAGGCAATACGCTTGGTTCCAGAAAGTGGCTAAAAGACTCTCATCGTGAGATTGCAAAGCTCATCACGGATTTGGGGAGCCAAGACCATGTCAAGCTTTGCGTCTCGAGCAGAGAGTTACCCCCTTTTGAGACCGAGTTCCGCGGGCTTCCCCGGCTCCGCGTGCATACCCAAACCGAGAAGTTCATCGCGAAATATTGTGCGGAACGGCTGGAACAAGTGATCCCCGGGTTGTCTGCTAGCCAAACTGCCCTGTGCAACGAACTGGCGCGCAAGTCTCGCGGTGACGTCATCTGGGCCCTTAATGTCATTAATATGCTGCTAGAGGGTTCACTGAAGAAGCTCAACTCAACTCTAGACTCCTTGCCCACACATCTCGGTGGTACGAACGGACTTTACATGCGCATAATCGAGAATCTCCATCGCGACCAGCAACGTCAAGCATGCAGAATATTCCAGATCGTACTCCAGGCACAGGATCCGCCTTCGCCGATCATGCTTGCCTTCGCCGAAGAAGGATACCTAGCGCCAGCGCGGGTGATCGCAAAGAACCCGCAGTTGGGCGAACTGCTAGTCTCGCATGACAACGTGCGTCCGTACAGCATTAAGGAGCTTGGACGCATCCGCGATCAGATGGAGAATCGCCTGGCCGGGAGCTGTGCCGGTCTGTTGGAGATTGAGGCGGGTCCTACGAGCACAAGTGGACGCGTGGTATTCAAGCACATGACGGCCAAGGAGTTCATCATCCGGAGAGAAATTTGGGACAAGGTGAACATAGAACCACCTAACAAGGTCGAGATTAACTTTTCCCTCCTCAGCGGGACGATCCGGCATCTGAAATGTTTCACTGCATTGAAGTCACCCCTGGTGTTGCGGCCCAAGATCGTGTTCCACCCCGAGTTCTGGCTAGGAGTCGCGAGTGCGCTGAAGTACGCTGCTCGTGTCGATGAAGAAACGTTCGATCACACGGCTTACTATAACCTCCTGGACGAGCTTGACCAGATCAGCAACGAAATTTGGAACACTGCTTTGAGGCAGCATGTGCCACCAGTCGACGACTTTGAATGGAACCAAAAGACATACCCGGCCCTCGCCCGCCAGCATTGGGCGTCGTTTGAACCCATGGACTTGGGTCCGTCGCCTAAACGCAACGACTTTCTGTGCCTGGCAGTTCAAGCAAACCTCGTCAACTACGTCGCTGCCAAGCTGGGCCAACTGGAAGATGACGCTAGACGTGCAAAAGCGGAGGAACTTTTGGAATATGCAGCCAGCCCCGAGGGCGATTCGGGAACGGTAAGCGGACCTTCGGTTCCGGCCTGCGTGTCTCTGACAGGCAGTTATAAGGATTTCCACCACGACATGCCGGATTCAAGATTTCTCGACCTCCTGTTCGATTCCGGGGCAAGTACCGCAGCCCCCAAGGGGCAGGGAGCCTGGCTCAAAGTGCTGAAGGCAGGGAACCGGTACTTCTCGCGTCAGAACACCGCGGAATCGAATATGAAAGATCGCAACTTGGTGCAGAACCGTCAGAGATGGGTTGCCGCCGTCATTGCCCTCCTGGCGCACGGCGCAGACCCAAACGTCCAAATTGAACTGAGCCAGAACGCAAATGGGGAGGGGTCGACGGAGATCCGATCGGCCATTGAGGTCATTCGGGACATACTGGAAGGTGAAATCGAGTACACCAGAGACCTGGTCCGCATAGAGGCGTTGGCCATGGGAGTCAAGGCAGAACATGTAGGTGCCTAGCGGGTCAAGTAGGAATAAAAAATAGGACTTAGGGTTCATTTTGGTGTGGTTGTTGGACCACATACCTGAGATCCGGAATGCTTACTAGAAGGCATGACATTGTATGATGAGAAAGGGCTGGAAGAGCTAGAAGAACACAGAGACAAAAGTAAACTGACTCGTGTTGCAGAGATGATGCTTGTTTGCGGGATAGATGCGGGTGGTAGTACAGTCTGAGCATCAGAAATTAATACCAAGCCATCTTGGTCATGCATAGCAGTGATTTGGTGAAAGGATCACTTACCCAAAATGGCCAGCGGGTTGGCAACGGTGGCAACATTGGCGTCTTGGTAATCTCCTCTCTCTAGCATGGCGAAATAGAATCACAGTAGTGTTCCTATCTGCAACGCCAGTATGCAATTCATGACGGTATGATACGTCGAAGGGTAGTCCATTCCGTATTTCCATGATTACTCGAGTACTCACTCATCATGTACAACTTTCAGCCGATATATACTATTTCACCCCGATGCGAAAAATCGTCTCTTCATTGATGTCATACATGTAACCGATGAGGAGGTCTTTCAAGATTTCTACTAGCCTCCAAGCGTTCACCAGACGGTTTTCCTGCGATTCCATCTTCCGGAGCCCAAGCAGATCCGCCAATTCCACCATTGCCTCCCACAGCTGATCCTCATCGCGATCCACCCACCGATGCCCATCACCACTCCCTTCAAATACTCAACAAATGGCCTAAACTCGGGATCACACACCTTCCCCTCACGCGGCAGATCGCCCGTCTGGAAATATGTTCGCACCGCCTTCCCCCCCTGCAAAACGACGGGTTTGAGTGCGAGCAATGGCCCTCCGAATCCTGCTGCAATAACACACTTCCAGGGAATAGAGCAGCGATCCCCCGGGCATTCGGCAGGGGTGCTGCGGTGACCTGTGCGTTTCCGATAATAAGCAGCAGGTAGGAAGTATTCTGCCCCTGCCGAGTCTCGAAATCCAAATGAGGTGTCCAGGCGGGTGCTCGGCCAGGGCGAAGGAAAAGTACATACCGCCGAGGTGCAGATGGATGTCACCGTCAGTGATTAACTCGGGCCCTGCAACGGTTGAGTGTCCCGGGAGCAAGGAGGTAGGAATATCTACCGGGATGGAGCCGGGTTTTCTCTTCAGGTATATCATGACGTCGGTGAACTTGGCCTTGATATTGTCTGCCGAGCTTCATGTATACAGAGGAAAGTTTTCAGAACCGCTCATGGAATAGTCGTCGCAAAACTTTCGGATGACATTGTCCGAATCCTGTACTTGCCTGAGCCAGTCCCATGAGTAGTGGTCTGCTGGATCGATAACTACATAGCCAACTTTGCCTGAATGTATGGTCGTGAAAGTAGCGCCCAACGAAGTCCCGTAACTGACTCCCCAGTATTGGAGTTTCTCCTGACCAGGGTGATATGCCGTTCTTCCAGTACTTCTTTTTGCTTCTCGCTCCTTTGCATCCTAGCCGAAGTTATTCCACCATCAACTCAGCCTCCTGTGCCCTCAGATTAAGTGAGTATACAGGGTTCTCGCGGATACCTGTTACAATATCAAGATTGGCCTATATTCGATCGGCATGCGTGAAATAGGTTTATCAATAATGGGCCACAGGTACGAAGAGAACATACATATTCATGCCTATTGGTTCCTATCCATACAGCTTTAGGATAGGGACCATAAGCATATTTACCTAAATCGCGCTTGTGATCTAGCTATATTTTACTGGTAGGATCATTGTGTGAAGCTAATACTTATTACTGCTGTTTGCTAACGAAGAGTTAGTAGTTCACCATGAGGGGAGTACGAGCATAATTAGATGATGTACCTATCAAGTAAGCCAGTATAATTATATATGTAGCTTTAGACGTACCAGTTTAGTTTCCGTAAGCACATCTCAACCAGATGCGTAAATACGCCCCACCTGAAGCCGTTGTGTCAAACTACCGCCTTCGCTATGTTACTTTTATAGGCTGGAAGGGCATGTATATGAATAGGAAGGACTTGGGTAGGTAGTTTAGCTCCTGTACGGGATAGTTTACCTGTGATGCGTGCTACTAGGGGGGATTCACCTAACCAGTGGGTCCCCCTACCTTTGCTTATCAGTCCTATTTATTATATAACAGATAATATAGTATGTAGTGAATTTGCTGTTGAGATCTAAGTTTGGAATTAATCTAGGGTTACGTTGGGCCACGACTAGACATAACTGTGTGCGTTACATGCACACCGCACTAGTATCTGCATAAGTAATTTTATAGGATTAAGGAAGTCTTGTGTTACCAGGGAACCGGATCAAAGAAAACCCTCGCCTAACTAGTAGCTCGCGCCGGGTTAGTGCTAATACTAGCCTCACCTCCTTGTATAACTCCTCCCAGGGTTTCAACGTTAGTGCAAATGTATCCTCACATAGCTAGTAATTATTAGTCGTTCCGGACTATAAATATCGACATATTTTGGAAGCGCCAAAATACGCTACATTACGTTTAGGTACTTGTGGAATTGAGCGCCACAGTTGTGCCCTAGACCGAAAGCGGTGTAGTTGCTAGTGTAGATAGTGGGCCAGACCCTTCTTTATAGAGAGTTAGAGCACCTCAGAGTCTCCCAACACCAACCTACGTAGCACAATGCGTTGAGCGGGCATAGCGTTCACTACGATATTCGTCCAGAATCATCAATTTAGGGCCGATACCATCACTCCTAACATAGAACTTTCGAGAAATCGGCACTTTCAGAATCGTCCCCTTTCATAAGACTCGAATATCAACAACCCCAATTCAAACGTTATTTCCATCGCAAACAGAACAGCTACGACTTCATTCATATAATATGAATACTCCTCGACGTCTATTTTGAAATAAGCTAATTTTAACCAGCCCAAGCTTATACCATGTCGAGCGAATAGAATATCTTCAAGATAAACCTGTTTTAAGGTCACGAAAGCTCCCCTATTCGAGAGACTCCTCACGAGATCGCGCCATATCATAAGCATTTATTAAGGCATGACAGTCTTGAAGTATGTATTTTAAAGGACCTTACTAGCTGGATATGCGAGAGAATTTCTGGAGTAACTGGCAACTCCCTAAGGTAATACGAGCTGAGTATACTCAGGTTACTCTCTACAATGAAGAGCTAGAGAGCTGTAATTCGATCCTCGTGGCTGACAAAAGGGAAACTTACCATAACATGAGGTAGCGTAAGCGCAGCTGTCATGCCTCACATCGTACTCACAACGGCCCGCTCGATAGCATGGTGGTGGGCCTGCCAGCTTGAGTAGACTCACTACTAGACAATAAGTTCGCTGCCATATGATCACACTTTGTCGAAAATAGACTCGCGCAAGTTTCACACATCAATCAAGACTGCCGCCAAGTCTCTCAACTGGACAGCATCTTTGTAATAATTTTGTGATTCAAACCCCTTCTCCGGCAGATTGTGACGACGATAATGACTTTGGGCCCTTTGTTCGAAGATTGTCAACTCGGATTATTCCCCAGCCCTGTCGTTGTCAACGTGCAACCGCGAGTGGCAGAGCTTATTTTAGACACGTATGCCACCATCGTGTAGAACCTACTTGAAGCAAGACCAGAATATGCATCCAGCACCGTGTCTTCGTTGACAACAAAACGCATGGTCGGGAACAAGCGGAAAGCCAGACCCAACAGCAAGGGATGGAATATAGAGGAAGTCTGGCTCCACATTCTGATACGGAGAAATGCTGAAACTGGACATTTCGCTACTGCCATCGACTCCAGGGATGGGTAACTCGGTTACACCGAGTTGGTCAACCTTTCAACGTTTTTATGCCGCCAAGGTGTCGGACCTGATATGGCGGTTTGCCTGTTATTCGAGAAGTCAATGTGGGCCATTGTCACAATGCTTGGGGTGTCGTCAAATCGGAGCTTTCTTCATTCCTCTTGGTCCTCAGAACTCCCCTCAGAGGTTGAGCTGACTTGTACAACTTAATGGTACATCCGTTGGAATAACCTCATCACAGCAAGTCCGTATTTGCGAGTTCCTCTTCACAAAGAAGCCAATCGTGGTGGACGAGAAGACTACTGGCACCTGCCATGAACTTCCTAAAGCATTCTATCCGACTGAAAGCTCCAGTTGAGCTAATTACGCGGCATACATACCTTTCACCTCGCCAAGCACCAGAGGACTAAAGGTGTGTAGTATTTAGGAACTACCCAGGGCAAATTCGGGATTGGTCTTCCACGCGCCTTCATAATACCAATACAGACCCCCAATATTCGGGATCCGGCAGTAAATAGCCTGTGAACTGTCAGTACCCGGTTGGTTACATACAAACAGGGAATTACATGCCTTTAGCTTATACTTGGCTATCGACACCTTTCAACTGCACGGTCATCACTAACCAACTGGGGTTCTAATCCGATTTGTCCATTCCCAATTGCAGAATTGACAAGGGGAGGTTCATCCAGACATCATAATCGTGGTGTCTGCATCTGTTCAGCAGATTAATCAAGCCTCATACTTTCATGCTAACCATTGGCAGCATCATGACCGTACTCCACGCATCACCAGCTCACGAGCAGACACTTTCTTGGAAGCGGCGAAGCGGGCATGTAATCTTCTCAGCACTGTGGACCATAGTGTCTTGGTGCTCACCCCATTACGTACTTGAGTACATGGTCACCGATGAGGGCATGGGTATATGGACTCTTCGTTGTGCAGCTTGCATACGGCAGTTGTGGAATGCTCGGTTCCTCGCTAGCCGGTGGGGTGAATAACGAGGCCACTGAAGCACTAGGTGTAGGAGCATTGTTAACTGGAACCACTATGTGCCTATATGGCATGACCCCTGTTATAGGAGAGTAGTCATGCCTTCCCAGTGCTATAGTGTCATCATTGAGCGTTGGATATTGTACTGCTTCGACTTCTGGTTTTCCCATGCAAGTCAATAGCTCAAGGGTGCGAGCCCGGCTAAGCTGATTATTTTGGCGACGAAACTCACGGTGATTATAGTAGAAGCCTTGTTGTCTTCTTGGGCTGTGCGGATGGCTACTTAAGTATGGATGGGATATGATTAAAACCCGTCATTCGAACAATGTTTGTTAGCCTCGGGAAATCATCAGCCGTATCCTCGAAATATTTTCGGTATAATTAATACGTCTGGATAAAGGGCGTTGCCGAATATTTCACCACTTTTAAGTAGACATAGAATGCGAAGAACAAGACACAGTTGCATAGTTAGTGCCTTCCTGTCCATGAACCAACATATGTGGATAATTGGGGACCCGAGCGAAACGCGCATTGCCAAGTTGATAATATTCGCGACCGCGGGACATGTAAGTCTTTCAAAGACGGATATTGATACCCGATAGGTCGTGAGATCATTAGCACTGCTTTCGGAGTCGTAGGAGGTTGATCCTCCAAGAAAGAGGGGATATGTTCAGCTGCGGGGAAATCATAATCTATCTAATCACTCTCAGTCTGAATTCAACGTCACTATCATCAACCACAAGGACATTCAGGTATTCCTCCTAGTGAGTCGAAAATGAAGCTCATGACTCGAAATGTAGTCGTTACCGCCAGGACAGTGTCGCGCCAACATTCTGGACTGAGAGTTGTACTGCCTGGCTCCCGTACCAGCTTCTCTACCTCCAATGGCGCCCTGGCTCCAGTTTCGTATCTCAGTCGGAAGTCTAGCGAGGGAAAGAACGCAATCGTGACTGGGTCCAGTCAGGGTATTGGAAAAGCCATTGCGTTGCGTCTGGCTGCCGACGGATACAATGTTTGTATCAACGATATCAGTGCCAACGCCAAGGGTTGTGCCGTAGTTGTGGACGAGATCAAATCTATGGGCAGAAAGTCATGCTCTGCCATTGCTGATGTCACCAAAAGAGACGAGGTACAACAGCTGGTCCAGATAACTGTGCGCGAACTGGGGCCGCTCCACACCATGTAAGTTGAAACTCGTCGAACTCCTTCGTGCCTCTTGGTCTGCACGACCGACTGACTAACTACTCAATCCCCAAGGGTCGCCAATGCCGGCATTGCCCAGGTCAAGCCAGTGCTCGATCTAACAGAAGAAGACTTCCAGCGCATGTTCGCAGTCAACGTATTCGGCCTCCAGAACTGCTACGCCGAGGCAGCCAAGCAGATGATCGCCGACGGCGTGGTTGGACCAGACCATCCAGGCAAGCTCATCGGCGCATCATCCATTGTGGGCTTCAGATCCATGGAGATGCTGTCGCATTACAGCGCAACAAAGTGGGCAGTGCGGGGACTCACGCAGGCATATGCGCTGGAAATGGCTGGACACCACATCACTGCCAATGCATACGCCCCTGGTATCGTGGGCACGTCCATGTGGGATCTAATTGATGCTGGGATGGCGAAAAAGAAAGGCCACAAGAAAGGGGACGTGATGAGGAAGCTTGCGCATGAGAGGACGACTTTAGGCCGTGTTAGTGTTGCCGAGGATGTATCTAATCTGGTCAGCTTCCTGGCGAGTCGTGATAGTGATTTTGTGACTGGACAGACTCAGATCGTGGATGGTGGTATTGTGTTTACGTAGATGGTAACGAGACTTTGCCTAATCATTTCATTGGATAACTTGTATTCAACTCCAGTGCTATTAGCTACATATAATAAAGTGGATACAATTGTCTGGATTTAGGTCTGGCTGATCACAACATTGGTTTGTGCTACAGCTACATGTACCACAATCCAACAAACGGAGTGGTATACTGGAACAGGTACTATGGGGCATCTCAATATAATTTAGTAATGATACCCGTCTTTCTCATGCTGTGCTGTTGGAAAATCTTATGCATTTGTGTCTTATTCGCTTATAACGTCACTATTTCAGATCGAACATAGGCTGCCGTGCCTCATCTGCAAAGCTTTGAGGTGGGCCCGAAGTAATGTATACACAGTAAAAATGATCATTGCTCTGGAATTAAAAATACCTAAGACCGTGTAGTGCAGTGCTTGCATGATAACTTTAGTATCGTCATCTAGTAGCGTCAAGCAGGAGGTGTCGGTCTCCCCCCAACACCTTCTTCCTTTATACCCCCGTTTACCATATTCTTCTTCTCTATCCCTTCGAACCCTGAATTCCTACTGCCGTGTTTTATATCTCCGTTAAAACTTGTTCTCAGTGGCTGGTGTAAGTAACGAACTTTTGTGTCCCAGATATCTAAATTATTGGTGTCTTATTCATAGATTTGTATACTAGTGAGAACCCCATGGCATCTTCATTACCTAATTTGTAAGGCACGTTGGTTTGGAAACCCCAGTCACAAAAGGCTGCCAACTGATGGTCTCATAGGCTCGGCCCCCCCCTCCGTGGGGGAATTCTTGGGGCTATGTTGGATTTGGCGAAGACAGCTGGTGGAACAGCTAACATGTCGTCATATAAATCATAATCGAAAATATTGAGGTGTCATTCGGAAGTGGGAAAAGAAAGAAATTTCCCACTCCATGAACATCTCAAGCTCTGACTTATTTTCATCGAGTAAGATGGCTGCTAGGGACGGGTCGGACAGCTTCAAGCCCCAGATAGCATCGATCTTCTCAGGGGGGACTTTGTTGGTAGGTTGAGAACCAACGTAGTATGGTAGTGAACGCAACGCAGTCGCCAATAGGGCGAACCGACGACGCAGCGTATGTATTTAGTCCAGCCATTAGGGCACGGTTTGACATACGGGAGTACTAGTAGAGGTACCGGGGGCTTCGAGCCTACGGCGTATTTAATAATAATAATATTTTCATCGACTGTCAGTTTTCGCCATCTGCGTTGACTTGAAATTTCCTTTGAAATCTCCTCAGCGATTGGCATACTATCAAACAGGGAACTTGATAACTAGGCAAACATTGTCCAGGCCCGAGTATGGCCGCCATCCTCCTCCTTGACCTCCCGGGCAGACACCCATGGCCTGTGGTCCTCGGTGTCCTCGCCGCTTGGTTGCTCGCCTCATACTTTCACTCCTGGTACCGTCTCAGACACATCCCAGCGCCCTTACCCACCTCGATCACGGACATATAGCAGTCAACCATCACTTCCAGTGGCAAGATATGGCATACTTATCGTGAATTTCCCGAAAAGTACGGCCCTCTGGTCCGCATCGGTAGCAACACGATCATTACTGATGATCCCGTCATTATTCGGAAACTGGGAGCGCCTAGGGAAACTCACAAGAGGGGATCATGGTACAAAGGAGCTCGGTTGAACCCATACAATGACCACAGTACGTAGCATGATTGGCTATTTCCTGTCTTGGTGTTCTGCGTGCACCAGAGAAAAACCTCGCCTGATAGGCTCTGTGTCAGAAGCCTTTACTTTCAAGACATAACTCGAGACACTCAAGTTAGTGCTTGATATCTCCAAAATTGTTGATGCTAACTCCGTTTATTCCAGTGCTAAGTATTCTGGAAACCAAGACCCACGATGAGAGAAAGGCCAAGAGCGCTGGTGCGTACAGCGGGCGAGAGACCCCGTGGCTGGAAGCCAGCGTCGATGAGCAAGTCAATGCAGTGTTGGATCTCATCCGTCGCTAGTATCTCCCGTCGACTGAATCAGCCAAGAGGCTCCACCTTCCACTTGACTTTGCTCAGTTATCGGCCTATTTCACCATGGATGTCATTTCCAAACTCGCCTTCGGGGAGCAATTCGGCTGTTTGAGGACAGATTCCGACTATACTGGCTTCATAACTTCAGTGCGCTCTACCTTGCCCCGAATTGGGATGCTAACCGATCATCCATGGCTCCGAGCCATATTTTTCTCTCGGCTGTTCCTGAAATACTTCGGTCCTAAAATCTCCGATCCCACGGGCGTGGGGAAGATGATGGGGTATATCTCTATGCGCACGCTCAGTAGACAATTAGATCTTATGCTTACACGTACAGGGTTGCCCACGAACTTGTTGTGAAACGTTTTGAGCCAGGTGCTAAAGATGAAAAAGATATGATGGTGCGTGGTTATAGGGGAACGACTCCTTTCTGTGCCTTCTGACAGTTAACTCATACCTACAGGGCACATTCATCTGTCACGGTATGACGCAGGATGACTGCGAAGCTGAGGCGCTCCTTATGATTACGGCTGGCTCTGATACATCAGCGGCCATCAGGTCGGCTGTGCTTCGCACCATAACCAATCCGCTTATCTATCAGAGTTTCAAGGCGGAGATCAAGGCGGCAGTTGACGGAGGCAACGTGTCAAGCCCCATCTCCTACAAGCAAGCGCAGAAGCTTCCCTATTTGCGTGTAAGTGACTTTACCAAAAGGCTAACCCACTTTGTAACCCCATTTTCCATGACGCCATGACGGGTTCTACAATAGAGGAAACCGCACCGATCAGCGTATATCATTAAGCGCATCATGCTTGCATGAATTTCCCCAGGCAATTATGTATGAAGGAATCCGCATGCGCCCACCAGCCCCGGGAATAGCGCCCAAGACTATCGGTCTCTCGGACGAGACCATGCACGGAAAGTACCTCCCACTGGGGACGCTAGTTGGACACAACATGTCCGGTTTGCTACGTTCAAAGAAGCTCTTCGGAGAAGACGCCGATGAGTTCCGTCCCAATCGTTCGTTTCATGGAGCTTGATGCCCCGGCCCGGGCCAAGATGGAGCAGAACATCGAGCCCGTGTTTGGGTATGGGAGGTGGATGTGCGCCGGGAAGCCGATCGCCTTCATGGAGTTACATAAGATTCTGTTCGAGTTAAGAAAGAGTTGATCTCGGCGCTTCGTTTGCCCTTCATTGAGTTATGCGGTTGGCTTAACATTACTTTACACTGACTTCAAACAGTTGTTTCGCCATTTCGACTTCCAGATAGTTGATGTAACGAAACCTTGGAACTCCATATCTTATCTTGGATGGATGGAAACCGAGATGTGGGTAAAGGTGACGGAAACAACTTGAGAGCAGGGCCCAACGGGAAGGGATAGCCTGTGGGAGCATGGAGGGTATTGGTACATCAGTACGCTCACTGGAATGATTTTCCGACAATTTTCCTGAATTCATACCTAAATAGGCAACAGGGGATCCGTTTAGCATTTAGTTAATACGCATTTATTTGTGGGTTTTCAATTCATATATCACCGAGTCACTGAATCTTGTCCGCTTGTACCTATACTCTGCCGCCCCCGATTTCTAACTACTGAACGCCAGAAGCTCCATGAGCCGGCATTTCTGCCAGTGGGCTTCAAACTGGGGCCCTCTCCGGATGATTATAATCGTATGTATTGTATGCATATGTTCCAGTCAGGCTCGCTGTCGACTGTCTTTGCTGCGCCCCGTGACTGTTTGACATTGGATTTTCAGGGGTGAAGGCGCCAAGCTCAGGGATAGAATGCTGGCTCGGTTGATGGTGCTGATGAATCGATGGGATCCTTCCGACCGTCGATGGCTTTCCTCCGTCCGGAAGTTCTGTTATGTGCTGTGCCATCCCGAGCTGAATAGACTTCGACGTATTTGCTTGGCGTTGCATGAAGAACAGAGACACACAGGCCGTAAGTAATAGGCAAAGAAGCCTTCGAATGCGACGCCGATGATGGAGATTTGAGGCAGCTGGTCACTTTCAGCAGATGACGTCGCTGTCACTGGGTTTGGCGTTCCACTAGCCACTGTCGACGTGGAGGCTGGAGTATCAGTTATAAGCTTCCAATCCTGGGTCAAATCCAGCCCAGATGCCAGATAGGCATCAATCAAGTAGGATATTGCGCTTCTGACATTTTGCAGCCGATAGTATCCGGGAATCCCATCAATAGATGCCGTTTTCCATCGCCGAATCGTCATTGAAGAGATTTGAGGCGAACAGATAGTCTGTCAGGATTTGGAGATTGGTCAGGTAGTAATACTTGGTAGTGTCCATTGATGCCATTTCAGACGACAATAACAAGACATAAAGCGACGTAAAAGTTCACTAAGTGTCGTGGCGTGCGGGTGAGTGTGTAAATGTGCAGTCGTTCGTTTTACCTCGAGGCTCGGATCTTGGCTTATCCATCACCCACCACTGGCATCACACCGTCACCGTAATGTTCTGGATGGGTGTATTCAGCTGGAAAATGCAATGTCTACAGCGGGACTGGCAAACATGTCACCGACGCCATGCAGATAGCAGAGCTGTTGTAAGTGCTGATCCGGATCTGAACGTCCCCAGGTTCTCGTGGTTGGTTCAGTTTAGCCAGGGCCTGAGTCGCACTTCTCTCGAATCCTCCTAGCTGGAAGCTGAAAGAACTCCAATATTCACCATTCCTAATGACTGAGAAGAGAATGATGTGATCCGCAAAGCAACATGGTAGCAACGCCGATCGAATCTTGGATGCGCTGAGTCTTCCTAGCGGTGCTATTGGTGTGGGACCTTTCGATGTCAGCTGATAGAAATGGGCACGGCGCGCAAGATTTGCGGATTTGAGGTTTTGACAGCAAGAACTCGTGCATGCCGGTCCTGGAAAAGATCTGTCTCAACATCACACAAAGTGATGCCGTTGACAACGCTTGTACAAGGCACCGTGGTTTAACTTATTGAGGCCCCTGGGTAACAGAGAAGAGAACCGAAATATATTTATTCGCAACCTAGGATATCAGCAGAGCCAATACAAAGTGGGTAGGCTTTTGTCTGACCGGGTTTATAACGCGGTCTAATGCATCTGGATGACGCCACTCGTCAACGTATTTTGCGAGACAAAGGCCTGTATTGTACACGGGTCGACTCAACGACCAACCCTCTACCTGGCTCATATCGCCTTAGACCTGGAAGCCAAATCCAGCCATGCAAGTTCGGTATTGATCGATGGTCGACTTGCAGTCCGCTGCGGGATCCGATCCTTTGGAGAATAGCATGCATTCGTCGCGTCGCGATTTCTCGTCTTTGCATACGCAGCAGGGCTTTATGCGCAATATGTTAGCAAAGTCCACCAAATTCAATCAGACAGGCGAATTCAATGCGACGAACCTTTGGCTTGGAAGCTGCGTCGTTGGAGTTCACGACAGGCTTTGCCTCTGTCCTGGATGCGACGGAAGCTATTTTGAGTAAGTTGGGAGTTCTGACATGGCAGTGTGAAGGGTGACCTACGCATTGATACAGCTTGGGATGCCATTTCGCTTGTCAATTAAGGCGGTTTTCTGGCTTGTTGAAGATTCCGAGCTGATGACCTCAGGGCAAAGAGTTCGCGGGAGAGTACTTCATGATTTGTAAGAAGCTCGCGACTTCCCGATGGCGATAAACGCTTATCTTATCGCCGATATGCTAAATTGTCAATTGCGATCAAGCGAAATTCGAATCGAGGACGACACTTGAGCAAGGTCGCAGTAATTACGAGTCTCGACAGTCGGAAGCATCTATGGTCCCTGCGAAACCTCCAAAGTTGGTACAGGGTATCCTATCTCGAGCCTCAGGTAAAATGAGGCTGAGTTAGTGAGAGCTCCGGAGCATGTCATCTCATCGACCGACTTGCCTCGGCCACCCTGTTGTTGAACTTGTGAGTTTGACGGGTATGATTCGCTCGCAATAATCGAAGTATACTTCCCAATCTGTTGCATTTTAACACCAAGTATTCCTATCATATAAGGTAGTGTCAGCTCTTCTCGATCAATATACGGCTCCAAGCTCTAGAGTCTAAAAAGGATCCATGTTTTGGAAAGCTCTGGTTTCCTCGATGGATCGCATGTTCGATCCTTTGAAGACGTCGACTTATCGCTAGTATATGAAACGGGAATACTCCGTTGCTACCAACTTTTCTATGAGTGAATTCAAGACTTACGATATCAACTTTCACCAGTAACACATTATGTCATGGTATCCAAATGCGGAACTGGGACATCTTGATCAAATTTGAAGTGAGTTTGCTTGAGCAATGTTGTCAAACCGCAACTGAAACCGGCAGGAACAATTGCAGTGCGCATCAGTCGCCCGCGACATCTCCCATTTGGTAGATGTCCTATCCTGCTCGTGATTCGCGGCGCGCGTTGGCTGTGGGTGAAATAGATACCGGCTCCGGGCTAAGTCGTGCATTTTTCAAGCTGGAAGGCGTCGCTGCGACGGTCGACTTCTGCCTGGCACTGGAGCATCCGTTTTCCACTGGCCTCTGCGATTGCCTTGACGCACTGAGCTGGGCAAGGACATATCGCGTTATTGAACCTCGCCGACTTACGTTTGACTCAGGACTAGATTGCGTGAACCTTGACAATCTGAACGTCAATCCCGATAGAGGATTCCTGGTTGGCGGTGAAATCTCAGGGGCTGGTATGGCTCTTACAGTGGCTCACCTGTGGGTTGAGACGAGGTCGAACCCGCCGCTCACTGGGGTATGCGCTTCTATAAACTCAGCCATCAGCCCCGAGACAGTGCCGGATGAGTATACGAGATTGCACTCTGCTCATGGAGCAAGTCTTCAGGGACGTTGGTGTTCCGGCTAGGCTGGAAATCTATCCTGGAACGGTCCATGCATTTTGGGGGCTGACATTATCCCTGAAAATGCAGGAGAAGTACTCCGCCGACGTCGAAGGTCTCAAGTGATTGTTAACATGAAATACAAACTGAATCTCCGAGTGTAAGTAAATCGTCACCACATTTCTTCATCTATTTGAAGCTTACATAGGCCATGCGACTAACTCCGTCGATATTGTCGGTGTGGTTGTGGCATATTCCAAGTTCGATTCCGTTGTTCGAGGCGACCAGTTGTGCGACAGCGATATTCGAGCATAAGATCTTTGTCATTTTCCTTAGATATTTTCATATCATGGGGTTTGGATACAATTACAAATACCAGAAGTGCCATCAGTGGCGCTTATTGTATTTTATTTGCAGATAATAAGAACGTAACTATTCTCTCGGCGCCCTCACTGTGCCGCTGTGCCGCGCATATCAAAATCAGATATATGCCTACGGTTGGCGACATCATTAATTTCCTCCTTGCGCTGCATTTACCCTAAATGTTCTTTTGTGCTTTACGGTTCCAGCTCATACATAGTTTACAAATCCATATTTATCATTTGCCTATCTATCCCATCAGGCTTCCATACCATCACAGCCTACAGCAACCTCAACAGGGGAATAGGGACAGCTAGAGACAGGCCTATGCTTCCTGCCCTTGTTGCACTTTTTCATCTTCGGTGCTATAACTCTCTAGAACCAGTTATCTGAAAGACGCAACACGTGGCGCAGGAGGCGAATAAATTTCCACCCCAGCCTCCTCACAGCATATCTCCACCGGTACAGGATACGACGACCTTTCTGAGCTCGATCGGGACCGGCTGTACTTGGTTTCCCGGGAAGAGGACCTGGAAGAGAGCCGCTCGGAGGCAGACGGTGCATACGTTGCTATATAGTTGTCTATGGTCAGCGTTCCCATCTTCTTCAGAGAGTACGGAATGATTGTGAGACAGGTGGAACTAACTAGGCGCGGTCTGATGATGCCTGCTGAAGAGCTTCAGGTCTCTCAGACTGTCGGTGAGAACTTCCAACTTCTCTGTCAGGGTTGTCCTCTCAAAAACAATATCTTCGTTTTCAGTGGCGATTCGCTGGACATCCTCATCGCTCAGGCCAAACACAATGTCTGGGGTGAATAAAGAGGGTATTTTGGCAACTAGACAAGCTTCAACTGCCAGTCTGGCAAAGTTGTCCACCACGTTCTTCAATGCCACCTGTTCCATGTTAGTTAACTCCGAAGAAGCAACAGGGATCAATGTTAACTTTATAGTAAGCCTCCATCATATCAGTCGCTGTGGAACACGCAAATGTCTCCATGTCAGCTTCCGTGTCTCTCGCCACGGCATCGAGAATGGTTTCCAGACTCCCGAAAACACGTCCGTTGTCGCTATTTACTTGGCTCGAGGCCCTGAGTCTCCGTTCTATGTCATCTCTGCGATGCCGTGCTAGTGCTGTCTGGAAGTTGTTCACCATGTAATGATTGTACGTGATGGGATGTCCAGACTCATGCGGTGCCAGTATCTCGGCGACCTTGACATGGAACTTCTCCTTCAACTTGTCAAGACCTGGGCTCAGAAGCTCGGCCCACAGCTCAGCTCCGGTAATCTCGTCCACCACGTGAGCCAAGACGGCAGTTATCGAGTAGTCCACCTCCTTCATGATCCGACCAGAGTATTCCTCGATCCACTTCTTCCACGGCTGGCACTGTTCATGGAAAAGGTCTCCTATGATGAGAGGGTTATAGGTCCCAGGTAGTTCGCATCCTCTGGTCCTCCTCATCAGTTCCTTGACTTCCATCAAGTAATGCTGCCTCCGGATAGTGTTAGGAGTGGTATGTTCATCGGCTTCTTCGGCGTCATCAACGACGATGCGTCTCGCCTGTCCGCGTTTACGCATGCACTCAGAGAAGTCCGTCAAGGTATTTTGCACCACCGCCCTGAGCCGCTTGCGGTAGCCTTCGCCCTCGCGCGCGTTTCCAAAGAAATTGTCTCGGTACACCCCATCCACAGCGGCCTGCAGGAGACTGGAGAATAGGTGGCTCGTATGCAGAAGGTACTTGCGCTGCTCTTCAACCGTGCCCCTTGCGGTCCCTACCTTCTCAAGTCGGTTCGAGCAATCTTTGATTCCATTCTCGATGTCTTCCATGACAACGTGGAGCTGGTCGAGAATGAGATCCTTTAATACGTCGCTCAGCCGCACCTGTAAAGAAGCGGCTCCTTTATGGTTTCGGGGAATGTCGGCCCAGACGCCGCGAGACAAGAATTCAGCCTCGGCCTGGTCCCGCGCCTCATTCGTTGCATCCCGAGAGTAGAAGTCCCGGTTTCGCACAACGTGCCAGCCCAGACGGAATTTGACATCACGATTCTGCGCCAACTCAACGTAGGCACGCTCGCTGTCAGATCCGACATCCAGTGCATCGGGTTTGGTGATGAGGCCCATGGTCCGCTGGCCCTGAGGGTCGATCTCTCGGGCGTATCGGGTGACTTCCTGCAAAGCGAAGTCATTCTTCGCAGAGACCACGGCTAGGATGATGCTGCGACGATTTTTCATGTAGGATCGCACCAGAGATCGCACAACAGCAGCATCCTCGGACGACTGCTCTCGGTTGCCGGCGCGGAACAGCCCTGGTAAGTCGACGATGGTTAAGTGCGGCTGGTCTGGGCCCGACAGTTCGATGCGGAGAACATCGTTACTGAACGTCTTGCTCTGGTCGCCATTAAGACCCATGAAATCCTTAGCCTTGTCGACAAGTAGACCAATGTTCCGTTGTTCGGGTATCTCCGAGTGCAGGAACGATTCCAGTCTATTTCTCTCCTCAGGCGAACGGTCGCTGCCGGGGTGAATTGAGACGCTGCACTTCTCTTCGGAGCCTTTGTCGGTGTGACGGAGAACAAGTTCTGTTGCGAATCGGGTGCAGAGGTTGTCCTTGGTGGGAAAGGAGAAGCGTGAGATTGCTTGCAGCACTGAGCTCTTGCCAGATGACTGGTCGCCGCAAACTACAATCTGCGGTAGGTCCACGTAGTGGTTGATTCCTCTGGAACGTAGTTTGTCGATGATGTCCAGCAGAGCCTTATGGTCCTTGGACTGGAGAGGGACAACTGAAGATTCTGTCATCTTGGATTGCTGGGTCAAGGTGTAGTTTATCCGATATTAAGTGTAGGTTTGCATGAAAGTAATTTGATTTTGAACTTGAGACTGCTGAGAGTGGAATTATAAGGAACGTTGGAAATATAAGAACTTCGAAGTAGAGATCATCTTTAAGAAGTGAATGTGTCGATCAGGCAGCCATACAGTATGCGGGAGGCCATCCATGTTTTGACAGACAAAACGTTGCTGCATGTAGTTGGTCAACGTTGGCCAATTAGATGCTTGCCATTCTCTACTGCAGTTGAATCTATGTGGAAGCCCGGTATTTAGTAACTATGCAGATGATGATTGCCAATAGACGGACATCTAAGCACTACTTGCGTTCCGCTGAGAATACTCACCGGGGTCACATCCGGGAGAAAACGGTCTGGGAGTGTATCGTCTACCTGCCATAACTGTTGTTTGTTTTCGACGGGCTGTAGAGGCCGTTTGAGCGCAACAAAAATGGACAGCAGACGAGCGAGTGTAACATGGCCATTCTGAAGAAAACCCTTGATGCCATCGGCGTTCCGCAACACATGGCGTCTGCTGAGGCTGAAGCAGAATGTGAGAAACCGCAGGCGCTTGGTGTCATCGATGCAGTATAGTCGGACAACAGCGATGTCTTGATATTTGTATTCACCCGAATGGATCTATTCATACGGAGGGGAAGGGGAATAACAATAGCAAGGACAGATGACACAGGTACGATGCGGGTATAATTGAGCAGCGGACTGGAATGACTCAGTGCGCCATCTTGATTTTTGCTTTCCTTGTTGGGTGCGATTATGGTAGCCGACAAGGGCTTCCTGATTGTGGACAGTCAGTCCATGCCTCTCAAATTGATTAAACATGGGGATCTCGCTGGCAGGTTAGCCAACGTCCCCAAAGAACGTGGAGCGTCGGGCTGGAAAGCTCGTCTTCAGCGAGCAAAGTACGGTATAAAATCGGAAAAGAGGCATTTCTTTTATATACGTGTTGTTCTTGAAGACTGCGAATTGGTGAGTACTTAGGAAAGAAAGACTTTTCCACTACGGAAAACGCAAAATCCAAAGCCGGAGTGCACTTTCCCAGTTAATGATGACATAAGCCGCATCCTCGTTCCTACTCTTTTGCCAATCTCGAGTACAGTCCTTCATTACCCGTTAAAGGCATGGCACTCGAGCCAATCCTTTAAACCAAGCATACCACGAACCTGGATGTCGTACCCGGCGTACACCCCATCATACATTGGCTTCGCATACCCACGTACCCCGCCATTTATTATGCATAAGTTCGCGATCCTCCTGGTCCATTCCGCAACATCTCTACAAGACACGTCAGATGTAGGAACATCCAATCCCCCACAAACGTAAACCGCCGCATTCCATGAGCACGAAATGAAGGTGCACGAATCCGTGGTTAGCTTGCACCCGCCGAGGAGATTACCCAGATAGTCGATGTTCTTGTAAACAGCATCGATGTCTGCGAACACGCCAGAGTCATCGCAGTATATGTTTTCCTCTTCCATGGTACTTCCCAATTTGACTGCCTTGGTGCCATTGCCGTTATGGTTGGAAGAAGCGGAGGGGAAGTATTGCTTGAAGTCCTCGTCGTAGTTGGGGTTTAGTTCACGGAGGTGGTCGTGGATAGCTTTGGCAGTGCCAGTGAAAGTGATATCCTCACCATGGGGAAAGGCCGGGCCGGTGAAAGTGATGGCACTGTTGGAGGTGTTGTCTTTGACCGTTGCGTGGGTAGCCATGCTCAAGTCTACACTCGACCGGGAGGAAGACTCCAGTGAAGCATTGGAAGTCACGTTGGCTGGGAGAACGACCGATTGTGCCACAAAAAGCATCAAAGTGATACAGAGAAAGAAGGGTAGTAGTCTCATCGTGAGTTTTGGTGATTGTATGTGTTTGCGTGCGTACGTGTGTATGTGTAGTTGTAAGATGCTCCAGGGAGATTTTTCGTCTTAACCGGAGAAAGATGTAGTATTTGTGTCCAGTAAAACATATTGTGCGCAAAAAACTGTTGCCCATTGTCAATACAGAAACTTCCTTCGGCACCAACTATAATGCGGCTCTGGCCTGGTTGTGATAAATCGTTCCCACAAGTGGGCAAACATTGTTCAACTTGCCCACTCATTTAGCTTCCGTTCTGGCTTGCGTGTTAGACTTTGTTACTTATAAACATCATCTCTAGAATGAACGAATTGCCTCATATATTTGATAGTATCAAACACAAAATATATTGGCAGTGGGTAAAAGCTACACTATTTGGTTGATGTGAAAACAACATAGAGTAGATAATCGATGGCCTCCTACGTATCTGAACAGCTCGCTGAGAATTGGACTCTTGCTTTTCTATCTCCCTTGTTTTCTTCTGCTCTCTCTATCTATGTTTCCCCGTCTTTTTTTATCTTTCACGAAAAAATTAAACGTTGTTCAGTTACTCAGAAAAATCACGGGATAAGCTTACAGAAGCTATGGTGGCTTGCAAGTGGATACAAGCGGATAGGATACTTACTTGGTCATGTACAAGTCCATTAGAATCAATGGTAAGAAGGACCACGGAGATTTTTGCCAAGGTTCTCTCACAAAGACAACTCTATTGTATCTGAGAACCGCGTGTTTCCCGCTCGCTATCCAGGATACTCAGGAAGCTTCTGTGTTCGGAAACTTCAAATCAGCGACTATGTGATGTATCAGACTCCAGGTTGCAGTCCAAATAGAAATAAGAATATGATCTTCCCTGGCTGAAACGAATGTTACAGGCGCGCCATTTCAGTATTTTGAGCTTAATCCCGAGCCACCAGCAAGTGTATTTATACAGTGAGTTGGCTCTGTCGTGCCTTCCCGGTGTGGATTTGACGTGGCCTCTCGCAAGAGCTGGATAGCGGCCTCTGAATAACAGCAAATCCTGAATATTCACATCCATTCGCAGTTGCACTTGAGCTACGCGTTGCTCATTTAGTGTAGATAGTTGCGGCCAATGCAGCAAATCAGTGTTCCCGCTATGTGACCATGTTCGTTCCGGTTAGACTTATTCTCGTATCTTGATTTCACTAGAAACTACTGCTATATATTGATGCGTGCTGGGAAATGGTTGAGTATCAACAGGGGTACAAATGCTTTGCCGAATGAAGGAGCAGGGTCGTCAGTTCACCCTGATTACTCCGAGTATAATTGTATGCGATTACCGGGATCCTTGCCGCTATGGGAAACCGTTTACCCCGCCAACCCCGCCAAACAGATTTCCAGATCTGCTTGATTTCAAACAACTGCATCAAGCCCAGACAGCTCTCCGTTCCCTCTTCGATACCTACTTCTAACTATCACCTAGCCAAACTAACAATCCCTCGCACCCTCCAAGTTTCCGACTCAACAGACCTAACTATGCCCGCCCCATCGCCCCTCAAGATCGCGACGCAAGCCGTCGAACGTCTTGTCAAGGAAGAGAAGCTCTACAAGACGGAGCTCTCCACTCAAACGGAGCGCGTCGCCAAGCTCGAGGCAGATTTGAAGAAAAAGGACGCGAATACGGACAGCAATGCCGAGTTCATGCTGAAGCAGGAGGTAAATACGTATCTCCTACCTAGACCTGGGGGGAGACCCCACTCCAGGGGCACTTATGAACGAATGGAACAAAACGGAGCTAATGGTTATTGGTTTACGTAGCAACAAGCCGTGGAAGAGACCAAGGCCATTTTCGAGCCGCTGAACAAACGCATCTCGGAGGCGGTTGCGAGACTCGAGGAGCAGATCGCGACAGCGGAAGGCGGAAATGCGGACGCGGACGAGTTGACGAAGGCTAAGGAGTCACTTGCCAAGGCGCCGAAGGCCGAGGCATAACATGCACATTTGTATGGAATAGCTTAGCGGTATGATGCTGCTCGGTGGTTTCTATGGGGATTAAAGCGAAGATGAGATGAGATGAGATGAGATGAGATGAGATGAGATGATACCATTCGGCGTCGGATTAAAGGACATGGGAGGGCAAAGTGTTTATAGCAGAGGCAACTGGCCGCGATGATATTCCTCTTTGCATTTGGGTATAGCTATGATTATTCTTGCCGTCTTCCTTGCTTATTTGAGCTCGCCAAGCATCGCCGTTGCCCGAACACCGCCCTGCCCCCCTACACCACAATCAATTAGGGGTTATCACCTCTTGGAAAGTCCTAGTCTCTGATTATTGGCATTCATCCGAGCTCAAGTGATATCCATCTTGTCCCCTTCCTTTTCCCCTTCGACTGCGGGTGCGTCCACCGTGATCTGAGGAGTGTCTTCTGAAGTACCGCCAGCCATAGGTGTATCGACAGCTTGCGTCGACTCGCCCATCTCCACGTCCTCACCCTCCTCCGGCTCTTCCCTCTGTGCCTGACTTCCAGCTCCAGGACTCATAGGTTTCGGGCTGCTTCCAGCCCGCAGACTCGGTGCTTGACTGCCTGATCGCGAGAACCCCTCAGCTGGATCTGGCCGTGCCTTCAGACCCTCGCCGCCAGATGGGCTATCCGGCCTTGGCGTCCGACCCGAACTGCTTCCAGGTCTAGGTGTACCATTCCCACTCTGCTCCTTGCTAGGTGTCCCTGCATCATCCTCGCCATCCTCATCCATGCCCTCTCGTCTCTCAACCTCCTCCTTCTCATCACGGATAATTTTGCGCAGGTGCACACCCTCTTCGACCAGCTTGTCGAACTGCTCCTTCCTCTCGCGCCACGTGCCGCTGTACGTCTGGCTCTCCTTCGCGAGCTCCTCGCACTCCTCCTGCAATTTAGCCAGGCTCACGTGCTGCTCGGCGCGCGTGCGCAGCATCCTGTTGCTCGTGATCTTGTCGGCCAGCTCGTCGAACTTCTTGCGCTGCGCCAGCGTCGCCTTGGCCTCGTCCAGCTGCACCCGCAGCGCCGCGTTGTTGTTGCGCACCGAGTCCATCGTCTCGAGGATGCGCAGCCGGTCCGCGGCGTAGCGCTCGCGCTCCGCCGCGTTGGCTGTTGCTAGGAATTGCAGGCGCGCAATGGCGGAGTCGAAGGCGGCGAAGTCGAGCGTGATGTCTTCCTTGAGGGCGGTCACGTTTGTGGTGGTGGCGGAAGCGGAGTTGGTCGGCGATGAGGCAGCATCATCATGACTGCTTCCATCTGCTGCTTCGGGCGGAGGTGTAGGCAGAATATTGAGCTTGGGGTTGGTGAAGGCGCCTGGTGCAATCAGGCGTTTGGTGACGCGCTTGAAGGGCTTGTCTTCCACATTAAGGAGGCGGGTCTTATGTAATTCTTGCTCCTCGCGCTCATCTAGAAGACCATACTGAAGTGTCGTCATGGCTGCAGTTGTGGCAGGCGAATCGGGATTAAGTGATGCGGATATACGTGTGAACTGATGTTGAGATTGAGGTTGGGGCGTTCAAAAGCTATTGTGATTGATTGCTCGTAGAAGGACGATTTTCACGTTCGGATAATACAATATCTCGGGATAAATGCATATGATCGTGGAACAACTTCTCAATGCATAGGTTGTCAGACCTACGTATTGTTTGACGAAGATAGAACAAACAATTCCTTTTAGCAACCCTTGTTCTAGACCTTACATGCTATACTATAGATCTCGGATCATGCTTCATTCGCGCACCAAGTTTCTCGCTCTGCGTCTTTCATCCTCGGTCAGCACCCATTGCATGCCATCATCGCCTTCAGCCGCCAACTCTTCCCACTCTTCGTCTTCCATATTCGCAACCATGAGCGTCTGTGTAACCCTCGCAAATAGCTCTCTGATACCGTAGTTGCCCCTCGCAACGATGCTGATGATGCCGTAGAAGTCTCGTTCCATGCGGATGGCTCCGTACGCGTTTGCCTTTCCGCTGTAACTCCACACTTTCTTTTCCAGCACCCTGGATAGGTACCTTGCCGTGTTGTCGCTCAAGACGCCGAAGACCTTCGTCGTCATAAGTCGTTCGATTGGCTTTATCAATGCATTCCAGCTGTGTTCGAACCGCCGCTGGACGTGCTCCAGCATTTCCTCCTCGTTCTCGTCGTTCAGCTCCGCCCTTTCAGCCAAGTCGTCCTCGGTAAGGGTGTAATCAATGTCCTTGAAAGTCTCTGCCAAGATAGGCCGCAGCCGCAGCTTCACGACGTTGTTGAAGAGAACCTGGCGTCCGTCGGAGAGGAGTTCGTTGGTCTTGGCGGAAAAAGAAGAATTCAGCGTGTTTAGCGCTGCAGTGACGAAGGTCACATCATGCTCGAAGGGGAACGCGTTGGCCAGGGGTTTGGGATGTGAGGCTCCATTCGGCTGATCCGGCACGCCTAGGCTTGTCGATATTATGCGGGCTAGATATTCGTTTGCAATGTCGAGACTGTTGATGAGAACAATGAAAGAGATGATTTTATCTTCTGGTGGAAACCCTCCTTGCACAATTGCCCTTGGGTATGACTCGTCTCGCATCTTCCGTTGTACCATGCCGATAAAATCAGACCCTAGCACTCTCCCCACAGTTGAGAGCACTGAGCCGACCACGTCTCGTTGAGACGTAGATATTGCCTTTTGGATGACTGCACTGACAATGTACATGACATCATCAACTGCTGAGATGATGAATGGAGGGTTGCCATCTACAGGCTTGTTCGGATTCAGGGTTAACCCTGTCGGGGACTCGTCTAGCTGGAATGCCTTCTCAACAGATCTCCGAAAGAAGAATGTAGACATGACATTGTAGGGCGATGCAAGTTTTGCGGAAATCTTCCTATGCAAGTTCGAGTTGGTGACAACTTCGGGCACAGATAAGCTAGCATCATCCGTGTCGGGGCTCTGCGACTTGTTAGCGTAAACATGACAGTTGTACAGCTGGCATCGCTTTACCTTGCATTTTCCAGCAAGAAATCGGGAGTATAACGACCACCGCCCGAGCATGAGAGCAATCTCGCTAAGAAGTCCGTCAACTTCCTTCATGTTGACGCCTTCGTCTTCGCTATTCCGCACGTTGGTTCCACCACCTAGCGCCGGCGAATTCATCCTTGGCGTTCCAGCCATGTTCTTTTGTGATTGTACGAAGCTGTTGACGAGGAAGGAGAAGGGATAGCTCTTCACATCTGTGAGCCGCCTGTCCACACCCCTCTCATCACTCCACGAGTCCAAAATGATGCCACCCTGAACGTCAACCTCCACTTGTAACCTTTCAATGACTTTGACCATTTGGCCTTCCCCGTAATGCCTCTCTACCAGCCCACCATGCCCCTCTACAATCTGTGCAATATGCTCAAACAGCTTGGTAAGCGCGTTAGCGTAGAAGAATCCATCTTTCGTACCAGCACCGCCCGGCGCCACCTTTAACGTTTGTCTCGCCGTACCTGCGACTCCTTGGCACACGTATCGGCCATAAACGTCCAATCCCACGTCACCCCGTCCGATGAGTGGGAAGAGCTTGAAGAACCTCGTGATCTTAGCGCCGTCGCCTTCCTTGGCCGCCTTGTCAAATTCGCGAAGAAACAAGCCGCATAGAGACTCTTTCGCATTCTCGAGGGTAACCCACGGAGCATCAGGCACCTCAACGCTGGGTACGACCGCCGCAGCAAACCCACCGCGTATGATAGCCTCAGGTACCTTGGATGCCCGCGCAATGTAGCCTGCCGCTGCCTCCCAATCCTGGGGTGCTCCCATACTACCCACAACGCCGTGAACGCATGCTTTGAGCTCCGCCACTTGCTCAACGACCTTGAGAGTTTGTTGTACGCGGTCCTTCTCAAGGTCGAGTTCCTTCACACGATTGGAGAGGCGACCGGCCGTTTCAGCTGCCGAGGAGAGCATGCCATTGCTTATGGAGCGGGTTGCGATGACCTGGGACCCGAGGTTGGCGCGCAGGAGGTCGAGACGGCCAAGCTCGCGTGAGAGGTCGCCCTGGGAGGAAATAAGAGCGTTGAGTCGCGAGGTAATGGCGGATTCGTGCGTGTGCAGGGCGGCAAGAGAGGCACGAACATCCTCGAGGGAGGCAGCATCGTGGACCAAAGACGAGGCGCTCAGTTGCGACGGCTGGTTCGAGCTGATGTGCGCTGAGAAGTCGCCATTGAGGAGGGTGTTGGCGGACATTGGAATCCTAGACTTGAAGGGAGCATAGCGGCGTAAGAGCGTCGTCGTGTATCGGTCGTTGTGACCTTCGCCACTTTATAGCGCTAATCTGTTCAACAGAGAAGTTGTCAGTCAATAATAAATTCGCGGAGCTTCAACGTCGGATGCGATGGGCCAGGTGTGTCTGCTAGGTGTCCCCCCACCACGCTGAGGCTAGAATTAGCGGATGGGACCCTGGAAGCTGGCATTCTTAGCGGCCGATGTAACGCTAGCAAAAACCCCTGCCGCTGGCTTTGAAGTTGATTGGTTGCGACCAAACTCATCATCCAAATTGATCCCTCAGAGCCTGCAATGAGTCAACTCGAGCTTGATATTGAATGTTTTTTTATTCTCAAGACGCCCTCAAATACCCCAATACACTTAGAACCTTTATGCACGACTTCTCGTTTTGGTTGTGCAAACAAAGACTGGGAAGCAATCGATTTGGATGTCGCCACGTTTCCAGCAAAATTAAGCAGCCGACAAGTTGGCTATCCGAACCATTTATACCAGATTTTATACTGTTCGAGCTGCTTTCAACTCCTACAGCACCATGTCTCAGGACTTGCCACGCGTCACCACGCGTGTGTTAAAAGTCGATAATGAGTACCTGGGGAAATTCAAAGACGGCCAAGATGTGGAGAGACTGGGAATATGGGAAGTTTCCACGAGCGATTCGCCCAGCATCCGGGTCTTGAAGGAGGCAGCAGAATATTTGAGGACTAAAGATCTGCCCGTTGGATTCCCCACGGAGACAGTATATGGACTCGGGGCAGACGCCACCAGAAGTGGGTCAGTGAAGAGCATCTTCGCCGCGAAGGGCAGACCATCCGACAACCCTCTCATCAGTCATTTCTGCGATTTAGGGATGCTCAGAGACCTTCTCTCGCCACCACGGACTGCCTGTGGATTGATGAACGGAGCCACAGACCCGATACCAGAGATCTACAAGGCGCTCATCAATCGGTTCTGGCCAGGCCCACTGACAATACTCTTGCCAAACCCGGTATCGTCGAGGCTGGCTCCTGAAGTCACAGCAGGACTGAGATGCTTTGGCGCAAGAATGCCCTCCTCGCCGTTAGCCTTGTCACTTATCAAACTTGCTGGCGTGCCCCTGGCAGCACCATCAGCAAATGCATCAACCAGGCCATCAGCGACGACTGCAGGGGACGTGCTCGAAGACATGGATGGGAGGATCGAGCTCATTCTGGACGGTGGCTCTTGTCTCGTAGGAGTCGAGAGTACCGTAGTGGATGGCTTGTGTGACCCCCCGGTGGTGTTGAGACCAGGAGGAGTCAGTATGGATGAAATACGCACCTGTCGAGGCTGGGAACATGTCGAAAAGGCGTACAAAGACCAGAGCGAAATAGGCAAATCAGCACCGAGAGCACCGGGGATGAAGTACAAGCATTACAGTCCACGAGCCAGGGTCGTGCTGTACGAGGCTACCTACAAAGCTGGGGAAAGCGGTATTGCGCCTGAAGACGTCAAGACAATATATAATATGTCTGGGCGGGAGAACGACTCAGCGCCAGGCTTCACCAGAATCGGGGTCATCAGAACACAGCACTGGAAACATGGAGCTGGCTTGCGTTGCGGAAAGCTCGACTTGCAGAGACCTGCAGGCCGCGAGGTCGACACGGAAGTGGAAGCCGATGTTCACGAAGATGAGCTCTACGATGCTTCCGGAGAAACGTCCATAGGAAGAGTCCTTGACCTTAGTATAGGTCAAGATGTAAAGAGCATTGCACAAGGATTATTCGCGGCGTTACGTGAACTCGATAGAAGAAAGGCCGACGTCATCTTCATCGAGGGCATACAAGATAACGAAGATATTGCGGCGGCAGTCATGAACAGACTGCGAAAGGCAGCGTCTGTGATTAGGTCGTAGACTACTACTTTTAGAGCAGACCCGGAACGTAACCGCTCCACACAATGATATCCCGTCTAAATGCGGACTGACGATGATGACTTTTCCCAACGCCGTGCCCAACACGCTACAACTTCGTCCGATCCAGCTTGTCAGCCGCCACCTCAAAGCCCCTGCCGCAGCCAGTCTGTCAACTTGGCCTTTCCCAACTGTGCTAGGTTGTTCACTCCTTGCTCGCTTAGGTCGATGCGGCTGAGGTTGACGTCTTGCGTCGGGGCCTTGCTGACTCTCTGCACAATGATGGTGGGGTCTGTCTCGAGGATGATGCCGGCGTCTACGATCTCGTCGATAGCCAGGGACACTAAGTCGTAGTTCTCGATCATGGTTCGCTTGTCTACGGATTGCCTGGTTTGCTCAATTAATAGTCCCATTTACTGGTGGCGAGCGCACATACTTGAATAGCAGGTGCAGGGAATCCCTCAGGGCCAAGATGACGTTGTACAGCAGCACCTCGTTCTCGTCAACTCCACCGACGACATACATCATGACGTCCGATTCCATCTTGTACAGCACGATTCGGTTGTCGTAGAGGATGATGTCGCCAGTCTGCTTGGCCGTCTTCTCAAGCAGACCCTTCTCGAACGACTTCTGTGACTTGACATCTGGATAGGGGCCGTTGGCAGAGGATCCTATCCGCGCTGTCAGTCGCTGGCTAAACGCCCGAGGTGGCGGCGCATCACGATGTACATACCGCCTGTAGCTGAGGGCGCTTGGTGGGGTGCGTTGTAGTATTTGGCAAATACCCGCGATCCGTCGTCGCTTAGGATTACTATGGCGTTGACGGAGAAAAGGGACATTCCGGGCGCCATGTTGGGCTACAGTTGAAGGCGTATATGGAGGATTCGTGGAAATTGTCGAGGTCGCAATGGTTGATCCTCAAGCTGTCTTTAGTTGCGGCAGCGGCAGCCTGCTGTTCCAGACGTGGCTTGAATAATGGTAAGGCCAGACTGGAGAATACAGTGTGCATAAAGCTTCTGATGAGCTATCTACACGGTGTAATTGTGATCGGTATTCCAAGAGACTAGCCATATTAAGACCACTTTACGCGTTGCCCCTGAGACGCGAACGCGATCTTTTCGAATAAACGCGTCGGGCGAAAGAACCACTTTGATTGTCTCCAGCCCATCGCTGCCTACCCATTTTGTTGGCCTTCGCAATCTTTCACCTCAAACTCAACGTTGTCGCGTTATGGTCTAAAGCACCGCGGAATAGTTCCTTCAATTGCACAAAGAGACCTGATTCTCAATGTCTTCTCCTAGTCAACGGCGCCAGTCTGGCACACCCAGACGCAGCACCCGCAACTCACAGGCGCCACAGAGCAGCCCCGCGAACGGTGATGCCTCGTTGCAGAATGCCAACACTCCTCGGAACACACGCTCGTCACAGCTAGCCTCAAGTCCCTTGTTTTACCAGTCTTCGCCTGCTAACGTTCATGGCGACGTCTCCTCCCCTCTGCGACACAACACCGAGAGCCAGAGCCAGAACGCTGATGGCGACGCCGCTCCCTCCTCTCCGTTGCGGAATATGACCCACTCGCAGACGACTGAAAATGATGGCGACCGCACACCAAGAGCTAGTGGAATTGGTCTCATTGGAGGTGAGTGGCCTAGTTACTTGAATAGCTGTTCAACCGAAGAAACCCAATATCTGATTAACAATCATGCAGAGTCTTCCCCTATTAGATACGAGCCCAGCTCCAGTCCCGGGCGTGCTCTGAATCTCCAGTCAGATCTGCGCAGCGAGAGCAGCAACCTCTTCGTCGGCACATCCGCGACCCCTCGCGCCAGACGCACTCGCCGTGGTGATATCAACTCGGAGGTTTTCAGCGGTGGCGCTCGTAGCGGCAGCAGGGTCATTCTTGATGACGCTGGTCGCGTTGTCAAGGAGGTTCACTCGGATGCTCCCACGTTCTCCAACCTCGATCCCAATACCTCCGAAGCCAATCATCTCGCAGGACAAGACCATGCCACTATTTGGGGTACAACCGTCTCCATCGACGACACATATGCGGCGTTCAAGGAATTCCTCAAGAACTTCACCAAAAAATATCGAATGTGGAGCGACGGCATGTCTACTGAGCAAACCGATGCTGATCCCGACGCCACAACAAAGGTATACTGGGAAGAGCTGAACAATATGCTTGTTCTCGGCAACAGAATTCTCTATGTGGATATTCGCGACTTCAAGCTGTACCCTCCCACTCGGAAGCTGTGGTATCAAATCCAGCATTATCCCCAGGAAATTGTTCCCTTGATGGATCAGTCAGTGCACGACGTGATGATTGAGCTGGCACGGACTGAAATGGCTCGGCAAAGAAGCCAGAGTAATGGTGCTGCCGCCTCTCAGCGTGGTGCTGCTCCAAGCTCCGATGTGCAATTCCCAAGCTCAGAGCGAAGCGAAGAACCCGCAGCATCGCCACGTCCCCAGCAAGGGCAGCAAGGGCCCAATCTTGAAGAGAAGATCATGGACATGACCTTCGTGACCAGGCCATTTGGCCTTGACCAGGTCATCAACTTGCGGGATCTGAACCCGTCCGACATGGACAAGCTCATTTCGATCAAAGGCCTCGTCATCCGGACAACACCCGTCATCCCAGACATGAGACAAGCCTTCTTCCGATGCAACGTGTGTGGTCATTCCCTGCTCGTCGGGCTGGACCGCGGAAAGATCAGAGAACCAACCGCTTGTCCACGGCCCCTGTGTGATTCCAAGAATTCGATGCAGATCATTCACAACCGCTGCGAATTTGAGGATAAGCAGGTCATCAAGTTGCAAGAGACACCAGATGCAGTGCCTGCCGGGCAGACGCCTCACTCGGTTTCCGTTTGTGTCTACAACGAGTTGGTTGACTTTTGCAAAGCTGGTGACCGTGTCGAGATCACTGGCATATACCGTGTCAGTCCGGTCCGAGTCAACCCGCGCATGCGAACAGTCAAGAGTGTCTTCAAGACTTTTGTCGATGTTGTTCACATTGCCAAGGTCGACAAGAAGCGAATGGGTGCTGATGTTTCCACTTTGGACGAAGAGGCCAATGATCCCGACAATAACCTCGAGGAGACGCGGCAAATCTCCCCCGACATGGTAGAGAAGATTAAGGCAACCGGTGCTCGCGACGACATCTATGACCTCTTGTCTCGATCTCTAGCTCCATCTATCTACGAGATGGACGACGTGAAAAAGGGAATTCTCCTGCAAATGTTTGGAGGCACCAACAAGACCTTCCAGAAGGGAGGCAGCCCCAAGTACCGTGGAGACATCAACGTCCTGCTCTGCGGTGACCCGTCCACTTCGAAGTCGCAACTGCTCAAGTATGTGCACAAGATTGCTCCTCGTGGTGTCTACACTAGCGGCAAAGGTTCTTCCGCTGTTGGTCTTACCGCCTACGTCTCTCGTGATCCCGAAACCCGACAGCTGGTGCTCGAGTCTGGTGCTTTAGTCCTGTCTGATGGTGGTGTCTGCTGCATCGACGAGTTCGACAAGATGTCCGATTCCACTCGTTCCGTCCTCCACGAAGTCATGGAACAACAGACCGTTTCCGTGGCCAAGGCAGGCATTATCACAACGTTGAACGCCAGAACTAGTATTCTCGCATCTGCCAACCCAATCGGGTCTCGCTATAACCCCGATCTTCCTGTTCCCCAGAACATTGATCTGCCACCAACACTGTTGTCTCGTTTTGACCTGGTCTACCTTATTCTTGATCGTGTAGATGACGTCAACGACAAAAAGCTAGCACGGCATCTGCTGTCTATGTATCTGGAGGACAAGCCCGAATCGGCAGCCTCGAACAACGAGATCATGGTAAGTTGCACGGCGAACGGTGTCCACAATGTCAACTACTAACATGACTCTAGGATGTCGAATTCCTCACAGCATACATTTCATACGCCCGCGCTAATATCCACCCAACCATCTCGCAAGATGCAGCCCAGGCCCTTGTTGACAAGTACGTCGGCATGCGCAAGCTAGGCCAGGACGTCCGCGCGGCCGAGAAGCGCATCACCGCCACGACGCGACAACTGGAATCCATGATCCGTCTCGCCGAAGCACACGCGAAAATGCGCCTCTCATCGACCGTCACCACGGGCGATGTGCTCGAGGCCCACCGTCTGATCCAGTCGGCGCTCCAGACGGCTGCCACTGACTCCCAAGGCAGGATCGACATGAGTCTCCTGACCGAGGGCACCAGCTCGGCGGACCGCAAGCGCAAGGAGGAGCTGAAGACGGCTGTTTTCATTCTGCTAGATGAGCTAACGAGCGGGGGCCAGAGTGTCAGATGGAGCGATGTGGGCAGGCGACTGAGCGAAGGTGCCAGTGTTGCCGTTGACCCTACCGAGTTCTCGGAGGCGATGCGCGCACTCGAGATGGAAGGCGCTATTATGATTACTGGCGATGGTGCGAGGAGGAGTGTCAGGAGATTGACTGGCGTCGCTTAGTTTGACTGTCAACTTGTGTATGGAAAGCATTTGAGGAGTGACATGATGAGAGCATGAAATGTTGGGTTAGGATATGGATTGGCTGGTATGCGAGTGTTACCCCTGAGGATGTCGGGCGGGGGTGTTTATGATTGGACTTCGTTAAGTACTGAGAACTAGAACGAGATGATGACGGACAGAATACTTAAGCAATCGCTATAGATAAAGTGCACTGAATTATTACCATCCCCTTGGATAACAGAGCGTGAGTGAGTAGAAGTTGCAATGGAACAGTATAACTAAGCGGTGCTTTACTGAGGGCAGCCACCAAACAGCTCCCCTGGCACGCTCAATTCCAACACTCCCTGTTCACTTGCGTTGGATAATCAGAAGACTTGACTCGCGAATCGAAGCGAATTCTCTAATATGCAAGAGGTTCCATTTCTTTTGCTTGAGAATTGGAGATCAGTCCAGTTTTCTGCGATATAGTGCCCCTCATTGGCGCAGGATGACGTCAAGTTCTCCATTGAGGATGTTTCACGCAGACGCGGATATGCGAGTTGGTTGATCTCAAGCCGTTGAAGTCTCCATCTCATATGAAGGACACTCTGTCAATTTGCTTGTGCTGTCAGTATCGATGCTGACTTCAGACATACTCGAATCCAATTGACGATCTCCCTAGATCATCAACACACCAACCCCCCCCCCCCCCCCATACACCTACACATCTACCCATCCACAAATCACAATGGCAACGTACTCAAACACCTACCCCCGCCCGGACTTTGTCCGCAGTAAACTAAACTGGAAGCCCCTGAACGACTCCTGGAAGCTCCTCTTCGATGACGAAGATGTCGGCCTAAAAGAAGGCTGGCACCTGACCGGCACCCCGGAAAAGGCCGCCGTCAGCGCCGCCCCCCTATCCGCAGCCCAAGCCGAGGAAGAAGTCCAGCGTCTAGCCGCCTTTCCCGAGCTCAAGGAGAAGGCCTTCAAAGACCCCAAGGGTAAGACCACGCACAACGACAAGAAGCCCATCCAGCTGCCTTTTGCATTCCAAACGGCCGCCTCGGGTTGGGGCGACAACGAGGATGCCCATGAGGTCCTGTGGTATGAGACGCGGCTGGATGACCCGAGACAGAAGGATGACACGGATGCGGGGCACCGGGTTGTGGTCCGCTTTGGCGCCGTGGATTACTTGGCGACGGTGTGGGCTGACGGGGCGTTGTTGGGCGAGCACCGTGGGGGGCATGTTCCTTTCGAGGTGGATGTCACAGATGCGCTATCCAAGGCGGCCGGAAAGGGTTCGCGAATTGTGATGCGAGTTAGAGATTCACCGAGTGATCTTGAACAGCCCCGGGGTAAGCAGTACTGGGCACCGACGCCGGAAAGCATCTTCTACCACCCGACGAGCGGGGTATGGCAGAGCGTATGGGTAGAGGTTGTGCCGGCTGCTAGGATTGGAACGAGCTCGGATGGGACGGTTCTGAGAAGCAACGACATCGACAGTGGTGTGGTGAAGGCTAAAATCGCTGTCTTGGGACGAAAAGCAGCAGGAAAGTATGAGATTGAGATTGAGGGGAGCCTTGGTGGTCTGTCGGTTGGAAAGGCGAGGCAGACTCTACCTAAGGATAAAGACTACGTCAAGCTCGACCTTGGCCTGAAATTGTCATTAGACCAGATGAAGGCGTTGCCCGCGGAGGTGACCAAGTCTGCGCCTCTCGATAATTCTCGTTCTTGGAAGAACGGAGTGGCACTATGGTCCCCGGATCATCCAACTCTCTACGACCTGGCCATCCGCCTTTACGACTCGCAGGGCCAGTTGATTGACGAAGCCAAGACCTATACTGGCATGCGCAATATCGATTGGACGACGGGAGACGGCACATTCAGACTCAACGGGGAGCCCCTTTTCCAAGCCCTAAACCTCGACCAGGGATACTGGCCCGAGACCGGCTTAACGCCGCCAAACCCTGATAGTCTGAAGATAGACATCGAATTGGCCAAAAAGATGGGCTTCAACGGATGCCGAAAGCACCAGAAAGTTGAGGACCCGATTTTCCTGTACTGGGCCGACAAGCTCGGATACCTTGTATGGGGCGAGATGGCCAACGCCTATGAGTTCAGCGACGAGTACGTGGAGCGCTTCGACCAAGAGTGGATGGAGTCGGTCAAGCGCGACATCAATCACCCCAGCATCATCGTCTGGACGCCCGTCAACGAAAGCTGGGCGTACCCGGACCTCAAAGACAATGTGGAGCAGCGCAACCACATCCGCTCGCTCTACTACATGACCAAGACGCTGGACCCTACCCGTCCTATTAACGACAACTGCGGTTGGGAACACATCTGCGACGACCTGTCAACTTTCCACGACTACCACGACGCGCCTGCGTTGGCTAAGACTAACGCCACGCTTGAGAGCACGCTCAGCGCTGAGCTTCACGGCGGGAGGGGAGTCTTCGTCCGCCCCATCCCAGGCGATGGCGGGTGTAAGCATCGGGAAGGCGCGCCGGTCATTTGCTCCGAGTTCGGGGGTGTCAACATTGCGCCGTCGTCAGAGGCGGAGAAGGGCGAGCGCGATTGGGGGTACACTACAGCCAGCGACCCGCAGGACCTGCTTAAGCGGATCGAGGCCATTGTCATGGCGGTTATCAAGCCGGGGCACGTGTCTGGATTTGTGTGGACACAGTTGACAGATATCGAGCAGGAGGTCAATGGACTGTACTCGTTTGATCGCAAGGAGAAGATCAATCCGGCTGAGGTTAAGAAGATTTTTGACAAGGCCGCTGGGGTCTATCTTGATCAGGTTACTAAGAAATAGGGGGAAACAGAAGACAGGGAAGAAAGTCAGGGACGCCAACTCTGGAGGCGTTTGGGCGAGGGAAGCCTACCATGCCTTCCCTCGGGACTCAGTCATCTAGGGGCGTCTCTTGCTTGACACGTTAGCGCATACTTTTCGGCAACCTTGGTATTGTTTGGAAATTCGGCAGTACCGGTTATGACAGAGACCAAAACCCGATTATCGTAGCCATTAACACGCGGATGGCTCAACGCTCAGTCCGGGGACATAAAGCCAACAGCCTTTCCACCATATGTGATCTCCTCCCATGGTAGATCGTGACCTCAACATAAAATCAACAAATACATAGGCCTCGTAGTATAGTGTTAGTATGCACGCTTTGGGAGCATGTAGCCTGGATTTGACTCCCGGCCAAGCCCACCGTCCTCCTCAAGCGTTCTGGGGCCTGGAATTCCTTCATTTTCGATATCTCTTCCTAATTCGTTCGCGTTCTGCTCTTCTCGCCTGAATGCGGTCTGTGAATATCCCACCAGTCGGTGGATGAATATCACGGGTTGGTCAACAGGGTGGGGATTCCGCGGCGTGGTTCTCCTATAGTGACAATCATCACAACTATGGTCAGTCAAAACAGATGGAGTTGTGTCTCAAACGTTGAATCAATTACTCCTTCTATTGTAGTTATGATGCAAATCCTGTCTAGGTTCCTCAATTCTTCTTCAAGTACTGTGTCAACCGCAAACATAGTCCCCGTATACTGTAAGCGGGGCTATTCCGTCCCGTCTGCATAGATTCCTGGCATGTAAGTTTGATCTTATTATCAAATTATTTTAATATATATCTTTATTCTGCTTGAGCCCTGAGGACCTTTCCGTCCCGTTTTGGAAACATACCGCCCCACAGCGTCTTCTCATCTCGCTTTCGGGCGATTGCTACGATGCACAGCGAACAGCGAGCCAACTGCACAGGCGACAGAACACACAAATGGTGAAATGGGTTGCATGGAGTTCTCTAGATTAAAATCGACCCGTAACATTGAGTGGCAATACAAATGGACGTCTTTAAGCGGCCACAGGCCTGTTATATACAGACGCAGTCATACAATCACATAGTCTAGACTTTGTAGAACTCGTAGTATTTACTTCAGCCACACCCATTTGACACTGCCATCAATAAATCAATTCGTTTTCTTAACCATTCAACTCATTTGCCAATATTAATGTCCGCTACGGTAAGCAATGTTGGCCTTGTACAGCGATAAGACGATCCCATCATTGGCAGCCAAGGAAATGCATGCCATTTGGCTATTGGATACGAACTGACGCCAAGTCAAGACACGGCCGTTGCCAAGCTATACCCCAACAACGCGCCATTCGATCTTTTCCCATTGAGGAAGTTGCCTTTGGAAGGTCCAGACTTATCTCAAGGCAGTCCATTATAGATCCCTTATTCGGGTTTCGTTCCGCCGTACTGCAACGAGCAGGCGGTGATGTCGCGACATGGTCAATGACAACTTTGCTGGGTGCGAGGTACGCTACTTAAGAGAGGCAGGTCTGCTCTCATTTGGAAAATTGTTCCACCAGCTCTCTCTCTCTCTCTACGCTAGTTCCTCGCTGTCAATATGAGAGCCCAAACCGTCCTGGCCTCAGTCGCGCTCACGGCCCCAGCTTTGGTTGAAGCTAGTAATTCCACAGACAAGCTCCTTGTCAGCTCCATAGAGCTTCAAAGCCTGATTACGCTTGAGGACCTCCTCGCCGGCTCTCAAAAGCTTCAGGACATTGCCGATGCCAACGATGGAAACCGTGCCTTTGGCAGCGGAGGCCACAACGCCACAGTCGACTACCTGTACGACACCCTGAATGCGCTCGGCTACTACGACGTGATAAAGCAGCCATTTACGGAGGTGTTCTCCGGCGGGAACGCCGCTCTCTCAGCTGGAGGTGTCGATTACAGCCCAAATCTCATGACTTACACCCCCCGCGGGACAGTCAGCGCGCCCCTCGTCCTTGTGTCTGACCTGGGTTGTGCGGCCGAGGACTTTCCTGCCGAGGTATCAGGAAACGTGGCCTTGATCTTGCGAGGAACCTGTTCGTTCGCAGAGAAGTCACTGAACGCGGGTGCAGCGGGGGCAGTTGGTGCAGTGGTGTACAATAACGTCGAGGCGGCTCTGTCGGGCACTCTTGGTACTAGTAACGATGCCTACGTCCCCACTGTCTCGATCTCCCAGGAGGAGGGCAATGCTCTGATCGCAGCTCTGGAGTCCGGCGAAGTGGTGGCTGACTTGGTGGTCAACTCGATCCTCGAGAACCGGACGAACTACAACGTCATTGCCGAGACCAAGGATGGTGACCATGACAACGTTCTCGTACTGGGCGGTCACTCCGACTCGGTGGAAGCCGGCCCCGGAATCAACGACGACGGATCTGGCTCGATTGGCGTGCTGAACGTTGCTTTGGCCCTATCTAAGTTCACGGTCAAGAACTCGGTTCGGTTTGCGTTCTGGGGTGCTGAGGAATTTGGCAAGTTGGGCTCTTACTATTACATCAAGCAACTGAACACTTCCGAAGTTGAGATTGCCAAGATCAGGGCATATCTCAATTTCGACATGGTAAAGGCCACCACGACCTTTTCTCCCAGAACGTCGCTAACAAGATACAGATTGCGAGTCCCAACTACGTCTATGGCATCTACGACGGAGACGGCAGCGCCTTCAACCTGTCAGGCCCCGCAGGCTCAGCCCAGATTGAAAAGGACTTCGAAGACTTCTACACGAGCAAAAACACCCCCTTCATCGCCTCCGAGTTCAGTGGACGCTCCGACTATTCCGCCTTTATCATGAACGGCATACCTTCCGGAGGCCTCTTCACTGGGGCTGAGGTGATCAAGACCGAAGAGGAAGCTGCCCAGTTTGGCGGTGAGGCGGGCGTCGCTTACGACGTGAATTATCACCAAGCCGGTGACACTATGGATAATCTGGCGCATGATGCTTATCTGCTCAACACGCAGAGCATTGCCAACTCGGTAGCCAAGTATGCTTTGAGTTTCGACTCGCTGCCCCCTGTTGATTTGAGCAAGCGAATGTGGGCAGCGGACAGGGCGAAGTTTACTAGTCGGGAGGTGCATTCCCATGCAACTCATTCGGGACCGTGTGGGCAAAGCGGAGAGACGAAATAGGATATTGAGTCTTATGCATACGGATGAGAGAGTAATGTTAAGATCGGGAGTAATATTTAGGGTTATCTTTGACCCAAAATCCATCATGTGATAATGTGTATTCAAGTGGGACCTCGGTATTTTTGCCTTGCAGTGCACACTTTCTTACCTTGGACGTGACATGATTTTATTTCTAGAGATACCCCAAGAAGGCTTCTACTGCTACCCTATGTTCACTTTCGAATTCTACATATGTAGAAAAAGAGCTTTGGTGTACTGCCTGGTGTGTCGGATTTTAAATGGTTGATAAGTCTCGTACACATGCTGTTCAAAGTTCGGTTTGAATTATTAGTCTGTGTTTATATTCAATAAGGGCTCCAGATACAATTAATGCCATCATTTCTCTTTGTCGTTCTCAGCCCCCTGAGCTTAACGTTATTTGGGTACAACAACTAAGTGTTCAAAACAATTGAGGTAGGTGAGTGCCTCATTAATAAAACAAAACACCTGGCATACATTGAAGAAATAGAAGGGATAAAAGTCAAATAATGTTTATGAAAGGACATGTTGGAGTCAACTCGCTCATAAAGTCTGATATGTAGCTGTATCTGTGATTAACACATAGACAGTATTACCTCGCACACATGTTGGCTCGGCTGTATGGCTTTCAACAGACACCAGCCTTCCTGCTCAAGTGTGAAGCATGACGCTTGCCGAAAGGGGGTTTACAGTTAGAAATATATGTACTATTCACTCAAGCCGCTGGGTCCCAAAGTTGGTAGCTCGAGCGGTGCGTCGCCCGTTGCCCTAGGTATGCTGGTCTACACGCACGTTCTCGAAGCCGCCTGTCTGCAGTCGCACAAGGCATTTCTCGGTCGGTGACCATATTTAGTCGTGGGGAATATTGTCGCAGAATTAAAAATTCAACAGAAAGTGGTGGCCGTGGTAATGTGGACGTCGAAATAAAGTAGGTCGGCTGACGAAGTATATGTGACACCCATATTTATTGGGACCCTCAGTAGTAATCAAGTACTATGTAAATGTGCCGGCTGTTATCAGCATTGTGATAATTGACCGATGATGATTGCAGAGCAGCTGGTTGATGGGGGTGTTGATGGACTTTGCCTTGATCTGTTTGTGGCCATTTTCTGCAACGCTCCCCCGCTCTCGGGGACGTATGAACATGCTGTCGATTGTCGTAGCTTCCGTTGGGGTCTCCAGTTGGCTTTTAATGTCACCGTCAAAGGCTTCGAATGCGCATTTAGTTCGGTTTCGAAGCTTTGTCCACAACCTTTGGCGTGACGGACGACCATGTGGACGAAGACCAATGGATCTTTGCCAACAGCGACATCTTGCAAAGTAAATTTTAAGGCGTGTAGATGCTTCATCGAGGTGGACTACGACAGCTTGTGTTGGTCCTGGAGCTTCTCGCAAATAATATCGATACGGGCGGTCTCCAATAGACGACGGTCGGTTATAAATAACGTTTGCGAGTGCCAAAGCAACGCAACACTCAGAAATATTCCGCCCAAACCCTGCGTATAGCATCCTCGCCCTTGATTGCAGCTAGGTGACGAGGCCGATCAGTGAAGTCGAAGACTTGGTGTACTTAGATATCTGGCCCAACGTCATACCGCTGTGGATCTTTGCCTTTGGGGTCAAAGTAACCCACATCCTGAGCACGAAGACTGCCCGGTCTCTTATTTTCTATTGCGTGTGTCAAAAACTGTGCCATTTACTCATTACTTTATTGTCGTTGTGTGGCTAACAACACTGCCACGCTTTCGTTAGCACCATGGTAATGCCCTTGCAGAAGGTGCTTCGTCCATCGTCAACGCCATGTTCGATGAGTTGTTTCGAAGGCGGTCGTGCTGTGGTGATCTACAGCCGGTCTCTGGCGTCGTCACAAAGGAAGCAGATTATTGGAGCTGTTATTGTCACGTCTAAGTTATCTCGCTAAGTCAATGACAGCCTTGGGGGCCTTGATGGACTTTGCGGAGACATCCAAATTTCGTCAAAGTAAGGTGATGGTTATAAGAAGCCGTCGAATAGAACAGAAGAAGAATTGTGGCTGACGCCCCTCAAACTTTGAGTTGTAGGTGGTACGATGTTTCGTTGACTTCCAACGGTGGTATCGATGAATCACTCGCTGCTCGCACATGGCCAAGGCTACGTCGTAACGACGCATCCAACGGTCTTGTGGGTTTCATTGTCAGATTGCTGACAACACCGGCTGCTGTCCTGATGACGAGGATGAGTCGTCGCCGTACAAAGTGTTGGACAGCTGCGGACGACCCAATAGAGATGTAGATGACTGGACAAAGTTGTCGGGCATGTTTGTCTCGTATTCTGACTGTACTCTGTGCCAATAATCCAACATCCTCGTGGCATTCAATTATTTCGATGCATAAGATGGACGCCTTCATAACCATAGTGCCCTTGACTTCTGGGAAAAGTTTACCACAACAAGAGGAGCCAATCACCGCGAAATGAAATGCTTCTCGTTAGTGTTACTTCTGTGCCCTCTCATTGCATCAATCCCCTGCTCGGTGCAGTTTGCCACTTTGAGCCTGCCACACCTGTGGTCATATACCACACTCTCAGCCGAGCGCAATAGCCGCAAGCTCAATGCCACATTCACACCCGTAGTTGATCGCCGCTTCGAATTGGCACTATGAGGCGGCGACCCCAAAGACAGCATCTTTGGGAATACATGACTGGCAAAGGGGTTTCAGAGGTGTCAAGCATGCGTATATCGTGCTCACGTTGATCTATACACCGGACCAGATCGCAACGTCTAGTTCCGTCACTGCGTCTGTTATCAACATTTAGAACGAGAACTGTGGAATTGATGTGTTCCTCACACGATGAGTCAACTGTCGGTGTAAACTTCTACAATGCTAACAGTGATATGACCCGAAGACCAGGCACCATTACCCATAAGAGGGACATTGCTTTCAAACCACGAGGCACTGAAATTGAACATTAATACCAGCGCGATCTTCTGGCTCTCCAGGATCTGAAGTCGGCGAATTAGGGGCACTGGCAGAACGAAGTTGATCACGTCGAGGCTGATGTTCATGGCCAAGATCAAAAACAGGAATACAAGCTTGTCCATGCACTTGCCGTATCCCATACCCCATGACTTTTCCACAGGACGCACATAAAGATGCCGCCGAAGAAGAAGTAGAGGCCATAAGACTAACAACCCCACGAGCAGGTCATTCCATGGGTGGATAGATCACGGCATTCAGCGAGAGTATACGCCGGTATTACCGGACGATGGACATCTTGCAGAGGGCGGAAGTCAGGCTCCAAAGCGCTGGGGACGCTCACATTGCTGTGATGACCAATAGGTCCAAGTATGTTCAAACTGACGGGAGGCCTAAAATTCAAAGGAGCCTCTTCCACCATCAAAAACTGGGTTTGGGGTGGTATCGACTTCATCGGCAGACCCAGACCTTAAAACTCCCCTACGGCATTTTATTAGGTTTGAGAAGGTGGCATAAGTGCCAAGAGCCACGAGCTTCGCCACGGTAAGCGTCTTTATCGAGCTTGTGCGAGCAAGAGATTAAACCATGGCATCTTACGACAACACCAAGCATGAGGTAGTCATCGGCTCCTCAGCTTTTAACAAAGTAAAGCGGGTGTATAGTCTTACGGCAACCGTCAGCGCAGCGACGCAGACGATGGGTGTGACTGTGTGGAGAAAGGGGGAACGAGTTTTGTTATACCTAAAGACGCCATGTCCCCAAAAGAAATAAATAAAAAGATGTAAGGCAAACAAAACAATGCTGAAGTGGAAGCTAGTGCAACGTGTCACAGAAAAAGAAGCAGCAGATCAAATAAATCCAGCTTTGCGTTGCCATTTCGTTCGTGGACTAACCAGCACCTTCAGTCTACGGCTGTCACTGCCCAGTCTTCTAGAAGACAGTCCTTAGTAGTGCACCAAACCGCCCCATGCAGGATTTTTGGCAGTTGCCATTTGCCATTTGCCAACTTGCTCGTACGGTGGTGCGGTAGCAAACAATCAGACAGAAAAGGGGGATACCTTGGCCGAATCGAGACAGAAATCGCAATGATACCCTCCAGACAGGGTTCTATGACAGATACAAAATTCAATAACACCAACAACGGCCGAGTCCAAAGCCAATCAATCCCATAAACTGCTTGACCAGGTTGCCAAGCCGGGCCATCCCTTACTTTCATCCTCATTCGCAACTCAAGCAAATCTGGGGTCTCAAGCTGGGAAGGCTACTAGAACGCAAGGGGTAATAAGAATATTGAAATCGATTGGATCCTAGGCCCAGTAGCTTATGCATGTCATTTCTTCTACCAGTGGTTTCAAACCAGCACGACACGGGTATGCACATCATCAACAATACGGCGTCGATACTTGGGCTTCTGCTGACAGTGATACAATGGAGAATGACACGTACACAGGTAGGTCAGGCGAGAGAGTACAGAGGGTCCGACATATCTTGATTTTGCCGTTACTATTCACTGGCGGCAACCAAACAATAATGTGTCCAATTGTCCGAAGGATCTCGAGGCGCCAACATCAAATCGGAATGGGGCCTATAGAAGACTACTGAAAAGGAAATATTTACTGTAGCTGAGGTGAGCCCGATATCGAGAATAGGGGTCGCGTGCCCAAGATAGTCAATTCCCAACATGTTCAGCATCTGGCTATAGCGGTTATCCTACCAATCTGACAAAACGCAACTGGAGGAGGTTCCAATTCGGACGTTCTTTCAAAGAAGGCCTCGGAAAGTTTCGGAAGGTTGTTAGTCACTGAGCGACGATATCTCGATCTCGTCCGCAAGAAATGTACATCGTCACCTTATAAGCCTCTCAAGAGCTCATGAGAAACATTGGAATCCTCCGCGGTTGTATGTCTATCGACCTAAATACGAGTAAGTAAGTTGAACCAGCCCTCTACAATCCCGGCTTATCCAACCCCTTCAACGAAAGCGCCCTCGACGTGGCCCAAGTTTACGTCCGAGCACACCGGTTATCTATCTATTCTTTATTCTTTAGCCTGCTCTCTTTCTACCACACATCATATCTTGCAATTGGGTCGCCGAATGGCGCCGACAGATGGATATGAACCACCACAAGGAGCTCACTACATCAAAGACAAACTCGGCAAAAGTGCAACAGTGGATCCAGGGATTTTGATAATGCAGCCCATGCCTCGAGGCAGGGCGCTCGGGCAATTGGGGCCTCGGGGTACTAAAAATGAGAGATCATCCGATGAACCACACGGTACGGCGTACATACGAAGTTGATGGTTCTTCACAAGACAAATCTTCGGGTCAGAGCCAAATCAGATCGCCTTTTCCGAGAGAACGCCATTTCCCCTATGTTATACCGCAAGTGCAAAGCTGCCTGGTGTGACGGCAACCACTAGATTGAATTCTCCGTGACCATGGTAACTGCCAGCTGCCTCAGTTTCCCCACCTTCTGCTTCATGACTTTGACTGACTCGAGGAACAGCTCGTCACTATCCCACTGCCCCGAGCTCTCGATCGAGAAGATGAAGTGGTCTCGCTTGCGGCCCAGCTTGACCTTGCCCTGGAACTCGTCGTGGCGTAGCACCTCTCTGCTGACGGTGTCGTACATGGCGTTAGCGACCACGGCCTTGTTCTCGCCTTCGTGGCCCTCGTAGCCACTTCCTGCCTGCCTTGCCTCTTGTCTCGTCACCTTTTCCAATTTTATCGTACCAGGCATAAAGCACTCTTGGAACTTCTTCGCGTCGTCACCCAGTATCGGTTTCGTAATAGTGATAGTCGGCAACAGGCGGTAACTCGCAGTACACACAGGGGAGAACTTGGCGTGGTCTGCTCCGATGCCCTTGTGCATGTGAAGGTCCATATCCAACACCTGGGGGGGCCGGAGCTTCGCGATCAAGATGTCGGGATTGACGGGCCTGATAATGTCGTCGCCGGAAAACCATTTCTCTTGGTCGCCCAAGGGTTGGAAGACGATGTCTCTAGCATATACGTGCGCATTATGGTAGAGCTTTGTCGGGTCTGTCTCGTCGGGTTTCGCATCCTTGTTTTTCGTGCACTCGACCGAGAGAGAGAGTTGCACGGTGTTGTGGTCGAAACATAGATCTTGGCCGTCGGCATCTTTTGACAGGTATGTCATCCAATCTCGGATTCCCTTCTTGCCACCAGTGAAAGGGATGAGGCCGAGCCTGTGCGCTAGCACTTCATCCTGGATTACCGAAGTGTTGTTATTCATGAAGACCTTCTCAATAGCCAACGTGGGGATCTCAGCAATAAGAATGCGACGGAAGGCATTGGCGATGGAAGCGTCAAGCCCGATAAGCGAGAACTGGGCTTCGTGCTCGTTGTTCTCATGCCATTCGACTCTGAACTTGGATCGAAAATAGTCCACGTCCCAGGCATGATCTTCGTCGATGAAGTTGTCCGGGTAGTCGGTCGAGACGGTGTTGGTCACGGTTTCCTTGTTGATGCCGACGATCTGTAGATATGTTAGATGCGTGACATACACTTCCGCCCTGTAGATTTATCCTGACCTTGCGCTCTTCCGGTTCTTCCTTAGTTCGAGACGCTAAGCGCCTGCCCGATGAGGGTGCCATGATGTGTATACGTGGTGTTGGCGGGGTTGAATGGCAGTTCTTGAAGTTCGCGATTCAAAAAATTATTTTCTTTGGCGTTGGTCGGCGTAGCAAACGCCGATCGTGAGCTAAGCTTATAGACAGCCCCACACCCCGCAATACCTAAGTTGCATAAAGACCCTCGACTGGGCAGGCTCAGAGTGCTTCATTAATTTGTGGATGTACATATCTACTTTACAGTTGGAATTGACACAGGGGCGTATATGCTAAGCTGTACACGTTAGACCTGGTCATACGTTCCAGATCTACCTACCCGGCCTCTCATATATGTTATACAACTCAAAACAGTTTCACACCCTTCCCAGCCGCCTGGTCCATCAAGAAGTTTTTCAGCGGTCTCATGGCATTGACCGCATTGAGACCCAAGGACCTCAATGGCACTAGTGGTCCATTCTCAAAAGAGTACAGCTTGTGAAGCTTGTCGACGACTCCCAAGAACACATGGTTTTTAGTATATCGCTCCGAGTTGTAACCCTCAAGAGACATGCGCGTTCCTAAGTCCTGCCCATGTAAGACTGAATATTCAATTGTCTTGGCAAGACTTTCGACATCGGCTTGTCCCAGGTTCAGCCCCTGACCGGCCAACGGATGGGTAGTGTGAGCCGCGTCTCCAATGAGGGCAACCCTCTCTCCAATGTAGGTGTCGGCGTGGCGCATCTTCAGTGGGAATGACGCTATCGTGCCTTCCTGGACCCCGACGACGGTCTGCGGAATGGCTTCTGCAACAAAAGATGTATGCTGCAGCCTCCACGCTAGTTCATCATCCTGGCCCGAGGTCATCGTGTGCATGAAGTCCAGATCAACCGTTCTCAAGCGGAACGCGGCATTCACCAGGGCAATAAAGTCCTTCGCAGGCAGGCTCTTGAGCAGAACCGCGTTCGATGGCGTCGTCGACCAGACAAGTGTCGAGAATTTCCCTGGCATAGGTAGCATGGCGATAGGTCCCGTCGGAAGGAATCTTTGGTACGCAATCTTCATAGCATCACCACCCCAGCCGTGGTCCTCGAGCTGCAGTGTAGCAACGACGCCATGGCGGTTGTAATCCCATCCACGGCTCTTGATCTCTGCAAAAGTCCTGACAGGGCTATTCGCGCCGTCCGCTCCCACCAGAAGACGAGCTGCGAGCTGCTTGCCACCCGAAAGGTGCACGATGGGCCATTGGCTTAGATCCAGATCCTCCGTATCCTCGCCCAAAGTAATGTTCTCCACTTTTGCGGCGTTGAAAATTGTAGTGCCGCCAAGCTCATCCAGTCGACTCAAAAGACCAGATGTTAAGTTCAGGTTCTCTGTCATGTAGGCGATGGTGCTCCCCGTCGCTCCTTGCGCCCAGTCAAATTCGATGCGCGCATCCGTGACGCCATCCCAGACCTGCATCTCCTGGTAGGGTTGGACTCGTTCCTGCTTGACGTGGCTCCATGCTCCTATCTTGTCCAGGAATCGTGCCGAGGATGGGGTCAACGAGCTACAGCGATTCGAGAATCGATCGGGCGGTAGAGTCCATGAACGAGTTTTGTTGAGGTCTTGAGCTTCGACGAGAGCTACTCGGAGGCCTGCAGTGGCAGAATTCGCGCCTGGGAATATAACATTAGAAGAGTAATTAAGCCTTGCCCGTCAATTGACACCACTCACGGAGAGCTGTCAGAAGGCTCAAGCCGGCGGGGCCGCCTCCTACGCAAACGACATCGTAGATATCTGGCTGGGGTTTGCTCGAGTACGCCCGGCGTATCCTGGCACTGACTCGTAGACTACCAGTCCTGCATAGTTTGAGAGCAGGTCTTCGGACTTGCCGTCCTGGAAGTAGAAGAAGTTCCATGTTCTAAGTGCTCCTCATGTTCAAAATGCAGATTGAGGTTCTCCAATTCGACCGACAGCTCAGAATAATTGGGGTTCTTGGACCGATGTTGAACCGCAAGGTGATTAAATATCTTTCTTTAACACACCTCAAGCCCTCTATTCGATTGTTCTTTCAAATCACATTCCCGAAAATAATGAGATTTGAACAATGAAGCAAGTCTTGTTGCGTATGAAAACTGCCTATTGGCAGAAAAAAAGTCTCATATCTGGAGCGAGCGATCGAACAAAGCGCGTATACCCCCGGGTATTCCTTTAGCCCGTCCCAACACCATACTATTACTACCAAAACCCAGAATACAAAAGTGTGCTAACAGAACTGATTGACTTTGTACGAATCACCACCAACATCATATGAAAAGGTAGGAAGTGAGCAATTCGATCACGCTCAAGCAACAGCAATATCCGCCCAAGCTCCTTTCTACGAAGCTTCAACAGGCGATGCCTCGGTGCTTCCCACTTCGACGTGCTTACCGCGGTCGTGCAAAGTTGTCCCATTCTCTGTATGCGTGCCAGTCTCAACAGACGAGCGAGGGATACTTTCTGCAACGGGCTCAGCCTCAGCTGGCATTTCCAGTCCCTGCCCCTGATTCGTCTCCAAGTCCCGAAGGTCATCTTCGGCATCGTTGAGAATCTGGCGTGCGGCGCTGCCATGCTCGTACGCTCTTCGAGTGTCTCCCGGCGCGATGGGCGTGTCGTCCAAGAGCTCCAACAGTCTGCGGCCATGGTTGGCCAGAATTTTCTGCTTCTCAGCGCGCTCGATGACGGCTGCAAACTCGGCGGCGTAGGCTTCTTTGAGCTTTTGACGTGTCTGTTTCATCCGTCAGCCGACCGCCCAAACACACAGGATCAACTTGCAGGTCTTGCATAAAGCGATGCTCAGAGATGACGGGTAGATGATAACACATACAATATTGGTCAACTGGGCCTCCGCAACCATGTTCTCCGCCTCGGCACGTACCAGCTCCTGCTCGAGCACAACGAGCTTCGTGCTCTGGGGCTCCTTCAGCTTGAGCTTCTGGATCTCGTCGGCGATGCGGGCCTTGCTGTCGCGGCTGGGATGGACGCTCTTCTCCGTGTTACGGATCGTCTTGAGCACGGCGCGCGCCTCCTCGAGGTCCTGCGCGTACCCGTCCTCCGCTTGCCCGAGCTCCGATAATATCACCCCGATCTTGTCGCTGATATCGGAGACGGCATCATCGTTGGTCTGCTCGCCCCATTCTGACAGCTGCACGGCGATGTTGTTGCGCTCTCTTCCGGCTGCTTCGTGCGCTGAGACGAGGCTGTTGGTCGACTTGATCACTCGGTACAGTTTGCGGGCGAGTTCGGGCTGGATCGAGCCGCGCAGTGACGAGAAGGAGAAACCCTTGCGGGCTGGCGGGGATGTCGGGTTCGAGCCCCCTTTATTGGAGCGGATGGAGAGACCACGATGCCTGGGCAAGTCATGGTTAGCAGGCATCCTTGTGTATCGTTCAGACAGCCCACGGCTTGAAATACAGATGAGTCGGCCGGTAGGCTCCAGCTGAAGAGGTGCTGCTTTCGCGATCTATCCCTCGACGGAAATGCATCGTGTCAACCTTTTCCTAGTTGATGCCGAGGGACGATACAATCAACATCCAAAGAAGTAAAGGTGACGACTTACATGATGGCAAGTATCTGGGAGTAGCTCTGCCGTTATGGACCCTATCAGCACCGCCTGTAAACCTCGGTCAGTCGCTTCCTTCACTGCAATATCGAGCTACGCAACAGCATTTGCGAAACTTGAAGAGAGCAACCGCGACAGACGGCAAGGTGACTTACAACTAACAAGCTATAATTGTGACGACCCTGTTGCCGGAATGCAAATTGGTGGGGCTGATCGGCACTAACAGCAGATTGACAGCGACTCGCAACGAGTACAAGAAGTATACCTCAACAGGGATTATGGAAGATGAGCAACTTCCATGAACATTGTTTGTTCTTGGTTTCTGCAAACTACAAAGAACACCCCACTTAATGTATGGCTTTGAGCTGGCAACCATCGGTAGCAATGGCGTCAAGCCGACCAAGCTAACATCAAATATGTATCACATCACCTCAATTCCCTCATCGCACAACACCTGGAGAAGACCAAGTGGGACTCATTCGCTTATCGTACTCTTTTTAGAAAAAGGCTGGATCGCAAAAGGACAATCGGGGGAAGGATGACGAAGTATTAATTGATGACATCATAGCGTTCTAGCTTCTAGTACTTTTTATCGATTACCCGTTATCACCTGCAGCACTGAGCAAAAGAGAAAGCACCCCGCAATCCGAAGCCAGCTCAGCGCCACATTCACACCCCACCACATCGAAAAGAAGAAGCTCCTATGACGCCGGCCGCGAACCAAGGCCAAGCGGTCCCATTGGCCCATCGAGATTGCATGCCATTTGTTGCTCGCTGACTTTTCTCAACAAAGGCAATTGAAATATCTCAGACGCCGGCGCCTCGTGTATCATGGCACGCGAAGATTAGAAAAGGTGTAAGATTTGAAATGCCCATACATCAGCCGTGTTTGCCAGTCCGTCAACGTAGTCTGTTTCGTCATGATTCATCGTAATCATATTAGTCGTGCAAGTCGAATACCAGGTTGCGTTCAAGTTGGTGAGATGGTCCGTCACGGCAGAAAGACACCATGACGTTTCCCAGCACTGATATGCCTCAGACATATCTCGTCTGGCTTGTCCTCTGGTAGACGACAGGGCCGCTGCGCCGATAGCTGGTCTGGCTCACGCGCGGGCTGTGCGAGGAGTGGTAGCTGGCCCTCGGGGCATGGCTGCGGTGGTGATGGTGGTGGGCGTGGACTTGTCGCACAGGGATGACTTCCTCGTGATAGTAATATTTCTTGGAGGGCTCGGCCTTGAAACACATCGTTCTGGACACGTAGGTGGTGGCTTTGATGGTCTGGTAGCTCATTTATGGTGAGGGAGCATTAAGGGTCAGTGAGATAAGTACTTTGGTGTTCCACAGGCTGGTGGAAGAGACAAAGCCGATTTGGGATGTGATAGTGTATGACCAGGCTCGTCTCTGGAGAATGGACCGACAGAAGCACTTATGCGTTGAGTTAAGGCTGGAGGAATAACAAGATGGAACGAGGACAGGACGAATTTGTTTGGGAGTAGAACCTGGGTATTTATCATCTTTGGAGCCATATCATCCCATGCTTGACATGGCGCCAAGCCGACAGAGAGCCTTGCTTCAGAAGAACCATCCCATGCGTCTTCGCTTCGCACCGAAGCGATCGAGCTTTTCGAGAAGCACCAAGAGCGCCCGAAGCCCCCTTTGGTCCTACCGTTCCAGGATACAAGGTTATGTATGTATACAGGCTGTGATCCCTGTCTCCCACCCCCGGAACTACAATCTATTACTCGGTAGCCCGTACTTCCAACTTCTAGTTCCAAGCGGATACCGGCCGATTGTCACAATGCCATGGAAATGTGCAGGAAAAGGATCCTATCTGCAGCATCCGACTCAGAAAGAGACATGTCAAGTCAGTCATCCCAGTTTAGCGTCCATATGACTACAAAATATCCACGTTGTGTGGCAACCATCATTACGAGGCAGATACGAAGTGTGCCATCGCCTCCTTCGTACACTACAGCTTTCGGGCGACTTGGAATCTGATGCTAACAAAGGCATATGTCACCAGAATTGTTCCTGGTTCCCAAACTTGCCTTTATGGAGCAATACTACCATTTCCATGCTTCGCGTATCGAACAATCAGCAACCTTCCGAGTTGGGTCTGCTGGCTGTAGATCGAACCCATCTGGCAACAGCACCTATCAAGTTATTGACTTATGTTTTCCAGTATGGACCTACATTTTTCCAGTATGTGGGCTCGCATTTGCGAATAATGTTGCGCCGACGTCAGCCTGCAGGATTGGCTCGGCGAATACATGGAAGCCGAGGAGCCCGCTTCCGTCGGCGCGCGCTAGGAGTATGCAGAGAGTCCCTTAGACCCTGCACCCAGTGGTTCTCGATAGGTTTGCAAATTGAACGGCTCGATTCTTCATAGGTTGTAGATCACGGCATCGAGATCTCACAGCACTTCGCAGATGGCGGTGAGTGGAGTATATCATCTGGCATAAGGCAGATTGGATGAGGCTGGCTTGAAAGTGTTTGGGGACTGGAGCGCGACTATCACACCAATCGATAATGTGGCAACTGACCATATAGACCTGCAATGGCTTGTAGCTAGATGTCTTTACTTCTTATTCTCGAGGTCTTCTCGAGTGCCATGCATTTTTCATTAACTTTTCTGTATCCCTAAATTTACAGTGCAACCCCGTCCCTTCAACGTTGTGTCTATTTGGTCGAAAACTTCATGTCAATCTTGGAGATCAGCCATGTGCCAACAAAGACAACCATCATACTTCCAAAGATGACGAGTGGCTTGCGGAGGCTCGCAAAGAACGAGTAATCGTACGAGACAATCAACTCGCGGTCCCGGAATTCATCGGGTAGATTTCGAGCCCGGATAGTCAGCACGGTGCGACCAATGGTGTCGAGATATGTTGTTTGCAAATCCACAATGTGGTCAGTGATGGACGACTGCGGTATGGTCGTGTAGAACTTGACGTTCCTATGCAATGATTAGCAAACTTGACTTTTTTGTTGTAACAGCGTTGTCAACTTACTCGGCGCCTTCTGGCAGGAAAACCCGCAGTTGAACCTGCTCGTATCCAGCGCCTTCGGCTTGTTTGGGTCCCTCGATGAAGGGGACGTTCAGGATGTAGCTGTCGCCTGCCTGCTTTCGGAGATAGTGCTTCGCATCCGCATTCCAGCCTATGGTGAACGGGTACTTCCAACCGCCGAAGATGGGATACCGAGGCTTTATCTCGAGCACGGCTTCGCGTTTGTTACTCCGGAAGCGAGACGTCGACACATTTCCAATGGCATCGGTGAAGTATGCATCCTTGCTGCCCACTCGAAGAGGGAACTTCATCTCCTTCAGTGCATATGATTGGGGGTTATAGTATTGCGACTGAGCCCACTTGACGCGGTTGAAAAGCGCAGACAGGTTGGCGCCTTGGTTGTAAAGAGTGTATCTCTCCTCAAAAGCGACGTTTCCGCCCCAGTGGCTAACCTCAACATCACGTTCGAGGTAGGAGATGTGCGTTACGGGTCTGGTGAACTCGTATCGGACCTTGGCAGGCGAAACAGCACCAGCTGGAGTATCAGTGAAGGGGCCATACGTAAGTTTAGAGCCCTGTTTCTGGGGGAACTCTTTCACATCGCCGCTTCCAGCAATCTTGGTGTAATCGGGGATATCAGACGACGGTAGCTTGACTTCGGTCTTTTGCTTGGAGGTAGGGTAAGCCGAGGCGCAGTAGGCCGAGAAGGAGTATACGAGGTACTGCTTGTCGGCCTGTTCAATGGCAGCGGGCAGAGGCGAGTATGCCTTCAAGTAGTAAAAGGAGATACCGAGAGTCTGCTGGCCCTTCGGTTCAAGAGCCTCGGGTAGCTTAATTCGGTAGTACTGGGTGTCACTGAAGTTGTCAGCAGTCAGCAACTGCAGCAATTCCAAGTTCCTCACCTCGTGACATCAAACTCCGCAGCTTCAACCACAAATCCAGTCACTTCGACATTCTTTCTGTCCTTCACCTCGATACCTCCCACCCTTGCCATCTGCTCGCTAGTGAATGGCAGAAAGTATTCGTCTTGGGGCTCTTTTGACACATTCTCGATGAGGACATTGATGGATTCTTTCGCAAAGTTCTTCTCTAGCGAGAGGATATGTACCAGATTCGCATTCTTGAAAACCTGGGGCGGCTTGAAGGTGGATGGCAGGGTGACCTTGGAGACGGGTGTGCTGCTAACGTTTGTGGGATCGGCGAAAATGGGTGAAAGGAGCGACAGGAAAGCAGTCGCAACTGCGGCAATCGACTTCATGGTGAACCAAGATCGCCAAGAGCACTCATCGATCAAGCTGCTCGTCCGGGGTGATCGGTGAAAGAAGGGAAAGACCAGGGCAGAAAACTTGTAGCTGTGAAAATCCGTGGCCAACTCATGCAACAGCTTGACGGCGATAATCCGGTTGCGAGTTCACGAGTTCAAGACAGCTACACCTTTACGCCAAAAGCTTACGACACGTTTCGCTTAGCTTGGGTTGGAGCTGTCAATTGAGTGCTGGCCCGTGCCCTCCAAATCCAAGTTGAAGGACTGGGGCTGCGGCAATCGGAATTGGGGAGCTACGTTGTTCCAGCCAGGATACAAAAGCTTGGTATTGGTCATAGCGCTAATCTGAATCTGAGGCCTTTCCTGGACAAGCGTTCATTCCAGATAACCGACATCTGTGGACGGCAATGTGCATTGAGTTTCTGCGACCTGACTTGGGGGTCGCGGGATGGAATGAGACACACATGGATTTTTCAGTGGCTCTGTCTCAACATCACCAGGGTATTAAGCATTAGTCACCATGTTCTACCACATACCTTGAAGAGCCTATATCGATCTTAAGGCTTACAAAGTCTGGTCTTGCAACTATGCATAGCTTCTATTGGCCCAGAGTCACTCTGCTCTTGCAAGTGCAAGTGGTAACGTCGTTAAAACCCGATGGCTCCGTAGGGCTCTTCTTCCTGCTTGGAAGCTGAGATATCCTCAGTGCCAGCTATGGTTTCCAGCCAACACACCACTAGGCACAAGGCAGAGGGCATCTATGGCTTGTTCATCACACCGCTGTGAAAGACCCACCTGCGGGGCTTGACAGGTCAAGGAGATTTCGGAGTTATTACCATGAGAGAAGAGAAGTTTATGGACACTCTTTCAGCGTAGCGTGGGCTCAGTTGTTCCATTTTTGGAGACGCCTGGGTCGATGGAGGGGCTGCGAAAGCAGTTTCGTCAACCTTATTGTCATGCCCCCTCACTTGCAGTTCAAAAACGCCGCTCATCCCGCCCAGCTCAACATCCCACTTCCATTGACACGACTGGTGTAGCTGAGTAAGTGTCACGCGGTTCAACCGGATTTCAGAATATTTAAAGTAAGTTTTTCTTCACTAATACCTTGGTACTGTATATCCCTCAAGCTGTGTGTGGAACCTGCTTACAACTGGTAGAGTTTTCTTGCCAGTTGCGGGTTTTCTGAAGAGTGCAGTTGCTCGCGTCACTCGAGTTCAAAAAGTCCACTTAAACTTGCTATAACAGCCCAGGCACCAACACATCGACAACACATTTTCGACATCCACGACAATCGAAATATCGCCAAAATGGTCGGCCTCGGTCCTCGCAAGCCTCCATCTCGAAAGGGTATGTATCAGACAGCTCCATTTGCACAATTTCTTTCCCAACTCTGCATTGTCTGGGAAAGCCGGGTTACCATGTGGAAGCCACTCCAGGAAGCACGATCTCAACTCCAATGGATGGCTCAATAGCCGAGTGATTGTTGCAGCCACTGGGTGAAGTCATCACTTACAACTGAGATGATGTGAGGCTGGGAAGCTACGCCCTTTGTTCTGGACAAGTTATGTTTGCCCCGTGAGAGCAAGCAGCGTTCCGTGAACGTCCCTGCCAAACTGAGAGCTCCTTTCAAAATTCAAAATGCGACAATGGAGACGACAGAGTTCAGAATCTCGTCTCGAGGTTTCAGCTTTGCGCCGAGCCTTACCTTCGTCTGTTCATGGATTTCCTTCAGCCACCCTATTCTATAATTTCCGATTGCCCTCATTCATGCCTCGCAGTTCATGAGTTTAGCCGCCTCTCCTAGTATTAGTTACCTCAATATCTTTTCAGTCGCTCGTTTTCCCTATAAATCACAGCTCGGCATATAAAATCAGACATCATGGGTTCTGGCCAGCGATCCTCAGCCTCTGCTATTGCTACTCGGCAGCACACCTATCACCATCATAACCACTGCTTCAGTCGCGAGGGTTGTTTCAAACTCCAAATTTCTGGTCAACGAGAGACTAACAAGCTATGACCTACAGGATCCCTCGCGGATGTCCCCAAGGACCTGCTTGGAGAGATTAAAAAGCTTGAGCAACACCTCAGCATCGACACCAAGAAGCTCAAGGAGATCACGAACCATTTCGTCGCCGAGCTAGAGAAAGGTACGCTTGTTCTATTAACCCCAAAGGAAAAAGACTAATACACTCTTAGGATTGACTGTCGAGGGTGGCAGCATTGTACGTGGTCAAGTTGGATCCGATTTCAATGACAAATACTGACCCAGATGACATCTAGCCTATGAACCCAACATGGGTTATGGAATACCCAGATGGCTACGAAACCGGCACATACCTGGCATTGGATATGGGCGGCACCAACTTGCGTGTGTGCGAGATCACTCTGACTGACACCAAGTCGGAGTTTGATATCATCCAGTCCAAGTATCGCATGCCCGAAGAACTGAAGACAGGAGAGTCCGAGGAGCTTTGGGACTACATCGCCGACTGCTTGCAACAATTCCTGGACACCCACCATGGCGATCTTGCCCCTGGTACCATGATCCCCCTTGGTTTCACCTTCTCGTATCCTGCTACACAGAACTACATCGACGAGGGTACTTTGCAGCGATGGACCAAGGGCTTCGACATCGACGGAGTGGAGGGTCACAACATCGTCCCCATGCTCGAGTCTGCTTTGAAAGCAAAGGTTGATAATCCTGGACAAAAGTATCATCATACTTGCACTGACACCAATCGCAATAGGACGTCCCCATCAGGGTCTCTGCCGTTATCAACGACACTACTGGTACTCTGATTGCATCAGCCTACACCGATCCCACGGTGAAGATTGGCTGCATCTTCGGCACAGGTTGCAATGCTGCTTACATGGAGAACTGCGGCTCCATCCCCAAGCTCGCCCACTTGAACCTGCCTGCTGATTGCCCCATGGCCATCAACTGCGAATGGGGAGCCTTCGATAACGAGCACGTTATTCTCCCACGGACGCCGTACGATATCATTATCGACAAGGACTCGCCTCGCCCGGGACAGCAAGCCTTCGAGAAGATGATCGCCGGTCTATACTTGGGAGAGATATTCCGTCTGATCATGGTCGACCTGCACGACAACAAGGATATCCACATTTTTGAGGGGCAAGACATCAAGAAGCTGCGTAAGGCGTACACCCTTGATGCATCCTTCCTTTCGGCAATCGAAGAGTATGTTCATGGGAAACACCTAATCTGAGTATTGTTTTCATGCTGACTCTAGATAGTGACCCGTTCGAAAACTTGCAAGAGACAGCCGACCTCTTTTCTGATAAGCTCGGCATTGCTACCACTCGTCCTGAGCTTGAGCTGATCCGTCGCGCTGCCGAGTTGATCGGCACTCGTGCCGCCCGCCTCTCCGCCTGTGGTGTCGCAGCGATCTGCAAGAAGAAGAACTTCCAGCCATGCCATGTCGGTGCTGATGGATCTGTCTTCAACAAATACCCCCACTTCAAGGCACGAGGCGCCCAGGCCCTGCGTGAGATCCTGGATTGGCCAGTCAAGAAGAACGCCAAGGAGGAGGATCCTGTGGAGATTCTCGCAGCCGAAGATGGTAGCGGTGTTGGTGCCGCGCTCATTGCCGCTCTGACTCTGAAGAGAGTGCAGGCGGGCAATGTCGCCGGTATCCTGCACCCCGAGAACTTCAAATAAAAATGGTATATATTCGGGCATACACCTTGGCAGGGGCCATTACAGAAGGGAGATGGGCCACAATTGAAATATAGACTTATACGGTGATAGATAACCAAATAGAATTGGCGCATGTCCTCTGCTATCCTCGCCAAGTTGTGCAGTGGCTCAACCCATGAAAGTGGCGACAGGCATTCGATATTCTGGTCAAGGTCAGCTGGCACTGCGCACGACATCGAGTAATAGATGAACTTACTGTCGAGGGTCCAATACCTCCTCTTGACGCCTTGCCACTCGCCTTTGCCCTCGGCCTCCAGGCCTTGCATATCGACTTGCATTTCCAGCCATTCCACGTCCATTCCTGCATCGCTAAGATGCATCTCTACCACTTTCGTGTACACATCGTAACAGATCTGCCGATCTGCGCCCAAACCATTGAAAAATCCAAACCTGCCGTCTTCTTCGAGTAATCCGAGCAAGTAGTCGGTGAAGAACATACGTAGCTGGCTGTAGTCTTCTCCAAAGGTATCGAAGTATATCGCATCGTACATTTCTCCTGCTTCTAGTAATTTCGGTACGACATCTTGCCACTTTCCGCCATATACTTTATAGGCGCCTTCTGAGGGACTCGAGGCCTCCCAATCCTTGCCAAATTTGCAACCGGGGCCATTGATGTATGCCAACACTTCAGGATGCGCTTCAATAATGTGGTGTTTCGCAGGTTCCGTGTCGCGGAACATCTGGTCGATGATGCCCATCCCAAACCCGATGTTCAAGATGCGACGGCCGCTTGTGAGACAAGGCAGTAGTGCGTCCACCGAAGCCCGCATTATGGATGTCTCCCACGCCATCATAACACCATTCTTCTCGGCATCGACTAGCTTCCCATCGGAGTACGTCAAGTTCGAACGCAGGTAATCCTCACTGTCGATAGTGGCAGCCACAGGCTTCGGGGCCGTGAAGGCGCGATCGGGGTTCTCGTCGACGATCTCGGTTTCTTGTATGTTAACTAGCTCTGGCACTTCATCGTCATCCTGCTCGGCATTTTCGTCGCCGTTTCCCCGGATGTCTACGAACTCCTCGTCCTCGTCTGCCGACGAAAGTGCCTCGTAGCCTTCGAGGATTTCAAATAGCAACTCGGCTCGCACGCCCGCCGCAACACACATCTCGTACAGGTCCTTCTGCTTTAATCGGGCCGCTACACACCCTGGTGTTTCATTATTATTATCTACGTCATTCCAAATTGCGCCGCTCATGAAGAGCTCCTCGACAACGTCTTTGGCGGTCACGGGAGACTTTTCGTCGGACGCTTTGCAGGCGCGAATTGCGGCGTGGAGGGGCGTCTCGCCTGTTGTGGGCTCCTGGACGCTGGCTCGTCCCAGAACATTGAGTAGAGGCTTGAGACTCGGGAGGTTGTGGTGCCATGCATGCTTGAGGATTTCCGAGATGGAGGCAGGGCAGGAGTCGGGGATACGTGTATCTATCGAGTCGGTATCCGCCATTGCGAGAGGCATTTGAGTTACAGAAAACCTCCTGGTGGTCAATGGTTATATCCCCAGCTTAGAACGCAAGTGCAGAAACTACAGAGTCAATGGTGATGAATCTTGACGTTCAACTGAGTTTCGCAATATGAACATTGAGCTCGTCGCAAAGAACCCCTGCCGCGGGGTAGTTTGATGTCCATGGCAGCTTTTTTCGGACACATCGGGCCTAGCGCTAATGCCGCTTTTGCTCAGGCTGGCTCGGTTCAGTTAATTATCAGGCACGTGCCCTGATCAGCCGGAGTCGTAGGAGATTATGAGTAGTTATGCAGAGAAAACGGAGAGAGAAACGGTTTGAGTACAGCCCCGACTAATGTGGCTTGCTCAACAGACATAATTGTACAGTGCAGCTTTTGGCTTTATCCAAATCCGGCCTGCTTCTTTTATTGTCCAGCGTATATATAAAATGAATAATCTTAGAAATATTCGTAAGGTAAAGTAGCGTCGTAAGAAAACATATTTAACCATGCTCGTGAAATCACTTTTCTTGGTTCTACCGCTTGCGATAGCCCATTCGTGGGTTGAACGGGTGAGGCGTCTCGGTCTGAATAGGACCATGATCGGAGATCCGGGGTTCATCCGTGGCGCCATGTTCCGACTTGATCCAGTATTCAATGACCTAAAACAACAATACCTACTCCCGCCTCCTGGCCGGGATGCCAGCCTGGGAATCCTGCCTTCTGATCCTATATGCCGGGACTCCCAACAGACGGTCGGGCAATTCAACGCAAGCTTGCCCCCATTACAGGCGTCGCCGGGCGACTTTATAGCCCTACAGTATCAGGAAAACGGACATATCACTCTTCCCGAGAATACGCCCCACAAACTAAGGAATTCTACTGTATTCATATATGGTACCTGTTGTGGGAGAGTCTGGTCCAGAGGCTGAAAAAGTGATGTATTGAGCTCTGGTGAAGCTATCCAGGCTTGCTAGCTACAAACGGGGACATAGGGCCCCCAGGTGGGCCTAGGGCCACAACAGTACCTCATCGCCTTCTAAAGACGATCGTCTTCTTTCTACCCACCGTGTCTGGAACGCATGTGGGACCGGAGGGGATCAAAGGGGGGTGTTATTGGCTACACGGTCTTTTGATGATGGTCAATGCTATCAGATTAATAACGGGTCGATCTCTTCGGCTCGCCAGAAGATCTATAGCAAAGTCCTTATGAACCCTCAAGGGGTCGATATCTGGTGCCAGAACGACTTGCGACTTCCCACCGACATACATGATAACTACACGCTCTACTGGGTTTGGGAATGGCCGACTATCCCGACTGGCATGGTCCCTCAGGGCCGTATGGAGGTTTATACGACTTGTATGGATATTCAGATTCAGCCGGGCATTCCAAATGGAATAGTAATATTCGAAAAGAATCAGGATTTGAACTTTGCTGGCATTGAGGAGCAGATGCTTGCCAATTAGATGCCATAAATCAGTTCCATAATTTTATAGCAGTAGTTTCTTCGTTAAATTGGAAGCAGGCTTCTTAGTTAACATATTTTACCCACTGAGGATATTTCAATGGAAGTCTTAGTAATGAGGCGTGATTAGCTCTCGGCTTGGAACGTTTTGTACACGCTTGACCGCACACATAGTATAGTGAGGGATATCCATAAAAGTCGTGACAGAGGCTAAAATTGAAGGACTATCAGAAAGCGTTTCTAAAGAAGAGCAATACTTTATTATAATGATTTACTATAATCTGTCCTCGATGATCCCGAATTACCCGTACTTAGTAGATTGATGTTATCCAGACCAGCCTCGATCTCCCACTGAGCCAATGTCCTGGCGGAAGACGACGTATGTGGATGGTGAACCCCTAAAATCCGTCTTTGTATCTGTAAGCAACGCGTCATAAGTGATATTGCTTCTGCGTGCTGGCCGAGACTATGCAACGTAAAGGCAAGGTTATTCATGCTGGTCAGCGTAGAAGGATGGTCCGCAAGAACGAGGTTGCGGTCAAAGAGATTAAGACAGAAGATGGCAGGACAGTTGAGGGGGACGTTATCTACGCCCAGCTGATCAAGAGTGTCTTAATTCCTTGTCGACTTGTTCCCAAAACCAAACGAGGTACATGGCTGGAGTACCCACGATCCGATGGCTTTCATATTGCACTTAGCAATCTAGCATTATGGGAGGCGGGGGCAACTCTCGTGGCCGCGAACATGAAATCAGGAAAAACAGTGTATTTGCGTTTCGCCGGCGTTGGTGATGTTGCCAGGCTCTTCAATGTCTGCGCGCGTAAAGCTACTCAAGTACCAGAGTAAGAAGCTACTTCTAAGCAGAGAATTGACCATAGTCCTAGCTAACATGATACTAATGAAAGCACCGAGATGCGTCATCGATTTAATAGTATCGGGCCAACCGTCAATATGAACGATGAAGACATACCGTGCCCGCGTGCGCACAAGACCGGCGACGGCGCTATAGTCAAAAGGACAAGATCCGGCATACTGAAACCGCCGCATCCTGCGAAAAAGCCTCGTACTCAACCACGGAATGAAGAATTTACGAAACAAAATGGCAATTAAGCAGTCGATATAAGCTCTAATGCGCATAAGAGTGGTTCTGAGCCCCGTAGAACACTTATTGTCACTCTTAAGCATCCTTCCATAAAGAGGACGCGGCGTTTAGGAAACGTCTCTTACAGAGATAGGTGTGGATGTTCTCCGCAGGACAGATGCCTTTATAATTGTAGGAATCGGGCTCTTAGTATCGAGTGTAACGATGAAATCTGTGACAATCGAGATTGCGGCAACCGGGAGATAACCAGAGCGGCTATAGAGCCGGTAGTCGTTAGGGTTTACCATGATTTTTCCAAAGGACTGGGCCTGAAAGTTAACCGAAACTTCGTGGAGGGCGACTTCATACTCGAGTACTGTGGTGAATATGTCGAACGCCTCGAGCTTAAACGGCGTCGAGAGGCGTACAAGAATGACGAAGTGAGTATCGTTTCCATGGGTTATACGCCACTTACTTAATCTAACGACCGCTGAATCTTTTATTAGAATTTCTACTTGTTCAAGACTCGGGACGGTGCGATCGATCCTAAGGATATGGATTGCCTTTCCAAATTCATTAATCACTCTTGTGATTCCAACTGCCGCGCAGAGATATGGACTGTGTTGGGGCGTGAACGTATCCGTTTAGTAGCCACGAAGACTATCTGCAAAGACGACCCACTGGAAGTTGATTATAGATATCCGCCCCTTAGAGATGGAGGCTGCCAGTGCGGAAGTGATCGGTGTAAATACCCATCTCCAAAAGGCTTGTCCCCTGGTGGTCCAAATCAGCCCTGACCGACCGTCCTTTCTGGAAATACTTCAAAAAGCGCATTTACGTCGGGCTTGGGCTTCTTCTTCAATAGACACCTTTCCTTGCGTTTTGATTTGAAATACCAGTCGCTCGAGTCATTGTAATGGTGCCGTAATGTCAGCTGTGTCAGCTGTATGCAGTCGCTTTCGCTCTCGAGCGGATTACGACATACGCTGGACCCTCAATCCGTAGAGCCGACGCGTTCCAGCCTTTTTCGAACAAGCTCTTCGAGTACCGGGATCCACTTCCAAGCGTCCTCCATATCCTTATTGGTACTGTCCGGAGCTTCGACCTGCTTGCTAACCACATCCATCCACCGATTAATGCCAGTCTACTAAAGGATATGAACCCCAAGGGCAAGTGTTTGTGTCTGCCGAGTCTGGAAGACGATATAAATCGTGCCAGAAGGAAAAAAGATTGTCTACCCAGGCTTTAGGACCTAATAACGCCATTGTTGACCCTTATCGTAATCCTCGATATTTTCTGTCTATTTTCTATGTTGTTCATTAGTTGGACGAGATATCCAGGCGAAGCCGAATAAACCTTCCTGAATGGTGATCCATGTGCTCAGTCTATGGCTGTCCATATAAGCCGCTGTATAGTGTCCTCCTTTGGATAAAAGCGCTTAATACTCAATCTCTCTCTATTCAGCCCAATCTTCTCTACTTGCCATAACCCTCTCGGCTGTCTCCACCCAGCACCTTGTCATATACCCGAGCCAAAAGCTGGCAATTTGACCCTATTAAAAAGTCGGGTAATGTAAAAGGCAGCGGACAATTGCAGTTGAGGATATTCTACGGGTCATTGGATTGCTCTGCGGCGAGAAAGCGCTTGTGGACTTGTCGGATGCTACGGAGCCCATACGAGCATTCGTCAGCTTTAAGAGAGGGTATCTAGATAGAGACCATCCGATCATGATCCCCCATCCGATCAAAAAATTCGGGAATTGGCCTGGCTGGGGTTTTTTACGGAAAGTAATGCTGTCGGTCCGTAATAATAGGCACATCTGGAGTCATATTATCAAGTAGAGCCTCGGCTTCGTGTCCATCTAAGATATGCATTTCGATAGCCCCATTTTTTTCGTCTATAGTAGGGTGCTGGCAGCTTTGCAAGACTGGAAGTAGGATTTTGGCGGTTTGACAGCCCCGGCTGGCCGACTCTTTTGCGGCTTTCTGACACGTTTCGAAGATGGTTTGAGCAAGATATGCCTCATCAGAGTCCCAGTCGCACACAGGACGTGCGCTGCGTTCATGCCCACGTGCCAAGCCAGCATCAGGACACACTGCTAGACGGGCTACCTGCTTTTTTTGGACCAAATGAGCTGCGGGAGGTCTGGCGGTAACGAGGTCGCACGCTTTCGTTTTGAACGAACTACGGGGATCTTTATTGATCTCGTTGGATCACTCGCGTTTATACCTGGCAGCTTGCTGGTAAGGGTTTTCAGTCCTTTCATATCCAATCCATATCGTACTGAGGATGGAATAACCTGATCTTTCTGCCTAGCAAGGCCTTCGAGGTTACTGTCAGTCCTACTGCCTCTCTTCGGTAGCGATGATGGCCTTTTTGTTGCTCTCGTCCCTGCCTGCTGGTTGTTAATTTTCGCCGACTCCCGAAGGTTCCTCCGCCGTACAGTATCGACCGAAGCGGCACACCCGTCTTCTGATGGGCCAATGGTTATAGTGGGATTCGAATCTTGGCCGTCCGGTTCATCCTTGCTTGCATCTTCAAGCGTAGCAGCAACTTTGCCACGAGAAGCCTTGGTAGTGGCGTTGTTTGCGATTGGGCGGATTGACTCTGGGGCACCCTCTGGAGCATCTAAGCTTGTGTCGCTTGAGGCATTGGTTATGATATCGGTATCTCCTGCCCTCATTTTTTCCTCTGTATTGGAGCTTGAGGAGCTCGTGTCATCGGTGTGAATATCCGGGATGCCAGTACCACTGCCACCGCCGGAACCTGGGCTGGCAAAATCTTTTGGGACAATAAGCTGATATTTGTCGAAGTAGTAGCCGTCTGGTAGTTGTTCTGTACTCAGTAGTGCGAAGGGAAGTTGTACGCTTTCGGGGTCGTTCTGTTTCGTAAAAGGACCGTTGGCTTTCTATGCCCTCGCATTGGTCAAATCAATCCGTTCGATGGGGTAAGAGAAGGTATGTCTCCCGTGCGCTATCAACCAGATGCGTCGACATACCAGTTGTTGCAATCTGGGCAATGCTTCGGTCTTCCAGTCCCGGTGTTAACGTGCTGTGGCGGCGAATTGTATAGCGAAATTGATGCCTCGCTCTCCGACGGCATAGTGGCGGATCAAGTCCTCTCCCCAATATTTCGCCGCCTTTTTCAGCTCTTTGTAAATTCCAAGTCAATTCTTAAATCCCTCGACCGCGCTATTAGCAAACTCTTGCCATCTAACATCCAGTTTCTTGGAGGCCTTGTATATAATCGACTCGGCAAACGTTGGCTCATAAAAAGCAAATTCGGTCTATAAGAGGCTTTTTGTGTCAAGCAGCTGATCGCGCTTCTCCAAACATAACTCGTATCTCTACTTTTCGTTATTGCAGGCACGGATGTCTCTCAGGAACAACTTCACCTGGTTCGCTTTGTGCGCGCCTAATACCATCATTAATTCGTCATCGCCTGTGTCATTTGGAGTGCTCGAAGTCAGCTCTATCGTGTTGCGCCTGCGGAGCTGGAGGTGTTGCGTGGTGAGCGCGAGGATAGATTCATTGAGGTGATCAGCGGCGGGAGTTCTAGTAGCTGGGGGCTGGCGTAAAGCTATCCAGGTAGGACCACAGGGCTAACAGGACGTTCGCGCTAGTCCTCTCAAGGCAGTTGTAGATTTACATCTGCTCCACAACGATGAAGGCCATTGGCTCAATGACCGTTTTCCTCATCGGAACCTTCCGCTCTCAGATCTACAGGAGCTGGCTGGCTTGTACGCATCATGAAGACCTGCAGATTGTTTGGTTAATGATAAAGGGTGGAATGATTCTCTTCGCGACCACGAACTCATCGATCTTCTTATCGGCCATTTTCTTGGTAAGCCAGTCGCGCAGGGCCGACCGGCTCATAATGGGCTCGTTCGTGGTCAGAAACATTCCGTATCTCGACCCAGACCCAAGTCCAGCATGTCCGCTCGTCAGTCCCGGTCTCCGGCAACCACGTCACGCCTTTGATCCGTACGAAGTCTGTCTCCTTAAGCATACGGTACATCATCTCTTTTTTCTTAATGTTGTGTAAACTCTGCGATCTGCGGCATCCCAGTATTTGATCATCATCGACCTCGTCGGACCGCTTCACCTTGAGCGGATTAGGCCCTTCAACCTCGACGAACAGTTTAAAGCTGAAAAAGCCGCCTCTACCTCGGAGGGGATACGAATAGGCCAAGTCCCTTAGTTCTTTTTGCTGGACTGGTGTTTCTTGAGGCGGCGGCCCGTCATTGGCGGCGGCATCTGGCATCTCTGTGTCCTCTGAAGTCGACCCCTTGGTGGAATTCCCTTGAGCCGACCGGGGTTGACTGGATTTAGCTTGCTCGGGCTTCTCCGTGGTTGGTTTCGTCTCAGCTTGCTCGTTGGGCAGCCCTAGGTCACCGAGTCGCTTCCGCAAAGGCTTCATGAGAAGCTCAGTCCACGCCTCTGGCCATTGGTAAAGACCTCGCCTTCGAGTCTTCACGAAGTAATCCTGCAGCGACTGTAGGTCCTTCTGCACCCGTTCAGGTTTGGTCAACCCGCCTTTGTAATACTCAACAATTGTTCGCTGTCTGTATTGACAAGCTAGCAGCTTCTTAGGGGGCACTATGAACAAGTCAAGATCAGGTCGTTTATTTTTTTGATTGTCGTCCTGGATGGTCTGATCATGTCGAGATAGAGCCCTGGCGAGCTGGGCTACTTTGATAGGGCCGTCGAACTCCCTAAAGAATGGTTTAATGATCCTGTCGCCTATAGCGGCATGCGCTTTCTGGACTTGCTTTGAGGGACGTGGGTAGTTGGCTTCCTCGTCCTCTTCGCTGTCTGGATCGTCGTCATCGTCCATTGCGTCGTCGCTGTCATCATCACCATCATCGAACGCTCCGGGATCAAATTCCTCGTCGAAGGTATCCGCATCGTCGGGAGGAGGGTTATTCTTGAGAAAAGTGTCGTATTGGTTACTCTTCCGCTCGTCGCAAAGGGTCTGCGCCGCGCCGTTGATGACTTGTTCTTGTTCAGTTGTGTAGATTCAAACCATGATTTGTGACGTACCTTTACTACATTCCTCCGCAGCTTCGTCCTTGTTCTGGTCTGGATGAAGTGTAATCACGATATTGTTCTGGGCTTTTTTGATCTCTGCTTCGATGGCACTCGGCTTTACACCAAGCAGCTTGTAGAATGAAGCATTCTGCTTCATCAGTTTGAGAACGCGATTCACCGCCTTCCGCTTCTGTTGAGGAGTATGAAGGCCCTCGGACTTTTTCTTGTCGTCTTCTAAGACCTTGGTGATTGCGTCTCCGAAGTAGCTTGCGATAGAACCGCTGTGCGACATGACCTGCTCTCTCACCTCTTCATCGGTGGGCTCAGAACCGGAATTTGACTTATCTCTTTGAGTGCTTCGACCACTAGGTTATACCATTCATCCCGGTGGCTCTCCGACGATAGCATGCAACTAACCGTCGTCCCAATGCCAGATCGTTCAATTCCCTCCCAATCCAATCGTCGTTTGGCTGTTTCTATCCCAGACGCCTTCTCCACGGCTGAACGGAGATCTGGATCCCAGCCGGCAATGGACTCCTTTAAATTTTTGGCTCGCATTTCGTCCCATTCACCTTGGGCCTTAGCTTTAAGTTGGTCGGGAGTGGGCGTTGGGAAGGGGTGGGCATGCAGATAGTTCAGCGCTTTCTGCTTCCGTTGATTCCGGTCGTCGTCCATGGCCTTGACGATTGCATCCCCAATAGAGTCCATAATAGCATCAACGTAAGACTCGATCTCTTTGGTGATGTTGTTATTTTCTTCCTGGGTAGGCTCAGAGCCGGACTTGAGTCTCCTTATTCCACTGAGTTGTTGGTATACGCGATCAAAGAGGGTGTGACGGGTGTGTTCAGTCTTTTTCTCCTTGTCAATAAATTCTTGAACCTCTGTTGGAGTGAATTCACGCAAGGTTGATCGCAATTGGCGTACTTCCGATTCGGTCGTCTGTTCTAGGGCAAAACGGAAATCCGGACTGCAGTCGGCAAGGGGCTTCTGGACGGTCTTTGAGCCTTTGCCATGGTTATAGGTTTGACTTGGTGGCTCGTTCGGTTTCTCCGTTTCTTCGCGAGGTTTGTCTGTCAGCTGCGGAATCCCATCCTTGTCTGATGGTGCGTCCTCCTCCCATCTACGTTTGGACTGAGATTTGGGAGGGACCGAACTGCTTGGTGACTTGGGATCGTCCGAAATGTCCGAGACGTCCGGCAGCTGGGGATACAAACTGCCAGACATGATTGCGATGATGAGATCTGGCGCTGTGCTCGTTGCCTTCTCTTCGTCTTGCGGATATTTATATTGAGAATATCGTCCCTTTACAGAATTGCTGTACAGAGGCGGACGTCGTCTCCCCGTACGGGGTTGCTGTACGGAAACAGACATCGTCTCGCCGTACGGGGCTGCTGTACAGAAACGGACATCGTCTAGTCACGGCCTCCAGAAGAAAACAGAATCAAGGCTTTTCCAGCGTCTTGACCATAAAACTTGCCATCGTTTCCTGATAGGACAGTTCTCCAACGTATCACCTTGAACGTCCGTAAGGATTAAGCAGAGCAATATGGTGCGTATTCTCTCCCCAATCACGATGGTACGCCCTGAGACGGTGAAGGAGCCCAAGCAAGAGTTGCCCGCTACGCAATCGCAGTTTCTCCTCTTGACGGACACGCCAGAAGCAGCTGAGCTGTTGAGAACTGCCTTGCGGAGTACCAGGTCGGCTTGCGAAGAAGTGAATCTGGAGATGCAGCGCCAAGGCAGGGCCAATCAGGGAAAAGTAGAGTGCCTCCTAACACATTCGGGAGGGCCGAAGATGAATCTCTACCCGGCACAAGCTCTCAACAAACTGAAGCAGGCGAGTCTCTCTGGGTAGAAACCTATCGATGCAAAACTCGCATCTGCTTTAAGAATCTGCAGAAACAAGAAGTTAAAACTGATCGGTAAGCCTGGGTAGAGCAAGGACTTGGTGGCGGTGCTCGATGCTTTTACTGGCAAAGTCCCAAATCTGGGCGGACATATTGGACAATTAAATTACCCTAGGTAATAGTGATAGTGAAAGGAGCACGTGGCGTATTAGTATATTTTGTGATCTGATATTACCTATGCAATTCATATTTCTTGTATGGTTCTTGGGCATTATGTTCTTTCCTTATATTGAACAATTCACCTTTATCATCATGTAAGATCTCTCCAGCCTCGTTATGTATCTTGTTTGTCTTATTTGTAATTTCCTCTACGGCAGTCCTCTGTGCTCCTCTATTGGCAAATCTGCCGTAAAGTGACTGGTGGTCCTTTGACTGTACCTATGCCAAGGACTAATACATCTACAAAGGATATCAGTTTGCGGGTTATTCTAAATGATTGTAAATTCCTCAAAAAAGAGAAAAAGAAGAAGTGAAAAGACTGCAAGGACGGAGATCTACTCTGCCAGATAGCGAACCGTAAATGACCAAAATTTCCAAATCCGAGTAACCAGTTTTCCTCAGGTCAGAGCCCAAGGCTGAAAATCCGATACCCTAATATAAACGTCTTTTTGCCAAATATCCTGGTCTTCTTGTTGTTGGATATCCTTTGCTCCATCTATTTCCCCCTTAGCCTGGCTATTATGATGTACGATATTCATTCTTAGTATGGCTCGGGTTGTCGCCGGGTTAGTGCATACTGATGCAGTTAGTGATAAAAGGTATCAAAGAACTGAAACGCCAAACATACAGGAAATTAGCGCTACCCCATTCCGAGTTTTCATCTCTGAAGAGACGAGCATATTGGGACGTATCACTTTATAATTTAACGTGATAAGACCGTGCTCTCCAAGTTGAACCACGTTACCTTTCGCCGTCTTTACAGATAGGTAATGCCCCCGGATATATAGTTGCATATTAAGGATCGGCAAGATATCAGTAGTCGTCGAAAAGAGGATTTTACGATGTTCACATAATCCACGTCCAGTTGGAGCATCTCGTCCATCCAAGGTTTCACCCAATACCGATAATCTAGAGGCTTAGTATACGTCGGGGGTGGTGGGCAGGAACGTTCACCTTCGGCCTCCAGCTCCCAGAATAGAGCGATTCTTCGCGTTTTAGTTTTTTATTGTCGATACTGTTCCAATAGCTTCCTGATATATGGTAGCTGCCCTGTAATACCCATATCAGTCGCAAAGAGCAAAATCGTCCTATACTGGCCAAGGGATAGGGTCCTGCCATAAGGACCCTTAATTAATACCCAAAACTCATGTCGTTTAGCCATGAGAAGCCTTCTTGAAAAACCTCGTCGGGCTTGAGCAAGTAGCACGATCACTTGTTGAGCATTATGGTCCGTATATTCCCAACAGATTTGAAACGGATGGGACTCAAAGGCCGAAAGATCCGATAGGTCCTATAAGCTGAGATAAACGAACTGTCCTACCTGGAACTTGAGTGGCCGTGCCATCCGTACGTGAATCTCTACCCTATCGCCGTATTTCTGGACAGTGGCTATGCTTTGGCGCCTACCCGACATGTTCAGGTACAGAATATTTAAGAGTCTGAAGAGCTTGGTGAAAACGAAGAGGATTGAGCAAAGCAGAAGGTACAAATGGGGTCTTGTGTGGATTGGAGTCGAGGGAAGATGAAACCATAGCGCCGCCAGAGTTGCCGATACTAAGAGTGTGTAGATGTAGGAGGAGACCTCGAATATCTAGTAAAGAAAAAGCGAGGAGACGATAATAGCTCCTACAGAACATGATGCCTTAAGTCTTATTAGCAGTGATCTAGAATAAGACTAGAAACTTATGACTGGCGAATCGTTCTCTGATGGTTCAAGCTGCACGAGGCTCTCAGCAGGGCTCTGCTGGTGTGGAGCAGTTTTCCACCCGCCTCCTTTCCTCAAAACCTGCAGTCATGCCGGACGAAGGTAGAGTACAAGCTCCACCACGCCGCGGTAGCGCGTCAGAACATCAGTTCGCCCGCCTCTTGGACTGCGTCGAGGTTATCACTGGGGCCAGCATCGAGGTGTCGGCCCACCTACGGGACGAAGAATACATGGGATACTTTCATTCGTTATTTTAGTACTATCTACGAATTCTGCAGTAGAGTTTTGCCAAGAGGCCACGTCTAAACGACGTCCTAATTGGTTTGACTCCTGCGTGACTGATGTCTGGAATCGGACCGCGGGCTGACGTACTTGTGGATAGCTAGGGTGTTATATTTATAGGGAACCGGGGCGTGATATATAAGGGGCTGACCCTTTTTTACGCAGCCTCTCTACGACCAACCAATGCCATTTCCCTTCCACTTTGTCTGCCTTCACTTTATCAGCCCCTCATTCCGTTCCATCTCCCTCCCCCCCCCCCCTTCTCTATCTAGAAGCTTCACCTTTCTTTCCCTTTCACCATAACGATCCGTCTTGGATTATTACAAGTTGCGTCGTGATATACAAAAATGAAGCCGGCAGCCCGGAAAGGACGACCCAGGAAAAACTACATGAAGAAGACAGCGGGCGCGGAGATCGAATCGAATCTCGTGAACGATAAACCCGTACCTAAGGTTGTGGCGAAGTGCACAGATAGTAACTATGAGCGTCAACTTCAAAACTGGGATGACTTGTTCGTATCTGACATCGCTTCTGCTCACACATTCTAACCATCCAAGTGTCGAACTCAGGCTTGAAAACAATCGGACGCTCCATATCAAGGGTGAATTGAGTCTTGAGGAATCGGAAATTCCACCAAGCGTGAAGAAACTAGGTGACCTTAAGGAGTTCATCTACCGCTTAGGACTGGCAATGAGAGAAGGCATGGCGCCTGAAGACACTCTTCCCTACACTGGAATACGCTCCTACTGGAAGGATTTCACCGGGGGATACCGAAGATCGCGGGGGCCCATTCCGGAAAACCATATAACATCAGTCACAAATGTTCGTTCCGAGAGCACTCCGCAAGAAATAGATCACTGACCATAGGCAGGCGTTGCACCCAGACGGAGAGATAGGTGAAGCTCTGAATCTGGTGCCGGACTCCGGGAAACGGAAACACGCCAGCGAGACGGTGTTCACCTGGACTGGCGAGTTTCTTTGGACTCTGGACTGGAAAATCTACGCTCGCCCACGCGTGCGGGTAGACCTCTGGGCGCTCCTTTCACGAAGGCGGCTTCTGGAATCCTCAGCCGCTTTACCTCAACCCTTTTCTCTTCTATTTACCCATTTTCTGCGCAACTGGGGCCTTACGGGACTATAAAGGAGAAGACGGCTTGATGAAGCTTTTAGACCGCAAGCTAGGACCCAAAGAAGAGAGACGGTCTATCCCGTGGGACCTGAGCGTAGTGGATAAACCGATCTTTACCGGTGCGGGAGGGAGGATATGGACGGCTCATGACTACAGCAAAGCCCTGCGAGAAACGGGAATCAGATCTGGGTTTCCAAACCCCCCAAGCCAGCATGATTACCGGAGAGAAGGTCTCACGAATATCGGTATGCTGGATGGCGCGAACGTCCATGGCTAAGCTGACCGATCCCCTTAGATGAAATTCCGAACTACTCAGATTCCCAGAGACAGGTGTTCGCTGGCCAAGAGAACAACGCGATTCACCAGAAGCACTATGCGGGCACGAACCCGGGTATTGACGGCCAAGCCGCGTTCTTACGGAAACAGGTCCGTTTGGAGAATATCGCCAGACACTTTCGTGAGCTTGACGTAGAATGGCAACCGGCCTTGTGGCAAAGCCTACCCCTAGCGCTGTTCGAGGAACTGACGAAGACGAGTGAATATATGACTATCAAGGCCGAGCTTCAGGACTCCCTACCGTCAAAAGGTACGAAAAGTAAGGATGGGTTGCGTGCAATGAGCCTGGAGGTGAAAGAGGAAAGTATATCGCCAGAAGAATCTGACTGTGGCATCCTTCACCGAGGCGTTAAGCTGAGGAGGGACTGTAAAGGCCTCGAGGATAAAAGACTCAAGAAGTTCTGGGCCGAGACTTCCTCAGGAGCTGTCGCCGGGTCGGAGGGATACATCTGTCGAGGGGTCAGCCACCCGTTCTCACGACTCAGGCCAATCCTTCCGGCGCGTCGACAATTGGCGGATCTTCTACCTGTATCAACGAGACTCCGCAATCCGGACGGGAGAGATGCACTGCGGGCCATACTCGCTCTCTATGAAAGCACATCAGAAGTCAACCGCCCGGGACTCGATCAATGCCCTTGTAGGAAGAATTTGAGGTGAGTGTAACGTCCAACGTTCTATGTGTAATCACTAAAAGGATATAAGCCAATTGCACGTTTACCGATGCACGAAGAACGCACAGCCGTTCGCCGAGTTTTGCTTCTTTTGTAACCAATGGCTGTACGACTCGGAAGACTGGGAGCGGCATTGCCAATCTCACTTGACCCAAGACCACCTTCCCGTGGAGATGGCTTACGAGAAAATCGAGAGCACATTTTTGCCGGGCTATTGTCCGTACTGCTTATGGGACAAGTCGCTCCCGGCGGCCATCCGTCTCCATCAGTTCTGCACAAAGGACGAGTGGGAGTCTGAGGTGAAACTCCACGGATTGCGATGGCGAAAGGAGACATGCCCAGACGCGCGCTGTGTCGAGAAGTTTGACCAAGAACACGCCTTCGTCTGCCACATGCATGACCTACACCGCATACCTAAAGAATTGTTGGTGGCCACCTCGGGAGTGAAACGAGAAGCCAGCGTCTTGGGAGACATCGCGGACCGAAACCCAAAAAGGAAAAACGCATGGGAGGACGCGGTGTTTGTTTTCGACCTTTGGTCGTTAGAGACTAACTCGCTGTACGATATCGGCCAGCATACATGTTCAGCATCAGCCGCAGGCTGGAAGTGGATAGAGACCAACCAAGCCGCTACAGGGGGGTTCATTTTCGAGGCCTAAATTTAGGATACATGCTTCATGGGGATGTCTATCCTTTGTTATACGGCGTACAAGTCACGAGCTCGTCCGGTGTTTATTTCAATGAAGTAGGGCTGAAAAGCCCGTCACTCGTTACCAAAATAGACTTCAATAGATTCCAGTTTCTCACAGTCAGTCTTTACAGCCATCCACTGTCTAACAATACGAAGTGTCCATCATATTCCATTGCTTCTCAAGAGGTTATACCTCTCCGTACACGGAGAAGTTATACGTCACCTCATCCATATAAACGCTGGTCAAGACACCCGCACACTTCAAGAGATGACCGTAATCGTAGAGCGCGAAGCTAGTGCCTACAAACAGAGCTCCCGTTTAATAGGGAATCTATACGACTAGGAGATCACTTGCGGGATGACGTTGAATACATTAAGGGCTTCCTGCAAGTCGCAATCAGCAGCTTCCACTAAACCTGGCCGCCTGCGTCGCTTTATATGGCAACACAATTCTCGTCTCATTTGAATTGTTTCTAATATTAGCTAAAGCTTGCTGATAGCTTCATCGTAGGCAGCTATGATGGGCCCGTAAACTTGGTCTGGGTCTCCTGCAGGAGTTCCAAAGCTCATTCTTTCGTCCTTGTCTAAAGGGAAGAGGATCTTCCTAATCTTAAGACAGAGGGCTTTAACGTCATCCAAGGCCTTTGGAAACTCACCCATTATAACCTCAAGGCCGTCTACAGTCATATCGCCTGCTTTGATTCGGGCTATGTCTCTGAAACTTCCAATCTCCCATTTTCGGAACAGGCTCTCTTTAGGTGGCTTCTCTACGCCACCAAAGCCATTATTCCATGATTGGCGCGCGCACATCCACAACAGGACGTAGAAAAACGACTCGAGGTCGTGGCGGTAGGTATGATCGGTCTTGCGGAGCACCTCTACCGCCATGAACTGCATCGTGCCGGTCTGGTGCCGTGCCCCACTAGGGCCACTGTCCCTCACTTTGGCCAAATCAAGGTCGATGAGCATACCCTTGAAGCCATCTGCCATTTCAGGCTTCGTGATAATAATGTTGTTTGAGGATATGTCGCGGTGGAGGATCTTGCCCTTGACGTAGAGAGACCGATGTGCTTCGATCGCATCTCGTTCAGACTCCAGCAGTTCCCCTGATGGTCCTAAACTCGCTGATGACACGGCCAGCTGGCGAGACAACGAGGCAGGAGTAGATCCTATTCTCCCACAGGTCCTCGCCAGGTGTATAGAGGCTCGGCTTAGTCTTGCCAATCGACAGCTGACCATTCAACTCGGTAGCCAGCTTCGACTTCTGACTGTTGGACCGCCGCCTCTTGGGTCCAGACGCGTCATCGGAGATATGGTCGGACGATGACTTGCGCTTGCTCGACGTGTTCGTGCTTGCTGTGGCTAATGGTGGATCGTCAAAGTGAACGTCTTCACCCCGAAAATGGTGAGCCTTTGAGAACAGCAGCCCCTCCCGCATCTCTGCAATAGAAGTGATGCGACGATGTGCCACGACCCTGGCTACCCCTTTAACACCCATTGCTTGTGCCAGGTTCAATTGTTCCACCTCGGGCTTCCGCTTATCCGATGCCCATGAGAATTTGGCAACGTGGCTGTTTTGGGTCTCATAACACGTCGTTCCGCGACAAACGATGGCCATCTGCCTGACCATCGCCTTGTCTAGCCTGACCCTTGTATCCTTGCCACTTACATCATCCAGTGTGACATAGCGATGCTCACCCCTTCGCTCAATGAATGTGTCTAGACCCATCAAGTCGTCATCCATCGTAGCGTAGCCAACAAGAGCGCACGCAAACTTATCCGGCTCGTCGTGAATGTCGAATAGACCCGAGCTGTACGCTCCTGACCGATCGAAGATCCAAAGCTCTATTTTGGAAGCACAAAAGGAGAAGGCGTGGACAAATCGGCGCGTCGGCTGATCCGCGAAGACACCTCGCACATAACGAGTGAGCTGGAGGAGATCGGCCTTGAACCTGCTTGTGTCGTACGACTTCTTCTGTTCCCCAACAACAAAAACGTCTTTGTACCAAAAGGTGCTGCCGGCTTTTGTGGCTGGCTTCTGCAAAAAAAGGTCCATCTGACCTTTCCGTTCCTTAAACTGGTTGGCGGTTCTAGTGGTGTGCAACTTGTACGGCGCATTGTCCAAGAAGTGCTCTTCTAAGGAGCGAAGCCAGTCCCAGACCGGCTTTTCGTCAGGTACGGTTGGGAAATCCGTCCATCTCTTTCCGTCGTGCGCTGTTAATATCCCCTTGAGCATCGCGTTCTGTTTTTTGCGCCAGTTCTTGGGGTCGAAGAACTTGTCCCAGAAGCCACCCACATTGCGGAAGGTGCAGTTTTTTATCTCCTCGAAAAGCTCTCGTTCGACAATGTCGCGCGTTTCGCTGTCGGCAAGTCGACTCGAGCTGGTCTTGATGGGTGTTCCTCTGAATGTCGGGGCGATGCTGGAGGGTGGAGGCGTTGAAGGGTTGACATTAGCGATGAGATTAAAGACGGCGGCCCAGATGTCGATATCGGGGGAGTTGGCGATGACAGCGTCCACAAGCGGTTGGAACTGTGCGAGCTGGAGTGAGGTACCTTCTAGAGCTTTTTCCCTTATGGTAAAGAGCCTTAGGGCCACATTACCATTGCCATCAGGAGCGGGAAGACGGTGTGCTGTGGCAGAGCCCAGTATGGCAAGTAGGAGACTTGCGATGCCAGAGCGCCAGGATTCAACGGATGCCTTCAAATCGCATAAGTTGGTTGAAAAACGACTCAGCGAGTCATTGAGCGGATAGTCCTTAATCACTCTGATCTGCTCCTCACTTAGCGTCATTTGGGCCTTTTGGTTTTTTGGAGGAGGAAAAGGTCAAGAAGGAAGGAGAATTCCCGAGATTGAGTGTGGCGTGGGAACGTCAACAAGGGACAGACGTGACTGATCACGTGCTTGCCAAGATCTTGAATAGCGGGCCACCTGATCGCAGCTGTAGCTAGCGGAGTAATCCGGGAAGCAACGGGTGACTTACGGCCCGAAACAAGCACCGGGCCGCTCCATGACTTTAATGAAGGCTGCCGACTATTTCACGAGCGACATGCAACGATTGCTCCTGGTCAACTTTCTCATATAGCATTTTCCATCATGCAGCTTGGCGATGCTATATATATTGCCGGGATCAGGCTTATATTAGGCCAGGATCAAGCCATCCAGTTAGGACACAAAACAAAAACTGAGCTTGTCCTTCCTACCACACTACGCGGTTGCTCCCTACAACCTCTCAATCAATGCCTCGTCGATTTGCGAAGAACTGATCCTCGCGATGACAAGTCCCGTATCGAGTCGACAAAGGGAGGGCTACTGAAAGATTCGTCTCGCTGGATTCTTGAACACGAAGACTTCCGAAAATGGCATGCGGACAAAGGCAGCCGGCTTCTATGGATCAAGGGGGACCCGGGGAAGGGCAAGACTATGCTCCTCTGCGGTATAGCCAATGAGTTGAGTGGTTTACCTGCGACCGAGTGTCTCGTTTCCTACTTCTTCTGTCAAGCCACAGACACGAACCTGGACAACGCAACGGCCGTGCTTCGTGGCCTAATCTACATGCTCGTCACGCAAGATCGCTCGTTGTTGAAGTACCTTCATGAGGACTACAAAACTGCTGGCAAAGCTCTATTCGAGGACGGAAATACTTGGGACGCATTGCTCAGAATCTTCAATACCATGCTGCAGAACCACGAGTCGAACGAGCTCTTCTTTATAATTGATGCACTTGATGAGTGCTCAAAGGATCTGCCCAGGCTCCTACATTTGATTGTCGAACAGTCTCGTGCTGGCCGAGCAAAGTGGTTAGTCACTAGTCGCAATTGGCTAGACATCGAGGAACAGCTTGAGACTGCCGATCGAAAGGTGAGGCTCAGTCTCGAACTCAACCACGACTCTATATCTACTGCTGTAAACATTTATATCGGGCATAAGGTGAATGAGTTACAGCGTAATAAGAGCTTTGACGAGACAAAACGGGACGAGATCATAGGATATCTGACCTCGAACGCAAATGATACCTTCTTGTGGGTAGCTTTGGTTTGCCAACGGCTTGCAGATCCCAAAGTTCGAGTTCGGCATCTACCAAACGAGCTACGACGCTTCCCGGCTGGCCTGGACTTATTGTACAAACGAATGTTGAAGTCTATCGACGATTCTTTGGACGCCGAAACATGTCGGAACATTCTTGCAACTGCATCGGTCGCATATCGACCAGTCAGTCTCCCAGAGCTGATGATACTCCTCGACGGGCCAGAAGAGGTTAATAATGTTGAGTACCTAAGAGAAATTGTGCAACTATGTGGCTCTTTCCTGACTATCCGAGAAGACACCATCTACTTCGTACATCAGTCGGCGAAAGACTTTCTAGTCACAAACGCGGCCCATACAATTTTCCCTAATGGCGTCGGCCGGAAACACTTCTCCATCTTTTCAAAATCGACTGACGCTCTATCCAAGGGCCTTCGACGTGATATATACTATCTACGTAAGGACGGCATCTCTGTCGACCAAATTCAGGCTCCAAATCCCGATCCATTATCCCCTTTACGATACTCTTGTATCTATTGGGTCGATCATCTAGCCGAAGGGGGCTCTGCGAACCTACAATTCGAAGAATGCGTTCAAGACGGTGGCGCAATCCAAAAGTTCTTCAAAAAAAGTTATCTACATTGGTTAGAGTCTCTCAGTCTCCTTAGAGATATACCGAAAGGGGTCTCTTCTATGTCCAAACTACGGCGCTTACTTAAGGTACGTACTTACTCGCAATATACCATTTCGAAATCTAATAGAGTTTAGGGTAAGGAGAGCGCAGCAGGGTTAGCTGAAGTAGTATATGATGCGCTACGATTCATCCAATCTCACAGCGTTGTGATTACGGGCAACCCACTCCAAGTATATGTGTCGGCACTGGTCTTCAGTTCCAACCGTAGTATTGTACGGAATTTATTTCGAGGGGAAGAGCCCAAATGGATAATCAGAAAACCAATGGTGGAAGATTATTGGAGTGCCTGTTTACAGACGCTCGAGGGCCATGGCGATACGGTCACCTCGGTGGCCTTCTCCCCCGACGGCCGGGTCGTGGCCTCGGGCTCCTACGACGACACGGTCAAGCTCTGGGCGGCCGACACGGGCGCGCTGCAGCAGACGCTCAAGGGCCATGGTTCTCGGGTCAGGTCGGTGGCCTTCTCGCCCGACGGCAGGCTCGTGGCCTCGGGCTTGTGGGACGAGACGGTCAAGCTCTGGGCGGCCGACACGGGGGCGCTGCAGCAGACGCTCGAGGGCCATGTTTCTCGGGTCACCTCGGTGGCCTTCTCGCCCGACGGCCGGCTCGTGGCCTCGAGCTCCTACGACGACACGGTCAAGCTCTGGGCGGCCGACACGGGCGCGCTGCAGCAGACGCTCGAGGGCCATGGTTCTTGGGTCACCTCGGTGGCCTTCTCGCCCGACGGCCGGCTCGTGGCCTCGGGCTCGTGGCCTCGGGCTCGTGGGACGACACGGTCAAGCTCTGGGCGGCCGACACGGGGGCGCTGCAGCAGACGCTCGAGGGCCATGGTTCTCGGGTCACCTCGGTGGCCTTCTCCCCCGACGGCAAGGTCGTGGCCTCGGGCTCCTACGACAACACGGTCAAGCTCTGGGCGGCCGACACGGGCGCGCTGCAGAAAACAGTCGATATGGGTTCTGCATCACGAACTCTCGCATTCGATAGCAATAGCCAGTATGTCTTCACTGACGTTGGTGCCATCGCTGTTTACGCCTCACAAGAGTCTGGTCTGATCAGTGATATTACTAACTCGTCTCCACCGAACGAGGTTTCACCTCAGTCTATTCAAGGCCACCGCCTCGGATATGGTCTCAGTACAGACCAGAGCTGGATCACACTCCATGGACAGAGGATTTTTTGGCTGGCACCAGACTTTCGACCATCATGCTCATGTATATATCAATCGACAGTGGCAATCGGGTGTGGTTCAGGTAGGGTTAGTATTATGCGTTTTTTATGAGGATAAGTTCGGGACTATGGTTATTAGGTGAAATCTTGGTATCGTTTATACACTCTATTATTTTTATTCACTTTGCAGAGGAGAGTCTTAGGGGAGAGGTTGTATATATACTCATAAGAGGTGATATTTTTAGTACCTTTGAGCACATTTGACAAATACCTTTGATAACATAGCTGTGGAAAACAACGTTCAAGCCCTTTTCTCTTTTTGTCCTTTGTTCCTACATTGTATGCCCTTTGTAAGGTTCATTGTATAAAAGCGGCAGCCGATTTAAGTCGCCCCCACCTCCTGCCACAATCGATCATCGTCAGCACGAAGAGTACCGAGCTGCAATTCTTAAGCAAATGCAACAAGCTAGATGATTACGACTCCTGTGGCTCATACGCCTCATACTGAATCAATATATCACAAATGCACTGTTGCTGCCGCTGCGTTCTATCACCGTTCAGCTTTCTATATGCCGCAATAACCAACTGGCTGCCCACTAGGCCTATGCGACCGTACACCTAGGTAGAGACTTGACGAGAATGCTATCTGTAAGCAAGTCTATTTACCTAATAATACCATGGATAATACGGAAGATTATATGGTAAATAGTAAATACGTAAATATTAACTCGATCGTAACTTCGGCGGAATTTAATAAGAAATGAAAATCCAAAAATATGTCGAGCCACAAGCCATAAACGGAAACCCTCCATAAATTATCCTTACCGTAAAAGTCGGTTCATTACGCCAAAGTCATTTGTGTATAATTCCTTTATGTGTGCTCTTCTGTTTTTGGATACGTTCATTGGGGGCCAAGCTCAGGCCAAGCTCCGGCCAGGCTCAGGCTTAAAGCGGCACGGCTCAGGTCCCGATGTGGCACCCAGACCCCCGTGGACATTCTACTTGTTAGGTAGCTGCAAAAATTATCATACTAGCAGGGCGGAAGCATCCGTGCGGAATATAGTCGTTACAGTGCAGAAGATCATATTAGCTAGACTCAGGCTTATGCAGCTGCAGGCTGCTAATTACAGTGCGACTTCCAAAGAGAACCTTTATAACTCTCAGGGGACGACCCCAATCCGCGCCCCACTTACTTTCCTACGGCTCTCTCGGGGGGCCCTGACGTTACAGCTTGTTGCTGGGGAGCACACGTGCATGTTTGGAAAGCTTGATTGGACAATGTTGCAAGTTAAGCTGGATCTGCAACCAAATCTCGCCGTGTGGGACACAGAGTAGCTTCAATCCTTCACTCTCAGTTATTGCTACTTGCATTGTCAAGCTGTTTGTTTCTCTTGATACGGCTGAACAAATTACTCGTCTTTGTTCATAATCTTTAAACTTTGCACGGCCTCTCTGCGTTTTACGCACAACACTAACGTTGATGACGACAACAACAACAACAGTAACAACAGCCGGAATTAACCACTCAATTGCAACCGTTCGTTCTCTCTTCCAGTTCTGATTGCTAGCCCGTCCCGACTTTCTATGTTTGCCCGTACTAATTATTGAAGACATTAAAAGCAAGAAGACATCGTGGATCTGCACTCCTCACGGTATCCCTCCGAAGTGCATCGTCATGAAGTTCGGCGAACAGCTCCGCTCCAGTCGGATCAAGGAGTACGAATGGTACTACATCGACTATGAAGATTTGAAGAACCAACTCAAGTCCGCCTCTGGCCCTCCCATTGACGAACCCTCGACCAATTCGAAGAAAGAGCCTAAGAGGCCCAAGAAGCAATGGACCGACGACGACGAGGCCAGGTTCCTGGGAGAGCTTGACAAGCAGCTCGAGAAGGTCTTCAACATAGAGCGAGTCAAGAACTCCGAGGTGCAACGAGTCATCCAAACAGAAGAGACGGAAATCAATAATATTGTCCGAAGAATGGATGCCAGGCAACGAAGGGAGGACGAGCAGGAACCCACCGAGGAGGAGTTTATTCAAAAGGAGGAGGCATTGAGCATGATCATAGCCGAGGTTCATGATCTTTCCAAGTTTGTCCAGTTGAACTACACGGGTTTCACCAAGATCATCAAGAAGCACGATGTCAGTAGCATCCCGCATAGCTTCCCTGGCTCGGAACCACCACTGACAATCTCGCGCAGAAAGTAACCCGCTGGCAGCTCAAGCCCGTCTGGGTTACTCATATGAAGTCAAAACCCTTCTACAAGGAGGACTACGATGCCGAGATAGCCAAATTGTCCAAGCTTTACAACCTCGTAAAAACGCGCGGGAATCCAGCTACGGGAGACAGCGCTGCGGGCGGAAGTCAGGGCAGCTTCGTTCGTCAAACAACCAAATACTGGGTGCATCCGGATAATGTTACCGAGCTCAAGCTGATCATTGGCCGACATCTGCCGATTCTGATCTACAATGCGGAGAAGAAGCAGGACCCGGCAGACGCAGCGATTACATCTATTTACTATGACAATCCAGAAAAATGGGATCTGTATGAAGGCCGACTGAAGAAGACAGAAGGCGCTGAAGCTATTCGACTTCGGTGGTATGGAGGCATGCGCAACGAAGAAATATTCGTCGAGAGAAAGACGCACCGCGAAGACTGGACTGGCGAACAGTCCGTGAAGGCACGTTTTAACATGAAGGAGAAAAACGTCAACGCGTACCTCCGGGGCGACCTACTTCCAGCTGCTATGATCGAAAAAGTCCGCAAAGAGAACAAGAAGACAGAGCAGCAACTTGCAGAACAGGAGAGACTGGCCCAAGAGGTCCAGTATTCGGTGCTAAAGAAAGGGTATGTACCGGTGTGTCGATCCTTTTACAACCGAACGGCGTTCCAACTGCCTGCGGATGCCCGCGTCCGTATCTCACTTGACACGGAGCTTACCATGATCCGAGAGGACAACTTAGACGGAGTCAAGCGATGTGGGAACAATTGGCGCCGGATGGACATCGGCATTGACCACCCTTTCTCCCAGCTACCAGATAGCGACGTGGTTAGATTCCCTTATGCCATTTTGGAGGTGAAGCTTCAAACTCAACACGGGCAGGAGACGCCGGAATGGGTTCGACAGTTGATCTCGAGCCATTTGGTGGAAGCCGTGCCGAAGTTCTCCAAGTTCATCCACGGCGTCGCTTCGTTATTTCCAGATCGGATCAACTTGCTACCGTTTTGGATGCCCCAAATGGACGTTGACATCCGCAAACCAATCACATACGACTTTGGACTCAAGCGGAGCAAAGAACGCGTGACCACCAGTGGCTCTACGTCCGACGACGATGACGACCTAGACTCTGATGACGAGGCAGAAATGGATGTTGATCCGCATCCCGGCCCTTCAAATGGTGCGTCGTCGACTGCCGCGGCTGAGGGTCTAGCGACAGCTGATCTCGAGGATCAGACGGCCGAAGACGTCGCTGCTGATGAAGATTACCCCATTTATGAGTCCGACGACGAAGATGAGTCTGCCGACGCCTTCGAGGAAGCCAGAAGAGTCGGCGGCATGTCATATTACTCGGCATTGGCGAAGAAATATACGAAGACCGCTGGCCAAAGGGCATGGACTGCTCTACAAGCCATGTCGCCTCATCCTCGAGGCTCCTTGGTACCGCTGAGCAATCGTCATCAAATGTTCTTTGGAGGCCAGAACCTTCAACACATCAAGTTCAAGGCACCCAAGGGAAAGAAAATTTATGTGCCGGTTCGAGTCGAGCCAAAGGTGTACTTTGCGGCAGAGAGGACTTTCCTTGGCTGGGTGAGTTGAACTTCCTGCAAGTTAGGAGCAATCCCTACGAATGAATGACTGACATCTTACCTCGTAGCTCGAATTCTCGATTTACATCGGTACCATCGCAGCCACACTGCTTAACTTCGGCGCGAAGCCTAACATGGTTTCGTTTTTGGCCGCTACCGCCTTTACAGTACTTGCCGTCTGCTCCCTAATCTACTCTGTTGGCATTTATGTATACCGCTGTGGCGCAATCCGAGAACGCAGAGTGATCAAATACCACGACAGATTTGGACCGACCGTATTGTGTGCAGCGCTATTTGTTGCCGTTGCACTGAACTTTGCTTTTGAGGGACGGGAAAGACATATCTGGTAGAAGAGCAGCAAGCATAGCCGTGTGCGCGAGTGCGTGTGGACGGGACCCGTTATCGTGTTGGGAATGGTATCAGTCATGTATTATCAGAAAACGGGGGACTGTATGGTAAACGAGGTGACATCCGTCCTGATTGGATGTAACCTATTTTTTGGGCACTCAGTATGGATTATTCGAAAGGTCGAAGTCGGCGGCTTCATACAATGGACATTGCTTGGTACGTTCTTCCGGCCTGAACTTGACTTGCGGAAATGTTGTGGACTTTGGTACTTGGACCAGCCAAAGCCGATTGAACCCAGACAGGACATATCAGCAGTAGCTCTGCACTTATACACTAATTCACCTCGATTCAGCAGCTCCAGGAGGTGAAATCGATTCAACGGCTTCAAAGTGCTCTCTATTCTTAGCGTTAGGTGTTGGTATAACATGGTGTCTGCCTGATGTTTGACATGTGGCTCTGTCCACTTGGACTTGGATATTTCTCCCGACAACATGTTTGATGTCTTTGCATGTGGGAAAGTCTGTCAAATGTATCATGTATTCATTGCCTTAGGTTTGTTGGGGTAGCACTCAAATCATAGTTGCGACAGAGTTTGGGGCAAGGAGGTTGTATTATTCTGTCTAGCTGTAGTACTTGGAAGAAAAGGGGTGTTGTATAATTAATCTCATCTAATGCTACATTTAGTAGATGTCACCTTGTATGTGATTCCCATCTAGTAACGTTGTAGAAGTCATAGATGGGTGCCTTGGTGAGTATTCCACGAGTAATACCGAGGGTCTTCAATAAGTTAAGACATTGAGTGCCACCTTTAGTAGCATGTCTTTGATCAGAAACAAGGGGTGTGTTCTCCCAATGGAAGTCATATATTGATGACTGGGTCACTGGCATCACAGGATGTGAGTTGCCACCCTGTTCTATTGACCAACAAACGCGAATATCTCATTGTTAGAGTCAGTAGCATGCCCTACCTTGAATTAAAAGGGAAGGGGAGGACGAGTATGGAAATTCTTGTGCGGGTGGGTGCCTTACTAACATTCCAAAATTCAAGTTAGTGCTGACAATTAGTTTTAGATACGACAAACATAGGGATTGGTGCAGGAAGTCACATGTAAGTTTCTCAATAACATCCCATATTATATTTCCATGTGACGGAATATCACAGCGATAGCTATCCTTGGGCTATGGACATGCAGTCATGCCTGTTTAAGTGCCTTGCCAGCACCAAATATGTTCATTCATTCCTTGCAATGAATCGTCAAAGGGAATAGGCCGGTCCGCAGTATGGTAGCTTGCACTGGTCTGGTGACAAAGAGGAACGTCTGTGTGGGAATTTACGTATAGCCAGGTAGTCGGGGAGATTCAGGTTCAGTTCCTGGACTGGCACATATTCTTGTATGTTTATTTCTAATTGTTTGTCTCCCATTACCCATGCATTTGGAGCCCTTTGATAGTACCTGGCGATAGGGATTGTCTACAGCTAATCAAGGCAAGCCCTCGACTTGGGATTATGTATCTTAATTTCTTCTACCTCCACAATGCTGGCTCAGGATGGTCCTTAGTCTCTGCCCACTCACCTCTGCCATGCCATTTCTAAACAACATGGACAAATTCGTCTCATGTTACTCTGCAGCATACCTAGAAATGGGTCATTTATATATCTTTGGGCAATTACGGTACGTAAATGCATCCCCACCGAGTACTCTTATAAGGGACTCTGCATATTCTACGCACCAACCCAGCCATGAAGCACTAAAAGGAAGGCTCAACTTGACTCGCAGCGAAGAATGCTGGAAATCCAATACTTACAACACAGAACATCACCGTTCCGGCATTTCCAGCCCCTGATTGAACGCACGCATCCAACTGGTGCCAATGATGGTCTGATTGGCTATAATGCCTTGGGCAGTGAAGACTAGTAAAGTCAACGGAGAGAGGATTTCAAGAAATACAATCCCCAAATTGGAACCATGTCATCATAAGTAGCGTAGGTAATTGCGTCTCATCCCAATCTACCTTACGTGCAGATTGCACGCATGGGATTGTCGATACAGTCACACCAGCTGCTAAGATGACGGTAGGAGTATGCCAATCCCCAAACCCCTGAATCGCCTGTCCTCCCATACTAGAGCTCGGCAGCTTCTATTTGCTGTTCACAGCCAGAGGATCCACCCCCGTCTTGACATCACTGTTCTCCTCAACCTCCTTCTTATACCTGAGCCCCCGTCTGCATCATAGCAGTAATGGCCTTCTCGCAGACATCCACCAGGTGTAGCTCCTCCTCGAGACCGACGGAGAAGCGAATCTGATTGGCATGCATGCCGTAGGACGCATGATACGGACTCGACTCTTTATCTAGCACCATGAAATTGTACGGCATGGCTAGGGTGAGGTGGGCCCCCAAGTGGGGTCCTTGGTGGAATTTCAGGTTATCGTAGAAGGCGATCGTGGCGTTTTCGGTCTCGAACTCGACTGAAAACAGACAGCCGTAACCGATCTTGGGGAACTCGGGCGTCGGCTTGCGAAGGAAGGGGATGAGATGTTTAGAGCCTTGGGAGTACGGCGGGTACAAGACTTTGGCGACGGGGTACTTGGGATCCTCGGCCAGCTTCTGGAAGTATTTTGTCAGGGCCTCGGCGTTGCGGTTCAGTATGATGGAGCGAGGGAGATAGTCGTCACTGTTTTTCAACAAATGATCGGCATCTACGGCAAAGAGCTCGTTGTGGAATTGCTGGGTGAAGAGAGGCTTCAGGGTGCTATAGCTGGCCATGTTGGGATTCAAGACGACTGAGCCGGCCATGACATCAGCGTAGCCCGAGAATGACTTGGTCAGCGAGGTGATGATGGCATCCGCGACGGGTAGGACGTCAATGTTGCAGAAGGATGAAAGGGTCTCATCGACGACAATCCAGAACCCGTACTTGTCCGCCTAGGGATTGTTAGCGTCTGTTCCTTTTCATGAATAAAGTATGAGATAACTAACCAACGTCCGTAACCTCCGCAAGTCGGCGCTGACCAGGATGGGGTTACTGGGGAACTCAGTGAAGACATAGCTGCACTTGCCCCCCTCCTCGAGGTACTTCTCAAAATCATTCACATCGTTCTCGTCACACTTCCCATAATGCTTAAGGCCACTCGGGAGTTCCTCGAAATAGTGAAAGGTGCTGTGGAAGACAGCGCCAAAGACAACGGCCGGCTCCGACCGGACCTTCATGACGGTCTCGTGGAATCTTACAATCCCAGCCATGCCAGTTTGGTACAAGAACACATCATCGGGCTGCACGGATTTCTTGGGCTCTTCAGCACAAGCACGCATCAGAAGACCGGTTATACGCTTGCGCAACAACTCGTGGGCCTCCCCCTCCGGCAGATATGTCGGCGCCGGTGCATTGGCGCCCTGAGGGAATTCCCCCAGGTACTCGAGACTGTCGATTTGTAAGAGCATGTGCTCGCCCAGGCGCGTGCTGAAGCCCAGGCCGCCGTGCTGCCACATGAAGATGCCCGCCATCATTTTGGCGGCAAGTAATTCGAGAACGTACAGTCGCACGCCTCCAATTTCGACAACATGGTACTTCATCTCGTCGTCGGTGAGCTTCTTGTCCTTGCGGAACTCGGACGTGGCATGCTCCTTGTTAGCAGCCCAGACGGCTGGCGAGAGAAAGGCGACAATAGCGTGGTCTTGCGGGATATTGAGCTGTTTAGACACGGCTTGCATGAACTAGTAACGACTGTCAGTGGAAAGAAAGGCAATATCTCCTTGGGGCCTGGGTATGATACTGACCTGGGCGGAAGGCCCAAAAGGGAAGAATCGTGGGTACACAGACTTCAGCCGTGAGATGATGCTCGCGTCACCATCTCGGAACCCCGTGGCCGTCTCCCATGTCGGTATGTGGAAGGTGATGGTGTGCGCCCCCTCGGGTGGCAGCGAGTGGCCAAACGGAGTGGGCATGATCACGTCCATGATGACGACGACGAAGTCATGGCAACAAGCCTGTGTTGAGTCTTTTTTGTGATGTCAGCTCAATCCGAACATCGATCTCGATCCAGATGACCAACCAAAAGAGAGCGTACAGCTGACCAGGGTCAGAAACAGTTGACCAGGGGATAGAAATTTTGTAGCGTAGTAAAGTTGATCAGGGTCAGAAATGTTCTAACCCTAGCCAAGTTTTGCTAAGGAAAGCTTAACCAAACTAGGTATAATGCACAGTATCAGATCTTTCTAGTATTGCATATGCCCCACATATGCTAATCCTAAAAGAGATAGATCTATGTATTTTGCATATAGAGCGTCCCGAAATCGCTTAATCAGTGTGGTTTCGTATATACCCTATATAAAATAATATTAAATACGCCGTAGGTGTTAACCCTCGGTACCTCTACAAGTACTCCCTTAAGGGGCTATAGATGATATAGCGGGCCCTTAAGCCGCGTCGGGCGGTTATACAGGTAAACTTGTAGCCAAATGACTACTAAACCTCCTGTCCCTCCCTAAGTCTGTGCTACAACCCCTGCCTGAACTACCGATAAGCGTGGTAATGTGGCACTTAAATTCGTCCTCAGGGGTGGGATGCTGCTGATGTGCAGAAGATGCTCGACTATTTTTTTGTCGCGACAAGTCGTAGTATCTGCTAATTGGGGTTCTCGTCGAGCGTATACATCTCAACCATACGCTCAAGTGGATAGACCGTAACGTGGTCTAGACGCTCGCATGAATCGCGGCGAGAGGGCGTGCTGCGCGCCTTCTATCGTGAGGGGACGGGTTCGCCGACGAGCGTTATCGGATAGGCGAGGTCCGATAAGGGATCGGATTAACGATCCGAATTCTGGACCGGCTGTCGAGTTATATTCCGCCGACGTAGTGCTTGACGGTCGACTGGCTAGGATGCTCGTAATCCTAAACTGCACCAATCTCCCTATTATCGCTAGGTAGGCGAAGTCAACAAGGTGGGCAGCGCGCCGTAAGGGTTGACTAAACCCCCTTGTGTGTCAGCTGCGGGATTCGAACCCGCGACTCGTCACCGACCCAAGTGGGCGAGGCTCAAATCGGGACTTATCTACCAGCGAAGTGACCAACTACACCAGCCGACAACCCTATATATACTAATCCTAAAAGAGATAGGTCTATATGTTTTATATCTAGAGTGTTCCGAAATCGCTTAATCAGTATAGACCTTTAATTAGATAGCTATTATAGAAGAATTTCATAACTTCTTGTTTTCCTAAAATTTATATACCTTATAGCGGACGAAACTCATTATAAATATAAGAGCGTACTCAGTACGGATAAAACATATATAGAGCATACTGTAACAATAAGTGAGGTGTGAGTAGAGGCCAGGCACAATCGTCAATTCCTATGTGGCTATTATGAGAAACTGACACGTGACCCCATGGGGGGTTACCCTATAGCTACAGATAAGACAGATAAGATAAGATAAGAGCTATAAAAGAGCTCTGCCAGGCCAGAATAGCTGACCTGGCCATCCTTTTCCAATACAACAATTCACACCCCATATGCACTCGCATCAATACAAAACATATAGACCTATCTCTTTTAGGATTAGCATATGTGGGGTATATCGAAACTATACTAATCAAGCGATTTCGGAACGCTCTATATGCAAAATATATAGATCTATCTCTTTTAGGATTAGCATATATGGGGCATATATAATACTAGAAAGATCTGATACTGTACATTATACCTAGTTTGGTTAAGCTTCTCTTAGCAAAACTTGGCCAGGGTTAGAACATTTCTGACCCTGATTAACTTTGCTGCGCTACAAAATTTCTACCCCCTGGTCAACTGTTTTTGACCCTGGTCAGCTGTACGCTCTAGGAAAGGTTGATAGATTGATTGAGGGGGCTCCACCAACTATAAGTAAATGCTCAATTCCCCGGCGACTTATAGACGGCGAATGTGGGCGGGCAAAGTCGCCGAGAGACCCGCAGTTGTGTAACGCAATGCGCCAACTGCAAACTGGTGTCCCAGACAACAAATTCAAGAGCTATCTGTCGCGGCTGAACGAGGACCCACAGAACGAGTTAGTACATGTTCGAGGTGGCAGTCCTAACTTGTCGACGTAACTTAGTGTTAAGTGCCTCGGCCGCAAAAGGATGTCCATGCTGATGGCATGCAGATAATAGGTTTACCGCTTCAAGTCTCATCAGAGCATACTTGGACCATGTATAGTCAAGACCTCAAGTTTCCATTCTTTTAGCCCGGACCCGCTCATACCCGGATCGTAGCCAGAATGAGGAGAAGAGTATATGGAACTGGAGAAAGACATGAAATTATCGCCGTGCAAATGCTCCATTCAAATAATGGTACTCATTCCCTTAGGATAACAACACTTACACTGCTGTGACGGCATTTATCATTGGATGCTTGCTTACTACGTGCGGCATGGGCTAGACACACGCCACCTTGGGGTGTTTACTCAAGGCAAAGCTCTGAATAAAGAAATCTCTTCACGAATTTGAGTTGTCACTAATTCACTTGAGATGAGCTTTTGAGACTGCGTTGAAGGATCCTCGTTCATAATCTACCTTCTGGACTACTTACCCACTTCGGATTTTATATTCTGTACCGACCATTTTTCCATGACCCCTTCTCTCTATGATTGGCCTACTCCCGTTGGAGTTACACCCCTGTAATGCATTCCACTAGTTATCATATTATTCCTTGTCGGCTGGTGTAGTTGGTCACTTCGCTGGTAGATAAGTCCCGATTTGAGCCTCGCCCACTTGGGTCGGTGACGAGTCGCGGGTTCGAATCCCGCAGCTGACACACAAGGGGGTTTAGTCAACCCTTACGGCGCGCTGCCCACCTTGTTGACTTCGCCTACCTAGCGATAATAGGGAGATTGGTGCAGTTTAGGATTACGAGCATCCTAGCCAGTCGACCGTCAAGCACTACGTCGGCGGAATATAACTCGACAGCCGGTCCAGAATTCGAATCGTTAATCCGACCCCTTATCGGACCTCGCCTTTCCGATAACGCTCGTCGGCGAACCCGTCCCCTCACGATAGAAGGCGCGCAGCACGCCCTCTCGCCGCGATTCTTGCGAGCGTCTGACCACGTTACGGTCTATCCACTTGAGCGTATGGTTGAGATGTATACGCTCGACGAGAACCCCAATTAGCAGATACTACGACTTGTCGCGACAAAAAAATAGTCGAGCATCTTCTGCACATCAGCAGCATCCCACCCCTGAGGACGAATTTAAGTGCCACATTACCACACTTATCGGTAGTTCAGGCAGGGGTTGTAGCACAGACTTAGGGAGGGACAGGAGGTTTAGTAGTCATTTGGCTACAAGTTTACCTGTATAACCGCCCGACGCGGCTTAAGGGCCCGCTATATCATCTATAGCCCCTTAAGGGAGTACTTGTAGAGGTACCGAGGGTTAACACCTACGGCGTATTTAATGTTATTTTTTATTATTCCTTGGGTATCACGTTTGTCGCAGTGTTGGCTTCCTTCTTTAGGGAAAATAACAAATAAGGGCATTCTAGTGTTGTGGACCCAAACCAACTGTTTGATGGAAATAAGACCACAGTCACAACCCAGCTGTGGCAGAGAAGAAATGAAAGTCATGTCACTTGACTTGGGTTAAGTGGAAGGCGCTCTATCGGTCAAGTTCAATCAAATTGAGACGATACGGGGTGCGTTCATGGGTACGGCCGCTCCTCAAGGGATAATGTACCCAGAACAACTACGTTTAGGCCTATCAAACTCATGGCTACTACCCATGAAACTCATTCCAAAGCAAATACAACTGCTTGATCGATGCAGTTTTCCGCTTATTAAAATATTGGTCCTGAATGGCAACATGCTAAATCTCATCGCCCCATCGTCTATACTTTGACCTCACTGCAATTCAGTCACCGAACTATTATTTTGCTGTTTTATCTGTTTTATAAGGCACCGTTGAATATCTCGTAGTTTCCCATAATGCCGTCACTTAAAACTGTGAACCATCCCCCTCATAGTCTACTGGCAACCTGCCTAATCATCACGTCTGCCTGAACTCCAATAGGGAAAGCATGGCCGTATCAAATTCACTCGCAGGTAGAAGACAGCGGATGTGAATCACAACTGTCGAGTGTCATAGCTTCAGTGGATTTGGTAGACCTCTAGTAGGCAACTGCCAACTACTTGAATTTTCGTCTCTTCCTGGACATCCGTCTCTTATCTTCTTTCTTTCCATCTACAACATCACTTTCCACCACCGCCTGCATTCTAGAGCTTATTGGTACTTTCAAGCTTAGCTTACTTCAAGACGAATTAAGGTAAGTAGCATGCGTAGAAACTGCTCTAGGACCACAAGGACACGATCTCCTGGACTCCAATACCAAGTCTTCCAACCTTTGTCACTGCTCTCCGTCCTCTTTATACAAATCTACACACCTGTACTGCATTTTATAAGTAGTTTCAGGGCGAACAGCTGGCTAGAAAGTTCAGTTAGATCTGAGTACGCGTGCACAGGTACAGCGAGTAAGTACAACAACTGATGAAACCAGCAGAGCACAAAGTACCACAATTTACAAACTCTGGTTCGCTCTTGCCACTCTCTGTCTCAATATCCTGCGCCCTCGCAGCCTGCATGGCCTGCACATCTAGACGATCACGGTGCTGGAAGAGGTCGTCCTGCATTAAAATCTGAGCGAAGCATTCTCTGTAAGTATCGCTGATCCTCTTATCTTCCAAACCTCCCGATCGTCCAATTTCCAGAGTGTACTTTCTTCATATAATCCATCCCTATGACCGTATTGTTTTATATCTACACCATTATAACTCAGCAAAATCTCTTCCCTTCAAATTAAGGATGTTTATTGCCCGTTGCCTTTACCCCTCGCGCTTACCTCTCACGTCCCTCACCTTTAACGCCCTTTCTTTTTGCCAGCCACTCTCTACATCGTCCCTTAACTTCATTATCTCAACTCTTCACTATTCCTCCACATCGCTATCCTGTCCTCATATTGACACTCTTCTCTTTCCGTTCTTTCCATTGGATTAACTGCCATATTTCCGTTAAGAATTCAACTACACCAACTCAGAGCAATATCATCCTGGAACGTGTAGAAACAGGCACTACCCGCCACGTCCAGTGGCAGCTCAATCAATAACGTGCTCACTTCCTCTCAAGCTTCCAGCCAATATAACTCGGGTAACTACTCAAGACAGCTAGTAGCTAGTCACTACACACGTATGATTATAAAAGCCGAAACTTAATCCTTTCCAAGTCACGATCGGCATCCTAACTACGTTGCAACAGCACCTTCCTTCTCTCTAAGATTACGTCCTTGCCCATCAAATAGCTGATGGGGATACGTAGGTGTAGTAACAGGTGCGACAAATTTCACTGACCCAAACTATAGACGAACATACTTGGCATACCAAACTCCAGGAGGTCCGAGTTCCCCAGTCTTCCTCTCGACACAACTCGCCTATACTTCCCCCCTTTACATCAGTATAGGACATCACGAGCAGGCACGACTTATCGTATAGGTAGGCATCACCCCAATTTATCAGCTCTTGCCTCGGCGCAACCAGCTAATATTTGACCTATCACAAGGAAGTAAGGCCCCCAAACTTCTAAAAGTCCCCAAACCCTTCCTATATCCACAAACCTACACATCTACACCCCTAAAAGTTAACCAATCGCCACCATGTGCTTCGTTGAATACATCAGCTATTACTGCGGCCACTCCACGGTGCCCGTTCACCGCATCTGCCCCATGACGACGCACAAGCACAGCAACCCAGTGTGCCCCAACCCGGTGCAGCGCCCCACCGAGGTGTCGTTCATGTGCCCAGCTTGCACGCGCATCCTGCACGGCCGCTGGGTCGAGATCATCATGTACGAGCACCGCTGGATGCACGAGCGCGGCACCTGCGGCTGCCCCGTTCAGTTCCCAGGACTGCAGCAGCCACGCATGGTCGGCAAGGACGTCGGCAACCCTAGCACTCACGAAATCAACAGAGACAATCTCAAGCTGCAGCAAAAGCGGCAGCCGCAAATCGTCGTCAGTGATGTCACCAACGGCACCAGCCAGGAGGCCAACAAAGGTGGCCTGCAGAACTTCGGCTCCATCTCGATGTTAACCACTTCCGGCGACGGCACCCGTTACAGCCCGGCCGAAGGCAAGAAGCCAGCCCCTCAACCTCACGTCATATCCTGGGGCAGCCTCCCCCCGATCCTCGAAGTCAAGGAAGACGCCAGCGACACATACAAGCCGCAGATCAACATGCGGCTCGCGAGCCAGTACGGCATCGAGTGGATGCCTGACCACTACGAGCTGCACGAGAGCGGCAAGTGCCACTGCCCCGTCCGCTTCGAGACTTACCAGCCGCACGACCTTCCCGAGGCCTTCGAGCTTTCTAAGATGGAGGACCAGGCAGACTCCGACACCGGGGCGCCATCGATTCAGATGCCCCAAACCGTGATCCCCAAGGAGAAGGTCCGCTACATGGACGTGGTGATCTGGACGGTCAACGAGAACACCCCCGAGGGCGAGCGCAAGATCCCTTGGCCCCAGCGACCCGAGGACTACGGTTTCCGCTCCGTGGCCGAGGCGCGTGTGTGTCTGGGTATGCAGCTTGGCCGACAGGACCCCATCAACAGCTTACCCGTCTATGGAGGAAGCAGCAGAGGCGGCGACATTCCGGCGGCAGTGGATGATGCGGTGCGAGAGTCGATCGAGTGGGACATTGAAATCGCGGGCGGCGATCTCCGACCCCATGGTTTGACATCTGTTCGTCTGTCCCAGCATGGCGATCCCATCGTTGGCTGGCCTATTGGCGCTGGACCTGAGGGCGGCATCGAGAACTCTCACGCGTCGAGTTGGTACTCTTGCGGGATCTCGCGACCTAAGTTGCGGCGCTCGAAGTCGTGGACTTAGTACCCATGGCCAGTGCATTGTAGTTGCAAGGTAAGATACCGGCAAGAAGATACCCAGAGTCATCTTTACGAAGCACTTATTGTTGGCGCTAACTTGGCGACACAGAGACCCCCAACACTAATAAACTTATTTATATACTTTGGCACCACGGAATGCCACTATGCAGGATGCCCAGCCTTCCTAGGTGGAGGTCTTCCCTGCTGCTATGATACATATGAAAGGCAACCACGCATTGGCATCGGCAAGCTTCTTTGTTCTAACCATGATTTTTCTACCCAACTCATCTATCGACCTCACCTAAAAAACAATGTCAGTACTTTTCTCCAAATTGAGCTGCGGAGACAATTGCTTACCAAACACCAGATCCATCGTTCCGATCACAGCGACCGCATCGGCCAACAGATGGCCTCTTGAGACCTGGTCGAAGCCGGCCAAGTGAGCGAATCCCGGAGCTCGGATGTGGCATCGGTAAGGTCTCTCGCTACCGTCACTGACGACGTAAACTCCCATCTCACCCTTTGGAGCCTCGATCGCCGAGTACGTCTCGCCAGGAGGCACCGTGTACCCCTTGGTGTAGAGTAGGAAGTGGTGGATCAAGGCTTCCATGTTCTCCTTCATGGCGGCGCGGGGAGGGGGCGAGACCTTGTAGTCCTCAACTCTGACTGGACCTGCCGGCATGTCGTTGAGGCATTGGTGGATGATTCTGAGTGATTGGCGGAATTCCTCCATGCGACACAAGTACCGGTCGTAGCAGTCTCCGTTTATGCCAACAGGAACATCGAACTCGACTTTGTCGTATGCATCATACGGCTGGCTCTTGCGAATATCCCACGGAATGCCTGATCCTCGGAGCATGACACCAGAGAAGGACAAGTTGAGAGCTTCGGCAGCAGACACGACTCCGATGCCTCGCAATCGTTCGATCCAGATTCGGTTATCTGTGAGCATTTCCTCCGTTTCGTCTATCCGGTCACCAAATTGCGTGGCCCATTGGTAGATATCATCGAGAAGGCCGACGGGAATATCTTGATGGACTCCTCCGGGCCGGACATATGCGGTGTGAAGACGTGCGCCAGAAACGCGTTCGTAGAATTCCTGAGAGCATTCTAGTTAGCGTTCAATTCTATTTGCGTTGCGTTTTCAATTCTAGCTTCGTAGGTTGACAAGTACAGAAGTCTCGTACCATAAGCTTCTCACGCTCCTCGAAACCCCAGAGGAAAGGTGTCAAGGCGCCAACATCCATGGCGTGTGACAGAACGGACATGAGGTGGTTCAGGATTCGTGTGATCTCTGCAAACATGGTCCGGATATACTTGGCTCTGTCGGGAATCTCAACATTCAACAGCTTCTCCACGGCCAGCGAAAAGCACTGCTCGTTGGTCATCATCGAAACGTAGTCCAATCGGTCAAAGTAGGGCAGAGCCTGCAGGTAGGTCTTGTACTCGATCAACTTCTCGGTTCCGCGATGAAGCAATCCGACGTGGGGGTCTGCTCGGACGATTTCCTCTCCACTCAGCTCGAGAATCAGTCGCAACACGCCGTGGGCTGCAGGGTGCTGGGGACCGAAGTTGACCGTGTAGTGGCGGACCTTGCGATTCTCGATGCTTCCTTCTCTTGAGTTCTGGGTCGTGCCATTTTGGTTCTGGAGTCGTTGCATGCCATAGGGGTCTGCTGGGTGGGCGAAGTCGCTGTCGACCGGCATGAGGGTAGTGCGATCGACGGGAGGTACCTGGGATGCTCGGCGAAATGCTGTGTGGGAAAAGGCACGTACTGAGGGTTTTGCAAGCTGCATGCGCCTCACGCCGTGACCGGCGAGCCGGTATAATGTCGCCATTTGCACTGGTCGAGGTTCAATGGCGCCGATGAAATCTCGAAGCCCTCTACTGATAGCAATGGCCCGTCGAGGTTGGATGCTGCTGCTAGAGAACGAATGTGCTCGTCATGCACGATTCTGAGCGACGTTTTTCCGATTATCCAATCAAAGCCATTCTATTCCCAATGGTCCCACATCCCGCAACCTTACCCCTTCTGGAGATGAAGGCATTTGCAGATGGGCAAGATGGATTTCTGATCCTGCCAAGTTTGTGAATGGGGTCTATCTTCAATATGAGATCCTCTTTTTAAGACCCCGACTCAAGGGGGACTCTTGAACTCTTGAGGAAGCAAGTCTACTTTTGATGCCCGTTTCCCCGGATGTCGACTGTGGAAACACCTGCAGCCCCACTTAACACATGGGACCTCAATGACAGCACAGCGCATTCAATAGGCCCCAAAACAACTGTAAGTCGGCTTCAAGTTGCGAGAGTTGTGACCATCAACTAGCAAGGAATTTGATCTCTTTTATCATGTTGTCTCCTAGTCGTGTCTTTACCAAGGCAAGGACGATATTGGCAATCCCTCTGGAATTTTGAATGTCTTGCCGCTGACTTCCATGAAAGGCGTTCCTAATTGCATAATTGTTGTTAGACTTCCATTACCAATGCCATAGTTTTTAAGGCCCTGAAATTGCTTGCTGACTTTTTTTGATGCTCAGTATCGAACAGATAAACCCCACTATATTAGACTCTAGGAGGTCAAACTCGTAAAGGTTCTGAGTGGCATAAATTGAATTATGCTCTGGTATCGCCGTTACATGGTAGCCATGGCTGTTGGTTTCTCGGTGAGCATTGATACTTACTCTAGTGGGATGGCTTTGTCTGGAGAACACTACAATAGTTTCATCACTAAGGACTAGGAACTTCCAGTATGCACTGCATGCCTGTTACACGGAGCTGCACTGCTAGGAGCTTCTATGCACAGAAAGACCTTTTATCTTCAAAATGAGCGTCTGATGCTACTTGAGCATTCCAACAAATACCTGCAATGAAGCCATTCAATAGGCTTTGATCAATCTGTCTAATGAGATCCTCGATTTATCACAATACTTCAAAGAGCCCACTGCCAGGCAGATTACTGGATGCTTGCGTGCATACTGGTAGATTCATACAATCCTCTTAAAAATGGCCACGCATACACATCAACTTGTTGACTCCTCTCTTTGTTTATACCTTTATGTAGTCCATGACAGCAAATGACGATAGTAGTGTACCTAGGAGCCGGTCTGCACTCATATGTCCAATTCACACTTAAGTATGTATGCTCCACTCGTACATTGGTATTCATTATTTGAAGCTTGTGTACAGGCATGAAGACTTCAATTATCAGCGACGGGGAACTGCCGCCGAGACACACTGGTTCAAGGTTATGAAGCCGCAGTCCCATTCAAGCCGCTCTATGACAGTCTGATAATCCCGTCCATTTGCTCCTTCTCTACTCACTTTACGGTACCTGGACTCGATCATATTGACAAGTATGGCGGAGTTATGTCACAATTTGGACTCGACAAGGAAGTCATTTATTGTCTGTAAACGGGTGATCTTCTGATAGATGAGTAGATACAGCTAGCATGCAGCATACCTTTTACTAATAGAAATGAGGCGTGGCTTTCATGACATGATGCAATTATTCTCAATACCACAAATCAAAGAGGATCAATGCAGACCATTTGATGTTATTTGCACATCAAATTTTTTGACATCAAAGGATTACCTCCTGGGGGGAGGGGGATGGCCATATGCTCAAGTTACGGTTTGACAGCCCCTGAGTGTTACATTTCTATATACATGTTCGCCTGCGGACGAGACCCACGTATCCACGCTGTGGTACATTCTGTATAAAGCAAAGGAAAAGCAAAATCTGGATACAACTCTAGAAGTAGGCGATTGATACAACAGAGAGACCGAGACCGATCGGCGCCCATTGTTCGACTCTTGGCAGTCGGCGGCACGAGCAAGCGGCACTCTCGCCTGGCGAGCTGAGCATTCACTGCGCCTATTCCCAATCTCCAGTCCAGCTAAAAGTACACATGCTTGAAAACTTGGCATTCAGGCCTCACTTGTTTACCGCTTGATCATTGACCAGCCATTCGTTGTATAACCCATGTTGATTGACATGTGGATATATATCTACTCAATCCACATGCATAGCCTCCTCCATACCCAAATGCTGGTAAGTGGCCTCTAACACAGCCCCTTAAATGATCGGCGCAGCGGTGCAGACGTCGTGAAACCGACGACCAAAATCATGTTAAAGTGCTCGGAACGAGCCTGGTCGTCTCCCCAGCCAGTATTCGTAAACTCCTCTACTTTGAATGCCGATTGAATTTTCAGCTTTGCAGTAAAAAGCTCGGGCCTAGGCAAGTTACAATCCAACAGACAACAGCGGCAGGCATCAAAAACGTGGCCACAATGGGCTTCAGGCAAATACTCAAGGACCTTGTCTCCAATGACAGGAAGCAGGACGAACCTTCAAGTCAGCAGCAACAGCATGAAGATGCACGCGCAGAAACCCACACACCATTCCCTGCCTTGGAACCTGAAAACACCCCAGCACTCAGCATACCAACGATAGCAATACCAACGGAAGGCCCCAAGAAAATAACAGGCAAACGCAAACCGTCAGATGCAGCTTGGAGACCACGAGCCAGTCTACAGGAGAGCCGGTATGGTCCACACAATCCGGCGCCGTCAGAGTATCTGTATTTTGGCGAAGGCGGCCGGTCGCCGGGCAGGCGATCGGGCGCATCAGCACAGCGGGAGCGGGCGCAAACTACAGCGGGACGGACGGAGCGGACGTCGCAGTACCATCCTACGTCTGGCAGGGATGACAGCGGGTTTCTTGTTACGGGCGTGAGGACGCAGCAAGCGGGCTACTCTAATCTGACGTATGGCGGGTCGTTGCAGTACGACTATTCTGGGACACAGGCGCCCTTTTGATTTCTGACTTCAGGGATGAGGCGTCGAGGCGTTATGGTGTACGGATGATGGCCACATGGTAAGTTGTCAGGTCGTCTAGAAAGGAACTTGGGGGACTTCACCGCATTCGGCAATGACATGGGCCAAACGAGCGCAAATTCCAAATCATTCATCATATACGACCCCATCTAAGATCTTTTGATATTCTCTGAACTCCAGTACCCATGCAAATGGAAAAGAACTCCGGCTCCCATGCAAAATAAGGCATCCAGCTTCGTCAAACTCGAGAAGAAATCTGAACGGCCACACCGGAAGGCCCGGAGAGCAATTCCGTGCCCCTGAAGACTAGACACTCCCTGTAGAGCCAGTCTTCGAGGTTCGACCTAGAGCCTCATGAGAACTTGAGGAAGAACCTGAAAGACAAAGCAGGAAACGCGGGATCAGTCACGGCGATCTCCTGCTTCTCCTCCAAACCAAGGTCTTCCTTCAACTTTTTTTCCAAGTTCGGTCGAGTCTGCTCCTCAAGCGCCGGAGGGAACTGCATGTAGAGCGTCTTGTCCTCGGTTCGGATGGACGGCTTCTTCAATTGTGCGCTCGCATTCGTCGCAAAGGAATCGAGCAGCTCTTGCAAAGTCCACTTCGGATCGACCTGCAATGGCTTTGGTAGGTTTCCACACACGGCGCAGTCCTCCTTCTTCGCGTACTTGAAAGTGTTGGTGTATATGCTCTCGTCACCTTGGTATTGCATGTAGGTCTCGTTCATGCCCATGTACGGAGCTGCACTCGTGGCGATCTTAAGTGCCTCGTTGCAGCAACTTGCGGCGATGATTGCGTTGGTGGACGCAATGGCGGGAATAATGTTTTTCACCACTCCCTGCGTGAGAGCGTAGGTGACGCCGGGAATCTTGAACTCCTCAGCCCGTGCCAGTGCCTTCTTGTAAAGCCAGCTGATGTGTTCGGGGTCGTCCTTGTCAAGAGTGGGGAAAGGCTTCTCTTGCTCCCATGCCATGATATGCGCCCACTCGATGCAGTGTTCGGGCTGTCGGGGAATGGTGGCCAAGGTGCACAGAGGAACGGCGGCTCTCGGGGCGTAAAGATCCAGTTGGCACTCGATGCAGGGTGTGATGGTGGGGAAGATGACTCGGGTCTGGCCTTTGAAGCCTGGAATATGTCCTATTAGCTTTCGTCCAAGTGGAAACCACTGCACGGTTGCTTACCTTCTGTACCACCATCGATCAGGGGCTTCAGCGAGTCGGGGTTCTCGTCATCGACCATGTTCACCAGTGTAGCATTGATCCATCGTCGCGCCTCGATGCTGTCCAGACCACAGATGACAAACTGAAACTGCATATAGAAGTCCTCCTCGAAATCCTGTATCTTGCAGTTATGCGCAGTAATCTGGACTCCTTTCACTCGCCTCTCCACGAACTTCGCAGCAACTTCGGCCTTGTACTTGCCCACATCGGCCTTGCGAAACAGAAATTGGCGGTTCAGATTGGAAACATCGATGGTGTCTGCAAAATGAGGACGTGTTAGCAGCGTACCAAACATTACGCTAGCTTTGGGAAGAGGAAAAGTACCCATGTCAATTACATGAATGTCTCTGAAGCCGGACATGGCGAGATCCTTAAGAATCTCGCATCCCAGGCCTCCAGCGCCAATGACGAGGATCTTCTGGGTGCCGTGCATGGAAAGCACCTCCTCGCTTGTGTCGTAATCATCATCGTTGAAGGGACCTTTGGTTTTGCGAATGCGGTCCAGGTATTGCCAGCGCGCGGTGCTGTTGCTCTTCTCGTTGACTGTCATGTTTGCTGACTTATTACCTTGAATTGAGGTGGGATGAAGATGGGGATGCGCTTCGAGCTCAGCAGCTCCGCAGCTCCAGGCACCACGTCAGAGACCTAGGATACTTATCAGTGATAATTACTTATCTCCGTTAGATTGCTGGGATTAAGGCTTATAGTGCTCAACTGGCTCGAGCTCCAGCAGTGCAACAGTGGGGCTCAGTTTCTCCATTTCTTGAATATACTTTATTTTCAGGTTATGCAATAAACACAGCTTCTACAGCAACTGTGAGTTGTTGCAAAATACGGGTGACGATCGACGTCAATTAAATCTCTAATACTGCCAACCTCGTACACAGCTTGGTTGAATTTGCCCGCAAGTGCTTGAAATATTGCACATGTTGGAAGACTCACTGATTCGGACAGAGGGCGCAAGTTCAGACCATCACTGGTCGCAACACTTTCAGCTCCATAAAAGTTCCGATAGCAAACAGCCGCAGTTGAATGACAAAGCTGCTCATGGCGGTGCAATTCTGGTCCTGGCCATCCAAGTCTTGAGCAACATCCGGAGAAAACAGCCTCAGGTGGATTCTCAGCCATGGAGGAACTGCTCACACCTGTGAGCCAAACCTATCGGCGGCCGACGGATGAAGCCGAGCTTCTAACTGTCTCCAAATACACCACCGCGAAACCCGTTACGGAGACCCGGTCTGAGTTCAAAGGTTCGTCACCCGAGGAGGCACTGGAGGCACTGAAAAGCCAGCCTGGTCATGAGACTTTGCTGTCTGTTTTGGCATATCTCCAAAAGGGGGTTAATGGCAAGCATCCCTTCAACGTCAAGACACCGAGTCCTCAAGGTGCACAGATCGTCCATGTGCTAGTTACCGAGATTGTCCCCAACTACTGGACAGTCCTGAATGAGGGATCTTCGAGCAAGAAGAGGTCAACTGCAGCTGATTGTCTGGTTAGCTGTCTTCAAAGCATACCAGGAATCAATGCTGGCCTGGCTTATCTGCGTGCTCTGATACGGGAAGCGAAGTCGAATCCTCAAGGCCTGAAGCAGTCACACGCCGCCTTCAATTTGGGATTTGTCCTTGAGCTACTGTCCCAAATTCTGCAATATGATGATGAAGCGAAGCGCATCTGGAGCAGTATCAGCTCCTCTGTAGACAACCCCTCGAAGCTTCGACCTTTACGGCAGGAGTTTATCTCCTTGATCGCCAGCGGAAAGATCCTTTCACTGTGTGCAGAAGGCGAGGATGTCCTAAAAGAGGCAGATAATCTAGATAACCCATTATGGGTAGCAGACGCCAAAGAGTATGTCCTGTGGCTGGGGCGCAACCTGGTATCTTGGACCAAGTCTGCCGACTCAGTTGATGAATTCAAGCTGGTTGCGGATATTTTGAGCCGCGCTCTGAAATTAGGACACTATGGTTCGTTATGCGATCCTGACGGTCGAAATGACCAATTATAAGCTGATTTTTTTGATAGAGCTTCTTATCCAACTACTCTTAACAGACCTACTGCTTCAGGAAAACCATAAACAGTCTGCATTCACGAAACTGGTTGATTCTCTACCGCAGAGTGAGCAACGAAAGCTGTTGTTCGTGGTACTGAAGCTTCTGTCTTCCCAGTATCTTATCTCAGTGGATTCTGATGCCGCAACGGAAAATTACCCTCTCGTTTGGGCAGCAGCTGGAGTGATAGCAGCCGTCTTAGGTGACAGCGGAACGAGGAGAGGTCACCTGGTGAGTTGGCTGACAGGTGCGGTGGGAGCGGGGATAGGAGAGACCTCTGGGATCAGACGAGCCGCTGTTGCCGTCTTGGCTGACAATAAGGAGGCCATCACGACGGTGGTAGAAAAGAACCTCAGTCAATTTGGTGATCAACTTTATATCAGACATGTACCCATGCTTCAACAAGAAGGTTCGTTGTAGATGATCCTGCTTCGAAATCACACTGACTTGCGCCCCAGCACACGCCCAGGTGCTGCTGCTTAGCGCCGGCTACCTTCACCGGATTTCGCCAATCAAATTGACGGTAATTCTGCGTTCGAGCACTTATTTGAACACAATATCCAACAGGATCGCCGCATCTCAGACGAGGATCGGCTTCCTTGGGATGGTCGTTGGAGAAGCACTGTCAGGCCTTGTCCATAAGGATGACAAGAAACTAGACTTCCACATGGATGAAACAAATACGGAAGAAGCTAGCTGGTATAAGTCTCTCGTCCATGTTTCGGACAAAATTGGTCCTACCAATCCGTTGCAAACTGAGAGCTCCTCTGAGCGGCCACGAAAGGCATCGAAGCCGACAAAGTCAACACCCAAACCGGCACAGCCTTCTCGAGTTCCGCCAAAGAATGGCTTCATCATCGAAGAAGTAGAAGATGATGGGAGCGAAGAAGACGACCTTGTCCCGTACGGCAAGCCCGATTCTGATGCCGAAGACTCAGACGATGACCCGACCCTGATCAACCGGGATAAGCCCAAGGCTCCGGTATACATAAGGGATCTCATTACATATTTTAGAGACACGCAGAATTTTGACTGCCAAAAACTTGCGCTGACTACGGCTCCTACCCTGATCCGTCGGAAAGCCAACTACGGCACAGAAGTGAGTTCACATATCGAAGAGCTCGCAACACTTCTTGTTGGTCTCGAAGACAAGTATGAGCTGGAAGACTTCCACAATCTCCGACTCCAAGGAATGATCGCCGTTATAATCGCTCAGCCACAGAAGATGGGTCAATGGTTTGCCAAGACCTTTTTCGACGGCGATTATTCTTTGGGCCAGCGAGCTTCCGTCCTCGTAGTTCTCGGCTTGAGCGGCCGCGAGATCGCCGGCTTTGATATCTCCGAGTATGCGGATGCAGCATCTTTTCCATCGAAGCAGTTGCCTTCAAAACTGGAAAAGCACTACTCGCTGCCCTCGGCCACCGATCGCCTCACGTCATCAACCTCGCATCTTAAAGCGTTGCCCCCTAATGCCGTTGACAACATTTCGCAAACCCTCTCGCAGAATTTCCTGGCACCGCTCGCCGCCGAAGCAGCAGACGCTGCCACCGGTCCGGATGCACTCAAGCTCTCATCTTTTACTTCTCGCCTCCAGTCAAATAATGCGATGATGAGGGGAAAGTCCAAGCCGCGCGGCATCCGGTCCATTCCAAACACAACTGCCTCCCTACTCGCCACATCCTTCTTCTTCCCCCTAACTTCTCGCTTCCAAGCAGCGCTACATTCCTCGTCCGCCGCACGCGGCGTCCTCTTTCAGCCCTCTCTGCTCGTCCTGTACATCAAGACCCTCGCACTGCTCCTACACGCCGCCGGACCCAGCACCCTAGCGCTGCCGCAGATGACGACCGAGTTCTGGGACCTGCTGCTAGGTGTCCGGGGCCAGTGCATCGGCAATATGACGATCACGCAGGCCGTGCTTTTCGGCCTGATGGCGCTGTTGGACGTAAACGAGGGAGACATGCGGGGCCTCTGCGAGAGGCAGGGCCGCGAGGTAGTTGAGAGTGTCGAGTGGGTTAGTGGCGTGTTTGATCAAACTCTAGGTGGGGATGCTGGGGGAGATGGGGAAGAGAACCAGGTCAAGATGATGGCGGCGGGTGTGTTGATACGCCTGAAGGAGGCGGTGGAAAAGTACCGAGCGCTTTTGATGGGGGATCTGATAGGTGTTGCGTGAAGATGAGAGAAGGGGTAACTAAGGATCGCACCTTGGGGTTCTGTCCTTGCAGAATCTTTGTTTGGATGCTTCCAGAGATGATTCATGGGCAACGGACCAACATACGTTGGTTTGCCTGAAGAAGCATTAAATATCCCAAGTATATGAGCTCCTCTAGTAACTAGTGGTACGAAAGATGCGACTATTTTTGGAAACATGCAAGGCACCATTCCAGTACCCCTCTCCAATGTTGAATAAAATGCCCCGTCACGTCCGTGGTATCCACCACCTCTGAGATGGCAATTGCCATTTCGCAACCGCAAGTCCAAGTCTTGGCACAGAGTAGGATATGCAAGGCTCGCCATACCAGGGTGAAAGATACTCACTAACTCATGTTTTCACCTTCAAGCCACCCACGTCGAACAGAGCCTCAGAGACTCTGGGGAACCAGGCTCAATAGTAACTGTCAAGCATTATTATCCTTAATCCCCACATCCTACATGTTCATGCAAACTACGTCTTTGATACTTTAACAGTTACCAATCGACGGGACGCGACAGATAATCCATGGCACATACCTACCTACCTTGCTCGTGGAGGATTGCAAAGACAGCCTAAATTTCGTGACGTATTTGAATGCCTAATTGACCGTTAACTAATCCCAAATTCTGCTGTAGAAGTCTATATACAACAGTTTCAGGATGAACAGTATCTCCGAGATCATCGACGGAGCGTAGCTGCTGGATTGACGGACGAGAATCCTCCCTATCCACCCGGCAGGGAGGAAACGCGGTTGAACAGTCTGGTAGATACATATCATTGAAACATGTACAAAGCCAGACCTCCGCCCGATCTATTCGAGAACAGAAGATGTTGAGAAACCATGGCGCGTCTGAGCAGATATTAGCTGCACCCGAGGATGCTCATATTGCTGACTGACAGGAATGATGTTGGGAGTGGAGCCTCAGGTAGTCCAAGGTAAACCCGCCGATTGGCTGATAGCCGACGCTAGCGCATTCATTTAGCGTGGGGCCGTTGAGGTGTTCCACACGACCCCTGGGCCCGTCTCGACATCGTCAATCCATCTGCGAATATCTTCAACCACCATCCATGAAACAGTGTCTGGCGTGGGTGTTTCGGAAAATGCAGCACAACGGCTCATACACATTGAAATACCTGTTATAATTACCAATTGCAGCTACAGAGCGACTTTGAGTTTGATCGAGACCGAGTTTTGTACTGTTGTGGCTGAATTTGAAGCTGTGAGACTGACGAAACACGTCTGGGCCTTCACGACACTTATAGTCTACGATTCTACGAGGACAGCTTCTACAGCACTGCAACCCTGCTGGCTAATTGAACAAGCCAAGCAGAGAGATCTGTAAGTATGCCTCTTTCGACGTGCCAATTCTATCCATTTCTCCTCTTTCTGCAAGCAACATCGCCCTCGGCCATCAACAGATGCTCCCTTTTCCTTGTACATTATCACCAATCCCCATGGCTGCTTTCGCGCATCAAATCATTACAGAGAGACAGAAAGAGGAGCCACAATAGACGTTCCTAGCACTCTACGGGCCACGAGGCGATAGGGCCGACCAGGCCGACCCCTATGGGGCTGCCCCAGAGATCACGAGAATTGAGGCCCAGTGTAGTCACTGGAAATCGTCGGATCCCACCACAGAGTCCACCCTGCGTGAGCACTTTCGCCTCAGGGCTTTGATGAGCGTGTGGTCCGGCGGGTTTATACCCTCTGCAGGCCCCAGTTGCTTTGCTTCAGTCGCTATTCTTTTTATCCACTGCATCGTTTCCCAGGCAATGAGAATGGAGGCGTTCCGTCTGTTGTTGGAGTTTCATTTCACGGTTATTCTAGGTGCTATTCGAAATGGTCACCCAAGTTTTCGTTATTCCATGCTCGATTGTCTTTCCCCACTGTTCTCCTGGTCCTGCCCTGTCCACGTCACATCTCATCACTTCGCATCGTCACATCTACCCAAGTTTCGTTTCCAGGTACTACGAAGTTACCACCAGAAATAGTTTAATTATTGTCACAAATCCACTTCCCTGTGCTCCCTTTCTTTTGTTTTGTGTTACCACAAAGCCAACAGACTTAGTCAGCTTCTTGTCGTACCTGCCCCTACTTTTCTTTTGCGTTGCCACGAAGTCACTAACCTTTGTCTTGTCATCATCTAACCGACTCTACAGTGAAGAAACACCACGATGGCGCATTTGTCCATCCGAGGTCCTGACTGGACCTCGTCAAGGCAAAAAGCGATTCAGGATGCTGCGAAGATGCAAATAGCTGTACAAGAAGAATGTGCACGGAGTGGTAAGGCTGTCCCGGCTTATCACCTAGACGAACTCATTGGGAAGGGTAGTTTTGGACGCGTCTACAAGGCTACCGGTACAAATGATGGCAAGGTCGTTGCTGTCAAGATCATCGACGTTGACGAATCGGACACGGTGAATCCCAAGTTGGCCGACACGTATAGCGAGTTTCTGAAGGAAGTCAACGCCCTCCAGCTCCTGAGTCAAGGTGGTGCTCAGAACATCAACCACGTACTCGAGGCGCTCCCGGTCGGTCATGCCATGTGGATGGTCACAGAATATTGCGCCGGAGGGAGTGTTGCCACCCTAATGAAGCCGACAGCCCCTGGAGGATTACAGGAGAAATGGATCATCCCCATTTTGCGAGAGGTCGCAGTTGCCATCTTTTGGGTTCACAAGCAAGGCATCATTCACCGTGATATCAAATGTGCCAACGTTCTCGTTACGGAGGTCGGGAGTGTTCAACTCTGCGATTTTGGCGTCGCAGGTATGATGGAAACCAAGTTTGACAAGAGATCTACTTTTATTGGAACGCCACATTGGATGGCCCCAGAGCTTTTCGATCACAACGCGAAGTACGGCACAGAAGTGGACATATGGGCTTTTGGGTCTATGGTCTACGAGATTGCTTCAGGACTACCGCCAAATGTTGGAGCCAATGTTGGATTGTCGCAGTTTGGAGGTTTCCTCCGAGAACACATCCCGCGTTTGGAAGGACCTCAGTATTCAAACGAGCTAAGGAACCTGGTTGCCTTTTGCCTCATTGAATCGCCTCAGAAACGTCCGACCATTCAGCAAGTTCAAGAGCATCCGTACCTGCGAAACACCAGCTCCCAGTACCCCACCTCATCCTTGGCTGCACTAGTTAGAGCCTACAAGCTATGGGAAGAACGCGGAGGAATCCGAAAGTCTCTGTTTAATCCCTTGGTGGGAGCGCAAGGACCCGATCTGGCTTCAACTTCCATGGCAGCCGATGAGTGGAACTTCAGCACGACAATGGCTTTCGATGAGCAGGTCCATCACCAATTTGATGGCCTGAACGACTTTGATGCCGTTCGCGATGTGTACGGGTCTCAGGTGGATTTCCCTGGTGATTTTGACGAAGCAACATCACGCCCAAAGCCCAAGGGCAGACGCAGACCCCCTCCTCAGGCTTTGGCTGCGATGAGAGCCCCCCTTGAGAAGGTCTTTGATCCAAACACCATCTCGAACTACGTCGAGAACTCACAGGCTTACTACGGTCGTCCCCCTATGCCACCACCTCCTGCGCCATCCGATCTCCCACTTCGTGATGACTCGCTTCACGCAACGTTGCGAGAGTCGCTCATTGATCTAGATGCGTCTCTTGGTGGCGACGCGCTTTCCAAGTTCGCCGATATGGACACCATTAAGGCTGGGCCCGGGCCTGGACCTGGACCGCGTGCTTCTATGGACAATGGCTGGTCGTTTGCCGGTGCGACTGACTCACAGTACAACCGAGCTCCTTTGAGTGACCCTGCGGATAATGGCAGTAGACCTGGCCCGGATTGGCAATGGCCAACGTCAATACCGCCTGCATCAGCGAATCCCGAGGTGTCGAGTTTCCAGTTCAATGACGACCGGTCGGACCCTGGATCTGGACGACCACGTCTCATGCATCATCCTACGGAGCCAATTGGACTTCCATCGCAGGGCTACGAGCTACAAGTCCCTCGCTCAACCAACGATCGCATGTCTGTCTCCAGTTTGATTGACCTCGACGAGGGTCTTGTTGAAGTAAACTTGCCAGAGCTGACTCGACCCTCCACGGCGAACTCGGATGTTCCATCAATCAGTGGGTCTGACATAGGCGGTGCCGCCAACCCCTTTGAACTCGAACGACATGCATCGGTCTACGCCCCGCTTCCTCTCACCAACCGCGAGCCCTCCATTTATGCTTCGCTCCCACTCAGCAACCGAGAGCCCTCCATCTACGTCTCGGATGACTCGGAATTTGCGTCTGTAGTTGCTAAGAACAACACCGACCTCAGCTCCAGCACTCTCAACACGGCTATCAACCTAAATGACCCAAACCAGCCCCGCCAGCACAACGGCCATATGCCATCTGATGGAAGCCAGACGTACGTAAACGAGAATGACACGGATTATCTCATGCAACGACGAAGTCAGGAGCCACAGCCGGGACCTAATGGACCTATTGGTATGCAATTGCCACCCGTTGCACCGCCATCAGCAAGCGTCATGGAGGCACGAGCTACTGCTAGGGATGTGACCAATGAAATGAGACGCCTCATCAGAAGTCTGTCGGAGCACTTGACCATCATTGGCAGCCAGGTTGGAGAGATGGAACCTCGCCGGGCACAGAGATTATCGGTGCGAGGGGACGATGAGGATGGTATCTAGGATTCGCCTTCTTGGTCGGCCTATGAAACAGCTGATTGGATTGGAGGACATACGCACATGGAGCCGCTCGTTGCATTTTTTGCATGCTGGTTCTGGAATTTGGTGGTAGGGGTTGGAAGAAATGAGCCTATTGTACGAGTAATTTCGTGATACCACGTCCCTGTTTCTAGGCTTAAATTTCAATCGGTGGCTTGATACTATCTATACCAGAGTTTCCTAAGCTAACTACAAGGCAAATCATGTCTCTTTCTGGCCTTCGCCTAATATACTACAGCTTTCAAGTTCGTATAAATTCTAGCGAACACATCATTCCCTTTGTATTAAGTAGACTAGGTTAGCATGGTAGGTCAACTCGCCTGGTCTTAGCAGTGCAGAAGCTTTGGTTGTTCCAGTTTGCATATCTCAATTCATAGCGAGGAAGCACTAGAGTTGCTTCTCACCAAAAGCAACTATTGGGGCCATGTACATATGCATTGCTTCATCTTGAACCAGTGCCTACCAAGCTCTATCATCGATCATGGCGATCCCACTCTACATCAAACTACTCCTCCCACCAACCTCCATACTCCCCTGCCCATCCCTCATCTCTCCACTTCGTCCCACAACAAATTCTCTATATATCCTCTCCAGCCTGTTCCTCTCCTGAGCACTGATGCTGGCCCGCGTGCCCTCGAGCGCCTTGAAGATATGCTTCCACCCAATGATGACCTCGAGCGCCCCTGAGCCGTCCTTGTTGCTCTTCTCTACGGCGCCGTTCGGTACACCACCCGGCGTCTGCAGGGTTCTGGCTTTCTTGCGAGCTAGTTTGATTTCTGCGAGCTTTGCCGCGATGGCTGCGTTCTCAGCCAGCTCGGACGAGCGATTGTACCCTCTGGCGGCGGACGCCTGCTCATCGCCAGCGGGCTCGTCGACGCCGTATCGGAACTGCATGAAGTTGCGTGGCTTGGCCGCTGATCCTGGCTTGGTGGCAGCAGATTGCCGTTTATTGCCCGACGGCGCCGCGTCGATCTTACTCATCACATCGTGAATGGCTTCCAGCTGCGCGTTGCTGACCAAGGCCTGCAAGTCAGCGCCGGTGAATCCTTCAGTTTGGCGGCCAACCTCCATTATCCCATCTTCTGACTCCAAGATCTCCTCGCTGAGTTTGACCTTCGAGCCCAGTGCTTGGAGGATATCAATCCGGTCGTCCAGATCGGGAAAGTCGCAAAGAAGGCTCTTGTCCAGTCTTCCGGGCCGCAATAGCGCGGGGTCAATGAGATCCGGCCGTGAAGTGGCAGCGAGTACATACACCCCTGACAAACCCTCGGCGCCGTCCATTTGTGTCAGCAGCTGGTTGACAACACGATCCGTTACGCCCGTGGAATCGTGGCCACGCTTCGGCGCGATCGAGTCGAATTCGTCGAAGAAGAGCACGCACGGCTTGGCAGCGCTGGCCCTCTCGAAGAGATCGCGCACGCTCTTCTCCGAGGCGCCGATGTATTTGTTGAGGATTTCGGGGCCCTTGACGCTGATGAAATTCAGCCCGCATTCGCCGGCTACTGCAGATGCCAGGAGCGTCTTGCCGCAGCCGGGGAAGCCGTAGAGCAACAAACCCGAACGCAATCGAAGTGGACATTGCGCGAAAATCGGCGCGTACTTGGTTGGGTACTGCAAGGTTTCGAGGAGAATGCGGCGTGTTTCCTTGAGACCGCCAATGGAGGCGAAGGTAGTGGTCGAGGTTTGGAGGGTCACGTTGCGAAGAGATGCCGGCGTGAAACCTTCGAGGGCGTTCTTGAAGTCGATTCGGCTGAGCTGGATGATGTCGAGGAACTTGTTCGAGCCGTTTTCGCTGACAGACCGAATCAATGCCTCGTTGCGAGCGCGAGATACGAGCAAAAGGAGATCGCCTGGCATGTATCCATCTGTTTCCCCCGCCAGGTCAAGGAAATCGAGCTCGGGACCGAGGAGAAAGCCGTCAGACTGGGATTTGGAAATCGAGTTCCGCCGGCTGTCTTGGCTTCCTCCGTCCATCCAGGCGCCTCCATCTTCGGCTCCAGCACTGCCGTTTGCAGTCTGTGGCCGGCTGTTGTCCGACTCATGGCCGTTGGTCGCTGCTTGTGGAACAGTTCGTTGATGTATGATAGTCTCTATAATACGCCTCCGTGCCTCCTTGTCAGGGGCTTTGAGGTCAACAATCTCACGGACAACGTGACCGCCAACAATGACGTTATTCAGCGAGTCTTTGCCTTGTGCTGTCGCAAGAAGCACTACCCCACTATCTCTCCCGCAATACTGACGTACGATCGAGCAGATGGTTTCGCTGATTTGTCGGCTTCGGCCATTGTCGTTTCCAACTTGCAGTTCAGTTTCAACCGGGCAGAGCTTGTCTAGATCGTCGAGAATAACCAGGGCTTTCCCACCGAGTCTCGTGCCCCAGCTCGCTGTCATGAAGACTCTGTTCAGAGTCTCTTTGATGGTGGACGTCCGACTTTCGTCGTTCACCAGTTTGCGACATGGAAAATATGTAGTGTGGAAGAGAGACCCTTCACGCAGGGTCTGAGCCAGAGAGCGTGCTACTGCTGTCTTGCCTGAGCCCAAAGCCCCTGTCAGCAATACAGAGGACATGTGTGAGAGATGCGAGTTCATCTCAGAGAGTAGCGCGTTGATGCCGACTAAGACCGAATCGGCTTGTGGTGTTCCATCATCGTAATCTTTGTCATCTAGCCAGGTTGGCCGAGAAATCGAAGCTTGCACTTCTATAGGAATGTTTCGGTCAGAGCCCAGATACCAGCTCACCGGATCTTTAGCCGGCGGATCTAACCTGACGAGGCCGCCTTCCCAGCCCTGGGGGTGATCTAGGCCGTCATAAGTCCCTAGGACCATGCCATCACTTACAGGTCCAGTAAGGAGGCCCTTGTCCTGTCCACCGTAGATTTGGGTTATCCTCTTAGCGGCTTCTTCCTTCTCTGCTTTCGACTCGCGTCCAAAACGCAAACCCTCCGGAGTCTTTGAAGTTGTGCTAAAGGGGTAGACTTTGAGCCGTTGTACTGTGCCCCTAGGCAGCGGCTGTGGGGCAGGCTCAATCTTGACAACGCCTCCGACCGCGCCTGTACACCCAAGTGTTGCACACAGTTGGGAAGACAGCGCAACTGTCAGGCTATCCGGCGGATCGTCCCAGGGCCGCAGTTGGACTATGACCCTTTCTGATGGTTTGGCACCATCCGCGTTGGCAGCAGCCTCCTGCTGTTGCTTCTGGGGGTCAATCGGAGGTTGGAGTCCACTAGGTTTGACAACATTGACTGCAACATAGTTGACGCCCTTAAAGTCGTTGGACAGTAGGTGGTCCCGGTCCACCCAGATGCTCAAGTCTTGCGCTGGCGGCTGTTCGTCGAACCACTCTCCACAGAGCTTTCGGTCGACAGCTCTTAAGAACAAGGCCGGCTTCTTCTCCTCTCGCCCACTTCGTCTTCGCACCGTGCTTGCTGAGCTCTTGCCACTTCTCCTCGAGGTGCCTCCCACACTGCGGCTCTCGCGATTACTCTTGGTGGGTTTCGCTCGGGTTTTCGGCGCTATTATGACTTCGGCATCGGGAGCAATCTTGACAAAGGGGACGTCGGCAGCGGCTGCTGGTTCTAGTGATATGATCTTGATATTGGCGGGTGACGTCGGCGACAGATGCAATGTCAACGGGTGGGGAGGGGCATCCGTATAAGCTGGGTTCGGTAATGCCCGTATTTGATTGAGAAGATTCAGTTCCAGAAACGTCGCATGTAGCTCGATGATCTCCCAGTCTTCGGGTGTAAGAGGTTCAATGTTGACCGTATGGGCCTGAGGTGGATCGACGTGTATAGTGGTCATGACCCTCTGGCCATCATTGAGACCTATGGTTGCAGCAAATGAGGCGTCGATTTCGACCGAAGCCACTTCCTGGTCCCGTCCACTGCCTCTCGATCCGTTGATACCGTCTCGATCTACCAATGGCACAAGCTTGCGCTTGCTAGGCATACCACTCCAACCGACGTATACAGATCGTTGTGACGGTGCGCCGTTGGGTTTCGCAGATCCGCTGGGGGCCGGAACGCGGTAACTGAGCTCAACGACGACATTCTGGATGGGCTATGACGGTGGGTTATTAGTATGGGAGGGTGGGGTGAATGATCCAAGCTATATGCTCACGGTGTTTATATTCACAAGCAATGAAACCAGTGAGGAGGGTAGATTGACTAAACACTTGTTCAAATTCTCAAGGGTGATTTCGGCCGCTGTTGACTGCGCGTTCTTGCGCTGGGAGGGAGCCATGTCTGGCGACGATGCTAAATTAGCCGGCGACGCATTGGAAGCACTCCTCGACTGGGTCAACCAGTTCATTTGAAGGTGTCTAGTATCCTCGGTGAGATCAGCTCCGAGCTGTTGTAGCTTCTAGACAGGACACGACATTGGCGGGAACTGCTTTCACATTGCATGTGCCGATGCCGAGGCACCACCCGGCGCAATTCCCGAATAGAGCTTTGCGAGGCGTGTTCCATCTGCACTTGGTTTGATGCCAAGCATTTGAGCCACATATGCACCTCATTAAAGTCCATTGTGGCTAGTTCTCCATTTGTCGCGAAAATTCGCGTGTTTGCGACGACATTGGATTTGCATTGACGCGCCGCTGCTTGCCCGTCTTTTCGCGACGGGGCTGGAAGCGCCAGGGGTTGTAGCAGCTTTTGACGCCCCAATTCTCCGTGTGCATTCTTCAACGTTGCAATTCAACATCGGTGACGATTGAGATACCCCGGAGCAGATCGCATTCCTCACAATGGCGCTCCTTCAGCACAAATTCATCGTCGACTATGATGCTCAGCGAGTCGCCTTCGAGAATTTCCTCGAGAAGTTCAAGACCTCACCGCAGGACACCCTCACGCATGCCATCGGCCAGATCAGTATCGGCGAGGATGATTTAAGCGACGAGTATGACTTCATGGACGAGGACGACGAGGCGCACGAGCAGCGGCGGAAGCAAAGGGCTGCCCCGAAGCTGCCCACCCACAAGTATGCCGACATGTTGCAGAAGCTTGCAGATCGCGCACTTGACGAGGTGCTCATAGAGCTGGACGACATTGTCGCAGTAAGACCTGGCGAACTGGTGACATTCTGGAGACAACGCAACTGACGTGGCATTGTAGTACGAACAAGAATACGACGAGGAACTGAAGCTGGTCGAATCCATCGAAGCCAACACCAAACACTATGTTGAAGTCATTTCCAGGGCCATCGACAACAAGTTACCTCCCCCTACGAGAGGCGTCACCTTCAAAGATGATGTACTCGATGTCATCATGGAGCGAAGACAGGCACGCAACCGTGATATGGCTCAGCAAGCCGAGGCAACGAATAACCCGGAAATGCTCGAGTCCACTTTCCCAGCGCAGCTGACCCGCCGTTACACACTGGTCTTCAAGCCACGAACTTCGACAGCAGACAAGCCAGTCAAGGCCCTGGCAGTACGAGATGTGCGGGGTGAGCATCTTGGCCACCTCATCACGGTGCGTGGCATCGCAACTCGCGTATCAGATGTCAAGCCCATCGTCCAAGTTGGCGCCTACACCTGCGACCGATGCGGCTGCGAGATTTTCCAGCCAGTTGGCGACCGGCAATACGCTCCTTTGACCATGTGCCCATCTGAAGAATGCACCCAGAACCAGTCCAAAGGCCAACTTTTCCAATCATCTCGTGCCTCCAAGTTCCTGCCCTTCCAAGAGGTCAAGATTCAAGAGATGGCAGAGCAGGTCCCCATTGGACAGATTCCTCGTACACTAACCGTCACGTGCTATGGCAGCGCTGTTAGACAGGTGAATCCTGGCGATGTCGTCGATATATCTGGTATCTTTCTGCCAACCCCTTACACGGGCTTCAAGGCGATGCGAGCTGGGCTTCTGACGGATACCTACGTGGAGGCACACCACATTCTCCAGCACAAGAAGGCATACGACGAGATGACTGTCGACGATGAACTGCTACGCCGGATCGAGAAGTTCAGTCAGTCGGGCAGTGTCTACGAAATGTTGGCCAAGTCTATCGCTCCTGAAATCTTCGGACATCTTGACGTGAAGAAGGCTCTCCTACTTCTGCTGGTGGGTGGTGTCACCAAGGAGATGGGCGATGGAATGAGGATCCGTGGCGATATCAATATCTGTTTGATGGGTGACCCCGGTGTTGCCAAATCTCAACTGCTGAAGTACATCTCCAAGGTTGCCCCCCGGGGCGTGTACACTTCTGGTCGTGGTTCCAGTGGAGTCGGTCTTACCGCAGCCGTGATGCGAGATCCAGTAACCGACGAGATGGTCCTAGAAGGCGGAGCCCTTGTCCTTGCTGACAACGGTATCTGCTGTATCGATGAATTTGACAAGATGGACGACAATGACCGAACCGCCATCCACGAAGTAATGGAACAACAGACCATCTCCATCTCCAAGGCCGGCATTTCCACCACTCTCAACGCACGCACATCTATCCTTGCAGCGGCTAACCCCATCTACGGGCGGTACAACCCGCGCATCTCCCCCGTGGAGAACATCAACTTGCCAGCCGCCCTTCTCTCCCGTTTCGATGTACTTTTCTTGCTCCTTGACACCCCTACCCGCGACTCCGATGCCCAGCTGGCCAAGCACGTCGCTTATGTGCACATGCACAGCAGGCACCCAGATCTCTACGCCAACAACGGTGCCACTTCTGCCGATGGCGAAGCACAGAACGTTGTCTTCACTCCCCACGAAGTACGAGCATACGTGGCCAAGGCCCGCACATACCGTCCCACTGTACCGCATAGTGTCACTGAGTACCTCACCAAGACGTACGTGCGGTTGCGCAAAGCCCAGAAGACGGCCGAATCCAAGGGCCAGCAGTTCGCGCACACGACGCCCCGTACCCTTCTCGGTGTAGTCCGTCTGGCACAAGCTTTGGCTCGCTTGCGTTTCGCTGACGTCGTGTCGCAAGACGACGTTGATGAGGCACTGCGGCTCGTGGAGGCTAGTAAGGAAAGTCTGGCAGCCCACGAAGGCCCGCGCCGCCGCGGCCGTGATGCCAACACCCGGATCATGGAGCTGGTGAAGACGCTGCTCGATACTGGTGCTTGCAGGCCCGACGATGAAGATGCGGACGAAGAGGACGGCACTGTGGAGTTGAGCATGCGCAAGGTGCGCGAACGTGTCTTGGCCAAGGGATTCACTGAGGATCAGTGGACGGGTGCTTTGGATGAGTACACGAATCTTGATGTAAGTTCCCCTTATAACCCCCTTCTCCGTGCATTTAAGCTAACGTGGTCGCACAGGTTTGGCAAACTGCCGGTAATGGCACGAGACTTGTGTTTATCAACGCTGGCAACGGGGATGATGATGACATGGAATAATGGTTTCGAAATAGAATGAGATACGGCGTGGAGTTGACATGGGTTGAGTCTTTTGTAGCAATATTTCAACATGCCATGGCGTTATGGATATCGGCTACGGTCGAGAAGAAGTTCGGTTGTTTGTTTGCACAGGTCTTTTGATAGATCAGGAACGCAAATAAAGCTCGGCACATGTTCAAAACATAGCTCAGATGATCAAGCCCAATGAGTGACTGGGGTACTCGATTCTGAGAGTACATGTCGTTTTAGCTAATAACCGAGCCTTCATGTTATACTTCAACTGCGGTGGTTGGTGGCTATGAGATTGGAAGAGAGTATGATTGGGTTGATCTTACTCTATATAAAGACTTTCCAGCCATGCATTATCACTGTCGAGGTAGGATACGTGCCAACTCTCGGCCATGATATTCTCGAATGCCTCGGACATGCCACATTTACAGCTGCTGACTCCAAGTATATATGTCGAGTCAGTATCCATTGAGGTCCTCCTACATCCATCATCTAATCTTTCCTGAAGAATAGGAGATCGTTGGCCGCAAAGTACAACTTGCACGCCAGGAAATTGTCAGCTCGTTGGCATAGAAGATGACGAGAGTCCAACGAAGGTCGGAGCACGATCAGATCAACTTGGGCTGGTAATTGAGAAAATCGATACCAATTTTATAGGCCATTCATTGTGTGGGAGCATCTCCAGGTAAATGGGTCCTATAGTAGCCTGAGCGCAGGAGGACTTGATCCCAACTGTATTATTTCTCTCGTTCTTCGCTCCTCTACTGTGTCTAAGCTTTACCAATTAAGGCTATGATCCGTAGGTTACTGTAGCTGCAGTTCCTCTGAGCATCCGCGTGTCTGTGATAGTATGCTGTTCCTCCCTCCCTCTTTATGACGCGCGAGAGGGAGTTATCAATGGAATAGACCTGAAGATGTCACCGCAAGAGCATTATGCTATTCCCCGCCTGAACTCGCGGTAAAATAGCACGAGGCGGCTGCAAAGTGGTCAGACCCAACGTGATGAAAGGAAACGAGATGTCTTTTCGGGACTGTTGGCTCAGGGACCAATTGCTTATATGATCTAATCAACCAGGAAACCTGCCAGCTTCTTTTCGAAAATCAGAGAACCGAGACGAGTACATCTGCCGCCGGCCCTTCCATTCCGTTGCCCATAATTTCCAGGAGCGGCTCAAGCTCGTAGCGCAACCCGAGCCAAGAATCCATCCCAGGGTTTCTCCAACAGCTCCTTAACCTCGTCCGGAAACTCTTGGTGATGCTCCTCAGCCAAGTGACGAAAATTGTTGATGGACAGAGAATACATCACATCATCGTCGTTGGTACTTAATGGAATGCTTCTTGTCTGCTTTCGAGGTTGCTCCCGGGCGTACAGCTTCATGCTTGTAATCAGTTTGTGACATAATTCGCGAAACAGCCTTTGCGTGAAGTCGTTGAGACAATTGAATCGTATTTTGAGTCTGGTCAGAATTGGTGGACCTCTTGCCCATATTCCCGCCGGATTAATGCGTTCTCGCTACCGCTGTGCTCCACGCTGTAGGCATCGCAGATTGTGACGCGGCGGGCTTCGCAGGAGTTTTGAGATTCGATGTCTTGAGGCAGGTTATCTTGGGTTGTTCCTGAGACTGTCATTGCTCTGTGTACTGTGGTTATTCGTCAAGGTGCTCGATGATAAAACAGGGAGCGGCAGCGTAATCGGTGCGATGAACGAATAGACCAGTCATTGTATTCTCGGGGTCAGGTATGGGCATAGAACGCTTCGTGAGGACTGAGGATTATTTTCGACAAGACAGACATAAACTCAGTATGTTCTCGCGAATGTTAGCTCAGAGTATGTAAAATTGTGTTATAAATTCTGGTCGCGCTCCTGCAATGTTAATTTACGAAAGCATCATTATCTCCTGTCCAAGGCAACTGCAGAATGGAGATGAAGATCATGTAACACAAATCTAGGACTCTCCCAAATATAAATAGATCCATTATTCTCTCGGCTGGAACATTTCGCACTCAATATGGCCGTCCTATTGCTATACAAAGTACTTTGAGTTCATGACTTGAAACTTGTTTGAAAAGCTCCTTATGACCGATTCCACATAGTGATGCGTGGAGTCCTGAAGGAACGAAGACAATTCTCTCTACTCTTGCCTTGTATCCTATCAAGCATTGAGATGAGGCTGGTAGGTTATTAGATGGCTAGAGTAGGTAGAGTGGTGGCCATCAAAGGTAGTTTGACTCTGTGGAATCTTATCCAAATGTTTGAGAACTAAACCTCATAGCACGGTGTATAGTACTCTTTTGTAGCGGATGCAAATAGTTGAAGAAGGAAAACTGGTTATGATGCTGCAACACTCCATGGCGAAGGGACGACAAGAACCAGCCTCAAAATAAACATTTCTTACGTCCGCGAGCCCAAAACGCGATCAGTCGTCGACTTTGGCAGACAATAGACAGGATTAACAGGCTCCAATCCAGGATACCCAAGTAAGGTCAGTCCAGTGATCCCGAAAAGGGTGTGCCAAACATCGACCATATTACCGGGCCTGTCTGCAATGCCACCGAGCTCGGGGTCTTGGCATCTCAGGATGAAAGCAATGAGAGCATCTCGGTCGATCCAGTGTGTGCGGCCAATCATTTCCAGACTGCTTAACACCCACCAACTATAGCACACATCTTCGTCCTTCTCCGGACGACCGTTGAGGCCGCCGCCAGCTACTTGGCGCTCACTCAGCCATTTCCCGAGCTTATCAACCTCGACAGACTCCATTCGACCTGCGATGGAGAGAGCAGCGAGACAGGTGAATATTTGTCCAGAATGCGTCTCGGAGCCGGGACTAAGACCGTAGCCGCCATCAAAGTTTGCACACGAAATGATGTAGTCTACAGCCTTGTCGACATCCACCAAGTCCACCATGTCAAGGAGGGAAAGAGCATTGAAGGCACCGTACAAAAACCGGGTGTCTTCCTCCCCCCATTCGTCACCTGCAAAAGTACCCGTTTTGCGATTCTGGAGATCTGCTATGACTGTAAAGTGAGGTCAGCCAGGGCTCTGAGGGGATGGGGAGTGAAGTTTCGAACATTTCCCGACGGCAGCTTTGCCCTTGCCTCGTTTCTCGAGATCATCGAAAGCATCAATCATGGCTAGGATCTGCACGGCACTGACGGTGTACAGCATGTGGGCATCGTGACCTGGAGCCGCGCCAAACCCTCCATTATCGTGCTGACAAGATAAGACAAAGTCAATGGTCTCCGCTCTTGGAAGAGCGTCTGGTTGACCAAGGAGATGAAGAGCTGTAAGGCCCCAGTATAGTCCGTTCAAGCGCAAATGCTCTGTCAGCCAGTATTCGTACTCATCCTTCCTGGTGTCAAGGCTTTGGATGTACTTGACATGGGCAGCTGTCGCAAGTTGAAGCTCGTCTGGGAGTTTGCTGAGGTTGGCCATGGTCACGGATGAAGTTTATGAAAAAAAACGAAAAAGCAAATCAGGCCGTCGAACAAGATGCTTCTTTTTGGGCACTTGACCCTAAACTCAACCTGGGAGTAATTGAAGCGAGACTTCGGAATCTGGAAGTGGGGTGACTTTGCAGGAGTTGCCGTTCAGCTGTCATCGGATGACAGCCCTACGATGGTGAGAATGATTGATTGCACGGTTTCAAAAGAACTCAGATCACAATAATTTTACCAAGAAAGTGATGCCAGCAAATGCAGAGAATGAATTTTGCTTTCAGCTTCGATTTGATTATCTTTCTCCTCACCCATGAATGCGAAATGGTCAGTGCTTTGCCGGTAACGATGGCCTACAGTGACTTCTGCCTGGTTGTCACCCCCAGCCAGCTTACCCATTCACCGCCTAGTTCTTGCCGGCAGAGTTACAGACAGCTACACCGCCCTGGAAAGTACTTAACCAGGTCTTACTCCCGGGGATTTCACTCGCTTTCCTTTCCTCTTTAGCTCTTCTTTGCCTTTTGGCTTAGGTACGTTTTGAACGCTCTGCCTCATGTTGTGTGCTATCACATATGCTAACTTCCGCAACAGATCAAGTGTAGTATCGTACGTATCCGCTCTTCGCTTGACGCGTAGGATGTTTCGATCATCAACTAACTGTCGCTCGCAGTGTTCTTTTCAGTTTAATCTCTGAAAGAGGTCTATTGACCTCAATCGTGATTATTCCAATTTTTATCACTGCGGAGTGTGTCCTCTGTGCTTGCACATGACCACACCGACCGTGTCCCTGATATTACACTGCCTTCAGGTGATGCGAATCTCGTTTTCATTGCAGTCTGGGGCTTGCCCTGGATGTGAAGAAGATGTAGTGTAGTGCCGAAGTGCTGAATTCAACAATGTCGGATTTGCCGCATTTTAAATTTCATGGTACCACATCGAGTTAGTCCCGCCGGGTTGGTGATGTTGGCCCATTCTCGAGCCTCCACGTCACTGCAACGAACCTGGGGAGTATCCACTAGACCGGCTACCGTACTATACCTACGATGCACTCGTGAGCTCCATGCTCATGTACATAGTATGACAATCACTCACAGCCGCCGGCATGAGGCACCCCTTCTGATATTTAGACATCCAATTGTAGCGGCGAACTGGCTTGCCTGAGTGTCACTGTAACATGGAGGCTTACAAGCTTGGGCATATCCGAAACCTGCTGTGCGATACCTGCCCTCCATGCCTGCAACCAAGTCAATGGCGTCAAAGATAGAAAGCTCCGGCGTCGTTAATGGTCACACGACATGTGGTTTGGCGGTGAGATTATCTCGATCGTGACACGAGGCTGACAATCAATAGGCGTACACCCATATGTTTCACAAGCACAACATGCGGAGAGGACGACATGTACGACCTCTCCAGGCCCATTCTCGCTATCTTTCCGCCTTTCTGACATGGATTTGTGAACAAATCGGAAAGCTTGCCGTGAATATCCAACAAATGAACCAAAGTGAGCACTTGGTTGTCATCGTCCAACCAGAGATCGCAGTTATCTAAATCTTTGTCAGTGGCTGTGGTTCATGGGCAAGGTAGCCATCATACGATTCTATTCTAATCAGGGACAGTGCTTCGATCATGGAAGTCGCACATGTACATTGAAGCTTCGATTACACAGGTTCATTGAAGAACTGTTACATTTACTTCTCTCTGGTAACTTAGATACAGAATCTAGACAGGCATGACCCTCTTTATGTGACGGCAACGCTCATAGACTGCCTCTATCAGGAATAATGACCGTGGTGCCATTTAGAAGACCTCTTGCATGGATATTCTGACATGGACCTCGATTATGTACAGATAGCCCAAAGGCATGCCCACTTGCAACAGAAATGACTCAATGTTGTGAGCTTCCAACGTCATGTCAAGTGGATCAACAGCCAGTCTGCCTTCAAGTCTTCGGCGATCTAGAACCCTCCTGCAAATCCTATCAGGTTCCTTGTCGTGTGCCCTCGGCGAACATAGGGCTGTGGGCAGTATATCGAGGTCCGTAAATATTTCATTTTGGCGATATGGCAAACTTACCATGTTCAACCCAACTTCGTAGAAGCGCTCAATCATGGAAAGCAGTCGGGTTAGGTCGGATGCTATTTTGGCATACATCCACAGCACTACGACGTACCTATCATTAGATTGTCTGGTAGGGGTGATCTAGCTATTGAACTTTCTAATGACTCTGCTGAGTTCGCCGAAAGAAATTGAGTTTGCTGCCATCTGTCATTATGGTGTTGGTCTGAAAAGGGTCAGATTCGCGCGACTGATGTTAACGAAACCAAACCAGGCTTCGCAGACCTTCGGTGTGGCGAGGCTCGTGACCATTGCAGAGGAGCATCGGTGTTTGGAAGGCTTCGTAGATAGCATTATGAGCCTCCAAAGCATCACATTCGGACAGCGACACTGAACATGAATGTATCGAGGCAGAACTTCGTACCGTCGAATAAATGCCAGGAGCGCTAAACTTGGAAAGGTAGCTGCGGTCAAGCCAACAAGCTTTTACATAGTAGTCACGGCTTCGGGACAATCCTGGTGATGAACCAGGGCCTGCCAGGACCAAATGAGGGGAATTAGAACAGGAGGATGTGCGCAGCATGACGTTTCAGAAAAGAATCCGTTTCAGAGCGGGTCTTGCCCCCCCACCTTGTCCATCTGTTTTCCGCACATTGTTCCTGCCAAGACTTCCGGGATGTATATTTCGGGCATCAATTGTGGACGGGCTTAAATCTACTTAAAGTAGAATAAAATCATAGACTATGCGCTGTTGCATTAGACAAGCTGGAGATGATCATTCAAGGGCGCTAATACCGAGCCGCCTAATTCCTAGAGAAAAGGACCCCGGACATCGAACAAGTTGATGCATTGTCGGACACCTCCCGAATTGCGGTCCAGCCCCATGCATGAGTATCTCATCACTCAACAACTTGCAAGCGTAAGGTTCGCCGCAAATCTTCTCGAACATTCAAACCGGACATGTCAAGTCTCACAACCTCAGCCTGAGTCAGTGCGAGCAGTTTCTGCTATCCGCCGTACACTTACTCTAACTGTCTGCACCTGCATCTGTCTCCATGGACGCCGTATGGTGGAGTACGTAAGTCAGACGACATCAAAGTACAGAGAGAGGGTAATACATATCACGGCCAATGCCTACATGAATGTCTAACGCCAAGTTTTGATATGTGCTTTAATGTTGATCAGGATACTTCATACTTGACATCAATTATTGGTGATGTGCATCCCATTGTGCAGTTATTCAAAACCCCACCGGCCAAACAATCCAGCATCCATAGCGCCCAGCGCGCAGCGCGCACTACCAGCAGGAACTAGACAGGGCGCAGCGGAGGATTCCCACTCCTTGCCTTGTCTGCATTGCAGAAACACGCACGGAAACATCGCCATACACACCCACCACGTCCACGGTGTACCCTGGACAGAGCTCCGATCCCACTTACATTTTGCCCCGTCAATCGGCATCGCCAGCCTGCCTGCCCTTGGAAAGTCTCGTTTTGCTCATGTCTCTGGTCCCTCTTCGTTTGACGTATGTCAATACCGAAATTGAGATTCCAACCATTACCCCCCTCTCAAGGGCATAGAGCTCTCTAGCCTCGAGCATCTAGCTTCTTCAGGGCCCTCCCCTCTTTAATTTAGAGTGCTAAATGTGCCTGCACCCGGGCGGTCCCTGTCAGGCTCTGGCGCGACGGTTGGATCTCTTGTTGCAGTGTCGCAGTGTCACAGATTCTCAATCTGGCTATTTTCTCTCAACCCTTGACACCTAAAGTCGGTACCTGATACAGCTGCTCTGCTGACCAGCCGACTTTTGTGCGGCAGAGCACGAATCAAAAACTTGCCTTGATATTGCCCTGTAGCGCTTGGTTTACGAAGTAACGAAGGACCAAAGGGGAGTGCCGCTAACTTCGCAGACACGGCCGGCCGTGCCGCACCTCCAGCACCTACCTGGCCAACATCGCATAGTACACTTTTTTTTCTGAGCGGACGGGGCATTGCTATTTGGTTCGTATTGTCAGGTACTCCATACCTACTTACTCGGTAACTCGAGGATGGGACGCAAGCGTGGTGCTCCTCAGCCGCTGGCCCTGGCCGAGTCCCATTCCCAAGGTTCTGAAGGTTCCAATTCTAGCCCACATGGCATTGGAATTGGGATTGGCATAGGCACAGGCACTGACACAGGCGACATGAATGTCTCTTCTCACGACCTTTCTTCTGCCGTCACTGATTTTACCGCCCTGGGAGGTCAAGCTCTTGCTAGTCTCCAAAGTCAAAGCTCGCCCGTGCAAGCTCTACCTGTTGTCGGCGTCGCTTCCAGTGGCAGTGGCGAAGATACCCTCCTAGCCGTCTCAACCCCAACGTCGTCCAAATCGTCTCGATCCCCACGATCCCCTTTCAGCAGATTCAACACTTCCAAAAAAGCCCAAGTGCCGCCGCAGTCCCAGTCCTCGTACCAGTCACAGCTCGCCGAAACCCCTCCGCAGCACTCGCCGTCTCAAACCGACAACATCCAACAAGAATACTACAACAACCAGAATCATCAACATCCCGACCCAGAGTCCCATTCCGACCATTCGCCGCATTTCACAGCTTCGAGTGATACCAATACCATTCACAAGTCGTCGACCACACCTATACTGCGAAACGGCGCTGGCCAATATCGACGTCCCACTACCGCACATCAACCCCCTCCCCATCGTGAGAACGAAAAACATTCCAGGAGCGCCAGCCGCTTCTTCAACTTCAACAAGCCGTCGAGGTCGACCCAGGGGCTCCACCAACCCCCGAGTTCCAACCGGAGCCAGACAGACGTTAGTTACGAGGCTATGTCCCGCGGCACGGACTATCCTGCCATGTCAGATCGGGTATCGAGTAAAACTTCTAAACATTCAGGTATGAGACTGTTACTGCCTTGCCATTGCCTTTTCTACGCCGCATCATCTGGTTGTCTTCGGAAACGGCTTTCTTCAGTCGTTGGAAATTGCCGTCAGTCTGCGGGTGCGCCTACAATCACATCGCTAATTGTTGTGTCTTTGTTACGGAAACAGATCAATCCTCCGCTGATTACTCTCACCAAAAAACCGGTTCTCTACCGTCGAGATCGGACTTGTCATTAGTATCGGGCAACGGGGAACTCGATTTGTCCAATTCTTCAAGAAAGCACAAGCCGAAGCCTTTCACCTTGCTTAGCCGCACCAAGTCATTGAAGGACAGGGAAGGGCCGAGTCCCAAGGGTACCAGTCCAAAGGAGCCCAAACCGGCAAAAATGCAGGAACCAGATCGGGCACTCACCTTTGCGGGTCAACAACCCCTGACGACGGCACCGCTGCAATCGGAGGGGCCCGACCGCTCATTCAGGCACGTTGTCAACTCATCAGCACGAAATCACTCGGCGGATCGAGCTCTGCCCCGAGACACGACGAACAAAGAAATTAGACAAGATAAAGACGTCCACAACTACAACCGAAGCCATCCCTCCTCCTTCAGGGACACCGCAGGCTCTGCCTTTCTTAGTGGACTAAAGAGTTCTGGCACACGCGCAGCCGACATGATAAGCAAGGGATTGTTTGGCAAGGGTGGGAGGAGTGGAAGCACGACCGAAAGGGAGCCGCATGTGGACGACGAGCATTACCAGTTGAAAGTAATCAACCGCCCGTTGGTGGAACAGACACGTTTGACAAGGATATCAAAAAAGTTGGAAGAGTCGCGGGATAAGACGGAATTCTGGATGCCGGCATTTCCATGGCGTGCCATCGACTATCTGAACTACAAGGGGAGCGACGTGGAGGGCCTATATCGTGTTCCCGGGAGCGGGCCGCAGATCAAGAAATGGCAAAGGAGGTTTGACGAAGGTGAGTATCCTGCGCGTCTTCTCTCTTTTTGTTTCTTTTATTTTCCTATGATACGTGGCACCGGACTAACGCGCAGTATCAGAATTCGACGTCGATCTGTTCGCGCAGGAGGACCTATACGACATCAATATCATCGGATCCATGCTTAAAGCCTGGCTACGAGAACTACCGGACGAGCTCTTTCCGAAAGAAGCCCAAGAGCGCATTTCTCGAGAATGCTCTGGGGCCGAAGAAGTGCCACAGCTACTCGTCGAGGAACTCTCCAACCTATCGCCTTACAACTACTACCTGCTCTTTGCCATTACCTGCCACCTGAGCTTGCTCCTGGCGCACTCTGACAAGAACAAGATGGATTTCAGGAACCTCTGCATTTGCTTCCAGCCATGCATGAAGATCGACGCCTTCTGCTTCCGATTTCTCGTCTGCGATTGGAGGCGATGCTGGCAGGGCTGCAAAAACGAGGCCAAGTTTATCGAGGAAGAGTACATGTTGATGAACCAGCCACCCCCTAGAGCGCTCAGTGGCGGGGGCAACCGCGGCCGTTCCGCGTCCAACAGCAACGGCGCGAACGGCACAAACGAGACCCAGGATGAGCGCAACATATCGTCTTCGGACAGTAGCAGGCAGTCAGCTCTGGCGCGTGAGCAAAATCAGCAGCAAAACGGCAAGTTACGGAAGAAGCCTATCCCGCCTGCACAGTCGAACGGCAGCATGGAGTCAAATAATTCGACCATTTCGACCAACTTGACTGTCGACAGCGACAGAGAGCTGCCAAGGAGGTCAGGAGATCTGAGGCCACTGTCACCAATCAAACCGCTCTCTCCTCTCGGCTTTTAGTTGAGGCCTTCGAACAAAAGGAGCACGAGACGAACCAAGATATCTCCAAAGCGGCCTGCTTTTCTGACATGCGAGACATGAAACCACCTCTGGCGGAACTGTATGTTTTAACACGAAGACATATTCTCACCCCTTTTTATCTCGACTCACGATTTTACGCACCGTTGACGATCATACAAATTTTCCTATGTTCGAGTTGATCAGCCTCTGCCGAAGACACCGAAATCTGCGCCCTCGGCATTAAATTTTCCTCTCGACGTTTAAGCGGTATGCAAGCATCTTGCCGGCGACTGGATAGGCACATGGGAGGCTATTTGCTTTTGGGTATCCAGACGAGGACAAAAGTGACGCAGGTTTTTGACACAGCGAACGGTGGAATCTTCAGAACTTTTTTTTCCCTATCGCGTCGCACCCGAGATTGATTGATACTTGGTATTTTTCTTTGGAATACCCCTTAACGCGCGCATTTTAATGCATAGGTTGAGAGATGTATGTATTTCGAGGATTGACGGTGGCTCTCGTCTGGTTGTGTTTGCCTCGCATTTGCGAAGGGGCTTGAAGGCCGCTGACGTGCGTGCCACTCCATTGTGTTTCATCACTGCGTGCTTCATCACTGCGTGCTTCATCACTGCGTGCTTTGAATACCAGTCAGCCAACTGAGTTTTGGCTAACTCTGGTAGGACGAATAGAGGAGCAGCGATGCTGGGAGTTGTCTAGGTTTGGCTGAGAGAAGGGAGCAAACTCGGGACTGCAAAGAAGTAGAAGGAGAGGGACGAAAAGAAGAGACTAACTGTACCATAAGGGCAGGCAGGAAGTTGGCCTGCATCGCTTAATATGAGACTAAACTGTCTTACGACTTGCTGATCCCCTCGACATGATAACCCTAATGGCCTTCGTCCCAAAATCAGAACCTGAACGCCTGCAAATGCTTTTCCCCCCTTAATGTCATTCTTACTCACATCATGGGTATCATTCCCGCACCATATGTAGTTGTCCTCCCCCCATACGGCCGACGCACATCACGTCCTCCGTTTCTTCTGCTTGGGATCCTTGCCCACCTTCTCGCCCTTCTCGTCCACCTCAACGACCCAGTCGGCGGGCACCTCGCCCTCAGGCCGCTTGCCCTTGTAACCCCACGTCTTCTCCCATGCACCTGTGTCCTCGTTGAACTTCTGGCTCTTCATGTGCTTCTGCTCGCGCGTCTTAGGCTTGATGCCCTTGCGCGCTGCGAACGCCTGCCATTTGGTCTGCTCCTTGGCCGCCGGCAGCGGCTTCTCGCGCGGCAACGGGGTTTCTGGCGCGGGAAGTGTCATGAGTACACCCGCGCTCGTTGATTGGATCGGCAGAGTCATCATCATTTGATTTATGAGAGCTTGTGCTCCATCGCGGGCGGTGGCGGCTAGGCGCTCTTCGAGGGATCCCGACTCTGGGGATGGAAGCGGGTTGGCGTCGGTGGCGAGAAGGAGGCCGAGGTCGTAGGTGTAGGGTGTGGGCTTGTCGACCGAAATATCGAGTTTCTCTGGCGCCATCTTGAGGCGTTGGGAGAGGTGTGTTGGTGGAGGTGGGATGGCAATTGGGATCCTGGGAGCTCTTAGAAGGATGTGTTATGCAGAGGGTGGTCGTGTGTCTGTCCCGCTCGTGTGTTGCGGAAAAGTTTTGTATTTTACCGGAAAAGCTACTGGGAGCTGCTATCATCTACTTCTGCAAAAAAGTTCAGATTCACACTCCAAAAATTGTACTTTTCGTCCACTATCCTGGCTTTATCGATAACATACCGGGGGTCGATTTCTCCGCGCCCCGAGACTTGCCGGCAGCTAGCTCCCAAATTTAACGGCCTAGGACCCTGGTAGAAACTCAACCTTTGACGGACTTTGATGCGACATAACGATGACAATGGCGAGTCCCAATTGCTGGCGCTGCCTCGCGCGGCCGTCTCAACGACTGCTGGTGCCGACTTCGATAGCAGGCCCCTCCACAACTGCGGCATTCACCACATCAGCCGCCCGTTTCGCCGGCGAGAGGAAGGAGGCCGGCGGCAACCCCCTCTCGCGACACATTCGATCGGGCAAGAAGCTTATTCTCGGCAAGAAGAGGCACAAGGGCGACAAGAGCAGCGGCAAGTCCGTGGGCGAGGGCGAGCGAAAGGCCTTCAGGAAGCGTATAACGCTCAGTAATAACAATGCCCTCGATGTACCAGGACTCGACGAAATCACGGCCGAGAACATGACGGACCAGGCTGCCGTGGGACAGGTCATGGGCATCCCGGAGGAGGTGATCGACCAATTGAGAATTGTAGAGGCCTTTAAGCCAACGCAGCAATGGGGCTTGTTCAGACGTCCGCACATGCTGATCAGACGGGAGACTGTCGACTTTGTCAAAGCCATGACGGAGACGGTGGCAAGGAAGGGGACGTTCAGGTCGGTTGTGACGGGGCCGAGAGGCAGTGGAAAGAGCATGCTGGGGCTTCAGGCGCTCTGTGCCGGTTTTCTGAACAAATATGTGGTTATCAATATCCCCGAAGGTACAATCGAACCAACCTGATAGTACCTCTGATTGCAGGCTAACCATGCTTAGCCCAAGATATCGTCAACGCTCACACAGAGTACGCCACCATCCCCAACACGAATATGTTCTCCCAGCCTGTCTACCTCATCAAGCTCATGCAAGATATGTATGCCACCAACAAGGAAGTCCTGTCTAAACAACAAGTCGGCCTCGATCACATGCATCTCCCCATCTCCGTCCCCCGTGGTTGGTCGCTCGCCCAGTTGGCCAGCGCAACCAAAGAGCCGGAATTCGCCTGGCCCGTATTCCAGGCCCTGTGGAAAGAACTGCTCCTCCCAGGCCGTCCACCCATTATGTTCTCCCTCGACGGCCTGAGCCACATCATGCGCCCGAGTGACTATCGCAGCCCATCTTTCGAGCTCATTCACAGCCATGACCTGAGTCTCATCCGACTTTTCGTCGATGCGTTGGGCGGCAAGACGCACTTTGCCAACGGAGCTAGCATTGTCGGTATCATGACCAAGGGCAACTCGCTGAAGATCAAGTCCTTGGAGAAGGCGCTGGAGCAAGCGGCAGCCGCGCAAGCTGGGCTCAAGATTCCACCCCGGGACCCGTTCTATTCCAAATATGACGAGAAGGTCTTTGAATCCCTGAAGGGCGTCGGTATATTTGAGGTCAATGGCGTATCCAAGGCCGAGGCGCGTGCGTTGATGGAGTACTGGGCTGCGAGTGGAATTCTCAGGATGAGGATTGATGAAAAGAACGTCAGTGAGCGATGGACGCTGGCAGGCAACGGAGTCCTAGGTGAAATGGAGCGGGCTAGCTTGTTCCCGTTGAGGTTATAGATGTATTTGCAAGTACAGACGGTGGAATGAAAAGGGGCGAGATGAGCATTGTATGATCTTGTACAAATATAGACGTACAGCTATGTAAAAATAACTGCTAGACAACCATATCGGTGAGGCGTTTCAATTACCCTGGGCCTGTGGATATGTCGCTGAGATGGTGAGCTAGAGGTAAAAGAGTCATGCCCTTAACTTAAGGCGATCAAAGTTCATCACGCACTATGAATCATATGTGACCGCAGTTTTTGGTTTGAGCTGGTAGATATGCAGTATCCCTTGACGAACCGGGTTGAGGTCTACTCCCACCTGCGCTTTAATGAAAAGCATATTTGGTACAGGATGGGCAGAGATGCGATGTCCTTTAGTTACGGGGCTTGACGTTCATTACTGACCTATGTATGAGGATGATAATCGGTACAAGGCTGATCAATAGCTTGTGTCACTTCACAAGGGGGTTAAAATAATATTCTGAACATGAGAACAATAGCTGGCTCGAATATTAGTAGAAACTTCGTATTCTTGGCTGAAGGTGTTGGTATCTGCTGCCCCTTTGTCTGAACGATGTTCGATACCATACTGGCGGAGATATCAATGATACATCTCGCCTAAGAGAGTGAAGGTTTAGTAGCCTATGCATAGGAATGACGATTGGTACAATGCTGGCGTAAACATTGCATTTCTTGCCAAAGGGGGTTGGAGTCTCCAAAAGATGTCGGAGAGGGTTTGAACACAAGTCTGGGTATGAGGGCAAGAGAACCCAATGACACATATCGTCGGCCCTTAGGCATCATTTATTTATTTTTTACCTAGGCAGCGAGTCTTGTGAGAAGTTAAGCTGGGTTTTCCATTTGCCGTGGCCTTCCGAATTTGGTACTCACTCAAAGGGCGGACCAGAGATGGCACTTCTTGAATCAAAACGGAAGCAATACCCATCACCACCATTCAGGTCACTAGCAAAGGGGTCTCCTTGCTTTCCCAGATGGATCTGCTGCGCATTGTGACCTAGAGGTTGGCGAAATAAATAACCACTTGGTGGTGGCTTTCGTAGGCTAGGAGTTCAACTGAAGGCGTGGCCGAGCCTTTTGCTATTTTTGGTTTTCATTTTTGAAGGATAAATTCCTTGATTTGACTGCTTCGTAGCAATCCAGGATGTCTTCTTTATTTATAATGCCGTTTGTTCCCCCGTAGCTAACTTGGTTCTTCTGGCCGTGGCGTTGCAAGGCTTTGAAGCAATGTAGCCCCTTCCCTTACCAGTCTTGATCTCCAACAACTTTAATTCAGTTGATCAGAATATTCAAATATATATATACAAGAAATCTGCCGGACTACCAAATAGATTACGTGGGGCCGATGCTACACCTGTGTCCAATAACCTGGCCATAATCCATCTACCTCTATGGAGATCTACTCGGCTTGCCGTCTGCATTATGTATTCTTAGCACTCAGAGAACATACGGTCTTGATTTTTGGAATTATGCTCTCCCGTATATGTTGCTTTATACCCCATAATAGCCTTTCGGTCTGAATGTAGGCTCCAACTTGCCAGCGCTTCACCGATTGTCTCACTTCCCGCACTCTCTAGTCTATCCCATATGCCATAAAATCCACGAAAACCTTGAGGTAATAGCACTCCTCGTAGTCCTCCTCATTGTCCTGATCAGAATTTTCCCAGCGGGCCTCGTCCTTGTTATCCGAGTTCACATGGAAGGCCTTAGCAGCGGCAGTGTGCAAGGTCTCACGCATCCATTCTGCAATGCCATATCTTGCCTTCCCCATACAAGCAAGCTGTACCTGTAAGTTCTTTAAACTCAGAAGCGAACTTTCGAGCCGCTTCTGAAACGGCGACGCCCAGTGTCAGGCTGATTGTTCCTTGAGTTGTTCTTCTTGCAGTCCGGCTCGAACATTTGGACAAACTTATGTTTTGCCATCTTGGGGGAGAAGGGGCCCATTTGTATCAACCATCAATCCGGCCAGGTCTGAATAGTACATAATACAGGCGCTCGGGCGTATTGGAAGTGCCTATGATGATCCTGCATCTCTGCAACCCGACGCCTTCCAGTACATTGAGGACATCTGAAGGCGTGCACTTCAAGTTGACACGCCGGGAGTTTCAGCGTTTACGCCTGCCGCCTCGGCCTTGTTGCTGCATGTCGCTTCAATGCCACTGCGTCGATGTTTTCGAGGAGAACGATGCGTCGAGGGTTCAAGTCCCGAAACAAGGTCGCTTGACATGTCGATTCTGTAAATATTCAAGTCGAACCTGCCAGCGATGGCAGCAGTCTGTGTGGGCTTTCCAGTAGCAGGCGGGCCATATAGTAGGTCACCCCGTCGGTATCGCACGTTACGTATGCAATTCGCTGCATAGTGGCTGGGTTTAGGTACCAGCCAACGTCATTCTTGAGGTCTTGCTTACACTGTCGTTCAATTGAATTATAGACAGTGGTCGAGATAACTCTGTCGGTTGCCTATGCCAGTAGCTCTTCCCAGCGACGCGTATTGCAAAGAGGGCTCAGCTTCTTTCATATCCGCTACCCTTGTCTCTTTGTGACACGCTCGGCATGTCTCAAGAATCGTTAGATTGGCTCTCGTGAGCGCCCAAGACATGTAACCATCTGTTTTACTAACGATGCCATTATTTACTCTCTCAAGAGCATTGTACCAGCGACAATGATGGGAATACTGGGCTGGGGTAGTAGTGCACTAGGCGTTCTTCCTCCTCGTAGTTATCGTAATCATTATTCAGAGGACTTTGGTACATCTGACCATGATGTTGCCTTGGTGACCAGAACTGTGCCCCAATTTGGGTAGTATTTATGACATCGTCTTCCGACCTGGCAGCTTCTTCTTCTGCGGTGAACAATTCGATATCTTCTGATATCTTATTGATATTTCTTCTACAATAATCGCGGTTCCTATAGAGAACGGTACTGGATCATATAATAGGAGGAACCCAAAATGTGTGGAGCTTCGCACGCATTCTTTTGGCGATCTGACATGCTGGTTACTTCGACTTTGAGAATATGATCTGCAACCGAAGTAGCGACATGGCCTCTGGGATCATTTCAGGATGGGACGAAACCCGATTTCGTGAAGACCTGCGAATCCAACGCCAGAGAATGAAGTAGATCGTTTGAACGTATTCCAATGCGGCCTGTCCTAATCCTGCATTACCCAGCAAAGACTAAAGTTGGGTAATTCAGAACGGCCACAGAGGGATTTAATTGTCTGGCGTCCTGCGCGATGTAACAACAGGTCCGAAGATAGCGCCGTAGCTAGTCCAAGTCGATAGCTTCTTCTTGGATGCTTGGTGGAAGGCAAAGCGAATATTGAGACGGCGGTAGTGATCTTGAAGACGGGATGGAATCGTCAATCGTAGTGGCGAGGTTGGTTCCAATGGAATTAACGCATCAATGATGGCTGCGCCTACGGCGGTTTGGTGCGAGAGCAGTGAAGTAGGCAGTCCCGAAAATTTGGACTATACAAAATATTAGGGCGAATATAGTATGTTCAGGATGTGGCCGAAGCGCGAAGCGATATGTCACAAAATGAACCACTTTCAAGGTAGAGATGTAGGCCATTATTTCTGTAAAATCGTCGTCCCATTCAAATCTTACAGAAGTTCTGCAGCTGCCTACTCCGTACGCTGTCTACTCCCTACTAGAGTGATGTCTCAGAAAACTTGGCTCCTATAGCGTACAGAGAGCGATCCTTTGAGAAGTAATGAATACAACCAGAATCTTCTAAAACAAGGGAGGAGAACGTCACTGCTATCAGGGAGTTAAAGCTCCATGCTATGTGAAAAACAATAAAAATAACATGCCAGCTCCTTCAAGTCAGCTTGTTCTACTCAAGTGCCTCACTTCTTGCCAGACCGGTGGGCCTTCCTCAAAGCCTGAATGGAATCCTCGTCATACTCCTTCTTCTGTGCCATAGTTTCATAGAACATGAACAAATGCGGACACCCCAAGTACCTCTTGAAAGTGACCTTAGTGCCCCCAGCAACAAGCTTCATCCCATATGCCTCGCCCTCGTCCCTCAGTGGATCACACTCCCCCGTCCTGATGAATGTATCGCACAATCCACTCCAGTTCTTGGCATGGAGCGGACCAATCCACCACTCGGGAACCAGAGCCTTCCGCTCCTCCAGCTTATCGCGCGGGAAGCACAGTTGCCCGAACCACTCGATGCGACCCCAGCCAAGAATGGGTCCGTCATGGAAATCGTGGAAGGACTGGAAGGGTGACTCAGAGTAGGACATGAACAGGAAGTCGTTCTCTGACGGAGGAACGGTAGCCATGCATAGTCTCAGGGGTATGCCGGCGTCGCGGGCCATGTGCTGGATGATGATGCTGATGTGGCCGCCGGCAGATATTCCGCCGATGGAGACAGATTCTGGGTTTATGTTCAAGTCTTTGGCTGAATTTCGAACCTGAAATGGTTAGTACTTTTGGGGGAAGAGTGGTAGTATACTCAAGGCTCGGTGTCTTACCCATTGTAACGCGGCCCAAGCGTCTTCAATGCCCTTGCCCCAAGCCGACTCTGATGCGTTTGTATTAGCCGAGTTGCGAAATACACGGACGGCTCTGATCTTACCGGGACAATGGCGATAGTTCACATCCACCACCACAACCCCAGCCCCATCCCGCAAACTCAAACAGAGCGAAGACTCCGTCGTCAAGTCACCCAACACAAACCCACCGCCTACGATCTCACCATGTCAGCAATGCAGTTCTCCAAATTCCCAATCCAGCCAAATCGAAACGCACCATGGAAGTTCAAATGCACCCCGTACGGCCCTATGCCATGCACCGCTGAATCGGGATGATACACCTTGACCGGCACCTTCGCGCCATCCTCGGATGCCACCTCATAATCCGTAACTCGCTCCCATCCCGTGACGTCCTTAGCCCACGGAGGAGCGAACCTAGACGGGTTCGCGCGGACTTCGGACAAGGGGTGCTGTTGCACAGCGGGAATGTCCGAGTTGGCCATCGAGAGGACGCACTCGACAGCCTTGGGGTCGTACTTGGCGAGGATGTGAGGCAGGAAGATGTCCTCGGCCTTGACTGTTTTTTTTGCGTCTGACGCCATCGTGTCGTTATGGTTGCCCACTTTCGGGTCTGGTACAGTAGCTTTTGATTGACTTCTGGTATGTTCGGCTCCGAGACTAAGTATGGACGGGGTCGTCTGGCACTTGAAGAAAGATGCTGTTGTGAAAGCTTCCTTGTCAGCAAAGCAGAATGAGGGATGATAAGGGAACGAGGAAGGCAATTCACTTCAAATAGGCACAGCAACACAATAACTGGCGTCACATTAGGTGGAGTCAACGTAGTTGTTGCTACTACTGCGACCCCGCATCCGAGGTATCCCGTTGGTAAGGTTGTCGATCCTACAGCACTGCCTGCCACATCATAAAGGTTTCTACTTATTTTAGTATACGCCTAAATCAACTTCCTACAGCGGGACCAAATAGAAGCAACCAACCAGGTGAAACATGCTAGCTTTATAGAATTTGCCTGGAAATAAGACAGAACCACCCCCCTCCCCTGGTCCCAAGCCTCACAATTCGGCCACCCAACCAAACACAACTCGTTCACACTCGTTCGTATGATATCAACTCTGTTCTCATCGCTGAACCTGGTTGCCGATTAAACATATGGATAGCCTGGAGAGTATCTACTTATGTCTCTTTTGTATCATATACAGACGCACACTTCCAAGCACAAATATGCCTTATTAACGGCGTCAGTGGGTATACCCTCCGCTTGTATTCAAGTCCCAACAAAAATAAATCCCGAAAGCAGTCGCCGTTTTATGATGGGCCTTGTACACCAAGTGTCCCATGTCCCCAACACCCCATGCTTCCTGTCCCTTACCCATTGTCCCTGTTTTACCCGTTTTCCCCAACTTATAAGCTCGTAAATGACCCGTCCCTCATGACCCTCATCGTACTTGACGTCACTGAGCTGTCTGGAAGCGATACGTCATCTCTCCCTTTCTGTATGCGGTCCCGGCCACCAATCCTCCGCTCCAGCTCAACGGCCCTTTCCCTCTCTGTGCGCGCGGCAGTTGCAGCCTGATGTCCACGCGGCAGGCCCTTCCACATGTCCCATCGCAGCCGCACCTCCTCTCTAAGTGTCTTCCAGCTCGTCGTGAAGAAGATGAAGGTGTTCCACACGCCTTGCAGCGGCAGAACGATACCACTGGCGAGGTTGAGTCCAAAACTGGCCGTACCCGGATGGATCACATCGTGGACGCGGTTGATGGAACTGGGGGTCCAAGTGACGAGAACCGATATAGCAAAGACGAAAGATGTACGCAGATAGGCGAGCTTGACGGGGTCCATGTGATTGAACTTGGAGCACCATCGGTTGTAGGCGTGACTGAAGCGGGTCCAGAACGGTCGCTTCGGCACCGGGTCTGCCGTGATGCGTGTCACCGTGTGGTACGGATTCAGCGACGATGGTTGGTGGCCAAGTCCAAGTTCCGGGAACGACTGGTTCTCCACAGGCCCATCAAACCAGTTTACAGTCGCGGCGCTGGGCGACTTAGGCCCATCTCCACTGCCACAGGCGTGGGTGTGATGGACTGTTGTGACTTGTGTTACCTCAGTAGCAATACGACCCATAACCGCAGCATTCGTGAAGAGGTTCTACCCAGCATGCTTCCGTTAGACAAGGCGACCGAATTGATGGTGGAGAACCTCAGGGGGGGGGGGGGCACTGTACCTTTTCTCCCGAATCGCGCTGGTCTGGGGGATCTCGCGTCGCAGGGTTACTAAGCGACAAATTACGAAGCTGATTCCGCTGGTTGAAGACGTAGTAGCCAACCGAGATGTAAATGCAAGCCGAAAGCGTGATGCAAACCCATATGGGGAGGTAGTAGGTGTAGATGCGCAGGTTGCTCCAATCTTTGTCAATCCAGCACCAGATCTGGGAAGCTGTCAGCCTTGTCCCTCATGCGTGTCAGAAGGCGCAAGGGATGAATCTACCGTTGCATTGCCGTAAACCCCGCCACGACTATCACGAACGAGGATCAACCATAGCGCTGGGATGAAGGGCACTCCGTAGCAGACGAAGAAGTAGGCCCACCAGTATCGTAGGAAGCTGTTCGGATTTGCAGCAAAGAAAAACACCATGTAGACGTTGACGGCCATGGCAAAGGACCACCATGGATCTGATTGCATAAACCTGGCGTGTCTCGTCAGTAAAACGTAACTAAAGACCGTTGGGGATTTACTCACAGTTCAAACATGAAAGCTTGAGCCTGGCACAAGTGACTTTCCTCTCCCTGTGTGACCCCACTGTATCCTATCAAGCAGGCGGCACTAGCTCCAAGATTGGCGATGGATGCAAATACTATGAAAGTATTGGGTACTGAACGAAGGCGTTTGAACGCGGCGAAGGCGAAGAAAATCAGGAGAACCCCTATGATCGAGAGCGCGGCGCCGGTCCTCTCGAAAACGACAATGATGTCTATTTGCCCTCTCGTGAAAGGCGACGGTTCCGCCGGAAGGTCCTCGGGGCCCAGGCCCATAGGATTGTTGACCGAAGACATTTTTCTCTGGGTTTGCCAGTCGCAGTTGCAGTTGCTTACGACTAGATCGGACGACGTAACAATGGGTGGTGGTTGAAGGTGCTACCTTGAATTGGAACTTGCCAAACGGCCCTAAAAAGAGTTCTAACGAGCCGATGGGGGGTGACAACAGTCGCAGGAAATTCCGAGCTACGAGCGCCTGAATAGGTTCACGGCAAGAACCGAATCGAGGGCGTGGAGCTGAGCTCTGTGCTGCAAGTCAAGATGCTAACCGCATCACGCAACCGTAAAGTACTGCAATCGATACGGGGATTGGGCCGAGTAACTGATGCCGTGACAGCGTGACCGTAGCCAAGCTTCTAGAGCTGTGTGACGAGGGACAGCCTATGTGCGAAGCGGCCGGAGTCGAACTGTTGCGCCAAGGTGAATGTCGGGTGACGATAATTACCAATAAATATGTAGCGTACTTGTCTGGAGTTCACCTCGGTTGGTACTGAAGTGAGACGGGGTGGTTGGCAGTCCAGGGCCGGGGAAGGTTTGGCAAAGACCAATTAATGATGTATGCAAAGGCGAAGGGAAGGATACTCAAGAAATAGGACGAACTGGTTGTGGTTAGGAAGCGAAGTGAATAGGTTCGGGTCTCGAGTGTCTGGCTGGGTTGGACCAGCGAGGACCAGGTTAATGGGACTTGGGTCGTCGTCAATTAAGCTTACGATGTGTGTAGCCGCACCTTCGTTTCCCCGTCTGATATAGACAATGGAGTCACCAACTTCTCTAGCATCTGCAGGCCGAAAGGGGAGAAGGAGAGATTCAGGGAAAGACGATGCACCAATTGGCTCCCAGGCAAGCCGGCCATGCGCCTTAACATTACCTGCTGATCTTGACGAAAGGGACACTCCATTTGCTTTCCTCCCTCGAGGCTGAGGGGGGGGGCCCGAGTCGCTTTCCGCTTCCCATACTTCGTTACACGATGCGACGCCTAACGGCCGGGGAAGTGGACAGCCGTGACACAAAATCATGTCTACAAATGAAGCCAGGAGCAGTCTTGGACGTTAAGCGACTTGCAACTCATGAAGAGTGGCCTGTTTCATGGGGGAAAACTCACATACAAACCTCCATGTCACTTGCGTGCCAGCCAGTCACGGATTGACAAGATCGCAGCGGCAAATCGAGCACCCATATGCTGAAAATCCGCATTCAGGTATCAATACAGGGCTCGGCGCCAGGTAAAGTTTGTAGCTGGCCAACGGGAAAACCGGGTTGTTGTTTGCAGCTGGACGGCAACAAAAATGAAGGTCGCCCGGCGGGCTGCGACGGCGTCTTCCCACCTATTCAAACATGGAAAATATGTCGTGATTGACGCGATCGACCACTTGCTCGCAAACGCATTCGAGGCTGGTCGTGGATGTGAAGTCGATGCTGCAGCAGCTGCTGCACCTCACCAGCATCAGTTCAATGATCGTCCCAGGGAGCCCTCGACGGCAGAGCGGTAGAGCGGAATCCATCTCGCAGACTCGCATGGGTCCCTCGACGTTTCCCCACGCGGACATGGATCTTGAGATTGACATGAGTGCAGCCCTAGTCTGTCACTTGTGATGAAAGATTTTTCTGGGGGTGTATTAAGTGTGGTGTGCAGGGCTCTATTTGCCCCATCGACACACACACTTGATCAACAAAAAGGCTCTCCTTGCTTCCACAGCTTCATCGCCAATGGCCCAGTCCAAATTAGCCTCCCACCTGAATGTGCACCGGATGGCCACTTTGGCAACCTCCACAGCAGAGAAGTTGGGTGGGGTCAGACACGTTGCAACGGAAGAGACATTTCTCACTTTGAGAGTGCTGCTATCGAGATTGCAAGGTATTCCATGGGGAGGGAGCGGGGGTTGCTGTTTGTTGCACTGCAGGTGGCACCACCAATCGTTCCTTCCACTGATATTGATTTCTTGGATCTACACGGCTGTGTACCGCAGACGAGCGCTGACCAACGCAGACTCGAGAACAGAACCAACCAAACGCCGCAGTGTCCTCAGTCACCGCCGAAACTCCAATTATCTAGCGGCAGAAGCTGACTTCCATTTTATGGGAAACTGCAGTCTTCAGCAATCGTGTCTCGCCACTTCCTGATTATGTTTTCCCAAGACATTTTCGGTTATTATGGAGGTAATGGAGCGGATCGAGCAGACGATCAGTTATTCCAAACGACAGTGGAGTCGGCATCTCGGCCGACAAGACGACATGAAAAAGTCACATCATGCATTCATAGATATTGCAGAGTAGCTGGGCCTCGAACAAACGCTCCGCCCCTAAGACATTAGCGTTTGCGGCCACCAATAGTTGACGTTGGGTTTGCCATTGGTCCTCCCCGTTCGACCGCTTGGTACTTTACCAGCACCACCCGTGGTACCATCCTGGATGTCCTCCTGCACTTCTTGGAACCCTTGCGTCATGATATGACCGGGTTCCCATTCATGATCTCAAATCAGGACCAGTCGTACGAAATGAAGAAAGCCACTGCCCAGCTTCGTGGTTTGGCTCGCTTCTGACTTTGACAGGGCCCTGGATCACTTCGGGTCCCCTGATTTACACCAATTTCGTCACCCAGCCCTGCCCTATCCGTGTATCCAATGTACATGTCGGCTCTGTTGCGTCGCCAAGAGCTCGAATTTGTGTGTGATGCCAGCTTGGTTCAAGCTTCTGAGAGCAAAGACCAGAAAACATTCACCGCGCCGCGGCTTTTACGGCCAACCTCCTTGCATGTCTAAAGCACGCTGCTAGACGTTTCGTGGTTTTTCATGTCGGAGTATGTTTGAGAAAGCATAACCATGACGATAAAAACCCTTCAAGTTTGCCCGTACAAGCAATACGGTGACAATCACCCAAGCCAGATGACCGACTTCAGTCTTTACCGTCGAGATGGGGCCGATGCTCAACCCCAGGCATCCCGGTTGAACGTGTCTCAACATGGAAACATGATGTAGAGACCTGTGCTCATTCCATTTCCATTTCCATTTTCATTTTAAAGTTGTATACCGCGATGTTTTAAGACACAACTTCGTTCCACGGTGCTGAACTCATATATCAACGGAGACGTTTTCTCTACATAGTGGCCGAAAGCATATTTTGGAGCTGAAAAATGCATGGGCCGCACAAGATACTTCTGCAATAAGCACGAAACCATGAAAACCCCCCCACAAACCAAGGACATAACACTTGCAAACCTTGTGTATCCATGTTTGACTACGGGCCGTTCAAGCGCGACGTTGCCGCCAACCCGCAATATGGCCCGCCACACCGAAGTTCGGAATGCGGCATGATCAATGCCACAAGACTTGGGCCGTTTTTGAGGAAACGCAAGAGTGGGCCCTCATATGCTACTGGGTAGCAGACAGATGGCATGATAGGGTAAACAGTGTCCCCAAATGGGGTGACCAGGTCATGTCTGTCTGTTGGAATATCGTTCTATGATTTAACCCCACCCTATTTCACCCTGGGTGGGCTAGGCCACGCCTTACCTAGTAGACTAGTAGAGGCACAAGAGACACGTGGAGGTAGGCATGTTCTCGCAGAGAGCATCATCAGATATCTGCAAGAGACTCGCCACCTCGGGCTCCATGCCATGGCAGGTGACATGTGTGCATACTCGGCCACACCGTTCCGACTAGAGCTATACCTGACCCCAAACCATGGACTTGCATGTACAGAACTGCTGAATCAGCGACAAAAGATTCTCTTGCATAGACTCGAAAAGGCCACAAGGAATGCAAGAATGTTTCGTGTGCCGAGCTTGACATGCAGAAGTATCAAAGAAAGTCAAGAATACATGGGCTGAAAATAGTATAGGGGCTTCTGGACGGCGTCAACGGCCCGAATGGCACTGGCACTACGGTCCCGACATCAGCAAACCATATTCTCTGTGGCGGATTTCTAGTCTGTCCAACAATTTGACAATTGCTGAAGTAATCAGCCCATATAGACGTTGTCGACAGGAATGATCGGCGCCACGCCGCTAGTAGCAAACATTGGAACATATAGTGAGCTGCCTCATTGTGGATGCCTGGAGAACAACTATCTGCAAATTTCCAAACGAGCTGCGACACGACTAGACTAGATCCTTGTTGTGGCGATGAGGAACTATCCAAGTTTCTCCTGGAGTCTTGGAACACCGTACATGTACTTATCTGTTGGTAAAACTTATACACCAAGCCGCACCGCATAGTGTCCTGTTGCTTGCTTGCTGTGGTCCAACTATGACATGCCAGTGGTCTGGATCGATCGATACGCGTGATGTGCGCAAAATATTGCTTGCTTGAAAGGATCATGTGTATCAATGGCCGTCATGAGTCGTGGTGGTCACGTATGCAGATCCGCGGACGGATGTGTGGCTCAAACTGGCCCAAGCTCTTGTTTGTAACACGAGTTGGCTCAAACTGGCCCAAGCTCTTGTTTGTAACACGAGTTGCCTCGTGGTGTTTGAATCTCTTCAAGTTTCTATTTGATATATCTTTCTTCGTTTCCAATGACATTCAGCTTCGAGGAAAGAACCTCGATAAGTAGCAGTAAGACAAAATCTCATGGTGATTCCTTCCACGTGCCCATGGCTACGATGGGATTTTAGTGATTCTACCGCCAAGATGACATGGTGCTTGTACCAGTTCCTCTAGGAGGCTGGTGAAAACATCAGGAGGCGACCGGTTAGTTGCTCAATTCTAATACGAGAAGACAAATACCAAAATCGTTGGAATGGAGCTTATTACTCAAAGATTTCTGCAACACTCCTGAATTACTTCCCCCTTTATGTCTTTCGCGTAGCCTGTGTGCTTTTTGAAGCGAAATATCGTATACACAACCACTGCCAATCTCAAGCGCATCTTGTTACGTGCAGCTTCAGACCACGTAAAAGTAGCGAAATGATTTGCAAACATCAAGCTTCAGCTTGGGATCGAATACTACGACTCAAGTGCTCAACTCGGTTTTGTAGGCTCTCGCTGCCTGTAGGCCGGGATTCTTTGCTCCAGGTTTTGCTTGTCAGATATAAAATCTCTACGTACAATAGTGTACAAGAAGCCGGATGCTCTAGATCCCCCCTTCACATAATTGGAGGTTCGTAACACGCAGAACCCCCAATGGCGCCCTCCGATTTGTGGCGTTCGCAGTCAAGCTAGAGTAGTTCTATGATACCTGTCTTCGAAAACTAGTCTATCAAGTGATCAGTGGCTAGTAGTCGCAGTCCACTAGTCGCCGTGCCACGAGGCAGCCACCTCGTTTTTAGTTCCGAAGAAGCCATGTATCACAACAAAATTTTCGTCTCAGCCCATGTCTGGAAACGTCTCTTCTTCCTATTGGCTACGGGTTCAATGTGGCGTTGTATAGTCGTCCCAAGTGCTTGGAGCTTTATCATCGCAAGTCATGGTAGTTAGCTGGACTTATACGATATCGGGTACCGCAGATTAGATCTTATTTCACAACCAATAATTCAGGTAGGACATCCGAACGCGTGCATAAAGGTGGAGAACAAAGAGAAAAGGGGCTGGCTGCAATGTCGGAATTCGGAATATAGAATGATTGCGCCTTACATGACCTCGTTAACATGCTTCCTGACATTAGTCGAGGTTATAATTGTTGAAACTATAAACTAAAGTCTGATTATTTATCTTAAAATCTCTCATCATACTCAAGACTGTGGTAATGTGCTGTTAAGCTCGAAATCTACTTTGTGTGTGCGCCTATAAAGCAATAAAACTTGATGAGTAGATGCTAAATCTATATAAATGGATGACGTACGACTTCAACATGTTCGTATGGCATCAATTACGACGAAAGAGATGCCGAGATTTTGGATAGAGGTAAGTTCTTGAAAAGGCATTCTGCATAACCCCTGGATGCAACATAGAATCTGCCTCGGAAGAATTTTACTCCATCACGGTGTCTGGGGACCATATCGTTAAGGAGTGTTAGTTGAAGCTAAAATATTGATAAATATAAGTAACCGCCACTTCCATGTGACGGTTTCGTTAGAAACGTTGAAATTACGTGACCCCTTACTGCCAAAATCTAAGAGAACCCATGGGGAATCTCCATACGTGGCCAGTCTACCGACTTGCATCAATGATAGCCTTCACACGCCGAATGAAAGTTGATACTATTTCCACAGCCTTCTCTGCATTGACTTATGTTGACCTCACAACTCGCACTGCATCCGTTAAGTGGGCAAAAAATACGACTCAAATGACACGGCAAGCAGGCTCAACCTGCTCTACACAGTCACAGGTTCCCCGGAGTTCTGACGACTACCGAAAACCCATCTTGCCTGTCTCTTGAACGAATTATAAATTCACGCCATAATGCATCTTTCTCACTGCAAATCACCGGTAAATGGCGCCCAAACGAGGGCCAAGTCCCCACAAGTCCTGTCTTCCACATTGTGAATCTTATCCTGAACCGCCGTACTAGGAAGGACATTCTTGATATCATGAAGCCACACGTGCAACTCCTCAAACATCACTACTAATAACAGGCGGCTAAAGATAGAAGGTTGGCTTCATGGAAAACTTTCTCCGCAGTAGCTGAGACGTCACGATGCCCAGCCCAGATGGCGGCAATGCCCTTGTGAACCCAGTATCTCGGTTGGGAATGATGAGCTCTGCTGTCACTTTCTCGGATGCGGAGCGGGTGCTGTGTTGGGTCTCTGCGGCGACTACGACTTCGCCAAATGTACATTAGATGAGATCGGGATGCAAGGAACGGGCGAGAGAAGAAGGCAGTTTAAGCTTGTTTGCTGCATCACCGAAGGGGGACTGTGATAACATGACCTATGCAAAAGCGTCTATGTTGGATAGGATGCGTTCTCTAGCCCCGTCCGACATTGTTGTGACACATCGCGGTAAAAGGAGGAGTCATGGGAAGGTTTGGTAGAATTAGTGAAAGTTTCGATCTGAGATGGACTACGGTAAGGACTAGAAGGTGGCAGGCCAAAGGATTTCTGTTAAAATTAGTCACTATGGGCCAGTGGAAACATTGATTTCTAAATCATTGCAGCCATCGAGTATCACGATTCGTTTTTGAATGAGAGGGGTGTTTGAAGAGGTCCGACCAGCTTTTATCTAAAAGCGGGACTATCCAATCTATGTCCATGTATCATCCAGGTATATCTAGCCAAGGCCTACCAACCAATCCACAAAACCAGCTTCCACCAAAGGAGCCAATGCCACCCTGGTCCTTCCTATCCTTTCGTAGACCTGAGACCTGTCAACACATCAAGATTTACCACCTAGAGCTTGCGCTGAACAAATGAAAGCCATCAAAGTGTGTAGAAAAAGTCCGGTCGCTCATCTCCCAGAGCATCAATTTCCTGGGGAGATTTGCCCTCAATAAGGTATTCGCGCTTTCCTTCTCGACGCTTCTTGTTCTCAATGCGCAAAAGAACATGCATCAAAAGACTCCCACCGAACAAGAAAACGAGCATGTAGCCAATAACGATACCATGGCCTTCGTAGTATCGTTGATGCTTCTGGCTCGCATGTGGAAAGTAGATATTCGAGCTGACGATGCCGTTGAGGTTTCCCCAGCCGATAACAAAGCCAAGCACGACACCCCGCTTGTAAACACCCTCGGTGTTGTTCGCCATCCAGGTAATGGTGTTGGAAATGCAAGGGTAGATTCCAAGCGCTCCAAGAAAGGTGCCCGCGTACCTGGCACCGGGGCTTGGGGCAGCAATCAACAGAGCGAAACCGATAAACCCAATGGCGCTGACGCACATGTTGCATAACCCACGCTGACGGGTTCGATCGGCGACAAATCCAACCAAAACGGTGAACAGCGCGGCGAGGACGTAAGGAGGCACACTCAAGAGTTGAACGGTGATGGTACTACTACCGAGTCCCAGCTCCTGAACAATACTCGGTAGAAACATCGAGAAGGCATACAGAGGCATATCGCAGCCCATGTATATAGCCATCCCAAGCCACATCTTCCAATCCTTGAGCCCGGCGATGAGGTAAGATGTCTTCCATTCCTCGTGCCCTGCAGAGGACTGTTGATCCTGTTTGAGTCGGCGAATGACACGAGCACGGTCGACATCGGAGAGAAATCGGGCATCATCGGGGAAGTCGTGAACCATCCAGAAGGACGCAACGCCGAATACGACGGTGAGAAGCCCTTCAAGGATAAAGATCCATGCCCATCCAGGTTTACCCCCGATGCCGCTCATCTTCTCAATGCCCGCGGCTAGGAGACCACCAAATGACCCAGCAGTGGCCGCTGCTGAGAAGAAAATGGCCTGAAATAATTAGAGAGACGATTGTGTACAGGAAAGCGGTGTGGAACTTACGGCTCGGATTCCAAACTCTGAGCGTCTGTACCAACAAGATAGGTAGTAGTTCACACCAGGAAAGAGACCAGCTTCTGCCAAGCCCAAGAACCAGCGCGCTGCCAGGAGCCCGGAGTAGTTATGACAAAATCCCATTCCAAACATAGACAAGCCCCAAATTACCCTGTAGTTATGGTTACTAACTATAGTTGATGTACGGTGGAATCGAAATGACTGAGCTCACATGATGATGGGCAGAAACACGGATGGCCGTAGCTTTTTCAGCATGACGTTCGTTATGGGCTCAAACACGGCATATGACACGAAGAAGATAGTCAAGGTAGAGTTGTACTGCAAAGTGCTGAGATGCAGATCAGTATTAAGCCCGGCGACTTTAGCATTGCCGATATTGGTACGATCCAGGAAAGCCAGCAGGTAGAGGATGCAAAGCTAGAGGTAGCATGTCAGCATAAGGAAGCAAGACAACTCTGGCAATAAGTCGGAACCACTTACCCATGGTATAAGGGTCCAGTCGAGTTTTCGAACGAGGGCGCGCTCCTATTACAGTAATCAGTCACAGTGGTACTAGGATGCGACGCATATAGGATACGTACGATCTTTTCTCTCTCCTCGGGACTGAGATTGGCGTCGGGGTCGTCGGGCAGATGCTCAAGTCCTATGGAATGAGGGGCTTCAAGGCTTTCGCGCGAAGGTGCCTTCGCGGAAAGTTTCTCGATGTCACTCATGATAGATTAATGTCGGTATCGCTAGCTCGACTCGCATTCGTCAATGAAGGAAAGCGCCTGTTTTGATGTCACGAAGAAGCAAGATATATGGTAGAAGGGTTCTGTCCCGTCTGCAATATTCCGCTGTCTTAGGTTAAGGTTCTTGTGGGCAGCCGGGCGAACGGTACGAGGAACTTTTAAGCAAATAACTGCAATGATGTCGACGATTGTGGTGGAGGTGACATAGGATATGGGGAACCTCTGAAGATTTGGAATGAAACCAAGTCCAGAAGTAGTAGAACAGGATCGAAGAAGATCTGCTCTTAATAGGAAACTCTTTGCGTGCAGTTGGCTGCCGGCTCAGAGGGGCGGGGAGAAATGTGCCTCGGGGTCGGTGTTTGGTCGCAATGAGAAAATACTTGCAAGGCTATTTGGGGGCTCCAGACATTTATTAATCAAACTTAGGGAAAGAACGATTGGAGTACAAGAAAGGAAGGCGCGACTCAATCCCTTCATCTCCTCACTTCCCAGTACAGCAATCGTTGCGGTTGCCTTTTGCCCGTTGCATCGGTCCAACTTGATCCTGCTCGACCGCTTCTTTCCTCCTACGTCCAAATCATCGATCATATTTTTTACACCTCAACATCAACACACTAAAGGCGCACATCTAGCAAGCTTGCACTCTACGTGGCGTCGCTCGGCAAGCCCAATCCTGCGTAAGCTCTCCAATAGCGCTAGCCAAATAACCATGCCTGCGCACATGGTGGCTTGCAGTCAATTGCAGCTGGAGGCAAATTTTCACCGGGATCTTTTGCGGCATACCCAAGGATGGTAGGCGGGTCCTAAGATCCCTAAAAACGCGTTTCATTGAGCCGAGGGGAATGATGGCAAGGGCATTCCAATTCAAGTGAAGATAGGATGGTATACAGCAACAAAAAGTGTTGATACATGCACAAGCCGACTTGCGTTGCACTCACCCAGTTATAACTGATGCGGCGCATCTGGAATTTAATGCCGCGTTAGTACAAGGATACCGAGTACGGGGATGCTCAAAAGCAGACACAGACTCAGCCCGTGCCATGCAGCAAGGTGACTCCACGGCGTGGACGGCTAGTTGAAAGAAGCCAAATACTGTATCGCGTTGCATCTTGTACTTTGACAATCTGAACGAGGACACCATCGGCGGTACGTAGGACACGATTGAAAACCCTCGGCCTCCGGCACGACCTCACACCTGCTATACTCCCGCCGGGCCGGTTTGCATAATTCTTTGCGAGATGTTGGCCGACGGCTCTCTGTCTGCCCGGCGTGAGAGCCATGTCTGCGTACAGCTTGGTCGATACGTACGCCCCCAAGCCCGAGATTAAGACCAAAGTGCAATTGGCTCCAGATGTCCTTCCTTTATCCCGAAGTAGCATGACTTGCGGCCGAATGGGCTCGAAAGACAGTCTCTGGGCGGGTGTCGCTCGTCTCGCATGGAATCAGTCAGCAGCATTCCATCACACAAGATTCCACCCTGATACCTGTCATGTCTAAGATACGGTCATACAGATCGCTGCAGGTGGCTCTGCTGTACTTGGGCTGCCCTACCTGTCAATCTTGCAAGCAATCAACCACGCGGCAACTTGCGGTCCCAGGCGGTGAACTTAGAACCTTGGGCGAACTACATCTGGCGCGGTATCTCAGAATTTGCTTTCCCACATGTGGCCGACAACGGTGGCCAACAACGGCACCATAACGTTCCCGATAAATTCGTCTCAACTCGGCGGCTTCACGGAATCGGACCCTGATATCTCGCCGCGAACGACGTCTCCGCTTTGGCTCGGCATTGGCGTGCTGCTAGCGCTAACGACTTCCCCGCACGATATCGCGGGGTGAGGGGACGATGTCCCGCAACCTAAAAGTCCCCGCTAGTTTCCCTGGCTGCTCTTCGTCATCATGACAATTAACAGGGGACTATTAGCGCCGGAGCTTATTATCTCTAGAGCGGTTCAGACGAATTATGGGGTTGATGCATCCCAACAACTTCCCGTTCATGTAGCCATCCGATGAGGCACTTCTAATTCATGTTCACAAATGAATAATTCAAATTAGGCGACAATAGCGACTGACCGTAGCTGAGCACCACCTATTCCACCCTTTACGGAGTCAGAGGTTTGAGCGAATCGTAGTAACATCGCCCAGATCTGTCTTCGCAACGATGCTGTAACACGAGACAGCCCCTAAGCTTACTATCACGCAGATTCGTCAAATGCAGTAGACCTTTAGGCTGACGAGTTGTTCTGGGCATGGTGGGTTACAGGGTTCTGTATGAGACAACTGGGCATGGTCGTCTGTAGGTTTCCCAGATTCTCATATCCATGGCTTGGGACGAGGTAATCGCTTGGTGGGATTCTGTAGGGACGGTAGGGACGAAGGGAGCCTGCTTGCTGCAATAAAAATATCCCTCAGTGATGGAGCGTGCTTCTATGCAGCACTGTCAACCTCGCTAGCATGCTGCTATTGAGTGTTGAACGTAAGAATTTGTGTTCAGCCTACCGGGGGTGGCCATCGTATGATCCGTACAGATGGATATTGGCGACAACCAATACCGAGGATGGCGTAACACAGTAGCATTGGAGCTGGGTTGCTGAATTGTCCCATCTACCGATTGGCCGGGTTACTCTGTAGGGGATATGGAGGGGTCGCCCCTCATGAGACAATTACGTAGTGGCACTCGCTCGGCCTGGGTCAATTTCAAATGTCCCCTTATCTTCACCTGACGTGCCTCAGAGGAATAATCAGTGACACAGAAAAGGCACAGGACACGATCTGACTGCCGCTTTAAGAATCACTCCAGGTAATCCCTTCTTCCTTGCATTGAAGTCTTATCGATGAAAGGGCTAAGACAAGCGACTACTGCAAGCACGGGAACCCGCCGCGCATTCATCAAACTGGCTGATTACCAAGTCCGGAACTCAGCTCGGAGCGCCGCACGTGTCGACTCAGGCACAGCGTTCGGATAAAGAAGCTAGCCAACGGGTGTGTGCTTGACATGTGGCATCCCGCAATATCGAATTTGAGTAGCACCGCATGGAAGGTTCAGAAGGGCTGAGGAAGAAGAGGCGACGAGAATGTTGCAGTGTTGTAGCTGATCTATGGCAACATGGCATACCCTCGCGGTAGCTAATCACACTTTGAGTCGGAAGTGCTCGCTCGATTGTGGTGTGCGGAATTCCTCGACTTCAATGGACTGCGACCGACATAACCTGTACTGCCTGAAACGTCTCAAATGCAGAGACAGTCTTTGATAGGGCTATCCAGCGGTCAATCATTGTTGGGAGAATTGCAGCCAAAGATGTAAGTTGGCGAGATGTCTCGGTAGGGGCCACGCGGTAGGACAAACCAAACATGAAGCGCGGCCGGGGCAGCGGCGGACGCGGCGGTTGAAGATCGCCCCAAGACTTTGATCATACAGCCGCTTGCATTCTGTCTGGGAACCGGGCAAACCGTGCAGCAGAGATGGGCCATGTGCTGTGCAAGAAGCAAGGAGAGGAATGCAATGGTCGTTGAAATAGGACTAAACTGGGATCATGAACGAACGAATACCGAGCTTAATTTGACTACTTCCCAGAAGACTCGATAGTAGTGGACATTTTCAATTCCAAGTCGGCTTTTGAAATCAAACCATTGATAACTTCGGATTGTTGCGATTAGCCACGATAAAAAGATAAAAGCACGTTAAGCCACACTGCAAAGACCAGACCTTCCGGCTTGGGATGCTCCGGATTCGGCGTCCAATCGGGTCCAATGTGGCTTGTGTGGATGGTGCCGCCTTCCTGTTGTGCTGAGGTGAGATCATATGCAGCCAAATTGCTTCGGCCCGTACTCACCAATTAGGTGGTCATAAGTACTACAACGTCACCTCGAGTGTGTAACTCAGGCGATGTGAAGAGCAAAAACACGGCCAAATCCAGCACAATTTCTAGCGACGTTGTGTCCAGCTTCGAAGTTCATCCAACGTTGTATTGGGCCTCGGCTAGCAAGGTCATTCATCTCAATAGGAAGCCTACGACGCCGGCAAGCTGTTGTGGAGCACCGCTCTCTCACCTCGCACCTTGTCCGGAAACTGTGTCATCCCAGATCATGACCAAGAGTGTTTGCATAATTGGTGGGCTCTTCTCCGAATCTTCATAAACTACTTGACGCCAAGGTCCCCGCGCTCATTCGTGACTCAGGTGCCGGTCCGTCGGGACTGGTCGCCGCGAAGACACTTCTGCACGATGTCGCTCCAGGCTACTTCAATGTCACCATTTACGATGCCCAGTCACGCGTTGGTGGACTGTGGCCACTCTCAAAATTCGATACCGCGGGACTTGTGCACCCGCTGATGGTGGCAAACCAGAGTAAGCACACGATGCAGTTCAGCGACCTCGCGTGGGACGATGCTACACCCCAGATGCCAAAGGCCTGGCAGGTGGGTCAGTACCTTGACCGCTATCTGAAGAGATACGGAGGAGCAGACGTGCGGCTCGGCCACAGGGTAGTGCAGACGGAGTTGCAAGATGGAGGCGCATGGAAGGTCCAGACCGAGTCTGACCAAGGACCCGAAACCAGCTTGTTCGACTACCTGCTTGTGACGACAGGGTTCTTTGGAACGCCAATATGGCCCGACTACATACCAAAGGACGCGGAAATACCCATCATGCACAGCAGCAAATACAGAGATCTCAAGGCTTTACTGTCCAGAACCAACGGTCAGGGGGGAAGGATACTTGTTGTGGGCGGACAAATGTCTGGTGTCGAGATCGCCGGCACTATCGCTACACATCTGTCATCCGCTGCGAATTGTCCTGGAGCCAAGCCTATCCAAAATCCAGAAAAGTACTCGATACATCATGTGGCACATCGACCGTCTTGGGTATTTCCGTTGTTCACCACAGCAAAGGTACGTCAATAGCAGGGAACCCGCGATGGCAATCTATTGATTATTCGAAAAAGGCTGACGCCTCTGCGCCGCCTTTCCTGCCGTGTGACCTGCCTTCCTACAATCAAGCCGTCCGGCCTCAACCCCTTGAGAATAATCAGGGCCATATCAGCGTCGACTCGGCCAAGCATCTTAACTCTGTCTTTCAATTTGTTCTCGGAACCGACCAGGCCGAGTTCTCTCCTAACCTCAGATTGCACGGCGACAGCCTGGAGCAACAGCCCTTCCTCGCTATGAGCTCACATTATGCTGACTTCGTCAGATCCGGACTCATTATACCCAGTATCGGCAAGGTGACTTCATTGTCAGGCGACACCGCTACGGTGTCTCCGGGAAACCGGGAGATCGGTGATATCGCGGCCGTTGTTCTGGCCACTGGTTTCGATCCCGCTCCGTCTGTGGCTTTTCTACCAGCAGATGTACTCGGTACCATTTCATATGATCCTTCTCAGCCGAGTCTGCCTACAGGTCTAGCGTTTCATGGCACTCAACATCCTTCCTTGCCCACTCTAGGCTTCATTGGGTTCTATCGTTCACCTTATTGGGGCGTCATGGAGATGCAGGCGCGGTTCATGGCAAAGTTGTGGACGACCCCAGACCACTCTGCAGTCCTCAAAGAGGCACTGCGAAGAGATGATTCCATTTCGCGGACGCTGACTTTAAGATCAGATCCAAGAATGTCTCAGTTCCCTATGGGTGATTACCAGTGGCTGATGCAGGAGTTTGCAAAGGCATTGGAGATCACGATATCAGACCCACTAGAGATACCGCCACTGGGGAACGACAAGAGCATGGACATCATTACACCTGCTCGGTACGCATATCCGGGGGTCAAGGATGCGCAGCTGGTCGAGATAAAGAAAAACTTGACTTCAACGCAAGAAACCGCTATCGTAGGTCTCACGAAAGCCAAGTTCGTTGCCCATGCGGTCTTCAGGTCGCTGCTCGGGGAGTGGAGGCTCGAGCGTGACCTTTCGTCTCGTCTCCCTTCACACCCAAGCGGGAGATTTGTGGGGACCGCCAAGTTCCTCCTCCGCGAAGGAACGACCGACGGCAGAGAAGTCCCAGAGGATGGTGACTTGGGTATGGAGTATCTATACATTGAAGACGGCGACTTTACCGCCAGCAATGGGATGACCTTCCGGGCGACCAGACGCTATGTCTGGCGTTACGACGAAACTCGCGATGTGCTCAGTGTGTGGTTCGCCAAGACTGATGACAACATGAGAGCAGACTACTTGTTCCACGAGCTGGAGTTTATTGTACCCACCGAAAATGATGGGAAGGGATGGAAGGCCAAGGCGAGCCATCTTTGCATTGAGGATCTATACGATGTGCACTATGATTTCTTGTTTAAGGCTGTCAACTTGAAGGAGTTCAGGCTGGGATATACTGTCAAGGGTCCCAAGAAGGACTACACCATTGCTGGTGTTTATCGGAGGGCCGAGACTTTGGTTACTCTGTGAGGGTTTGATATTGTGATACACCGATGGGCTAAAATAGATGTCATACCTCTGATCAACACGCCCATGTGGCGTACATAGTGATAGAGTAGAGTATGTAGAGTATTACTTAATGTCGTTTGTTAAAGCAGGACTTGAACCGCCTCCAGTCAAGCGTCTCGTGAGGATTGAAATATGTTTCGGTAACCTTACATATCAGTTGCTTCTGGACGGCAGCGCAGGCCTAGCGTCAGCATCTCGTCCTTGGAGCAGTGATCAACTTAACAGTATGTGAGAGCGATCCCATATTAGGGAGCTTGCTTTGTCTTGCTAACTAGGCGTTGGGATTAGAGAAACAGTCATCCGGTTTCAACCGTGCCACGTGTTTATGTCACTTAGATCATACAAAGTACTCTCGAAATATCAGCAATCATACTCAACTATACGTTCGCTGACTCCTAGCTCTGTTCCTTTGTAAATTACTCGGAAGGTCCTCGCCGTGCTGGAGTAACAACGACAACATAAGCGCTGGATTATTTCATCCTCATTATTCGACCAGTAGTCCCGATGACCCAGGCATGGCCTCCGTTCATACCGAGTACGTGAACCGCCCCATCGAGAGAATAGAGTGGCAACGTGTGGGAATTCGCCCAGTGCGGAATCCTGCGTTTAACCTGTAGCGTTTTGAGCTTAGAATGGTCAACAAGCACTGTTGCGATTCGTAAATGGGCGCCAAACGAGAGACCCCTGAACGGTGCAACTCCTGAATTCTCATGCGCCTGTGCGCATCGCCACCATAGTACCTTTTATAGTGGAAGTACACCCGGAGACAGAACATGCGCTGCGGTGGAACGAAGTGAGTTAAAGGTTGTTCTTATGCAAAACCTGGATTGGTGTCGGGGTCAGTGCTGCAACTCAGTGTACAATTTCTACGGAGACTGATAATGTGCTGATCGACCAAGATCCGGAGCATTGGAACATGAACTCAATTCACTTCTCTGGAAGAGCACGATCAAATGTTACGTTTCAGTTCAACCAGACACTGTCGGCTAGTGTCATGACCAGGTTGACTCTGAAGCATGTTCACACCCAATAGTGCGAAGTTTCCCAAAAATAGTGATTGATATTGGCCGACCGCCGTCTATTCGTGACGTCATATCTATCGTCGCCGTTTCATTCTTGGTTCTACAGAAGGGGCAAATGCCATTGGCTTCCGATGAGGAAAGGGGAGGTATCGTTGTAGGGGAGACTGAGATAGGATTTCCGCTTCACCCACACTGGTGCAGGCAATCACACAGTTGGTGGACCTAGATGCGCACCGGAATAGAGCTGATTCGAGCGCGAGGATTCCCAATGCCCTGAACCAGTGCATACTTGCACTCGCGCCCGTGTATGAAGTCTGCGAGGTTCCGGATGGTGCAAGAACCGATTTCTGTGAGCGCTTCCTCGGTGAAGAAGGCCTGGTGCCCGCAGACGAGAACATTGTGGAACGTCGTCAGTCTCATGAGCTCGTCATCGTCGATGATGTCTCCCGAGTGGTCATTGTAGAATAGCGCTCCCTCGCCCTCGTAGACGTCGAGAGCGACGCCTCCGAGATGCTTGGTCTTCAGGGCTGCGATGACGGCTTTGGTGTTGAGCAGGCCACCGCGGGACGTATTGATCAGCATAGCACCTGGCTTCATTTTGGATAGCGATTTCTCGTTGATGATGTGCTTTGTCGATTCCATGAGTGGGCAGTGCAGACTGACAATGTCGCTCTGCTGCAGCAGGGTGTCGAGGTCCGTGTATTCTCCCAGCCTCGTGATCTCGTCGATCTCGAAAGGGTCGTATGCCAGCAGCTTGCAGCCGAACCCAACCATGATGCGGGCCAGGGCAACACCGATCCTCCCTGTTCCGATGATGCCCACTGTCTTGCCATGCAGGGTCTTCCCCAGGAGTCCGTCCAAATTGAAGTTTCCTTCCCGCACCCGATTGTAGGCGCGATGTGTGTTTCGGTTGAGGGTCTGGATCAGCGCAACGGCGAACTCAGCGACCGCTTCAGGCGAGTACGAGGGGACATTTGCGACGAAGATGCCGAGGCGCTCGGCGGCCTTGAGATCGACGTTGTTGTAGCCTGCGCATCGGAGCAGGACGGCGCGGACACCGCTTTCGGCGAGAGCTTCTAGCACGTCGGCGTTAAGGACGTCGTTGACGAAGACGCAGACAGCTTCGGCGTGCTGGGCCAGTGGGACCGTCTTGACGGTTAGAGCTGACTCGTAGTAGGCGATCTCAATGTCGGCGCTCTTCTCGAGCTCGGCTGCGTGGTCGGTCGTTAGGTACAGCCTGTCGTAAGGCTTTGCGCTAAACACTGCGAGCTTCATGGTTCAGGTAAAGATGTGGCTCGATTGATCTGTAGGGTCGTTAGAAGTGTGAGAGTTCCTCTGCTAATTTATAGTACTGGCAATTGCTACAGGGAGTCAATCAATATCATTTCTTTCAGTTCAACTTTCTAGTTGGAGGTCCTTGGCGACTGCAAAATGGCATGTCAGCAGTGTGCACCCTATTGCTGGCAGTTACACTCGAAGGCTGTGAGCAATGCGCGGCGGTCCCTGCCGTACGTCTCAAGCAAGCATCAGCCAGCTCTTTCCCCCTCTACTCGCCGGGAAGCCATCTTGGCGGGAGCTGGCAGGTCTTGGTGGCCAAGCAAAATCACGGTCCTGGCCGGAAGAATCATCCAGCCAAGTGCACTTTACCTCGCCAGGAAGGCAGAGGCATCTTGGCCTGGTCTGACAACAATGTCCGCTAGTTCTCGTCCAGGGGATGCGCAATCACTCCGACCCGAGTTGATCTAGAACTTTTACGAAGCAGAAGAAGTTGAGTAAGCCGCAATACTGGTTGCAGAGGTTGAAGAAGCATCTCTTGGCCTCGACATCGTACCATTTTACTAATCTTGTGGGCCGTCTGGTTCCCCCAGATGGTCTGATTTTTAGCGTATTAATCGGCTCCAAACGCCCCGCACGACACCAGAATGGAACGGGCGACCAACGCTTGAAAGACTCTAAAATTAAACTTCTGTCACTTAGATCGCTAACAGATTCATGGGCTCGAGCAAAAGAATAATCGTTGTATTAATTTTTTGTTGGTACTATGTACTGTCTGCTCAATCGGTCAGGTGCAAGGCTTTTGTATGCCGTCCGACGGTACCTTCCCAGCTCTAACATCCCAAGCACATGGCCGAACATGTCACCGGATCGTAGCTGGATTTTTGTTCCTGCTTATGAGTTACACTAAGAGTCATTTCGTCAAAATGAGCTCATGCCAGACAAATCATGGTTTGGACGGCCCGCCAATCCGAAGGCGTCACACGAGTTCCGAAAGAATGGTTCAGCTTCAATCCCATCCTGGTGTGTGTCGTACTCGTACTCCCACTCCGGCCTCGACCTTGTTCGTCATGTTTATGGACCCCGTTTCTGATATGTTATATCATTTTTCTCGGGGTGCTGGAATCATGGCGGCATCATGGAAAGCTGCCACAGCTTTAGCTTTGAAATCAAATGAATGAGAATGCTCTGGATATCTGAATAGCATTTGAATCACTGACATACGACCCGGTCTACAGCGGGTTTGGTGGTACAGTCCCAGATGCCTCGGTTGGCGCGCCTTTCTCGACCTGCCATGCCAGCCGAGGTAACAAACCATGCCTTCCAGAGGAATCATGCAATCCTTTCCTATCACAAGACTTTCGGACGGAGAGGGGGCCGTAAAATGGTTCCGTTTGAACTTGACCTGTCGCAGTTTTCCGGCGAGAAGTCGTCTGTGTGCATATTCCGTGCCTACCGTCCGATTAGTGTACTGCAAGTTGCTGGACTCTCAAGCCTCTCTGGCAGCAAGCCGTGTCCGGTTGGTCGAGCCAAAACAACGCTGGACAGAAATAAAATCCATCTCCGTTCCAAGCTACCCTGGCCCCCCCCACAAATCTCCATACTGGACTCTTATCAACCGAAACGAAAGCCACGGTCATGCCTTGGCCGAGCCCGATCGCTGGGCAGCTGGGGAGTGCGATTGATATTTGTCGGGATAAATGCATGTTAGAAAGCGATGGAAGTCCTATGAAGCGATAGCAAAAGAATTGACGAGTGCCCGTTCCTTGCCTGCCAATTTGTCTAGGCCAACACGTACGGGTTGAGTCGACGTCGGCCAATTTGTAAATAACGATGGAGAACAACAGGAACTCGAATTTGTAGCAGGAAAGTTCTTGGATCCCACCGGAAGGGCCTCCGGCCATGTCGAGTGATTTCATCGTCCCGGTACCGCTGGCGCCAGGTGCGTCCATATCCATTCTGAAGAAAACCCCGCGACGATATGCAGCGCGTTCATTTCCTAGAGCAGGCAATGGCTCACAGCAGCAAGCGCAACAGTCGCTGAAGACAACAATCCTCCTGAGGAATTACTGCCCGCGATAAAGGTGGATCCGTGATACAGCACTCAGCGGCAGCCGACGGCAGCCCATGATTCGTTGAAGAAAGTGGGCGGCTCTATCAAGGCTCCTGAGACGACAGGTACCTGTTTCCCAGCGGTGGCGTGGAGCAGAGTCGCCTGGATATCCAACACGCTACATGGAAACATTATGCTGGGTGACGGTACGAAAGCCAGCGCGCATCCTCAACGTCGGAACGAGGACTGGCATCGACCTGAGTGCCACACAGCCGTCTCTAGACCTCCAGAATGGCATCTCTCTCCATGCAGGAAGATGTCGGGGAGACGTGGACTGTTGGGACTAACTTCGACTTTATCCACATGCGCCTCATGCTTTCCTCCTTGTCGAGTCACCGGAGGACCTTTCGGTACTTGGCTGACGCCTGACTTCGCGGAATGACTGTCCGAGAAACGACTGCTCTAGCAATCCAACTTAGACGGATTTAGGCCGATGGATGGCTGCCAATACCAGCAAAGGCATCAAGGGGGTAGCCTTGAAACGTATAGAGGACGGCCTGGGAATGTCGGTGGATGCCATCAACCGATATTGTCGACAGGTAGTTTCGCTAAGTTTACGTCTAGTGCAAAATAATAACTTGTCGAATGAAATTATGTATACAGAATTAGGGTCTATCTATGTTTTGTATCTACAGAGATGGAATGTGCGTTGCAAGGAATGTATACAGCTTGGACACCACCAAGTCTATGGTAACCACGGTCATGTATTCTGACTCTGGCAACTCATTACTCATATGTGTAGCAAAGCTTGCCGGCGGTGGTATCCATGACGTCTCGGACGGTTATATTTCCCCCTATCATACCGAGGTCAAGCTCATAGTCGAGCGTAACATTGTTGTAGGGGATGTCGCCGAAGAAGAGAAAGGGGTATGCCCCCGCCACATCCGGACCACCGATGGCCGTCTTGCGAGCAGGCCAGTCTGCAATGCTCAAGTCAGCACAGGAAATTCACCGACGCAAAAGCATAGAGGAGCACAAACCTAGCATCTGCCATTTGTACCACAGATAATCGATATTGGCATGATGTTGATAGAAAATCGGATCTCCGGGCGACGACCACACGTCGGCCATTTGACCGACCTGCCCGCCCACCCCCCAATGTCCACAAGCATGCGTCGTCGTGCCGTCGAGGGTTAGGTTCATCGCCTCGATGCGCATATCGAACAAGGCGAAATCGTCCTCCTCAAGCGTCCAGTCTACCATGGCTTTGGCACAAGTACGCGAGGCAAACTCGGGGGCTATGTCGCGGCGCAGGCAAGACGGCGTGTATTCCGTGCTCTCTCCGGGACCCATGTTGACGGTGAAGTTGGCCCAAGGACCGGTGGTCAAGCAGCCACCGCCAGAGCGGCCTGGGACAGGGACGCCCGAGGTTTGGGTTATGTTACTTACGTCCTCGATGAAGGCGCCGTTGCCACCGAAGCCGTAGACGGGGTCGAAGATGGGGGATTCGAGGAAGGAGGTCTCCGTGGTGACGTCAAGTGACCAGTCTATATGTGCGGTATGTTAGTGACCGCATGAGACAGACGGCCTTGGAGTTTCATACCCCAGTATGGGAGAGCGCCCTGGTATCCGCAGCTACTCTTGAGATCGGCCTCGAACAGGGCGAGGTAGATGCGGTGCCATGGTAGGAACCGTCCCTTGGGAAGCGTCAAAAATGGGACATCTTGTCTCTGAATAGGGGCCAAAGACTTACGACCATGTGAATCTGTTGAATGATCGCCTGGTAAATGTGTAGGCCCTGGTAGTCATCGAACCGAGACCGCACTCCCGAGTAGAGTTCTTGGGTCTGGCCTGGCTTGGACTGGAGACATTTCACAGCCGAGATGTACTCAAGCTGTTGCGTTTTGGACAGCGTTCTCCTATTACGCTGTGTAAGTCCTCTTTCCCATATGCCGACCAAGCTTCATGCGAGGGCTTACCATTCTTTCCTGACAATAGGGTTGATGCAGCGACCGTTGGCTGTGTCATTGGTTGTGCTGGAGGTAGGACTAGCCGACGTGACCTTGGTCAACACCAGCAGTGCCCCCGATACGAGCCATGGTAGACGCATGATGCAGGGAGGTGGGCTCCTCGGTTGGAAAAATGATCCTGCGGAGTTATGGAAGTCCGAACAGGTTTTTCGCGATTCTGGTGTGGGAGGTGGCGTCGCAAGGAAAATCTAGACACTCCTTTCTCTCAGCAGTGACAAGACAATTCATATAGGAAGCCACGAGGAGTCCAGTTCATCAACACACCTGGGTCTCACCCCACAAACCCGAGAGGTTTAGGGGCCAGCCCACAATGGAAATTTCGGGCTTGACATGGATTGACCAATAATTTTACGGACCTACATGCTGCTTTGAGATGCTATAGATTAGATTAAGAGCCATGGGGGCCATCTGGATCGGCTAGGCCATGCAGAGGAATCGTATGTTGTACTCCCGAATCCTGAAAGCTTGGTTGCCGCTGCATTGGATTAAACGGGGATATATCTGAACACGGAATCATCAGTTTATTGCTGAGGTTCGGGTGAGGCACAGTCATGTCTAGGCTGGTCTCTGCAAAAATTACGACGCAACTCGCATCAATTCGGAGCGAATGTAACCTCACTTATCGTGCACCCGGGGATTTTGACTTGAATATGCCCAGCACCCGCAAGTGGGGGAAAGGGAACGACAAGTCACTCACGGTATTTCTTCTGGAATATCGGGCCAGTTGCAAGCTGCTCTGAGCCAAACCGCACTTGAAAAGAATGAGCTGTAGCTCAATTGACAATGGGGGAAATGTGTAGAGAGTGAATAAGTATGAGCCGTGATTAACAGGGTAACGAGTCTGGGTTTCCAAAATCTGCCCCTCGGTCTGAACAATTTATGATTTACTTGATGATGCAGCCGTTCTATCCCGTCATATCGCTTGGGATTCTAGTTGGCCGTTGACCGGTCTCTATCAAATGGTTCCGCCGGCTGTGTAGCGGGTGGCTTGCTCACCCGTGCCTCATGCCTCGGAATAGTCGGATAGTCTTCCAGTTGGCTTAACCGAAGCCCCATACGTGTCTATCAATCCCTGTCGAGTTCGACATGGTCTACTTCGTACCGTTCCAGCCAAATGACACCCTCAAGATTGAGACTGTTCTGGCCTACTGGCCAATATGATTTGGCCGGTAAACAGCAATATACTATAATCATAAAATCACACTAATGTACAAGAAAGTGGTGATTGGAAACAAGAAGCTGAACATTTCGTAGTACACGTAGGCAAAAAAAACTTGCACATGGCTGGAACGTTCCCCGCAGCTTTCTCCCTGCTAGTTCCCTATCCTTGCCATTATCAACATCCCCTGCTATATCGTCAAATAGTCACATGAAATCCTATGCATTATCAAAGGGAATCGATATTAGTACTATAGCTTACCTAGTGATAATAGTCAGGTAGTGCAAAGTGCGATTAAAGATGGGCCAATAATACGGTGTGTATATTGCAATACTGATTCTTGAGGAATTTAAGGCTTAGTAACTGACGTTAGCATAACTAACAGTATTTCTCTGCATAATCAGTCAAAGGTCCCTTGGCTTACAAGTTTTGTGTGTCAACGAACGAGAGGCCTTTGTGAAGTTGTGTTGAGTTGGTTGAGTTGAGCCAACAGTTAGAGTCAATATGTGTAACGGCGGATGCACCTATGTTCCTTAGAACACACTATCATCTTGGCTACAAGTTCAAGTCTTGTGGAGAAAATATTAATATCCAGAATATGTTAGTCTGATTGAACTTGCGCAGCCTACCTGTTGCGCTTGTATTTTTTATCACTATCCAATTCCTCCCAACTGGCCCCTTTCTCCAGAGATATTATCTTCTAACGTATTGTACCTGGTCCGTGCAACATTTACAAGGTGCTTTTTGTGTGTTTATTCTGGACCTATATTAAATCTCTGTCCGTATAAACCCTGGATGAACCGCTATAGAAGCCACCAGCTATGAATAAGTCAACAATGTTCCCCTTCGACCTTTGTGCACTATGGGTATCAATGTTCCGTAACCAAATCCTCGGGGTACTATAAGAGTCATGTATATGCCATTACCTTGGTTGGCAGGACATCAGTGGGCCTAGAATAGATTCCCCCCGCGCCAATACAGTCAAAAGCATGTTGTAAGCCACGGCTTCGTGTAACTAACCAAAGGCTGTATTTGACCGAAAAGTTAATTATCCACATCAAACCGCCTTCAGTGTTCAAACCTCAACGCAGCTTTCCCGCCTCACATTCTTCTCCACGTTGGTCTACAGCCCTGCTTTCAATACTCACACGAACCACAGTCTGCTTGCATATTTCATCCAGCCCATACATCTCCTCTGCTCTCGTGACGAACCCCTTTTGGCTCTCGCTATCCGTCTCGTTGCCCACACCATCGATACCGCTCCCGCTGCGCAGATACCGGTGTTTGGAGTTACTACCCCCCGCTGTAACCGCCGCGATGTATCCTCTCGACCGCGAGCTGCTGGCATTATTCTCACCGCTCGGTTTCGCGCCGTAGCTGGTGCTAGCCAACTTGCTGCGCAGGCCGAGCTTGTACGAGATGATGCGGATGACGGGTTGGACAGCGGGGAAGCAGCTGCACCAGAGGCCGACGTGGCCTTCAAGGACGGTCCAGAGGCCGACGGTAGACATCTTGTAGGTACTACAATAGGGGCGCTGATTAGTATCCATTTCGTTTCCGTCGGGTCTCAGGCGCAAAGGGTGGGCACTGGAAAATGGGCGGGCTTGCATGACTTACGGATCAACTGTGAAATCTAGAGTCTTCATAAAGTATAGTCGCACAACCCCTGTTGCCGCGGCGAAGAAACCAACGCTGAAGACGAGTATGACCTGGAATTTCCTCCGGGAAAAGATCATTTTATCGTAAACCACCCAGATGGGAAGGCCTATCAGGACGAGGTCGATCATGATACCCGTGATGGAATGAACAAACATCATGTAATCGTTGGCTTGGGCAGACCTGCAGTGGCCAACCGTCATTGGGGGCGGTTTCCATTGATCTCTATAGAGCGTTTGATTATTAGTATAGGGATTGATGCGGAAGAAGTAGGTAGGATGCGGTGCGTACCCGATGGGATTGCAACCCGTCAGGGCGTAGAAAAAGAAGGCGAGCAAATGGACAAGCGCAATTCCGGCTATGGTGTATACAGGGATCATAAATGACTCTGCAGACTATTAGCACAGTATTTCAACACTCTCGTGAAAAGAGTACGACGCACTATCTTTGTTAAGGCGTGGGAGAAACACAGCTGTGGCAAGGCGCACCAAGCCAACGGTCCAGTAAAATAGTAACCCCTGAGTAGTAAGAGACTGGCATTGGTTGAGTCAGTCGTCTTGTAAAAGTAACACAGATGCCAAACACATACTTGTTGGAATTTCTCTACCAATGGCTCTGGCACGAGATCAATATGTGCTCCGCTGCCATAATTGACAGCTAAACGGGACAGTTGGGTCAGATGGCCCCTCAACGATGAAGTCTGGATTTGATCATACCGATAATGTCCATTATCGACATTGTTGTGATGGTTCCGAACGCGAGTACCGCAATTCCATCATCCCAACTTAGAGACTTGGTCATAAACTGTCTCACGTATAGCCGAATTCCAACGAAGAAAGCCGTCAAAATGACAAGTACGATGTCACCAGCTCGTATCGCGTTGCCTTTGTAGTCGGGAGTTTCCCAGTAGTTTGTGCCGCTCTGGGCATTGGGAGCTGAGAGCATGGTGACGGGACTCATTGACGAGCCGGTTGTACACAAGAAAGATAAAACGAAAACAAGGGCTTCACATTTGCTCACTCACGTCAAAAGTTCTCCACGGGCCATAACGACTACGGCAGTCGGATATTGGATCATTCATATACCTACCATCTGCCTGTCCCGTAGATGCAGGTGTGGCAGAGGGGTAGAAGTTCTAACAAGCTTCATGCAGGAGCACTCTAAATCCCTTGGATCAAATACGTGACAGCATAACCCGAAATCCTGTCTGTGCCTGAACAGGGCCAGCAGGCTTGCCGATTTGCCACAGGCATTATGCATCGGGCTCGCTTGAGCATTTGGCTTGCATCGCTTCGGCAGGGGCAACGACGGAAGGACCGTTGCGAGCCTCACAACGACCCCATGATGCGACACCAACTGTTACGCGGAAAGCAACTCCAGTTTTGCGCCAACGGTGGTAAAAGCGTGACCAACAGGTACCGGCAGAGTGGCAGCCACGGGTGAAGGGTTCCCCGAAGGTAGCGAGTACGTGTGGTATATACCGCGGTCCACCAATAGAATATGATACAGATTGATATCGTCAAGGGGCACGGCCAGCCACAGATCAACTCTGGGTTCCGCTAATTACGATTCGTACCGCTGAATTTAGGCACAATGGCAAGTTGCGTTGGTGGGTCAATACTGCAGCAGGCGTCCTTGCGGCGGCGCTGATCTTGACCCCAGAAGGTAACAGGTTACGGTTCCAAAGTCCTAACTTGGACCATGTTCGCCGAAGTTCGCTACCCGCCTGCAACTAAGGAAGTCCGAGCGAAATTACGGTAGCATGACCACTGAGGTTATCGGTAATTGCTTGGTAGAACATTTGCGAACAAATGCTACTCGCATCTGAACTTGTTTAGCATACTACCTGAAGGCCAATGCTCGAGAAAATCAGGTTTACTTCGGCCCGCAAAGCGCATCATGATGATCTGCAAAGAGGGGCGGAGGGGCAACTTTATCGAGTATGCGATCTTATGACTAGTCACGCAGTAGAAGCTACACTATTCTTGAGCTTGTCGTCCCCGGGGGTGTCAGGTCGTTATCCATTTCCGAACCGGCCGAGCAGAGCTTACCAACTGTTTTATATAGGGTTTAATAACATAATTGCTATTAGTAATAAGGCTCAACTATTAGCAATATACTAACTATACTGGCCGAATCAATCTTTATAGTAATACTATGGGATCGCACTGGTACTGGCATTCTAGCTAGGTAACGCTGGGAAGTACAGGTAGGGTGGGGTTGCAGGGTCCAAGCCGTACAAGGGCACTAGAGTATCTCAGTGTACCTCGCTATGACCTCAGCCCACCAATTCCACAAAATCCTATATGAACTGAAGTTACACACGCAATACTCCATGTTTGGTGCCGTTGAGCTGCATACCTTCGTCAGCACAACGCAGGAGACCTGGCGCTTTGTGGTATTCATAACATCCGAGCCAGATAATTTCACATTGGTAGGCGGCCACAGAACAGTTGAAATACAACCGAGGCTAATACCTGGCTTGGTGGGGGCTCTCAAAGATGTAGTTTTAGTAGGCTCGAACGGACTGGCACATCCAGCCTGTGTAGCCAATGAGGCCATAGGTACTGTTCTATGGCAAATGTGACGGTTTTGGATGAGCAGCAGAGTCACTACTTGTAGGGGCTTGTGCAATATGATTCGTTGATCCAAAGTAAAGATTCGCACTGATGTTGGCTTGATTATGCCAGAGGCTCGTACTGGTGTAGCGGGCCTGAACCTCCGAGAAACTTGGGGAAACGGAAACGTCGCCGTGGCCTTAGAATGCTGGACTACGGCAGAGTCCAGTGTGGTATGATTGCTCTGGCTGCGGTCGTTACTACAGTAATATTGATGAACACAAAGTCAAGCACAACACGTGAGCCTTATGATGCTGACATAGGGGCATTGCAGAGTTCATAGGCTAGAAGCTACTATTGCCGTAGACTGTTCGTAGGTATAGTTTAACGTGATCCACAAGCCATTTTCGCACAAAAGTCACTTTCGCACTTTTTCAAATATTTCAACCTTTTAACTTAGCTTGCACTTTTCTTCCCTCCCACATCATGCCTCGTAAATCCAAAGAAGCCGATCTTCAGCTAGCTATCCAAGCTAAAAAGCGCAACCCTGAAATTTCATGGCGTAAGCTTGGCCGTATCTACAACGTTTGCGACCGTACACTAAAGAATCGATTCGACGGCGACCAAACGCGACACGAAGCTAATATGTTAAAACGAAATCTAACTCAAACCGAAGAGGATACGATTGCCCGACGTATAATTGAGATAGATGCGCGAGCATTTCCTCCGCGGCTTCGATACGTTGAAGAAATGGCGAATATCCTACGACGCGTGCGCGACGCGCCCCCCGTCGGCAAGAACTGGACCACGAACTTCGTTAACCGCCGACAAGACCTCCGAACGCGTTTAAACCGTCGAATTGATTACCAGAGGGTATTTAGCGAAGATCCTATCGCGTATTACGCGTGGTTTGAGCTTGTTAGGGACACAATCGCTAAATACGGTATCCTACCGGAGGATATCTACAACTTTGACGAGACGGGCTTCCTAATGGGCATAATCACAACCGGTATGGTTGTAACGAGTGCAGAAAGACACGGACGGCCTAGAAAGGCTACACAAGGAGGTCGGGAATGGGTTACGGTGATCCAGGCTATTAATTCGCAAGGTTGGGCGGTACCGCCGTACATCATCTTCGCGGGCAAGGTTCATCTTGCTTCGTGGTATCGCGGTAACGACCTACCGGCCAACTGGAAGGTCGACCTTTCCCATAACGGTTGGACTACTAATAATATCGGTGTGGAATGGGCAAAACACTTTGTTCAACATATTATTAGCCGTCGGAAGGGTGCGAAAAGTCTCTTAATATTGGATGGTCACGAGAGCCACCACTCGATGGATTTTGAGACTTACCTCGCGGCGCACGGCGTAATTACATTGTGTATGCCTTCCCATTCATCCCACAAGCTCCAGCCTTTGGATTTGGTACCTTTTAGTGTGTTGAAACGGCTGTACGGTGCGTTCGTGGAGGGTTTAATGCGAAGGCATCAAACCCATATTGAGAAGCAGGATTTCTTAGCTGGGTTTTTAGAAGCTTTCATTGGTGCTTTTCACGAAAAAAACATCAGATCAGGATTCGAAGCAGCTGGACTTGTTCCTTTTAACCCGGATAGGGTCATATCTACGTTGGATATCGCAAAAGTAGTACGAACACCGACACCCGACCCCCAATTGCCTCCCTCCGTCTGGGTTTCTAGGACGGCTACCAACACCCTCGAAGCCGAATCGCAGTCAACTTTGATTAAAAGTAGCGTCCAGAGGCATCAAGACAGCTCGCCGACGCATATTTTGAACTCAATTAACTCGATTACGAAGGCTACGCATGCAATGATGCATGAGAATGCATTATTACGTCGGGAGAACGAAGAGCTTCGTGAGACGAACCATATACTAAGTAAGCGTCGTAGGACGAAAAATAAGCAAATCTAATATGGAGGAGCACTTAGTATAGGTGATGCACAAGTTTTACGGGCCTTGAGGGGTGATATCAAGGTTATGGAGGAGGAAGAAGGGGAAAGCAGTCGTCCTGTAAAGCGCCGGCAGACCGGTATAAGGCGCTGTGGTATTTGCGGAGGGACTGGACATAATGCAAGGACTTGTTCAATAGAAGTAGAAACTGATAATGAAGAAGATTTTGAGTAATTTAAAGGATAAAATGCGGATTATGCATAGGATATTACTGAATTACTTGAAGGTGCCAAGAAAAGTGCAAAAGTGACTTGTGTGCGAAAATGACTTGTGGATCACGTTAGACATATTTCAAAAGCATGGGACTTTTACAAGTTCTTGAAAAACTATGGTATCATTGTGACGTGGACGATCCGGAGCATTTGTTTTGGACCCCCGTCCTGCCGTCCTGGAGACTCGAAGCCTGTTCTGGAGATTCGTGTTGGATAACCGTGATGGACACCCTTTATGGACCCCTCCAGGATATTTCAAGCCTGTTTTGAACGCCTGTTAGACCCACATCGCAATAGGAATGGTAGTTGTGCTGCAGCTAAGATATTCGCACGCGAGGAATGACATAATTTAGATCTGAATTGACCAGAATATATAACAGTATAGCATCCGCTTCTATAACTAACTTGTCCGGTAGGTTGTTAACGGTAATAAGCTATTCGTAGAAGTAGAGGATACGAATCTACGTGCTCTCTGTAAGTGCCTATCCCTATCGGTCCGTATCTAAGTTGGCCATCTCCCAGCGCGTTCCGTATATCGGAAGATCGAATTAGAGTACAACGAGCACTATGAGATCGTGAAAGCAGCGCTAAAGCATAGTCTTAATGCTATTCACGTCGTATTTGATGGCTAACACCCCGTAACTATTTGGCGATTTACCCACAGCTTTCGTTGATAGCACTAGATTTCTTACAATACAGGCTATATTAGTTTAATGTAAACAGTTATTTTCATCTGCCGGTAAAATTATTAATTATCAGCGGCTAAGCCTTGATGCCGGTATCATAGGCATGTGCCAGACACTACAGTTGGTACAGAGCCGGCTTAATAGACCAGCTGGATACTCTGCTTGAAGCTCTAACGGCTGATACGGCTATGAAAAATAACTGGCTGAATAAACTGGACGAGGCTGCAAAGGAGGCTACAGCCAACTCTGCCATCATGTTCCCAGGGGACGGCGCCAGCAAGATTAGCGATAGTTTTATATTTTGGCAGCAAATTCTACCAAGAAGTCCCCAGCCTCACCTCACCTCGCTGGTTGGTCAACATCACCAGCGTTTTGCTTACTAATTTGATGACCAAACAACTAAGGGGTGATGGCGAGGTTGGCGAGGTTAGTCCGACCCTTGCTTCAAGTAGCAGAGTGGAAGGCAGCTCTCAAAACAATCTGAAATGATCTAAGGCTTCAGACGAGCAATCTTGGCTTTGGTCCTGGTACGAGAAACTAGATCACTCGAGGTTCCTAGTAATAAGAGTACCGGACTTATTGGAAGCTATAACGAAGCATAGAATTGAATCTGTCTCGGATCTTCCCAAGTCCAAAGGACTGAAGGCAGCCATAAAGCCATTAAATACAGGAAAATGCGCTCTTGGCTGCTTCCACCAGAGCAAGTTAAGACACTCTAAATTAGCCGTCGAGCACAAAATGAAAGAGCAAGAAAGAGCTAGAAGAAGGGCTGGTGCAATCCAACAAAGAGTTTCTGGCTTTGACGAGTACTTAAAACATGACGCGCTTCAGAATTCAGCATATTTTGAACTTAAGTGAGAGCTTAGTAGTATTTCCACCTTTCCTTACCGTATATGAACTATATGCCAATAATACGTAGCCTACGCTACAGTCTAAGGCGCCGCTAACCCGATCTAGTTTATATATTACTATAACACATATTACTTATCTATTAAAGCTTATCGAGAGGCCTGTAAGCAGGGCTAGATGAGTTCGCCCGTTACTCCTGCCGATGATACTAGTATATTCATTAGTTTATGCTCAACCCCGGATACGCCTCGAGACTGAAGAGGAGGTCTCGCTCGTCGACCATCAACTTAGATTCCTTAAGAACCAGTCCTGCAATGTAAACATCCGTATCGTTGGCTTAACATCAGTTACTAGTTGCAGTACCTGACTGGTCTCCGGAGACGTGTGATATCCACGTTGCAGCCTGTATGACTCGTACCCCTCAATACCTGAGGCTACAGCTTCCTACATTTTCTACATATTTCCATGTTCATCAATCAAATAGCTATCGTGTTATAAAGGTTCGAAGTTATCCTGTTTTGATGGAAAGCCGTTGCAAATAGGGGTACATCGCACAGGGGATCAAGGCGGTCAGTGTTGAATCAATTCGGGAAGCAACCTATAGAAAGAGGGACAACTTACATGACTTGGTAACAGTGGATTTATTTTACCGATCGAAGGAACCTTATCTGACTTTTTATGCCGAAAAATCCCGGAAGGTTTCCTGAGTACAAATAGGAGTAGCTAATCGGTATTTGATATGAGCTCATTCGTAGAATCAAGTGCACCATACTATGTGACCAGCACGGCTTACCAGCACTACAACCGTAGACACGTCGCCCCCACCATCGCTTCTATTTGAACGAACGTACATGCCTTCCAAGTTCTGCTACTACTGGTAATGTTCATCCGAAAAGCTCCATCTGAGCACAATGTGGTATTCATTCCCTCTCCATTATGTCTTGCAGCTGCTCTTCCGCCTCCTGAGCAGGCAACCGGAGCCGATTCACCCCCATGCTTTCGCTTCATCTCCACTTATTGCGAGCGCTAATGATGGAGACGTGATTATCATTAACGTCAGATCGATAGTAGTGTTTGGAGAATACGAGCTCCTTGGTGTGCTTCTTGATTTGCGACCAGATCTCGACTTCTCTGGTTCATTTGGCGGTTTGATTTTTACCGCCTTCATTGCGCTGCGAAATTCGCCGCACGATCTCCCATCCGTTGATTCTCTTGGAGGAGTATGAGGCCGAGTGTCTTATTTGGCCGGTGCGAGTGCCTTCTGTAGGATGAGTTCTGGTCTGAGCGCTGTTATCGGTCGCAATAGTGTGGATGAGTACATGTATTAATACCGTGTGTATAAGGTGAAGGTTGATAAGTATTGATGCGGCTGATCTCGAATATACAGGACGAAGACGTGACTATACTACAGTGATTTTCATAGGCAGATCGTCGTTAATCAAGATATTACGAGGTAGAATGATACTAGGCTGCGGTGGGAAACTTCTTAGCAGGAGCTTCAATCAGGTTGACCCCTGATATTCTCTTTCATCACCAAAAACCGGTATTCGCCAGAGTTTTGGCTTATTTAGTGCTTCACTGATCGAGCGATTATCTGTGCTGTGAAAGAAGTCGCGTTGCTGGCTACCTCTGGTACACTATATTGTATAGTGATTATTTCAAGGTCGACCCTGAGAAACTTGCATCCTGGACTTCATATATTGTCCCATTATCTACAAAACGGCTCACAGTGAAAATCAGCATCAATTATGTCCCTGATGCCCCTCTTGAGCATCAAATGCAACTGCATATTCGCCTCCTTGTGGGCTAAACACAGCAAATCCACTCTGAGCTGGTCCCTTTTATCACCATGCTAACAACTCTAGATGATTTCTGCTCTGGCGAGCCTGGCAGAGACCTGTGTTCTTACGTTTCCCCGTTGACTTATCTCCCAGTGAGTGTGCATTGTGTGCGATCTTTTCGGCTTGTCTCCTGAGCTGCTCTCCGGCTGGCAGATTCGGCATAAATATCAAAGTCAGGTCCTGGATGTCAATAGCCTTGGTGCTTTTACAGATCCAATTAGATTGTAGAAATCTGTGGATCCTGACAGCTGGGCACTCGGCTTCATTAGGATCCTGGATGTCCTGAAATCTCTCGCCAGTCGACACGGTGTTAGAGTTGAGGTCCGAAACGTCACTTTTGCATATACAACATCCTTGATGGGTAAAGGTCACTAGGAATATCCTCTCGCAATGATCTGCCATGGTATTTTCTAGGAAATAGTATACAAAGCTCCGTACTAAGCACTTCTCAAAAATTAGTAGTGGCAGGAAATGGACCTTGTTAAGTAGACAAATTGAATCGTTGCGGAACCTGCAGGATATGAATCAGATACCCTTGTTCGTGTACTAGTCACGCTTTGAAGCTAAAAGCCGAACTTGATCCCAAGATCACATTCGTTTTTTTGAATCAGCATGTGTAAAACTGGTCTATGAGAAAAGCTAACTTCGTTGTGACGCCCCTAATCTTCTCTTCTGGGACTTTCAATAATTCTTCACTTTTTACTTATCCCTATATCTCACTTGTTCCTATCTGCGGAGTTATTGTAATGATGGCTATGCGGCGAAAGCCAAATCACGATACTGAACGCCGGTAGTCCCTTGTCGCAAGTGCACATGACTGTATACGGCAAGATCTTTCACGGCTAGGTGGCTCAGAGAAATAAACACGCTGAAATCAAGCAGGCTAGCGACTGTTTCCGAATGTAACATTCGATTCCTATAAATGCACGCCTTGGGAAGGAAGATTCAGCATAGGTCCGTTTGCTTTTCTACTCTACATGCTATTCCTATGATGGCAAATATAAACACCGTGTGCCACGTAATGCATGGCCCTTTCCCGATCTATTATGACAGAGGCTTCTTTGACCTCAGCCTGTGAGACTAATGTGGTTACAACCGCGATTCTTCTATTCCCACTGATCCTCCTCGTCGAATCGCACGTTGTCATCCTCTTCATCGTACACTTCATCAGCCTTGCCCCATTCATCATTTTCATATTGGTCGAAAGGCTCCTCTTCCTCCTGAACATCGTCTTCTTGCTCGCCCTCTTGGGGTTCATCTTCGCCTTGAGCATTCCTCGCAGATCGAGAAGCTCCTTGTTCATTACTTGCGACTTCGCTCTCACCGAATTCGCTTGCAGGCTGCGAACTCCCAACTGCACTCCCGGGTCCCTTGGTGTTTTGAAACAGCCCGCTGATAGCATCAAAGTTAATACGCTTGCTCATAGCAAACTTCTTCATAGCATTGACGGCTGCTTCACCAGGTGTGCTGGCAGGTGTTAGCTGACCCTCGCCAATTCTAGGCCTCTTGATGCGATTGCGGCGCTTCTTCGGAGGACCAAGCTCCTCCATCTGCTTGCGAAACTCCTTCTCCTGCTGCTTACGTAGCCAGTCCTTGTTGGTATTGAGCCAAATTACTTCCTTGATGTCAGCTTCCTCGGGGCTGAGCTTGCAGTTCTCAACCTCAGGGTCATCTGCAAACTCGGATGGGTCAATGATCTCCTCCATGCTGATCTCGCGGTCTGGGAGTAGCGAGCGGGCCCACATGGCCTTGATATGAGCAAGGTGGGCGGCTGTGGCTAAGGCTTTTGAATGTTCGCTGCTGCTAGGATCGCTGATGACCTCTTCGATCTGCTTTTCGAGATCTTCCTCGTCAGCCACCCACTCTTCGGTGAAGCGTAGCACCGGCTCTTGGGGACCCTTTCTGCGCTTTCGTCGACCCTTCTTCTTCGGTTGGCTGGATTCTTCCTCTGCGCCTCCCGCTTCCTCTTCTTGACCCTCGGCGTATGTTTCTGCAAGGTGATCAACCGCTTCTTCACCGGTTGGATCGTCGGCATCTAGCCCTTCCGCAACTTCTTGGGTGACTCTGGGAGGCCGGGGAGGCACGATATTTGGATCGAAGGCCTCAACCATCTGCGCACCAGTCTCTGGATCGGCGGACTTCTTCAGGAACTCCGAGACTTGACGCATCTTTGAGGTGTCAGGTGGAGGAAGTGGGGGCGGCGGCATCTCTCGAGAGGCGGCGGTTGCGACAGGTGTGGCACGCGGACTGGAAGAATGTCCGTTAGACGTGCCCTCTCCACCACCTTGCTCCTCGTTCTCGTCGATGTCCTCGACGCGCCTCCGCTTCCTACCACTCTTCTCCCTCTCCTTGACCTCCTTTTCCTGCCACTCAGCAGAGTGTTTGTAGAATGCCGGAGGGTCATGACGTGTTTCAAGAAGCTCCTGCTTCAAGAAGTCTTCGACGGTAAGATCAGCCGTCCCGACGTTGCGAAACTCTTCGAGGCGTTGCTCTATGGTGGCCATGGTAACCTTAACCACGTAGACTACTTCGCGGGATGATCGGCGGAAGCCACATTGCCTAGCAGCCATCAGAAGGCAGGCGCCGCAAATACCGGAAGGCCGCCGGCCTGTGACCATCCAATCAAGACCCATGCGCTGGCAATATCTGGTGCCAAGCGTGGCAACCTCGTTGGTCATATCACCAAAATCGAGCTTCTCAGCAAACCGGTAAATCAAGTCTTCGGGCATGATTCCTTTGATCTGATTCTGGCCGAAATCATAGATTTCATCGAGTTGCTTCCATACGTGACCAATCTCGAATACATTGATCTTGACCAAATCCGCCATGTCAATCATCATGACTCGGCAATGATCTTGTCTCCGGCATGCGGCAAAAAAGCAGACGGGGATCACCTTGTCCAGTCCACGGCCTTGGATCCAGTTTGCACCGAGACAAAGCTTGAAGATCTGTACGGCTTCATTGACGACATTGTCGCTCAGGCGTAATTGTTGCGCAAATGACTGCATGCGCATTTTGGCCTCACGTATGGTTTTCTCACGGGTATCACTCATCATGCCCCCAATGCGTCGCATTCCGGGACCCATATTCCTGGTGGTACCTTGATCAGCGGCGACAAAGCTTCCTTGGACCATGGCAGCACCGGACGAAGTTTCTCCAAATTGAACCTCCGAGACAATGTTGGAGGTATCAATCTCGCGGCCACAGGCAGAACAGTAGCCATCCTGGACGGGGGCGTAAGGGTCCGTACATTGCGTGTTCGGACAATTGCGACGACGTGATGAGGGGGCATTACTAGATTCAGGGCCAGGAGTAGATCGCATGCTGTTGTTCGTCTCCTTGTCGATTCGCATCATCGCATCGCGAAGGCGATCGGTAGCTGCTCCCTTGGGCTTGATGACAAAGCCAGTCTTTTTCGTCTTATTCGGCTTGAAGAACGAAGACATGTTGGCGAGTGCTGATGCGACTTGTAGTCACAATGACAGCAAGAGATTGCTTTCCAATGGAATAGGAAGGGGGGAACTAACGAAAAGCATAAAGTGATTGCTTTCCAAAAGATCAGCGAGTCGAAGAGTACGTGGCGGAGGAGTAACTGTAATAGGCGGTTGTTACTCGAGTCCAGTCCAGCTACGCTGTAATGAGATGACTCGATTGAGACAGCGGCGACGTCCAGGCTGGAGGAGTGGGACAGCAATGGCAATTGACGCCTCCAGCCGTGTGCCTAGTTCTAGGCAAAATAAAAGGTCGATCGAAGGCAGAGTGTACAAAGACTCGTGTGTCAACTCATGATCCCTGATTTCCGTATAAGTGGGTGTATGAAAGCGTGCGAGTGATAGGAGGGTGGGTTGTCTGGCGTCAGAAATGATAGGAAAATTCGCAGGACAGGTTGGCTTGAGGAAGATGCCGAAGTGGTCGAGTGGTGGGGTAGGCGCTTTCTTTGCTGCTGTAATCAAAAGCTAACCGCCAAGCAAGCCGTTCCTTTAGCAGAGGTTCGAATCTGCAACGTACCTGTATTTTTCATGAACTTGTGCTTGTGGTTATCCTGGGCAGGACTGTAAGGGGCAGAAATGCCTGAACAGAGGCCTTCTAGATAATTTCGTAGATGCGACTATTGACTTTTGCTTCAGGAAAGGTTTTGGTAGCTCCCATGGGTTGGCGACGACCTTTGCTATGAAGCAAGCGCATTGGCAATTTTGCTCAATTCAATCGCCGCCCCATTTTCCGTTCCGTAAGCTCGACACGAAGCCCAATCTTGTTGCATAAGTCCCTAGTGGAAGGTTCGGTTTATGCAATAATCCCTAGCAATTGTCGTCATCGCGCAAGAGCGCCTAGCGTACGGTTCTTTTCTCATCGCGTCCGCAATCCTCCACCGTTTTCAACAATGGATGGTCTAGACGACTTTGAAAAGCAACTCGCTGCCGAAAAGGCTGAGCGAGAACGAGCGGAAGAGCGCAAACACCGTAAACACCGCCATCATCACCGAGAACGGTCTGCTGATCCCGACGGCCGTGGCCATCGACACCACAGACAAAGATCACGCGACCGAGACCATGACGATGATGGACACCGACAAAAGCGCTCCAGGCGATCTCGGGATGATGAGGAAGATTCCAAAGACCACAGGCCTCATCGTCACCACGGGCGCGAATCTGGTAGACATTCCCACTCGAAAACGTCAGACTCCAAGGACGATCTACCGCTGCCCGATGAGGAGCTCTCAAAATCTGACTCTAGAAAGTCGGTTAGAGATGGCTGGATGACAGATCCATCAGCTCTGGGTGTCGACTACACGCAGCGCGGCGCAAAACGCGAGAAAACGCCACCGCCGAAGCAAGAGCCGCAGCGGTCCATACATTCCCGGGAAATCAATGTGTCGCACTTGCAAGCTCTGAATGATGGAACATCCGTGGCAAGCAACAACCTTGGCTTGCCAGCGCAACACGAGACAGACTACACCTTTGGCGACGATGGCTCTCAGTGGCGTATGACCAACCTCAAAACTGTAAACGACATCGCAAAGCGGACAGGACGCCCAATTGACGAGGTGGCCATGGAGAGATATGGCAGTCTGCGAGACTTTGATGATGCGAGGGAAGAGAGGTTGGAACTCGATAGGCGGGCCACCTATGGCGAGGGGTACGTTGGAAAACAGAAGCCCAGTGGTGAACTGTTCCAAGAGCGAAAACTGGATGCAGGCATTCACGAAGAGCGGAGACACTCCGCGTTACCCACAGAGCTCGAACAAGGAAGGATTATTCCAGATGCCGTATCAGGTGCTCCTGCCATCCGAGTAGACCAGACAACGCTGAACAAGATGAGAGCAAACTTGATGAAGGCGAAGCTACGGAAAGCTCCAGATGCCGCTAAACTTGAAGCTGAGTATAACGAAGCAGCCGCAGCATTTGCAGTCAAGGGCCCCGAAGCAGTTGTCTTGAACGTCATGGAAAACCGTCTATTAGCTGGCCAACGTGGGGAAGCGAAGGCTGTGGAGACAAAGCGTGGCCGTCAACGAGGACACATGGAAGAAAACGACGAGATGACCATTGAAGATATGGTTCGGGAGGAACGGCGAACGCGAGGCCAGACGGGAGGGGATGGTCTACGACTTGCAGAACGCATCGCCAAGGATGGCAAATTTGACAATGACTTGGAGTATATGGACGAGAATGCCGAGAAGCTTGCAAGGCGAGTTCAAAAGTCCGAGATCAACTTGAAAAACATGGCAGTCAACGAATTTCAAAAGGTGAATAAAATCCTCGACAGCTGTCAGTTGTGTTATCATGAGGACCGAAATCAGCAGCCCGTTGCTCCGGTTGTATCCCTTGGCACGAGGGTGTATCTCACGTTGCCGACGGAGCCAGAAATCAGCGATGGAGGTGCCGTCATCGTTCCCCTCCAACATCGAAAGAACCTCCTCGAATGCGACGATGACGAGTGGGAAGAGATCCGCAATTTCATGAAGAGTTTGACACGCATGTATCATGATCAGGGCCGGGAGGTCATCTTCTATGAGAATGCGGCTGCACCTCAAAGGCACATGCACGCCGCGATGCAAGCGGTTCCAATTCCATATGATCTCGGCGACACAGCACCGGCATTCTTCAAAGAAGCCATGCTTTCTGCTGATGAGGAGTGGTCGCAACACAAGAAGATTATTGACACGGGGGCCAAAGCCAGGAGTGGCCTGGGTAAAATGGCTTTCAGAAGGTCAATTGCAAAGGAGGCGCCATATTTCCATGCCTGGTTTACCATCGATGGAGGCCTGGGCCATGTGGTTGAAGACAGCAACCGCTGGCCTAGGGGCGATCTCTTCGCAAGGGAAATCATTGGGGGTATGTTGGATATTGGGCCTGATGTGATCAAAAGGCAGGGCCGCTGGCACAAAGGTGACAGGAGGGAGGATGGCTTCAAGAAGAGGTGGAGGAAGTTTGACTGGACTAGAGTCTTAACTGACGAATAGTAATAGGGGCATTTGCTGCCCCATCGGCAGGTTCCAGTCTTGGCGAAAATGTATATCCCAGCAGAATAGGAAGACACCCTCAATGATACCATTATGGCATGTAAGAAAATGGGTATCAACATATTGAATGACGCCTACCTAAGGACCTAAACTTTGCCCGCATTGTAGCCCAGACTTCGTCCATGACTGCACACTACTCCCGTTGCAGCACCACGAACAGCCCCATAATGCCCAGCATGACCGTCTTCAACCACGGATGTTCACTGAGCAGAATCGTGACATAGCCCACAAACGGAATGTACCCGACCACGCTGCCAATAATATCCCTCCTCTCCAAGTAGTCCTGCCCCTTGGCGTATAACTCCGTGTCGTCAGCCGCATTGTTGTCGCCCTTGGTGAGCAGCTTCGCCTTGGCCTCGTCGCCATCGACGGACTGGAACTTGCGCACGATACGATGCACGATGGGAATATCCTTGTCGCGTACGTTGTATACGACGACCTCGCCCACGTCGGTGGGGGCCAGCAGGTTGCGGTTCCAAAGGAAGAGCAGATCGCCGCGCTGGAAGGCGGGCTCCATGGAGCCCGAGAGGACGACGACGATGGGACTTGGGGAGTTGGAGGCGATGGAGAGGCCTTTCCACATCTGAGGAGATAAAACGTTAGAATTGCGCGATAGGAGGGGACTTTGTGGCTGGTAGGTAGCTAGCTTACCATGAATGCTGTTGACAGTACCAGCGCGAAGTTGAGTACTTGCGCGGCTGCTTGCCGCGGGTTTGCTAAGCCGGAAAGCATTTTTGTTCAGGTATTTCCTCACGTCCGTCCTCGCAAATATCAGAAGAAGTAAATAATACTGCTGTTTTGGACCTGCCTCGAGGGATTTCGTCGAGGACAGCTTGCTTATATGAAGCCGGCCTGGTACTTCATTTCTTTAAGTAAGCTGGTGTGGACCATGTCGAACAGCTGGCCTGAGAACTTCCCGGAGTGGGGCCGGCGATAAGATATTGCATTTTCTGGCCTGGAATATGTTGTAAAATAGATCTCTTCCCAACCAATCAAGACCAGTGATGACTAGATGGTGTAGTATAGTGGTCAGTACAACACGTTGTGGTTTCGACATAACGAGTCCGTGTAGACCCCGGTTCGATTCCGGGCACCGTCACACTATTTTTGGCTTTTCTTCAATCGAAGATCCCTCCTCTCTGTGTTAGATGTGCCTAAAATATTTTTATTCTATTACTTCGTGCTTCCTGCGCACTTCTTCTAACGTACATTGGAGGCTGGTGTCGTTATTCCTTTTCATACGCCCGAGCAAGTATTACTTTTGGACCCGGCTGTATTCTAATTGAAAGATGCGCCCGTTGCCTCTGAACGCCTTTGACAACTTTCGCCAAATTCACTCAACACTGTAGATTCGATCCACCAATACTAGAACATCTTCCTTCGAGTAATTCTCAAGAGCTGCCTGCGCCATTTGGGCGCAGTCAGTCTAAATTGGGTCCTGTTCACATACAGCATCCCTGGTGCCTCTGAAACAGTATGAGTGAGCTATATGAGCTAAGTCCGATTTTCGTCCAGTGTACTTATCATCACGGGCTGGTGAATCAATCAACGGAAGCAAAGAGCGGACGCCTCTATAGCAACAAAGAAATCCTGGAAATGATGCAGGCCCCTGCACCGCAATAGCAAAACGGGGCATCTCGGTTATAAGGATGAATCTCTCCTTTATGTAGATGAACTCTTCTCAAAACCTTACTACATGACGAGTTGTGGGAAGCTGTGGCCTCAGGTATAGAAAACGGATGGACAACTGAAGATTCTCTGGGCCTCTTCGGAAGGCGATGTACAACTGTCGACAGCACCTTGGGCCTGTTCTCCGAACAACACGAAAGTCTTGCTGGGTCTCAGGATCGAATCACCAGAACTTTCCAAGTCGTATTTCCTGGGGTAATCAACAGACACAACTAGATCCGGCATCTCGTCCAATCTATGAGCTCTACTACCGGGTAGCAACGGTAAACGATCGATTTATTGGCGAAAGGCCATCTCACTGCCATAGCCCGCGACGGTAGTGATATGCGAGCATACAATAGGGTCAAGACCTTCTGGGCGGAGACATATATGGAATCAAGGTTGTGGCATCCGGCCCGGGATGTCGGAGGGAGTGAGACCGATACTTCACATCTCCGTACACAGTTTGAAGAGGATCTTAGAAAGAACGACATATACTCTCAAGACATAGATACAGCCACTCCAACTAACTACAGTTCACACAATTCCCCACTATTTTCACATCCTCTAGCGAACGACGAAGCTGACGCAGAGTTGCTGCAGAAAAAGCGAACCGCCAAAGTCAGCAATACATACAAAACATAAACAGTTCAAGTAAAATTGATTGACACGGTAATAGTAGACGAACTACATCATCAAGGAGACTGGTCTGAAGAGTCAATCGGGGACAAGGTTGAAACAGTACAGAAGATACGGTATGTATTGACTCGTTAGATAGAACATAAGTTTGGGGTTCAGGTCTCCTCTGTGAATTCGGAGCAAATTCAAAGAATGTGGTTGTACGAAAACGTAGTTTGAATCTGGACGTGAAAATTGACATTGTTATAAACAGTGCCATTTTCTAAGGCATTGGATTACGTAAGCCCCTTATGTCGCATATGAAGAAGGACGTATACGTATATATCACAAATCAGACATGATAAAAACACCTCAGTACCCAAGGCGTTAGGACAGATTTCAGACTCATATCGGCCACATCGATATGCTTTCCTTACCTGTAAAATTGTGCCGCGTGTGATAACAGAACTGCAAGCCAGTTTAATGTCACTGGCCGACGGAATTGACCTCTTACTGTGTTTCTAGAGCCGATCCTTATACATATGAGAAGTATGAGGTGCCTCACTTGAGAATTAACCCACCAACAAGTTCGCATTCTCCCGGAGAAATCATACTAAAAGCCGTCACTCTGATCGTATTACATCACGTCGGCACTACAGACTTTGCCATTTAAACATGGGAGATAGAATCAACGATGAGTGCCAGAGCGCCACAGGACGCGCACATCTCATAAACTGACTATTGACTGCTCTGGAAACTGCCATTTATGTCGAGGTCTCCTATTGGTGAACTTGACACAGAGCTGATGTATATTACTATGACGTGGATCCTAGCTTAGAAGGCAAATTTGTGCGTTGACCTTTGGTGGAATTTGCGCAAAAGGTGTGCTGACCTAGCATTTCAGTTGCAATACTTGTACGAAATACTTCAGCGCGGTCTCGAAGAGGCGTTCAGTTCTACCTCGCTGAGGCTTCCTGACAACACCAAAACAGGGCCGACCCCTGAGGTTGCCGCTCTTGGAGACACCAACATGAAGGCACCACTGTTAATCTATACCTGGAGATTAACTTATACCATAGTATAAATAGGGCCCAGACCTTAGTAAGCGGGACTGACTAATTACTAGAGGCTACGTAGACTCTAATCTACTATAAATATACGTTCACCGCGGCCACTATACTCTCGCAGAGACCTCGCAACGGCAACAGGAGAACCAGTAGTTAGTGGGACTATTGTAAGGTGGCTGCTAGGGACGGGTCGGACAGCTTCAAGGCCCAGATAGCATCGATCTTCTCAGGGGGGACTTTGTTGGTAGGTTGAGAACCAACGTAGTATGGTAGTGAACGCAACGCAGTTGCCAATAGGGCGAACCGACGACGCAGCGTATGTATTTAGTCCAGCCATTAGGGCACGGTTTGACATACGGGAGTACTAGTAGAGGTACCGGGGGCTTCGAGCCTACGGCGTATTTAATAATAATAATAATAATAATATTAATATAACCAACGCACCCGGGGGAAGGGGGGTTGTTTGGGGTTGGGGCTAGAGCGGCTAAATTGTAGCATAATATGTTCTCCAGAATGAGGCTATTTTTACGATAGATTTTCGTTAGCCATTTGCATAAAGCTAACTAGCGGATGCGAGTAAAGTGTGTATATGGGAAAGCTGGCATCCTCGCAGCCCTGTCCTATCTTATCCTATGTACCCTACAGCGTAGCGTATTCCCTATGGACTCGCGTATCATATACTCTGGCCTTGGCTACTATAGGCTTAAAGGGTTACATCGTAGACCGAATTTGCTTATGTGGGGTGCTGAGCGTTGTCAAGCACCTCCTCCGTGCCTCGAAGGCTATATGCAAGTGACTTTTGGTTCCCAAAGCAGTCTAAATCATCCATCCCTATGTAGGAAGCCAGTGATAGTGATACTTTAAAGCAGAGTCGGACAATGCTACGTCAACTCACCCCTATGGTAATTTGTTGCTGTCACAAGGTAGAAGACAATAGGCATCACTCAAACAAGACACAAAACTGAGGTGGCCGAATCTCTCATTGCCTCGCCCTGACGAGGGCTCAAGCCAGGTCGACCGTCCACTAGGGAGCGGTCAGGGGGTTTGTGTATCTCTCGCAATGAGCCTTCGAGGCTGATTGCCCATCGCCCCCGCTCCGTCCGGAGAAACCTGCTCTCACAATAGCAGGAAAGTCCAATGCAGCATCGTCTCGTATCTTGGCACATAGGAGATGTCATGGCAGCGAAGAGGTCGCGCCAGCCTGTGGTCCATTCGTCCTCCTCGCCTGCCATGGCACGCACGTTCTGACAATCTGGAGGTGGTATCATCGCAAAAAAATCCCCCCTTCTGGAAAAGAGAAGAACAAAAAACCGAAATGCTGCCGTCCCCAAAATTGTCGTTTTTCGTGTTACCAAAGCAAATTCAAAAGGCAAACTTCAACTTCCTCGGGTGCAGGCATATTCCTTTCCCAATCTTCTAAACCTTGGTTGTGTTTCCGATCGTTGTTTTTCGCTTAGCGAATCGACAAATAAATGCAAACTCGTTCCAGCCATCCGTCTGCAAACCAATTTCGATCCAAAAGATTCCGTGGGGTACAATGACAAAAAACGGGTTGAGTAGAGGGTCATTAGAAAAGGAGAGAGACGCAGGGCGACGAAGATATTATGTACGTTCATTGCCCCTCTCCAGATAATCATCAAGTAGGTCGGCCAACCTCGGATGAAGCGGAGGGGGGAGTGGTGTGCCTCGCCCAAATGGAGTTCCAATCTGATGAGTTGCAATCTGGTAGAGATTGAGTGGGGATAGAAAGCAAAGAAATCATCGTAACCTCGTAGCATGCCCTCCTGTCTTCGCCAAAACCGAACGCCGCAAAAAAATCAAAACCCCAGGCGACCATGATACCTTCGATGGCACATGCTTCTACACACGCCTTCAGATGGTCTTGGGTGTCCGAGCATTGCTCATCTCCACGACGTCGTCTAGGTGGTTGCACATGGCCACAAAAAGGTCGAAGAAAAGCTTGCCGCCCCGCTCCATCTCGAGCTGCATGGTTCCGCTCCTCTTGAATGTCTTGCGACACCGGATAATCAGGGCAAGGTAATGAGCGCGCAGCCGTGAGTCCGAGTCCGGCGTGTTGTCATAGGCATACTGAGCCGAGCGCAGGATGGTGGCGACGTCGATTCCGCTCTGCAGGCCCTGCTTGCGCAGTGCCAGGCGCTTGAGCTCCTCGAGCCCGTACCGATCCGCGACGCAGTATATGACAGTATCCCTAAGTAGGTCTTGCCCTACGCTGGAAATGTATGTTGTGGCCTCGACGGCTCCGCGGCTGCCCCCGTTTTCTGAAGGGTTGGGTGATCTTCCTGCGGCCGTTGTGGAATCCTCGAGCTCCCAAGAGTTGCGATTCTTGTTGTGGAGCAAGCGGGGGTAGTAGTCACCCTTGTAGAGGTACTCGAGGACGGCCGAGAAGATCTCGGGTTCTTCGTCGGGAAGTGAGATTCTCTTACTCTGCGCATCAAGGTATTGGTTCCGGCAGGCGCTCTCAAAGAACGGCGACTGGCCCAAGACCTCCTCATGCGCCGCAAACAGCCGACCTTCCCGCCCCACCGTCAGAGTGACGATGGGCGAGTTGAGAGTCCTCTTGACGGGCATACTCTCCTCGATCGACCGCTGCAGTTTCGACAGCTTCTGGGGGTCGTTCCGAATCGGGGTGGCCTTCTTCAGTCTCGACGCCTTGTCGACTCGGTCCTGAGATCGAAACGAGCGCTTGAACATGGCGGCGGTGGTGGTTCGGAGGCTCGAGAGAAACCGAGACGTGATTCGAAACGAGAGACACAGAGAGCGAAGAGGCACACGAAAAAGTAGAGAACTCGAGCGAGGACCTGTTTTTCCAACCTCTCTCTTTCTGCGTTCGACTTCCTAGAGAGCGACGAAATGAGTGAAGAGTTGATGGTGTGTTGACGCACAAAAAATGATTGACTGGGTCCGGGCGGTATATTCCAGAGAGCAATTCGGGAGTAAACGAATGTATCTGGAAATATCCTGGTATATTTGCGACCCTGGTGGTTGTGGTGAGGGAGGGAGAACAAAAGGAAGGGGGGCAGAATTGGAGGGGGGGTGTTGAGAATATTTATAATCCTTGGGTCTTTCTGCACGTTGATCTTGTCCCGCTTGGACGAGGACATTGGTTTGTTTATTTGCTGATTTTGGGTTGCAGGGCTCGTCGCCTATCTTGGCACCGAATCCCTGGATTAGCTGTAGACAGGCATCAGCCCTGCAGGTTACACATGCAGCCTAGAACATGTCAGCTTCGTCAGGCTGGCAGGCAGTGGTGGTGACCTCGCACCTTGGAAGCCGCCCGTTGTGGAGGCGACTCATAATCTCGACCAGACCGAGTTAAGAGGATAGCCAACCGTGCCTGCTGGTTGTCTCTCATGTTAGGATCCCGCCGACGTTACACAGCGTACCTTGGGCTCCATAGTCCAAAATCAAGAAGCAAGACGAATCGAACCGAATCCATCGATGCGCCGCAGCGAATAAGAACTTTTGCAGATATGTCCCCGGTCGAAAGTGCTGCATTCGTGGCATGGGATATGTGGACAAAGTGCTCCCCCAATGACCTTGCCAGGATGCGGGTTGCAGGGCACTACCGCCCAAGCCGGGCGCTTCAGGGTAAAGTCCAGCGAATGCGGTGCGCCAATCCTATTTTCTATCTTCGGATTCCACTAGTCCGCCTGCAAGATCATGGAGGATTGTGATGTTGATTGAGCTAAGTTAACCTCCGTCAGGTGTAACGGTAGAATGTTACCTATCTAACTAGTGTACATTGTTACGGAGTAACTAGGGCTCCGCCAGTGGATTGTGTGCCACTAGTCCTCTGTTACAAGATAGGCATGCGGCCGCCTACGTCATTTGCTTGATTACATCTTAGGGTCTTAGACAAGGCTTGGACAGCGACGGTGCGGGGATATCAATCAGGCACCACGGCGCTTTACCTATCATGGGCACCAAGAACATTGGATGGGAGAGACATAGCAAGGATTCCATGCGGCTTTGGTTGTCAGCCCCAACTTTTCTAAACCACTCTATAATTAAGCTTGATGACACTTAATACATGCTGTTGTGAACAATACACCAAAAGTGAGCAGGCTGCTGAGGCCATCGCGATACCACCCAAGAAGCATTGTGATGACTGGTGAGGTCGAGTCTACGTAACCATATTCAATCCACCCTCCGATGCCAATTTCCCGGCATGATGACTAGCAACTGATGCTTCCGGTAACCTTGTCATACGCAGCTCGACCGTTCGTCAACCAATGATACCACGCTCCCAGCAACACAAACCATTAACGTACTCCACTACACCAACCTCCCTTTTGCCCAGCCTTTTTATATCCATGTATGACGTGAGTCACGCTGTTACCTTGCCTCCATCAACTTTGCACACTGCCCGGCAACAAGGGCCACCAGGCCATAGTGTTAGGCAAATCTGACGACGCAGCGGCAGCGCCGTCAATGGACCTCGACGTTCGCCGTCATAGTCTCACGCATGGCAATGAGACCATAAAAGTAGGAGAAGACTAATCGAAATTCGTGTCAGAACAAGGCCTGGTCCATTAGCTCCATCCGAGGTTTCCAACTTACCTCCAGGCGCAAGTGTGATGAAGGCCAAGCTCGCCGCAGCAGTTACTCCTCTCAGGCCGTCCACGAGGTCGGGATCGAGGAAAAATAGACCAGCGTGGCCAGTCAACAACCTGCCCAGCCCAGCCCAGGCGAGGTACAGGGCACTGGCAAACATTGTCCATGCAACGTGCCCAGCAACGGGCTGATAAAGTGATGGTCAGCTCAATAAACCAGAGCAAGTTGTGACCTCAACTCACAGTGGGACGCCGGATACTGTTGAAAAACAGGATCTCTGCGAGGCCAATGACGGAGCTGATAGTCCAGATGTTGATGATGCTGAAAGCCTTGGCATCCCCTTCCTCGAATAGTCCCTTGCCTGTAGCACCGTCAGTTGTTCCAAAAAGGCTATTCTGAAAACATTGGAATTGTGTTGAGTTGGAGCGACCGTCGAGGGTAGACTTACTTGGGTCATACATAGCTGTCGGGTTTCCTGGAGCGGAGGTTTGATGACCATGATGGGGCACACTGGGAGGCCTGAATCCACCATGTCCCGCTGGTACGAGAACTGCCCAGTAGATGATGGTATTCATGAATGTAAAAACGTGAGCAGTCGTGTAGAATAGGCTGAACCCGAGTCGCCATTTGCCGTCGGTGTCCCGATTGGGAGGAGATAGGGCTACCAGGATCTTGGTTTTCAGGCGAGAGTCCTCGTCAATCCCCTCAATGGAACGTGGGGAGAACAGGTGCATGGCGGTCCACAGCTGAAAGACAGCAAAGCGTCAGTATTGTGCTTCAGTAGATTGCACCTAGAAGCTAGAAACATACCGTGGCCATCAGATGGTATGCCCAAAGTAGCAAAAAGGCAACCGTGGAGAACTGGAACGGGATTCGCCATTTGGTGTGCTCGTCGATCGTGTTGAGTTTGTAGTTCAGGGAAACACCAAGCGCAACGCTGAGGTATACTAAAACGACGAAACGACTCGTCACCAAGGCCTTCTGGCTGATCGCTCTCCACGGCGAATGACACACCCGGAGGTAAATGGGCTGAAAGCGTCAGAAGATTGCGCGTTGCATATCAGAGTCTAGAATCCCCCACGTACATGACTGTCTGCAGCATCATTCGCCGGACGTGGAAGAAGAGGCGAGGATTCTGACATCTCAGCGAATGGCTTTAAATGCTATTTCAAGAGAATATTTTGCTGGAGGAGTTATGGATGCAGGCCCGAAAGAAAAATTGGAAGCGAGGTCACAGGTTTGCTTATGTCTGGGACGACAACAAAGTTAAGAAGAAATGGCGAAGTTTACGCGATGATACTGGAGAGAAACGACATCGAGAACAGCATCGGACTACCTTGAATTGAGAGCTTGTCGCCGTAATCAAAGAAGGAAAGTACAATTTTCTGTCTTCCATAGTTATTGCTCAATATGGAAGAGCCGCATCGCCTTTTTGCCCAGTCGAGGAAGGAACAACCCCTTAATGAGGTTGGCTGACGATAATTCCTCGTCTGATGCCATCGCCCCAACATGTCGTGGCTGCCCTAGAAGTACCAGTATGGTCAACTCGGCCATATGTTTCATTAAAAAGGAGCCGTGACAAGTGCAGATGACAAATAAAAGGTATGATGTTCTGTCTCAATGGAACTCCTACATGCCCAGAAGAACTCGAAATCCATACTTCATAGTACGAAGAATACCACACGGGGCTTACTCAAATACGGTTGTGCTAATATGCAAATCATCCTTCAGAACAACCTATGCTGTCTTTCCATCCCTATGAATCTATTCGGCCTGGCTGGAGCCAAGTTTAGTGAAATCCCATCAATTGCCAAGGGGCCAGTGACTTGTCATGATTTCGACACACCGGATGGAAATACAGGGCCGATGTTTCGGAAATACTACTGTTCTAATTCTGCCAATATTTCATGAGTGAAATGTGATGAAAATTAAATAGCAGTCATTGTCTCTGGTGTGGTTCTGTTGTTTATAAATCTGCCACTGGCATGATCTCCATAATCACTTTTACAACATGCTACTAATTGGAAACAGTAAGAAGATGATAATAGCTGGGCGCCTACGTCAATAGAATAAATCTTCTGGCTCTTCGCAACCTCGTTTCGCGCAAATCGTTCTGATGACTTTGTCACAATCAATCCTTTTTTTTGTTGCTGACTTTCAACATGCCGGTTGCGAGTAATGTTGACATCCATTGCACTCCTGCCCGTTTTTATTCCTTCATCAGTGCCTCCTCCATGTCCCGCACCTACCATCTCATCGTAAGACTTATGCCACTCGTGAGGCATGTCATTAGGTAAGTATAGTGGTGTTAGGGTGTCCAGCCGATGGGGAGCTGACCTGTGAGTCATGGGTCACAGAATATTATAGAAGTCTTCGAATACCGCTGAACCCGAGGGATCCGGGCATTACAGTTCGGAATAGGGGCTTTAGCTGTCTATATAACGGGATTATCTTGTAAGAGGGACAATGGAAGGTCAGAGATGATTGAACTATTCTGGGTATACCTACCAGTAACCATCAGTGACCACCCGGTGATAAACAGCGGGACGCCCATTTATTCCCTTCACCCTGTAATACTGTCATGCGGCCTAGCCGTTCCTGATAAGAAGATGTCCGAATCTTTTCTTCTGGCCCTTCCTTAAGAATGTTGAAAGCTTAAAAAGAATAACTACTTACGGACTCTGGGCCACTCCCACTCACATCACTACTTTCCCGGCTGCTGCTGTACCTTGATGCCACCTGTACCAAGCCGTGATGCATGATGGGATAGAGAACGGGAATGCTGATGACAAACACGGCTGTGATGAGGCTATCGCAGAACATAACCGTGATAACTGTCTTTTTTTTTGAAGGGAAACTCGAGCTTTCCAGACCACGAATTCAAAAACAGGAGGACTGGCTTACCGGGAGTGGAATCATGGTGATGTATAAGTCAGTTGCGATGTCCGTACATATCGACATCCAGGCTTGAAGGCTTGATGCGGCAGGACAGCAGAAAGCTAGCATTGGAATTTTAACTCCGTATTTTTATCGCAGGAATAGACGACCCTGGGGGCTAGGATAGATTTGCCAACTTTTCTCGATAGATCCGAACCCACACAACGTTACGAAGAAAGCACCCAGAAAAGTGATACCGACTAGAATAACCCCAATATTTACCTGTGCCTCAAATACTCCACGTCCGCACCGAGCCGTCTGTAGAATATGAGCCAGAATGTGGCTGTGTTGACAAGCCATGTTCAGAACAAACTCCTGGAGTCGTCTACGCGAAGTTTAGTATTCGAGACTGGCGGGATCCAGCGAAGCATGTTCAGTCTCGGTCATCCTCTACTTGGTTAATGTAATCTACAACCAGCATACTATGGGGTTGACTATTGTTCTGTGAGACACATACCTGCCATTAGAAAGACTTCCGCGATGTGAAATGATAAAGCAGCTATTTTTATTCTTGACTGTGTACAGGAACTCGATAGATGTGAGTGCGAATAAATGTTTGGTTAAATCTGGTGCAGCTCCTTGCCATCAGAGCAATCATGAGCCCATCATCGATTTCACTTCCACGAAAACTGTTAATTCTCCATCATGTGTTGTGTATGTATGCTCAAGGATGACAAGAACGACGATTGCCAAGAAGGTCCAAGTCTATATCTTGAAGCCAGCCAGTTCTCCCATTTCAATGAAGAACGTACAAAGAATTGCAATAATCACAAGTAATGGATATTAACGAGGGTTTAAGAGGGGTGCCTGTGGAGTTTCAGTCCTTTGTATCTTCAAGGACAATACCAGGCAGAAATGACCGTTCTGACAAATAAATTGTTTCAGTATCCTAATTTATCTCCTTTCTTGTTGTGGTTGAATGTGATCCCTTGATCGTCGCGAGATATGTACCTCAATTTTGATTGAACAGTTCAAGAGACATGAAGGCTACTTCAATATAGCAAACGATTTCAACCCCCTTACTTCCTTTGCACTATTGATGGTTACAGGGTATGGTGGACCACACAGCGATGATTGGTCAACCTGATATTATTTTGGATCAAACGCCCAACTGTCCTCTGTCTCTGCCGAACACAAGTGCGTGACGATTCAACAGTGTGTCTCCGAACTAATGGAAAGAGTACGTATTTGACATATTACCCGAGTATTTATTAAGCTTCTTCGCATTGCTTGGGTGGCCTGAAGTGCAAATTCCTGCTATACTCAGCTCCATCACAGAGCACCTCGCACAACGATTGTAACGAGCCCAGTAAAACACCTGAGAGGGTGGTCGGCTGATTGATTCCAGGACAATTTAGCATATATTAGTCCTAATTGTCGATTAATAACATTCCACCCTTGACGCCCACGGTACCCCGTGAACAGGTCATGTAATTTTTGCATATTAGTTGAGAATTGTTTTGAAAAAATCTGACCTGCAGTCACAAATGCCGACTTCAACCCTGCAACAAGTGTAAGAAATCTATCTCTCAGTTAGGCGTACAATAAAAAGGCCTCTTCTGTCTCCTATGCCTGCGATGCTTTGTTCCCAGGTTGGAACAAAGCATCCCGAATATTTATCTCTTCCTAAAGATCAAGACGGCTTTAGAGGGCCATGCTGTCGCTTTGGATGCAAAGCCCAGCAATCAAATTGTCTACCTGCTGCTCGGACAGAATGAGAAGCAGATTCAGGATTGACGAAGAGACCTACTTTGAGAAATTCAAGCTGGTGATTGACTCTATTGCCCTGGATGGGTGCAGCATCCGTGTTGCAATATCTACATACATTGGTGTTCAGTTTCCAGAAAAGGGATATGTAGTATACTTTACATAATCGCGTAATAACAGGTAGAAGTTCCGAGTTCAGTCAATCAAATTGATATCAACGAAATATGTTTGATATTGTCTAGTTTACCGCTACCTACAAACCATTGATGTATAGATGTACTTCACTACTCTGAAAGCTCGATCTTACCCTATGGTACACCTTGACTGCACATTGAAGTAGTCCCACAGCATGATAGGTGCAGCACTTGGGGAAATCACACTTGGGAAAATCAACTGGAAGTACGTTACAGGGTACGTTACAGGGCATGAATCATCATAGAGCTTGTGTTGGAGATCAAGGCTCCGTTCAGAGTTTGGGCAAGTTGATCGTTGATGGTGCAAGTGGTATGAACCTCACGCTTAAACGCTTACACTTGAGGTAGATACGTACAGTCTGCTGACCCCACTACCCCGCGCTCGTCATTCAGACAGGGCCCCCTTGTTGCCATTTTTCTTCAGAGTGAGCAGCCCCGCGATCCGCGACTTGCGACTTCCATTGCATCCCGCAATTTCAGCTCCATTCGCGCCTTGTGACGTCGACTCCCACCTACCTTACGTGCAACAATCCTGCTAAGGTATTCGACCATATTCATCGACCGTCCCAGAACTCTGCCCAAATTCGACACCATGGCTTCGGCCTCAACCTCCACGCCGGCCGGCAACAAGCCAACAGCCATTGTCTGCGTTGGAATGGCAGGCTCAGGCAAGACCACCTTTATGCAACGCATCAACGCGCATCTCCATGCGCAAAAGGAGCCTCCATATGTCATCAATCTAGACCCAGCTGTTTTAAATGTGCCATTTGAATCGAACATTGACATCCGCGACTCGGTAAACTACAAGGAGGTGATGAAGCAGTACAACCTGGGACCGAATGGTGGAATCTTAACAAGTCTGAACTTGTTTGCGACAAAAATTGACCAGATAGTGGGACTATTGGAGAAGCGTGCGAGTCCTGAGGATGGTAAAAAGACGATAAAGAATATTTTGGTTGACACTCGTGAGTTTGTTCTTCTCTCACATGGATGCAGAGTAGTGTGACTAATATGCACCAGCTGGTCAAATTGAAGTCTTCGTCTGGTCAGCCTCCGGTCAAATCCTTCTCGAGTCCCTTGCCTCGTCCTTCCCGACCGTCATAGCATACATCATCGACACGCCACGTACCGGTTCTACCAGCACTTTCATGTCCAACATGCTATATGCTTGCTCGATCCTGTATAAGACGAAGCTCCCAATGATCCTCGTGTTCAACAAGGCGGATGTCAAGAATCCCTCGTTTGCCAAGGAATGGATGACGGACTACGATGCGTTCCAGGAAGCACTACGTGCGGACGAGGAAGGCAATGCGTTTGGGGGCGTGGAAGGCGAGGGCGGAGGGTCCGGATACATGTCGAGTTTGCTGAACAGCATGAGCCTGATGCTAGAGGAGTTCTACGCACATCTGAGTGTTGTTGGCGTGAGCGCCATGACCGGACAGGGCATTGATGAATTCTTTGCGGCGGTCCAAAAGAAGACTGAAGAGTTCAAAAGCGATTATCTGCCCGAGCTGGAGCGGCGGCGAGATGAGCGGGAAGATCTCAAACGCAAGGCGCGGGAGAAGGAGCTGGACAAGATGATGAAGGGCATGAGCATGGACACTGGGAAGGCAAAGGCCAGCGGCACTGGCGACGCGTCTGATGAGGAGGACTCGGACGATGTGATCAGTGATGACGATGATAACTTCGTCGACGATGAGACGGATCGCGAAGGCCTGCAGGCACGATACGAGGCTGCTGCGCAGGGAGAGGATGAATCAATGATGGAAGAGGCGAGCTTTGCCAAGTATCTCCATACGCAAAGGCAATAAGGGACCTGTTTGGGTAGATGAATTCTGCAGTAAGTTTGGATCTGCAGATACATATGGATGAGGTAGACATGGTTGGCGTTTATGATACCATTAGGTTCTGATTTCGGGAAGCATGAATATGTCCTAGGAACTCCTGACACCATGTGCATGACTACTGCAAGCAACCGCTAGAACCCATATGTAGAGCAGAGAATCTCTGAATTCCCTCTTTATTTCCTTGCCATGTTTGAGCACCAGAGTCTCGTTTCATCGTGTCTCCTGCTTTGCCAAGTTTTAGGGTCTCTAATCCTGCGGCATTGGCTGCAAAAAGCCATAGCGTCAAAAGCGGCAGTCGTTTTCTGGAGGTAAAATTCCAGTAGACTATCGTATTATCCCATGCAACTATCGTCTCAGCCACTATTACTCGTGCTTTTACATTAACGTGCCTCAAACTGAACCATTCTGTGCCCCCAAAATTAGCTTCTTTCTCCCAGACAATGTCTCAGCCTCCAAGGCGAATACACATACCGCTTCGTCCGCTCCTTGTAAAGCACACGGCATCCACATTCTATGCATCGGATGTTGTCCTGTCGCTTGAGAGGAAACTTGAAGCCGCAGTCGCCGCACATGTACGTCATGGTGGTGCCCATGTTATCGTCGGCGCGGCTGACCTGGGTGCTCGACGCGCCGGGCGCGCTCGACTGCGCCGTTGGGATTTGGTAGCCTTCGCGAGACATGGTGGAGGTGCGACGGTTCTTTTGTGCGGTGCGATGGCGAGATGATGAGGGTTGGCGTCACAGATGGAGTTGGACTGGCGTTGAGGTTGCCTATGGACGGGCCGGTTGCGATCGTCAAGCGGGATCAATTCGGTTCGGAAAAAAAGGCGGTGAGTCAGCTAGGTGGCAGAATCCACATAGTACCCTAAGAGCTTAGGCTCAGCCGTTGTGCTTGCCTCGGCCATTCATGTAGCGGCCCCGTCCAACGGGACCTGGAATTGCCGATGATCATCGTTGGCAGAACGCAATCCAACAATTTATCTAAGGGCGGGCCTCACCTGTTCCAACTGTGTATGAACATCCATTGGAATTCTGCGATTGAATCAATGTCTTCATAAGTTGAGGACTGCGGCATGGGATCACATCGGCAGCTTTGAGCCTCCCAACCCTCATCTTTCTTTCCGTTTCAGATCCTCTAAGTTGCCTACAAAAAGATCCGGTACATCTACAAGTCTACGTAGAGTAACAAAAAATGGCCGCCGAAACCTCCAACTTCGACCTAAATGCCCTCCCAGATTCCGAGCCTTGCCCATTTTGTGTCATAGCCTCTGCGTATCCCTACTTCGATCCAAATTCACCACCAAATCCCTCCGACGACGACGTGGACCCAGACAAAGTCTCCCCAGCAAGCTTCATAGTCCTGTCAACACCCACCCTCCTCGCCTTCCTCGACATCATGCCCCTCTCCCCGGGCCATCTTCTACTCTGCCCTCGTAGACACGCGCAGAAACTCAGCGATGTATCTGCCTCGGAAGCAGCCGAGCTCGGTCAATATCTCCGGATTCTTTCTAAAGCTTTGGTGAAAACGACGGGCGTGCAAGATTGGAATGTGGTGCAGAATAACGGAGCGGCGGCAGCGCAGGTGGTCAACCATGTACATTACCATCTAATACCTCGACCGGAGATAAGGGCTAGTGGTCGGTTTAGTGAGAGCTTCACCATGTTTGGCCGGGGTGTGCGGAGCGAGTTGGACGATGAGGAGGGTGTGATCCTCGCTGAAAGCTTGAGGGAAGGCGTCAGATTGGTGTTAGAAGAGGAGGCCAGCAAGGCGAAGTTATGAGACCGGCTCGAACCTATGAACATATGGAGCAGGGGCTGGCTGGTTTGGCTGCAATGCCCCCAATTGGACTGCGAGGACGGCCAAGTCCTTCGGTGCCTCTCTAGGACATTTTGGCGGAGATTTGTCTAACGAGATATAAAGGTTCCTTGAGAGTTTTACATAGGGTTCCCTACGAAATTTAATGGGGTTGGGTTCGTCATGGGCAGCGGTGAAGCCTACCCGAATCTACCCTGGGCATGGAGGCCACTATGCGGCTGAAGGATATGGTGGCATTTGGGCCAAGGTGATTGTTGCTTGATACACGGTGCCAAAATAGGCCATTGCAGCCGCAGCCACCATTTTGGGCGCTGACTTCAGCTCCTCATGCCAAGATTTGGCGTATGGCAGTCAAGCTGTTGCGTGTTGCTGCTGCTCAAATTGCTGTCAGTCAGTGGATGGAACGCATGGCATGTTTAACTCAAATCTCACCTGCGTATATAGGATGGCACACCTCATGGAACTGTAACTCCTCCCACGGCAATCAAGTATTATTAGCCATATATTCGGTCCAGGATAACAAATCATAAGTATCATACAAAGCCTCAGACTTGCTATGCTCTAATAGCAAGGTTTAATCAATTTGGGCAATCACAAACTATTCGCAGCTTCATCACATAGACGAATGTTGTTGCACAAAATACCCAGCATACCCCGCATGGATTACTAAGGGATTCGATCCTCTATCGATGACTCTGTGGCGATCCTGTCTCGATTGTTGTATCACTCTACTATTCTGTAGGTTGTGTCTGTAGCTATTTTATCTACGAGGAAGGGGTTGACCCCACTAGTGCAATTGCCGCTACACCACTTTCGGCCTAGGGCATAACCGTGGCACTCAATCCCACAATTACTATATAACTTTGTAAATATGCGTCTAGACCATTTGCGTATGTGTTAGGTAGCATTCATTATTAGATGGAGACAAGAAAATACGACACAGTCAACTGCTGAGTGGCAGTATGGCCGGTGCATAGCTTTCTAGTCACGGCCGAGGGCATGTTTGTCGGGGTACTGTATGTCACTGGAATTCTGCAGACATATGGATACATTCACCGTTGTGGGAGGAGGAGGGGGGATAGGTCCGTAGGAAACATTATTATTATTATTATTAAATATGCCGTAGGCTCGAAGCCCCCGGTACCTCTACTAGTACTCCCATATGTCAAACCGTGCCCTAATGGCTGGACTAAATACATACGCTGCGTCGTCGGTTCGCCCTATTGGCAACTGCGTTGCGTTCACTACCATACTACGTTGGTTCTCAACCTACCAACAAAGTCCCCCCTGAGAAGATCGATGCTATCTGGGCCTTGAAGCTGTCCGACCCGTCCCTAGCAGCCACCTTACAATAGTCCCACTAACTACTGGTTCTCCTGTTGCCGTTGCGAGGTCTCTGCGAGAGTATAGTGGCCGCGGTGCGATAGCGGCCCGTAATCGTTCCCTCGGTTCTTCCAACAGCCCGCAAAAGAGGATTACGTGCTCTGCCGTCTCAGGGGCCGTAGGAAACAATGTTGCCACCAATCGTTTTTCTGTGCGTTGTGTTTTATTGAGGTTTTGGATCACGTGAATTATTTTGTATTCTATGTCTAACACATATACTCCGAGCGCTGGCTTGTTGGGGGCATCACGTCGTAAATATATTCTCTGGTGGCTTAATAATCATCACCGAAGAAGACCTTGATAGGCAACCAATCATCGCCGCACATCTTCCCCTTCGACTCAGTCGCCCCAAGGCTGGTCACCTTCTCCAACTCGTCCTTCTCTAGGGACCAGCCGTCCAACGCGAAGTTTGCCGCAATACGCTCTGGGGTTACACTTTTGGGAATGACATCCCAGCCGTTCTGAATACCCCACTGCAGCATGACCTGCTGCGGTGTGACTTCTTTGCCAATCCTCTTAGAAACTTGGTCGGCGACGGAGGTGACCTCGGGCTCCTTGTAGATTTCCAGCTTGGTGCTGCCGAGGCATGAATATCCAGTGACGTGGATACCCTTCTCCTTGCAGTACTGAACCAGCTTGGGTGAAGAGTTCTTGGGATGCAACTCAATCTGGTTGACAGCAGGCGTGTGCTGTTTCCATGAGTCAGTACGTACTGCTCTCTTTCCTCACACCCCAAAACGCAAACATACCTTGCACGAAGGGTCGTTAAGCAACTTCTCCAAGTTCTTGATGCCAAAGTTGCTAACACCAATGTTCCGCACCTTGCCAGTGCCAACCAGCTTCTGCAACTCGGCCCACGTCTTGATGAAGTCCCAGTCGGGCAGGTGCTTCTGGAGGTCGTCCGGGTCGGTACTGCAGGGCCAGTGCATCAGGTACAGGTCGACGTACTCGACGCCCAGATTCTTGAGCGAGGTGTCGATGCCCTCGGCGACGCGCTTGTGCCACGGGTTGTCCAGCTTGGTCGTGATCCAGATCTGCTCACGCGGCACCCCCGAGGCGCGGATGCCCTCGCCTACTTGCTCCTCGTTGCCGTATGCGAATGCTGTGTCGATGTATCGGTACCCTGATTGCAGCGCCGACTTTACTGCATTGATGGTTTGGTCTTTGGGCGATTGCCAAGTTCCCAGGCCAATGGCGGGGATCTTGTCGCCCGAGGCCAGGGTATAGGTCTTCTTGCTGTTCTGGAGTTCGGCCATGGTGACGGTGATGGCGGAGTTGTGAATTTATTTAAGGTTGTATAATGTGAGATGCGGAGGGAAAGAAGTTGGGGAGATTTATCCGGGGTTTGGAAGTACACGAGATCAATTGTCTGGAGGAAAGATTTGGCCTCGGCTGCTGTTTATGACGCAGGTACTTGAGTAACAGAGGTGGGAATTGACCCTCACTATCGTCATTGTGGATGTGGTTATCGCCGCTTCCGGAGCCATCTCCTACTCCACCGCCTTATTTGCTCTTAGTTGTGTGAAGGCAAGGTGCATGACTTGCCACTGCTAACCGCAGGAAAGAACCAAATCGGACCGAAAACCTGGCAAGATAGAGCGTTAGTATACTATTACCCCAGCTGTGGCAGAAGCTGGCTTACACTATGTTCAGCAGTTGCCGGGTTCTTGATCAGATGGATCGGACAGCACCTTGATGCTACAACTTGCGGTCATCGCTGGTTATGGTTTGCTTGAGAAAACTGTACTCGTTATCTGTGCAACATTTGCGAGGCTCAAGCTGGGCCTGCCAGGCCACTTATTCTCCTGAGATTCCAATTTCAAATACCATCGTGAAATAGTGGATGCATATTCCAAGCTGTAGTAGCTAATCATGATGGGGAAAAACGGCATTAAATACATATACCCAATTTTGTTTTAATGATGATCCGGGAACTGTGTTACTCGAGATTGAAGGGGTATTTTGTAATTGTTGCACGAGCTTAAAAAGTGTAAACCCCTACTTGTACCGGACTTATTGCAAGCTATAATAAAGCCTTGAATTAAACGAGTCTCTGTCCTCTGACATCAAAAAGACTGAAGGTGGCCATAAGGGTCTTACGTATGGAAAAATGTGCTTCTTGGTTCCATATTTTGAGAATGCTGATCATGTTTGAGTATAACAGAGGCTGATCCATCAGAGAATCTGAGGCACAGGGTCCAGCATCCTGTCAACTGGCTGTTGTAGCCAGAAGCGGGAAGATCAGAAAAAACAGTCATTGGAGGCCAAAGACTGATGCGGTCCGACAAGATCGAAAATGAGGTGAAAGAAGGGGTAGGACAGAGAAAAGAAGAGGACGGGTGGGAAACTGAATGTAGCATTGGTTTTGACGATGACGATGGAGATGAAATGCCGACATATGACACAGTATCAGTTACTGCACCAAAAGCAACTGTTCGGAAGCTCAAAGTATGATTCTGGCACAGTGGTGGGCTGCTTTTGTCACTGGCTACCTGGTCTTTGTTTGCTATTTGGACTCTTATCTCAACTCGGTGCTCAATCATTAGGCCGTCTTTGATACTTTGAGTAGAAGGTTTGATTTTCACATACAAAGTTCTATAAGACTTATGAGCATTTTCGAGGGACGCATACGAACTAAATGGCCCCTGAACGCTGGGATGCTGTAACTCGTGGGTAAATGTACATCATTCGCGTAAACGATGTAAATCGCTTCTTTTCATGAACTTATCTTCACACTTCCAGCATATAGCTCGGAAGAAGTATTCACGACACGAACGCCAGATACTCGGTTTTCCTGTCTAAAACAAAGTCTGCCCCCCATCAACCAACAGATCCGCCCCAGTCATATACCTCCCCGCCCTCGACGCAAGCAAAACCACCGCGCCGACAACCTCCTCGGGCACGCCCATCCGTCCCATCGGATGTCTCTCATTCCAAATTTTCCTCGCCACATCCAGTCCATCTCCCTCGTTCAGGATGGTATCCATATACCCGGGGCTGATACTGTTCACCCTCACGCCATCCCGCGCCCATTCAGCAGCAAGCGACTTGGTCATAGCGATGACAGCCGCCTTGGAAGCATTATACGCTGCCTGCGGCTGGGGGAAGCTGCTCAACTCTTGGCGTCAGTAATGCTACTTGTATCTGATCATAGGGGGACGAAGTAATATCCTATGAGGTAAGACAACGTTTGGCAAATTCATCAACCCCTGAGATACGAGATATAAAGAAAATATGGTCTCGGGGAGTTACTCACTTCACCGCATGCCCGGAGATAGACGCACAGAAGACGATACTGCCCCCTTTTCCGCCAGCAGCCATGGCATTCCGCGCCGCCTGCGCACACAAGAACGACCCCGTCGTGTTGATATCCAGCACACGCCGCCACTCCGCCACAGAGACTTGAGCAGCATGGGCGCAGCTAGCCACGCCGGCGAAAGTAAGCAGAATGTCCACACTCCCCAGTTTCTCGGCGGCGGCCTCGACGGATGTCTTGACCTCTTCTGCGTCCGTGACGTTCACCTTGGCGAAATATATTTTGGCTACCGGGAACTCGGCTTGAAGGGTATCTATCTTGGTCTTTGCCGCCAAGGGGTCGAGGTCGAAGATCATGAGACCATCTAGCCCGTGCTCGAGGAGGGCGCGGCAGACGACGAAGCCAATGTCACCCGCGCCGCCCGTCACGATGGCGTTGCCCGAGATTTGGAAGCGGGCTTGGGCCCGAGCGGCGGGGGAGCAGGAGGTGTTGGCGGGGTGGGGCGCTGTAAGGGGTGAACTGGCTTTGCTCAGGGTCATCGTGGGGATGACCCGGGATGTGAGTTCGGCGCGCTCCGTGGCGCTCATGATTGCGGTAAGGTCTGGGATGAGGGGTAATAGAGGAGAGACGGATGAGGTTAGGATTGGATTGAAGTATTGTGTATTTCAAAGCAGGCCATACGCACCGCGAAACTGATTATAGTATTTTGCTGGATGCCGGCACCGGATGATGCAAGGAGTATACAGAATTATGATTTGCTATAGTTGGGTGAGAGTATCCCGATGCACGACCTGCTACGATATATTATATCCACTTCACATCCTGGTGACACCTCATTCTGCGTCCAAGGCCACCCTTCTGACGAGTAAGATGTGGCTTGAAAATACGACTCGGAAGCATTGCAGTTGGTTGGCACACAATGGTTTGGCGGTATCATGTGGAGACAGCCGCTGCTGTTCAGCACCTTAAGATCCACTAGAAAGCCACCGGCGCACAGTGGGCCGAGGGTGACAGTGACCCCGATGCCCAACACGACGTCATGTCATTCTTTTCAAGTCCGGCAGACAGTCATCCGGAGTCGCGGATTTAATACCTAGTACGGCCTCGGCAGACGGCACTACCGGAGCGTTGGGTGATACTTTGAAATTCAATATGTGAAGCTTGTATATACTCATGTTACTAAGCTGGTACCAATAATATGCAAAAGAATATCGCACATTGCCTACAATGGAGCCCATCTACACATCCTTGACAGATCGCGCCCGCAACCTGCAACAAAATACCGAGCGCAACAACTCTTCTGAATCACAAAATGTCCCATGGCGAGCAGTGATTGCCCTCGCCGGTCCGCCGGGCTCCGGCAAGTCTACCATAGCAGCAGAGGTCGTCCACCGCCTCAACGCCGGCCGAGTCACGCCGGCCGCTGCCGTGGTGCCTATGGACGGATTCCATTACTCTCGTGCGACTCTGGACAGCTTTCCCAATGCAGCAGAAGCCTATGCCAGGCGAGGCGCGGCTTGGACGTTCGATTCCGCCGGGGTGGTCGCCTTATTTAAAGCCCTTGATGCGGGAAAGATGATTCCACGGGAGGAGGCGCCGGTTGTGCGAGCACCGAGTTTTGATCATGCACTGAAGGATCCCGTGGCGGATGACATTACTATTCCTTCGAGTGTGACGCTGGTCATATTGGAGGGAAATTGGCTCTTGTACGACGAGGATCCGTGGCGGAAGATTGCTGGGATGGTGGATGAGACATGGTTCGTTGACGTCGACAGGGATATTGCGCGGAATAGGGTGGCGAGGAGACATATTCGAAGCGGGATCGAAACAACTTGGAATGACGCGCTGGCCAGGGCGGAGGACAATGATATACCCAATGGCGACGATGTGAGAAGGACACTCATAAAGCCGCATGTGACCGTAAAGAGTGTGGAGGAGAAGAGTTTCGAGAGAGATGATGAGCTTATAGGGAATAACACGGCTGCGGTGCCCGTAGTGTCATCGGTGAACCGAGTAGGAAGTTGATCAATGAAAGCATTTTTGATGACTTAATATTCATGGCCTCCAGGGGTTTGAGGCTTTGGAAAGACCATGATTAAAACTAAGGTTAAAGATAAGATGATCCGGAAATTTGAATTATTACAGTGACTGCGATAGAATTTGGGATGAGAAAGCCGCTGTGTAGCGCACTTGATAGCATTCCCCTGGGCTTGAAGTATCATACGCAGAACAGTATCATTTCGAAACCGAGGCAGATACCCAGACACTCTTTTATCTGAAGAACTCTAGTATATAACATGAATGATCTTAACTACTGCATGCATCCGTTGGGGTACCGTTCAAAACGCCGCCGATGCTTCCAGAAAGAGGCATGGGAAAAGAACGAACGGCGTGAAGGTACTGTATCTACAGAGGATTGGATTTATATCTTTCGATAATAAGTATGGCTAACGTGGTTTGACACCGAGTCGCGCATATCACCGAGTCGCGCACTTTTTACCACACTATAATTTCAAGTTCAATTAAAAAGCCACAACAGACTGAAGTTTATTGAAATTTATTCAGAGCTATATACATCTGACAATTATAGTTCGACCTGACAAGTCTTTACATTATGTCCGGTCTTCTTACACTTACTGCATCGTCGTACAGTCGACGGACCAGCCTTTTCTTTACCCCCCCTCGAGCGCTTGTCCTCCTTTACCTGGGCCTCCGCGTCCTTCCGGGCCAAAATGTACAGGGCATCATCGACAGTAAGTGCACCTCCTTGCAGGACACGCGATTTTTTTGCCCTCCAATGCTTGCTTAGTGCCTCATTTGCCTTGCGAAGGGTGGAGCACTCAGCCTTCAAGAGGGTATTCTCATGGGCTAATCGAGTTATACCCTTCGCAAGGTGGCCAACAGCATCAAAAATTAGGGTCGGAGAGCTTCCCTGATGTCTGGCGATTCAGCGATTGACAAAATCGGACTGCGAGAGAGCCTCTGTCGGGTTATTTGGCGTTTGCGAAACCCAAGGGTCAGCATCTAGAAGAGAGGGGCTAACGGGTGTAGGCGACCGAATCCTAACATCCAGCTTCGAGATAACGGCTTCAGGGTCGTGGGGGACTAGGCCGGCCCCTCGAAACCCTGCCTTGATGTTTTTGTCGGTTATTGTCTTTAAATAAGCCTCCTTAAAAGCGATAAAGAACTCGACCTTAGTAATGTGGTTAATATGGGACTTGATAAATATATCAATCTCTCGACCGTATATACGTTTCAAGACCCCAAAGCACCTGACATCAAGTGGCTGGGTTAGATGAGACGAGTGCGGGGGCAGACTGATAGTAATAATGCCGTTAGACTTGCAATAAGACTCGAAATCGGCCGATGTATGACTCTCATGCCCGTCCAATACTAACAGCCGATACACGCCTCTTTTGGTCGAGATAGTGTGCTTGTTGAAATGTTTGATCCAGTCTAGACCAGTCTCGTTGTTCGTCCACCCGTTTTCGGTCGGTTTGACTACCCCATCGGCTGGTAGGTCCCCTCAGTATACCAATTAGCAAGGTGATAGTTCCCTTGAATTACCAGAAATGGCGGGATGCCGCGACCCTCCGAATTGGCACAGGTAATCGCCTTGGCCCATTCCCGGTTACCTGGCTGGACCTTCTTGCCTCTACCATTACGTTCAGACGAGGTAACGACCATCGAGCGTTGAATAACGCCCATCATAAAGCCCGTCTCGTCGAAGTTCCACATATCGCACTCCTGGATCCCGTATTTGGCCCTCATATTCGATACAAGCCGGAACCAGTCCTCAATAATCTTTGGATCCTCGCAGAGGGCCCTCTGGAAGTCATACGAGCGAGAAAAACGCGTCTGTAACTCTGGGGTTCGCTTTACAAAGCGATGAGCCCAGAGCTTGCCGACGCGTCGGGTACCCCGCGTCGCAAGAATGGAATTGGCCATATCTTCCACACCCTCTAGCCGGGGAGGAAACCCTCTTAAATATAGGTCAAGTACGTGGGGTACGACCGTGGATTCTGTCACGGAGTGACGACTCGGGTACACCGTATAGCTTTGCTGCTCGACGTTGGCTCGGCAAGGTTGATTTTGGCTTCTTGGGTTTGAACTGACATGGTGTTGTTGTTGAGGAAATAAGTGTTGAAGTCAAAAGGTTGGAAAAGTTGAAAAAGTGCGCGACTCGGTGATATGCGCAACTCGGTGTTAAACCACGTTAAACCTAGTAAAGCAACCTTTTCTCCGCCATGAAGCACGATTACTCTACACTCAAGGGCCGCTTCTGGGAGGTATGTTTGCCCACTCGTTTGGAAGTGGGAAGTGACAACCTGCGGGGAATGTTCTTGTAAAATTTGCTTCGGAGAAACTCGAGTGGCGAAACCGAATTTTGCCGTGCCTTTTCATTCTAGACGCATCGAGGAATCCGTGTGCTGCGAGATATGACGCGGGCGAGATGCGGGCAGCGCTAGCCTGACTCTGGGACGAAAAGATTTGGTAAAAGATGATCTGGCCGCTTAGATTTGATTGGATAGTATTTCTATACAATTAATGGACAGAAAAGGTGTCAAATCAATAGTTAAAACTTCCTTCGCAACTGTCAAGGCGTGATATATAAGATGGTACCTGCTGGAGAAGTTGACCTATACCCACCTCTGCATTTCACTACCTCGAGTCAGCACCACAAGCAAGCAGTAAAGCCGTATCTGATAAGTGAAGGCAGAATTAGCTCCCACCATGGCTCCAAAGCATTATATTTTGGTGAAAGGTCTGCTTTCGGAAAAAGCCCTTGCAAACCGACTTAGACGCTAGAATTGAATGCACTGAATCAGAACCAATTTTCTCCAAATATACCTGAACAGCAGCTGTAATCTAAGATTCTAACCCCCTGTCTTCAAATGTTACAATCTCTTAGACGTCACCATGAATTCCTTGGTCTTATACATTGTATGGCTATTGGCCTTATTGAAGGCGGCGACATGCGCCCCGCACGTAATAGACCGAAACGTGCCAGCAGACTCACGGTTGTTCTCGAATTTCACTACATCACTCGAGACGTGGCAGAGTGGATTCTTCCCGATCGAGTGGGTGGAAACAAACGCATGGATAGCAGCTTTCTTTGGGACGATGCTGTCGTCCTCCATTCGGACAATAAGTGCTTCATTAGCAACGAATGGCACCTTCTCCGATTCTGGCAAGCAACATGTGGTTGAATACTATGATCAAGTGCAACAATATTTTGGCATAGAGCCGGCAGTTTCTCTGTATACCGAAGGGTATGATGACGTACAATGGGTGGTGCTGGGATGGCTAGAGGCCCTCCGAGCTCTGGAGGACTACAAACAGCACTCAGGGATCAACCTCGGCCAGGACGACATCGAGAAATATGCTCATCGAGCGCATGTTTTCTATGACCGAATCATGGATAAGTACGAAACCTCGCTTTGTGGAGGTGGCATCACTTGGAGTCCGAAATTCGAGACCTACAAGAACGCCATCACCAATGAGCTCTACATCGCCACTTCAGTCGGTATATATCTATACCACCCAGGTGATTCTGACACCAGTGGTATCGGCACGAGGCCACCGTTGATACCCCCTCTTTTCAGCCATGACCCAGAACTCCTTCAAAAAGCAAAGATAGCGTATGGCTGGTTCATGAGCCAGGGATTCTTCAACGAAGAAGGCTTGATTATTGACGGATTCCACATCTCACCCAACCAAAGCACCTGTGATAAACGCGACACTATGGTTTGGAGCTACAACCAAGGCGTGATCTTGTCTGCCATGCGCCAGCTCTGGGAGGCCACAGGCGATGACCGCTACCTCAACGACGGCTACGCCTTGATCGGTTCCACGATCAAAGCTACAGGATGGCTCGGCTCCGCGAATCTGATCGACTGGACATGGCGCGGTCTGGGTCGCCACGGCGTCATGGAGGATGTATGCGATTCGAGGGATGGGTGCGACAGGGACCCGAGGACATTTAAGGGGATCTACTTCCACCATTTGAAACAGTTCTGCGAGCCGTTGCCCACAGATAACGCGGCTGTTCCTGGCGTGACGTATGTAGCGCCCAAGAATTTGGCCGCTTCTCACACTGCTCTGTGTAAGGGGTATCAGCCGTGGGTTGAACACAACGCACAGACTGCCCTCAGCACTAAAGACTCTGCTGGTATTATGGGTGGCTGGTGGAATGAGAAAGCCTGGATTGTAATGAGATCGGAGGCAAGTAAGGCCGCTGCTCCTTTGCCTGAGGGTGCTGTGTATTCTAGAAACTACAGGGAGGTTAATGGGAGCCATCATTGGTCTAATGAACCCAGCAGGGGGAGGAGAAGTCCAGCGGGGGATAGCAAGGAACATTCGGTGGAGACTCATATGTCTGGTTTGTCCGTTGTCAAGGCTGCTTGGGACCTCTATCAACTCTGATGTCGATTAGGGAGAAGGGAAATGGAAGAACAAAATAACACAATATTACTCTAGGGTCATAGTCCGTTCGAACTGCTTTTAGTATTTTGACCTAATTATCGATTAATTCATGATTCTCATATTTGGCTTGGTCTCTCCCCCTCCCCTCTTTTCAGTGTTAACCTCACAAAACGCCAAACCATGACGTACTGATCAGGCTTTTCTAACCATGCAATCCGAGCCAAATACAAAGACACCAGATTTTCTACATTGAACAGCCAATATGGTAAATCCAATCAAGATCGCTGAAATCGCATATCGTCCGAAGACGGTAATATCCAATAAATAGGGGTATAATTGGAAAAAACGTTTTCGAGACTAATTTCAAGGATTGTGCAAAAGAAGACGAAATAGAAACCATAATATACCACTGACCTCATAAGTGACCAATAAAACACGGCTTTCACATAATATCCTACAGAGCTCGTTTCTACATGAGAATAAGAAATGAACATGTATATAACTTGGCAGTGATTGCAGAAGATGATTCACTACATAGGTTTCTAATTTGTATATTACGCCTCGCATGGTATACAACTGCCCGACGTGCTTGTGCGGATGATGCCAACGAAGTGGTGCATTGTCCTGCCGTGTCTTCACGTTTGGTTTAATGCGCTTCTACGTCTTCGTCAATGTAGTGATCTTAGCCTGAGCGATCACCATACGCTAGAACGCTAAGGTCGTGTCGTATTTCATTTGTGAGAAGGCAACAGAGGCGACTCGACCCGTTAATGAGCATCTTTAAACTTGGACTGCGCCATGTCAGATGGCACTTAACTTCATTACATCAACCGAAAAGGCACCTGCGAATTGTTTCATTAACGTAGTATCATACGATTCACAGCGTGATGATGGTGGTCTATAGCTTATTCGAGGATTACTATATTAGTAGTAGCGGAAAGTACTCCCCCAACGAACTCTCACCAAACTCCCGCCACGAAAATAGGATTGCAATCATAGACTTCGAGTTCTTCTAGCGTCTCTAAACATGTGACGACTTCCACGGCTAAGGTGACGGACATATTGAGTCTTGATCACTGCAATGATCAACGGCGGCGTCTCCAAGTGGGCTCATGGTACTTGCACTCGATGGCGCAGGCGGGGTGTCGTCCCCAAAGTTATCTTGAGAGTTAGCAACTGGCTGAGTGTCAACGGTAGCGTTTAACTTGCCTCAGAGATCTGGGCAAAGTTATTTCCATGGAACTCGCAGAGTTCGACGAGTAAGGAAAGCCCTTCTGCAGTCCTTCAGCAACGAAGTCCTCAATGTTGAATATAGCACATCTAACTTTTGCAAGTAGGCTTCTAATCCATAGATTTTTAATTGCAGGTCGCTTGTTGAAATACTAGCCTCTGAGCAGTCGTCAGTGTACACCATGTCTTTCGTGTTTGTTACCTCTAAAGTCTGCTGGAAGCATTTGCAAATACCAGTCTGACCACCCAGTCCACTTGATGCATTCACTTTCCTCGGTCACCTTAAATTTCGTGCACAAGACCCTATAATGTGTTTGGGACAAGGACATATAAGAGGTGAGAGAAACGACAAGGCTTGAAAATACTCGGGGCGGCTTGGGGAATCTATCCATCTCCGGTATTTCCAATCACGAGGTCAAGCATGATAGTTGACTAGGGAGAAAATCGGCCCCTCCGCCATTTGATACCAAATACGAAATTCAGGCTGCGATGCGAGGCCCATGAAGGAAATGTGAAAAAATGCAGTATGAACCTTCGGTGTGTCGCTGGGACACAATAGCATCCTTGCATACACACTTCGACACAACAAGAAAAGCCCGCTTCCAAGCAACAGAGGTCTGTGAAAAAGACGATCTGAAGTAAGCTATAATACCTCCCGTGTCTGTCTATACATGCATTGTATGGAAGAAAAGGGGCCCGCCCAGGTTCATTTCGTAGCACACCGATCAACTGGACGACGAGATATACCGCGTCCTTAGCCGCGTGCTGGTGGAATGATGACGCAACAGAAACACCTTGCTTGACATTCTAGAAGTTGGAAACTTCACTGATGGATTCTTGAGCTGGAAGTGGCCCACGAGACATGATAAGAATTTTCAGGTGGTAGTGGGGGAGAGGTACAGAAGACTTAGTGGTGCTCTTGTTCGGTATCAGCTGTACACAAACTTTACTGCGGCAAGTCGCCGGTAAACTTGAACATAAGGGTTGTTACAGTTAATCCACGATAAGGGGGGCCAGGAGTGTCTACGTAACCGGTACTCGCACTTGAGCGATAAATCGATGCTATTTTCTTTATTTGGTTCGATGACTTGTCGAACATGCATGTGCACATCCAGCTTCAGTTAAACACATACTGTCATGCAGTCAATAATGTTACTTCATGCCTATACGTATGCAATCGTTAGTCTACTCTCCGAATTTTGTTTCTTGCTTGAGATGCTTTTTCTCTTAACCGCCTTTGGCCACCTCACTACAAACGTATTGAGGCGTGATCAATGTTCTTCCCGTGCAAGGATTGGTCCATCCTCAGCCTCATCGAAAGTCCACCGGCTGGAGATCAAAACAAATTCACCGACTTGGCCCAAGGGCTCGAATAATCCATCAGCCAAGGCAACCTACGCGAAGGCGGTGACCTCGGGCCACATGCTAAGGCACTTGGCCTTGAATTCCTGGGCCTCTTTGCTCCTCCAGTTCTTCAGAACGTCCAAGGCTAATTTGGCATCCTCAAACTGCACACCCTTGATATCCAACAGCTTGAGAAAATCCTTCTCACAAGTGGCTTGGTCATCGCCAAGCAGCTTCCGTGTGTTGACAGCTGCGATGACGTGGAGCGAGGAATCCTTGTGCTTGGCCTCGAAGTCGGTGTTGTACTTCTTGAGGTCCGTCGAAGGGGGAATGACGGTGAATTCAGCCTTCAAAACTTCCTGGACCTTAGGAGGCAGGGAGTCTAGTTTGGAGTTGAGCGCATGGCGGAAGCCAACGGCTTGCTCGTGCACGCGAGGATGTTCCGGATCTAAAGCGAGGGCAGCGTTGAGACAACGGAGGGCTAGGATGTATTTTTCTATAAATAGTCAGCATACAGCTAGAGCGATGCATTACGCGAATGGATAACTTACCTCGCAGCAAGTACACCTCGAACCCAGCGATCTGGACATCAATAAGCTGAGGGCTGTGCTGCAGCAAGTGCAGCAAGAACTTCGTCGCTTCACCCAACGGGTCAGTTGTTGCACTGAGCTTAGCGCCATTGGGATCATCGTCCTTCTTCTTGGTCTCATCCTCCACCTTCTTGCCTTTGTTAGGGTCTTGCTTGGCTGCTCGCTCTGCTGCCTCTCGTTCTGCCTTTTGGGCGTCTTTTCGTGCCTTCTTCGCAGCCTTCTTACGCTCCACGGCATCCTCACCATTGACATCGGCAGAGCCATTTACCCCATTGGACAGATGTTTGTTGTTATGCATACTGATGTACAAGTTAACCGCGTCAAGAGCAGCTCGGCTGTAGAACGGGTGCTCGCGCACGTGATCCTCCCATCGAACCATGTCGACATAGGCGCGGATCTGACCCTTTCGGAGGGAGAAGCTGTGGAAGTCAAACTGATCCTCCTGCCACACGTCGAATATGTTATAGACAGTGTGAAAGCGCTTCAAAGCCAGGCCCACATTGCCTTTCCGTGCTTGGGCTTCGCCATCTTCGGTCATGAACCATACACATTGCATGTCCAATAGATCAGCGAGCGGGCCACCAGGTGAGTCGTTCCTGGTGAACAAGCCCAGTGTCTCCAGTGCCTTCGTTGTCTCGTCGTTGCGCAGCTGGTATTTTGCTGCCTTCGTATTGATGTATCGATCCTTGAGATCGAGGTTGCGCGCCTTGTCCATGGTCTCTGATGCCTTTTGTGTGTTGCCATAATGCTTCCATATCCTAGCCTTTGTCATGTGGAACTCCAGGTTGTTTGGTACCAGTTCTAGTCCTTTGTTGACAAACTCCATTGCTTTGGTAAGGTCCCGAGATAGGTGGTAGTTGTAATGTTGTGCAAGATAGTAAAGTGCCGCACCCTCACCCTTGGGAGTCTCGCCATCGACGGCTTCTTTCTCATCCTTGCTGGTGCTTTTCGCGTCTAAGTACTCATGCGCAACTGCGCCGAGAGTGTCCTTCTTGAACGAGTCTGTGTACAGATGCTTCAGGTTTGCAAATGTTGATGGCACACCCTTGTTCAACATTAGGGATAAATACGACTTAGCTGCTTCTCGGAAGTTGTCGCCTATGATTACGATCAGCCCATTGCATTGCTGAGAGTGGCGAGGCTTACGTACCAGTCAAGAAGTCTAAAGGCAATCGTCTTGCAGCATCACAGCGCGGGTTCTTCTCAGCATATTCGTCATAAACAGCTTTCTTCGCAGCTTGGTCATCTGCAGCAATGTCCAGCACCTCCACATATTTGTTGTAGTAGTCCGGATGTTCCGGGTTTCGGTCCAGCAGCGTTCGGTATGCTTTCGCAGCATCTTCCTTCTTTCCAAGCTTGGCAAGGTACTCTGCGCGACACTCAAGGTAAGCCAGGCGATCCAGGTTATGCTTAGCAGCCGATTCTAAGTGATCTAGGGCCCTTTGGTAGTCTCCTTGCTCAGCAATGATGGAGTTCTTGTACATGACAGCCTCTGAGTTCTCGTAGTCGGTTTTAGACGGTGGAGTCTTGAGCGACTCCTCGTACGTTGTCAGAACCTTTTCAGCCTGCGCCAGGTCTCCTGCTAGGTGATGGGATACTGCAAGCGCAGTCCAGTTTTGTCGAACCTGGGATCTGGCCTGGAGCATAGCTGTGCGACTCTGGACGTATCCCTGGTAGTCGCGCATCTGAACTTGCAGGAAGGCCAGATCTCTCTGTATCTGTAGAGAGTCCGGCTCCAGCTTCAAAGCTGATTTGTACGCCTTGATGGCCTCCTCAAAGTTCTTCTGGTGGCGGTAGAGCAGCCCATAAACGTGCCAACATATATGCGACTTCATGTCGGCCATCAGGGCTTCCTTGCCCAAGGCAAAAGCTTCGTCCGTCTTCCCTTGCTGGTTGATGATCAGAGCCTTCATGGCCATTGTGTCGCCATGTTTGGGGTTCTTCTTAAGGATCTGCTCGGCCGCCTTGAGTCCACGCTTGTACTGCTTGTCTTCATAGTTGCGAATGACCTGGCGAAAGAGAGAGTTCTCCTTCGCGCTGAGAGGTTGAGGCATGCTATTGGGTTGGTTTCGGCGCAAGGGCCGGAGAGGAATAACTGCACGAGATGTGACTCGCCGATGGCTCTGGCCGAATGCGTCGGTATGTATAGTGTGACTAGAGGATGTTGGGGCGAAGCTCTACGTTCTGGATGTGGTGGGCGCGGGTTCGTTTAATGCGGCAGGTAGGAGGTGTTGGCAAGCTGACTTTGCAAAGGCTGCAGACTGTATGCCGAGTTAGAGGGCTTCGGCGTCGGGGACAAGTCACACAGGATGGAGAGGTGAATCCAGAAGTCGCAAGCTGCTCGGATGGTCGCTCACTGAGCTTTCAAATCGTGGAGTTGTTCAGAGAGTTGAGCCTGCCGGCAGGTGGGATATCCCGAAACTGGAGATCTTTAAAAGTGGTCGCCGACAATTTTCCGGCTGTATCATTCTCAGGCAATCACGGCCATCTATCTTTCTTCAAGCTTCCCAGCATACAAAAAGCACTGTTATTGATGAATTGGATGAGGTATGACACCTTGGATGCGATTTTCAAAAGTCTTTAATCTCTACTAGCGAGAAGAACGAGTGGAATAACACACCGCAATTACGTATGGACATCGGTGATGAGGACTTGATGGTCGCAACTAATACAATCTGCAATATCTGATACATTGAATTTGTGCTCATCTATTGGTACAGTGGCAAGTTCATAGCTAGATAGTACTCGTACAAGGTATACACTTCGTTTCGCTGCCGCTCCAGTCCGACTCTCGACTGGAACATGAAATGAGTTAAGGAGACGGTTTCCGCTGCCGATCCCTCCACTGACTAAGTGCTTGATCCGAATCCTCTGTTGCATCACCGCATCGTTCCCTAATAACTCCCCACGTCTGTGACCTCACGATGGTCTCGACGCCTCTCTCCTGCCTGAGTAACGTGGCCAGCTGCTGTGTCCGGGGCTCCCGAGGGAAGTAACGGGCTGAATAGGGATCTAGCCGCTCGTTGACCACGCGTTCCCGATACCGCAACGACTCTGCTTCCCTCAGTGTTGTCTCTGGATCATTTGGGTCTGGACTTGTAGCGACATATGCGCAGTATGCCAATATGTCGGATCTAGACTGCCACGAGGGAAACAGCACTTGATCTTTGAAACCCTGGCAAACTCTGGGGTCAATCGACCGCTGTGGATCGCGGGGCACTCGAGTGGAAGTTGAGTGCGGATCGAAGCCTGTCTTAGCCGGAGTTACGAGAGCATTGAGATTCTGGGTGATGGAATCGTCAACAGCAGCCCGTGACAACCGTAGAAAGTCTGGTAGGCTTGTCAGACCGTGACGCGCAAACATGACAGGCTGGGAAGCATCATCGCACCTCTTAGGGCTACTGTAGAAAAGCAGAATTGCGGCGTCAGCCCTGGCTGGGTTGGGATATCGGTCATGATATCACTAGGTGAAGAAGACGGACGGGCCTCTCGAGTGACATCCGTCAAAGGAGCCGGTCGTTTGGACCAGAGTAGGCTTGCCAGCGTGACGGTTTACAATCGCAATTACCTATGTAACTAAACGATCAATTGCGGGGTTTGCTTTCTCAAATATTGGTTGTATAAAGCTCCAAAAGCTAAGTCCATTTCAATAGAAGTGATGACGGCTAGGATGTCCAAGCTCCAAAAGAAAGCAGCAACGACCCGATCGTCTTCTTCCAGGATTGGAGTTTTGACCAAATTGCATTTAAGCCCTAGCGACTCTCCCGGAAAGACGCTCAGCACCACCGATAGCTCCAGTACTAGTGCCCCGGTCTGTGCATCAGGCTGATTACGCGACGGCACGCCTGCCTTGCAGCTTCTGGCCTTGCGGTTTGGAGCTCACTTCATCCAGCACAATTCGATTCGCCGTCAAACACACTACAACATCGCCCGACTTGGACCACCAACCACATTTACCATTTACTCATTCAGGCGACAGGCATCCTTAATCCATCATCGTCCCACTTGGCACATTCAATCACCTTCCTCTCCATATAACACCATGTCGAGCTCACAAGATATGGATCACGTAGCTCAGCGGGATCCCGATGACAAGAAGGACGACCGCAAGGAAGATGGCGAGGAGGATGGCAACAAGAAGCCGAGTGCAGATGGCGATGCCGAGATGAATGACGCCGAGCCTGAAGAGGACATTTTGGACGATGAACTCCTGAGCCTGAGCACCCAAGATCTGCAGACGCGGAAACGGCTACTGGAGAACGACGCACGAATCATGAAGAGCGAATACCAGCGTTTATCGCACGAGAAGGCGACTATGGGCGAGAAAATCAAAGAGAACATGGAGAAGATCGCCAATAACAGGCACGTCCCATGCACCGAGCCTCGTTCGTGCTATTGCTAATCTGCGCTTTCCCCAGGCAACTTCCGTACCTCGTTGGAAACGTCGTCGAGCTTCTTGATCTTGATCCGACCGCCGAGTCTTCCGAAGAAGGCGCCAACATTGACCTGGATGCGACAAGAGTCGGCAAGTCAGCTGTCATCAAGACGTCCACGAGACAAACCATCTTCCTGCCGCTCATTGGCTTGGTCGACCCGGAGAACTTGAAACCGGGCGATCTCATCGGTGTGAACAAGGACTCCTACCTCATTCTTGACACATTACCCGCCGAATATGACAGCCGTGTCAAGGCAATGGAGGTGGACGAGAAGCCGACGGAAAAGTACAGCGATGTCGGTGGGTTGGACAAGCAAATAGAGGAGCTGGTGGAGGCCATTGTATGGCCTATGAAAGAGGCGGAGCGGTTCAAGAAGATTGGCATCAAGGCACCGAAGGGTATGATTTGCCTCATTGTTACTACATTATTATATGCTGACACGGATCTTCTGTAGGTGCACTGATGTACGGACCTCCAGGAACCGGAAAGACCCTGCTAGCCCGAGCCTGCGCCGCGCAAACCGATGCCACCTTCCTCAAGCTTGCCGGACCCCAGCTGGTGCAGATGTTCATTGGCGATGGTGCAAAGTTGGTGCGGGACTGTTTCGCGCTGGCAAAGGAGAAGGCCCCAGCGATTATCTTCATCGACGAATTGGACGCAGTAGGCACGAAGCGTTTTGACAGTGAAAAGAGTGGTGACAGAGAAGTGCAGCGAACCATGTTGGAGCTGCTGAATCAGCTCGATGGTTTCGCTTCAGACGACCGAATCAAGGTGCTTGCCGCAACGAATCGTGTGGACGTACTTGACCCTGCTCTGTTGCGCTCTGGTCGTCTGGATCGCAAGATCGAGTTTCCCTTGCCTAACGAGGAAGCGCGTGCTCAGATCTTGAAGATTCACTCCCGCAAGATGAAAGTTGACCCTAATGTCAACTGGGGCGAGTTGGCCCGCAGTACGGACGAATTTGGCGGTGCCATGTTGAAGGCTGTGTGCGTCGAAGCTGGTATGATCGCCCTGCGCATGGGTAAGAACAAGATCAGCCACGAGCACTACGTGGATGCTATTGCGGAGGTCCAGGCGAAGAAGAAGGATGTAAGTCTAGTCTTTACCTTCCAGACCATTCTGTCACTTCCCCAACAAGAACAGAGACTGATCATATGTCTAGACGGTGAACTTCTATGCATAATTCCGCCGCCGAGGCAGGCGACAAATGGAAGGACGGATAGAAAATGCGACCATAGACGAAGCAAACGGTGTAAGATTACCCGCACCAAGATTCAGCATTCAAGGTGCCAAAATGTACAGCCCCCGACCTTGTCGAGAACCCCTTTATACGTGATCGTGAAAACCCGAAGATGAGAGCCATCGCGATGTGATATGCCTCAAGCCCCTTGCAACACTCTGAAATAAACCCGTTACCCCATGGTCTATTTCAATTTTGAGTCAAGGAAGAGAAAATTGTGGCCTGTTACTCACCGCAACCTCCAGCTGCCCCGGCAACACATGGAAGTTGAGGTCCATCTTTATCTGGTCAACATGCTTTGCATTCCATGACTTTGGCCCTTCTGCCCAGCCCCTTGCCTGGTATGGAGCCCTCCCGCACGACCTCGGACCGGTCCACGAGATGGTACGACAGTACTTTGGCAAGCCCCGGCGCCCACCTTGCAGTGAATGTCGGTTTTTGAATGTAATTGACATGGATGCGGTATCATCTACGATTTCAACACTACTGGAGGAAGAACTTGCCGGGCTTGGGAGGACTGGTACCCGCATTGTTGGCATTGCTGAGTTTGGTCGTATGTAGCGCCTCTCTGAATCTTTGCATAAAGAGAATCACCTTCCGAGTGCATAAGCTCCTGTTTTCATAATGCATAAGGCCTCCAGTAGTTGTAGCCTTGTTCTGTGATCTGGTTGACCCTTCTCCCCACCTTCCTACTGTTCAATGTCACAGGCTCCATAATAGCGAGTCAAGCTGACCGCAGTAGTGGCAATGTACTCGGGCGCAGATCAAGGTAAGTGCTGCGCTGTCAGACTTCAGTTGACCATCACTATGAGGAATGCTTAGGTATTTCCATGTATCGTTCCCAGTTGTGTTGCGTAGAGGGATGCAACACCAGCGGCTGTTTCCCCCTGACCTTCTCAGCTCCAAAGACTGTTCACCAGGACAGGAAGAACAAGTCGCTTGAATAAAGGCGATGCGCCGTTGGGGAAACTTGCCACAAGAAGAGTCAAGGTCTGGGGTAGCAGTTTCATGCCACGATACTGGACGTCCTCACGATATCTTAATGAAGAAGTGAATAATTAATTCTGCAAGACGGTTGTTGAGCTGGATATTGATGGTTCACTATTAAGAAGCATCGTTTCAAAGACGCTCGAAAGGAAGACACATATGAGGAAATGCACGTCTAAGGGAGCGGAAGCACCGAATGTGCTGACTTTGAAGACGGTATTCGTCGTTGGCAATACACAATCATTCAGAGCTTTATTTTGATATCAGAAGGCATCCCACACTCACTTCTTCCACTCACTATTGCCATCGCAAGTGTAATCTACAACCTTGTCCACATTTCCAGTAACAGTTGATACGCCCATTTCCCCCCACGAAATGATCAACATCCAAGTTACGTCAGGCCCACTTCCCCTCCCCCCCCCCCCCTAAGCAGCCCAATTCTCACACAGAGCAAAACTGAATGACAATTGCTTCTTCGCCAGGCGGATGGGTGCTGAACGCCTGGGCTAAGTCGTCTACGTGCGGCCGCTGTTTCACTGCTCGGCGTCGGTGCTGGGCATATTGGCCACTCTGAGTGTCGGGTCTTAGTCTTGGTCTCTAGCCCGGCATTTGGTCCCGTGGCCAGCCTACACAAGTGTGTTTGTCACAAAGCAACGGGATCACTCACCGTGCCGACCATTTTTGTGCTTATCCAGGAGCTGGTGCCCGAGACAATTCTCCTCAGTGCCGGATGAGGCTTTCTTTACGAGTGACGGCGGTTATGCTGAGTCTGCCTATCCCACCGCGCCATTGTCAGTGCCCCGACATCGTTATCGTCTACGGCATGAATAAGTCAGCGCTCATTACCCGCATGATCTCCACCGCCGGTTTCTTAGCCGTCCGCACATGCCGCACATGATCCCCAATATTATCGATCCTAAGGATAGAAGGCGTGCCCTCCCGCTTGGGGAAAAGGGGGAGCACGCCGCGGTTAGGTTCGGCTTCACGTAGGGGTATTATGGTAACGAGAATGACGCAAGTGGGAGTCGAGGAGTTGGGCCGCCTGAATTCAGTGCGATAAGAAGGGATGGCGAGTGGAGAAGGCGGGCTTGGATGTATGGTGGTGATGAGGCGATTATGGATGAGTGCGTGAGAATTACGAGTCGGATTAAGGATCTTATGAGGGGCGCGGAAAATATTTCCCCATTGGAAATTAAGAAGGTGCTGTTGCAGCATCCGCAAGTCGTGGATACTAGGGTGGTGGATCTGCCGGACAAGCGATATGGTGTGGTTGTGAAAAGATTCAAGGGTTAAGCTTGTTGTTGAATTGCAAATTACCATCGTTACTCACGAGAAAGGTGCGCCGTGGAGCTTCTTAGACTATGTTTTTGCTTCGTTATTGGGGATAACATTTTACAGATGCCTCCGCACCACATAGAAACATCGTTTCATTCGAATAGGTGTGTTCTGTTCCTTGGATTATATGACATGTATTTAGGTTCAGGGGCTGCCCGAGTACGCATATGGGTATGCAGCTTATTGAGTCCTGGGTTATTAATACTGCCTCTCAATTTAGAGTCACCATGTGGCCGCAACAGCGCCTGAAACAGGCGTGAACTTTGTGGAATACAATGCAAGCCATATTTTCATCCTATATTCCACTATACATGATTCCAAAATCCCGGTGTGTTCCTGTAGATTTAGGATTCTGTTGGCCTTGTGCTATGTCACATAGGGGTTTCGTGTACCCCGACACGTAGTATAGCCGATTATAGAATATGCAGCATTTGGAAAAAAGAATTCAGAATATCCACAAAGATTTAAGTTATCTTCCACACTCCATAGCCATGAGCAGCGACCGGCAAGAAATTTTACATCAGTCAGCATAGTTTGGTCAGTCAGGGGTACCAGTCACTAATGAAAATCTGCCCTAGTATATGTATCTGACTTCGTGCTATCTCTAACAAGGGTATCCATGCTCTAAGCAGACGGCGACAACGGCTAAAATCAACTTCAATAGATCTCAAGATTTTGGTGTTTAAATTGGCACAACTAGTTCACAACCGAAAATAAACTACTGCGTTCTTCCATATGTTGACGGCCCAATCACATTTCCCCATGTCTAATATATTGGTAGTTGCATTTCGTATTCCTCTCCTTACAACCTTGTAACCACCCATACAGGGCTAGGCTATAGTTTGAAGTGAGCCGGGAGTTATGTTTCGCTTGGGAGCCTCGAAATCGTATTGTTATTCATCCCACCTTTTCCAACAAATCGGCAAGCGTCGCCTAATTGGCCGCAGCCAAGGCCCTAGAGCCTGACATGGGATGGCAACGACCGAATCACAATATACTCAATCATCCGATCTTCCACAATCTAGCTTACCTGAAGTCTCTGTCGCGCTGATGTCGATCGCCGGCTGAATTCCTCCTCGTGGCCACGCTGACGCCGTGCTGATTCTATTTCTCTTCGTCCAAGTTGCAGGTGGACTGCATTTGTAAGGGTTTGGCCGCGCACTTTCACACTAGGCTGGACAATCTCATCAGTAGTTGCGTTAAAGTTATTGATTCCTGAACTACAATGGTAAAGTACCATCCTGGTTGAGGCCGCGATGCTTTGTTGCTGATCTCTTCCACCTTGATAGTAAACGATGAAATTTGAGATATGCTTGGAGGCATCACATATTCTATCCACAGTTATCAGTGGTTATAATAAGAGAATCTTGACCACCTTGCGTAAGCTCTTCCCGTTGAGGCGGGATTTAGGATGTGATATACAGGAGAGGCAAGACTCAGATTGAGATCTCTGGACTGACTAGCAGCGTGTCCGCGTGAAAATGGTGCAAACCGATTTTACCATGCTGGAAGAGACCGCCAAGTGTTTATCGTGAGCGCTCATGTTGGTATTGAAAAGGCCAATAAGCAACTGCCATAAAACCTCGTATGCAATGGCGAAGATAATGAGGTTTGCAATCCTCGAGGCAGAGCTATTGCAGGGCCATAGCAGCTACAGAGCCTATACGGCTCCCGAAGAGAAGAAAAACCAATGAGGCCGCCTGAAGCTAGTCTGAGGACACAAATGTGCAAACGAAGCCACGATGCAAACGTCTGCGATGTCATATTTCGCCTCCAGCCCGGCTGAAGTACTGGGTCTGGCTATCTTTGGACCCTGCGTGCAGTAGGAGGGCTGCAATGGGCTGCAATCCAAACGCCGCAGGCCTCGTGAAGTGCAATTAGGCTTGACATAGCCACACCGCCACAATCTGCTATGAAAGAAACAGGCAACGCGAAAGTTTGCCGAACAAAGTAGAATGTGGATATCGAAGAAGCTTGACATACGGTACCTGAATGCCGTCAGTGACATCAGCCCTCAAATCTGGCTCCGCTTGTAAGAGTATTCCCCGAGTTGATCACTGCTTACGTCGTCATACTACCCTGTGTGGCAGTGCGACATGCATGTCGGCGGTTGTGGTTTAGCGGCACTTCTTCCAGCTATCCCTCTATCAAATCTGGATGTGCCATCATCATAGGTAGCAGTGTCACTTCGCCGGGCCATTCGCTTGCGCGCCGTTGGGAACCAGAACGGCAAAACGCCCGAGACTGGGATTTATTTAGCTATTTCTTGTCTTCCACGCACATGCCTGACCGGTAATACGAGTAGACGAGGCGAGGCTTGATGAACCCGACGTACACATATGATGGGCTGAACCCAGGCGATGATGCTGGCAGAGAACACCGGTACGGCATCGCGGTACGCCACCAACCCCCAAAACTATCACACGGTGAGCTCGGCGCTCCTGCAGAAACAAAACACTCTGGGGCGGGTCACTTCCCGCTCCTGGCGGTTAGCTATCGGAACTGGTTGCTGGGAGCCAACGTCGCATTCTTCATATAAGGCCAGATGCAACGGGTAATCGTCTGCTCGCTACTATACCGGTGTGTCGGTCTGCAGGTGCCAGTCATGTCTCAAGGTAAACCATGTTTCCAACGAAGCCAGCTCGAACTTGGGTAAAAAACTCCAATTTCCCCTCACAGCATAAAATTCGAGTTTTCTAGGTTGGGATGACGCCGGTATAATATACATCCCTGCAACCTCTATACCCCCCATGCAGACTGTGCGGCTATCGCTTCCAGGGATTCGTGAAACTTGCATCCCGGCCGACGTGACAGAAGCGACGACATCAAGCCACATGTTGTGCATCGTTTCTCTTCAACGGTCGCCATGTGCAAAAGCTTTTGCTAGCGCCAAGTTAGGCAGAACGTAATGGCAACTAGAGATATCTTCATCATTCGTCAGTCACTGTCCATTGCCACGCTTGGATGGCCAATGAACCGTAATTATCAAATTTTCCCAATGCAAAGTCGGTCGTCAAACGCACCCTCCGGCCTAGCCCATTCTCGGAAATTTCCTGATGATCTCTCGCAGTTCCTTGATTTTCCGTCATGACCGGTTCCTGGCATCGCACTTTTGACGCACCCCTGGATTTCGATTCGTTGAACGCATTTGGACAGCGATCAACAGCAAGACATGGGCGTATTTTCGCTTACGGACAGTGAGATTACAGGAAGGGGAATACTTGCCGGTTCCTTCGGCACGAAGTAAGGCCTAGAATCGGCACTGGTGAACGGCCAAGTGGGCTGCATAAACTGGGGAAACGGGTCTCATCATATCATTGTCCCTGAAAATGGTCATCGACATGTCGTTGTGGTCTTCCTTGGCTTGTGGCGGGTAACATGCCGTGACGAAAAGTCTGGCTCGACATTCACAGGCGAATGATAAATATATCCAGTCTCTTCCAATGACGATGCCGGTCTGCTCATGCGCTAGTATGCGCTTGCAGATGTTTGCTTCTCGGCTGCCTCGCCCAGCATTGACAATATGCCTGCATGCGCGCACCCAGACTTACAGATGGTCTCGAGACGACGAAGCCACCATAACGGCATCCGGCAGCCGGTATATCGTGGTGTTTCTATTTTAAACACGAGAAAGCATACACAAAGTGTCATTTTTTCCATGTCGATCCTGAAAATCTTTCGGGGCCTCCCATGCAGGTTGATGCATATTTTATCGGACGAAGCTGTTCTGCTAGCTCTCCCATCTGTTCTCCCTGAAGATCCGCATCCTTTGCCGTTGTGGGGGACATCAAAGCTCTCCGCGCTATGACATCCCTGATCGATACCCAGATCTAATGTCGTTGCGATGTCGTCGGTGAACCAAACTTCTAGACCCGCTTGGTCTAGGTTTCCAAGATTTCCTTCTCCCCTGATCTCTAAGACTCCAATGATGCTTAGCACACAAGGCATCAAGTTCATCTCTTTTCTCCCCCTTCCCCTGCAAGCCTCAGCCGCTTTGCGACCTTGGTGTGGCAAGGGTCCTCCGCTATGCCTTGTGCTTTTGCGCTGGCAAAGGGCAATTCGCTAGCACGAGTAGAACTCGGCAATTTTCCTCCTGGGAACAGTTTTCATCTCATTCGACGAGCCCTGACCCGTCGTCAGACGCGTACACGGGGTTTACTTCCTATTCCAACGGTTTGCTGATCGGGATCGACAAGGCAATGCGCTTTTCTACTGCTGGCCCTAGGGCTATGACCGTTACTTCCATCTCATTGTCACGGTGAACAAATCTGGGGTTTGTAGCTCTCAAGCTAGCTCCCAGGTAGCTGGCCACCTTCGTCATCGTCTCAGGACGTACGCAGAGCCTCTGACGAAGCGCGATGCAACATCCCGAGACGACTCATCTATAAAGGCCAGTTGTAACTCACCCTCATAGTCCCCATTCTTGCTTATTATTAGCCACCACCTCATCCAAACTCTCAGCACAAACAACCTTCACTTAATACATCCACTCCTACGCTTCCCAATCAATCAATCCCTCAAAATGCAGTTCTCCATCATCGCCGCCGCTCTCTTCTCCACCGCCGCTCTCGCAGCCCCGGCCCCCGAGGTTGCTCCTCGCCAGTACACCCCCTGCTCTGGCTTGTACGGCACCTCGCAGTGCTGCGCGACTGACGTACTGGGTATCGCCGACCTCGACTGCGCCAACCCTCCCACCGTCCCCACCGACGCTACCGACTTCAGCACCATCTGCGCGGATATTGGCCAGCGTGCTCGCTGCTGCGTCCTACCCATCCTGGGTCAGGATGTCCTCTGCCAGACTCCCGCCGGTGTCGTCGATTAGGAAGCCATTTTTCTCCCTGTATTATCAGGTTGGTTTCCAATCCCCTGCTCATTGCCTCCCACGTATTTGCTAACCAGGTCCCTCAGGCCAATTCCAAGGCTTCAATTCGATGCTTTTGATTTTATAATATTTCTGGGCGTGTGTATGACGGGATGTCAGCTCCACGCCTACCTAGGTGAGAAGGCACTACGGTAGAAGGCGGGTCCTTTTGGGAGTCAGAAGGGAGGACGGAGCGGGTGTGTTTAGACAACATGTGTATATGATTTTACTGCTGAGGTTAGTCCTAGCCTGTGTCTTATATTAGAACTTCAAATCAACAAGAAATTTCTGCGGCTTTCTGGGAATCCTCGACCTGTCTGCCACGTATTTGGCAACACAAGCATATCTCTTCCCTGAGTAGACCGTATTGACGATTTCTAAACTGGTCGAGCTTTTCTACTTCGGAGGTTATCAGATCATCAAAATCCGCCTATCACGATAATGTGGAGTCTAGAGTCTGAACAAGAGAAGACTTGAAGCTGGTGTTGAGTCTGGTGTGGACCGGCCCTCGGATAGTTAGGATCCACCCTACTTAGCTTCGGCTAGGTCGTGGTACAGAGGCAGAGTAGGACACGAGTTCCCCATCTTCACGCATCATCATCCTCATCTTCATATCATCATCTCCTTCTTGTCTATATCTTCACCTTCGCTTTTCAGTCAGTTATTTAGTTATTTTAGTTATTCAGCTTATCTTTACGTTCGAGATCCTATTATCACGATACGAGTATCAGAGGCACATCGGACCAACTCGCGCACCAGACGTATAAGAGCTTCGCTTTTATAACCAGTACCACGATCTTCGTCTGATAAGACCAACAGATGGGATCTGTTGGTACTGGAGCCGTCTGTTCAGTGTGTTAGGTGGTAGGTATATCCTACTGACCGCCTGGCCCCGTTTCAATACGTACCAAAATTGGGCGCGTCGTAGATGCTAGCCGAGTTAGAGCGTCCGATTCGAACAAGATCCGAGACTCCTACACCCCTCCTCGAACGCTTACATACGAAGTATCGTATCAAACCCGACAACGAGTATAATATGGATGAGACAGGTGTCCAAGAGGGGAAATCTGGGCATGGTACGGTTATTGGGACGTCTAATTCACGCCGGGTACGCGTATCAAAGTCGGACGCTTCGTCGTGGTGCTCCTGGTTAGAGTACATTTCGCATACCCAACGGGGTACACCTGTCTGCGTATTTTCCGGCAAGAGAGTCCAAGCACAGTGGTTCCCAGACCAAAATATCCCTGAGTGGGAATACACCGCGACGAGTAAGGGCTGGAGTAATAAAGTTATCGCAAGTAGGTGGTTAGATCAGTTTTTTCTCCCCGAGACGAAGCCTAGGGGTACCGAATGGCGACTCCTTATCCTCGACGGCCACCAGACACATATTCATGCCGAATTTATGTGGAAAGCCTACTCGAATAGAGTCACCGTGCTGTGTTTACCCTCACACTGCAGTGACGATCTCCAGCCGTGCGATGTCGGGCCGTTCTCACCTTTGAAAACCTACTACCGCCAAGAGCTCAGGGCTTACGTTTCCTACAAGGCTACAGCCCCAATTTACAAGCAACGTATGCTAGAAGCATATCTATGTGCCTCGGAGAGAACCTTTACTACGGAAAATATTAAATCTGGCTGGCGGAAGACTGGTATATGGCCCCTAGGCTCCGAAGGACTAGTCGACGTATCTTGCGATCCTCCGGAGCCTCATACACCAGATCCTCCGCCTCATATATCACCACCTTTAGTTGCTTTTACTCCTCAGAAAGTGCAGAAACTATCTAGCCAACTACAGTCGATAGAGAAAGCCGAGGGCGGGGTATCTCGTAAGATTCGTACCCTAGTAGGCAAGGCGGGCAAGGCCCTTACACTCCAGGCCGCCGAGAATGCCAAATTACGTATCGAAAACGAGCAACTATATAAAGAACTCGATAAATACGCTCCAGATATACGCCAGCCCGTCGAGCCAGACCCGAATAAAGTATTCGTTAACTTATCAGCGATCCGAACAGCCCAGGACAAGCGAAATAAGCGAATACGGCCTATTTTATCGGATAAGCAGTTAGAAATTGATACTTTTCTCGAAGGAAGGGTCCCTCCTAAAAAGAGGGCTCGAAAGAATATATCTAAGTCTTCAGACACTTAAATTAAGTATGTTCTGTATAACATAGTCCACAAGCGAACGGGTCACGCCAACTAGCAAAACATGGAATTCAACACGATTTCGCAACCACAACGCCGTAAATCAATTAAAACTACTCAGAATACTCTTGCCCAGATGATTCTATCTCTACCTGACAGGTTCGCGCATTATGCCCGGTCTTCCCGCATACGCCACAGCGCCGTTGCCGTGGCTGGCCACGATTTGATCCAGCGCTATTTCCACGCATTTCCTGCTGTACTTGCTGCGCAACGTCCTTTTGACCTTGAAGATCTTGTACGTCTTGTGAATTAAGTGATCCTCCAAGCCGTACTCGTGTTTTTTTGGCCCTGCGCCGCTTGCTAATTAGAGCATTTGCCTCTCGAAGTTCGGCGACCTCAGCTTGGAGTAAAGCCATCTTATGCATAATACTCCGCGCTCCTTTCGAAAACTGATCGATAGCATCGTAAATTGACGTCGGGGAGCTATTTTGATGCCTGGAAATTCGAGATTTAATAAATTCGGATTGCGAAGTAGCCTCGGTTGGGTTTTTTGGCGTCCGAGAAGCCCAAGGAAGGGTTTCCCGCGTAGGGGGCCGGGAGGACGTTGGAGTCTGTAATTTCACATCCAGCTTCTCAATAACAATATCTGGGCTTAAAGGCACAAGCCCAGCCCCTTGAAAGCCTGCACGAATATTGCTTTCGGTCAGGCTCTTCTTGAACGCGTCGCAAAATGCCGGAAGAAAGTCCTCCTTTGTGATATGCGAGTCGCGTAGCAGTCGGTTTGCCATATCTTCAACAGCACTTAGCCGGGGAGGAAATGCTTGTGAATCTAGCTCAATTATCCTTTGAATAATCGTATTTCCTTCTAGTTTCGTTAAATTCCGACCGTTAGCTTCGATATTGCGACGTGATTGACGTTTTTGAAGACGCGCCTGGAGAGTAGTATTCGAGACTTTGTAGATTGTTGCACCACGTCGGATACTAAGTGTTGAGTCATTTCTGATAGCCTGAGTTGCAAGGAGTAATTGAGATTCTTTTTGAGCAGAATCCATCGAGAATTAGTTGCGTGGTAAAGTTAGGAAGTTGAGTTCTATTTTTTGCTATGGCGTGGCCCGTTCGGTTGGGTGACCCGTTCGCTTGTGGACTACGTTATAAATAATATGGACGAAGTATTTAGGTTGATTCAGTTAGACCCTGCAAAATGGGGGTGCATGCAAAAAGGTGGTCAATGCGGTTAGGTCTTGCGTATCTAAAGTCAGCAAACCACTTTTGCTTCCGCACTTCCATGTAATTTCCTTGCAAACACTAACTGACCTCGAACCATTTCCATCTCGGTGTCACCACTCCGTCTCCTCCGTCTCCTCCGTGTCGTGCGACGGTCGCCCTCGGCTCCACCATGGACGCGGCTCAGCCGACTTACATCCGAACTCGGGTACAGACCGCGTGTGACAGGTGCGTCTTCCGGTTTCCGTCGGGATACACAACGTAACACAATTAACAACCCAAATCTGAAGCTGCAAGGCGCGCAAGGTCAAATGCGACGGGAAACGGCCGTGCGGTTATTGCACTCGCCGCCAACGGCCCGAAACATGTCATTATTCGCCCCAGCAACGGCGTCGTGCCGCTACCGCCGCAGCTGCACGATCGCCGCCTCAGCAGCTTCCGAACTCCCAGCATACGCCCCTGACTTCGGCACAACCGCACGGAACGGCGCTCACGCCGGCCGCGTCCGTGTCGTCGTCACGGACGCCAGACGGACACCAGCAGGACTCAATACAAGTTGCAAATCGGATACCCGGCGACCCTGATGACGAGACTGAAGTCCCTCGCGAGGCAAGGCTCCTCTGTGATGCCCAAGGCAAGTTGATATTCATCGGCGACTGTGCACCCCTGTCTTTCTTCCAAAGTGTTAGACAGCTAGTCGTCAGCCGCGTCGATCAAGACGCTTTCGCGCCACAGAGTAGTCGGTACTCGGTGCTGGAAAATGCACCGTCCGCATATCATGGCTCGTCAGGGGACAGTCCACCCACCGTGTCTGTGGAGACTATTGAGCGTACCGTTTCAGTATATCTGTCGACCACGGCTGGGCTCGTTGATCTGTTTGACAACAGTCGATTGGTGGATGACATTACACTCTGGGCAAGTCATGGTGATAGCTTGGATGATGCATCGAGCGCAGTGAATTACCTTGTCCTGGCTATTGGCTATCAGAAGGACAGTGAGGAAATGGCGCAGGCGTACTTCGAGTACGCAAGGGATCGAGCGTTCGCCAATCTCGACGGCAATCTCAGCATGAGCACAGTGCAAGCTTTTGTGCTTGTGACGCTGTATATGCTTGGCGCATGTCAGATCAACGGCGCTTTCATATTCTTTGGACTTTCCGTACGCTCTGCATTTTCAATTGGTCTTCACAGAACCGAAGTCAACTCCCGGTTTGGACATGACGTACATCGACATCGAGATCGACTGTGGCGGAGCCTGAGGTCAGTGGATTTGTTCCTTAGCACATCTATGGGCCGGCCTCCGTCGACGTCGGATATCGACTGTACTGTTCCTTACCGGACGGTGGATGCTGATGGCCATGAGTCATTCGACCTTCTCAGTGCTTCGGTACAGATCTTTCTTATTATTGAAGGGATAGTCGTCGAAGTGTACTCCAGGAGGAAAATCTCGTTGGCCATGACGGAAGGCATTTCTCGTCAATTGAGGGATTGGTCAGGGCGGTGGCTCGAACAGCTCAAACATGTTTTGGCTACGAATGGCGGCGAGCAGAGCACCGCGCAGTTACACGGCGTGTGCCAGGTGCTTTCTACCTATTACTATGCTGTTATGCTTGTCTCACGGCCATTTCTCATGTACGAGGTATGTAGACGTCTCTCCGACGGACCTCCATCGTCTAGTAGGTCGGACGTCTATTGTGGAAAGTCCAGGCTGGCGGATGCTTGCATCGATGCCGCAAGTCTCATGGTGGACCTCGTGTCGGATCTAATTGAGCGAGACGTCCTCGCAGGGAAGAAACCCTTGATAGTGTAAGACTACACCCTTTCATTACTTCTGGTATGTCTCCTAAAACTTACACTGCTGCCAGATCTTGGCTATTCGCATCATCGATGGCTTTAGGGGTTGGGCTCCTTGGCGGCTTCGGCCGCATACTTGAACGCTACACTCGAAAGTCCATCGAGGCTCTTGAGCACTTCGCCAAGTCAGACGCCCACGCCATGCAATACAGTCTCATCGCCAAAAGTCTTCTGGCAAGTGCTCTGAGCTATCTCGAGAAGAAGGAGATAATTGAAAGACTCCAGCGGACTGAAAGCAGTAGCCAGCTCTTCGGTCTCACGCCGCTAGAGACACCACGGCCTAGTATAGATCTCACTAGAAAAGAGGGCAGCTGGGTTATTGAAACCCCATCGATGATTCCAGGCCGAAGAGACTCCTGGTCGAGGCATGACAACTTCTTTGGGCGTGGATCCCATTTCGCTGACTCGCCTGGTCGATTCGGAGATCTGGACCCGGCATTTTTATCGCTATCTGGTTCTTTGCCTCGCACACCTGACCTGTCATTCTTGAACAACGCGCTTGAGAACGACCAGAGCTCGGGTGCGTTGAATCTCTTCCCACTCTTGGAGACGAGCGGTCATATTGATCTGGCTCATTATTTGTAGCGCCATGCAACCACATTTAAACTACAGCGGTTGTGACCCATACAGCGCATCAATTCCCTATTCCCCGCATAATGAAATCCTACGAATTCCCTTCCAAGCCCACAACAGTGGTTACCGCATGGCTGAACTTGCGAATCCCCGTCCGGATAATCTTCAACTGAGACTTGCAGTTCGGATCTGGGCACGCGATCAAAGCATCGGTGCTCATCCAGTCGTGGGCATGCGTCATTCTCTGTTTCGCCGCAAGGAGAGGCAGCACCGCCGCTTGTGACAGTCAGCGCGAATGGAATTTTTCGGAACTGTACAGTTGCACACCTACAGAGACTATATATGCTCACCCCCTGGTCCGGCGGCAGATACATCATCTCACCCTGCAGGGTGAAATGGTCTCCTGGCTTAGCACCACAGAGAATTCTCCCGCCCTCTGGGCAGACGACCTCAACTCGGAGGTCGTAAAGCTCGAACTCGTCGGCTGGTGAGCTGTTGGTGAGATTCGACATTCTGGTGCTTGAATTTCTTCGGGGACGGATACATCCGACAGCCCCGAAACCTCGAGTAGTGAGATGGCGAACAAGATCTAGTCTAGCCGGGTTGATGAACCTGCGCCATGCGCACTGAGTCATTGTTCGTGCTTTCGAGACTCCGAGCAAGGGTAATGGCCGGAAGATGACGCTAAAAAATGGCGGATCTCGGATGTACTAAGCGGTGTGGCCATATCCGCCCCGAACATTAACATCCAAACGGATCTTGGACTTGATGGCGATCTTCAGCTTACGCACTAGACAAGCGAACAATATGTTGAACGACACCGTAGATTCAGAGTGACAGGCAGGTGTGATACTCTTTGCGGTAGCAAAACCTTGTTATTCTATCTCAGATGCATTTTTCATGATGTCTGCTACTTGCTACCCAGGTGCTTGCTATTGAATGCAATGGATGAGTGAATCTGAAGTCTTCTGCCTGGCCTGGCGCTTTTCATAGCACTCAAGTTAAGAGCAGTTTAGGTACCCAGTGGAAACAAAAAAGTGCGATACAAGATTGGGTGGTTGATATTGGGGTATTTTTATTGTTGCTCACGTATTTTTGCCCTGATCACTAGAAGGACGAAATGCAAAACTTCAAGCCCGTGAACCCAACATCAACACAGTCTAATGTATTATTCTGAATGTAACACTGAACCTCCAGAGATGACCGCGGCCGCCTGATAAAAGAAAGAAACCGAACTCGGATAAGATTGCACAGTTCCAATTTTCCAACATCTGGGAAGAACCGCAACTCATTCCCTCGACAACAAGTCGTTGATACGCAAGAATTGATCCAGATCATCCGACTTTCAAGCTAGGTCCCTCTAGTGCATCCCATGAGACCAGCTGGAGACATAACCAGAGTCGTGCCCGAAGGCGGAAAATATGTCTTCGCCAGAGACGTATCCACCATGCCTGGGCTGGTGTCCTCTCCGGTTGTTTCCTCTGCGGGCCGCGGCGAAGTTTGGAACCTCAGCCGGCGTGGAACGGCGTATCGGCTTATGTAGTCTGCAGATTCCTCGTTGATCGCATCCTGCGGAGCCACTGTTACCTTCTCGTTGCGCTGGGTATTGGGGTCATTGGGCAGAGCAGCCACTGCGGGACGCATCGACGCCTCGAACCGTTCTTGGAATTTGAGCAATGACTTCTCTACCAAGCCCACGGTAAACTGCCTGGTCTCCCAAGGGAAATAATAACCAACGCTTGGGTCCAGGAGCTCCCTGAAGATTTTAGGCTGCTCGACCTTTTGGAAACCATGTGATTGTTCGTAATGGGTATACTGGCCAAAATAATCGGGGTCTATCGTGTTATTTGGAGTTCTTTCCCAGAGCAGTGGAACATTCAAAACTTACAGGGCGATATTGTTTGGTCGGATGCCATGTCAGGGAAGCAATTCTGAATATTTTCATCCATTTATCGTGCTCGTTTTTCCTTTGAATAGTCCCGTATCATGTAACTGTTCGAGTTTTTCTGGGACCTCATTCAAAGAACCTCCCTCTTGTACATTGCCGGTGTGGGGGTTGCATTGATGCTCCTGCGGCTCTCCTGGGGCGCAAAAGCGCTCGTGACAGTGAAGGCACACCATAGTTGGTTGATGACATCTCGCTAGATGTTCCCTGTTTTGTTTAGTCTAGGGACTAGAATGACGGATGTTGGATCGATACAGGCACTTACTTTAGACGGGGAATGGTCCAGGAGCCCGTTGAGCAAGTTCTCTTTGCCTTTTCCAACGGCCCTGCATATACCAAGGGGTAGCGCTTGACGTACGGGCAAGCGAATTTGGGTTCTCCAGTTCTTGGTTTTTTGTCGGACTTGCGTTTCTTGCGTTCAGGGGCTTCTTCATCGTTCTCATCATCACAATGATCTCCATTGACCGCCTCTTTCCCATTCCTCACTTTCCTCGACTTTCGGGATGTAGGAGATGGTTGGCTCGAGCCTGCAGTGTGCTGAGGCGTTGCCTCGCCGTTATCATTGCCTGCAGTCTGTCCTTCCAATCTGCAGTAGAAATAACGGGGTTGTCACTATCAAGGCTAGCTGTACTGGAGACTTCTGGATCTGTCTGTTCGGCTAGCAGCGAAGGCTCGGGTTGAGGGTACTGCTCTTGGACTATATCCTCCCTCTTTATTGTTGCCTCTTTTTGCTGTCGCATAGGCCTTGGGGCCATCAAGCCATGCTCATTGAGGTGCTCCAGAAGGCAGGAATCAGGTTTGATACGCCGAACGCTTGTGGCATTGGTCAGAATGTGTTCCCGTATATGTTCCATGCGCATCGTGAAGTTGACTCCAAGGTCGGGTGGGTCGAAATTCCAGCATCTACGGTCTCGGTGAGGTGCCGTTGCGTCGAAGTCGGTGCTATCACAGAACCAACAGCAAGCCTTAGCTGGCAACATGTCCTTGAGATGAGCTTCGACGATGTGGTCTGTCCATGGTTCTGTCTGATCAATGGGAAAGCTTTTGTTGCAGATGCCCCAGCAGGCGAGCTCACAGGGGAGAAAAGGTGCGACATCGGTGATTGAAGAGCCCATTGTGTGGCTGGTGGGACGTGTATACCTCGGCAATGACTTGATTGAAGTAACAGAGGTGACTGACGATGAAGTTCGGGCGTTTGGTGGGTACCATGGATGGCTGCCAACAACTCCACTATCATAGTATGATGACTCTGACTTTTCCACAACATCGACATGGGCAACTACTGATTGGGTCTGTTGGGTTGACGTGGGTGATCCAGGCGGAATTGAAGTCCAGAGGCTGGGCTGAGAGGTGCTAGTCTGCGATGACGTACCAACATCCAATGCCTGCTCGGAGCGATTGACGTTGACCAAATTGGGTGATTCAGAAGAGTAAAGAGAACATGGACTGTCTTCGGTGACAGCTGACAAGGGGACTTTACTATTCTCTTTAGTCCCTTGCAATTTGAGCGGCCATGTTTCTCCCTTTCCCTCAGAGTTTTGGCTTGTATCCCAGTCGGATTTCTTGTACAATAACCTGAAATGCACGTGGTAGTGGAGGGTATCGGGATGAGAGAGTTTCTGGCTTTCAGCATATCAGTGTTGCCAGGTCGATGCTTTCGGGTGAGCCCGTTGATCCGCGCTAATATCAAGTCTTCTTCATCCTGAAGGAACCTGGAGATACTGGAGGTCTTTTTTAATCTGCTAAGATCGAGCCGAGCCCTAGGGGTTTCCATACCGACTTTGAGGAGGCTTTTATGCGAAGTGTCTTTTGCGGCAGCTCCGGTTGCATGGCCGGAGCCGTTGTGTCCATGAAGTGACATGCCTCTGGATCGACTCACTCGATCGGCTGCTTGAATGAATATTCAAAGGGCTCTAGCCTTCGTCGCAGCTTACTCGGGTCAAAAGGTACAAGGAGATAGAGTTGGGGTTGAGATGAAAGCTGGGTTGGTCAGAATTGGAACCTTGCCGAGCTAAAATTCGGCGATTTAAATTCGATGAAATTGATCGCAGCTGCGACGATTGGCTTTTTGCAGTAGCGAGCTCTTTGATTGGTGGTCTGTCGATCAATATTTGTCCAGGGGTAATATTGGATTGACCAGATACTCAAGTACTTCTGCATTGACGTGCTTGAGTATCGTTGCTATACACTTAATCCAGCTGCTTAAGTACTTTTCATAGCTAACGCCCTTTCTGTCAGAAACTGTTGAGACAAAGCCCTACCAATCAAACGAAGCACCCTTAGGTTCTCTTGACTGCCCCTTATCCTATAATATTGACAGAAGCACCATAGGCAGCAAGATGACGATGGGTCTGTTGAGGGTTAGTGGTCGTCATTGTTTCCTTCAAGTCGATTGTGCCAAGGTACTTACGTATTCAACACCGCGCTACGAACACCCCAACTCTTCTTTTCAGCAAGCTCAACAGTCACTGTAGGCTGCATAGTGATTGTGGTTGTGCGCCTGGTGGTGCTCGTCACGGTCGAGACGCCCTCGTCTCTCTCTGCCATTAAGTGCAGCGGGGCCGCAGTCGGAGCCATAATATGCACATCAACAATGCCACGAACATTCAGCATCTGCGAGGGTAGGTTTTCTACGTTGGAAACCTGAAAATCCGGCGCCGGGGGAAAACCTTTGGTTGCGATAGCGAAGACGCCGGTGGTTGTATAGAGTATAAGAGCCCCTAGGGGTACTGATTTTGTGAATTTCATGTTTGCCACTAAGTTGGCTACAATGAATATAACAAGTAAATGAGAAGTGAGGTAGAGGCTATGTGTGTAAAATATGGAATGGATTTGTCAGTCAGTTCATTGATACGCAGGTGTCATTCCTGGGTCTACCTACTCCGCAAACCAAAACAAAAGAAACTAGGTCACTTTTGTATGCTGCTAGAATTTATAGGCTGCAAAGGTCTATAAGTCTGGTGTATCTAATGTGTATAAATGAGAATGGTTGTCAGCAACTAACAACCCGTAGTGCTGCTGATTCCGCGATCCCAAGGAAAAGACACAGCTATAGGTCTTGGTATAAATGAGTGACTGGGGAAACTAAAGAGGAAACTTTCTTAGATTGGGTGTTGAGTCCTCCCTTCTTGAATGTTTGGTCTTAAGTATCCTCCGACAGCACTGAGATAATACGACAGGAGCTGCTGGACTCTTGAGGGGTTGAAGTCCGGATGAATATTCCGAATAGGTTCCTACGGAAACACTACGTACAAAGTGAGACCGATGAGATGTGGGATGGTCCGCAAGGTTAAGGATCGGGTGCACGGAATGCTCGTTCGTCCTAATCCCAAATGGCAAATCCTCACCAAAGCGCCCGGATGTTAGCTCTCAACTACCCGGGCTGTACACGAAGATTCGATGGCCCATGTTACCGTTGTTGGACTGTCACGAGTCTACAAAACTCAGTGCATGGCCCTGTACTCATTCCCACAATCTCCCAGCTTAGAAAACATCTCCTTCGTCTTCTCGCCGTCTTTGTCCACTGCAATCCGATTGATTGAGTTCATGTCGTCCTCATCCAGGATCAAATCGAAAACTCGAAGATTCTCATCTCCATGAGCTGAAACTCCGAGACGGGTGCCGACAATGACAGCGCCGACGGCAGGCTGCTGTAATACCCATCTCGTGGCGATATTGGTTAAGCTTACGCCGTGCTTTCTTGCGACCGAATAGAGGACGTCAAGCAAGGCTTGGAAATCGGCCCAAGTGCCCCATTTGTTAATCATATCGAAGTACTGAGAGTGACAGAGATTAGAAAAAGTAGAGCAGCCTTTTGCGTTGGTCTCACCTTTCGCTGCGACGGCGTGAGCTGACTTGTCTCTGAGTATACCTCAGGGGCTGGCTGATTAAGCCACTTCTCCGACAAGAAACCACCGCACTGAAATTCGTCAGTGATGCAATGGCTGGAAGAAACGTAGAGACATACAAAAGAACCATAGGTCAGAAGCTTGAGGTCGTACTTGGTGCACACGGCGCACATCAATTGAAGCGGACGAGAGTCCAATAATGAGAACTGAGTTATTAGCCGTCGAACTGGTAAGTAATTGGTTATTACCTACCTGTACCTGATTCGTTACGATACCAACAGCCCCTATCTTGCTCAACAGATATTCGCAAGCTTCCTCCACGTGATCCGAATCAAAGTTGCATAGTCCAATAGTCGAGACGAGTTCTGGGTGGCTCTTCGTGATGGATACCAGCTCGACCAAGACGTCGAGATATTGCTTTGCCTCGTACTGCATGTCTGGTAAGTATCTCGCAGCTTCAAGGGAACGAAGATACTCACATCATGCCAGTGGAACTGCAAAAGCTCTACCCTACCGCCTAGTCTCCTACAACGGTCTTTCACGGCATCAAGAACCCAGTCAGACGTAACAGGCCGGTTGATTGGTCCAAAAACACACCATTTGGTTGCCGCATAAGTCTTGTTTTTGACCTGAGCTGGCAATTTGTTCCGGAAGTCGCCATACACAAGCTCTGCATCCCCCTAAATGGTGCCGGTGTCAGTGCTTAACCCTGGAATAGCAGCGATAAGGGCCATACGTAATGATCGGCCATATCGGCAGTTGTCAATCCGCATTTGACTAAGCTCAGAAGCGCTGCCTCTTGCTTCTCTGCCGTTCCTGAACCCCAAGCAGGCGAGGAAAGTTGCCACAATCCATTGAACAAACGAGGCACCTGGTATTGTCCTAGCTTGAACGTTTCAACTTTGGTCTCTTTGGAGACCTCTACGATCAGTTTCGCACTGCATATCCCCTCGGAGCCGGAGAGCTGCGACTGTCCCAGAAATAGAATTCCTAGAACATCTTTGACCTGCCTCTCGGATCGCAAGAAAGGATAGGGGGTTTCTGTCGTCTCGCAGTACTTATAGCACTCCTTGATGGATATGAACAGCTTCATAAGTAGCTCCTCTAGCTCCTGGGTTGGCTCCGGTCTCGATTCTTTCAAGGCCTGCACTGCCTGTACGATATCGCCATCAAACGTTGCCAGCACAGCTCCAAGCTCGGAGCCTGACGTCCATCGTGCGTTGGCCAGACGGATGGAGTCCAGGAAGTGAATCAAGCTTCCGATTGTGTTAGTGGCGGGGGCCGGGCTCGCGGGTGATGGAAATGGGCAACTCACTAAGGGAGACACTCTTTGGCGAGCTTGCAGGAGAAGACGCATCTAGTGAGTGCTAGATACTGCTTACATGTTGTCGACGCTTCGTATATCTCAGGGAACAAAGCATCAGGGCTTGGAGTTGCGGGTGGTGCTTCTAGCATTCTATGGCGGATGTGTTGGACGAATGGTTGTTGAGTCACAGCGCCTTGGGAGACGAGGACTCTCAATGCGGATCTCAGTAGCTCGGATGGTACTATTCCATAGTGTCAAAACCTAGATCCAGCAAAGGGATGTTGGGCGAGGACACACAGTTGGAGATGAGAACATCGTCCATCATGTTCCTATGCTTTATCAGCCATGTTATCGTCTGGCACTCGATGATAACTCACACGTGCCCACCCATGATGTCACCCTTAAAGTCAGTACTACGGCTGCGATTGTGACTTCTGGTGTTCCAAATGCAAGATCGTTGATGGCTCGAAATAATTATGAGTCTTCCAATCAGCAGAGGTCTCTGCTCAATAGAGCCGCTCACGACCTTGGGCGGAGCAAACCGCACCTAGCTGTATCTCCAGGCAGAAGTTCGATAAGCCGAGACGGGATTGGCCGCTCCAACCCCAGATCCATACTTGTAAACGGTTACTAGCAGTGTGCGCTGTGGCTTGCGCCTTCAGTTTCCACTCGGTCAACTTCCAGTAAAAAACAAGCGAAGTTTTCGAGGTTCCGCGTACGTGGGCCCTCTGGCATATATTTACCGAGGCTACTTCTTCGTGGCGAACGTATGTAAGGCTAGCCGACGTGCCGAAGAGCACGGAAACGTATACGAGGGCACTTATAGGAGGCTATCATAGAAATGACAGGGCTTGTGCAGTTGAGTAAGGGGCGTACGTCGAACCATCGAACACAGTTATCATGTGCTTTTTAAAGAAATAGCCGAGAGGAAACTGAGTTTGCCAACTACAGCGCATCCGATGAACCCACCAAATAACCTAGCGTAACCGAATCAATGCACTGACTCAGTGAGTCGTCCACGTGCTCTTTCGAACACCAGGTTCGGCAGAAAAAGTCACCTGTAACCGTCATTATCCTAACTATTACGTGTACAGAGCCTGGCCGTGTAGCACAGGTATCACCGGGAATTGATGGCGACAGACCTCGCTAGTTGATCCACCTAGGCAAACTCTATACCACTAAGATGTTTACTGTGGTAATATAGTAATTATTCTTTGAGATTGAGCAGACACGCTGGCTAAGTTTTACATTCCACCCCTCTCCGGCCGTTAGTAAGTCTACACTATGATGCCCTAAGCACCCCCGCCTCCAAGGTCTCATCTCTCGACTGCTTCAAGAAGGGTATCAAAGTCGTCCCACCCGTGCCTTTCAACTCTACCGCCTTGTTTGCCTCTCCATCGGCCGCCATCTTTGTCGACGAAGCCGTCGCCAAGTTCTGCTTCTGTACTCCCCGGCACGAAGCCCGTTTTGATGGCAGCACAATATACATCGTAACCAGCTTGATGTGCTTATTCCTAAACTCCCCCAATGTCTCCGTCGTACGCTTATACGCCGCGCAGAACTGCTCCTGCTCCGTCGTCGTCGGCGGGATGAGCGCGAGCTCGTGTATGCTTCCCATGCGCGACACGTGGATCAGGAAGCGCTTGTGGGGACCTGGCATATACTCGCGGACTTCCTCGTGGAAGGTCGGTCCCGCCTTAGGAGGTTGGTCGGTTTCCGTTCTGCGCGGGTTCGTTGTGCCCTCGTGCTTGTGCTGCACACCCAGCACGATGTCGAAGAATTGGATGATGGAGCTTTGCCCGTTGCTTCCGCCGCGTAGTTGCTTCCAGCTCCCTTTCCCGTCTTTTGTTTCGGGATAGAAGACGCCGTTGGGCAGGCCGGCGGCTTCCATGTTTTTGCTTCCGGCTAGATAGGGGCGGATCTGGTGGTAAAACACGTCCGGATCACAACCCTCGTACATGCGTTCCAGTAAAGCCCCGACCTTTTCGATACATGAACTCAGTTCTTCCAGTGCGTTGGTGATGATGGCATAGTCACGACTCTTAACGGCTTCGAGAGCTCGCATCATCACCGGAATAATGCATGCAGTTTGAGCTTCCATAGCCACCGAGACCATGAAGAACCAATGTTCATCGTCCGTCCCCGTAAAGGTATGTAGGCATCGGATGCTTTTCAGGTCGGTAAAATCCGAGCCAGTGCTCGTGAAGTTCCACAGGTTAGAGGCGGCGTATGCCAGAATAGGCGGAAGCTCGAGAAATTGTGAAATTTTGAGAAACGGTATAGATATTGATGCCGGCAGGTTCTATATCTGGTCAGCCATAACCCATGCGGATTGCGTAAATGACCTACTGCAGCTGCCTTCGGTCCCGCCCAAACGTATGCATGAGTGAAAAATGCCATTATAACGTAAGCTCTCCGCCATTCCGCTAATGCGGATAAGTACTCGGTGGAAAGTACTGGCAGAGCTTCGATCCTCTCTCTGAGAGTTCCATTACTTAATAATACCGGTAGTTGTTGTATAACTTGCTCCCAGGGCTGGTAGTGGTCGCTTGGTAGTACACTCAGGGGCGCGTCTGCGGGAAGAAACCCATTACAGGTGACTGCGAATTTGTTCAACAAGTACTCGTCGGTAGCGGTATGAGAATCGAGTGTAGACGGAGGAACAGCGTGTGGGGACATGGTTGTGGATTTCAAACAGAAGTTGTGAACGTTTAGGGAGACTGTTTGTACAAGCTTTCCTGCTGTAGAAGATACGATGGCAATGAAGGAAAGGCTGCCAGATATTTTATCACTTTGAACCACAAAAGTCCAACATTTTGACTTTCTAGATTGACCACCATCAGGAAGCAATATCCACTTTCTTCCCGCCCTTTCGCAAAGGCGTTCCGCGACCGTAGATGGCCACCCGTTGTGTACGGGATCCGGCGACGGTTAGCCGCGGAAGCGCGGATCGGATGCCGGATGACCACCGGATGACCACCGGATACCCCACAGGCCAGGCACTCGCGTCCATCTTATGGCCTGAACGTCTTGGATGACTTCCGCGTGTTCGATAAGTTCTCTTTAGCAGTAATGTTGGAGGAGATAGTGTAGCCAATGTGTTGGATGTTGAATGCTTGCTCGGCACTCATGACAGCGTTGTCCCAAAAGTGAGCCACCGGATCGAAGAACCAATGAGTTTGAATGGAAAATGGCAACGGCTCGAAAGCTCTCCGTCGAGCAAGCGTAAAGTTTTCCGGTACCAGATAACAAGGCGCACGGCTATTCGATCCGTTTCCTCCAGCTCCAATGCGCCTTCGGCTCTTCCAACAACAGAAGCATCGACTGGACTCCCCGAGACTTGGGTCCATTCTCGATCAATTCAGCTTCGAGGGCCAACAACGCATATTTAATTGCCAGTTCCTGCTTCCCGAATGCATTGTAATTCAGTGCGACAAGTCCGAGTACGCCTGCGCTGTGGGATTCGTGTAGGCGTTCTTGCTGGTACAACGACAACAGCAACTCTATGGCCTCTGGCTCAAACTTCGCATTCCAGTCCCCAATTTGATTTTCAACCTCGTATATCCGCCACAGTCGGTTGTCCGACGCATTCGCCAGTGGCTCGGGTAGACTGCAGGAAGAACAGGTGCATTTGAAACCCCACGACCGCTGAGCGCGATCTTGGCGCACCGATCTCACACGGAAAGAGTCTACGTAAGAAATGGCAAGTTCCTCACCAGGTTGAATATCTCTGACAGCATGTGTGTAATGCGTTAAGTCGCCGTCGATGTAGTAAACCACGCTGCGAAGTTGTTACCATCCTGCTAGCCTTGAGGCTGGTGTAAAGCATCACTTACTTGGGTCGGCAGTCATGATTGTACCTCGAAACCTCGGGGAAGTTCCCAAAGTGATGACCGTCCTGACCAATGTCCATCCACATTTCAAAAGAGTTCGTCATCATGATATCAAGAACTCGGTGATCGCCGGAATGGCCCATTTGGGCCATGACAATATCTCGAGTTGCCATTGGGAGCCGACCGATACCAGCCTCGAGGAGTCGATACTGCTCGTCCTTGCTGAGATCATCAATGAACTTCCGGTGGACGACTATAGCGGGAGTATATGCCATAATACGCTGTCCACGCCGAATTGGCTGTGTCGCGACTAGACCGATCCCCTTCCCAGGAATGGCTGTCGCCCGGAACAGTGGTGGGGATGTGTTCACCTCATCTGTAAAGTTGACGTTGACGCCCTGCGACTGAAATATTTCAGCCACTCTGTCCTCAGAGAGAACAGGCAGCATTGAGATGGCCTCGGCGTTTTTTTTAAGACTGATGACAACGATGCCACGGCCGCCGGAGAAGTCGGGTTTGGAATAAACACAGAAGTCGCCATAGCAAGCATGTGGACCCTGCCATGCCGTTGAGTTACTGCCAACGTTGGTATTCTGCCCATTCCGCCCCTCAAACTTGATGCCTTTTTTGGCGTCAGGGCACGATAAGGGCATTGACATTAGCAAAGGGCTCCGTAAACAATATTCCGAAGTTGGATGTATTGCCAAATGTTGCTGCAGCGCCACGACCAAGGCCGGCCATGATGAGAACCAAAGAAGCACAGAGTTAATATAAAGCATGATGTCAGCTGTGGTCGAGTCTTCATGCGCAGCAAAAAGGAACTTATGAATTTCAAGAAATGAAAGACATTGAATTTTAACTGGGTGAGGTTGGTGCGGCTCATAAGCTCGAGCAATGGTGTTTCAAAGGATTGTTTCAATATCGTCCGAGATTGCCTTCGGGAAACTTAGCTGCGCATGAGCAGGTTAAAACAACCAATGTGTCCCTTGCGTGTATCACGATATTCTAATATAGACCGACGAAGAACCGATACAACCCCTGGATAGCATCACGATGCAGTCCCTACAGAAGTAGACCGGCGTTGTGTATGAGGCGTTCCACGACCTGGGCTGCTAGAGCTTACCGGCGCGACACACTCGTCGCCACACGGATTCCCTTATATATAAATACTGGTAGGCGACCATAGTATGGTATATGTTGTTATTTGGCTTTAGATTGGATAGTTGTCGACAACATACGTGGTGAGGAACGACCCAGCCACAGCCGGTACTATGGCAGGCGGAGAGCCAAGCCCCGGGAGCCAGCGACTACACCGCAGGTCAACTACCACAGGCCTCCATTTTCCCGTCTTGCAACTTATATACTACAGCTAATATATCGTCTAATTCATTCCAAAAGTAAATACAATGAAAATTAATACCCTGAGTGAGATTTCATCCCACCTCTTTCTCAATAGACTGGGAGCTGCTTAATTATGGAAGTCCACGCCTCTCGACTTTCCCCTTTGGGGGGACCGCCATGTGCCCTTCCTCCCTATCATTTTCATCCGTCTCTACCCCTTGTGATAGAGACAAATATGCCACATCCCAGGCGTTGGCTTACGATGCTATTATGTGAGTCCAGTTTACGCTCCCTGAGTAAACGAAAATTCGCGCAAGATTGGAATGATATGACCACACGAGGATATACCCATTGTTTCTCCAGAAACCAGCCACAAAAGATATCTCGCTGCATCGGTGATATATCGCCAAAATCTACCGAACTTCGATTTGATTGATGAAATGGCCTATGAGTGTTACTACCTGGGTCTTTGCCATGCATTTAACGAAGAAGTTATCTTCTGTAAGGCATTAGGAGGAACATTTCGGATTGCAAGGCTGTGGCCAGTTGCTTCAAAGCGGACTCTGCAAATTCAACCTTAACACGCCGCTGTCGATCTGTATCATAAGTGAAGTCAGGCCAGCAGCACCGCTGACAACACCAAGCAGTTCGGCCATGATAGTCCAGTGAGCTTTAGCGCATAGCATGATTCTCGACAGAGTGATGGAGGATCGGAATGAAGTTGAATAGTAGGAAGAATGAATTCAGAGGGTCTTCCCATCAGGCTCTGCGATTGCCAACTGGAATCTGCCTTGGCTGTCCAAACATGGCTGTGTATTCTGCACCCTGCTTTGTTTGGACCTCGAGAGCATCATGTTGCATACATTGTATGCAATGTCATATCATTGCAGGTTTGTAGCTGTTTTTGGTATTCTACTTGCTGCGAGTGCGTGCAAGCTTGAGAATTGGGCTGCCATCATCGACGTGAGTATAATTACTACGAGGTAAACATGACTACCTACCCCCTCACACACGGCATTCAATTCTTAATGACTTTGCCAAAATAACAAAAAGCGCCTGGTTTTCCCCAACTAGACGCAAATACACTAAATCCAGAGTCGGGCAGTGGCAGTTTTCGCTTTTTATTACTACACAGTATCGTCTTGTCATAATGTGATGCTTGATATTCCAGGAAAGAGCAAAGGTCGAAACCACTTTGCGAAGACTTAGACTGCGATCAGAGATCAAGTGCCGCCATATAGTAACCTGGAAGAATAAAGTAGACAGAGAGCAGAGATCAAATCACATCGGCGTGGGAGGTACAAAGAACTTTAACAGCCTTCACCAGATCAAGATACTTACAGACTGTTCACCACGTGACAACTGGTTGGATGGAGCCACCAACATTCGTTCAAGTCGTTGGACACATATCAGCTCAGGTGGTTGTCCCGAAGAGGAAGGCGTAGGGAGTCATGCAGGGGCAGAGATACCCTGCATCGTTATATTGCTTGATCCGGATCGTGCAAGTCATTACCACAGAGCCCATCCACCTTGTTTGCTCTGATTCTCTCGACACCCCGGTCTGGCGTAATCTTTTCATTATAATGGATGGGGGTAAACGGTGGAGATTCGGCATGCTTGCACATTGACGGATTAACTTACCCTGTTTCAGCGGCTTCGATGAAAGCATCAATCTGACTTGACTTTGTGTTTGTATGCTAATGGTCCTGATGGAGCAATTGAAGACACTTGCGCCGCCATTGCACCGTTGCACCGTTGCCAAGTCGGCAACGAAAGCCCTGCAGGCAACCTTCGAGGCAGCGTATTCCAGAGCGTGAGGAAACAGAGCTTGGCTGTTCGCCATGGAAATAAGTTCAATTTCAGTGAGTTGCGGTCCAGATTTCTTATGATCAACATGAAACGTCATTCATTCTCTTATAGTGATTGAAACGGGTTGCTAATCCCTGAATTATATCGGATTGTGGATACTTCCAGAACCTAATCAGATTGCTTCCTCGAACGATTGGGAGATGCGAGACCAGGTTGGCGTCCCGGGCTGCCGGGAGGCCAGGATGCAATGAGATTACACTTCATCCGTCAACGCTGGGCAGGGGTCGCAACATGCAATCTGCTCAAACGGTTGGAAAACATAAAGATGGGAGTGGTTCTCATAAGAGAGCGGTGAATTTCCTCTTCCATCGCATTCAGTCCAGCTACCTCCGCTTCCACTCGCATATTCATTATGCATCGTAACACCATACTGAGCATCGTGACGGTTGCAAGCCTATCGCTGAAGGCACGTGCTGCCTCAGGAACTGGCCAGACGACGAGATACTGGGACTGCTGCAAGCCGTCGTGTGCCTGGTCAGGAAAGGCTAGCGTCAGCGCACCGGTGACGACATGCGACAAGAACGACAGCCCTTTAACGAATCCCAACGCCGTGTCCGGATGTGACGGCGGCACAGCCTTCACTTGTACGAACAACTCACCGTGGGCCGTCAATGACCAGTTGGCCTACGGGTTTGCGGCGACGGCTATCGCAGGCGGTACCGAGGAGGGCTGGTGCTGTGCTTGCTATAAGTGAGTATTCACATACATCCCTCCTGTGCCAACAGACCGCCGATGCTAACACATCCTCCATAGGCTCACATTTACCTCGGGCGCCGCAGCAGGAAAGACAATGATCGTCCAATCGACCAACACGGGCGGCGACCTTGGCTCGAACCACTTCGACATCATGATGCCCGGCGGCGGCCTCGGCATCTTCGACGGTTGCACCGCCGAGTTCGGCACAACCCTTCCGGGTGAGCGTTACGGAGGCACCACGAGCCAATCCATGTGTGACTCGATGCCCACGAGCCTACAGGCCGGCTGCAATTGGCGCTATAACTGGTTCGGCGACAGCGACAACCCGGGTGTCGAGTTCGAGCAAGTTCAGTGCCCAGCCGCCATCATCGCTGTGTCGGGCTGCAAGCGCGATGATGACTCGACGTTCCCGGCTGTGGAGGAGGCTTCCGCGGGTACTTCGGCTGGCACGAGCACGGTCAGCAGTATTGTCAGCACCAGGGCAAATGTGGCCACCACTGCTGCGAGCAGTCCCACGAGCGAGGCAGCCAGCAGTGCTACGAGCAGTGCCGTGTCTAGCGTTGAGGCGACAGTTGAGGATGCTGCAACGAGCATCCCCGTCACTAGCCCCACAAGTAGCTCGACCAGCACCACAGCCGCTGCTAGCACGCCCGTTGGAATGAAGAAGTGCAAGAACAAGAAGAGATCCGAACATCTTGCCATGCACCAGCACAAATGAAGAGCGGGACATGATGAGGTGCTTGCTTTCAAAAGGACCATATTCAATTAGACAGGTCAGTGGGTCATGGTAGCCTGACTTGGCATTTGTACATACATTCCATTTAAGTCTTGAGATGAACACGAATCTGTTACTCTATGAAGCTGCTTTCCGCCAGGTGTCTGCTTTCCATCTGGAGAAGGGTGTGCTATTCAGCATGAAGTGCGGCAACTTCATTGTTCCCACGCAAAATCCGTTTGTCAAACAACCGTAATGTATCATCCTGTCGTCCAGACTTGATGGCATGCCGTGTTCAAGCTTAGCCCACACATCATTTGATGTGCCACTTATAGCCGAAGTCCATCATATAGTCATGCTTGATATGAAATTGCTCAAATTAAAATGCGTCTTCAGTCTAAATTTCCAACGTCCTTATAGTGGTTAAATGTGGTTCCAGTTCCCAGCGGCGCTTACGTGAGATTATACTAATGAAATTGACTTGGTGCATGTGGTGGCGATGGCACGTATTTGCTTGCTGTCTTCGGAACCGTGTCACTAAATCTGGGAACAATTTCTGTTGCCGTGCCAGCTTGTATTGCAACGTCCGATATTGCAGAAAGTGCTTAAAAGGTTTGTAACGACTTCCGTTTAAAGCTGACACCAGGATTGTTTGCTTAAACCGCAAAGTAAATGGTTTGTTGTTATACCACGCCGATTGGTGTCGAGGCAAATCACATTCACGGATTCAATAGCTACAACTAAACAAGTTTGTCGTAGGAAGTATGTACAATCCCATTGATATATCTCTTTATGTCATATGATACATGCGTAGATGGTCTGGTGTCCATTTTTGTCCCAATGTCCCGGTCATCCCGCAGCGCACTGCGCCTCGATGTTGGAATTGAAATATCCCCCCATATGTTTCCCATGTAACGCCTTGCCTATGAAGTATGGAATCGCCGCCATTGGTGTTCCAAAAGAAGAAGGAGATGATGATGACGATGAATCGCCTAAAAATGTAGCCATTTATGTAACCAATCCTGTCGCTGTCGTATGCCACGTTGCTGTCGTAACCACTCTAAAACTATCATTTGCCATCACGGCATCTGAGAAAGATTCAGAAAGTGCTAGGGAGAGAGCGGCGAGGAGTGCGGATGCGCCTGATCTCGCGTGACCAGAGAGTCGTCGACTGGCCAGCGGCGCATGTCGTACCCGCAGGCATGGCCTGAAGAGAAGTCCATGTTCCACTGGCGCACTGCTGGAAGGAAGACCCATCGACGCAGTTGAACATGCCCTCTGATGTACACTCGCCGGTCAACCCTCCAGTGGTGCTGGGGGTGCCCGAGCTGGTGGGTGCACTGCTTGCACTTGCGGTGGTGGGCGAGGCAGCTGTGGTGGTGGGTGACGTGGTTGGCAGCACACTGGTGACAAATCCGGTCGCGGACGATGTTGTTGGAGCCGCGGCATCCGCAGTGGTCGAGGTCGGCTCTGCTGCTGCGGCTGTGGTTGTGGCCGAGCCGGATCCCGAGCCGGAGCCTCCTCCAGTAGCACCGACGGGGAAGCAGTTGGTTCCGTCGACCTCGGCATACTTGGCTTGTCCAGCCAAGAACTTGTTGACAGTCGTTCCGGGGTCTGGGAAAGTGGGATCGGTGCCTGGGGTGGTCTTGCAGCTGTTGACGCTTTCCAGGTTGGCAACGAAAAGGTTGGGCAGAGAGGCGGCTCTCGTGGCGAGCTCCTTGGTCTCCTCAGGGGAGCGCTTGGCTGAACCACCAGTAACTTTGATCGGTGCGCAGTTCATGTAGTACTCGGGCTGTCCCGCCAGTTTGCTGATCCAGGTCCAGGCGAAAACATAGTCGCCTGCTGCGACACCCTCGGGGATTTGGTAGGTATATTCGCCGGGGTTGGTTCCGTCCTTCGTAGGGCATCCACCTTCAATACTTTGGATGACCTGCCATGTCGACGAAGCGGAGGGCTGCTTGTCTGAGGTAATGGCAAGCTGACACGAGCCACCGCCGTGAACTGCGGATCCAGTAAAGGACAAAGTCTGGTCGGTACCGACTGCCATCTCGGTGGCATCGACACCCGAGTAAAAAGTGGCGGCATCGCCGGTCACCTTGCAAGGGAAGTTGGCGCCACTGGAAGACAATGGGCTGTTGTCGGGGTTGCCGAACGGTGCTGGCGTCTTCATGATCATGTGTGCGTTACTTGTGCTCGACAGCGCCAGCGCTGCGGCGACAACGGCCGAGAAAACGCGGTATTGGCCCATTTTCGCTAGTTGTGAAGGAGTGGTCCGGTGTGTTGGTGCTGAAAAGCTGGTAGTAGTTGAAAATGGCAGGTGCTCTTATTTGCGAGAAAGATCGTAGATAGCACCAGGCCTGAAGAAGTTACACGTCAAGTGTTGGCTGCCGAAGTGAACACTGCAAATGAAGGTGAGTGTTGAAGGTGACACAGATCGGTTGAATGCCAAGTAGAAGGCCATCCGAAATGTGCTTATATACCCTCGGCCGAAGATGCGGCCTCAAGGGACCAAGGACCACCTGCAGGCATTGTTCCCCGTGACACGCATTGTGGCAACAAAGGGACGCAGCGAGCGATTCCCACTGTTTCTCCATAGAACGATAGAGGCCACACAAAGAGAAATCGCTGGCTGGATTTGGACAATGGGATGATCAAGTTGAAGTTGGTTGAGCCAATGATCGCGCAGCGCGGACAAGGGTTGTCGGGGATTTGGAACCGTCTAGGATGTGTGCGCATCTGATTGGGGTGTTGAATTTTCGGACGTTTGGGGCACGGCGGCTCAAAGCCACACAACCGCCGTAAATGTCAGGTACCCGTATGAGCTACTGCCTGCTAATGTCAACTTCAAACAGCAAAGAAAAGGGTCAAAGCCCCGCCCAAAGCAACGTTGACAATAGCTCACCACTCCCCGAATGGACTGGAAGCGACAAACACGTTTATGCATTTCGTCGATCCCCCTCGATTGTACCATGGATCTCAATGCCTCGAGCAAGTAGAGCGCGAATGAGAGGCGACAGAAAGAAACAAAACGAAACGAAATCCACAATGAGCCCGCTAGATCCACCGAGATCTACGCGTCGCTTGGCTGCTTCCTAGATTTCTTCAGCCGCCCTCCGTCGCCCCGTTTCTCCTGCAGAGGCCGCCATACTTGCAGACCAGTCAAGGCAGTCTTTCAACTTTGTCTGATGTTCGATGGCATGCAGGGGCTGACTGCCCCTTGTCCACTATGCCGTTGCCACACACGCTCAACCCTGAAAACTCGGAGCATTACAAGCCATGTCCACTCTCATCAGCCACAGTTCAGCTGGCGTGGAATTCAACGCTAGCCTTCTGTAGAATGAGGCCCGCAAATCCCAAGTTAACCCCAGAAGCAGCCTGCCTCTCAATGCCTTGATCTCGTGTTGGCACTGCGCCTTCGACCATGCGTACATTCGCTCAGTACATTGGGATCTGGGAATGTTGCCTCTGCACAGGCATTTCGACTACAAGTCCACTGCTGTTGATGCGCAGCAACCTTTTTGCAATAACTCCAGTCGGCGGGCCGACCAGGTCCGTTCTGAACTTGCGAGGCCTCGCTCCGATCATCAGATCGAGCTGGCCGACCGAGCCAAGGTTTCGACGGCGCTCCGATCTTTTATTACGTATAGTAGCAGAGAGCATCTGAAGATATCAGGTATTTTCGGTCGCCGAGGGTTTATCAAGAACGTAGCATCGGCCAATTCTCAACAGAAAGGTGACGGAATTCGGCGAAGGGATTGACCTTGCAGGATCCAATGACTTGGCGGTTCGCTTAAGCTTTTGATTTGAAGTGAAACGGTTTTTTGCCCTTGGCTTGTCATCGAGTTCAGATGAAGGCAACGTTGCGGGGACAAGGCATACTTGGCTTGTGGCTTGAGATCTTGGCATTGCAACGATCAGATGAGTCAAAAGCGACTCGCTGAACCTAAGTAAGCAACGAGAGTGTGACCGGTTATTGGAAGTCCGAGTGACGTTGGGGTTTTACTCTCGATATTCGTCGTGTAGAATGGGATGTCGCAAAAGTCAAGGAAGGGCGGGGGGGGGGGGGGGGTTGAAAAGGATGAGTAAGGAAGGTAATAGTCATCCGTGTCCAACGCGACTTCACGGAAATGACTTTTGAGTTGCTAACGCTTGAACTAGATAAATCTCACATAACCTCTCATGCAATTTGTTGTAATGGGTCTCTGGTTGTTCAACAGCCAGAAAATGGGTGCGCGCACAGTGCTTCCAGTACGTGAAGCCTACATGATTCGATTCCGAACATGGGAAACTCCGGTTTGGAATTCACAGTTCCGTTCCGCCACTCCTAGCTATACAAATCGGAACCACACCACAAGCATTGATTCTATTGGCAGAACGCACCCGGATTAAGTAATCTCACAAGCTATTGTACTTCTTACCCTGTCTTTTACGTAGCCTTTCTTCTCGACGAATCCATTAATCTGGAGCTGTTGCTCAATTGGTATCAGTCCTAAGCGCTTCGAACCTTATCCTCTGCAGTCCGAATAGTTGGAATATTCGCAAATCCGTTATTTTGATCAGTTTCAACCGTCTGCCTTACTAGTGGTCGATAAATTTCAATTTTAGCATCTAGCCGCTAGGGTTTTGTAGCTAAATCCGCTATAGTTATAGGGTAGCTATTGAGTCCCCTATCAAACTTCTGGAGCGAGCGAAAGTCACGACTAGCCTGCCTATCAGTGTTTTAAATGCCCTGAAATTGCTATTATAGTTACTAGTTACTATAGCTTTTAGGGTGTATAAGTGACTATTCAACATAGCCCCTCCTCGCTTTCGCTATCCGATAGCTAAGCTTACTTAATAGGCGGAGGTTTTAATTTAGGATCTGATGCGAGTGCATATGGGGTGTGAATTGTTGTATTGGGAGAAGTTGTATGAATTGGGAAGAGTTGGCCAGGTCAGCTATTCTGGCCTAGCAGAGCTTATTTATAGCCCCTCTCTAATCTACATGATATGTGAGGTCCCCCAATCGTCACGTATCAGAAATCCTTAGTTCTGGCATGGCCTACTACAAATTCCGATCATCTACGTGTAATACCCGAACTATGCAGTGGCCGTGAACGACATCCAGACCACAATCGACTGGAATGGCTATGGCTATGATACTACTGCGCACACGTACTGAGTTCAACCAGCTGTATGCACTACACCAGCGTCATGCCTAACGGACTTCACTGTCGCAACATCGACCAAAATTGGCATTTCAATCGAAGTCGAAGTCATGAGTCTGTATATCCCGACTTCGATGAACAGCAGTGTCAGCAGCCCAGACTATAGTGACTTCACGGTCTATCTACCCCAGGATGTCATCACCTTGGATCCCGGCTTCAAATTTGACTACATGTACTGCGTCGAAGAGTGCCTGAATCCCACGGCGACAGGTGCTGCGTATTATGGAGACGAAGATGAATACTGCTCTGGTCGCGATAATTTAGATTATCTTGTCTGCTCTTGGGCGACTAGCTGCACCACTTTCCGAGTCTGGGTCATTGGTATCGCGACCCTCATAACCATAGTTTTCCTCCATTGCTACCTTAAGCCTTACCTCTGTCTCTGGCGCCTGGTGCTAGGAAAGTGCTGTCTGCGATTCGGGGCCATCCAACCCTCGAGACAACCCGACCACTTCAACCTGGTTGCCAAGGGTTAACATCAACCAGCCAACCCAACCCACCAATTCTCCAGATTTTGGTTGCTAAGCTAAGGGCTCACTATTTTTAGTAATTTGTACGTGCTACAGGCCCCTACTAGCCCTATAGGAATCTTCGCTATTATCGTAGCGGCCCTCTAGCGCTTAAGTTGCTTCCCTAAGACTATAGAGTCCTAAATAAGCACTACAGCCACGGGGGCTTAGTCAGAAATCACTCCGCAGAGCAGATCACAGATAACATACACAACAATTAATCCATCACGCCGAATGGTCACGCCAAACGGTCACATTACCGTAACAGTAAGGTCACATTGCAAGATAGGTGAATATCCAACAAGTATGCACGGACAGTACTTTCACCACCCGCGAAGTTTGATTGCGACCTTAATCTCACCCCGCGCCAGCTGTAACCTCGACATCTTCTGCGTGGATGCTACAGTTCCTTTCGTCAACTCTACTTAAACCTTGTTTGTAAAATACCAACCTAGCTCTACAGTTTTCATCTACACTTTCTGAAAGCTTGACGTGTCAGGATGAAAATGACGCCACCTGGACTGACTTTAACGTCCAGAATCACTCTTCAGCATTCCGATAGCCGGATGCCCGTACTCGGCTTTGGAGTCTACCAGATCGACCGAGCTGACTGTACAGCGGCATGCCTCAGCGCCATATCAGCCGGTTATCGCCATATCGACACCGCGCAGCTCTACCAAAATGAAAGCGAGGTGGGTGTTGCGCTGCAGCGGTGCGGTCTGCCGCGTGAGGAGATCTTTGTTACGACTAAGATTCGATATCCCCGCCTCGGCAAGGGGAAGACCTATCTTCGCGCCCTGCAGAGCATCCAGAAGATCGACCCACGCCAAGACGGATACGTGGACCTGTTCCTTATTCATTCCCCGCACACGCTAAACCCCAAGGATCGCAAGGAGATCTGGCTGGCGCTTGAGAAGCTGCACAAGGATGGCAAAATTAAGGCTATTGGTGTTAGTAACTATCAGATCGAACATCTGGAGGAGATGAAGGAGTATGCGACAATATGGCCACCTGCTGTGAATCAGATTCTAGTTAGTGGTATCTCACGGCGATATCGAGTGATTTCACTAAAAGTATTTCCCAGCTGCACCCTTGGACGCAGCAACGCGAAACGGTGGACTACTGCAATGAGCTCGGCATAGTTCTTCAGGCGTTCAGTCCGCTAGCTAGAGGAAATAAGCTTGGGGAGCCGACGGTCGTTGAGATCGCAGAGAAGCTTGGCAAAACGCCTGCGCAAGTGCTAATCCGGTACTGCTTGCAGAAGGGCTGGATACCGCTGCAGTTGGACAATATGGGCCCTGTGGGCCATGTGGGTCCTATACTTGCCACTATCGCCACCTAGAACGGCGACCATCCCCACATACCTCTATTACGAGAAATGTGGCGAGGATAGAACATTCCCTACTTATCTATATGCTTCTACAACTTGTCTGAATTAATCAGCAAGTCTACCATTCATTGACTATATAAGAACCCTTTTGTTTCCATACATAGACCCTCGAAGAGAGGACCAGAGTTAGCTACAATACATACAGGTTAGGCATATGTGCCCTCCTTTTGCTCCTTCAACGGGAACATAAAATCCAAGTGCTGCCAAAGAGTGAGAAGGAAGAGCGCATTAAGCAAAATGCGGATGTTTTTGATTTTCGCATCTCGGAGGACGATATGGCAACGCTCGACCGTTTTGACCGTCAACAAGGACCGAGATTCGAGTAGGACGCGTGCTACGTCTCTTTGAGCCGATTAAATAATCATATAGAAGCCATATATGAATTTATTACACGCCGGTAATAGACCTCAGCATCTCTCGGGCCAATTAAGGCAGGGAGTACTAAGGAACGGAAAATGTAGATTCTGACGGCATGGAGAGGTGCACATACTCATAATACAGCAAATGGTAGCCTACCACGCCTGACACTTACGGCTTTGACCACCTGGAAGGAGTGAAGAAGCCATATGAGTCACCAGTGGATTCCTTAGGGTATGCTACCGGCCAGACTAAATATGAATATGGCACGCTTGCTCGAAATGGGTGGCGAGTTCCAGCAGATCAGATTGCCTACATTTAGGCTTCTTTTGCATTGATTCTCGACCACCCCTGCCTACGTAAATACGAATCCTGCTTTGCAAAGCAAAACAACCTAAAGGACGCCGTAATGACTATCAAAATCGCGCCCGGCGCTCATCGGGATTGAAGTGCGTGGAACGAGTGTACATTTGCGAGGTATTCAACAATTTCCCGACGTGAGGCGTCCGGGCCGTGGAGTAAAGAGGCAATGTGCAGCGTGGTTTTCATTTGTCGGATTACAGAGTGAGTCGGATTTGAGAAGTGGCGCGCCCTTAGTCCACCTACACCCTGCATGGGCTCATTTCGAGGCCGAACACCAATGGCAATCGTCTGTAAATATCCCTGCTCCCTCATCAGCTGGGAAAATATGGCGCACGCAGATCCACAGAAACCGTCTTGCAGTATAACAATGTTCTCAGGCCGAAAAGGTTGATGGTGTACGCAGGGAGGAATCGTAGCCAGTGAGGCTGACATGCGGCGCCAATGTGTGCCCGCCAAAGTGGTTGGAAAAAATTGTATCTTTGAGCAGTGATGAACTTGTTGTATCTTGAATCCGCATCATGATAAACATTGCGCGTCCACAGCTAGTCGAGATACTCAGACGCGTCCCTGCCGTTGATTGTCTTCAGTGGGAAGGGCATGAAGTAGTGCGAGTTCCTGGAAGCCTCCAAGTCTGAGAGGAGGTATAATTGGGGTAGAGCAACCCCGTCTTTAGGTACAAAGATGAGTTGACTTTCAGGTCTGACAAAGAGGAAGATCTCAAGCACGTCTGGTTGGAAGCGGAGGTGAAAGTCCCCGGTGCTCCTGAAAAGATTGGGTATAGCTAGCTGGATTACGAAGTCGTTTTGATACGCTCCGTTTCTGATCGATTGTGATATATCATCCAAGCGGTCCAGCAGGTTTAAAGGCTCGTTATGTGTTTTGACTTCGTTGTTGATATAGCGACCATCTTTCAGGTATCTGAGTGTGGATTGAAACTGCAGAAAACTTTCCAGCTCCTTAATCTCTTTCAAGCCGCCCTCAACATCGACTGGTACTGACATAAGGCAGTCAAATGCTAGTTGAGCTGGCAGTTGAACTCTGTGCTCGCGAGTGAAGGTTACAGTGGCCTGTGCAGCCCATGAGGCCGAGACCTCAGCTCTGTGCAGCGCCAATCAGAATGGTTAGAATGATCTGAGAGTGCTTGTTTCAAGAAGCTCCGCACTTAGCTGAGACGCGGGCTGTATCGTAAAATGGTAAGGAGGGAGACCGGGAAGTAGACAAGTAAAGTATGTGGGTAGATTAAGCAGCAAGGCTTGTCGTTATACCTGGGCCTCCGTTGCTATTGCTAGGTTAGGTCCGGTCCGGTACGAGAGAACTAAGCCTTAACTTCGTTGGCGTGGGTCAGTTGGATCCTTAGTCGTTTGCTACAGGCAGCACCCAGCATGCCACGATGTGACTGTTGAACGTAGCTTAGCTGTGACTAGCAGTAGATCAGAAATTCTTGGTGTAAATAAGGTTCTTTATATGTCCATATGAGTCACTTGAACTTTAGGTAGAAGCAACGTATCATAGGCTTGGAATGCGAGCAAGAGTGGGATTGAGTTAGGCTACTCGTTCTTCATGTGCTACATTTCTGACCCCAAGGAGCAGCCACCACGGGGTCCCAGTGACCTCACGACCAGTATGAACTAGCCTTGGCGGCATCAACATAATTCTCGGCTTCGGCATCACGAGGCCAGTAGGAACGCGTCTTTGCTCCATCAACGTCATTCCCAGGAGCCTGCTGTGAAAAGGTTAGGTTTTATACTAACTTATCCCCAGCTAGACCCTTATTTAACGATAGGCAGTAAATACCCGTAGGTTTAAGGTAACGTCACCCACAGGCCATTGCCCCACACGGGTCTTTGCCCAACTTTTCAAGAAATCTTGACTTTCCATCTTTACTTATACAATTCTTCCCTTCCACAACATGGCACGCAAATCTAGTGAAGCTAATCTTCAATTAGCCATCCAAACTAAACGACGCGATCCTCACCTAAGTTGGAACAAGCTTGGTAAAATCCTCAAAGTCGACCATAAGACATTGAAGCGCCGTTACGAAGGCGTACAACCATTACACATTACTAACATGTCCAAACGGAAAATGACCAAAACCGAAGAGAATACGATTACCAGACGCGTAATTGAGCTAGATTCGCGAACTTTCCCTCCTCGGCTTCGACATGTTGAAGAAATGGCGAATATCCTCCGACGCGACCGCGACGCGTCACCCGTTGGCAAGAACTGGGCCTCGAGCTTCGTACGGCGACATCCAGACCTCCGGGCGCGTTTAAATCGTCGAATAGATTACCAGCGGGCATTCTGCGAAGATCCTGTCGCGTATCGCGGTTATTTTAAGCGTGTTGTGGACACAATAGCGAAGCACGGCATCCAGCCGGAGGATATCTACAACTTTGACGAGACGGGCTTTTTAATGGGCATGATCTCAACCGGCATGGTCGTTACGAGTACCGAAAGACGTGGAAGGCCTAGGCAAGCCCAGCAAGGCAATAGGGAATGGGTTACTGTCATTCAGGCGGCCAACTCCCAAGGCTGGGCGGTGCCGGCGTACATCATCTTCGCGGCCAAAGTTCACCTCGCTTCGTGGTATCGCGACACCACATTACCGGGCAATTGGGTCGTTGATCTATCCCACAACGGATGGACAACGAATTATATTGGTCTCAGCTGTGCAGCTCACTTCGATCTGCACACACGCGATCGTACGAAGGGTGTCAAACGCCTCCTGATCCTTGACGGTCACGAAAGCCATCACTCGATGGATTTCGAACAACACTGCAAGGACCATGGCATCATTACCCTTCCTATGCCTGCCCATTCGTCCCATAAGTTCCAGCCTCTCGACTTGGTGCCTTTTAGTATTTTGAAACGGGCGTACGGTGTGTTTGTTGAGGGTTTGATGCGACGGCATCATACCCACGTTGCGAAGGAGGATTTCCTTGCCGGTTTTTTGGAGGCGTTTGGCGCTGCTTTTACTGAACAAAACATCAGATCTGGTTTCGAAGCAGCTGAAATTGTCTCTTTTGACCCCGACAGGGTTATATCTGCCCTGGATGTCGCAGAAGTCGCGCGTACACCCTCTGCCGACCCAGAACTCCTACCCCCGATTTGGACTTCTAAGACACCTACTACCACCCTTGAAGCCGAATCGCAGTCAACGTTGATTAAGAAGAGCGTTCAGAGGCATCAAGACAGCTCTCCGACGCATATTCTTCATTCAATTGACTCGATTGCAAAGGCTACGCATGCAATGATGCAAGAGAATGTTATCTTGCGTCGCGAGAACGAAGAGCTTCGTGAGACTAACCATGTGCTAAGCAAACGTCGCAGAACCAAAAACAAGCAAATCAAGTATGGTGGGCCACTTAATATAGAAGATGCACAAGTTCTACGGGCTATTAGGGGTGATACGGGTTTGGAAAGTGAGGAAGAGGGTGAAAGTAGTCGTCCTACAAGGAGGAGGGCAACAGGTGCTAGGCGCTGTGGCATTTGCGGAGGAACTGGACATAATGCGCGAATTTGTCAGGCAGATGTAGAAACAGATAATGAAAAGAACTCTGATTAATTTCTTGGATGAATACGGGTTGTTGTTGATCTATCTAAGATTAAAGGTTGGGAGGTCGTGAAAAGTTGGGCAAAGACCCGTGTGGGGCATTGACCTGTGGGTGACGTTAACATGTAAATAACACAACAATAGCCTTAATAAGCCGAAATAGATCTAAGAGAACAATAAAAGTACCTTAATAGGCACGAGGATCAGAATAAGACCTAAACAGGTTATTAAAATGACTAGTGCCTTAATAAGCGAAAGGAATCAATTAACAACTAGATAGGCCGCTTAATATTTCTTCAATAGAGTAACTACCTACTGAAACGGGGTCAGGCGGTCAGTAGGATATACCCACCACCTAACACACTGAAAAGACGGCCCCGGCACTAACGAGTTCCATTTGAGGTCTGATCAGACGAGGCTCGTAGTGCTGGTCATAACAGCGAAGCTCCTACAAGCCTCCTGACTCTGAGTGCACAAGTTGGTCGGCTGTGTCCTCTGTATTAGCGACGGGATAATTCTCAGAATAGGACTCTTGACTCTGGGAGTTGAAATGAAGCTGTCACTGGCACTGGATTGGTCTGATAAGGACGAAAAAAAAATCTCCTGTAGTTGTTAAGGGTAAGACGAAAGCAAAAGAATGGATTCTTGAAAGCTATGTCTGAATCTATAAGTGAATGACTGAACTGAAGTCTAAGTGGCACGCTAAGAAAAGAAGATCAAGATAATGAACTGCAAAGAAGAGAAAAAGATGATGAGATGAGAAGAAGGTGGGGATCAAGATGATCCGTCCCTGCGTACATCTTGCAGTAAAGAAAATAAACGTCCTCTGTGCCGCCCCTGTCCCACTACGCTACACAGGTCCTTAAATACCATTAAGAACACGCTTATATAATTCATCTGAAAACCGAAAAATAAAAACCAAAACCATGTCCCTAAGTTAATATCCTTAGAGCTCTACAGTCAACAGCTGGGGCAGTCGCCTGAGGGGTGTGTCAGATACATGGGATCACGTTATTGCAAGCCACTGGGTCTTAGCCAGAAATCTCTCCGCAGAGCAGATCACAAATAACACAAACAATCAATCCATCACACAGAACCGTCAAATCAAGGTCACATCGTAAGATACGTGAATATCCAACATGTGCACAGTAAAGGCCTGAACCCCTCTGATTGGCATCTCGCTCTTTTCCGCCGGCCGGAGCCATTACTAAGGTCAAGAAAAGCCGAGAGGCTCCTTGCAACAATCGCCCGTATGGAGGCCTACAGGGATACGAGGAGACAGTGTAATTTGCGCCAGAGAAAACTTTTCACACTGATAAACCCCGGACGGTCTCCTTACTTGTACCAGAGGCTTCGTAGTGCAGTACAGTCCAAGTCATTTTCAAAACCTCAGTCTCGGAGTCTCCACAATAGATCCACGCAAGCAAAAGCCTACCCCCCTGCGCAACTAGACTATTTTTGACAATGCGGCACTCTATCCCGCGGGAATCCCCGCTGAAAGCCCTGTAATTTTACCCCTTTCAAGCCTAGCTCACTTGGCAAGAAGGTGGGACGAACGTCCTGTTTTCTATTTCCGCCAATCATGCCTAGACACCCTCTCCAATGAGGAAATAGTCCGGGGTGACCCCTTCCAGGCAATGTACAGAAAACGTGCCTAACGTGTCTAGTTGAGGATGCTTCCGCTGCGACCGAGTAAGGTCGAATCATTGGGAGGAAAGACACATAAAAAGACCCCTACCAAGCCACTGCTGCCCTTTGGGCCTCGACTTGGATTGAACTTGCAGCTCTTCTGTTCTTTTCTCCTCTCCGACGTTCGCTATACTCGACAACATGTTCTCACTCAGCCAGATGCTGCCTATGGCGGCGGTTCTTTCGCTTTCACTAGCTCCGGTTGTACAGGCCGAAAAATATCTGATGGTCTTGTTGGTTTTCTCGGCCTCGACACATAGGCTTGGCAAATGCTAAACTCCCAATAGTGGTGACTCCTACTCTACGACAGGTTTCTGGGCAGGAGGTGACCAACCTTCGTCAAGTAACCCAATCGGAAACCCAGCCCTTCCTGGAACTACAACGAGCGGCGGGTACAATTGGGTTGGACATGTCACGGCTCAGCTCAACACATCTCTCACACTGACCTACGACTTTGCTGTCTCGGGCGCGACGACCGACAAGGATATTGTCGATTCTTACGCCAGCTATTGCTTCGACGACCAAGTAGACCTATTCGAAACTTATGTCACTGCGCCATGGAGTGCAAATAACACGCTTATTGCCGTCTGGATGGGCATCAACGATGTTGGAGAATCCTTCTGGGATTACGTAGCTACGCCGCTCGAGAAAGTTATGGATCGATACTTTGGACTTCTCCAGACGCTGTATGATGACGGCGCGACGGACTTCGTTCTGCTGAGCGTCCCACGTAAGAATTCCACATATAATTACCCAAACGCCCCCGATAGGATACTGACAAATTCTAGCATTCGACCAAGCACCTGTGATGGAATATGAATCAGAGTCTAGCATGGAAAACCTCCGGTCCAACATTACCGCATACAACGCAGCATTGGAGACTCGCCTCACGACGTTCAAGGCAGCCAACAGCGGCGTCACGGCACAGGTATTCAACACAACGCCTTCATTCGAGACAGTGCTTAACAACCCAACGACTTATGGGGCCTCGGACGCAACATGTTACAACTCTGACGGAACATCATGTGTATGGTACGACAACTACCACCCGGGAATGGCCATTCAGAAGTTGGTGGCCGAGGCTTTGGTCGATGCCGTGCCGTTCTTTTCTAGTTAATACGTTGAGCACTCTTGCACCTGAGCAGGCACATTCTATATAGCACTTTGATTGTTGATTAATTGTGCATAGAACTTTGATGTATATACTTTTTTCAGAGCTTATGGGTCCCCTCAGGCCTGAGTTGGACAGTTGTTGATTGTCACCTGTGACTTGCCCATTGGATTCTGATACAAGAAACAAGGAACGCTCGTCATCGTCTCTTTTTCTGCAGTGTCATATAGAATAAGTCTCATTCCGATACCTTTTTCAGTTTGTAGGAGTTCCACGTAATATATTATAGAACCGTCGGCTGGTGTAGTTGGTCACTTCGCTGGTAGATAAGTCCCGATTTGAGCCTCGCCCACTTGGGTCGGTGACGAGTCGCGGGTTCGAATCCCGCAGCTGACACACAAGGGGGTTTAGTCAACCCTTACGGCGCGCTGCCCACCTTGTTGACTTCGCCTACCTAGCGATAATAGGGAGATTGGTGCAGTTTAGGATTACGAGCATCCTAGCCAGTCGACCGTCAAGCACTACGTCGGCGGAATATAACTCGACAGCCGGTCCAGAATTCGAATCGTTAATCCGACCCCTTATCGGACCTCGCCTTTCCGATAACGCTCATCGGCGAACCCGTCCCCTCACGATAGAAGGCGCGCAGCACGCCCTCTCGCCGCGATTCTTGCGAGCGTCTGACCACGTTACGGTCTATCCACTTGAGCGTATGGTTGAGATGTATACGCTCGACGAGAACCCCAATTAGCAGATACTACGACTTGTCGCGACAAAAAAATAGTCGAGCATCTTCTGCACATCAGCAGCATCCCACCCCTGAGGACGAATTTAAGTGCCACATTACCACACTTATCGGTAGTTAAGGCAGGGATTGTAGCACAGACTTAGGGAGGGACAGGAGGTTTAGTAGTCGTTTGGCTACAAGTTTACCTGTATAACCGCCCAACGCGGCTTAAGGGCCCGCTATATCATCTATAGCCCCTTAAGGGAGTACTTGTAGAGGTACCGAGGGTTAACACCTACGGCGTATTTAATATTATTTATTATAGAACCTATTGGCAACAACTAGCGGCATCCTTGCTCACTATAACCCCTAAAACATGATTGGCATGACTATAGTAGGCTCTACATAAGAAACGTCGATGCACGAAGATGTTATCCATTTTCTAGCCAGGTCAAAGTAAAATGTGTTTATGTGAGAGAGAACAATCCTTTTGCGCTGCGTGTAAGTGGACGTGAGCCGAATCGGGCCGATAAAAATTCTAGAGCGAGCCACCACCAATAAGCCTCATACACATATTCAATATCACAATTCACAAGGCCGGATGGTGTAGTTGGTTATCACGTCAGTCTAACACACTGAAGGTCGGGAGATCGAGCCTCCCTCTGGTCAGAACATCACACGTTTTTTGCCTCACTTATGTGTGTGTAAGACTGTCTTGATCTTCTTCATATATTGCATTTTATGATAACGTACCCCACAAGCAAGTTGGCCACTATGTGTTAGCACCTTACGAACAACCGTTTTATTAACATTTTTACATATAACAAGATAGGATCGACTTAGAAAGAAAGCGACATGATACTAGCGTATTAGGAGCTTTAATTATAATCCGAACTAAGTATTAACGTAGTCCACAAGCGAACGGGTCACCCAACCGAACGGGTCACGCCCATAGCAAAAAATAGAACTAAACTTCCTAACTTTACCACGCAACTAATTCTCGATGGATTCTGCTCAAAAAGAATCTCGATTACTCCTTGCAACTCAGGCTATCAGAAATGACTCAACACTTAGTATCCAACGTGGTGCAACAATCTACAAAGTCTCGAATACTACTCTCCAGGCGCGTCTTCAAAAACGTCAATCACGTCGCAATATCGAAGCCAACAGTCGGAATTTAACAAAACTAGAAGAAAATACGATTATTCAAAGGATAATTGAGCTAGATTCGCAAGCATTTCCTCCCCGGCTAAGTGCTGTTGAAGATATGGCAAACCGACTGCTACGCGACCGCGACGCGTTACGCGTCGGCAAGAACTGGGCCTCCAACTTCGTTAAGCGACAACCACAGCTCAAGACGGTATTCAGCCGTAAATACGACTATTCTCGGGCCTTATGCGAAGATCCAGAGCTTATTCAAGGCTGGTTTGACCTTGTGCGCAATACAATTGCGAAATATGGGATCGCCGATGCCGACATCTACAATTTCGACGAGACCGGCTTTATGATAGGTCAGATTACCGCATCGATGGTTGTTACGAGCTCTGAAAGGAAAGGCAAGCCTAAGCTAGCCCAGCCTGGCAATCGGTAATGGGCTACGGTGATCCAGGGCGTCAATTCCCAAGGCTGGACGGTCCCGCCATACATCATTGTCAAGGGCCAATACCACCTCTCTTCCTGGTACGAAAACGACGCGTTGCCGAACGACTGGAGGATCGCCGTGAGCCCAAATGGTTGGACTACGAACGAATTGACCGCAGATTAGCTAAAACACTTTGACATATACACCAAAGGCCGGAAATCAGGGGTATATCGCCTTCTTATCCTGGACGGCCACGAAAGCCACCATTCCGACGCCTTTGAGCAATATTGCAAAGAGAACAAGATTATTACACTTTGTATGCCTGCCCACTCTTCTCATATCCTCCAGCCACTAGATGTGGCATGTTTTGCGCCGTTAAAAAAGGCCTACGGCTCGCAAATTGAGAAGCTCGTCCGAGCCCGGATTTCGCATATCATCATGGAGGATTGTGATGTTGATTGAGTCTTGCCAAGCTAACGCTAACGCTAGTCTAACCAAATAAATCATCACCACAGTATCAGAGAAAAGCTTGTACACGGAGAAGATGCGGCGCATATGCAGCGATATAGGAGCATATACATGGAGCCAAACTGTCTGGTATACATATGCGAGGCATATTCTGACAAGGCTCAGATAATAGAAAAAAGGCACGAATAGTTTATTAGGTACTGTAATAACCTAACCTAGAATAGAACATGTCACATAGGATTTGAGCATATATGATGCATATGAGGTGGAAACTTGATACGAAACAAACACCAAATATATTTGCATTATAGAACCAAATTACAAGACCAAGCAAAACAACAGTTCATGAGCATATGTCGTACATATGCACAGTAGGTACCGTTTGATTGCTGCTTATCGATGATTCAAGCTATTTCATATTAGCTTATGCACTGCCTAAGTTCAACATATGTCATACCAGATTTACGAGTGGTCGACCGGCTTCCTCTACCACCTCTGCCACCTCTACCACCACGCTTGCGAGAAACTATCATATATTAGTATAATATATAAGGAGTGTATATAGTGCTTAGACTTACCTCTCTTCCGGCTAGGAGTCTCCTGCTCATCGTCATCTAGAGCATTCGAATACAGTTAGTATATACTTAATATGTGTGATAAGTTCAAGGAAAATGGTATATAACCTGGGCGAAGCCCATATGATGCCTTCACACGAGACCGACGTGTGCGTCGCATAGGCATTGTTGATACAGGAGCGGAGCTTGACTCCCGCTCCTGTACTAAATCTTCTATAGCCCTGGAGTCTGCAGTTTCATGCTCCATGAATTGGGCTATTTCGTTTATAGCCCTTGAATGAGCGTTAGCGTCCTCATCAGAGGGTATATTACCCCTAGCTGTCGATAAATCGGCGTCAGGTATCACACCTGACGGCTGTAAAGTAGGTTCCGACGAAATTGACGCAGATTGAATAGGCTTTGAAGATGCTAAGTATAAGCTAAGCATATCCCGCAGGTTCTGAGGGATGGGTTGGGCGAGTAGTTGTTCAACTAGAGTAAAGTCGGTCGCCAGGGCTATTGATACGGGAGGCATATGTGGTTCACATAAGGTAGGCGTATGTGAATCGGATTCGGCATGGTCTTCGTTAGGGAGTTGCCCTGTGATAGGTGAAGATATATCGGTTTGTATTATACCGCGCGGATGCGGGGTATATGCATCGGATAGATCAGGTACTAAGACCTGTGTATGGGCCTGGGGATGGAGCTTGGCCAGAGGTGAAAATCGGCATAGGTAAGGCATATAGGGTACTGGTACTTACAAGGCGGTGGAATCGAGTGCCATATCGATTTGCAAATACTTGGTTATTCTGACTATATATAATTAGCATATGCAACAAATATTTGTAGGATATACTTACGCGATACGTTCGCAGGCCGTAGCGTACTCGTCAATGAGACCACTAGCAGGGCCGACACTATATAGGGTTAGTAAAGAGGGGATATATATCACATATGTTTAGCACATACCCAGGCTCATGGAGGAAGCTAGCATTTCGCCAGCCTTGGGTGACCACGAATTGCTTAAGCGCACTATGGCCGTATTAGAAATAATGATATACCGCGGTGTGCTGTACTCACTTCTGGCCGGCCAGAATCATCTGGTCGCTGGCGTTGGCACGACGTGGGTTAGTGACTATATATATTCTTAGCATATGTTTATAGGTATATTGTTAATTCCACTTACCAGCGCCGGGGTGAGCGGTTCGGATATGGCGGCGGAGCTGTTCTGGGTTAGCAGATGATATGTATATGCTACGCATAGGCTTGGCATACGGCGGGTTGCGACGCAAAGATATGGCCACACATCTGGTTAGAGCCCGCAACTCCGATCTCAATCCAACAACTGTACATAATGAGCATACGTAATCGAGAATGCGATAACATACAGGCCTTACACTCCTCCATTGACGGTGTTCAAAATCGCAGCTGGATTCGGAGCGGCTACATAAATTAGTATGATATCGCATATGCATTGGATATGCTCCTTACCAGCGTTCTCTGCAGCAGAAAGTGCAGGCAGTGGGCGACCGGCTTCCGTTGCGGCATGGGCTATGCATATGTTCAGTATATATGGCGCATAGTCTCTGTGGTGGAGTTCATATGCAGAGCATATCCTTACAATCAGGGACCCAGTCGGCATTAGGGTTGGTGATCGGACCTAAATGCTTGTTTTCAGTTAATGGCATACGTATCGCACATGCTAACTTACCATGCGCATAACCATAGACGGGATGGGGATTTCGGGCATTCTGAACGTTCGCATTCGCTATATATGATTAGTGTATTCTTCAAAGAATTTTCTATATGCTTGAAACGTACTGAAGTCCTGGGCTGTGAAGTTCGCAGCCATGATTTTGCTTGTGATTAAGACTGCTCGTATGTGCTGTATTCAGACGATCACTACTATGATCAGTATATGCTAGACCTGAGTGAGACTAGCGGAAAAGGGACGCATATGTACAGCATAAGGAGACTAATGGGTACTTACCTTTCTGAAAATTTGTTGAGGGAGAGTGATTAACGAAGAAATCGCGAGGCTTCGAATATTTTGAAGCATGTGCTACGCACAGACCACCTAATCAAAACAAAGACGCACAGACCGTAAAAGCACCAATTAGAGTGCGGGAATACGCACGTGCCAAGCCGCTAGCTAAGACGCGTCCCGCATAGGCGCTGCATATGCTCCTTGTATGAAGTTCTTCTTAGTATATGTAACGTGAGTAGGAATTTTTATTCAGTATCTCCTAATTCAGTTTGTAAGAGAGCTATTTCTTCATCAATTTGGCGCTCGAGCTCGCGTTGTTTTTGAAGTTTCCGTTCCTTTAACCTCGTTAACTGCCGAGCCTTATCTTGCATACGCTGTGCATACGCAAGATCTTCTGTTGTGAGGCTAATCTGCGATTGACCTCGCTTCCGTCGTGGGTTTGAATTCGTGATGAGCATATGTTGTGCATATGTTTGTTACATGGTTGATGGTGCTGGTGAATGGCAGGGGAACGTCTGAGGACTAGATGCAGCGCTCCGTTGTGACCCTGCTTCTGATCTTGCATCTGTGTCGCATATGCTAGGCGTTTAATGGGTTCCAATGTATATGTGGTTGTATCTGTCGATCGAGAGCTTATTGACGCTGCTTTTCCGAAAGCCGCTTATTCTGCCTTTGATAATTAGCCTGCTGAGAATTGTTCCTCCAACTCTGAGTAGCCCCTTCGGTTTTTTGAGTTTGGTGTTTCTGGGTTTTATCACTAATATGCTTATGAAGCCTAGGATATAGTTAGCACTGGCTTACATATGCTCTGTATATAACATACTTTAGGATCGCCCCCAGAAGAGTCAGCCTCCGACCAGTCGCATTATTATCCTCGAAGTGGGATGCTTCAGCGAGATTAGTATTCTTGTAGGCATATGCTCTAGTTATGCTCGGAACAAGAGAACATGATGCAACAAGCCCTGCAACAATCCAATCTTTCTTTTTATTTCGAAACCATGACTCCAGCTCTGGATACGTTTCGCATATACCTTGTAGAAGCTTGACATATGCGTTACGATCTTGAACCTCCCAAAGGCGAAAGAGTTGCCGATATTGAGGATGATTTGGGTGCTTAGCCCAAAAGTTTCACTGGACATGTACTTGACAGAAGACAAGTATATGCTGAAGATGCTCTTCCCATGTACGAGATGGATCGATTGAATGAAGGTAATCCCCAAGTCCTACTTACTATTAGTATTAGACTGAGTTTATATAACGTACCCCACAAGCAAGTTGGCCACTTTTTCTTGGCACCGTACGAACAACCTTTTAATTAACATCTTTACACATACCAAGATGGGATCGAATTGGAAAGAAAGCGACATGATTCTAGCGTGTCAGGCGCTTCAATCGAAACCCGAATTAAGCATCCGACACGCTGCCTAACTCTACAATGTCCCTCGTACAACTCTAGCTAACCGAAAACGCGGACTACAATCTCGACGCGATACTCGATAATCTAGTTATAAGCTTACGGAATCAGATGAGTTGGCGGTCGTATAATACATACTTGACCTAGATTCGCGATTATTTCCTCCCCAGCTCTATGGTGTTGAAGCTATGGCTAACCGACTGCTCCGTGACCGTGGCGCTGGACGCGTCGGCGTCAACTGGGCCTCGAACTTCGTACAACGACAACCAGACCTTCGGACGCGTTTTAATCGAAGAATCGACTACTAACGAGCCTATTGCGAAGATCCTGACGCGTATCGCGCGTGGTTTACCCTCGTACGAAATACAATTGCGAAATATGGTATCCAAGAGGCGGATATCTATAACTTCGACGAGATAGGGTTCGCGATGGGCTTAATCTTATCCGAGATGGTAGTTACAAGTGCCGAACGACGCGGAAGGCCTCGTACAGTCCAATAAGGCAATCTAGAATGGGCTACAGTAATCCAGGGTATTAATTCGTCCGGCTGGGCTATCCCGCCGTATATTATTGTCGCGGGTTAAAACCACCTCTTATCCTGGTACGAGAATAGCCTATTCCCGTCCGATTGGGTAATCGCTGTAACTAAAAACGGTTGGACAACAAATGAGCGAGGCGTAGACTGGATTCAGCACTTTGATCGCTATACGAAGGATCGTACGAAGGGTGTTTATCGTCTTCTTATCCTCGACGGGCATGAGAGCCACCACTCGACTGACTTCGAGCTATATTGCAAAGAGCATACTATTATTACACTTAGTATGTCTGCTCATTCGTCACATAAGCTCCAGCCTCTCGATGTAGGCTGTTTTAGGGCTTTGAAAAGGTCGTACGGCAAAGAAATTGAAGACCTAATACGGGCGCATATAACCCATATCTCGAAGGAGGATTTCTTTTCGGCATTCTATAGGGCGTATCGTACGACTATATCTAAGTCGAATATCCAGGCAGGTTTCAGGGGGACAGGACTTATTCCGTACGACCCGAAATATGTGATTTCACAGCTGGATATTAAGCTACATACGCCTACACCTCCTGGGAGCTCGTCTGGCGCCCCTTAATCTGGGAATCAAAGACTCCAAATAACCCAACCGAGGCGCAATCCCAGTCTGAATACGTTAAAAACAGAATCTTACAGCATCATAATAGCTCTCGGACGACAATACTTCCGGCTATTGACCAATTTTCACGTGGTGCGACGACTGTTATGCATCGGTTAGTTTTACTTAAGGATGAGGTTACTACACTTCGGAAGGCCAATCAAGAGCTAAGCCGTCGTTGAAGGGCTAAAAATCGACAGCTACACAAGATGGAGGATCTCTTAGTTTACCAGACGCTCAGGACTTACAGTCTCAACGGGATATTGAACAGCAGCTACAGGGTGATATACGTGTAAGTCGTCGTCGTACGAGACCGGCCGAACCACACCGACAGCGCTGTAGGATCTGCGGAGAGCCCGGACATAATGCTCGTACTTGTGAGAATGATAAAGATACGTATGAGGAAGAGGATTCCGATTAGTTTGAATTATTATTTTTTAGTTTAGTTAAGTTATTGAAGTTATTCATACGGTGCCAAGAAAAAGTGGCCAGCTTGCTTGTGGGGTACGTTATACTAAACATACCTGGTGCTTGTTTTGGACACATATCACACGTAACTGCTTGTACTCCTGCCCCTGAATCGATATGGCGCCAATGGACTGGTTGCCCTGTAATATCTCCAATTACGTTAAATAGTAACTGGAACATCTTCGTATATGCTTCCCTTGTTTCCCAGTTAAGTATAGCATATGCGTAGGTAATAAGACCTGTAATAAAAATCAGTAAGGTTTATTATTATAAGATAGGGAAAGCATACGCCCAACTTCTTGGTATTTCCCTGCAATAGAGAAAACATTACTACCACCGTCGATCATCCTAAACGATAGGTCGATCTGGATAAATAGTGCTTTCTCCTATTGCATAAGCTGTGCCTGTGTGCAGCATATGATAATGAAGTGCACACCATCTTCAAAGCGGTAGATTTCTTGAATCCATCTCGGACCTCTTGGCTTCTCTTTATCAAGGCACCACTGCCGGTATACACCTATATTTAATTAGTAAACGATTAGTATATACTTCGTATAGAGTCCTACCTGCAAAGTGACATCCAGTAGGAAACATTAATAGTCGCTGTTTCCGAATCATCGCCGTATGATGCGAGTGCATATGGGGTGTAAATTTTTGTATTGGGAAAGGATGGCCAGGTCAGCTATTCTGGCCTGGCAGAGCTCTTTTATAGCTCTTATCTATCTTATCTCTAGCTATAGGGCAATCCCCCATGGGGTCACGTATCACCGTAATACGGTCTTCGGTATTTAGGCTAGAACTAATAGCCCTTAACGTTGCTTCTCCATATTTATTCGTTAGTTGGTTAAAGATCCCATTTAGGATAAAGTCTCCTGAGTTAAGTTAGAATATAGGGTTAATATATGTTTAGCATATACTTAGCTTACGTGAGCGTAGCGTAATAACCTGTTCACCATAATCTTGAATTACTTGGCATACGTCTTGCGCAAGCTCAGCAGGTACTCGATTCGGTAATGGAGGGTAGTGAGAGTGGTTCCCACGACAAATAACAATATAGTAAGGGAATCGATACATATTCTGGGGAATATATATATCAATCCGACATGTGCACGACGTAACCCATGTCTTTTTAGGTCCCCGGCGGTGATCAAATCCTATATTTATTATTAGCAGATATTACACATAAGCTAAACATATGTTCAAGTACCACAGTATTGCCGCTTCTGCTCTGGTCTCCCAATCCATACACACTGATCTTTTTCACCGGTAATACTACTCTCGCACAAGGCTCTGAGATATGCGATATCAATACTGGACTTATGCGAAGGTAATGACCACGCTGTATGCCAAGGTTCACCGTCAGAATTCTTCGGGCACCCAATAAAGGGGATCTAGAGATTGATCTAGTACTTCCCCTTGTATATCACAGGTGGGGGTAGTGCAGTACCAGTCGCAGAGATACACTCTATAAGAGATGTCCAAGCTCGACATCCAGGCTGTTTCTTCCGTATAGAACGAGTCTCAGATGATCCTAGAACAAGACCATTTGATCCTCTACCTTCTAGAATACCTGTATCATCCATATTGTATCGATTCGAGGCCTTAATAGCTTTGATCTCAGGGATAGCGAGGTATTTGAACCATTGCCTGATCACATTAGCTGAGGCTCCATTAATACGCTGGGAATCGATAGCTCTGCTTCTCTGGACCTTGACTGAAGGGTTCCTCTTGATAAAAGCCTGGACCCAGTTCTTTCCAAGTGGTTCGGTGTCTCCGTGGATCTGTAGGATACGCTCGGCGAAGTCTTTGAGCTGTTGATAGGTTGGTAGGAGGCCTAGGGCAGCCTGGATTCGAACCCATTCAGCCAGATGAGATTCCTGGGCTGGAGAGAGCCTCTGGTAGTCAGCGAAGGCTATATCTCTTGACTGGGCTCCCTGAATCCGTCGTGAAAGAGTAGACCTTGGGACACCATGCTCATATGCTGCTTTTCGGAGGCTTTGACCGGTAGCTATTGCTTGAAGAGCTCGATAAATATCATCTTCGGTATATTGACTCATATTAGTATAAAGAAGACGTACGTAAAATTTCGTAACGATTGAATCGATATTGGTAAAGAAAAAAGAGGTTAAAGTTAGAGGCTAGTGGTATTGATGAGGCATTTTTGGGTGTCCCACATGTGGGGGTGTCCCGGATGTGGGTGTGGGACGTTACTTACTTTTCAGTAGCCTCTTTAAGCATCTGCTGTATACTACTAAGAGTAGGCTTTGGGAGCTCCCGAACAATATTTCGGATTTTTGAAACATCTACACAATTATACTCCTCTGTATATGAAGTGACCTTCGGGTGCGCATGTCCACAGACCCGTATACCACTACATTTGTATGGCATATGCCAAGCTTGATTTAGCTTCCGATTAGAACTAGCTATAGGTTAGCTTCGGTTTCGGAACCTGCACTGCCCTCCTCGCGGCACCGGATCTCCAATGAGTCGCTAAGCGTCACGCATGCTGCCCATATGCTGCCCATACGCCCTGCACTTACTGGAGAAAACCCATGGGATAGCTTCCGATGGAATATCCCATCGAGAGCTATATGGACCTTGCTGTGTATCTTCATCCTGTGTAACCTAGTGTATATTTAGTATCAACAACGCTGATATTAGGTTAGTTATGTTACGCCATTAAGCCAGAGAATTAACTTCTCGTTGTCGCCGATGTTCTGCGTATGCTCTGCATATGTCCAATCCGTGCTGGGTGTGCTCTCATGTTCATAATCAGTTTCGTCCGCCATGAGGTGTATGAATTTTAGGAAAATAAGAAGTTATGAACTTCTTCTGTGATAGCTATCTAATTAAAGGTCTACACTGATCGAGCGATTTCGGAACACTCTATATGCAAAACTTATAGACCTAACGTACCCCACGGTCCAATGGAACACTTTCGCGCATTTCCGTACAACCTAGGTTTTATCCCTTATTTTCCACCTTCTACAATGGCACGTAATTGGGAAGAAAGCGATATTCAATTAGCGCTTCAAGCGCTTCAAAATAACCCCAAATTAAGCGTACGATCCGTAGCACGGATCTATAATATCCCTCATACAACCTTACGTCACCGATATCGCGGCGGTACTTCACGACAGGATATACGATCACCAACGCAAAAGCTTACCTATTCCGAAGAAGACGCGATCGTACGCTACATATTCGACCTAGATTCACCATCATTTCCTCCTCGAATAAGTGGTGTTGAAGATATGGCGAATCGACTACTCCACCAACGCGACGCAGGACGCGTCGGTATTAACTGGACTTCGAGCTTCGTACGATGACAACCAGACCTCCGGACGCGTTTTAATCGAAGAATCGACTACCATAGAGTCCTCTGCGAAGATCCCGACGCGTACCGCGCGTGTTTTTATCTCGTATGGAATACAATTAATAAGTATGGAATTCAAGAGGAGGATATCTATAATTTTGACGAGACTGGGTTTCTTATGGGTCAAATCTCATCCGAGATAGTTGTAACGACCTCTGATCGACGTGGAAGACCTAGAGCAGTACAGAAAGGGAATAGGGAATGGGTTACAGTTATCCAGGGCGTCGGATCGGACGGCTATACTATCCCTCCGTATATCATCTTTGCTGGTAAAACTCACCTATCTTCGTGGTACGAAAATAGCCTACTACCAAAGGATTGGGTTATCGCGGTTACGAAAAATGGCTGGACTACAAATGAAAGAGGCGAGGACTGGATTCGACATTTCGATCAACATACAAAGCTTCGTACGAAAGGTGTTTATCGCCTCTTAATTCTCGACGGCCACGAGAGCCACCACTCGACCGCTTTCGAGCTCTACTGTAAAGAGAACTCTATTATCACACTCTGTATGCCTGCTCATTCGTTGCATAAGCTCCAACCTCTCGATATCGGCTGTTTTCGTGCACTGAAAAGAGCGTACGGTAAAGAAATTGAGGATCTTATGCGGGCACATATTACCCATATCTCGAAGGAGGACTTCCTCTCCGCGTTCTTAAAAGCGTTCCAGGCAACTTTTACGATATCAAATATCCAAGGAGGTTTCCGAGGGGCAGGACTCGTACCGTACGATCCGGAATATGTGATTTCACAGTTAGATGTGAAGTTACATACTCCAACACCTCCGGGTACCTCGTCTGGCCTTCCTATTATCTACCGAATACGTGAAAAACCGAGTTATACGGCATCAAAATAGCTCTCCAACAGCTACACTTACTGCACTTGACCAGTTTGCGAAGGGTACGACGCAGGTTATGCACCGGCTTGCTCTTTTAGAGGGTGAGAACGCCGCGCTTCGAAAGGCAAATGAGACACTTAGCCGGCGGCTTTATACGAGAAAAAAACGTTTACAGTATGGAGGATCACTTCCTATACAAGCTGGAGAAGATTTACAGTCTCAGAAGTTAGTTAATGGAGAGTTAGATAATAAATCGCGCTGGAGTCGTAGTCGTACGAGGAGGCCAGAGATACTTCAGCAACGCTGTAGGACGTGCGGAGAGCCCGGTCATAATATGCGTACTTGTCAGAATAGTAAAGAGATATCTGAAGAAGATAGTTCCGAGTAGTTTTAATTATTTTTTTTACGTTATAGTTGAATTAACTAATGTCTTATTGTACGAGGTCTTAAGAAGTGTTCAATTGGACCGTGGGGTACGTTATCTCTTTTAGAATTAGCATATGTGAGGCATATGCAACACCAGAAAGATCTGATACTGTGCATTATACCTAGTTTGGTTAAGCTTCCCTTGGCAAAACTTGGCCAGGGTTAGAACATTTCTGACCCTGATCAACTTTGCTGCGCCACAAAATTTCTACCCCCTGGTCAACTGTTTCTGACCCTGGTCAGCTGTACGCTCCTTCTTTCCCACCCGCTGAGCTTCGCAGACGCAGATCCCTCTTTCCAAGAAATTCAGCGACATGGCCCCGCTCGGGAGTTCATCGTGGTCCTCGGCCTGGGATTCAATCTACCGATACAGCCCACTCCAGAAAGGCAATTTATTACCCAATGGCGTCGCTGCGGGACCCAACAACTCGCTCAATATTCTGCAAATCCGACCGAACATCGGGCAGATTCTCATGTCGAAACAAGTGCGGTACGCTGGGACCGCCGTCCTCGCCGTCGGGGTCTTCTTTCTTGCCTCTGGCAAGTACCACTCGCTACCGACTTTAGGGAGTCTGCGAGACAGTGGTGCAGCTACGGCTCCTGTAATCCCAACATGTCCAGTAGAAGCTACAATCCCAGCGAACTATAATGGGCAGGATAAGCGGTCGCGATTCGCATACACCCAATTCGTCACCAATCAGGACCATCTGTGCAACTCCGTCATGATCTTCGAGACGCTCTTCCATCTTGGAAGCAAGGCCGATCGCGTAATAATGTATCCCGAGCAGTTGATGGACCCGGCCGCCACAACAGGCTCCAACCAGGAGCAGAAGCTGCTGATTAAGGCGCGAGAGATGTATGAAGTGAAGCTGGTGCCCGTCGCAGCCCTGCATACATCTGGTAGTGACAAAAGTAGTAAGCTTCGTCTAAAACTCGACCATGCGCCCGCCTCTGCTTTCATACTGACCACTATTTCCTTTCCAGCCTCCTGGATTGATTTATATGCCAAGCTTCTCGCATTCAACCAAACACAATATGATCGCGTCATAAATCTCGAGTCGGATGCGACTGTGTTACAGGAAATGGACGAGCTGTTTCTATTGCCGCCGTGTCCTGTGGCCATGCCCCGCGCTTACTGGCTTTTCGGTAACAATATTCTTTCCTCTCATATCATGATGGTGCAACCCAGCGCTATTGAGTTCGGTCGTCTCTTGGAGAAGATGGAAGAAGCCGGTCGTAATGACAACGACATCGAGATCATAAACGCCCTGTACAATGACCAGGCCATGATCCTGCCACATCGCTCGTACGACCTGCTGACGGGGGAGTTCCGCCGCCAAAATCATGAGAAGTATTTGGGGTCGGACCGCGTGAAATGGGACCCCGTCTCCGTATACAACGAGGCCAAGTTCCTGCATTTCTCGGATTTCCCTGTCCCCAAGCCTTGGATTCCGATGTTGGAAGATGTGCGCCAGCAGAAGCAGCCTAAGTGCGTGAAGACGAAATGGCATGAGGATTGCTCTGCTAGGGACCTGTGGAATGGATTTTATTCTGACTTTGCCCGAAGGCGTTCGGTACGTGATTGCTACCCCTGGCGGCCATATTTTCGGTCCTGGCGACAAGCTGACTTGTGGTAGGAAGTATGTAACACCAAGTAAAATAGTGGCTAATGTTGTCGCTATAATGGTGGTTTGGTAAAGTATGATGGAACGAAATCGCAATCATGGAAATGGTAGTTTATGAGTGCCATGATGGGACACTAAGACATCAGAAGTTTGGCTCTCTATAGTTGTAGCTATGGAATTATTTTAGGAATTGTTTTACAATACTAGGACAACAGTGGAAAGCAATTCAACTACCCATGTGATCCCATATGCTTCAACCAGGAACTGCCAACTCAAAGAACTGAAGCATTACCACGTGCTGCATGGTGCCCCATGAAGGACTCGTGGCCGAGTACTCGTATCTCCCGGATAAGCCGCATCCTCAATACTGACCGACGTAATCGGCGTCTAGATACTACTGCAGGGCTATTGGTAACTTCTCGAGTTGAAGTCGTCTCAACGCACGAAAGACTTCTTTAAATCAACTGCTCTGATCACCCACTGCGTCTTCGCTTACGGCATAGCTGCATCTAGGGTCCTTTTTACCAACCATCATGGCCACCACAAACAAAGCCTCCCCTCTCATCCTCTTCACCGACATCCCAGCCGACGGCCACAAGGGGCCCCCTCGCATGGGAGAAGATCGCCTTGGGTGTCAGGCGCACCGTCTGGGATCAGCAATACCTGTTTGTCGACAGCTTGCCTATAAGGACACAGAAGCTGCACGAGGCGCTGGAGTGGGAAGACAGGTAATGATAGTGCATTAGTATTAGCACAGTGTATCATGCCGTTCAAGTACGGCAGGCCGCTTCCGGGGGTTTAGAGGAGTTTCCGAAGACCACTTGCGTTAATGTTACGGCTCTGTATATGTAGAGTGGATACTACCTCCTTTCTGCTCGGGTTACCGCATGACTCGTCGGAGTCTGGGAGGGCGCGGAATGAGCCGTTGAATTGGCTTATGTGCGATTATGTCTGGAAAACGCTAAATGGGGTGAATGAGATGAAGATGAGGAACGCGGGTTGCACGTGTTTCTCCAAGGAATTTGCGTGTGACGCCTAATTCTAGGCAGTGACGTGGCGTCCCAGTTGTGCAGCCCAAGTCTGGAGTACCCCCGCAGTGACTCGCAACCAAAAGCCACATTTGAGGGGTTCTGCGTCCGAAGAAGGTAGATAAGGACTAAGAGCTTCCCGAGTGGTGGCATGAGACAACCGGGAATGCGATCAGGGCGGGGGGTTGAGAGGTAGAGGGTTGTTTTGTCTCCCAGGGCATTGTCAATTTAGACTGAAGCCAGCTGATGGCTCCGACGATGGATGCACCTACCGAACGGGAGGATATCATTGTGGTTGCTGCTCTGGGGTACCGGTATGCAAATTTGCCGCGGGATACCAAGGTTCTTCCAAATGTGACGTCGATTACCTCCTGTACGACACCATTCTGCCTTATGCGGATGAATGTGTGTCCAATGCAGGCTATAGTGCATTCACGCATGCGGCTGTCAACGGTGTGCCCATAGTGGTTGTAGGAGAGTCAGAAAACGAGAAGGAAATTAGCAAGCGCACTGCTTGGCCTGGCTTAGGAGTAGACTTGGAAACGCAAACACCGAGTATGAAGAACTTACGAGATGGCATCGAGGAAATACTGGAGAATGAGAGGCACAAGAAACGGGCCATTGAGTTGATAGAGGAGAATAGGTCAATGGATTCGTTGGCAAGGATTGAACCGCCGGTGGTTCAGTTCATTGAATAGACTAGAACTCCATTGCTGGCTGAAACTTTGTGCATCCTGGAGTTAGTTATGAATCGTGGTTTCTTGGAGTTTTGTTTGTGAATTCTTAATTTTCGATTCAAAGCATGTCAATTGATATTTTCGCATTTGAAGAGTTGGTGCCGTAGTATCATCCCAGCATTGAGCGTCCAATCCTGTGGAATAATCGCCGGTATCCAATACAGAGAAGTGGCAGAACTGGTTCAAATTCGGATATGTGGCCTGGTTGTTCCTTAACAGTTCCTACCTACCCTTGCATAGGGCGGAGGAAACCAAGTCAGCAAAGTGTATATATGTCGATGACCCTAAATCCGAGGGCACAAACCCAGTAGACTGTAGACCTGAGCCAAGGGTAATGATTATATAAATAATTCCGCAATCACCAGAGTTTCTGCTCAGCCTGTAGGATGGGGTTATTTTCCTCCTGTCTGACAGGTTGGTGTATGATGAACTGTAACCTGGATACGATATGTATGGCGGAAGGTGTTCTGATTCAGGCAATTCATTGGAATTTACAAGCGATTTTTATGTGGCTTATTGGCAGCCCTATTTCAAGCATTCGACTGAATCCTTGAAACCTGGCTATGTCAGAGTCTGATCTGCAACAGTTCCATGATGCCCTTCTTTGGCGGCCTAGTCTACGGTCACCGATGTGCTATACTCAAAGCATGATGAGACGAGACTATTGGAGTTTGGCGGAATAAATTGCTGTTAGACGCCACCGGCTATACCTCAACGATGAGATTTGAAGTCCTCATGTGTACGTGAGGATACTTGTCGATTCGTTGTATTTTGACATCTGTTTGAGCAAAGTGGTGTAGTCACTGTTTGACAACAAAGGTGGGGATGTGCGATGCACTGTAAGTGAACAGCCTTGCATACCTAGTTATCCATGGGTGATTTGATTGGCACGGTCCTGCAGCCTTGCCAGTTACTTTTTCCTTCTGTATCCCATCTTGGATGATTTGGGGTCCAACCAGTGGAGGCAAACAGGGTTTTTTGTGGCAGGTTGTAGCACCATTTCCAATGTTGTGCATGCTCAAATTAATCAATGAAATCTCAGTAAAATGAGCTATTGATATGAGGTGAAGGGGTTCATTCTAGTGCCCTGGAAAGACGAAGCCATTATTTTCAGAATTGGGTGCAAGCTCTGCGGTGTTGACAAACAAATCCCCATGGGGCGGGATGTACCGTCGGAGAGTTGTAGAACAGGAGGAATTGAGCAATGAGTCAGAACGGATGATTCAGAGAGTGAATAGAAGCAGTCTCTTCACTTGAACGTGCTGTCATCTAGAAGAAATTGATGTCAACTCTGTTGAGCGAAGTTGGTCATGTGTACGGCCACAGGGCAGCCACAGTGGCTTTGGGAGCTGGAGGAACTGCTTGGACCTTGCTGATCGGGGTTTTTGTTTGGCAGTGCTGGTACCTGAACTTGACAAATTTGACCATTTCATGAAGTAAGTATGAAGTAAGTTCAAAAGAAGTCGGACCTCACTGTTTCACCGTACGGCGTAGCCAACCTACATAGTACTTACCCCACATGTCAAGCCGCACCTTCTCCTCTTGTCATCCAAAACTGCGCTAGTGCAGTGGCTTAACAGGCTGGCTGATGGCACTTTGACGCGTGCCTTCCTCGTTGTGACATCACCGGAGAGTTCTTTCCTTGATGCCCCATGGCCCCTTCAGCTCCACGCAGCTTCCAGACTGTAAGACAAAACGATCGAGATTTTAGAGGGACGAAACCACGGATTTGGCCTAGGGGCGCTTTTCCTTAGTGGCTAGATGTCTATTTCGTGCTTTGAAAGAGGCGTATCACGACGTCATCACCCTTAACAAACTTGCCAAACTATGCACAGAAGCCCCGGAAAGCTACCTACATACTACTCGTACCTAGTAAGTACACTTTCCCTACGCTAGCCGATCGGTGCGTGCAGTCTGAGCTGTTCAGAGTAGTAAAATTCTGGGAGAGTGTGACAAGCCTTTGACCGCAAACGCAAGAGCCAGTGACGTGATGCATTTTTGAATGGTTGCCCAGGGCCTCTCCAATTCCAGCCACAGCTCTGGCCCAAACTCCTCCCAGCTGTCGAGTGCTCAAACAAAATCATCCACATTCCTCCCGTCCTTCACCCACTTCTCAACTTTCTTCTTTCATTGAATTGGTTCTGCTCTTGTGCCTTACCATCAAACCGCCATCAGAGTAGTAGAACACCTGAAATACCTACTCCGACAACCTTCATCATGAAGCTCTTGTCAACCATTCTCTCCATCACCCTGGCGACTGATGTCGCTGTTGGTAGCATTTGGTCAAACAAAGCTGGTACGTTGTTTAAGCGTCATATGATCCACGATTAACAGCCATGAGCCCAAGCTCTGTGACCCCAACAATTGTTGACAAGTTGATATACAGCGTACAACAAATGGCACGAGACCGAGCTTGAGCGATGGCTATCCGACCACGAGATTCCCTATCCTTCTCCCGCCGATCGCAAGCTACTTGAGGACACAATTGCGAAGAATTGGGATAACTATGCCGTTTCCCCATACAGAGAGTGGGACACGGAAAAGCTCACTTCGTACCTGAAGCAGAAGGGCATTGAGACCAAGGATGGTGCTGCTGCAACCAAGGAAAACCTTGTCTCTCAAGTCCAGTCGTCCTGGTATGAGACCGAGGACAAGGCTCAAGGTGCATGGTCAAGCGTCAAGGACTGGATTCTGGATTCTTGGACCGAGAGCCAACTCAAAGCTTTCGCCGACAAAAATGGCATTCCTGGTAAGTTTGACGAGCATTGGGGCGCGCAGCTGAAATTGACGAAGCATAGTTCCCCAACCTCGCCACCGTGATACTCTTCTCCAGAAAGCCCGCTCCAACTACGAGACTGTTGCCGCTAAGGCTGGGGAGGCCACATCGTATCCCGGAAATTGGCTGTACGATACTTGGACAGAGTCCGATCTGAAGGAATGGCTCGATACTCATGGTTTCCCCGCCCCTCAGCCCAGCAGTCGTGACAAGTTGATCGCCTCTGTCCGCCGTAACTCGCGCCTCGCCTACCTTCAGACGCAAGACCAAGCCGCCTCCGCTTCAGCCAGTGCTAATGCTGCTTATGCGACCTTGACTGACAAGGTCATTGATGCATGGGGCGAGTCTCAGCTCAAGGAGTTTTGTGATAAGAACGCCATTGCTGGTACGTTAGCAGTCTTCTCCTGGGCGGTTACGCCATGCCTAATAAATCATAGTTCCTCAGGGTACCAAGATCAACGAGCTGCGTGCTCTTGTCCGCAAGCATCGTGCGGACCTACTTGGAGACTCGTACTCGTACACTGCCTCCAGCGCGTTTGATGCCGCCACCAGCGGTGTCGGAGACCAATACGCCAAGGCCACCGACAGTGCTTCCCTCCTTGTCGAAGAAGCTTTCAATGAGGCGGTTAACACTTGGACCGAGAGTCGATTAAAGGCTTACCTGGATGCTCGCAATGTTCCCGTCCCCCATGGCTCTAAGACTGACGAGCTCCGTGCTTTGGTCCGCCGCAATTCGCACCAAGCTGTAAACGGCTTTAACGCGGGGAGTTGGGACGATCTTTCTTTCGCCAAGTTGAAGGAATATCTTCTCAGCACCGGCGATGCGACGGCCAAGAAGACTGCTGAGAATGCTGATTCCACACGTGAGGATCTCGTCACAGCCGCCCAATCTGCGTATGCGTCTGCATCAGGTGTCGGTGGTGATATGTACGCTTCTGCTACGAGTTATCTCACCGAGGCCACCGAGGCTGTCAAGAAGAGTACATTTGATACGTGGACTGAGAGTGAGCTTAAAACTTATCTTGACAGCTATGGCGTCCCAGTTTCCCAGGGCTCCAAGTTGAATGAGTTGAAGGCATTGGCTCGCAAGCAGTACACATATTTCAAATACGGCACGAACGGTCCGGTCGATACTGCCTTTGCCAAGATCAGCACTGCCGTTAGTGACGGCTACCAGTGGGTTATGAGCCAACTAGGCGCTGGATCTGAGGCAGCCAAGCAGAAAACGAAGGAGACGAAGGACGAACTATGAGGTCATACTTACAACAACCACACACTCAAAGTAGGATTGATGGACTGTAGGAGTGGACTCATGACGTAAGACGAATATATTATGATTACAAGCACTATTTCGGACGGCTACCCATAAGAATGGGCAAGTTGCGTTGATTTCCAGTGAGCGTTCACTATATGACACCACGCGAATTGCTTAGCACCTCTTACAGGTGATGAATGTTGGTACGTAGCAATCAAAAACAAAATTACACCTTTATCCTACAATGGCTTATCTACTCTCACACATGAAAGTACGATGCTTCCTCAACACGCGCTAAGAGAGAATCAATGTCATGGTTAATTGTCAGCACTATGCGGCTCAGCCCTAAGCCCTTGTTAATTGTGACACTTTCATCATTTCAACGCCGACGAAGTTCGGGATTCCGTGATTTCAAAACTCATGAAACGGTTAAAACACTCTTGACGTGACTAAACTAATGCGGGTATCTGGTTGGCTTGATGCTCGCCTATTTAAAATTACAGTGGCTGAATGGAAGCTCTCATAGAGCGCCCGAACTTTGGAACAGTGGATCTGGCTCAATTATAAAAGATATGGTTATGGATCAATCTGCAAGACAATGATCTTTTGGAGCGACATTTCGAAGATAATTTGGTGCTCAGGAGGCGTGGGCTCTCAAGAAGCCTAAGCCAAGTGGACGACGTCCCACACCATGCATGTATAGTTGCGGCTGCCCCCGAAGAACTTGCAAGGTCACTTAATCTATTCTGCTGCGTCTCTACATGAATTCCACCGATATTTGATGTCATTTTTTCCTAAGGCATAGCTTAATTAAGGTCGGGTCCACGTGTAATGGTAGTTGGCCTTGTGCTTGAAAGGTGTAGAACCCGTTAACAGGTGCATACTATACAATTCCCAAGTGCTTTTTGTATAAATGCAAGTGAAATAGTGCCTATCTAATCCTCTAAATTAGTGTATGCCATATACTCGATTATTCGTTGCCTGTATATCCCGCTTTGAGAATTCTGCTCTGAAGCGTATTCGGGATTCGTGGCTCCGTATGAGCTGCACTCTACTTTCTGCTATACACCTGCTGGTTCTTAGCCAAGTCTGAGCTGTACGTCTTTCCTGTCAAGTAATTCTTTCTGCGCTATCGACGTGTACCAAAAGTATCCCCAGCACAAGGGTCGGAACAGCGTCACCATGCCAACCTGGTGAGCTATGGTTAGCGTGTAAATACACTAATACCGTCACCATTCTCCAGACTCTGCAAAATGCCTGTGTCAGGGTAAGGTGAGGCTGAAGGCAATATTACAGAGTGAAGGGGAGTAACAGGCGTCCCTACTAGTTATCACCGAGTGGTCTCAGGTAGGGCAGAGTAGTTCATTGATCTCTAACTTTCCTACTATCTTCCTGTTTCATCTTTTGGCAGTAAATCCAACCAAAAACTCACCAACCTCAACTAACTTCGCCAGGAGCACTGGTTGGTCAAAATCACCCGCGTTTTGCTTACTAATTTAATCACCAACCAAACAAGGAGGAGTGGTGAGGTTGGTGAGGTTAGTCCAACCCTTGCCCCAACCCAGCAGCCCCATGTTCTTTCATTTGTCGCAATCACTTCAAATAAGATGCGTCATCAAATTGATGAGATGCTCTGAGTCCCGGCGGATGCTACAAATTTCAACGGATTGTAGAGGATGACTTTCAGCATGGCATCGTAACTTCTATGGGTCCTATTGCTGCCTTGACTTGGCCAGGGCAGAACCTTGTTGTATTTTCGGTGTAAAATATTATCCTCTTTAATAGTACAGGCTCGTGGATGCTGTGTCATAGCGGCAAATCATTTCCTTTGCCCAAGGTCCTACTTGATTATGTACCTATGAAGATGGCATAATAATTGAATTAGCCTTTCATATCCTCAATTTTGATGATACCCAGGCTGTGAGTTAATTCTTTAGCTTAGGAGATTTTAATGCTGCCTTTGGTCCAATAGGCAAACCCATGTTTTCCCCGCGGGTAAACGCACTTAAACTCTATCCACAGTCCAAAAGAAGAAGAAAAAGACACTAACTTGGCATTGATAAGCACAGTTATCACGCTTGTGAGTATTGTGTTTTTGGGCAGACTGCCTTGTCGTGTGGGATCTGGCCTGACATGGATGGTAGACTAGTTGAATACATCGGCCAGTATATGCTCTAATAGTGGATGCCTTCGTCAGGTTTTGTTTGTAACCACTTTTGCACAAGACTTCGGACGGAACCACCAAAGACCCATCGCGACTCGGTGCGGCTCCCTACCGGCTTGTTTCCGCCTACACCCGGCCCTAGAGCGGCTAGGATTGAAGAGGCACCGGAGCATATCCGCTCTACCCGAAGTGGATAACAACGACTTTGACGGTCGATTTCGTCTTCGTCCAAGTGGAGTTATACTAGCGCCGCAATCAGCCAGCCATGGTCCATGAGGGATTGGCGAAATTTGCTCGCGTCACTTGGGACTCATTCCAGTTACTTCAAGCTCTCCATCTTTGCGCGGCATTGGACATCATCATGTTCTGAGAGTAACTCTGAAGGCGACTCGGGAGGTGCTTTGAGTGTCAATGAAGTCCGAATCACTCAAGTACATTACTTTTCTGCCTCCAGCTGGGTGTTCGCACTGTTTTGCCAGTGTCTCCTCAAGGCAAACCTGCTCTTGATCTCTGTCTCCTGAAAATAATCCCTCTAGCGCAAGATAGGCTCCATGGACGACAAATATGGGCCGCAATCAGTTGCTGGGTATCTCCAGGGGCTCGCGTCCGACTTGGTTCACGACGACTGAGGGGGTATAGGATTGACGTGCGGTTCAGGGTCCGTCCAGCGAACGTGCATGCCGCCTATTGGTTTTGAAATTGGTAGCTTGGATTCCAAGTTCTATCCTGATATTCCGTAAACCATCTATAATCGTTTTGTAGTCACATATTAAATGAGATGTCTAATAATGGGCATCCCTCTTTTTGTCTCAGCGTGCCGGCCAGCCGGCCATCCACCTATCTTACACCCTCATTTTTGTGTATGCCACATCAACCTGCATAGTACGCGCGATTCCGCTCCTGGGTGTCCCGCATTCTAGATCTGGCCCGGGGCTCCATGAACCCAAAGCGCTGTCATCGCTCGCGCCGTCGTCCTTAATTCCACCCCCGACAGTCGTCGCCGCGCCCCATGAGTTGCTGCACTCGGACAGCTTGATATTGTTGGGTTCCCCGCTGGATTTGATGTTCTGCCACTGGTTGTCTGAGAAGCTGCGCGAGTTGCCGTACTTGGGGTTCTTGGAATAGGGGTCCATGGAACTGTTGCCGCCGGTGATCTTCTTGTAGAAGGGGCGGAGGCCGGGAAGGGTGGAGCAGAGGAGACAGACGAGGAGTTCGGTGGAACCCCAAAATAGGATGGGGACTGTAGCGACTATTTGGTTGTAGTGTTAGTGTTGGTTCGCTGAACGAGATTGCGGGTGAACCTACAGGGGTAATCAGATTTCGCGGAGATGGCGTTCAGCTCGACTGCGCGTATTATACCACAGATGCCGGCCAGGAAACCAAGAGACAAACCGATGGAGATGGTCAAGCGCTCCTTTTGCTTTATCCTCAAATTCCACAGGACAAACCATGGTACTACCGCCAACCAAAAGTCCATGGCCGCCGTGTAGGACCCCGAGAAGATTGCGTTGGTAGTAAACTTGAAATAGCAGACCGTGTCTTTGACACGAAGATCCCAGATCCCCTCAACCGGAGTGCATTGCGTAAACATGAAAATGATGCACGAGACGCAGACGACACTCGTGGTGATGATGCAGCCGTGTAGCATCCACCTGTGCCACTTAACGTTGACGATGCGGATCAAGAACACGGCAACGGAGCTCTTCCTCGTGGCGATGGCCAGGATGTTGCTCGTCTGGCCCATGAGCTCCCATTTCGTCGACGTTGCGAACTGCTTGAGTGTCAAGTCCGCCGCGTGGTTTCCGAGTCCGTGGAAAGAGGCCAGGGTGATGAAAAGACTGTAGAAAATGAAGAGCGCCTATGTATTGTAGAATAAGTGAGTGTTTCTGCTGCTGCTGCGAACGGCTTGGGAAACTCCATAACGGCGGCAAATGACGACATCGACGACTTGGTGGAAAGAAATTCGCCGGCGGGCAAAGATTCGATTTTCTCTGCAAAGAATCACAGATTGACCCGGTGGCGCGGCCATGGCATCTATTAATAATGGATTTTAAAAGTAGAGTGCATAGTAGCCGCAGTAGAGTGTCCCCCGTGCCGACACGACGAGCACGTGCGGCTCATTTGCTGGTCCTCTGCATGAGGAAATCCTACGGGATTTGACAAGGGTTGCGACAACCGGGTTTGGCATGTCGTAATGAAGATCTTGTTGATCTAGTTCTTTGCAGCTTGACGAATAGCTACATGGCTATTCCTTTCGATTTTGTCTGTCGGAGAATCCAATATATGTACTTAATGTGATCAACCTCACCTTCTATTTGAACGGCTGTCTTGCCAATTCCTGCGGCTTGCTCGTTAGTAGTCTGTCCCCGCTACAGGTACTTGACCAGGCAAAAGAGTAAATCATGGAGAGACCCGGAGATGATGGGCACATAATTCAGTGCTTGGCACCTATTCCTGGTGCATACATTTATCTCCAGATTTGATTTTCACCTCTACACGTGTGGCACCTAAAAGCCGTTGGGAGTAGCCAGGGTCCTACTGGTTTAGGCTATTCGCTTAGGTAGACCTTGCATGTTGTAGAGCAAGTCACTAATCAATACAGAACGCTGAGATGGAGCCACTTGTTGGACTACTGAGGCCCTGGATCCTTGATAATGAGATGAGGTAACGTCCCACACCTACATCCGGGACACCCCCACATGTGGGACGCCCTAAAAATGACACTGTATATTATAACCATTAACTTCAACCTTTTTTTACACTTATTCTAATGCGACTACAATACAGCTTTCACCGTCACTAGGGGTTTCAGACTCGCTAGACTTATATGTACTATCCTCAATTTCACCAGCCTCGATTTGAGCCTTCCGAATAGCCTTGATATTAGTAAACTTCGAATTTGGGCTCATCTTGACCTTCCTCCGCTTCCTAGCCCTACTAGCCTCAAGCTCTGCCTCTATTGCCTCAATCTTTCGCTGTACGACAGCTAATTGGTAGTCCTTCTCATCAAAGCCCTTTTGAACTTTCCGAAAGAGTAGCCGCTGGGTATTTGGATCACTATCAAGCTTGCTGAATAAGCTGAGTTGATCTTGGAGCTCATCTCTCCTCTTAGGCGTTAACCAGGCTACTGCTGATGTCTCTAACGCCCAGTCCTGACTACCCTTACTATCAGAGTACCCTTTGCAAGTCTGACTAGGCTGTCTGATTGGTGCTGACGTATTCTCAAGGAGCAGGGGGCTCATAAGGGGTCTAGCTATGCTCGAAGGCCAGAGACCAGTATATTTCCATCCACTGATAATGTTCTTAGCGGTCAATGCTGCTAGACGTGCCTTTATATACCAGAGGAGAAAGTTTCTCTTCTCTACGACAGTAGTAGTATTCCATCGGTCAAAGTAACCAAGCTCCTTCTTATAGGCTGCCTTGAGGGGTCCAAAGACTGACTGATCGAGAGGCTGGAGAACGTGGGATGTGTGTGGCGGCAAGAAAAGCAAGTGTATCTTGTTTATGAAGCAGAGGTACATAAACTCTGTCGTTTCGTGGCTACTATGCCCATATAGGATAAGTAACCTAGTCTCTTCAGGGTCCTCTGGTTGAGTCAAAGGAATAAAGATCTTTTGTAGCCACTCAATAGCCGTAGAGTCTGACGTCCACCCATTCTCTGTTGCTGTAAATCTCCAGGCTTCGTATGGAGTCAAGTCCAGAGGAAACCACTGCTGCTGGACAGACTTCCCCTTGCATATCACAAGTGGGGGTAGTGCAGTACCAGTCGCAGAGATACACTCTATAAGAGATGTCCAAGCTCGACATCCAGGCTGTTTCTTCCGTATAGAACGAGTCTCAGATGATCCTAGAACAAGAACATTTGATCCTCTACCTTCTAGAATACCTGTATCATCCATATTGTATCGATTCGAGGCCTTAATAGCTTTGATCTCAGGGATAGCGAGGTATTTGAACCATTGCCTGATCACATTAGCTGAGGCTCCATTAATACGCTGGGAATCGATAGCTCTGCTTCTCTGGACCTTGACTGAAGGGTTCCTCTTGATAAAAGCCTGGACCCAGTTCTTTCCAAGTGGTTCGGTGTCTCCGTGGATCTGTAGGATACGCTCGGCGAAGTCTTTGAGCTGTTGATAGGTTGGTAGGAGGCCTAGGGCAGCCTGGATTCGAACCCATTCAGCCAGATGAGATTCCTGGGCTGGAGAGAGCCTCTGGTAGTCAGCGAAGGCTATATCTCTTGACTGGGCTCCCTGAATCCGTCGTGAAAGAGTAGACCTTGGGACACCATGCTCATATGCTGCTTTTCGGAGGCTTTGACCGGTAGCTATTGCTTGAAGAGCTCGATAAATATCATCTTCGGTATATTGACTCATATTAGTATAAAGAAGACGTACGTAAAATTCTGTAACGATTGAATTGGTATTGGTAAAGAAAAAAGAGGTTGAAGTTAGAGGCTAGCGGTGTTGATGAGGCATTTTTGGGTGTCCCACATGTGGGGGTGTCCCGGATGTGGGTGTGGGACGTTACTTCATGTTCCACCAGATACAACTACTACTAGAACGTAAATTCGGATATACTATTCGATGGCAGCATTTTTCTAATATCCCTGGAGGGTTTATTGGATTTATGATCGATCAAGACTATAAGCTCCTCGTTGGTATGGATTAATCTGTGACTAATCTGTAATCGATTACTAATCTATCTATGTGGTAGGCCTAGGTTGCTATTTAAGCGATATTGGACAGAACCCTGAACACGACTGGCGCTGGCATGTTGCTCATACTATCCGTTACTGTAAAGTCCATTTTACCCGTGGTGTCGAACGAGTTATTGGCAAAACTGTACGTGATCGATCGTTAACTAAAGTAAGACCGATCATAGAACGATTACTAACTAACGATACGTAGCACCATGGCCCAAACTCATTATTCTATATAATGCACGAGCTTCTATATGTCGAATCTACCGAAGACTATGATGTTCTCGTTGACGCTATATATCGTAAGTTATTTAATAAGATCGGGTAATAATCTATTACTAATCGACTATAGATTGATGGCACGAGTTTGGGTATAACCATGTTGAGGATACTGCAATTAAAGCATGGGTAAAACATAAGAACTACCCTACAATCCGCTGTGGTTTAAACTTTATCTATTCGAAGATAGATAAGATCGATTGGGAATCGATGTGTGATTCAACTAACCCCGCCGAGGTCCAACATAAGCGGAGTTACGATTGGGGTGGGCGCTATGTTGCAAGGGCAACAGCTATCGAAAAGTAAGTTACTAGAAACTTTAATTAGATATTGACGACGGGCAGTGAAACCACCCGCAGGTTTAAGGTGTGAAGATGATGGCAACGAATAACAAGATCCTCAACAAGACCTTACTATCCGGGAGGTAGAAAGAAATAACAAGATCAAGAGCTCCTTACCCTGATCGGAACGACAAGTACCTCAACAGGTACGAACAACTATAGCCTCAGCAGGCTGGGGAAGAAAAGAAACCTCAACAGGCCCTTGAACAATCACCTCAACAGGCACAATCAGATCTATAGGGGAACAGAAAGTACCTCAACAGGTACGTCAGACATTGAATGCCTGTCCAAGTAAAGAGAAATTGGTTCAGATTACTGTGGAAAAGGCCGCTTGAATTCCTATCTTTTTTTCAAGAGAGTGACTATGTACATAAGGTCTTAAATACCCTTCAAGAACGCGCTTACATAACTCGTCTGAAACCGGAAGAAACGAAAACGAGCACCCAAAAACCCGAACCCCAAGTCAATATTAGTTACTAATCGATCTATAGTTCTCGTCAACTTGACCGTAACGACCTTGACTCAATCCAGGCCTCTAATACTTACCATGTGCCCCTCTCGTATAGGCCAGACACACTTTCGGATAGATGGGCAAGGTCTGCAAATAGATCAAGTAAGTTTATCCTATATTCGAGTAATAACCGATCACTAATCGATCCTGGATCGATAGGAGATCGAGGGCTTAGGTTAACCCGGAAATCTTCGTCTACTACGAATCAAAAGCCACCCCAAGGGCAAACGTCGTTACGGCTTGATAATAGTACTTTAGCTGAAATATCTCAATTTTCAGATATCACAAGTTCGGGGACTTCTTCTATTCGTTCCATTTCGCCTACCCCGTCTGAGTCGGCGTCGAATATCCATAGGCCGAAACGAGCGAAGAGGTATGTGGATCGATCGTAGATCGATTATCAATCGGTTGCTGACTAATTAGATCACAACTTCTTCGACGTCAACTATCTAGCTCTACTCTACAGCCTTTACCGCTAACAGAACCTATTCCAAACGATCCACCTTCGTCACCTCCAAGGATTCAGCTATCGTTATCAGAATCTTCTCCGAAACCGATCTCTAATCGTTTAGAGATCGGTTACGAGGCGGAAGAAGCAAGACGGTTACGTATTGAGAACGACGAAAGAGAGGAAGCTTTAGCTGAACGAAAGCTTAATCATAAGCTTAAGGCTATAGAAGTTTCTAAAGCTATTGAAGAGTTACGGGATAGAGGTATCGATGTTTCTAGTTTACTAGAGATTTAGGATTCGATCAATAGAATATTAATCTTCCAACCGTTGACTTCAGCTATATCAGACAATATCAAATGGGTTTTACTCACTTCCTTAGGCTATAGGAGCAACAGAGGGGATATCGTCGTAGAAGTGCTGCCAGACTAGGCAGCCCTTAGCGTTGTCCTTCTTCTCAGGGGGGCATTCTAGAGCCAATCGATTAGCAATCGGTCTTATATCGATATATAAATAATTAATTACTTACGATTAGCCTTTTTACCAGCAGCCTTGCAGGTAGGGCAAGCGTTCCCGA